TGACGATTTCCCGGGCGATTTGGCAATCCGTTGGATTTGCTCCTCCCGTGACCCGGTTGTCGCACCTCTGAGGTGTCACATATAACCCAGAACAAAGCATTTGACCAGTTCTGTCTTACTGACGCATTCACGTCACTTTCAGGTATCACCAGAGCTCACAGCTTCTGCTGAGCCCTCCCGACTCCACGACTGGCTCAGCGAGCACTAGTGGGAATCCTACAACTTCTTCCAACGGCTATACTACGCTCCCAAAGCCTTTTCCTAGCAATGCGTGCACGTCTGACCATTTCTCGAGCGCACCTCCCTCGCTTCTCTCGTCCCACTGGACTGGGCCTTCAATGACAGTCATAGACCGTCACCATCGAGTGTACGTGCCATTTTTCATGTAATGCAGTTACCAGCTTTGTGACACGTGCTGATGTTTGTCCCACAGCCCTCCACTGTCGCCTCCACAGATTTCTCACCCGTACAGTGCGGCAAACGGCATCGGACAAACAATCAGAACTATGGAGAGACTGCCACAATATTCAAACGGTATACCGTCCCAGTCTTTCCCACATGGGATCAGGTATTCAACTACTTATCCTCCTCGCACCAATGGTCAATATCCGTTTTCCATCCCGGATCCGGCTTTTCCAGGTGCGAACATGTCTCAAGATAGCCAGAGCTGCACTGGCCGAGATGGGCCCCCATTCCACGAAACGAATGTGCTCCATCAGGTATTGACGCTTCGTGGCCAAACCCTCGTGCCAGAGATCACGGCCAGCATACAGAAAGGCTTTTTCCAGGTTGACCGCAAGTGGACCTGCTACCGTCGAAACTACTTTGCTGTACAATGTGCATTCAACTTCAGAAACAGCATGGCCGAAGCACCACTTTACCTCAACAAGAATGGGTCAGAAGAATTGATTCAAAATTTTGCTGTTTCCATTTCTGCAAAGACTGCAGTAACCACCAATGGTGAGAGCGAAACTCGGGGGCTGGTCCAGCATACTCCCAAACGGGAAAAGGCAACAGAGCGCGTACCGGGCCGGCAGCAGATTGCGCCCTCGCACAGCCATGGATTGGGCCCCAATGGCACATACTCAAGCGCTGGACACATGTACCCAGGCGTGAATCACGTCCATTCCGCCAGCATGGGTACTTTCGCGTCTTTCGAGACTCCGGGAGCGAATTCTCCGCCAACTACCTACACATTCGAACGAATACAGTTCCAAAAGGCTACCGCAAACAACGGCAAACGTCGAGCCCAACAACAATACTTCTTGGTGGTGGTGGAGCTCGCCGCCAACATTGGGAGGCAAGGTCACGATGACTGGGTTGTCATTGCTACGAAGGAGTCTGATCCTATGGTGGTGCGCGGTCGTTCACCAGGCCATTACAAGGATAACGGACGCCGAGACAGCCAGGCGAGTATGGATCCCGACTGTGGTAGCGGTCATGGAGCAAGTGCCCATCCTGGCGCTCTTTCGTCTGGGGCCTTTGGTCATGGCCACCCTTCAGTAGCTTGGGATGGCTATGGGCCAAACAGACATTACGGCGGATCCAGCTACCGCCATGCAGCGAACTCCCGCTTCTCACCAGCAAGCGTGGTATCGGCGACCACGCAAGACTGTACGACAACAGATGCTGAGCTCAACATCTCCGACTCGCACACGAGGAAATCGTCGTTCACCTTGTCCTCCGACACGTCCGCGCTGACGCCAGTTTCGGAAGGTAGTGACGACGTCATGTTCAGCAGTTTGGACCGTCGCAGTATCAGCCGGAAGAGGCCATTGGAGACTGACGAGGAAGGGGATTATCTACGATATCCGTTGCGAGAGCCATACACCGACGCTCTACCATCACTGCCCGACTTCTCAACCATGGCATACTCCAAATTGTTGTGCGCGTCATCTTGACCCACGGCCAACGAGGTGGACAGTCAATGCCACGGGGACTGGCTTGGTCAAGCTTAGCTCAATTTTCTGATTGACACGAGACCTCATTGAAACATCACTAACATATATTGCGACTTCACCTGAATTCTTGGTCAGCATTTCTGGAAACATGTTGTACGACGGCGCAAGGGCTTTACACCACGTGGAACACAGCATGGGGTTTCACAGCGTCTAGAGATCCCCAGTGCATTGCAGGGTGCATAGTGCATCAAAGGGTCCACAGAATGAGACTTGGGGCGGGATATGACAGGTTTCTTTCTCTCCACAGCCCTTCGTTTCACGGTCTATGAGGAGTAGGAATCTGAATCACTACATCAGCGATATAGATGGCAAGGTATGTATTTCGGGGGAACAGCTAGGCGGAGTCAAGAGCGAGCTTTAACGGGCACTCGGTGACTACTGTCAGGCTATTGCATGAGAATATGGCCTGGTGACACTGGTTTGCGGCTGGATCTGGATGAACTTAACGGAACGGGAATTGGGACATGACAGCACGACATGACGATATGACACGGCACATGATCAGCTCGCTACTTAGAGGTTTGGACAAGCTTGTTTTTTTCACTTTGGAGCCTAGGGGTGCACAGGCAACGGGAATGGAGCCAGCGAGAATCACTGGGAACGACACACTGCTGGGTGTGTTGGAGCATGCGATAAGTCGGCTAAGGAAAGCAGCAATTGGAGCGGAGGATACACGGCTGGTGGCCCCTTCTGTTACATTTTGAGGTGGTCTCTAAAGCAATCATGTCCATTCTGACACTCTTTCCCGTCCACTAGGGCAAAGCCTCTAAGCCTCCAGGATGGCTTTCCCGTGCCTGTCGCCACCGCTTGCCAGTAGCTGGCCGGGACCCACGACGTGTCCGGCTCGTTCCTGCCCTTGCAGCGATGAGCTAATCGCGGTTGAACAATGTCCTCGAGATCGTGCGGCACGATCATACACGGGCACCTCCCTCGTATCGTATCCCGATTCCATCTGTGTGTGCTGGTCTTGAAAGAGTTTTCGCCGCATCGGCTTTGGCTCACTGCTTAGGCATGATCATCTGCTGGCGATATCAACACATGTCGGGAGACGAAAAGAATGGGACGAGTAGCTAAACTCCCTAAGCGACATGGGTGTGTTTGAGAGTCACCACGCTCTGCATCCCTCGGCCCTTTTCGCCAACAAAGAAGAATCCACCCCACAAGCCGCGATTCCCAGGCACGAGCAAAATGTGACGAGTCAATTTTGCACCAGAGATCACGGCAGCTTCCCCTCCACAGTCGGGGAACGCTCCAGGCATGCAGGAATGACAGCTCTCCCCTGGACTCCGGGACACCATCCCAACCTCACTTAGCCGGGTCATTGCGCTCTTGAAACGAGTCAGAGGCCGCCGGAGAGTCGAGCTGTGAGCTTTACCAAGCAAGCCTAGAGTAGCCTACAAGGTGGAGTGCAGGTGAAAGGGTGGGCACAGCCTCAGGGCGCAACTGATCCGCAAATAAACATGGATTTCGTGGATGCACAATCTCTCATCCCACCACCAGCTTGCACCCGGAGCCCAAATGCGACGCCTCGGTCCTCGCGAAAGGAAAGACTCGACAGCGCGCTGCACAGTGCTTTGCATTTTCATATGCTGAAATGCACGGAGTAGATGACAGGAGTTGGCCAGAATTAACATCTCAAAGCCACCGAGTCTCTTGAATCACCCTCGCCACTTCGAAGAGATTGGCGGTCAAACATGGTGACAAGCACGCGACTGAAGAACATGGACTCAGACATCAACCAACCCAGTCGTCCTGCGAAGTTTGGAACTGCACATGTTGCCGCAAGTCTGGCCTTCACTTCGCGACTTCGACTAGCGCATTGTATTCTTGCCTGCCAGAGCTGACGAACAAAGAACCTTGGGCGTAGGAATGGTCTCAGCCCGATTGCCTTTTGCAAACCTGGGCGACTAGCCTCCTCGTACCGATGGCTGCTTCAAATCACAGCCCTCGGAGCAAGCACAAAGGACTCTTAGCCTCCCTCCAGAACAGGCAATGACATCAATTGGCTTGCAGTGGGGAGATGGGTGGTGGGTGTGCCTCTCCGCTCCGTCACGACGTGCATGTCAAGAGTGGCAGACACGAGAATTGGCTTTGTACATCCCGTAGGAGATCACAGATGCTGTCAGTTACACCAGATTTGTCCGACGGCATCCAGATGGAACTCGGATACTTGGAGCGAATGTCGTCAAAATAGGCTAGAGCAAGACAGAGCTAGCCCCAAGCCGGGGCCCCAGCAGCGACGGCCACAGCGCGTGGACGTGGGCGCGGACGCGGATGGGGCACCTGCCGCGAAGACGGAGAGCCCAGCGTGCGAATGGTTTCGGCCTCCATCACCATACGCTTTGGGCTAACCATCATTAGTCCAAACTCTACTTTCTACTCTTCATTCTCGGACACGGGCTTGGCGACGACTGGCCGAGGCGGGCGATCTGCTACCTGCCACGAGTTCCTTGTACCATTAAAGCAATGGCCGTCATGGTCGCTTCCCCGGCGGCGAAGTGGTCGCTTTGGATGGACATTCGGGGGCTTGTGAGAGGCTAGATATTCAGTCCGCACGATGGAATATCCCAGGGCCTCTCCTCATGATAGCGCGAGACCCTGCATGGACACCGCCGGCTGTGCTGCAGCGACCTATGAGGAATAGAAGCGAGGCTCCAGTTGAGTTGGAGAGACACAAGCCCACACCCTCCTGAGCGGAGCAGACAAAATGCTAACTTGGCTACGAGCACTGAAGATCATGTGAGGCCAGGTTTCCGCGCCAGGCAATCACCATTTCGGTCACTTAGAGCACATCCTCACGGTCAACCATCACGCGGGATCAGAAGCGGGACCAGGATCGGGAACGGCTCCGCGGTGGCACAAATACCATCAACCGTTACCAGTACCGCGACATACCCCCAACTCCATCATTGCACGGGCACGTCGACCAGGGATGTTGATTGCACCGGATGCTTCAGCCGCCTCAATACGGACTCTCCACCGATCTGATCGGCGTCTTTCAGAGACGGAATTCAAATTCCCTCATGTCGCATCCAACCTCTACGAAGGCTTGGTGAAAAACTTGCTCGGCACAAATGGCATTTTGACGACCTCCGCTTTCCTCACGTTTTTGCGCACCTTGACCCCGACCTGTGTGCCCTTTTTGTGGAGACCATTCTTGATGTACCCCATGGCGATATTCTGACCATCCAAGCTTGGACTGGGAGATCCCGAGGTAATCCGCCCAACGACCTCATTGTCGTGTTCGAGATCGACGATTTCGGCGCCTTCGCGTGCGGCCGGGCCCTTTTCGATCAGGAGCCCAACTCGTCGCTCCGACATGCTCTTCGGCGCAGCGAGCTGCTTGTTGATGGTCTCATGGCCGTTGAAGGTGGGGGAGGGGTTATCCCCACGGCGAGATTTGCCGACCAACCAGCCCAAAGCTGCCATTGGTGGTGTGATCTGCTCGTTCAGGTCGTGGCCGTACAGGCACATGCCGGCCTCTAACCGCAGCGAATCTCTCGCCCCGAGCCCCGCCCAGCGGACCTTTGACTGGTCCGCCGTCAATGCCTTTGCGATGTTGGTTGTTAGGTCTGTCGCATCTCCATTCTCAGGGGGGATCGAGATCTCAAAGCCATCTTCGCCGGTGTAGCCCGTACGAGTAATGAGGAGAGACGGCGTATTCATTCCTGACTCGGGTAGTGTGAGTTGAATCCACCGACTAGAGCCAAAGTACAGTGTCTCCAGGCTCGTGTCGAGACCTTCATCCTCCGTGTCGTTGAACACGAGGGCTTGCAAAACGTCCGCGGCCTGAGGGCCTTGGAGTGCCAACAGGGCGTGGTGGTCAAGGACGTGCCAGTTGATCTTTTCCTTTGAGGCGCCCTGGGCTTTCAAAAATTTGCCCATCTGCTCGTCCAGGAATTTCAGATCCTTCTCTCGACAGTTGGCATTCGTGACAAAGTAGAACCCATCCTTCCCGATCCGGGAAATCACCGTGTCGTCCACGATCCCGCCTTGCTCATTCAACAGACACGACAGGGTAGATCGGTGCTTCTCCAGCTCCTTCAGGGCCGCAGGCGTGACAGTCATCAAGAACTCCTCGGCCAACTCGCCGGAGAGTTTATGCTGGACCATGTGAGAGACGTCGAACAGGCTGGCATGTTGGCGAGTCCAGAGGTGGGAATCCTTATGGCTGACGTCTGGGTACTGCAAGGGCATGGAGAAGGACGCGAACGGGACCATTTTTGCATCGAGGGAGACGTGCAGGTCGTACAACGGCGTATGCTTGAGTTCCTGGCTCGACCCGGAAGATGCATGGCGTACCTGGGGCGAAAGACACGATCCTCCCGCCAGCGGAAAGCTCGTTTTAGAGACGGGTATCGCGATCGGTACCAGTTCTGATGTGGAGCGACAGGATGGCCGTTGCTGTAATGGCGAGGACGATGTGATAAGAAAGCTCAGCTGCCTTCGCGAGATCGTCGATGGGCCCTTGCTCGCCCTGCAAGCCGCGGTCAGCAGAGGCCTCGTGCCTTGACGTGCGGGCATCTTGATTGCTGTCGGTCGCTTCGTGTTGTTTGATTATCGCTGCTTCGTTTCCGCCGCGCGATGTGAAGTGACGGGTGACACTCTACTCGCGTTGTCCTTGGCCAATTGCCCAGTTTTCTCCCCGCAAGCTTGTCTCAACACATCACAAGCTCGCTATTGAGGGGTGAGCACAGTTTGACCGCGAACTGAACAATGACTTTCCTTTGACGACGAATCGGTTGATGTGATGTCTGGGTCTCTCCGTCCCTTATCCTGGGTGAAGTTATCATCATCTCGAGAGGCTGGAAAGCCGAAGTGGAGAGGTTTGCGTCTTTCCCCATCTGGGCCTGACCAATCCGATCATCTGACGCCGAGAATCTAGCCTTATTTAGACCTAGCGCTCACAAGAGGTCTTGGCGAAGTTTATCGAACTCGAAACTTTTCTCTCTCACTGCGCCCTCTTCCTTCCCTCTTTCTTTTCCCTTTCTTCACCCGTCTCCGCGCTCGAAGGATCGCATTCAAAGCTCACGCACAGCAGGTGCCCATTCAGCATCTGCATACCCTTCTAGCTTTGGGAGAAAGTCCCCGGACCGCCCTACCTTTCCGCGCCCACGCGCGGTAAAGAACGTCAGGACCTGCCGCGAGGCACCGCCATAAAAGCACCACCACTGCGGTCTACGCCCGCCTCCCGCTCTCTCCTCAGGCCCCTCTGAGCTACGGCCCGCCGACCTCATCGTCGCTTGTATTCCTTTTCCTCCGTGCGGGCGGGTGTTGGCGCCTCAACGCTGACGGGAGATTCATCCTGGAGAAGTGGATGAAGATACGAGTCCGCTCTCCACCACGGGATGTTTTCTCTGTGAAGCCGAGACGCTGGACCCCACCCCACGGGGAAATGTGAAGAGAAGGAGAGGGTACATAAATTGGGCGTGTGCCGTTCTGGCTCGGGGACTCGTCTGAGGAAGCTTACGAGTGATTTTTGGAGGTTGCGCAATTCGTCATATGTTGAAAGTTATGCGATTTCTCTGGCTGGTGCGGCTTCCTCTTAAGAGAGGCCGCTCCGACGCCGAGTAACTCGATGGGGCTTATTCTCGAGGCGCGGAGCACGTTCTCCACACATCTTTTTGAGTCTGTAGCTTATGGCAAAGCGGCGGCTTCGCAAGAAGTTGGCAGATGTCCTGTCGAAGGGACCGGACTCGTTGGGCTGTAGCGTGAGCGTGATTGTCGAGTCAGCACACACAGGGAGTCGCAGAGGTCATCAGGCCCACAACTTGAGAAACGCCTTCCTGCAGCAAAGACAGTGCGGTGGATGACAGACAGGACGCGAAACCGGAGGCGATGGTGGTGAGTGGTTCTCAGATGATGAACTTTCAATCAACATAGAGTCAAGCACTTAGGCCGCCGTGACCTCGAAACGAGCACAGCCGGTCGGTGACGCGAACATGATTGCTTTAGCCCTGATGAGACCACAATGATGCCCCGGGCTACGTTCGTATCATTTGAGCCTGGAAAAGATACAAAGCTGCAGTGGGATTTTTGTACGTTCTTTCTTGGACGCATGTACCTCGGGCATAGTCTCCTACCACATGCTACACTGTTCTGTTAATCCACCGGCATCGGTATGGGCATTGGTCCTGCCGGCCCTTTCTGCCTCTGTTTCGCTTTTTGGCCACCTATATTTGACCGCAGCACATATTGCGCAAGATAAACCACCACGTCCCCGACCAGGGCAATCACCGTCGCACAAGCCGTGCTCCACACGTTGATGCTCACCCCTCCGTACGGACACCGAGGAAACCCCAACAACCACTCCACGTACCACGGGAACCAGCCGCGCGGGTACGTGAACACCGGTGTCTTTGCGTGCCAGAATTGCAGCCCGAAACGTAACCCGCTCGTACAGGTCCATCGAATCGCCGTGGCTTTGGTATCGAAGGAGGCGCGGGCAGAGGATACGGCGGCGGCTGTTATAGACAACAAATCAGCAGAAAACTTCTTGCTTTTCTTTCTCAGGGAACCCTCTAATGCGCAAAACCTCGACCCCATGCCCGCTCAAGCAGAGACTCGTTGTCGTGGGGCATATCGTCATCGTACCTTTCTTGTCATGCTCCTCCAAAGCCTTGTCGTGCTGTCTCCGCAACTTTGCCCATTTGGAGAATTCATCCTGCGCGCTCACGGCGTTCATCTCGCGCTTGAGCCGCACGACTTCCCTGCGCAGGCGGACCTGTTGCTGCATGTCCCTGGACGACTGGAGCGGGAGGCGCGTGTAGATCTGCCATAACTACATTCCCTTGTTATAAGCCGTTTTCCACAGAGCGGGGGATGACGGTGGAGAGGGAGACAAGCAGCCACGCGTACGTACCAGGTCGTTGATGGGTTTTGAACCGATGGTGAGCACGAGGTGGCAGACGAGTTGGATCACGAAGACCGTGATGAGGAGAGAAGGCATGATGGTGATGGCGCGGATTGGCGACCTCGGGGCCACGCAGTCATGAGTAGGGCGACCGTTTGAGGTCGAGATGTCGCAAAATTTCGCAACGCCACACTTGTTACACCACAACGTGGATTGAATGGCATTTCGTGGGGTGAATGAAGCCAGAGTGCGGACAGACTGGAAAATGTCGAGTCAGGGATGACGTAGGCTCATATCTGCTTGACTCGGCACCAATTCGACCGACTCGTCGGCCTCCTGCTTCGATGCTGTAATTATTGCTCTTCTTCGATGTTGCCGAGGATATGAGGACTATGTGGACTATGCACCTTTCCTTTCCACAACAATGCGATTCAATTCCTGAGCAAGTGAAAACCCACCCACTCATCTTGAGGTCCTGGTCCTCCCAAGCGTATTCACGGGCAATGCAACTACGGCAAGGCCTCCAAAACTAGGACAGACGAATGATTGTATTCTTCCTGTCGCCTCTTCAATGGCCCGAACCATGACAGACACTGGGAAACATCCTACAGGGGAAAGGGTCTCCTTACCTTTAAATACCGCTGTGACTCCGATTATCCAATACTTGTCTCTTTCGACGTTGGGTAGAAGTCTGCTATCTTCCCTGTCCAGACGTATCGAAAATGTACTGTCGTATATACCACTATTTTACTGTCCACTCTTACCTGACCGATTCCACCCACCTTACTGACCGACCGACCGACCGGCTGACACCAGGGCCATGGCACCGTGTTCGATCTCTCTGACAGTGCAAAGTTAGATATGCTTACGCCTAGCGGTAGCTGAAGCCGCCTTGGTCAGAAATGGCACCACATCAGTCTCCATTGCTACCTCTACCCAAGGGATAGCGGCACGAGCCGCTTCTCGCTCCTGGCAGCCTTCTGTGCAGCACGATGAGCAGCCTCTCGCTCAGCTTCGTTTCCGAGCAGCCGCTACGCTATCGTACTTAAAACCGGGGAGGCTGGGAAAGGTGCCCTGAGCCGTGGTTATCATGTTGTCGAGATCACTGATGACTTGGTGTTGTTCTTGGTCTGTGGTACGGGCTCGAGGACGTCCGGCGTGGAGGCTAGAATTGGAACTTGAATTAGGAACCTTCACCGAACAGAGCCAGCAGGTGATTTCGTTTCAAGGCTGGATTGGAGTCGTTCGGTGTGTTGGAAAAGCATTGACGTCAAGTCGGGCTTGAGTATGAATTAACACGCATCCAGCATCGAAGGCAGACAACGGATCCTGAGCGCAGGGCCGTGTCTCGTGGCAGTGACAAACATTGCCCTAACGGTCGCGTACAGCGGTCTTGACTACAAGGAAGTTGACAACCAAGACTTGAAGGCTGTGACAAGGGCATGCAGTCGATGCACCTGCCTGGTAGGGCCTCCCAAAGCGCGTAACACCTCAGGTACTCCAGAGAGAAAGGAGAGTTGTTGAGACCCTAAAGCCTTGGCCAGACTTTACTTGTTCTCGAACACTTGAATAGTCGCGTCAACCACAGACCCACCACAGCACTGGCACATAGCGCGGACAGAGAGATATTTTAATTCCATTCATGGAACCGCTACGCAAAGGTCGTCACCCATTCAACACCCGCCAGTACTAGCGAATGATTCCTCAACTGACTTGATAGCCACCAGAGACAATGGTTTATTTTATGCTTTATCGTGCACAATTCCAACTCGGGAATCGCCCCAGAACAAAGGGTCCATTACAGGCACATACGCATGCGTCTGATCATCCTGGTCCAAAATCCCCGGTCGTCAGGATAGGAAGATGGCATAACCCATCCTCCGTCTACTTGTGCAATATCCATCTAGGACTTGACAGTATCCCACCCTACCCAAGTCCGCGGCATGACCCTCCACACCATCACTTCGCCACTCTTCAGATCACCCACCTTGAAGCTCTCCTCTCGCACCTTTGGCTTTTTGCCCTTTTCCAAGTCTCTTCCTTGCTCCCATGCTCTGATTTTCTTTTTCGTCCCGTCCCAGTCGATCACCACGGCGACGTGTTCTGGTTTGCCCACGTCGAGACTGTATTTCTGGTGCAAGCTACCTTTGTGGCCCGAGAATTTGGCGTTGCGGAACGTCACAATGTCACCCGGACGGATCTCGTCGAATTGCTGCGTGGAGGCATTTCCTAGATTCGCGTACACAAGTGCACCGTACGCTCGTGTGCCGACGGGAAGTAGTGCTGTCGTGTGAGGCTTCAGCAGTTCGAGCACAAACCCTCGTGCAGAGCCATCGGCCACAGTGGTCCCGGCAAGGCCACTGGCGACTCTTGCCATCTGTCTCCCGTACTGTTCCGAGGCGGTCTCGAGCTGGTCTCGCCGAGGGGCTGGCGGCGGTCGCTCATGATTCTGCTCGAGTGTGACGTGCATGGGGTCAGCCGATTCATAGCTGGCGTTGATGGTCGTTTGAGAGTAATCCATGTAAAGCACGTAGACGTCCTTGGAGATCGTTGTTCTGCCCCCACGCTTAGTGGAGGAGTTCGCATCCATTTCATATAGAATATCTGGTCTGCCTTGTAATGAAGGTGGCAGCAGGTTGTCCTGGGTCCACCAGAACGAATTTTTCCCAAGGTCAATGTCAGAAGCGATGAAGCCCTGCTCACTGCCCCGCGAATGCTCCATTGAGCGACGAGAAAATGTCCCGGATCTTTTCAGGTCAGCAGGCGGTTCGGCCGAGCCACCGGTCGGAGGTGGAGGAGCCAAGCTGGAGGGTGGAATATATTCAGGTCGCTCCGGTGGCGGCGGCGGAGGGGCCGGCCTCTCCGTAGAAGGTGGTGGAGCATAGGCTGTCTCATCTCCGCCATACATGTCTCCCTCTTCAAGTTCCTCCTTGGGCGACTGCAACGTTGTGGAATAGGGTGCTCTGGCAACGGGTATGGGTGGGGCGTGCATGGGCGCAGAGTAATTATAGTTATGTGGATCATACTCCTCATTTTCAGGAGTCTTGGGCGCAGGTACTGGTGGAGGAGCTGCAAGTGGAGCGTCGACAGACTTCCTTGACTTTGGGGTTGGCACAGACGGTGGCGGAGGTGGTACACCTTGAGGTATACTGACCGGCGGCAAAGGAGGTGCATTTCGAGTAGGCGGGCTCTTTGGTGATTTGACATCATCAGTGAGCATTCCTTCATCCAGACTCGAGTCCCGATTGTGTGCTTTCAAAGCATCCTTGTGCTTCGCGTCAGAGGCGATATCAGTATCGTAATCTCCTTCATATTCGGTGACTTCCTCTTCATCCTCCAAATTGGGCTTGGGAGAATGGACACTGCGGAACGCTCCTGAATCAGTTGTCGAACGGCGACTTGGAGGCGCGCCTGGTGGAGGAGGCGGAGGAGCTCTTGTAACAGGCGAGGCTGGGCTAATCGGTACCGGAGGAGGCATTCGCGACGCCCTTTTCTCGCTGGGAGGATAGATAGCCTCTTCAGCTGTGTCCAGCTTTGGAGGCTCGGGTTGTCTGGTCGGCGGGAGCGGTGGAATAGCTGGAGGGCTAGCTAGACTGTCGGCAGCTTGACGGTCGTCGTCCTCGGCATCCCCTGGTTCCTCACTTTCTTCGTAGCCAGACGTCTCCGGAGCGGCTTCGGGTAATGAGGGCGGTGGTGGAGGGACGGCTCGCGCTATGTGAGTCAGCAATGCCCCGAGGCTCGAGAGGTTTACATACAGGTAGGCGATTGAGGAACGGGCGGAGCTGCCCTTGGCCCAGTAGGTGGAGGTGGGGGTGCGGCTCTGGTATCACGCGGTGGCGGAGGAGGAGCAGCTCGATCTTTGAGACGTTAGTAGACATGTACACGGCGCTCATCTTGGACATACCTTGAGGCACGGGAGGGACAGTTCGATCCGTCGAGCGGCGTTGCAATGTTTGTGGGGAAACATAATCATCAGATTCGCTAGGGACGGCTGGTGCTTGAGGTGTGGGCTGTGCGGTATCGTCGTCGTCCTCAATCGGAGAAGCTGATGGCTCTTCTTGACGTCTGTGTAGCGTCTGGGCCATGCCCGGTAGCGCCATGATTGGAACTGGAGCAGCTCGTTCTTGAGGTTGCTCTTGAGCATAGCTTTCTGTTATCTGCCGGGAGCCTTCCGAGCTCTTTGGTTTTCTGCCTGCACCAGGCAGTCCTGCGCCTCCCGGAGGACCGAACATACCCATCATGCCCATTCCTCCACTCATCTTGGCCATTCTTTCTCTCAGTTCCCTTCTGCGGCGGACGTCCGGGTCTTCTTCCTCTGATTCCTCCTCCTCTTCTTCCTCATCTTCAGCCTTTTGTTCCTGTGGCGCTGGCTTTTGCGGTCCAGCTGCTGGGATGGGTAGATCTGTCCCTTTCGACTTTGGTCGCTCTTCCTCCGTAGAGGTCTCCTGCATATCGTCTTCGTCCGCGGCGCCGGAATCGTCAGCATCATTTGTATCGCTGACGAGCTCTCGAGATGGCTGAGGCTGCGGAGTCCCCAGGCCTGTCGTGCGGCGCGAAGGAGCAGCAGGCTCATGCTCGCTTTCAGCCAGTTCAGTCGATGGCCGGCTCACCGTCTCGTTCGAGTCCAGTCTTGTAAGACCCGGCGCGGGTTGCGGAACCTGTTCACCAGACTCGGCAGTCTCAACTCTCTTCTTGGGTGGTTTCTTGGGCTTCTCCTTCTTTTCAGCATTTCGGGCCGCTTGTTCCAGTTGCTGTTTCTGCAGGAGGGCTATCCTTTCTTTGAGACTTTGTGGTTTGGGTTGGTCGTCAGCGTCGGGCTCGGACGGCGCTGCTGCTTCGATAGGCTCTCTGGATTCGGGCTCATTTACACTAGGGTCTTCCTCGCGCTTGTAGGGCTTTGAGATCGGGGGTTCTCGTGGTGGTGGAACATAAGCGTTCCTGCTGGGTGGAGGTGCGACAAACGGCTTCTTGATAAAGCCAGTGCTGGGGCCTCCTCCTCCCGGCTTGAATGGTGCCACTGGAGCTGCAGCTGGTCTGTTGAACGCAGCAATCCTGTCCTTGAAAGAACTCGAAGTTGGTTTCTCCGCGACTGGAGGGGGAGCCTTCGTCGAAGGAGTGGAAGTCGGTCCAGAGGCAGGCGCAGCGGCAGCAGCTGGCTGGGGCTTTGGAGCTGGCATAGGGGCCTCAGGCTCTGATCTAGCTTGTTCCGATGGCTCCGTTGCAGGTTCCTTCTCATCCGCATGCACAGCTTCCGGAGTGTCTTCCGGCGGAGGCGCTGGTTGAGAAGGTGAAGGCTCAGGGACATTCACTGTTGGCTCTGGAGCAGCAGCGCGCCTCGGGGCACGCACTGGTCGTGAAGGAATTGCCGGCTCATACTTTTCGACGAAATTCCTAGGGAATATGCCCTCGAGCTTCTCTCCACTGGGGCTCACAAATTCCCCAGTGTACCAATCTGCGTCCTCGTCCTCTGTGACTGTGATTATCTGCCCATTGTCGAAACTGAGGTCGTCGGGCTCTTCCGACTTGTATTCGTAAATGGCCTTGACTTTGAAAGGCACCGTAGGCATGTTTGCTCGTGGCGGGGGGCTTAGGCGGCGCGATGGAGCCGAGTTTGTGCAAAGAGTCGAAGCTGCAATGATCTTACTTCCCGCAGACGGTGACGCAGCGCCTGCGCCACGCTTGCCCAACGCTCCGGTGCCAAGGTCAGAATTGACTGACCGTTGAGACTCTTGATCACCTGAACATCGGCCTGACGGTATTGGAGTGGAAGAAAAATGACTAGCTGACGGGTGCGGTCCACGAAGCAGTGAGAGCGTGCTGTGTATGCAACGTGGGGCATTTGGCGCTTTGCTGCAACTACCCGGTAACTTGTCCACTTAGTCTGGTTACTTAATCAGGCCAGGCTGCGTTCGGTGACAAGTTTGAGATATTTGCCGTGATACCGCGTACACTTGTATCAGTCTCTGTGCTCCCTGTCAAGATACCCGAAGGCAACTACCGCGACTCTCACAATATTCCAACGCAAAGGTCTAAGTTCCGCAGAGACTCTTCGTGGCTACGAGCGAGGAAAGACGCACCAGGACTATGGCACAACATGGCCACTGAGAAATCCAAATCAACCGATCAGGATCGCGTTCGTGCCACTGCCTTGCGCCAAGCCAAGGACATCGAAGACAGAAAGAAGTTGCAAACCCGCATAGCCGACCTCATCGTAGAGGCATTTGATCTTCCTTCTAGATCAGATGCTGACCCGGCGCACCCAGACCCGGCAGACGCTTCCTTGTTCAGACACTGCCTGAGCCTGTTTCAAGCATCCGATCTTGATGATCTCATCTATGAGCGAAACGTAGACAACCGATGTGGCTACGCTCTTTGTTCGAGACCTAATCAGAAACTGGCGCATGGCGGCGAGAAGGTGTGGAATCAGAAAGGTGGCAAGGACTTCAAATTGATCAACAGAACTGAGCTGGAAAGGTGGTGCTCAAAGTCTTGCCAGGAGAGGACCTCTTTCGTGCGAGCCCAACTCGGAACTGAGCCAGCGTGGCTTCGTATCATTAGGGCTGTCGACATCAAGCTCCTCGATGAAGTTGACGCTGACAATCTGACCAAGTCTTTCAAGGTAGGTCCGGGAATATGGTAGCCGGCCCATGTCGTTAGGAAAGTAGCTGATCACGTCCAGACCCTAGCGATAGCGAAAGCCGACGACAATGATATGGCCGAGAAGATGCAAGCCCTTGCATTGGAGCGCGGCGAGCTTAATGTCAAATCCGACGACAGTGCTGTTAATGTAATGGAGAGATCAACTGACATAATTCCCGAAGCTCCCACCTTGCGAGGAAGTCAGCGAGGGGGTGTTTTTGAAGGCCACGCACCACGAAAGGTGCATTTCTCGGAAAAGTGACACAGTCTCTCGCGCCGGCCCACACAACACCGAAGTGCTGTTATTGATGAAAATTCAGGAGCCATGTCGAGTGGACACTGGATATTGTTGCAGGGTGGACAAAGATCCCACCGCAGGTTGCAGCCTTGATTCAATATCATCCTGATCTTCTGCCAGTCCATGACGAGCTGATGCCCATCACCGCTCTCGATCCACAAGCAGACAAGAGCAGTCGCATGAGTGGAGAGGATCGGTACGAATCGATAACCGCGCGATCCGATAGAGGGATATTCATGAAGAAGCCAGAGAACAGAAAGGAGCATGGCTTCTGGCATGGACGCTATTGCATGCCATGTTGACCCAGTTGTATCGTGTGTACCTCTTCCATATCTGCGTGTCATCGTCCAAAAGCGAAATATGCTCTTTCAAGAGGTTCCCTCTGGTATTCCCACGCCAACCAGTCGCTCCTTGTGGTGGGCAAAAGGCCCATACTGTTCACCTTGTAGATGCCCAAGCCAAGTAGCAGACACTGCATCACAATGTACAACGCCTTGACGCCGAGCATCTGCGTGCGATTGCCAGGGCTCTCGAACCTTGCGAATTGTGTGTTTGTTTGAGAGATGGCCTGAATAGGGTTTTTGAACCTGTCCCGAGATCAGCCCCCGCCGCCGTGGTGGTAGAAAGGCCGAGCTTACAGCATGAAGACCATCATGATTGAGAATATCTGCAGGGAGTTCCCGGACATGTAGCCCATAATCGCTTGCATGGGCAGTTGTTTGGCGGGGCCGAGTGCGACTTCCCAGGCTTTCTTCAGCTTCAATGTTTCTGTCTCTTCCGGCGTTGGAGGTTTCCGTCCAGTTCCTTGTGATTTCTGTCAATGGTTAGCAGACTGCAACGTTTGTCGCTTGGGCGCAGCGTGCCTGTTTCCCTGTGAGTGCCTTTGAGCTTAAATAGCCCGGGGGATCTGGGATGCTGGCAACATTCTTCGGCTTTGTGGGGACTCCGTTATTCAGGTCGACGACCCATTTTGGAGGTGGAGGGACCATGTTGTTCGATTTGTACAGATCGATGTTTCCAGTATCATAGGAGCAACCGCTACCAGTACAAAATACACGACAGTGCCAGTTGTTGCATGATCGGCCGGAAAATTGTAAGCTCCGAAGCCCTTGGCGTGAGCGGCCTCGTCGAGGCTATTCACAGCCTCCTCCCACTTCATCCACTGTCAGAAGTCTTACTTTGGCCAAGTTTAACTTGAGGAAGGCATTGTTTTAGTTTGGTTAAAGAGAGCATTCTTGCATCTCCCGAAGCAACCGTCCCGTTGTCATGCGGTGACCCGAGACACGATCTGCTGGTTCCCAGAGCACGCTCGCCTATTCAGGAGTGAAATCGGAGTGCCCCGACCTCCACCGGTCGTGAGACGGAACAGCGCCAATGTCGTCCGGCCATGGAGACGCGAAGCTCTTTGCCAGGGTAAGTCATCTCTCTGTTGACCTTTCTACTTTGATGGGATATTCAGAAGTTCTCGTATATGGTTCACGCGGTCTAGACCAGTCGTCTCCCTTCCAGACCACCATCGCCCCTAATGTTGTGCACGACTGTTTTCTCGTTGGAATTCCATGTATGAGATCAATTAGCACAATGAGCTTGCACACGTTGTACCTTTACCAGCCGTCGTGGCTGGCAAACATGGAACACGCGAAATGCATAACACAATCTCTTATATGCTGCAATGACCCTGACCAACGATCACGAACTCTTGGCTTACATGAATGGGCAGGGCAAAGTCGCTGAGCTACGAGCAGAGCTCGCAACTGCGGGCAAGAAGGACAAAAACCACGCAAGCAAGAAGAATGCTCTGAAGAAAATCGTGGCAAACATGACCATGAGCAACAATGACATGGTTGCACTATTTCCAGACATCGTCGCTTGCATGGAAATACCCGTGCTTGAGATCAAGAAGATGTAGGGCCAAGGCTTCTGAAGTCGGTATCAGCTAACATGTATACCAGGTGCTTTCTGTATCTCCAACATTACGCAAGAACAAAGCCAGATGTTGCTCTACGGGCACTGCCAGTTCTGCAAGAGGTATGCCCGTTTTATTCCGTTGCTGACAATTCTGATTTGTCATGGTCAGGACTTGCAAGATCCGAACCCCCTAATACGGGCGCTCGCCTTACGCACGATCTCCTATGTCCATGTTCGAGAATTCGTTGAAGGGACTGTTGCGCCACTGAAAAAGCTAATGGGCGACCAAGACCCCTATGTGCGAAAGACAGCTGCTGTGACTGTAGCGAAGATCTACGATCACGACAAGCGCCTCGTTGAAGGCTCAGACCTCATTGACAGGCTCAACAGAATGTTGAAGGATGAAAATCCCACCGTTGTGGCGAGCGCTCTTTCCGCTCTACAAGACATCTGGGAGCGAAGCGAGAACATCAAGTTGACTATCGATTATGCCAGCGCATCCAAAATTGTGTCAATCATGCCTGACTGCAACGAGTGGTCGCAGACGTACATTCTCGAATCACTAATATCTTACATCCCGCACGATTCAGGAGAAGCTCTTTTGCTGGCAGAAAGGATTTCATCCCGACTCTCACATTCGAACTCAGCCGTGGTGCTCACCTGCATCAGAGTTATCATGTACCTGATGAACTACATCGCCGACCAGAAAAAGGTTGATGAACTCGCACGGAAGCTATCTCCCCCTCTGATCACACTTCTCTCGAAGCCATACGAGATACAGTACCTTGCCCTTCGAAATGCCATACTCATCCTCCAACAGAGGCCGGAGGTTCTCCAAAATGACATCCGGGTCTTCTTCTGCAAATACAACGATCCTATCTATGTTAAGGTCACGAAGCTCGAGTTGATCTTCATGCTCGCAAATAAAAGCAATATCGGCGTCGTCCTCAACGAGTTGCGAGAATATGCGACAGAAATCGATGTTCAATTCGTCCGCAAGGCTGTTCGAGCGATCGGAAAGCTGGCCATCAAGATCGAGCCAGCGGCCCGACAATGCATCGAAAGCTTGCTTGAGCTTGTCAACGCTAAGATTCCTTACATTGTCCAAGAAGCGACCGTGGTCATCAAGAACATTTTTCGCAAATATCCGAACCAGTATGAGTCCGTCATCTCCACCGTCATCGGCCAAATCGATGAGCTCGATGAGCCTGAAGCCAAAGCGGCTATCATCTGGATCATAGGAGAGTATGCGGATCGCATCGATAACGCCGATGCCCTGCTACAAGACTACTTGTCCACCTTTCACGAAGAGCCGGTCGAGGTCCAACTTGCTCTCCTGACAGCAACGGTCAAGCTCTTCCTGCACCGACCGACTAAGGGATCCTCGATCGTCCCGCAGGTGCTAAAATGGTGTACGGAAGAGTCGGACGATCCCGACCTACGTGATCGAGGGTTCATGTACTGGCGCCTGCTCTCCACGGATCCGGCAACGGCCAAGAAAGTGGTCATGGGAACCAAGCCGCCCATCACGGCCGAGAGCGAAAGGTTGGATCCAAACACCCTAGAAGAGCTATGTCTCGGCATCGGCACCCTAGCAACCATCTACTTAAAACCGGTACAACAAGTCTTCCGCTTAGCTCGACCACGTCGCCTTGCGGAGTCGCCTGCTCTTCAACGCAAAAAGGAAGACTTGAATCGCGCAATGACAGGCATGGATCTCACAAATCCTCTATCTCTAAATACTACCGTCATGTCGCCCGGGGGTACCACTGTGCAAACTCATCAGGCGGCAGTCGCAGCTGCAGACGAGTACTTCAAGAACCTCAGCTTGAGTGACAATAGCGCAGGGGACATCCTGATGAGCCCGACAAATGGCGGTGGCTTGGGTAATCCGTACATCGTCAGCCAGAACGCCCCACAGCAGGGTTTCCACACACAGACGAGTGTTGCAAATGACAAGGATCTTCTGTATTAGGAATACGACGAAGACGTGATAGCATAATTAGCGATGGGTGTTTGGCCGCGAGTGGAAAAGTGGCATCTGTAGAAGAACTCCTAGTAGTCCCGTTTCATATGATTTTTGATATCTGGTTAAGCGGCTTATGGCATGTCTTCTCTTCCTGTCCAGAGACTCTCTGTCTGTGCCTTCTGGCGATCGCATAGACTTTGCCCTGATCTTGTACGAGCCTGCTGTGAGCTGAAGGTACATATCTCGAAGGTGTACACAGCATCTCCGCTATGCAGTGACTCGAGTGACTATCGGTAACCTCGGTCAAACTTTATTCCTTCCGAGCTCGGCGGCATTGATATCATAGAACCCATCTGGCTGCCGCTGACTTGTGTTCCGATCAAACCACCCCATGACTTAGTCCAGCGCATTTTCAACTGCCATCCTATATCGCGTACTAGGAGACGCTCTCGCCCCGTCCACCTAAAGGCACCGGACCAGCGCCATTTGCGCAAACGACCATCTCTTAGCAACATAGTATTCGCCTTCCGCACTTCCCAAACGCACCATGTCCTCCTCGGCCGAAGAAGAAGCCACCATCTCGATCCCTAGCCTTGCCTTCGTGGCCGTGCTGGGCTACTTTATATACCGATATTTCTTCTCCTCCAGCACGACTTCCGACTCGTCCTCGACGACGTCCTCCTCAACATCCAGAGGCACGACGCCCGGCATCCGCTTCACCCCCGCGCAAGTAGATCAGATATCGCAGATGTTTCCGCAGCTGAGCAGACGGGACATCATGTGGGATTTGCACCGGAATCGGGGGAGTGTGCAGGCTACGACGGAAAGGGTGTTGATGGGTCGGGGACTGGATCCCGTAAGTTCGACGACCGAGTCGGATAGATTATTCAAGGACGAGATGCTGATATCACTACAGGCACCGCCGTCATTCCAACCACCTCCCTCGTTCATGACTACGTCGTCTGAATCAACGGCAACGACTATTCAAACAACAGTGTCCAAAACCCTTCCTCCCGATTTGATCACGCGATATAATTTACAGACGAAGATCAATTCAAAGGGCAAAGAGAAAGAGGAGGAGTCTCCTCCGCCGGGCTGGGCAAGCAGTAAAGATGCCCGGCAAAAGATGTTGCAGAGGCGGCGCGAAGAGATGATTCTCGCGGCGAGGAGGAAGTTGCAGGAGAAGGGGGCGGATCCCGATGCCGATGCCCCAGTCGTGCCACCATCGTGATATCCCATTTCCTTTAAGCGCTGGCGTCGATCACGGCCCGAGTTGTGTATGAGGGCTCTGGTTCTGCTGGATCCATGTCTGAATTGCATTGCCACGCAATATTCATGCGTTACGGATCTTTTATACTCGGTCAGGTCATGTCATCATCATCGTCGTCATCGTTATATCTCTGGTTGTCCCGCTCTGCTTCTTCGCGTTCCCGGCGCTCCTGTTCTCTACTTGCATCAAGTTTTCGCAACCCATCCACCACCCCAGCCATGAATCCTCTGGACTCGGAGACCTCCATGGCGCCAACCCCGTCCAGCCGGGTGCCTTCCCCGTCGCCGGACAGACGCTCTACCTGTTTTCGCATCTTCGCGAGCCGAACTTCGCGTATGTCCCTCAACAATTGCCGTACTTTGTCTGATTCGGGGATATCATCGCTCGCAGCCTCCAAAAGTATCTCCGACACCTCAAACCAATGATATGGGAGTGCAGTGGGGACAGCGTTCACCGTACAGGACTCTACAAATGGCGGAGTCGTGTAGAATGCCCTTCCTGCGTAATCCGTCTGTCGCTGGGCTGGTATCGATGGCGGGGGAGAAAGTGACTCTATAAAATCCTTGTGTGTCTCGGTTTCGAGGATGTCTTGAAGGCTCTCGACCAAGAGCCAGGGCGGGGGCATGACGTTTGCGCGACGTTGCCGTTTAAGCAGGATGGCGAGCCAGAGGGGAAGGGTAGTTCGTTGGGGCGGGATGAGAGGTCGGGTGGAACCCTATAAGCCAACGAGGCATATGTCAGTCTCTCATGCGGTAATGCGATTGTCTTGCAGAGCAATGTGTGTTCGCACCTCATGTGTTGCAGAGGCCGTGGGAAGGACTTACGCCCAGTAAGTCGAGGCGTTCGAGGCGCTGTCGTGGTATGATGGTCACTTGTTCCATTTCGCAGAGAAAAGCTACTTCGGATGGCAGAAGACCCATGGAGTGAGGGAATGCAGCCATAACGACGGGTAGAGAGGCGGGTGAAGTTTCAGTGCAAGGGAACAGTCGGGGAGCCAGCCAGTGTAGAGAAGAGTGCAGCCTCGCCGCGACGCGCCAAGTCGCGATTTCCTTTGGTTCAGCCTTGTCGGGCCGGTCCAGTTGCTCTCGCTGAATGTGCGGACCCACTGGGCAAGAGCGACTCTAAATCACGACATCGTGGACTCTTCTGTCCTCAGACAATCTCGCCGTTGTCCCTCTGCGAGTCCTAGCCCATGCCTCTCTTTTAACAAGCTGTCTAGGAGACCACGTTTTTCTCGGCCTCCGCCATGTCATATTTTGCTAGCCCAGAATTCCTTCGCGTCCTGCTTCTGGGCTTCATCACTTCGGCCCACATGACATGGCGACGCCTCGTCAATCAGATCGTTCCTGAGCCTTACCTCGACGAGTTCTTCCACGTGCCACAAGCCCAGGCGTATTGGCTCGGGAAGTGGTCACAATGGGATCCCAAGATCACCACACCGCCAGGGCTCTACGTCTTCTCATACGCTGTCAACTCGATACGAGATTTCTTCTCGAAAGAAGGACTCAAACCCTCAATCAACGAATGGAGATTCACTAATGTCCTACTCTTGTACCTATCGCTGGTGGCATTGTACGTTCTGGCAGCTGCTGGGAAGAGAAGTACCCAGCATGAACGCGTTCTTCAGCGGGAGTTCACCATCATCTGCTTTCCTTTGATTTTTTTCTTTTCTGGTATCTACTATACCGACCTGTTCAGCATTTTCACGGTCGTTGTTGCTCAGATATTCTGGTCTGCGGGGACGAATGCAGAAGGACCAAAGAAATTTCTGTACCAGTTCTTGCATCTTGTAACTGGGCTGCTGTCTCTTACCGCGAGGCAGACAAATATCTTCTGGGTGGCTGTGTATCTGGGAGGACTTCAGGTCGTTGAGAGTATCAAATTGAGGGTTGGTGCACATGAGGTCCATGATCCTCCTATATCAGAGTCCTATTTCGAAGGTTCGCATGGCCCAAATCTCCTGTCTCCAGTCCAACCGTCTTCTATTTTCTCTTAGTCGCTTTCTGACGATTGTATCAGACTTCCCTATTACCAGCATTTCTCTGTCCCAGGCTGCCGTGCCTATGCTCCCACAACTCCTCCTTGACCTGTGGCCGCAACTGTCCCTCCTCGTCTCGTTTGCCGGATTTGTGGTCTGGAATGCAGGCGTCGTTCTCGGTGATAAGGATAACCACATTGCCACCATCCATCTCCCACAATTGCTCTACATATGGCCAGCCATTGTCTTCTTCTCTTGGCCTGTCCTGCTACCTTTACTCACCGACTTGTCAGCCTTCCGAAAACGACTGCCGAGATGGACTACAACAATCACATTCATCGCAATCATGCTTGCCGTTGTCAATCTCAACACTATCATCCACCCATTCACCCTAGCTGACAATCGACACTACACGTTCTACGTCTTTGCCATCTTGAGGAAACATTGGCTTCTCAAGTATGCCGCCGTGCCGATCTACTTTGTGTGCGCCTTCCTGGTGCTCATAGCCCTAGGTGGGTCCCCAGACATCACATTGGGCGCACGAAAGGGCATTCGCATCCTGCATGGCGACGACACCGTATGCGTGAGTTTCACGATCGTCTGGCTCATCTCGACATCTTTGTCCCTTGTCGCCGCCCCGCTGGTTGAACCTCGATATTTCCTCATCCCTTGGCTTACCTGGAGACTTGCCGTGCCTGATTACATACCCCTCTCAGAGGAGAAACGGAGGAGAGCAACATTGGAGAAGAAGGCAGTGGCTAGCGATCGCTCGCCCACTCCTGGTCCATCGATGTTACAATCAGTTTTGCGGTCTGCAGCTGCGTTTTCTGAGTGGGTGGAGCTGTGCTGGTACTTGTTGGTCAATTTGGTGACATGCTACGTGTTCTTATACAGAGGGTTTGAGTGGGCTCAAGAACCCGGCAACGTCCAAAGATTCATGTGGTGACTCCAGCGCTGCAAGCTGTACCAAGGGCACCTAAGTTACGGTTTTCGGAGCATACCCTAACAAGCAGGAGATATTGCACATATAATGTCCTGCAAATCAATATCCCCTGCACAGCCTTCCATGGGCATTTCATTGACTCCCCTCGCTCAGGCCGCTGGCCCTCTACACTGCAACAACGCTGCCCAGCCTCATAACGGCCCGGACCTCGTCATCGATGGTCGGGCCATGATATTCCTCCCGTCCTCGCACCCAATACCATATAATACTGAAGATGACGACCCCGCTCGTGACTACCACGGAGTAGTTCATCGTGCTTGCGTCCACGGGCGTGACGGGCGGCCAGACGGACCAGAAGATCACAAAAATCATGTACACGCAGGCGTAGGCGTTGTTCAGCGTGCCGAGCAGGCCGGGCAGGTGGAAGGGGCCCCACTGCAGTGGAGCTTGGGCGATCAGGCTGGGCCGACGGTTCTGGGTCTCGGTCTCGAATCTTGGTAGGTTGCTGGAGCTGGTGGTCTGTACCTGTGAAGGATCGGTGTCTGAATGCGGCTGTTTCTTCTCCCCGTAAAGTTCAGTGCCGCCGGCGGCTGACGGAGTGATTTTCTCGATGGGGTCGGAATGGCTGTTGCTGCTTTCCATGCCGGTGTCATCGTCGACAGGCAAGCCAGGTGTCTCCTTCCTGTGTGGCTCGATGTGTCCTTTGACTCGGTGCCACAATAGAAACGCCGCGGGCAGGAAATACGAGCAGTAAAAACCGGTGATCGTTAGGGAAATCACATCGTTGAACGCCGTCGTGCTGCCGATATAGATCAATGTAAGCAAGGCGGCTAATGTGGTGACGACGGCGACGCCGATGACAGGAACTCTTCGGACACGCGAGACGTAGGCAATCGTGCTGCTGAAGGGCGTGCCCCTGTCGCGGGCGAATGACCAGGTCATTCGGGATGCGGTGGTGATTATACCGGTGGCGCAGGCCCACGTGAGGATCAGGACGATGGCCACCATGACGGTCGCCCCAGAGGTGGAGTTCACGCTGTCTGCTCGTGTCGCGCAAATTAGTGATCTAAATGTCACATGCAAGGATTGAGGGGCGTTTCGCCTCAGGGAAACAACGTACTATAGAAAATCTGAATAAATGGGTATCCTGTGGCGGTCTCGAGCACGGAATCAACGTCTCCAAGACAGAACAGAACTGTCAACATCATGACAAACCCGACGAGGCCGTTGATGCACATGCTTGCGATGATGGCGCGGGGGATATTGAGTGCGGAATTCTCGACCTCTTCGGCCATGTGCACGGAGGCATCGGCGCCGACAAAGGTTGCCACATTACCGAGGAATCCCACGCAGTAGGAGAGACCTTGCGTGGGCCAGCCGCCTTCGTTCAGCGACGTGGTGAAGACGAAGTGCGCGGAGTTATGTGGTGCCGTGGCCCACAACGTTGCCAGGATGGCAATGAATCCGGCTATGTGGAAGACGATGATGAAGATCTCAACCTTGGGCAGTGCTCCCGGGATAACCACGTTGATGAAGATGGCAACCGCAATGACCAGCCATGCCAAAAGCGTGCCGTGCCAGCGTTCGGCATGGTAGCTGTTCTCGTTGTCCAGAATGATGGCGCCCTGGATCATCGTACCCGCGAAGATGGTCTCCGTTGCGACAGTGGCGATCCAGGCTAGAGATGTCAGCCAGCCGATGATATAGCTACTGAAAACCTTCCACCGTGGTGGAGCAAGCATGTACACCCAGTAGTACTGGCCGCCGGCGATTGGTGCCATGGACGCGAGTTCCGAGATGACGGTATACACTGATAGAGTACTGGACCAGGCAATGATGAAGCCATAGACAAGGGCTGCTGGTCCGCCGTTGTCGAAGCCCTGGCTGAATAGAGCAAGTACTGTTTCCCAGGTGATGAGTTCGCAAACGGCGAAACCGAAGAGGGACCAGAACCCGAATCGTCGCTTGAGCACTTGCTTCTTGCCAAGTAAAGCTAAGGCGCGGCTGTCGTTGTCTTCCTTGACAGACGGCATCGTAGCTTGGTGCTAAACAGACCAAATAGAAGCCACGCCGCTGTGCTCGTATGGTGGATGAGCAGTGCGCGAGCTTTTCGAGACTGGCGAAGGCTGAAGCTGGGTATATAGCTCGTTAATGCTTGCTTCTAGCCTCAAATGCTTACTCGAGATTCCGGCACTTTTCCGAGGCGGGAACTTCTTTCTGCTCCGAGCGATGGGACATATGATTCTCAGGGCTGCCGGTGCGAGCGATAGTGAAGATAAGAGGTTGTTGAGGTGAGTGGCTGGAGTAAGCCCGAGGTCACGCAGGGGTGGAACTTGCAGAAATCGATCTTTGCTAGAACCTTTCCTGATATGGGAAACTTTGGGCCTCTGCGATGGATCGGACCATGAGGTAGCCGTTATCCCGAACGAGGCATCCCGCCAATAATGCACCAGCAAGTCGCGGCCACAAACCGCGTTCTTGTTACAGCTTGCTCTTTTGGAGGCTTTGAAGAGAGGGGAAAAAGAGGCACGAGTCGAGTAACAGGGCATGGTGGACCTTCAGCACCCAATCCAAGGACGCCTAGAAGCTTTTGCCGAGGCAGCTGATGCAGCGCCTCCCGACCGTCCCACGAGTGTGACTTGCTGGTGCGGGCCCTTGAAAAGCTTACTTCGGGGCTTGCTTGTAGCTTGTCGTCGATAGTGAAAACTTTCTTCCTCTTTGCACGCGACAAAACGCAACAAGAGTCTGTGTGAGACAGCCATCGAAGTCGCTGTAGATGAGTGTGATGCCAGCACTGCTCCGTCTGTGTTGAGAGCAAGGTGTTTCGAAACTCATACTGGCAATGATGCTAACGCCGAAAATTGCGACTCCTAGGTGATGTGGCGTCTGTCATGGAGGTGACCGACGGGCCTATCGACATTTCGGTAAAGGTCCTAGGACCAGACGATTGAACAGGAACTCGGAGTAGGCCACAGAAGACAGTCGCATATCCTGGATCAGCAGTGCCAAATATGGTTCTTGGAGTCTCCCCAGCAGCTTGTGCAGACATTGCCTCGTCTAGGGAGAAGAGCATTGACCTGTTCTTGCGGCTATTCAAAAAGCTCTCGGTGTGGAAATCCTCACACTCGATTAGTTCCTCGCTCATGATCCAGGTCATAATCGTGGTGGCCGCTTGAAGTGTGAATTAGCCCCAGGGCATAGTCTTCATTTGGGTTCTTGTGGGCGGTCCCGCTTCGACAAGAGGTCAGGGCTCTTGTCGGCCAAAACAAAGCAATGGCTGGTGAGAGACGCAAATGCTCGCCTGACAAGGTGATTACATACTGGGTCAACTTTCGTCACAGACACTCACAGGATGGTTGTTCGGCTCGAATGCACATGGTGTCTATTCAGGGAGGTGCATCATCGTTGGTATTCGACGATGCGAAATGGGCAGACAGACTGTGAGGCGGCTCAGTTCACATGGGCATCGCAGCTTATCACGCGAGGATTGAATCGCGAAGTCTTCGGGGATGTGGACGCGTGTTCTCGAATCTGCCTCGAGCTCGAGATCTTCGGGGTAAAGTTTACCACATTACAATGAAGGAGAGCCTGTACTCTGGGTGGCCAAGCCTAATTACAGGACACGATAGTTAAAGGGGGGCACCTTCCACGTGCAAAGGTGCTTTACCCGGGCGCCATGTGCGCCGAGATGCGTGCCCCTCCACCAAGCCGAGCTCGCCGAGAACGGCCTTTCCCGTTATGGCCGGTGGCGTTAGATCTAGCCCTGTCTACCCCGAAATTGGCATCAGCTGTCAGGTCTCGACTCTGCAATTTTCTGCGTACAGGAGTCAAGCCATCTGCACCTTTCAGCTCGGCGAGTCCGTGGAGACGGCGCCACGATGAGTACAAGGCAAGATAAAGACAGTGGCCTGCTGCCGTCGAAGGCTGTTCCGCTACAACGCCGAGAGCTCGTGCCGTTGCCCCCCTAAGATGTCTGCTAATGCTGTCGAGATTCCAGCACCACAACCGGCTTTCAACGTTCGCGAAGAGAAGGTGGCTCATGAGAGCCTTCAAGAGGAAGAAAAATGGCCAAGACTCAATAGGTTTCTGCGCTTCGCCGACGAGTATTGGCTTCTGGAATGGTTTGGCATCTTTCTTGCCTTTGGTTCCATTGCCGGCATCGCGGCACTGCTAGGTTCGTCTATGCCTTTTCATTCTGGGCACACTTCAACGGGCTCAGTGAATCAATGCTTATCGTTGTCTCGTCTTTAGGATGGCGCGACGGCCGGCCGAGTCCCAACTGGCACTGGAAAGTTGGGAGAGGCCACCACACAAAGGAGGTTTCTATCACGATCAACACAATCATATCCATATTCTCCACTGCCTTTAAGTCAGGCTTGCTTATTCCCGTCGGTGCCTGTCTTGGACAGCTGAAATGGATCTGGTTCCAAGGTGGCCGCCCCTTGTCTCACTTCGCTGCCTTTGACTCGGCTGCTCGTGGGCCCCTTGGCTCGGTGGTACTTCTATGGACTCTGCGAGGGAGACGCCTTGCATGCTTGGGAGCTGTCATCGTCATTGCATCACTGGCTATTGACTTTGCACTGCAAGCCTTGGTCGTTTACCCACTTCGACCTGTCGATATCGGCATAATGGCAACTGTGCCGCGCGCCAACAATTACGGGCCTCTTATGCAGCCGGGCGATGGACTCGAGCCCTCGATGTATGGAGCGATTTTCGGAGGCGTGTACAATTGGAAAGCCAACTATCGAGTGCAGCCCTTCTGCACCACAGGCAATTGCACCTTCTCTGAAAGCTATACAAGTCTCGCAGTCTGCAGCAGTTGCCACGATGTCACCAACGAGCTCCGGAAAACGTGCGCCACCCAAAATTTCACTCATACCTCGTGTGTCGATGATGACGTAGAGTGCGAGGACGTGCCCACAATGGTCGAGCACACCTATTGCAACTATACTCTTCCTAACGGACTCGAGATGAGTGGTCTCCCGTCAGCCAACTGGTCCTGGGCTGAGATAGGCGGAAATCTCGACAAGTCTGTGAACTTTGGTCGCCGAGGCATTCTATCGGTCTTCTCCACAATACACGCATCACGCGACACTGGCACTTCGGACGCAACGATCTGGCCTGGTAGTATCCAGGCCACGGAATGTGGCCTTTACTACTGTGTTCAGAAACACACCATAAACATTGTCAACGGCTCGATGACAGAGAGGCTTGTCGATACGTACGATGCCAATCCTACCGACTACGACGAAAATCCCGGAGAAACAGTCGTCTTCCATCCTCCACGATCTTGGACCAATGTTAGCGATGCTGCGTTCCTTGATCCATACGACAACACGCCCGTCGCCAATGTTTATAGAGCCGGCGGTTTGACTGACATTCGCGAAGCCTTCCATGACATTTGGAATGGATCGAAAAGAGTTATCAACGGTTTGACGGCTCCATCTACCACTGCCCTAGCAGATATGACGTGGACTTGGGAACTGGACGAATTCAGCAACTGGACACATGCGATTGCATCGTCCATGAACCTCAATATCCGCACCAATGAAGCAGTCTGGGACTTCAATCCCTTTCCCACGGCGAATGGTACCACCTACCAGGACCAGCCATTTATATCAATCCGATGGCCATGGATCACGTTGCCTGCAGTGCTTGCGGTACTTGCACTCATCCTGCTTCTCTCGACGATCCATCTGTCTGCGAAGAAGGGGGCTCTTCCCTGGAAGGGCAACAGTCTAGCCCATTTCTTCCATCCGTTGACGAGTGGCGGTCGACACGCCATCGCCGAGGCACAAACTCCTAGGCAGATGCAAAGCATGGCGGAACGTTTTCCTGTTCGCGTCCAGAAGACAGAAAGCGGGTTTAGACTCGTGGAGCATGGCACTCCGACAGAGATGTTGCAGCCATCGAACCCCTTTACACCGCAAACGCCCACCTCGAGAGAATCCCAGCAGATGTTTGGCCCCGGTTCTGACATGAGGAATAGGAAGGGCGGTAATGCTTGTTAAATGATATTGAATAACTTTGCAAAGTGTTAATAAGGGACCTTCAACTTTCAACATTCTAAGCTCTAGGCCTGTGCTCAGGCCACATTCCAGTCTTCCGTATCTAATCGCGCCTAGTGTGCTTTCCTGCAGAGCCCAAAATACATGGTCAGTGCCCTTGTTCTCTTTCTTGTCTCTCTCTCCCATTGTGATCATCCCGCTTTCAGACCTTTGTGCGTCAGCAAGCCGCAGGCGATGAGAAGAACCTGCTATGGCTGCTCCCAGTCTTGCCAATGGTGGCTTCTTTGTCCTTCGCTATTGAGGCTCTCTTCCGGACAGATTTGCAAATTACCATGCTGGATGCCTCCTGCTTGACGCTTCACCCATTGTCCGCTCGGCCGGAACATGGTGCTTATATCCCGTGCTGCGTCTGGAAGCTTCGAGTCGAGAACTACCTTTCGCTGGAGCCAGGCCAGTTCACAGCACTCCTCAAAGGATCTTCAGTGTCCAGACTACAATATGAGAACCATAACAGTCATCAGCATTCTGTGGCTTTTCGCCTCCCTTGTCGCTGCCAAAAAAGCAAGTTTCCCACTACCGATATGCGCGAAGGATAACAACCTCTGCGATACCATGAACGGGGCATGGTGCGTAAACAGAAACGGCGGAGACTGGTGCTGCGATGATGGAACTGGTACGTCTTCCTCAGCCTGTGTTTCTCTGCATACCACGCAAATTGTCCAGCAAGCTGACCACGGATGAAACTGCAAACAGGAAGTTGTGGCAAGGGCTTCCAATGCGGCACTGGCCCAGCTGTTAACCGCTGTTGTCCTCAAGGCATCACGATGGACCAATGCGCTCGCGCCGTCGTTGTCAACAAGGCAGGGAGTGTCCCGCCAGTTCAGACGGGCGTCTAGGCTGGAGTCGATACAGCGTTCCTTTTTTGAGATAGACTGACAGCGGGGTCACGGCTTGGCTGGGCATACTCTGGTGTTATGAGAAGTCGGGAGCGCAGGACCACAGCACAAGATTCGGCGAGATCGTGTTCTTGGTCGGCTACTGTAGGACAGCTCGTATGTGTCGCCATCGTGGAGCTCGGAGGTACTGTACCACAACCCCAAACCCGCGGGTCGAGCAGTTGACTGCGTGCAGAAGGTGGCGAAGACGGAAACAGGTAGACACAGAAATAGAAGCGAGATCAAACCTCAATTACCACAGTAAGCGAATGGTCGTTGTAGATGCTGTCGTCCCCTCTTTACCTCGCCCGTCTTCCAAGGGTCCCTTGCCGTTACAGAGTAATTACTCCGTACCGCGCCGTAATTGCAATCACGGTGACCGCGTCTCTTCGCTCTTACGGCTTGCCAGAGTGGCATACACGCAGCTACTGTGGAGTGGACGCTCGCAACCGGCGTGCTTGGCTCATTTGCAGCATTTAGCACCGAAGCTGCGCCGAGGCTCAGGCTTGTGAAACTCGGGAATGGCATTCTCAACAACTACGGAGTACTCCGTACAAATCCTCAATCTAATCCCCGAGTTCCGACTTCCACCTCAGGTGCAAGCTTGTGCGTCAAACGCTCACGAACCCTCTTCTTCCAGAGACTTCAGCGTACGCTTGACGACGAAAGCGGTTTGACTGAATCCCCATACCAGGCTAGGCCTCCTTGACTCGCACACAGGATGTCTGTTTCTTCCCAAAACTCTCCCGGTTCATCCGTGTTTGCATCTGGTTCATGGGACACGCAGTCTAATAAGCTCCTCGAGAACGCTTCCAGGGAATGCCACCTCGTTCAGTGTCCTCCTCACGCTTCCATGGAATGCCACCTCGCTCAGTCTCTTCCGCGCGCTTCCATGGAATGCCGCCTCGTTCGGTGTCTTCTGCACGTTTCCACGGGATCCCTCCACGTTCGGTGTCTTCTGCACGTTTCCATGGGATCCCCCCCCGTTCGGTGTCTTCTGCACGTTTCCACGGGATCCCACCACGTTCGGTGTCCTCTTCGCGCTTCCATGGAATGCCACCTCGCTCAGTGGCCTCCTCGCGCTTCCAAGGAATCCCACCACGTTCGGTGTCTTCCGCTCGACGGTAGATGCTAGGAGGCTCAGCACCCTTGGCGATAGGGGTCGCTGCTGCCATGCCTGCAATTGCGGCAATAAAAGCGAGTGAGAATTTCATATTGAATTGACGCGTTGGCTGTGGGAGGCTGATCGGACTATTGAAGATGAGTTATGCGAATGCTGGTATCGCTTGGGCTCGTGCTGCAATGAATCCGACCGGGTGTAGATCCAATACTCGGCCAGAAACTTAGCTTTTAAGCTTGATCCTGTGCGTGTTCGTGCAACCTGGGTAGGATGCTGGCTTACTGGTGCAGACAGCTGCACGATGATATTGGCTAAGCTTGCGGTGCGAGCTTCGATGACAATAGTATCCTCGCATAACGATCGACGGAACAAATCTCGTAGGATAATTGCTGATGATAGCATTGACTAAGAATTCGTATACTGGAGCATTGCTCGCTATGATACGTGATGTGGTTGGACTGCAACACCCAACCATGCCACTCAAGCATCTCTTCCCCGGCTTCAGCGGTTATTGCCCCTGTAAGCTGTATTGATAGAGACTTACATTACGTTGAAAGATCATGTAGTGTAATACGTCGGCTGATTACACAAAAAGTCATCCTCCTTTCAAAAGGGGCTGCAGCCTTGTTGCTTATGTGAGTATTCTATGCCCTGATTCCGGGGGGGTCCAACAGTCCCCGCTTCTCAGCCTTTAATGGCATAAGCAACCATTGCTCATGTGAGCTTTCCACCCCCTGCCGAGACCTCCCCATGACCATGGTCGGCGAATGTATCATCGGCTGTCTAACTCTCTACTGGAGGTCGAACCTGCGACAATCAAGGACACACAACAGCACGCTTCAACATTCTCCGAGAAGCTTGTCAATTTAGGGCCTTGATTTGACACACCGACGTTGGTACACTAAGTCGCCATCATGGACGATTCTGAGCCCTTTTTGCCGGCGAAAATCGAAGCATCTGAAGACGATTATCGCCCTCTAAATTGGCTTCTACCACGACGGCGGGCAACCGACAGAATTCTCAAGTCGGCAATGACGTCTCACCTGGCCGTCTTTGTGGCGACCACGCTCCTGTGGGGAGGCATCTTCCTTCTCACGGCACACTTCTCTCCAGCAGTGGTCTCCCGCGCGGAGATGGCTTCGAACACCGGTGTGGGTAACCCACTGCCAGCGCACACCAACCACGTCGGCAAGCTGTTGGCCAACGAGATCGACTACTTGACGTGCGGGGCCACTCGCGAGGAAGCCAGAACTCGGGGCTGTATCTACGACACGCTCAGCAACGCCTGGATCCCCGGCCAGTGCCGGGATGACTTCTCGGTCATGGAGTACGAGCTCGACGAGTCATGGTACCCGTTCGCCGACGTGAACAGGACGCAGCCCCTTGGCAAGGAGGAGTTGGGTGATCTGGATTTCTACTACACCTCGCTTCGGGATCACATCGTGCACTGTGCAGCGCTGTGGCGGAGGCAGTTTCGCGCGTTCTCGGAGGGCTGGCGGTATCTCGACGACGTGCTGGTGGACCCGGTCCATACGATGCATTGCTCCAAGTACCTGGTGGACTGGACGGATAAATTCGAAAACGAATATCGGACGACGGCCATCAAGGTACACGTCGGCCATGTGGGGTGTCATGTATTAGCCTGATAAGACTACTCTGTCCTCGGGATCACTCGTTCCGTCTTGCTCTGCTCACAAGTATTACTTAGACAAAGTGTTGTAAGCAAGTTATACAGTATCTTGAAGAGATGGGCTTTGTGATATCATATTGCCTGATAGCCCCTTAAGGTTTGCTATTTTCAACTGAACCTTCATCACCCCAGGAGTTGGTCTTGTTCAATAACCACCCCATCTCCCTCTGCAAGTCATCCCAGAACCGTTGACAGGCTTTGAGTTCCCAAAATTGAGCAAAGTTGTGCGGCACCCCTGGGTATATCTGCAACCTCACAGGGGAACCTTGTTGCTGAAGCTTCTTCGCATATTGTATGCCCTCGTCCCTCAGCGGGTCCTGACCAGCCACACATATAATGTGCGGTGGTAACACGCAGAGATCACCGAGCAGTGGCGATGCAAGAGGATCTGGCCGAGATGCTGCTGAAGGTCGTACCATGTCCCAGACAGCCATCAAGCCACGAGAATCCGAGAATGTACCAATACATTGATCGTACGATGGTTCCCCCTTCCTTGAATGTGGCATAATCGCAGACAGATCGCGGTAATCACAAAGAACAGGTACATTCAGGATCACCCCTGAGACGGGAATACTGTGGTTGCGGCATAGCTGCGATAAGACGGCGCTAATGCCACCACCAGAGGAGGAACCCGCCAAGTAGAGAGTCTTTGGATCTACTTGGACGGGACAATACGTAGGCAAGAAGTGTCCTGGGTCCTGCAAGAGTTGTTGCAACACGTCCCAGGAGTCTTCAATCCATGTCGAGAATTTGTGCTCAGGCGCCAGTCGGTACTCGACGCTGACAATGATGATATCGAATCTTTGGTAAAGTGGCCAAAGCAGCCATGCCTCTTCGGTCGTGTGCGTGCCCTGGATCCAGCCTCCGCCGTGCGTCACGAATAGCACTGGTAGCAGACACGATTGTGCGCCCAAGATGCTGCTGCAACGTCTGTTGTGTCGTGGGTTTGCAGGCCAAGAAATCTTTACGCTGCAAAACGTACCGTCCCGAACTCGGATGTCGGTCAGCGTGGTCTCATAGCCAACGCTGGAGAGTGGATGGTTGCGAGCCCATATTTTTTCTGTCGCGGCACTCGCCTCTCTGATGGCTTGGAAGTCCCAGGAGTGTGCGTCGAATCGCGGCAGAGAATGTTTGTCAATCGGTCTATCCGGAGGAAGTGGGAAGCCGTGCTTGACCGCGTAGGCTGCCCAGTCGGGGTCCGTTGCGAAGAAATCGGGCACGTCCATGTTTAAGACGCTTCAGAGGCTCACGTATTGGGCATGATTCCCAGATCCCAGTATAAGTTTTGGCACTGTGCTCAGAATGCAGTCGCAACACCGCAGATCTTAGGGGGAAGTCTGGTTATGGCGAAAAGTGCGTCTGTCTGATTGGCGCAGCTTGCTCACCTCAGCAACGGAGTAACGAAGTATACATGTTGGGTGACCTCGCCCCTGATGGCAAGAGCACAAACACCACTTGAAAATGGCTTCAAGCGTTCGTGCGATCGTCAAAGTCGCTCAACATTCTCAAAGCCGAGTATTGAGCCTTTTCCACAAGTCTTCAACCGCCACCGTTCCGGGAAGGAAGCATTGCCCCAGGTTCGATGCATACTGTATTTCCATAGGACCTGAAGGAGAATACTAACAGATGCTACGCAGCGTGATGGATTTAGAGTCCTCTGTTGGACTACTCGACGGTCAGAACCGAGATCCAAGCGCATCCAAAGAGCTTGAGGAATTCGTGCGGTCGGATCATTCCCTCGGCAAGAAGAGATCATTGCGAGCAAAGCTTGCCGTCTGGGCGCTCCGATTCCTTATCGGACTCATGGCATTCATAGGCATCATGAATACAGTCAACGGGCTGGCAAATGTACGAGTCGAACGATTCGTCCCATCGTACGACAACCCCAAGCACGCAGCCGAATACTCGAATCACCCATGCTACTGTGGAGAGAGCGTGGCAGAAGCCCGATCCAACGGATGCGTCTTTGATGAGTTGTCGACGGCATGGCTACCAGACCGCTGCCGAGACGAGGAACTTGCGGCGGAATTTTCAACCAAGGGCGACGGTCCTAACGGAACGTGGCTGTACTGGGCAGACGAGGAGCATACGCAGCCGCTGACTGTGCATGAAATTTCAATGTACGCTGACCTCGGCACCCGTCACTTGTTCCATATGAATATCGAGTGGCATCGACAACACTGTCTGTACTCGTGGCTCAAGGAGCATCGTTTCAAGACGCGACCTGACAAGGTCTTCGATCCGAGGTCCGACTCAGACGGCCATATCTACCATTGTATGTCGGTTTTCAACAGTCCGAGGCAGGAGACGGAGGCTGGTGCGGTCCTTGAAGTATGAGGTGGGATGGTAATGAATTGGAGTTGTGGCGGATGGCAATGTCCACTAGGTAGCTATTCATGGCAATATTCTGGCAGGGCACCGCAGTATGTCTCAAATCTCTGATTAAGTCTATCTCTGGAGAGCTGAGATCTCGGCCATGAACTAGCCATAAACTGTGCTGCTGCCGCCTCGCATGGCGAGGGCAGAGACGGAACAAGGAACAGGGAAGGAACAGGATAGTCCACCACAGATCTGTAGCATACCGCGACTCTTGGTGCTCAGCCTTTGGTCCTGAATCTAGTATCCAGGAGTTCATCTTACTCAAACGTGAACACGTTCTGCTTTCCACCTAGTTGTCATGATATGGAAACTCACGCGGACCAAGTCTGTTGGGTATGCAAACCCAAGGCCTTCAGTCTAGCTTCGAGCGACCGAGACCGAGGTTGCCACGTACAGTCCGATCCAAGGCTATCAGGAGCTATGACACCGCCTCATCACGAAAGTCTTACAAGACGTGTGATTGTCAGAAAGTAGTGACCCTTTCATTCGTCATCTTAGCTATGCAGCATTCATGCCCTCAGCATGATGTGATCCATTTTGTATAGCGGAGATGCGGGCTCTCGCGGCCGCGCAGCTCACTTCACTCCCAATGGCCTAAGATCACCACACAGTTCTTCACGTAAGCAAGCGAGCCAACTCACCGATCTCGTCAGTCATTCGCCTCGACTCGTGAACTGCGTCGCTTATGATGGAATACTGTATCACTTCTACAGCTCGACAGACTGGAGTTGATACCTTCCAGAAGAGCGTCAATTTGTGCCGGTAATGTAGACTTGGAGGCGACTCTCCCTACGAACCTGAGTTCTACATGCCAACACCAAACTCCGATTTCACAGCAAGATTCCTGGACCTGGATGAAATGATGTTCGACTTCAAATTTCTCTGGCCGAGAAGGAAGGAATATTCCGCCCTTGCCGTCGAAGAAAATCAGTCGCCAGCAGATGAAAAGTTTCTGGAGAAGACCGATATTTACCAAAAGCCGCATGGCTTCCGGCGGAGTCCACAAACACCATGGGCGGCCCTCACATTCATATTTGTCGGACTTTCGGGTCTCCTCCTTTTCCACGACCTGCGACGTGGGGGACGAGGGAGCTTTGACTCCGGGTTCCACAATGACATGAGTGAGTAGCTGGCAGCCCCTTTGTCTCGAAATGCCTGACTCTAATCTGGATCGATCCTCTAGCTCTGGCCAAACCAGCAATCAAAGTGTCCCAAGTGAAATTTACAGGTGGGATCAAATTCCACGACAACGGCACCATGTATCGCGACAACGGACCCGGTCCAGCGTACGTCGGCCCACCAACTCCGGCGATGGACGATGCATGGGAAGACCTGATCGGTACGCGGTACCTCGCCTTCACCGAGGCCCAAAGGTCCTCGTTCTCCGTCCGAATCGACAAGGGAAGCGCCGACGGCCTCTACCGCGCCGGGCCTGACGCTTTCCATTCGCTCCACTGCGTCGACAAGCTCCGACAGACCATCGACGGGTATCTGTACGACATTCCGGAAAAGGTGGACGAGAGCAGGAACAATGTGCTGCACGTCGAACACTGTCTCGATTTCCTGAGGCAGCTTGTCCAGTGCACTTCGGATCTGACGCCCATTCCGCTGGTTTACTCGGTTGGCGCGGGTATGGAGGTGCCGGATTTTGAGCAGGTGCATACCTGCCGGAGTTTTGACACGATCCATCGATGGGCAATGAAGCAGAATCAGGACGCACTTGATACGTTGGGGAGCTAGGGTCAACGGGTGGGAGTAAATAGCATTTGGGTTTCATACTGTTAGGCATGCAAATAGATTCACTACCTGTGTGGTGTGTCACGGATCCCTGTTCGCAGACCTGAGACGGCTCTCATCTTCACATACTTACTTACTCACGGGACCCAAAGAAATACTGATCAAGGCATGAAAAGACCGTGTAGAGATTAGAAGAACCGTCTTCAAGCATCGGTGAACGTAACCCTCACGATTGCAGCATAGCGGAAGGGCCCGGATGTTAATCTGAGCTAGAGAGGCCGGCGTGCGTGCTGCGTGCAGAACTCTTGTCACTCTTCGATGCCGGCTGCGTGCAGTTTGTATTTCATGTCCCAAGTCTCGGGCTTGCTTATCGAAAGCAACTCTCAACAAACGAAAACAATGGCGATAGTTCGCGGTTGGTCTACAAGTCGGACCTTGTACGTCGTGGCCATCAATCGATCGCAGCTGGGACAAGCAAGATTGACAAAGTGCCTACAGCGAGAGATGCCAGTTCAGAGGGATCCGACTATCCGCATTGAAATGAATACGCCAAGTTACTACATATTAGGATCTACAGGGCGCACAACCACAGCCTGCAGACTGAGACAGCCGAGTCTAGGGGTTCGCAAACACGCCAGGCTTCAACCGCTGGGCATTGTCTCTCCACAGAGCCTCGTCAAGCGCATCGCGCTGCTTGGCCCACTTCTGCATCGCGTTGAAATCTCGACACGTGTGCTCGACTTGGAAGACTGGCTCCAGTCCTCCGTTCGGGCGGAAAGTGGTGTGTATCTCCGGGATGGGCGTCATGTCGGCCTCGCACATTAGACTCTGGCGGATGGAGTCGATACAGTGCTCTGTTATTCACCAGTCAGCGCCTACCCTGAGACCTTGAAAATCAGAGGCAGAGGTTCGTACGAATGTGAGGTTTGAAGGCTGGTGTAAGTTCTTCGGGGTAGTATTGGATGTATACTCCACGGCGGATAATGTCCTTGACGGTCAGTAACGAAGAGCACGACAGCGCCCCTGAAATGCAACGTACCAGGCAGTGCAAGTTGTGAAAGACGGCAGGACTGGGAACATGAAGTTAGCTCTCCCAAATCATGTTTCTCGCACGGCCGGAGACAACTCTTACACAGCCTGATAGAGCCCCGTGTACGGGTCCGTGTACAGATGAGCATTGGATGGCACCCTTGCAAAGGCTCCGTCGTTGCTAATGATTTCATCAACCTCCTCTCTTGTCAAGAAGATATCGGTTGCTGAGTTAACATCAGTAACTCATCTTGGGGTCTCAAACAGGCTAGGTTAGCCAGCTCACTCGAGATCAGCTCTTGCCAGGCGGCGTCGATTTCAGGGGTGGGAATGCCGCCGTAGTCTGGAATTGTCGGGTCAATTTCCCTGATAAGGTGGCTTGTCTCATCCCACTTCAATCCGCCTGAGAATTGGACCTGCAGTGTTCTTTCAGGGACTTCTCGCTGTGCGATCTCTAGCACTCTTCGTTGGTAACCTGATCAAGGCACTGATGCGTGGGGTCCTGGGAATTACTGACCAAGATCCGAGGATCCCCAATAACCGACTGGGACGCATTGTCTAGACTGATGACGCCAGTGTTGCAGAATCAATGCAAATAACATAAATCCAGAGAGTAGCCAGGGGAATGCTTGTTGCAGTTGTACGCATTTTCGTTTCTTTGATCTTGTGTGTTTGAGTGGCTGCTCGCTGTCCGAAAGATCTCGCACGGTCTCAGAGCTCGCCCTAGAAGCGGTTGACTCAAATGCCTCCTCCATAGTCGTCGCGGGTACGTGCTGTGGCCCTCAAAGCGCGGTCGATACTATGGTAACGCAGCACGAAGAACTGCCTCCAGTGATTGTAGATGGATAGGCCTTAGCCAGAGGACGGTGGCTGCCATGTGTGCAGAGACATGGACATGGAATAGGTCACTATACCCAATGTAGATGCATCCAAGGAGATCGTGTTGTGACGGATGATGTGAGCAGACTCATTTGATCGGTGTGAGGCTTAGTGCAGCTGCTGAGGTCAGGCGGCTGTTGTATGTAAGCATGCGGAGATGTGAGCATGGGCTCCATCGAGACGCCTTACGCTGGATACTCAGCCTCGTGGCCTAAGACCCAAGGTGTGAGCTCTCTGCGACCCGTGATCGGATCGCAAAATTGGCAGTCCTCCCTACGTGTGTAAGAGTATCGAACCCTGTCGCTCAAAGAGAGCAGCTGCATTGACTGAGAATGCAGGAATCTCTCATGTCGACGCACCGGTATCGTACTCTTCAGGAGCATCCGCCGGAAGATGACAAGGACACGATGAGCGATCTCGAGCAGATATCTCTCGTTAAGTCGGATTGCACCGGGGATAGAGAGCACACAGCGATCAATCTGCGCAGTTCACCTGTCCGAAGGCTGGCATTGTGTACGGGCATTCTCGTGTTGATCACCTGCACGGCAATCGTCTTTGCCTCTGTTGTGCCTTTCAATGGCGCCGATATGAAAAAGAAATGGGATTTTCCTCCTCCAGAAGTCCATGTGCCCGGCATATCAAAGTACAACGACCGCCTGCACCCATGCGGCAACTCATCTGAGGAAGCCCAGGCGCTCGGCTGCAAGTTCAATCAATTGACATGGGCTTGGTTGCCGGCAAGCTGCCCAATGTATGCCAACAATGAATTCCTGGAAGCGGAAGACTGGGTCTATTGGGAAGATCTAGATCGGACAAAGCCGGTCGGGAACGACGTTTGGGCGGAAGTGCTGGACGGCGATAGAAAGATTTTCGCCGAGCTGAGAGAGCATGCAACGCACTGTGTATACTTTTTCCTGAGCGTGTCTCAGGTGATTCGTGATGGAACACCATACTATGACAAGATGGTCGAGTACAAACATCACGAGCATTGTGCCAACATGCTTCTCGGGTTGCTGAGGAAGTTGCCAGAATGGCACGAGTTGAACACGTTGGCAGGGACGGTATCATTCGACCAATACTGCGCATAGTACGATGAGGCAAAGCCGGTGTGTTGTATGAAAAGTCATCTTCGGTGTCGATAGGCGTTCGATCTTCTCCAGAAGGACTCGATCTCTCACAAGGAGTAGAAGGACAGGTACGTTTCCCGACGTGATCAAGTAGAGAATGAATGGTTTTAGCCGAGTGCAGGCGGACGAGCGCCAGCAGTCGCCATGTCCTGCACAGCTGCAAATCTGTGTCAGATGGGAGAGCCTGGCAGGGGACGGCACAAGGGATTCAAGCAGACCAGCGTCTGTGCGAGCTGCTCCGGTGGCGCCCAGAAAGCCAGTCAAGCACCAGCTAGATCTGCTTAGAGCGCTACCTCAAAGGAACCTGACCGAATACAATGTATCCGCCGAGACGCGTCGAGTGAGCTTCATGGAACAGCCAAAAAGACCCTCCCACGCGGCACAACGGACGACTCGCGCAAATGAGTCAGACACCAGGGAGGAGGACTGGAGCACAGAGCAATGTGGTTGAGGAGTGTCAATCATTTGCTGGAAGAGAATCGCTTCGACAAGACAAGTAAGAGCGGCTGCACATTCGTTCGCTCCTGCATTGCATAACATCTGAGCTATACTTAGTAATTAATGCTGTGTCTTCGATGATTCAGCATACCGAGGTACATGGTATTCACACAAGGGGCTTCACACTTGCAAACGTAAGCACTTGGGTTATGCATCGCAAAGGATATGTAGGTATTGTTCGACGTTCTACCGACTATCCCTACTCAGATTGAAGTGCGCCGGGCCCGACCTCCTGCTTCTCTCGCCGCGGCCGCAGGGAAATTACTCACCAACGATATTCAGGGTAAATTGATGATCTTGATGTTGTATTACCGATCAGTGCGATCTCTTGTAGCTTAGTAATAATTCCACCATTCTCTCGCTTCCTGCTTTCACCGCAGTCATGACGACACTGGTTCCGTCCACATCTACAGCATTGATACTAGCTCCCGCGTCGAGAAGTACCTTGGCTGTCTCCGTATGACTGTGTGATGCACAATGATGTAGCGGCGTCCTCCCTCGCTCGTCTCGCGAGTCGGCGCGGAAACCAGTACGTAGCAGGATGGAAAGAATGCGCGTCTGACCTTCTCGCGCCGCCAAATGCAACGCTGCACTCGCCTGCACGCTATCTTCACATGTCAGCGTTGGCTGTAGAGGTTCATCGGAGGGAGTCAATATGACCGCGTTGGTGTGATTATCCAGATATCCCAAGCCTGAAAGATCCATGTAGTCCGCAAAGGTCTGGTCGGACAGAGGGGTGTGTAAAGCGCCGAAGCGGCCTGCATCCTCTCTTGGTTTGGCAGTGAGACTTTGGTTGGGCGTCATGGGCACTCCTGTATGCGCTGCACGCCCTTCTCCCAGATCGTCTTGTAGGCAAGCAAGACTGCTGTTTGTAGGGGTTCGTGGTTCGCCAAGGTACGAATTCCGGGTACTCGCTCTTGAGATCCCAGCCGGGATTGTTGGTGGATTCTCCTGAGATGCACCGTCCGACAAGGTGAAAGAGCCCATGACAGCGTCCCGGTGACAGGCTTGAGGTGGAGTTGGTTCATCTACAACCTGAAGCGTATCGGCTTCGTGATTGTTCTCAAGACCTCGGCAGTGGCTACACTCCGGACATCGTGGCTCCTCTAGTTCGAGATCAACCGCGTCACTGAGTAGTTGACGCGCTTGTTGTGCAAAAGCTTCCAGCGTTTTGGTGCGGCTGGCTATCTTGTCTCCTGGTTTGACCTGGTCAGTCATTCTGGATGGCTTCAGATGAAATCAAGCAAGTTGGACTCACGATACCTTCGTTGAGCTATTCTGTTCTGCTGCTTCCGCCTTTCCGCCGGGCCGTTGTCTTTTCCTCTGGATGGGACACTGTCCAGGGTTGCACCGCCTGTGATAGCTTGCATGGTTTTGATGCTCAACTTTCCCACCACCCTTCAAAGAGATGCAGGCCGCCTGTTCAAGGCAGCGGGCCTTGATGTTGAGGAGGAGGAATGCTCTTCTTGGGATATACTGAAGCCTGGAGTTCCGAAGAATAAATCACCGATACATTCACATGAAAGGCCGCTTCGGACAGCTTCTTAAAATATCGGAGGATCCTAGGTTACCGTAGGTCAGCGAAGCATTGTAGCTGTAACCTGTGATCTTGATCCTCCAGCTGCAGCCTGGACAGCCCCTTTTAGCGTGATAAGCAGCAGTGAGCCCTCAGTAAAATCTGACTGGCGACGACAAATACCTGTTCAGAAGGTGGTGGGACTGTGATAACTTGTAGTTGATTAGTCGACGAATACAACCGACGTTAGAGTATCCGGATGGGAAACCCCCGTGTCCTGTTACACTGCTGCAACCATTTCTGCCCCAGCCATGCTGGATCGACTCTACTCATTGGCTTGCCTTACCGCTGCCATCACCTTCAGGACTGAAGCAATTGGTTGTGTGATGTATTGATTACCACTTTAAGTACGTATCACTGGATAGCCACAGTTCGTAAACCTAGTTAGTGGGCCTTGATCAAGCGGTGGAGGCTGAGCTGGCCAGGACCCCATAGTCAGAGTCTGGAAACAGATCAGTGGAGAATACACAATTGCGCAAAATTACCCAGACAAGTTAGACATGGTCAGTTGCCGGTCTCAGGCAGAGTGGCAGTATTCAGCTGCATTCGGGCTTTCCACCAATCGCGAGATCACCTCTGAGGAGGATCCTTCAGTACTTTGTCAGGGTGTGAAGTACGAGGTACGAGGTACTCATATCTGTCTCTCGCCCCGGGGCGAATGTTGCAGATCAATCGTAACAAGTGCTCTTGCTTGAATTGTGTCCGTGGGGCAAGATACGTGGACGCATATTCCGTAGAAGGGTAGATATCAAGAAGGACAAACCTTCTAGCCTTGACTCCGCGTAAGCTGACCGGCATTCTGCATATTGCAATGGTTACCTAAGTAACTAGGGAGGTACTGATTGGCAACCGGCATTTTCGCGTACCATCGGACGAGTCAAACTAAGCATTGAGATTAACATTTTCCCGGCACGATTAAACGAAAGGGGATACGAGGCGGGCCGCAAGTGACTGCCTCTTTGATAAGGCTTAGGGGGGAACCAGCGAGTCGGCCTCTGCAGCCACTTTGTGTTGGTTCTTCCCACTCCCCGAGCTTTGTTGGCTCCAAGGGTATTGTGCAGGGTTGAAAAGGGTTCCCGCCTGTACGGTCACATCAACTGTGGGGGCTGAATCTGTTACAGACAAGTCAAGTCCAGTGGCAGGCTCCGGTCAGGCCCGTGCCACCGAGCCCTTGACTCAGATTCTCAGCACTGTGAATAGGGAGTACAAGTACTCCCATAAAAGTAGATTATCAGCTTTCTCGGAAATCAAGGACACATAGTAAGAACTACTCGGCGTTGTGGTGGAAACGAAACAAGCGGCCCCGAATAGCCACCAGCATTGAGAGAGGAAGGCTCGACTCCTCAGCAACTCGTTTATACAACCAAAAGCCGACACTGGAAGATCGAATCCTCAATTTCGGCTGGCTGATGAAGGTGAGCAGTTGAGTAAGGCGCTTGGCCCTTTACAGAGTCAATCCGAGGTAGGTTCAGATGTCTACCGCAAAACGAAGTCAATAATGCATCGTCAATCAGCTTGACCAAATGTCGCGTCTACAAGCTAAGGGTGTCGGGGACACGCAGAGCAGAGACTCGAATACCCGCGCAGAAATCTCATGTTTCAAGGGCAGAGAATACATGTTTGCGCCCTCTGCGGCAGACCTCAATCCCGCCGGTACCAAACAAACCACTTGCATGATACGAGGTACCAATTTGTTGAACTCTCGTTCGTCATAGTGAGGCTGTGGTGGCGTCGCTGATGTGGCGCTGATGTGGCGCTAATGGAGGGGGTGTTTCACGCCGAACTTGTGACGTATGTGCATTTTTCTCATGATCGTCGTTGCATTGCGTTGCGCATGATCCTCGATTGCCTTTGATTCTTAAAAGACACAATACTTCCTCCTTCTCATTGCAGACGAGATTCTCAATTCTCAATTCTCATCCCGAACATAGCCACAATCAATTCAGCCAGAAATCATTATTTCCCGTAAAGGATAACTCAACTATGTCTACCACGGTCCACGTCAAAGGTATCTCACATGATACCAGCGAGAAAGAGGTCAAGGACTTCTTCAGCTTCTGGTGAGTTTCGAAAAAACTGCTGCCGGCAGTTACGATACTAATCTCTCTCAGCGGCAAAATCACCAACATCTCTGTTACACCAGAGTCCGATGCCGCTGATGCATCGAAATCTGCTTCCGTGACTTTCGAGAAAGAGACGTGAGTGTCGACAGTCCCGTCCGGCCGCGAGAATTGAATCCTAACCTCCTTGCAGAGCTGCTAAGACCGCACTCCTCCTCGACAGCACACAGCTCGGAAAGTCTCAAGTTCATGTCTCGACCGCAGGCAATATCGATGATGTCGCCTCCAAGGCAGGTGCTGCAGTGTCCTCTTCGACTGGCGACGACCACATCGCTCAAGAAGACAAGCCGCGATCAAGAATTGTTGCTGAATACCTTGCCCACGGTTATGCTGTGTCAGACCAAGTGATCGAAAGAGCTCTTCAGCTAGACAAGAAGCACGGTTTCAGCCAGCGGTTCACCAATGCTCTGAGTACCTTCGATCAGAAGTATAAAGCAACCGATACCGCCAAGTCTGTCGATACCAAGTACGGTGTAAGCGACAAGGCAACAAGTGCTTGGGGTGGCCTCACTTCGTACTTCGAAAAGGCGATGGGCACTCCCACCGGCCAAAAGGTCAGGCAGTTCTACATCCAAGGCGACCAGCAAGTCAGAGACGTCCACAACGAGGCGAGAAGATTAGCAGACCTCAAGGCTGGCAAGCAACACGAGCCCGAATCTATCCCAGGCACGGACAAGACGGTCTGCAAGTGTGGCGGCGAAGAAGGCACCTGTGGTTGCGCTCCAGGTCACTGCAATTGTGCTAGATGTGCCAAGAGTGACGTTGGTGACATCCAACCTGAACCAGTCAAGGGTACGCAGTCCACAGTCTGCAAGTGTGGTGGCTCGGAAGGTATCTGCCCTTGCCCACCTGGTCACTGTGCTTGTGCTAGTTGCGCAAAGAGCAGTCCCGAAAAGACTACGGAGGCTAAAGAGGCCGCTCAGGCAAGTGGCCAACAACTACCTGCTGGTTCTGTGTAAGGGGTGACAGAGTGTCAACTATATTAACGGTTTCTTTTAGCACAACCCCAGGGCGGGTTTCCTGGTGGGAGAGGGTCCAAACATGCTTGCGGTCCAATTCAACCCTTGAGAGCGAAGGTTATTCAGTCCCGTAGAGCAGCCTGCGAGCTTGACGTAGTGTTATGGAATTGACTCATGAATTCTTATCGCACACTGCTCTGTGGCCTCGAAGCGTTGTTTTCCACAATTATGATTGATTGACAGGCCCTAGAAAGTATTGCTGGGAAGTGGTTTCATAACGCACCTACGGAGCACGATCTAAAGGGCCGGCTGGGCGGAGTCAAAGAATCCGTTATAAACTCCTGAGGAGACATTCCACGAAGCTGCCTGAGATAGAACTTGGTAACATCGATTTCGCCGAATGGTATTTGGGCTTGGATCGGTTAACATTGGGAAGTCTAACCCTACTGAGTATGTAGGAGTATCGAATTTCAGTTGTTCACAGTTTTTGTACCGTTTATTATCGGTCCCGACTTGATTGCCAGGCTAGCAGGAGTGCTACCGGAAGGTAGGAATTTTCTAAACGTAAAAGATGTCGACATCGGCGATTGCAGTAGGTATGCTAAGTGTGTCACGGTGAAATGACCTTGTCACATCAGAAAAAAATCCGTTCTTCAAGCAGGCATGGCTTGCGTGGGCAGCAGTTGGTTGTGCTTCGCCCGCACCAAGACACTACACCGCCCGTTGCCGCGCGCCCGGCACTCCTCCGGACGCACTGATTCCCCCACAGGCAAACTCTGCCTGCGCCCCAAAAGAGCTCCTGTTGCCCTTTCATCCAGCCTTCACTGTTGTTTTCTGACGACTCTTGTCTTCAACCACACCAACTTATCAACTCCTGTCGCTGTCGTCCCGGACGGTAGCTTCTTCCTTGATCCTTTTGCGCCGACTATTGTTCGCCAGAGTATGAACAAGCCTTCGACCGTTTCCATCTTCCGCTTCTGTGAGGCCTGCGACGAGCCTGGATAACTGGGCCGGTCGCAACGACGGCCACAGTGGCAGAAAACAGCACAGACGAATTCGAATATACCACGACCAGACAGACCAAGGTATATCTGCTGCGGCACTGTTGATGGGTGTATCGCAAACTGAGATTGTGGCAGACTTAAGACGAACACTCAGAGCCGCGACAGTCAAGATGTGCTTTGAACGCCTCATCCGGCTCAGATGCAGCCACTATGAATCATACCAGCTGGACAAGAATGGCTGCAAATATCAGGCCGGCCGCCAGTGCCCGAAATATGTCCAGCTTCAAGTTCGAGAGGACAAGAATCGTAGCTGTCCTCGCTGCAAAGCAAACCTGATGGCGACATTCGGGATCGCCAGTCACAGCCTTCGGTGGACGAAGTAGCCCAAGAGGGCGTCGAAAGGTCAATTTCGACGCTCGACAAGTGGATGACAAGTGCAATAGACGCATAGAAGGAGGACGAGTGTTCGCACAGGCAAATTGTTATCATCTGTGGACCATACTCAATGGTAGTTGAGATTCTACTGTGTATCGCCTTGTGCAACAGTTTTGATGGCTCGGTGGAATCCGTCGCTGTCCTCTGATATGCAGCAATCAACGCATCCGAGCATTCAAACACCCAATATTTCTTTTGGGCATGTGCACTCGCTAAAAATGGTGAAGCCGAAATGCCAGATGCTCAATTCAGACATGCACAGTAATTGCTCCCGAGCCATGGGGTTCTGCTACTTTACCAAGAATGGCTTGCAGGAGGTGTGACATGGTTCGCAGTTTCAATTCTTTCGTAACCAGCAGACGTCATACTTTGAGGTGGGATGGTCGGAGGGGTGAAGTGCGCCTTTTCTTTCACTCATCCTCCTGTCTTCTTTCGTATATCCTACAGTTGAACCCACCAAATTCTTTACAAAGATACTTTCGCCACGACTAATCAACTCTGAAGACATCCTACAACACTCCCTGAACCAAAGGTAACGACTATCCCATCCAACGGTCTCTGCTTCCTGGCGAACACTGCTGCTCACACGATCCATAGACACCAATTCCTAAACACATTCAACACAATGTCTGCACCAAATCAAGGTCGCCAATCACCAGAACCTGAGCGCCAAACTGGTGCTCAGCAACAAGACCATCCTTCCCAGCCAGGCAGCGGAAAGGTACTGCCATTGTTTCCTCCAAATGTTCCTCGACCAAGCAAGCCTAAGTCTTGCACCTTGCACAACACCATCGTATATTCTTTTTGGACGTATGCTAACATACATTCACACAGCTCGACAACTCGGAGGGCAAGAATGAGGGCAAGGATGATCAAACCTCCGGCCTCCAGAGCAACCCCAAACACATTCTTGAAGACCACGCTGAGACAAAGACTGCGAAGGGGACGTCCGCAGACTCGGCATAGGACAAGCAATGAGAATGGAAGGAAAGCAAAAATAGAGTCTATATTTACGGTGTGGAGGGGACAAAGAAAACCGTGAGGCAATGCGTGAAAGTAAAACAGTTCGCCTGAAACGGAAATTGTCCCATACATACCATCAGTCCTGTTCTGTTCACTCGAGGCGCACTCTTCCCTGGTCACAAGGTGGTGAAGAGACACCAAAAGTCCCCGTACCAACTACTACTCTTGCTTCAGGTCATGGAGGAAACGTGTCGGTGACCAGAGTTCGCAGGCACCACCATTGTCTATACCCCCTCGAGTGGCCTTTCCCCAGCCAGTGTATGATAGAACCATATCACGAGTCGTGGACAGTGCGGCTCTTCCCCTCCCCGCAATACCCTTCTCAACGTACGGTAAGCATTTACCACCACAGTAGGATTTCCTTCCATGCCGCGGAAACATTTCCCGGCTGAGTGTTCACGAGCATATCCGCCACGTCATCGGACAAACGACCCGATCGGCTCGGCCCGTGTTTGGTGGCCGATCGACAAACCATGCAGTCCCCAAAAACGGAGCCCGAAGATGCGCTGCCAAATCTTGACCCCTTGGGTTTCTGAATTTATGTCCATGGGCCAAGTCAAGCCATGTTCGGTTATGTTTCTGTGTCTTTGAACGCGCTGCTTGTGTTTTATCTCTCTCTATCGGCGTCTGTAATCGCTGCCGACCAAGACGGACTGATCAATGGAGAGTCCAAACGAAAAGGCTACTCCAAAGGAGAGCTTATACCGGTCAGCTGTTTGAACAGAACGATGTAAGTCTCGGCAGAAGCGTCGCTCGTCTTGAGACTTACAGCTGTAGTGACACTGGCGAACATGTGAGTTGTGCTTGGTCGTCTGCGACTGCGAGCTACCACTTTCAGCTGCAACGGTGTTGTCAATCTACTGCCCTGGAATCTCACGTCGCCATGCCAGATCACCGATGACCACGGAAATTTACAATATATACCCTTCCCAACGTGTAATGAGACGAACCAACCCCTTTCGTTCGAGTACAACGTACCGCAGACACAGACCTGCACGATCGACGCGCTGCCAGACGAGCTCTACCATCTCCTCGAATTCTTCGTCCACAGCGACGTCCCCTTGACGTGTCGCGTTCCGTCATACCCATTGGACCAGGAAGAGCTTGGGATCATATCTTCAGTTCGGGGTGCTGGCGGTGCCGGTGCGGGCGCGGATAAAGGACTCTGGACGCCCTTCACGATCGCACTGCAAGGCACGTTGCAGCTATCGCACCTACACCTCCACACGACTATAAATGCCTTGTTCCACATGTCGCAGGATCCGGATGCGGCAAAGACCGCCTCACCATCGCAGTCGTACCTGATTGCCTCGACCGCATACTCGCTTCCAAACTCGTCATCGTCCGCGCCATTCGAGGGCTCCAAGATTGTGCGCAACGAGCCATTAGTGCTTACTTTCAATGTCGGCTGGGTCGATGGCGCGGTCTTACCTGGAATGGTAGGGAGACCTGTCATGAAAGTGACGGACCACAGCATCGGCTTTTCGCTGTTGAGCTTCTTTGCTCTGGCTGCTAGTGCTGGCGTTGGGGCTATGGCCATGCTTGTGTACGAGCGGAGGAAGAGTGGCAGGAGTGGCATTTACGGCAACGGGATATTGGGGGGCAATGTGGGCAATGGCGTGCCGCGGTCGTCCGGTTACGGTGGTTACGGAGGATATACAAGCAGCTTTGGGAAGAGGGACTGAAAGAGCCGTCTGGTGGGAGTCTAGCAGATGGGATGGCACATACGGGAATGTTCTTCGTCTGGATCTAAATCTGTTCTCCGTCTCGTGTCGGTCCGCGAGATGAAAGAGGTTGTGAGTCAGCAGGCCGAAGACTGGCAGTACCTCTCAATCTTGGTGAGGCAGAACGCATTGGGTCACATTTGCCATGCCTCTCACGCCTTCCGAGGCCGTTCAAGCCCAGGCGTCTTGGTGCAGCACTTGGGAAAATCAAATCCGGCGGATGACCGAACGGCCAGGATTAAGTACGACCGATCAGATTACGCCGCCAGAACGTCTTGTGGTAGCCGTCTAAGTCTCGACGAGACGCAAGCGAGAAGCAAGATCGTGATCTTCATTCCCTCACGCCATTCTTTCCATGGGGCGTTTGATCTCCCACAGCAGCCTCCTTTGCGCCTTCGTCAAAGCTACAGACTCATGGTTCCAACATTCCCTCCGCCCTATTCATCCATGCGGTGGAAAAGCTTACGGAGCAGAGCCCTTTGCGCATTTGTTGTAGCTACGAACTCAAAATCTAGCCACCGTATAGCTTGAGCAATAAGATAATGATGCTCCCCACAAAATCTCAGTGACACGTATTACTTATTTAGCTGACGCGTACCAGGCAGGCAATAAAGGGTCGAAGGTCTAGCACGGCACATGTCATGGATGAGGACGAATGGGCCACAAGGAGCGGGCTAGCGGTGATGCATATCTCTCGAAAATTTCAGAAACATACTCTGTACACCTGGACATAAGCCCGAACTCTAAGAGTGACTAGCGACTGTAATACCTGCGATTGTTGTCCGTCTGTGTATCTGTGGTTATGAAAACGCTCGGCATCTACATCACAGTAGGATCAAAGCCATTGTGTACAGCCCCGGTGGTCCGTCCTGCACCGGCACATTCCAACGTCGACAGCCAGACAGATCGTGTACAGCAAATCACATCTCGACTTAACTACCGGTATCGACGAGGATTCGCGCGGTAGGTAATTCCATACCAGTCGAAAGGCACGCGCTCTGTCCGGGCGAACCGCTCATCCGTGCGTCGAGCAGCAGCCTCGCTGGCCGCGGCCGCTGTATTCTGTTGCGGAGACTCTCGCTCCATCACGGACGCGGCGCGCAAGTTTTGGATAATATGAGGATATTCCGGCCTCGCCGAAGTTTGCATGGTGCTTGCTTGCGAGGGCGTAGGAGGAGCGAGGAAGGGCAGATCCTTCTCCTCGGCTGAGAACGGGCGCTGCTTGAGTGGGTTATGCTTCAAGGCATGACCGGTTGGATGACAAGACGGAAAGCAGGACTGGTGCTCCTTGTGCGAGCTATGTTGCGGCTTTGCGGGCGTGGTCTGACTAGCTTGAGCTTGAGGTTGAGATCCGTCCTTCTGAGAGCGAAGGAGTCGCTCGCGCGAGCATTGAGAAAGTGATTCCGTTGTCTCCAGTGGGGGAAGCGGTTCCACGTCCTGCTCCGTCTGGATTGCCGTTTGCTCGTGCATGCCGGTTTGGCTTTGAGAAGTAGGCGGCACTGGTTCGCCCGCCCAGCAATGCCGGCCTTCGAACGTGTCCTCCTCTGCACCAGGTATCTTGTTGTACATGACCCAGTCTTCAGCCGCTGGAGCATCCGTCTTGGTTGCTCGGCGCGCCTCGCGAGTTTCCTTCCGGTTGACCATATCCCAGTCCGGTTCATGTGGGACGACTTCCCAAGCCTTGTTAAGGTCGGCGCGCCTCGTGGCAGAAAGGGTCTGACCCTTCACCACGTCGTTTTGCTTGGACTTCGGGTCACGGCTAGCAACCTTGGCATGAGCGTCAATATTGTCGTAAATGCCCAGCCCACCGAGATGAACACTCTTCTGGGCATTTTGTCCGAGCATTTCCCATCCATCGGCTTTGGCGTCAAAGGCGTCATAGCTGGCTTGAGCAGGCTCTGCGTCTTCTGGCCCACATCTCTCCCAGCCTGCGTCCTCGGCATTGTAGAAGGTCTCCTTGCCGACGTGTTTGCCATTTAGACCATATGACCGGCTTAAGTACGGGTCTTCTTCAGGATAGTATGTTTGCATGTCGAGGCTGGACAGTCTGGTCGCTATGCTAAAAATACGTCGGGCCACCCACCTGGTTAGGGGGACCGACTCTGTTAATCTGGATTCAGAGTGCCCCAGTGGATCACAGGCCGACGAGAGGCTGCGTGCCGCCAGCTTGGAGGTTTAGCTGCCTTTGCTTGAGAGCTGGAATTGTTTCGGAATACTGGCTCCAAGTTATTCAGGTGAGTATATTTCCTTGCTAAAGTTAGTCAAGGAAGGTAGGGAACGGAGAAACCAAGTCTAGGTAGGCTTGAAGTGTTCTAATAGGCGCTCCCCCCGTGTTCGCGACATTTCCGCCACCATCACCGGATTTCGTGGTTTAACCAACAGGGTACAGGACTCTTTTCTTGGACCGGCGGGCGTTTGGCTCATTGTTGCTCGAAGATCACTGGAGCGGTCCTCGTCCTTCCAAGTCAGTGACTGGTGAAAGGGATGGTTCGCTTGAATATCATTGGGGAAGGCAGCGATTGTGACGGCTCAATCCTGGGACGGGAGTGAGCATCTCGCCAAGTACATCCCGCGAACGGCAGAGTCTCCTTTGTGACCCTGGATGGGAAAGTCGAGCTGCGGCAGACGGGCAACGGAGTGGAAAGGTCGCGTTGGGAAAATGAACGAACGACGGGCCATAGCTTCGTGAACCCATAATCCATTCACTCCTCGGGTCAGCCATGAGGAGTTGCCCTGCCGTATGTGTTTCCTGAGCTCATGCACCAAGGGTCCATTCACCAGCTAGGGTTTACCGTGGCTGATTCATATTGTCTTTGGGATCGCAAGTCCTTCCAAGGAAATCTCCTGAGCCCGTGGTCACCTTGAGGTGAAATGATCGTCGGAATAGTAAGTGCGAGTGACGTTCAATGCTTCGACCGAGAAATTGCCATTCTGGCGCATTTGCGTCACCACTCGAGAATGATCCTTTTGCTTTGCTTTCTGCCTGATCTTCATCTTGCCATCTGTCGGATGTTTGTTTCAGCGGCCACTCATGATTTACCCGAGCTTGAAGGCGACATCATTGTGCTGGTGTTTCACGTGTTATGTTGTCCTCGTGAAAGATTGTTGGCTTTTCAGATGTCTAGACTGAGCGCGATTTATTGAAGAACTGATCATCGAGAGCGATAAGTTGCGAGCTATGCATCCACGAGCAAAAAGAACTGGTCCTTAACTTGGACCGGAACTGTGTCGTCGATATGCTACGCAGAATTATGGTCATCGACACAGACTGAGATTGTCTTCCCCAGCGCACTCCTCGAGCCTGCACCTTCAAAAACGCTGGCGCCATGTCTTCTAGCCTCCCTTTACTGATTGCACGTACGGCTCTAGATGCAGTCCTTGGTTCGATCTTTGTCGGAGTGCGGACTCACACCTACAGGACCGAGATTCGTGTCAGTTGGCCCCGCCTCACTCCAGCATCCTCTCCTACCCACTCCCAATATGTACAGCACTCCAGCTTCGACCAGAGAGCATCGGAAGCGCCTTGCTTTCCTGGATCTGTACCCGGTGGGTATGATCAGACGTACAGGAGAGTCTGGACTCGCCCGCTGCTGAACTCGGGCAGAGCAGTCCTTTCAAGCACCTTTGAGAAAGACCACTACGCTTCTCTCAATCAAGCGGCTGTCGCGGGATGGTGGACGTGTGTTCATCGTCGCCACCGCGCCAGTTACCCTGCCCTTGCTGTCGCTTCTCCCTCTACTCCCTATCATGAATCACCCTCAGACACACGCGAATCGACCCTGCCTACGGGACCGGGCAAGGTTTCGACCACCACTGTACGTTGACGCCAATCTTGTTTCGCTGCGTGGGTTTGTCCTTGCCGTGCCACAGAGAAGTTAGCCACTCGTCCAATGCGCATTGAGAGCGGATAGGATGCATCGCATCCAGAATGGTGCAGCATGGGCGGTGCTTGGTATAGAGGCCGGAGCCAGGGTTGCAACTGGGATTGAGACCGGTGCTGAGATTCACCAGAGTCGCTATCGCTACCACTGCCCCTGTAGGCTTCCCTTAAATTCATCTCGGATAACCCGTCGATTGCATGGCCTCCGTCACCATCGCCATCGTCGTCGCAGTCTTTATGATCATACCCTTGATCTCCTTCACGAGACAAGGAGGCCGCAGATCCCGAGGATTTTGCAGCAGTGTTCACTTCCACGTATCCGTTCCGTACAAACACCCAATCCCAGTCATGGTCATGGTCGGAGCCTTCTACCTCGTCGTCTTCAGAGACCATGGTCCAGCCGTCAACGGAGCGTTCAGCGTCCTCGTCCTCGTCAGACCCAGGCTCGAGCCCGGAATCACAGTCACCTAAACCAGTTCGGAAGCCCCGTGGCCCTCCAATCCTCCAGCACGACATGTCGACGACACGCGGTTCTGGCGGCGGAACAGCAAGAACAAGGGCAAGAACGGAGGGCAGATACTTGCGGAGTCTCCTTGCCCGGGCAAGAGTGAGAAGGAGTAAACGTCTCTGAGACATTTGGGGGGATAGACCTAGACAGTACTGTGGCAGTTGATCAAGAAGCGGGGCGGGACCACAGTATGAAAATGCAACCTGTGCAAAGGGCAGAGAAGGAGAAAAAGACAAAAGCCGACATTTTAAATAGCATTATAGTCCACTGAGCCCCTAGGCACTCACCTTTGATCAATAACAGTGCAACCATAGTGAAGATCCTGGTTGCAAAACGAACGTGTTGATCTGTTCACTCCTTATGGTGGGCGCCTGGAGGAAACAGCGTGGTCGAATCCTTCCAGCTTTGACCAGATTGTAGTCGGCGAGCCCCTGAAGGCTTGGCGTGATGTTCAGCCTTGTTGTCCACGGTCTTGTCATACCGGAGGACTCTGACGTTGGGGAAGATGTTGTAGCTCGCAAGAAGCGCGAGTCACGCATTTCATTTGAATTCTGTGCTTAGAAATGCTATAGCCAATATGCCAATCGCCAATGTTTTACTCTAATGGTATCTCTCCTTGATTTGCCAGCAGACCCAATAGCTGATGCAGCCGCATACATATACCTCCCTCTGCTCAGGTCCATGAATGGCTCTACTCCACAGACTAATCAGCCATGTATTCTCTCAGAAGCCCTTCTCAAAATCGGGAGTGGTAAGCTCTTCTTTGACAAAGGGCCTTGTCAAACGGTAAGACCAGCCTGGCTTTTCTTTGGCGGTCATCTCCTTCTCTGGGGAACGTTGCTCTTTCTTCCGCAAATCGCCTTGAGTATTCGCCTCACTTGGTGGATAGATGTGCTGCTCGATCGATGGCGGACTGCCCTTACCATTCACACGGCGCTCTCTGAGGTTGGTATGCGACAGTCGAGTAATGAGATTACCTAGCTTCTTGCCCAGTGGTGAACTGACCAAAGACGCGCTTCTCTCCCGGGCCTTTGAACGTCTGCCTGACACCGACGATGCTTGACTGTCTGATCTCTCGGGAGATTCATTCGTCGTCTGATTCCCAGGTGTTGCCAAGGCTCGCTGACGACTGACAGCTGGTGGTGCCTCGTCTAGTCCGGAGCTGGAATTCACTTCGGAGATCTTGCTTAGTTGAGCAATGGAAGGGCTGCCTGCGTTGAAATGCTCAGGTGTGCGCCGCAGCTGAGCTTGATAGATCCATTTCTTCCGGAGCGAGATCGGGACTTCATGAGCATTGGTATCCATGATGGAGCTGTGAACAGCCAAGCGAACTCCTCTGCGAGAGAACCTTTGTGCCAGAGCATCTTGCTTTTTCTTCTTGTCAGAAGTGGGCAGAACATCCTCGATCACTGAAACATCCACACCAGTAGCAGAGGACAAGTTGCGACCGTGTGCACCAGGCTTGAAGGAAGGAGTTATATCGATGGATCCAGCAGATGATGTTGAGGAAGAGTGCTCGTGAGATTTGTTCGCGAGGTTGTGAAGGTCTTTGATGGCGTGTCTGCTCGCAAAGACGGTCTCGAGGATTGCAAGATCTTCCTGTATCGTGTGAGGAGAAGACTCGGCGAGGCGACCAGGTGAGCTGTTGTATGTCAGATATGCAGCATGTGAGAGTTCAGGCTTTCTTACTTGTGCATTCCATATTCCTTCCCGTGATGCAGTACGGTACGCATGACAATAAGGGTGGTCTTGTTCGCCTCGAGGTGTTTCTGCAGCTTTTTGACATATCTCTTCTTGGCCAACCAACCGACTGCACTGGTATTCAGGCCGTTAGCCTTCTGCATCTCCTGGCAACAGTCCGCTATGTCCTCGAAGATCCCACCGAGGTGATTTTGGACCTCAGCCAGATCTTCACCGAATGCTTCAGTGTAGAGATCTTTGTTGGCCTTGACTGCAGCATCGAGACTTTGAAGTTCATTAGCAAGAAGTTTAAGTTCGTCAGCGGCGTTGGAAATCTCGGTCGAGGTGCTGTCATGACCACAGTGCTGACGTTGCTCGTTGAGGTCATCGGACAAGGAGTCTGCTTGGACTGCAAGTTTGACGAGGCCAGTTGTCTCTCCCCACGACGATGAAGAAGCAGTAAAGTAGCCAAAGCGGGCGGCTTTATCCTCATTGTGCGCCATGATGGCAAGGCGGCCGGATCTGTGTTCGCGGAGTGCAACAAAAGATCGGAAAGAGGTGAAGTCGAGTGAAGCCTCTGAAAGACGGGTTGTGAGGCGCCTTCACAGTTGGGTGAACCACCTGTTCCCGTCGCGACTACCGACTTTCTTCACTGCAGAACCTGAGGAAGGAGGATTTAAGAACACACTGCCTCATGATCACATCGGAAAAGGTCCAGCTCATTGTCGCTGCTGATGTTAGATGATATGGACTCTATGGAAGCTGGGCCTGGTGCTCTGACATGCCCTTTCTCTAAAATCCGCCTTCCTGTCAAGTACGGTACGCTTGCATATCGCCATCCGACTAGATCAATCTCATCGCCGTCTTGTCCATCGACCTGCAGTGGCTACCTACAGATCCTTTCCATTTCACCCCAAACTCTACTCGCCTATCCATCATACCACTTCTAGAAGTCGCAACGCTTGCACCCAATGCTGATCGATGTGTAGTGGTTGTCGCCGATGCGGAGGTTCCACTCACATCCACAGCGTGGGCAGTCATGCTCATAGTTCACAAACGCCAGAAACAGATTGAAAGCATTCTTCATCTCATCAATCTCAGCACGTAGGCCCTCGTTCTCATAGCGAAGGTCGTCCTTGATTTTTCGGTTGGCCGACCGTGACTGCTGCAGCGCCTCCTCTTTGGAGGCGACCGCTCTCTCCAGATCTTCGACCTTCTCAGTGAGCTTTTGAAGCGAACGGTCAACTTTCTGAGGCTTGTATTTCTGCATCGCCTTATTCGCACCCTCCCATTTCAGCACAGAAGCCTTCTCGTCAAGCAACTCTTGCTTCAATGACACCTGCGAACTCTCCAGCTGACGGACCGTCGCCTCAGCTGTGTCAGCCCTGCCTTTAGCCGATGCCAGATACCTTGACAACGTCTCCACCTGAGACTTCAGCAACTTCTTGGAATCCTCGGCCTCGGATTTCTGTTGGAGGTTACGTGTCTCTAGAGCTGAAAGCTGCTCCTTGCTCTTCTCCAAGTCCTGAATTGTCTCTCTCAGACGGGCGGCCCATTCCTGACGGACGGACATCATTGCGTTCCAGGTCATCGGATGAAGCTCTTCGATCAGAGCCACCAGGGCACTGTCTTTTTCCACAACCGGCAGGTATTTTGCGCAGACGCCGATGAACGATTTGGCGAACTCCCTATGCTCCCTGAGAACATAGGTCGCGCATGTGCAAAAGTCGCAAGAGAGTGGGAGTCCTGCCTGTAGTTCGGCTTCAAACCAGGCCGAGACTTTGCCCATGGCTACTCCCTTCAACGCCGGGATCTCTAACTTCTCTGCCGCAAAATACAAATCTACCTCGGAGATGACTTCGGCGTAGCCCCTGCAGGCTTCCATATCGTATGGGTCTTTCAGCGCAGCCTGCTTGGCCAGCATGATTGCCCACTTCTGCTTGTTGGTGACGGTGTCTGTCGTCCTGGTAGTGCCATCATTGAGATCGACAGTAATTGGCTTGCCCTTCACCGTGGTAAGGAATTTGTCTGTGATCGGGAACTTTTGATGCAGCGGCAGGTGAGAGAAGGCGTTGGATTCCAGGGTCTTCCGGTAGGAATCTGGAATATCGCCGTGATAGACGAACGTGAGTACTTTCCCCAATGCAGCAGGTGAAACGTCGTTGACCATGATGGCTTCACCGTCAAATAGCTAGAGATCGGGTCAGTGCTGCGGCATACCAGGAGAGATCCAAACAGACCATTGATGCACATGCATCTGCCCTCAGGAACCGTGAACTAGCGGCAATAATCGTCCTGTGAACAAAAAAGAACTCCCCGTTGCAGATGAGGATGAGATCGGACCCCTCCCCCGTAGTCAGGTATCGCAGTAAAGTGCCCATGGTGAGACCCCAAGGACAAGGAGTGATTGAGGAATGCACAGTCAAAGATGAAGTGAATGTTGGTGAAACGGCGAAGTGAGGAGCAGGTGAGTGTTGGTGTATTTGAAGTTAGAAAACAAAGCAATTGGGCTGACTGTGGCGCTTCAGCCACAGTTCTGGGGTCCCAAAAGTCAACTTCGGGCAGCCCGACCAGCTGCACCTGCCTCGAGCCTGCCTTGATTGTGCGGATTCATACTGAAGAGACCAAGGAAGGGCTTCCCGACTGAGATGAGTGTGCTGATGTGGGATCCACCATGAGTGAGTGGCTTCATTCGCCTCAGATCTGGTTCGGCCGAATTTTGAACTCGTTCCTCTATCGTCTCAATCTTCTTTTAGTTACGTCTGTTGTAAACAGATGATGCGTAAAGTTCAAAACCCTAACTGGGTTTCATCATCAACATCAAGCCTTTCTCTTTTCATTCTCCATCCCCGAACAGATCCTCCAAAGTCTGACACATCCTCTTCTGCAACTCTCTCAGCTCCCCCCTATCGATTTTGCCTTTGTGCTGGCCAGGGTTCTCCTCGGGTCCATCCTTCATAATCACCAATTCATGCTTAATAGCATAGAATGGGACGCCCATTTCCCTGAGCTGTCTGTCGAAATCCGCAGTCATAGCACACAATGCCTTGTAGACTTTCTCATCGTAGGCTCTGAGTTCTGCTTCGTTCGCTTTTCGCTGTGCGGCATCTGGCAACGACGGTTCTTTCGTAACGACCGGCACGTTGGCTCCAAGTGACTTCAATATAGCCGAGACTTGTTGCGAAGTGCCTGGCCTCCCCTGCTGTCGTTCAACGATAGCTTCACGACCTGCCCACCATTCTTCCTCGTGCTTGTGTTGCTCCCTAATCAGATGTTTGACCCGGTTTGCGACCTTCTCGTTGGGGACGAGATGGCGAGTGACATGTTTTAATGCTGCTGGCCAGGTGGTGATGCTCGATGCATCTGGAGTGTCATACTTGGGCGTGGAGGTTTTACTGCGAAGAGGTTCTGCTGATTCATAGGCTGCCGACATCCTGGGCTGACTCTGGGTTTGTACGGGTGGAGGTGACTGTTGCTGACCGTTGAATGGAGGAGTCATGGATCTGTCGTAATTATTGTGTTGTGGAAGTAGGCCAAGGCCCGGTATGCTTGGTGTAGGGATATTTGCAGAATTTAATCGCAAGGGGGCTTGATTCTCATGAGAGATACTGGAATAGAAAGAAGGCTGGTGTGTTTGATATTGCGTTTGCTGTTGCTGGTGAGAAAGGCTGTTCAGCGCTGCCAGCACTCGCTGAACCTCCGGGTTGCGGTTGCCCTCCATCTTGGAATATATCTACACTAACGGCGACCAACCACGGCCATTGGCAGGATCGCAGTATTCTTCAAAAGCAAGACTCCTTTATTCGCTCGCAAAGTTGGGAAGGTCAATCCTAGGAAGGGTTTGGGAGTATGAAGACCTACAAGTTGAAGGTCGGACAAGAAGCCAGATTTGCTTGGCAACATTTCAGCCTTGCGTTCTGACGAGGCTGCACTCCTTGTTGCCTTGCTACTTCGCTTCCTCGCTACATAACTAGACGGAATGGCCCAGTGCTACACCATGCCAGGCTGTAGTAGACAGAGCAGGCACACATAATATGTCAGAGTTATTCATATTGGCGGCTGCAATGGCTTTGCCTAGTGCTGGTCGCTCGCCTTTGCGTCTTCCACTCGAATGCATCAATGAGCCTAACTTCTGTGGCACTCTTGCCCAGCCCTCTCACCCGACCAACGACCGCCTTCCCGAAGGAATTGCCGTCTTTACGGGTGGGGCACCGACATGTCGCAGAGTTCCCTGTATGACAGAAAGCGTGAATCTTGTTTGGGTACATCGGTATCTTCACCGAAAGGATAGAATCTCCACGAAGATAGTGTGCTTGAAGAGCTCCGTCTTGGCGAACCTGCAAGCTCCTTCTATCTGAGGCGAAATCAAATTTGTCCGTCTGACAGCCTCGGCGAGCACATGCGCTTCGTGCCGTGACAGCATACTGGAGTAAGTACGGAACTCGCTTTAAGCATCAGAGCATCTAGACAAGGCCCTCGAGCGTCGCCTTCTCGCTCGAATGCATGCACGATTCACAATCTCGCCAGAATGTGCTCCACATCTTTCCTTCGATCTGATGGATTGCTTCGTTGCTGGTGGGCACATGCGTTCGGCGCGAACTCTGCCGGTAACAAGACCGATCTCTAGAGAGTTTGGTCCGCAAGATCAGCTCCATCTGTACAGTTGCGAATGACTCACCGCTTCCGCACGTACTGTAGGGCAGTAAGAGTGAGGTTAGAGCTGCGATAGATAGTTATTGCTCTGAAGGCGTCTCCACCCTAGGGTCCGGTGGGTGGCCAGAGATTGTTGTAGACTACGACGGAGCGTTCTCGCAAGGCTGTCCGCGTTTCGCAAGAACTTCCACAAAAAGGTTTATGGCTCCAATCCGTGTACAGTGAAGCCTGCGGTGGTCTTTAATCATGGACAGCTTATTGATGCGATGAAGAGCAGGAACTGAGTACGACACGGTAGGCGGCCACCGGGATCATAAGGAACCCATCACCGACCCGCTCAACTCCCGGAAAAAATGCTCCAGAAGGCCAGCACATGTATTTCCAGGGGCAAGACCGAGCTTTCATGAAGACTCTAGATCTGGTAAGCCAGAAAACGGAGGCATAAACCTCGGGAAGATAAGACCGGGGACTCCTGCCTCTTAACCTGAGCGACCCAGCATTGCCCTTATCTTCCAGAACAACGCCTTCGCAATACATTCTCAGATAACCACAATGCCGGGCGTACTGGGCCGGAATTTGCCCGAGAAGAGTGTCACTATATTCGATGGAGGAGATATCGAGTTCGAGGCCACGAACGTGGCACAATAGGCCGCGCGGTGGTCGCGATCCTGGAACGCCCCGAAGAGACTGCAAATGAACACGTCTATGTCAACAGCTTCGCTACCACGCAGAACAAGATGTTGAAGGCATTCGAGGAGCTCAGTGGGGATAAGTTCAAGGTGACACATGCGAAGATGGAGGATTGCAGCAAAGCGGCCCATGAGAAGATGAGGTCCGTTCCAGCGAAGGGAGCAGTGTGGCTTCGGGGCGGATTTGAAGCGACCGTCCTCATCATGCTCGACCATCGAGGATTCTGGGAGTATTCGAAGACAAAGGGCCTCTGGAACGAAAGACTTGGGCTGTCAAAGGAGAACCTGGAGGATACGGTCAGATCTGTTCTGGCCAAAGCTGCGGCATAAGCTTCGAGACGGAAGAGACCTTGTATCGTAGGTGCCTGGGATGATTACCACTGGACTTCCAACTCCAGATGAATGACGCGATCTGCGCGTAGCTAGACTTGTAGTCCACCGTACGGAACCCCCAGAAAAGTGGGCCATCCATCCATCATGCCATGTTCGTTTTCGAGCTTCATTTTACGGATTGGAAAGTCTTGCCAATCCAACACTCCATCCACCGTCGTGACTCTCTCCCTTCTCCGTGTACATTAGTTACCCTTTTCCGAAGCGGTGTCTCTTATGCCGAAAGTGTAACAAAGCAGCTAGACGAACCCATTTCCCAGCCTCAACTCAAAAGTCGACATGAAGACTTTCTCGTTCAACATGTCTCGACGACCTCCGGCAGACACGTTCACACGCTTTACCTCAACAACCCCTCATGCCACAACATTCACGTATCAGCCGTCCTCACGGCCAACCAGCAGACCTACACCATCATCTTCCTCACCTTCGCCTTCACACCCATCTCCGCCCTCACAACCTCCTGACCCTCAGTCACAACCGCCCCCGAGTGAGACGCCGATGGAAAAAGTGGCGCGCCTGCGCGCCGCGCACCGTGCAACTCTGGCCTCCCAAAATACTTCCACGTTTGACCGTCTGATCTCCTCCGGCAGGAACATCGCCGATCGCGCGCACCGCCTCACAGCATACGGATTAATCCTCTTTTCCGGGCTAGCGGTTTGCGTGACTGCCTACGGCACAATTTCTCTGATAGCACATTCTCGAAGACAGAAGCGCGCGTGGATAGAGAGGGAGCTGGATCGTTTGGATGAAGCGCGAAAAGCATTCTTACGAGGCGACGCCACGGCGGAGCAGTTGCATCTACTCGAGCAGGAGAGGGCGGGCCAGGAGATCGAGGCTGCGAGGATGAAGGAAGCGGAGAGGAAGAAGAGTGAGGGCGTCTGGGGCCGGGTGAAAGGGCTTGTTGGAGGTCAATTGGCGAAAGGAGAGATGGGGGAGGAGACTGCGCAGGAGAGGGAGAAGAGGTTGACGAGGAAGCACAGAGGTGGGGAGGCCGGATGGATTGAGGGGGAGGTACAGCCTGTGGCTTCTGCGACCTCACCCGCACCCATGCCCGGCTCTGTCGTTCGGACGGCCGTGCAGGTTGCGCCCAGCGAGATTCCAGGAGTAGGCATTGACTCCAAGGGCCGGCCTGTACCGGCTGGCAGGGTGGAGTACGTCGCCAGCAAGGTTGCAGAGGAACCAGGCACACGCGAGAGAACAGTAACGGTGCGCGCTGGTGGCCCGCTCGATGTTATGGCCAGCAATGTGGCAACTGCGGTTGCTGGGTCTTCAAGTACAGAGGGCAAGAGTTGGTTGAGTTGGATCAAGGGGAGCCCCAGCAGTTAATCTTCGGACTAGGGTTGAAGGCTTTGTCTGGAGTGTGGCTTCACATTGAACGGCCGCCAGCATATTATTTGTACAGCTACTGTAAACAGCGCATTCTGTGCAGAAGGAGCCATCGCACCTCTCGAATCAAAGCATCAGAGTGGGAAGAATCTATGTTGTGATTTCGCCTGCACGCTTCTCTGATGGAGCGCTTCCCGCGAACGTCAATGCCTGTAAACCACTCGCTTGCAATCGTAATGCATCGTATTCGTCCATCGTTTCTTTCGTAATCATTCATGTGCAGGTGCGTCACGTCCATATAATGTGACTGTAATGCCCCGGCACCTTCTGCAGACACTTCTCACAGTCATTCAGAAACCCCATGTGGAGTCTCCCTGTCCTCGCCCGCCCACTCGGACTGTAATTCCCATCAAGCCCATATCTTCCGTTTGTCCAGTGCGCACCCTCGCCGCATTCTTCCCGGTCCATCATCATGTCCATCTCCTGATCTTCGACCGGACTAGGTAAGCCATCACGGCTAATCCACGACTCTTGCTCGATCATCGGGCTGAGATTCGTGCGCAGTGGCGGGAATTGGTGACGTGGCACGCTTGGCAACTCGTTGACGCGATGGTCGAAACGGCTACAGATAGGTGTGGGGACTCTCTCGCATGCGAACGTGTCCATTGCGCTGAGGAGGTTCGAGTCACGTTCAGGTGGCATTATGTCGTTTGATCGGGCGCGTCGGATTCGAGGTTGGGTGATGAGCGGGGTCGACATGTCCATATCGACGTCAAGATCGCCGCACTGGGCTTTGATCGACGAAGTGCTGCTGTCGCTCCTGGGTTGGGAGTCCTGCTTGGACAACTTCCACGTCTCGTCATCTTGGCCTTGGTGACCTAGGCTCTCGTCATCCGAGGTGTCGACGGGGGTCGGAGGTTGCTGGTAAATGGACGTGTAGAGTGAAAAGGAGGCAGGAGGAGCCGAGACAGTCGGTCTACTGGGCGATAAGCGGATGGGCAGACAGTGAGTAGCCGTGGATCGTCTTTTGGCATCATGAGAACCGAAGGGAGAATCGTCGTCACCCCGGTGGTCAAAATGTCTTTTTCGCTTTTGCGGGGGTGGTGTCGAGATGTGGAAGCGGAACGCGCTCGAGGAGGTATCGACGTCGGGCATGGCGTTTGAATCGGCGTCGTTAGAGACGGACATCTGAGGTTGGTCCTGAAGCAGTTGCGGAGCAGTGGTGGAAGCGTTGCTTGATTGAAGGAGTTCTTTTATGTTTCCAGTGCGTTGATGCTGGTCATGGCCTTGATGCTCCAGGGGAGTCGATCAAACGGTGGCAGTGTCGGGCGTGGACGACTTGGTGTGGATGAAACATCGACAATCTGACTGAGGACCAACCAGAGCGCGCGCCAGGCCTCGGCGAATAGCCGGGCTCAGTTGCAGGTGTTCGGAGCGTAAGCTTTCCGTAAACGTGGCAATCTGTATAGGGGGAGGCGAAGTCACAGACTCAGGCATATATCACAGTGTACGAGTACAGGGCGAGAGGCAGCTGACCTCGACCATGGCAACGAGCAGTGAGTGATGGGAGTGTCGGTCACCAGGAGGCAGTCACTCGCGTTTTGTGCGTCTGCCGAGATGCCGAAAGCTACCGCGAGCCGCAGGGAAACCGACGTCATCATTCTGTGGCTGCTCGTTTGACAGGCGGAGGGTCGGAATGATGGAGAAACATTCATCCGTAACCCGTCCAGACTGTCCCTGCAGCCTGTCACACCGCCTTTGTTTGTGCCCCTCATTCGAACTTTTTTTGGGCAGTCCGGCCACGAGGCGAGCGCAGTCATATTCCAGTCCTCGCCGCACGACACCCTTTTGTGCCCATAGTGTGAATCATAATTGAAGAGCTCTACGCTTAACAGACGAGCTCTTAAAACACTTCCTATTGCTTTCACTTCCTTGGTTGTCTCTTTCTCACCTCTTTCTCTCGATTGCTCTCTGCCTTCCGCAACCCTGATCTTTGCATTACCAGTGTCCCATCTGCCATCTTCGCAGAATGCCCGCAGTCGATGCTCCTGCGCCCACCGTGGGTGAGGACGTCCGAGTTCTGGGCTATGACCCTTTGATCCCTCCCGCGCTCCTGCAAGCAGAGATTCCCGCATCGCAAACCTCCGTTGAGACAGTCGCCAAAGGGCGCCAAGCATGCAAAGAGATAATCCACCAGCGAGATGACAGGCTACTGGTCATGGTCGGACCGTGCTCGATCCACGACCCAGCCACAGCCCTTGAATACGCTCAACGGTTAAAACAACTTTCCGAGAAGCTTTCCGCAGACCTCTGCATCATCATGCGAGCCTACCTGGAAAAGCCGCGCACAACAGTCGGGTGGAAGGGACTCATCAACGACCCCGACATCGACGAATCCTACAAGATCAACAAAGGCCTACGGGTATCGAGACAACTCTACGCCGACCTCACGTCGATGGGCATGCCTATTGCGAGCGAAATGCTTGACACAATCTCCCCGCAGTTCCTTGCCGACCTGATCTCTCTTGGTGCGATTGGTGCAAGGACCACGGAATCCCAACTGCACAGAGAACTTGCCTCAGGTCTCTCCTTCCCTATGGGTTTCAAGAACGGCACAGACGGGTCTCTTTCAGTCGCAATTGACGCAGTGGGCGCCGCCGCAGCACAGCACCACTTCATGGGCGTGACAAAACAAGGTCTCGCGGCAATCACAAAGACCAGTGGCAACGAGGACGGATTTGTTATCCTGAGGGGTGGATCAAAGGGCACGAATTACGATTCCGAGTCGGTCAAAGCAGCTCGCGCTGCGCTAAGAGGAAAGGGGCAGAGAGAAGTCATGATGATTGACTGTTCACACGGCAACTCGAAGAAGAACCACAAGAACCAACCGATTGTCGCTCAAGACATTGGCGACCAAATCAGACAAGGCGAGGACAGCATCGTGGCGGTCATGATCGAGTCCTTCATGGATGAGGGCAATCAGAAAGTGCCCGCCGAGGGCGGTCTTGCAAGCCTCAAGAAGGGCATAAGTATCACGGATGCTTGTATCAACTGGGACACGACGGTGGAGGTGCTCGAACAGTTAGCCGACGCAGTGCGGACGAGGAGAGAGGTGGTCAAGAAGGGACAGCAGAATGGCACCAACGGTGTTTCAAATGGCCATCATTAAATGAAGCGATCAGCGGTCCGGCCACGGCACTACTCTCCTTTCCGGCGCGGGAACATCTACTGTACTCCACGCGAATAGACACGGCCACAGCTGAAAATCCACCAATCTCGCATTCGTCGGCGTCGTTGGACACGAGAAATAGCATCCAAGCTAGAACAAAATTTTGCAAGGAAGGAAAAGCAAAGAAAAGGTGAAATGCACCTGGGACTCACTTGCGTGTCCCCCCGTCTCCCATTTTTGTAAGTTAGGCGTCGGGGTAGACCGGAGCCAGGCTGTCGGCGCACAATAGTACGTTGTTCATACAGCTCGGCTCGTACGTCGAGTTCCGTCCTTTTCGACTCTGACCCACGTATCCTGCTTCAGCTTCGATCGGTCGATCCGACTGTTTTCTGTAACGCTGCCGCATCGTGCGAGCCTGATACTTCTCGCCCTATTAGTCCACGCAACAAGTCCGCAGTACCGTGTATATAACCCGCCTTGCTTCCTCGTCCGAAGGCCAGCCATGCCATGAGATGAAGGCTGGCAAACCACCATACTGTGAACTCGTGGTAGATGTTGTAGGGTGTCCAAAGTGTCGATTCTCCTACACAAATGGTCCACGTGGCCGTAAGGTACTGTGCCGGACACCTATCGTGCGGAGCGTAGGATATTGTTGAAATCAGTTTACCTCTCCCTCCAAGCAAAAAGGTACTGCTAAATTGAATTTTCTGTATGCACAAGTCTTGATGTTGTGATTCGGAAAACCCGCGGCAGGCTACATATCCCGGAGTCATTAATTCGAAGCGCTGCTAATTATGCTATGCGGGCTCTGGTGTCTACGCCTATCTCATGAGAACCAAGAGCACGACCATCCATGATGCTCCATGATTCATCCGTTCCAGCACCAACTCTCGCCTGTGAAGAACAGCACGAAGAAAAAAGCAGCCCACTTCAAACTCAGCATAGAAGTATAGGTCCGAGCGCGAGCACCACTGCACCAATTTTGGCAGGTCAGTCGCCACCTGAGCAACAATCCCAACTGTCGTATGCGAAGACATCCCTTCCCTTCACGCCCACCTACCAGAACGAACACCACCCGATGTAATGCTGACATAGATTCTCCACGTTCGTGGCCTGCAGGATCAACCGGTCGACCTGCTCACTAACACCAAGGCCTCCGATACCTGCCATTGTCGTCTCGGGCGCCGTGCCTGCAATGACCTCCCGCTGCTTCATGTGGCCCAGATCATCCATGCCGTTACGCTGGTCAGTTGCGCCGTTGGTGATGTTGTTCATTACGCCATTGGTGCCATTCATGCCGGACTCTAGGCCGAAACCGTTAAAATCAGCGGGTAGGGCCTGCGTCGCGGCATATGACTGCGTGCCTGGGGTAGCAGGTTTGAAGTCACGACCCGTGAGTTTCTCCTTGACCCTGGCCAAGACCTGGAGCGCGCGGGCATTTTGTACTTCTTTGGCTTCTTGTGCGGCTGTATTGTTGTTATCGATGATTTTATCGAGGACACTGCCCCCACCCATGGCCGGGTCGAGAATACTGCTTCTCCGTGGGCGGCGGCCTGGCGGCGCGCCAACATGGCTTGTGCCCTGAGCCATTGCAGCCGGGTTGTGCGCGTTCTCCATTGGGCTGCGTTCGTAGTCTTCGTGCTGCCCGCCTGGTACGTCGATGATGCTTTGGCGTCGCTCAGAGCGGAAATGTGGTCGGGCGGGGGACTCGCGTGTGTTGAGACGCCAGTTGAGCAGAGGGTCATGGATGAAGGCCTCAAGGACGGCAAGGAGAGATTCCTTGTTCTCGCGGATGACGCGCATGACGTTTTCGCAGGTGATGCGGAACGAGCCTTCAATATTGCTGACTTCCATGGCGAAGGTGAGCATGCGGGTGAGGCGGAAGGGAACTCTTTCTGGGTATTTCTCGCGGTGCATCGCCACCTCGAAGCAGTCTCCGAAATCGATGTGAATTATCTTGCCAGTGATCCGATCGAGCATGAGATTCGACGGGTGACGATCGCCCAGACCAAGAATGTAGCCCACCATTGACATGACTGCAAGTGAGCGGGTGTAGTTTGTTCGGCGGTCGAGCCAGGCTTCGGAACTCTTCGACTTGAGCCAAAGGACGCGGTAGAGGTCCTTGCCAGTGGTGTTGTCCATCGCGTAGCCAAATACCTCCACTTTCTGCATGAGCGTAAGGTTATCATAATCTGGCGCCATTTGCAGCATGATTCTGTGCTCGATGTTGAGTAGGATACGCCGGGTCTCTCGGTAGTCTTTCACCAAGTTATGGAGAGTGTCCGAGTTGGGTACCCACCCAAGGAGTCCAGAGTTCTGAGATAGAGGAATCGCTGGGAATCGCTGAATGTTCAGGTGTCGCTTGAAAGACTCGGTGTCATTGTTGAGGAGAGTATTGACAAGGCCAAAGAGCTGCATCACGCGCTCATCTTGTCGAATATCTTCATGACCCTTCAGCAGATAAGCGTAGGAGATGCCGTCCGAGCCCTTCAATGTCATCTTTCGAGGTCGTTGTTTCGATGGAATAACTGTCAGTACGTGGTCGAAGCTCACAATCTTGGTAATAGGCTTGCCAGATTGATAGGTGCCTGGCACTGCCAAGTCCAGGTCGTGCGCATCCTTGAGACGTGGCGAAACGTACTTGAGATCGAGACTCATCAGCTGTGGGAGTTGCCGGGCGATCTTGCGGAACACCGCGTAGTACAAGTCCCAAGCTTGGTTGAGGTCACCGATCTCCTTCGAGCGACGGAAGGCGTTGCAGAAGGCCCTAGCTTCTGCAAGATCGTGCCCAAAAGCCTGAGCAAATGAGACCTCTCGGAGAGTCTCAGCCCCGCGATCGAGGAGCTCATGAAGAGGCGCCAGCGTGGCGAGCATTCCGTCCACGTTACCATCGCCGAAGTACAAGCGGGATGCCTCTTCCAATCCTTCGTGCCAAAGTTCATGCCAAAGCACAGCGACTCGGATGAGCTCATGACTCACCAAATCTGCTTGCTCGACAAGTTTGGGGCTATGCACTTTCATTGTCTCCATGATCTGCGTTGCAGAGTTGGCTCGTCGCGCAACTGAGGATTTCATTGCCACTGTCAGGGGATAGACAAGTGCCTGAGGGTGTGCTTTGCCAACTTCGGACAACAGCCTATGCACAGCAGCTCGGACTCTGACGTTGGGCTGGTTGATTCTGGCAATCAACTGAGGTATGACTTCCAGCCAGGTGTCTATGCTGACTGATGTAAAACCTTCGACCACGACTTGATTCACTTCGCTGTGTCCGCCGTGAGCAAACCATAGTGTTAACAGTCGTAGAGTATCCTGTAGCGAGCTTGTCTTCGAAAGCGCAATAGACCTAAAGAATCCAGCGATCGCAGGAACAACATGGGTCTTAATGACCTGTTCCGAGAGATTGCGAACTTTGTCCTGGTCGGTGTGAGCCGCCATCGACGTAACGACTTCAAAGTTTGCAAGGGCGTAGGCATGCCATGCTTTATACCAAGTCTCGTTATATTGTGTCGCAAGTTGGTACGAGTTGAGGATGTCTCCCACCGCATCTTGGGCCCGGGGACTCGTCCAATCTCCCCGAAGCAGGAATGATTGCCATTCTCCTTGTCGGAGGTAGCACTTGCCTAGGAGTTTTGAACATCTCTCCAGCTCCTCGCGTTTTCTTCTCTGAGCAAGCAAATCATGTCCATTCATATCAAGACCATTCATGTTGTTCAGTCTGTCGCTATGCACGCCGTTTGCCAAAGCAGTATTAGTCTGCTGGAAGTCGTCGGCAAGTCGGGCCGTGAAATCACGCAGTGCTGTGAGTGCCGTTTCTTGATGACCGGTGGCCCAGGTGAATTTGAGGCGAGCGTAAGCCACGGGCGGTGGCGCATCCACAAGATTGGCCGCCAGATTGCCTCCACCGCCCAGCGAGGACAGCGATCTTTCTGCTAAACCAATACGTTCCGACTTGCGACAGAGGTTGGCGAATTTGATCCAGATGTCTGCATTGTCCGTCGGTTTCAAGACAAGCGCGCGTACCTTGAGCATCCGTTGCCAGACCTCAACGTTGGACTGGCATCCGAGCAGTCTCTTGTTCCATAGCATCTTCAGTGATTCTTGCTTCTCCGAGTTGCCCTCACTCTGTTTATAGGTGATGATCTCTTCGAGTTCCGCAAGCATTTGTGTTCGGACCACAACGCTGTATGCGCGATTGTAAGATTCCCCAATTGTCGCGGTTATTTCGGAGTTGACGCCGTCCCGTGCCCGGACGATGAAAGATTGAGCGTCTGCGAAATGGTTGCGCTGAATGGCCAGGATCGCGCCAAAGAATGCCCTATCAGGTGAACTTTCTTTCATGACACTGATGTAATTGTCCATGAGATCCCACTCACCTCTGCCCCAAGCTGCGGCTGCAGCAAGAGCAGACATATTCTTCCGATTTTCCGTAGAAGCACTGTTCCAGTGTTCTTGGGCAATTTCAGACAGGATCTTCCATTCGCCCAGAGCGTGGAGACATCTCATCTTGCCCATGACAATGTCAAAGTTTTCCGGCTCGATCTTCTCACGCTTTTGGTAGGCTGAAAGGGCTTCTTCCCATCTTTGCAGCTTCTCGAACCATGCCTCCTTCAGTTCGACTTCTCCGAAGACTTGTGCTCTGCGAAGTATGCCAATAGCAGCGTCGGACTGTTGGAGCTGGTTGTTGATGCTGATCAGGGCCTCCACACTCTGGCTATTCTGGTCCTGTTCAAATTCGAGCTCTTTGTAGTGCAAGGCTTTGGCGAATGCATGACACTTGGCTGCAAATCGACCGAGAGTCCGAATGTCAATGGGTAAGGACTTGTCATCGTGCTCCATAAACTCGGCCAAGTTGAGCAACGTCTGTAAGATGTCCGGCGGGATGTGTGGGGACGTCAGCGCCTTTTCAATGGATCGAATCAGCTCTTCCTGATACTGATCATACAGCTCAGTCCAACATGAGACGAACGCAGAGTTGAACAGGTCTTTGGCCAGTGGTTGATACACACCAGCCAGACTTGCGCAAGCCCTTAATGCATGCGAGGGAGATTCCTTGAGCAGCTCAACACTGAATCGCCGCATCCATTCCTGCCAATCCTCCTTCGTTGACTTCTGTGAAGTGTCCCAAGCGTTCTTCAAGTGCTGCTGGTTGACGGGAAGTCTCATAGATGTGATGTTGGCATAAGTCGTCTCTTCTGCCGTTGATCCATACTGTTCTTCCGGGTAGAAATCCACAGGCAGAGCCTTGCCCGACTTGAAGTTCTCGATCAATTTCTGGAACCTGTCGGAGTTGATTTGACCTGCTTTCGTGGACCTCTCCACAAGAGGCAGATAGTGGGCGAAGTCCTGTCCAAGATGATATATCAGGGCGCATATGCAATCCAGCGCGGCAGACTTCAGAGACCGCTCGGAGGAGTTCGTAACGACCTTTTCAGGCGAGGATAAGATCTTTGATAGTGGATGAATCATGAGCGAGGCAAAGTCTGAGACATTGACTGTCCGGGACAGTTTGCCGAGTGTATCGATTGCCGCACGCCGAGCATTGGGTGGTGCTGCTGGGTTTTCGAAAATCCTGACAATTGCAGGTATTATCATGTGCATATATTCTTCGCCACTGGAGCCAAAGACCAGGAAGGTATGCAGGATCCGGATGGACGATTCCCTTCTGAGATCCGAGTCGTTCTCAATCACGCCGAGCATGAGGGGGAGGAGGCCAGCGAGATATCGACGGAATTCTCCTTCCAGAGACTTGGAGATGGCCTCAATCAGGGACAGAATGGTTGATTGAACCTGTCTTGACACGTTCCAGAACTCTCTGATCACCTCGATGATGTCGGGCAAGAAAGCTCGAATATGTTGACGTACAATATTGACAAGAACTGCAAGCTGGTTGAAATAGGACTCTAGACGAGGAGGGGGAGAACTGCGGATGACGCCGAGAAAGCCTGGAATGATCTGACCCAGGAAAGGTACGCACTTCATACCAATAGTTTTGAAGATGGTGACCACAGCGTCAATCACAGCGCTATGGTACTGAACAAGGGTGTGATCTGCCAGTATGGTTTGCATGAGCGTGTTGATGACAACTGTCGGGTAGTATTCCTCGTTCGACGGCGTCAACCCTTGCATGATCAAGGCGACATCCGAAACGGGTTGAGTCTCTGCCTTGCTTTGCTTCTCCGCGACGGACTCGCTGAGCTGTTGGTACTTGTAAGGGTCCAAAGCGCCCAACACGCCTACCAGTTTGATGGCATCCGTCCTGAGCTCTTCATGCGCTTCGGTCTTGATAATGTTGATGAGGATTCCAAGAAGCTCGGGATAGTCCATGAATGGGTCGATCACATACTGCGAATTAATGGCAAGAGAGCTGAGCGTCTGCATAGCCGCTTCACGCTTCTCATGCGATGCTAGATCCTGTAGAGCATCGATGATAATGGGCATGAGCTCAGGAATGTGTCGGACCATCTCTTCACCACCGACGGATGTGAGATCTCCCAGTGCCTTTATCGTGGTTGAAGCAACACCTGGATTCGTATCAGTGGCTTTAGGCAGAAGTGCAGAAACCATCGCTTCCACATAAGTTCTGACCAGTGACGTAGCATTGGACACAAACAAACTGATCAAGCGTGCACTTTCTTCCTTTTGCTTGGCTGTGTTTGAATACCCCAAGCCGGTAAGCAGGTTGACCAGCAGCTTTCGTAAGGGCGGGAATACATAAGCTGGGTTGACTGTGGTCAGTCTTCCTATGATTTCAATGGCGGCTTCGCGAACTGGAAAGACCTCGTCATTGACAGCCAAGAAGAGGCAGCGTATGTTATCCGGACGAGCCAAGTGCTTGTCAAATTTCTTATCCAGCGCTCGGAGGACAGTAACTCGGATATCGGCATCCGGGTCTCCAACAGCCACCGTCAGCAGCTTATCCACCACCTCGCCAACAACCTGTATGGCGTTGTTGCTAGTTTGGTGCAAGATGGGGTCTAGCATGAATAACTGACAACAGGTTAGGGCAGCTGCGCGGCGGATTTCTGGATTTTCGTTCGTGGCATAACGGAGCGTGACGTCTCTAACGAACTCGTTCAGAATATGGCCAGAAAAGTCGAATTTTCCTAGGGTCTTGAGAGCTAATGTGATTTCATGGTCTTTGTGCTCGGCGGGCATCCCACCGTAGTCTTTAGCAAAAGACGGAAGTGGTGGAGTTGTGTTTGTAGGGCAGCCGAGGGGCCGGTAGGGCGACCGGACGAGTATCAAGCTGAGGAGGTCCAGTAGTTTGTCCTGTATAGTTGCTCGAATTGGCGGAATATTGTGCGCCATGTCTTCGAGTGCTTGTTCCATCGGTTCTGTAAGGCCACAGGCAAAGATGGGGTCAAGGAGGGCTTCCATATACTTGCTAAGTGTCTGTCCAACAGCACCCGCAAGCATGCTGATGCATTTGAACATGGGGCCCTCGTCGACCGCGGCTCGGTTCTTAGTCTTAGCGCTGAGCGATTCTCGGATGTAGAGAATGATCCCGTCAAGATACTGAGCCATAGCACTACCAACTGCATTTGCTATCTGCCCAATGGCAACAAAGGCTTGATTGCGTTCTTTATCCCGCTTCAGCTGTGCTTGAAGGTAGACCATAAACTTGTGGAGATAATTGTTGATGAACTCCAGAGGTGCATATTCCGCCAGGACAGGGATGACCTGCACAATTTGTGTCCGGATCCTAGGGTCTCGGTGGTCTTTGAACCGGAGGACAATCTCGCAAGCATTTCTGTAAAAGTCATGCATAAACATGTTGCCCTGTTGCAGTAGCTCGTTCAGGATCAGGAGTGAACCGAGAGTCTCGTCGACAGTCGTGTTAGGACGGAAGCCCTCAAGAGTTTTGGAGTATATTTTGGCAAACCAATGATTCTGGAATTGAGCATCTCTTGCAACCATGACACCAAAGCAGGCACTGACGGACTGGGCAGCGACTCGGCGGATGAGGTCTTTGGGGTCTCTGAGGGCGTTCCAGACTAGATCGAAAATCTGTGGGATGAAACCGTAGACGAGGGTTGGGGAGTTCTTCGCCAGCTCACGGATGAGTAGCACAGCTGCCAACTTGCGGCTCTCTTGCTTCGTTTCGGGTTGAAGCCATTCGAAGGCCGAAGTCAATTCAGCCTCGACGAGCTCTGCAGTATACGCTCCTCCCGGCCGAGCCAAATGGCCCAGAGCACGGGCGGCCGCATCGAGGACACTGTAGTCATTGCTCTTTAGCGCCGCGCGCAGGTAATTTGAGTACTTTGAGGCTTTCTGAGCAGGATCGATGGCATCGCAGTCTATCAGTCGGTCGAGGGCGAGGACTCCGCCTACTTTGTCGCTGGCGTCAGGAGCCTGCACAATGAGGTTACTGATGCGGGTCGTAACTTTGTCATAGAAGGTGCTGAAGCGCTCGGGGGACCATTCTGTACGGGAATTAGTACCTCTGTACTCCCGTTATAGGCCATCCGACTCACCGCGGGAGAGCAAGGTTATGAGATCGCGCAGCTCCGCTGCCGCCTTGTTCTTAACTTCATCATTCTTGCTGCGCAGATCTGTGAAGATGCGTTCACTTGGGTCGGGACCCGGGCCTTGCTGCGCCATGGTGCAAGACCATGGTCCTCACGGTGGCTCCTGAAGGCTGGCTGAGACGGTGCAGAAATCAATAATTCTGTAAAGAGTTGCTCAAAGAAAACGCCCATCAACTTAAGCTCATGTTCACTTTGCAACTTTCTTGGGATGAGGGTAGGTGTCACAAGGCTCCGCCGTTCAGTCATGCGGAGATTCCTCTTCGCGCCCGAGTAGCATTGCCAACAGGAAAGTTTAGCGAGCGACGGAGGCTGCGCCAGGGCAAGCCTAACGGTATCAAGCTCGGGCACCCCAGGCCCCTTAAGAGGTCAAGACATTGGCCAAGATGCTCGGCCAGAGCTACAATCATTAGAGATGCTTCTTGGATCTAGCAATGCTGCGTAGTAGATAATAAGTTCACGCTTTGTTTTACATTACTTTTTCCCTTTAACTGTGCACATTATCAGATTATATTGCTTGTCCGTCTGGTTACTGTCCACCTTCGCCAGGGGTCCTAGACGAACTGGACGACCCCCTTCGAACGTCGACACTCCCTCTATAAGGTGGTCTAGCATCGGCAGTGTCGCACTTCTTTCACTTTAGAAAGCACCCTCGCTCCACAGTAGCTGGCGACGAATGCGGGTTCCACTTATTCAAAGCCGTCTCCACGTGTATGACACCAATCATTTCGAATTTTTAAGAAAAGTTCGTCGAGGGTAGGAGAGGGCGATGCAATCAGCAACGATGTTGTGTGGGAACAACCCGTGCTTCCCAAGCTGCCTTTGTCACAGGGCAACACGCGACGCCAGTCGGCTTCAATGTAGTCGTCGTCAAGAACGCACCAGAGGCTCCATCTAGACTGGCCACTTTCTCGCCCTTGTGTTTGCCAGCACCAGGCCGGTGCAGCTTTCCGGGCCACTTGTGCCAGATTTGCGGCCCGATTTCACTGAGGAGCTCGAGGCGTGGAAGTCCTTCCATCATCATAAACTCTGATGTACCGGTAGAGTTGTATGATGCGGAGCTGGGAGCAGGAGAAGGATCTTTGCGAGGACGACCACTGATTGGGTAGCCGGGGAGATGCAAGGTGAGGCGAGAAACTTGAGCCAGAAATTGAACGCAATTGAAAGAATCGAGCTGACTGACTGACTGTGTCGTTATAGCTGCGCCAGGTTAATGTGTTATTGGCGTCCAGAGAGAAACTGACTGAAAAGTGAATGATTTTGAGAGAGTTTGAAGTACCCGCTTGCCCTAGAGTAACGTCCAGCGCACGCTAAACGCAGGATTGTACAAGGCCAACAAGGGAGTAACAAGTCTCCCGCCAAAAAAGCAAAGGCCCTTGATCTTGCCTCCGCCGTGGTGAAGGTCAAGCCCACGGTACAATGTCCACATGCGAAGCTGCCATAGTCAGCAATGGCCGGAAGACGAAGGGACACCAAGAGCAGCCAAATGGAGCAAACGGCCACGAATGGGACAAGTCGCCGTGAGATGCCACCAAAGGCCAAGGTCGGTGCCCTTCAAGGTCAGATAGTTTGTTGACATGCTTCCGTTGACCATCCAAGTAGTTCTTTGGAGCCGCATCTCGTCATTCAACATCAAAACTCGTCCCACATCCACAACTACTCGTCGCTCTTGGATTCCCTACCACCTTGAACTGGCTCCCAATCAACTCCTGCGTGAAATCAATAGTGCTGCCCTTCAGCAACTCTAGGGATGCAGAGTCCATAACAACTTCTGCTCTGCCGGAGTCATCCTTTGAGCTGGTTGACTCCCCCTCCGACGGAGTGTACTCGAATATTGTGTCCTCTTCTTTGTCAATCTTTGATGCGTCCTCGAGAGACATGAGGTACTGGAAGCCATGACATCCGCCACTCGTGACGGTGACTCGTAAATGCGCCTCCTGAGACGACGAAGGACTCGATGTTAACGTGTTCTTCTGAGGTGGCGCCGAGGTGATCTGTTTCAAGCGCTTCGCAGCTCGTTCGGAGATCGTAATGGTCATGTCGTTGCCTTCGTCATCGGTGCGGGGGTTCTGAAGCACAACCGTCGCCCTTGTGATGGATGTGCTGGAGAAATGTCGCCTTGAGGCTACCCTCGTGGATAGAGAGTCTAGTAATGGTCGTCGCGAGGATCCCAAGTTATGTCGCTGAATGGTAGAGGTGGAGAGGCCGGCTCTGCATGCTCGACATAGATGGAGGTACGTCGTCGCATCTCTGGACCTCCGCAGTGGTCTCGAAGCACCAAAGGCGAGTTTCAACGGGGTTTGTGACATTATGCCAGCGGGTAAACTGGATTTTGTACCGATCAAGTGAAGACGACTTGTATTCCAATGGCGTCGAGAGAGGAAGAGGAGCTGATGGAGCAGCGATGCCAATGACGCAGGATGGGCGTGGCAAAACGTCGGTCGAATTGCGTCGCTGACATTTACATACATGGACGAGTAATTATCGATCCCCTGGGGTGGGATACGTTCGGTTCTGTTCTGTTGCCCCGAGCCACAGACGGATTTCGGTTTATAGAGAGTGGATTTGACCATAGATCAGCTCTTTCTTTTTGGATCAGGGTTCCTCTATTTCGTCTACGACCTGTTGGACAGAAGCTACAAGCTGCTGGGCCAGGGCAATCAAACCGGCGGAAGGTGGCTGGGCAAAGGCCTTCAAATCTATACCGGAAGCTGTCACAGGGGTCATCTTGTACTCTCTCGAATATGTCACAGGGCACGGCCGCTACGGGAAGCGCAGATGATACCCTTGATCCCTTCTCAGAGGCGTACGCCCTCTCGCTCGACGGCGACGATCCTCTCTCCCACTTCCGCGCAGAATTCCACATTCCGACCCTGTCAGACTTAAGACGCTCGACCCTATCGCAGTCACCAGAGGAAACACCCTCGAAGCCATGTACATACCTCTGCGGCAATTCTCTTGGTCTTCAACCCATCCGGACCGCAAGTCTTGTTACCTCCTTTCTAACGCAGTGGCGGACGAAGGGCGTGCTAGGGCATTTTGTCGAGCACTCCGACTCCCCACTACAGCCGTTTCTGCATGTCGATGACCACGCGGCAAAGCTCATAGCACCGGTCGTCGGTGCGATGCAGGATGAAGTCGCCGTCATGGGTACGTTGACAGGGAATTTGCATCTTCTCATGTCGAGTTTCTACCGACCTAGTCAGAAAGGTACGGGAAGGTGGAAGATCATGTTGGAGGGCAAGGCCTTCCCAAGTGACCACTACGCAGTCGAGTCGCAGATTTTTCACCACGGTCTTGACCCAGCAGAGGCGATGATATTGCTGGAGCCTTTTGACGAACAGCATCCGATTTTGCCGACGCAACAGATTCTCGAAGCGATTGACAAGCACGCCTCCGAGCTTGCTCTAATTCTTCTCCCGGGCATTCAGTTCTACACGGGCCAATACTTCGACATGCAGACGATCACGAAGCACGCTCACGCAAAGGGCGTTATGATAGGCTGGGATCTGGCTCATGCGGTCGGGAACGTGGATTTGCAACTCCATGACTGGGACGTGGATTTCGCGTGCTGGTGCAGTTACAAGTACCTCAATTCCGGACCTGGGGCTATGGCAGGCATCTTCGTGAATGAGAAGTACGGCAAGGTCGACATGGACAAGGAGACGGGGCAGCGATACTGGCCCAGACTGAGCGGGTGGTGGGGCGACGACAAGAGCAGCCGCTTCCAAATGACGAACAGTAAGTTCTATGCTATGCAGCGACCGAACAACCTTGAGGGACTGATGGTTGGCAGAATTTGTGCCCAGGCCAGGCGCAGCGGGCTACCAACTATCCAACCCCAGCGCCCTCGATATCACCGCCGTAATTGCCTCGTTGCAAATCTTCAATGAAACCTCCATGGCTACGTTGCGAGCGAAGTCCCATCGTCTGACGGCTTATCTAGAACAGCTCCTCGCTGTTATGTCCTTGATTTCTCCAGGGAAGTTCGATATCATCACGCCCCGGAGCCCTAGTGAAAGGGGTGCACAACTCAGCATCCGACTAGCGCCCGGTCTGCTTGACCATGTGCTGGAGCACCTCGAGAGTAACGGTGTCGTTGTGGACGAGAGGAAACCCGATGTCCTCCGAGTTGCCCCGACGCCGTTGTACAATTCCTTCGCCGATGTTCTTCATTTCTGTCAGGTGCTTGAAGCCGCTTTAACCACTGAAGCATCATCCGGGCAAAGACTGGCCAGTGTCCCATTGGGATTGGAAAGCGTTTGAGCCGGTACAGCTGTCATTGAGACATGTCGAGAAGAGCTATTCTTGTGGCGCCTCCACTGCTGTCTTTGCCACTAGTCTCGGAGACTGCTGTACAAGGTGGTCAGTCGAGACGGACCTTCAACAACCTCTGAACTAGTTCATTGGAGAGCTTCTGCCTGACCCCGAGGATATCCTGCCCGACCTCACATCAAGCAATGCCTCGCGTTGAGGGCTTGCGTGGTTCGCACGGACGCGAGTCGCATTGTGGTACCGTCGCCGACGACGATCCGCAAGGAGCATTTGTTTAAACAGGATAGACTTCTAGTCGTCCTCGCTATCACTCAGCTCCGCTTCCCGCCATAGTACAAAATCGAACCTGCCGTCGAGGTTGGCGCGTATGTACTCCCGAATCATATCTTGAGTGTCCTCGGTCAGATCAAAGTCTGGATCGGCGGCCATCAGCGATAAAGTAAAGCCTTTCTGGTTCACTGCATCGAGACTCATCAAGTATTCCATGATCTGGTTAGAGTGGAATTGAGTCATGGCGTATAGCGTCAGGTTCTTGAGATGCTTGAGCTGAGCGAGAGGTGGCAAAATGTCCGCCGAGACCTCGCCACCACTAGTCCAAAAATCTTCAAGGAGTGGGAGACTGAGTGCCAGAGCTATGATGTGCTCTTCTGTGAATTCATCTGACACATCCTTCAGGGCCAGCTCTCGCAGATTGGTCAGGTTGCAGAGGCCCTCGACCATGATCTGAAGGTCATCAGGCGTAGTATCTTCCCCGTTCCCCTTGAGCCACACCGATTCCAGTGATTTCTGGTCTGCAAGTGCGCTGTGGAAGAGCTGGGCATTGACGTTGCGGACAGTATAGCCCTCGAGGGAAAGCCTGGTCAGTTTGACGTTCGGGGAATGCAGGACGCGAGAGAGCAGCGCAGGGCCATCGAAGAACTTTTTCAGGCTGAGATCTCGAAGCTCTGTGCACGAGCTGAGCCATTCAACCACCTCGAGAAACACATCGTTATTGAGCTCTTCAATCCTTACGGTGCCGTAATTGTCATCCAGCTTGAGCGTATGTATGGAAGTGCAACCCTTTAGCGCGTTCAGGTTCCGCACTGCGTCTTCGTTCAGGTTGCCGAGTTCCAACTGCTGCAACTTCCTGTGCCGTCCGAGCGCTCCGAATGAGAGCTTCCCAATATTGTTGAAGCTGATCATCTCGAAATAGGTGAGGGTATCTGGCTTCAGCTCAGTGAGGAATGCTGCAAATAGCTCGTCTGCATTTGGGGACATCCACTCGTGAAGGGTCAGATTCTTAAAGTTCTCGCAGTTCTCGGCGATCGCTTCGCCCGCGCCATTGATCAGTGCATCTCCCTTCCAGAGGACCATCGTCTCGAGTCTTGGAGAACGAGAAATCCATCGTGGTAGGAACCCGGGGCTGATATGGCCGTCAATCTCTTCGAGCAGTGTCGTCTTGGCAGTGACTGCATCTCCGATGGCGTTGACTGTCGCAACGATATCCACGACTTGTCTCTTGTATTCAGTCTTGGGGAAATGGAAAGGACGCAGTCTACCCGCGAAAAAGGCAGTTCGAATAGTGCCAGTAAAATTCATGTCCTCGAGCATTAGTGACAGGTTTCGAAAGTCCAGGGTCTTGATATAACGGCAGTACGGTTTGTAGGTGACGTCGTCGTCAAGACTAGACAGCGTGATGGAGCGCCATAACACCGTCCATCGGCGGAAGAACTGGGCATGTTCGGCATGTTTCGTAGCATAGTCACCGGGTCGCTGCTTGAACTCCATATCATCCCTCTGCTCAAATGCCGGCGAGAATTGATGTAATCTGAAGCGGATTAGTCTTGAAGGTCCAGGTCCGTCAATTAATAGCGCAAACTCACTGATACAATGTTCGGAGCGCTGGATCTGCAAATGACTGTGAGCTGAGGGCACACTTGAAGAGCGAGCCGAAGTCCCTGTCATTTCCGAGCTCCTGGCATATCAGGGACAGGATCTCGTCAGGGAGTGTCTCGCCTTGATACGAAGCCATGATTGGGTCTCTGGTCTGCTTTGGACGACTCAAGCCTTACTCGAGATTCAAAGGAGAGAGGTACCCATGGATCGAAGGGATAGCCAAAAGGCGAGAAAAGGAGCCAAGAGGCAGAGAGAATCTTGATGTCAAGCGTTTCGAGCACGGTCTATTGGAAAATGAGAACTGCTGCGGGAACTGGTGATCGTTCACTAATAACTTAGGTAGCATTTGTTGACCATTGCAATCTTCAGGCGAGTCTCAGAGATTCTTGCGGCGACGTCCACGATGACGTCAACGCGTCGTGTTCGAGGTGTTGCGAATTTGCGCGTTGGACTCGCGATTCACCGTGTCAGCGAAGACGAGGTGGAACAACGCTTGCATGGAGACAGAATGACACTCAATGCCGACTCTGTTGTTCACTGTCGCTCCGTCTGGAGTGGTGCACCTTCACGATTTCCTCACCTGCCTGGCAAGATTTGATGAAGATGTCTCGCTCGAGGCCACACCTCAATTCGTAAGTCGTCGTGCTGCTGTAGATGCCGTGGCTTCGCTCGACTAATAGAACAAGCTGCGGTTCTCGAGTCTGAACATATCCAAAACTGCTCATGCGGCATTTACACTTGATTCGTCCTTCTTCACCAAGTACCACTTCTCATCGGGGCCGAGACCTGCATCGGGCTCTGCTCCGCAGAAGCAATGGTCATGCAAAATCCAGAATCGGGTAAATTGCTTCTCACCTCGCACCTTAGCAAATGTCTGATCGTGGTAGGCACTCCTGTCCATCTTTAAACGTCGACTAGGTGATCGAGACAGGGAAGGTGGGCTCGAAACATGCGATTGCGAGTTGCAGGCCAATCCAGACCAAGCAGAATGCCGATTGGTCTTTCGACTAAACTGCCGTCAGGGCATTGTCAAGACGTATCGACTATTCTACGAGCCTGGAGACATCATGCATGCAGCTTTCGACAAGCTTGGGTCGACCAATTACTGGACCGCCTCTTCACGGACTCTCAGGGACGTGGTGGAATATTTCGGGCCCAAGACTGATCAACTGGATTGGTACTTCCAGAATGGAAAGGTGACCTTTACTAGCTATACCGAGAAGATCCAAGCTGGCAGAGGTGTGACACACTGCCGCAGCCGTCGGAACCGCGGACTGACTGAAGCGCAGAGATTCTCAAGCAACCTATGCACACTTCTGTTGCGGTGGAGCGAAAGGATTTCAACGATTTCAATGTCCAGGAAGGCCTTCATATTGGCACGATGGTCAAAGACTTCCGATCGATCATAGCTCATGCAGAGACTATGCGGACTCCGGTCACAGCAAGATACTCACGAGGTAACCGACCGATGCAGATCACTTACGGAGAAGGTGGCCTTGCAGCGGAATTCACCCTGATGACCAGAGGGTCAACATATGTCCCAAGCAGTGCTTCAGACGCATCAACCACTACCACACCCGCACGAGATCTCTCCATGCGTCCGGCTTCACGCGACCCTGCGACTCCTGCTGCAACCTCAGGAAGTGCGCATACGAACCCTCGGCCGGCAGGTGGCCCAATGGCCCCTCCACCGCGGGCCTCGCTACGTGATAGAGGGAGTGTCGCGCCGCCGCCGCTTGCCAAGTCTGACTCAGTAAACTCTGCCACTGGACCCCCTTCGGCAAGCATCGACCCGAACAGTCTTTTTATCCCTGCTGATGAGGACGACCAACAATGGGATGAGCCCAATTTTGAGCAAGAGCCAGACATCGTGACATGGGACAATACTGCAGATAACGCCATTTCTGCGTCCAGCTCGACACGGCTCATTCGAGATTCAGAGATGCATTCCTTTGCCTCGGTGCAGGAGCAAGAACAGCAACCAGAGAGCAGGAGTCGCCTGGCCAGATCGAGGTTTCCCACGGAAATTGCTCCAACGCAGAGACTGTCGCAATTCAAGGGTATCTTCGACTGATAGAGCATTCTGAGGCTGTCACGAAGCCGTCCCTCTCGGTGACTCACCGTGGCAGTCCGCCTGAATCGTCGTTCCATGCATGCGGCGGTGGTGTGAGTCACATCTGATCACTCAACTGAAATTCATGCATAAAAGCACGACTCTCAAAGACTCACCACAAATCAGTGAAGCCAGTTGGATTAGCGGTTGAAATCGTCGGGCCCATGACCTGAAGAGCGGAGGTTCGAATCCTTCACTGGCTTACCAACGTTTGCTTTTTGTGTCCCCAGGAGGGTAGCTCGAGTGTTACTTACAGTTATGTCCAAGTCGGCAGCAGCATGTCGACTGAAGTAGCCAAAGGGAAGGGGACATCTCTTGAGGCGTATCTTGATCCTCTTCACCGATCATCTTCGCCACAGATCACGAACGTCGTGGCGCACCCAGCAGCAACATCTCTCACAACGGTACGCTGATCAAGTCCAGGCAGACGAATCACATTCCACCGATCGACTACATTCCCCTTGCCATCGACCTGTTCTCCACAGTTCCCATGCTCTCCCCATCCCCATGCAATGACCTGTCCCTCCAGTGTAAGAGCTACACAGTGTTCGCTCCCGGCGGCTATGGCCCGTATAGGCGGCAGATTCGCTGGAGCAAACTGCCCGTGGTTGTTCTTGCCCATACTCTTGACCAGTGTTGACAGGGATCCTCCCAACCGGGACAATACGTGGACAGAGCTCCATCCCGAGACAGCCACATCGTCCTGGCCGAACAAGCACTCCGCGTCCACGTCCCTGTTCCCAGCCATCGAACCCCAAGTGACTAGCTTATCGTCTCGCCGTAGGAACACGGTGTATTCCCTTCCCAAGATGACCTTCTCCGGCGCAAAAGGCAGTAGTCGTCTCCCTTCAGGCCCGACATCAATCCTGCGCGCATCCCGCAGAATTTTCTGCCCCTGATATTGCTCGCCGAGCTGTCCTTTCCGCGAAGCTCCCCAGCCGTAGACCTGACCGTTGGACAGAAGAACCACGACATGCGCCATGCCCGCCTCAATGGCTGTGATGGTGACGTCCACCCTGCTTCCCGTATGGTCTAGGACAAAACTCGTCCACATCTGCTGTGTGCCAGTTGCTGACGCTGTCGAAAGAGTAGTGGTGGTCGGTGAAGTGGTAGGAGCCGTAATACCACAAGTCCCGCCGAATTCACCCCAACAGACAACCGCCCGCCCACCCACCACGGCGAACGAAACATCCCACGAAGCAGCCACATCTGTGATGGACTCGTCGTAAACTCCACCCTCACCGCCAACCCCGCGCGGACAAAACTCCAAAACCTCCCTCGTCACCTCCTTGAATACATTGTCTCCGGCGTCGCCGCGCAACCCGCCCCCACTCCGTCCAGCAACAAACACGCGGCCCCGACCCGTCAGCACGACCGTGTGGTTCCCACCCGCGACGATCTTCGTGATATGACCTACTAGTGAGGGATCGAGGTCTCGATCCTGGTGGGCGCGTCGTAGCGGAGGTGGTCGTGCGGGTGATACGCCGGCGCCACGGGCTCCTCGATCGGCTGATCCCTCGCCATCCGCCTCGGCCTCAACCGCAAAAATACATCTCTGGGGGGTTGATCGCACGTCCTCTGCGTGCCCTACGCCCAGTTGGCCCGAGGAGTTGGAGCCGAGGGCGTAGACGCCGAGTTTGTTCGTGTTCGAAGAGGTGGTGTGCATGTTGGAGGCGGCGTGTCATATCATGGCATGTCATGGCAGGATATGTTTCTGGGTAAAGTTATGGGCGCGGTGCGGTGCGATGCTGAGCCAAGAGGTATCAACAGGTGCGGTAATGTGCGTTCTCGACAGCTCGCATGTCCGTGTGCGATGCTCCGAGGTGGGTGGTTGGATCAGCTATATATGCACCCAGGAGAGGCGTGATATGTACAAAGGACCAAGTATGAGAATTGAAGGGAAATGTCATGCTGGCTGACTTTTCTTGGCATGGCTGGCAGGGCATCACATGGCAGGGCAGTATATATTCCAATCATGAGAATCGCAGGACAGTGGGCCAGCTGCATGAAATACCTTGGGATGTCCAGACTTCAACAATGTTTGCCATGTAGCTGGGCCGAAATATACATACCTAGGTATCTTCATTTCTCATAAACACACATCCCGTCGGGTGATCAGTGCCCTTCTGCGCTATCATTCCCAAGCATTTATTCGACGCAAAACAAGCACACCACCACCCCATGACAAGACCACTTCATCTTGCAGGTCGATGCCAACAGACGCCCAAAAAAGGGACCCGTATCTCAATCGCTATACTCAAATGGCCTTGCCTCAAACGGCCGGCCACTCGTCTACAACCCTCTCCACCATTCCGATCGAAGGACTTTCACCTGCGCCGTCAACGGCGTATTTGCACTCGAATCCCCGACGAGCACGTCGAAGGTATCTTTCTCCATGACCCAAGCGTCTCTGGCCTCGTCCCAGAAGCTCGTGGCATATTTCTTCGAGATGGCAATCCCGACCTTCTCGCTCTGGCCAGCCTTTACGAAAACCTTGCTGAAGCCTTTGAGCTCTTTCTTCGGTCGATTAATGCTGGCGTTGTGTTGTGAGAAGTAGACCTGGACGACCTGGGCTCCGTCGACCTTGCCTGTGTTGGACACGGTGGCCGAGACGAGGATTTCAGCACCGTCGTCAGAGACAGAGAGGTCCTTGATGTCAAACTGCGTGTAGCTCAGACCGTGGCCAAAGGGGAACGCGACCTCCTTGTTCGTCTTCTCGTAGAATCGATAGCCAATGTAGACGTCTTCGCCGTAGATGGCTCGGTTCCGCTCGGACTTGTAGTTCAAGAACGCCGGGTTGTCTTCGTTTCTGATGGGGAAACTCAAAGGCAGTTTGCCGCTGGGGTTGGTGTTGCCAAAGACCACGTCTGCGATGGCGTTGCCCGTCTCGTTGCCGCCGTACCATGCTTGAAGGACAGCTGGAGCCGATTCGAGCCAGGGCATAGCGACGGGCGTGCCGGACTGGATGACGATAGCTGTGTTGGGATTGGCCGCGAGGACAGCCTTGATCAGTTTGTCGCTGCCAGGTGGCAGGTCCATGTGCTCACGGTCGTAGCCTTCTGACTCCCACTCGCTGTTCAGCCCGGCGCAAAGAATGACTTGGTCAACCTCCTTCGCCAATTGAACAGCTCGTTCAATCTCCGTCTCAATCTCGGCTTTACGCTCAAGTCCGACCCTCAGCCCGCCGGCGCCGAAACCAGTCGTGCCGGGGCTGCTGAAAGTCATGGTGGGTAATGTGCCGAAGGTGACCTTGATGTCGTATGTCTTGCCCTCCTCCAGTTTCATCCTTCCGATCTCCTCTGCGGTACCGGCACCGAAGAACGAGTTCCCGGGACGTTGATGGGTCTCATTGTCAACCACAAGTTCGCCGTTCACAAAGATCTTGCCAGTCCCAGCACAGCACATGCTGAAGTCGTAGTCTGTCGTCTGTTCCGGGGTGAAGGTGCCGTTCAATTCGAGGTAGTACAGAGACGACTTAATCTTGGGATGTTTGTAGTCGACAAGGAGAATATCCGATTTGTTCACAAAGACCTCATCAATCGCTTTGCGGTTCGTCACCGAAGGCGGGTCCAGGAAGACTGTCATTGTCAACCCGTGGTCACCCTTCTTCGTCTTGCTCAGCCGTGTCATCAGTGGCAAAGCTTTCCAGGCTGGCGCGCCGAGAGCATATTTTGCTTCTGGCACCTGCTCTCTAATCCCGTCAAGCGGGCTGATGGCGTAGTACGGCAGTAATGAAGCCGAACCACCTCCACAATAGGATGCATAAGCCGCATTGGGACCGATGACGGCTGTCGTCTTCTTCTTGTCGAGCGGCAAAAGATTGTCATTGTTTTTCAACAAGACAAGGCCGTTGGCGGAAAGAGTGCGGAGGAATTCCGAGGTTTCAGGAGAGTCAATCGTGGTTTCTGGGGCATTTTCTGGGATGCCCAAGGCCTGGGTCTTCTTGACGAGCTTGAGGACCTCTCGGACTCTTTCATCAACATCACGCACAAGAAGCTTACCACAACCTAGAGCCTGATTGACCAAGTGTGCACGGATGTATGAAGGGCCGGGCATTTCTAGGTCGAGTCCTGCTTTGATAGCTTCCGTCGTCGAGTATGTACCGAACCTGTTGTTGTCAATGATTCTGGACAGTCCATGTGTTTCCGGTTCTTGCTTACCAATCGCTCATTGTCAAGCCATCGAAGCCCCATTCTCCTCGAAGTACATCCTTGAGCAATCTCGGGTTTTCGCTGGCATGCGTGCCATTGACCTTATTGTACGCAGTCATGTAGCAGTCTGGTCGAGAGTCTCGCTGAGCAATCTGGAATGGCATCAAGTAGATTTCGCGGAGTGCTCGCTCCGTTAATATGCTGTCAACAGCTTGTCTCTGATCTTCCTGATCGTTACAAACAAAGTGCTTGATGGTGGCGGAGACACCGGTCGACTGGATCCCATTGATAGTGGAAGCGCTCATGGCACCGGCCAGATAGGGGTCTTCACTGAAGCTCTCAAAGCCGCGGCCTCCCAGCGGGGATCTCTGCATGTTGGTGGTGGGGCCTAGAATGACTGAAGCGCCTTTGGCGATGGCCTCAGTACCCTGTAAAGCTCCGCCTTTCTTTACGAGGTCGGTGTCCCATGTTGCCGCAAGTCCCGTCCCTGGAGTAGGTCAGCCAAGTCTCTGATGCTCACGTCTATCAACCTACCGCAAGGCAGACACGCCGCAGGAACGCCGTTGAAGAAGCGAGTTCCACGCACGCCATTGGGTCCGTCCGACAAACGTATCGAGGGGACGCCGAGGCGGTGGACAGGAGCTGTGTGCCAGAAATCGATGCCTGATAACAGAGCAACCTTCTCTGGTATGGTCAACTGCGAGAGAACGTCTTCGACATCGAAACTCGTCTGCACAGGTAAGGAGCCCATTGCGAGGTCGATATGGAGGGGCCAAGCAACAATAACAGAGAGGTTCGGCTACGGAGAGAAAACTTGATAGAGACATAGGGAAAGGGCAGTATTTATTGGAAGTATAGCATCGAGAATAAAAGACAAGCACAGCTCTCTGCCTGACGAATGGTAAACGAAGTAACTGGGATAACTTCGGATGCTGGAGAAAAGTGATGTGGATGAGACTCGGAGAAACGTGATTAGGCACATAGACACGGAAGAGAATGGCACGAGTCTTGTGAAGTAGCCAGCCTCACCAGCAATAGCGAAGCAGCCAGATCCACAGCTCAGTCAGCAGTGGCGGAGTCGTTCCAGCTACACTGCTAACTCGCAATACACAGTACTTCAGCCGGTTGCTTGAGACGTTATCGTGGAGGGGCGCGGCGGTGACCTGTCGACGGAAACCTCGCTGTAACAAGGTCCGATAATAGTACCGGTTGCCATGAGACTGGTGCATATCTTCTTCGGGGAGTCTGACCCGAATATGCAATGCAAAGGATGCACACGGTCGAGATCTTATTCAGGGCAAAGGGCCATTCGCGGAATGTCGGCTGATGATCCAAACCTGTCATGACAGTTGGAGAGTACGAGTTAAGGCAGTTGTGCAAAAATTTTAGGCTGAAGCCATATTACATGGTGATTGGTCGAGCGGCTATTCATCGGTCTCGGCAGACATGCTTAGCCGATCCTGGCGTGTTTAGCACTGTCTTCACCAATTCCCACGTATCAAGTCCTTCGCGCTGCATCCACCGCGATCCGGGAATGAACCCTAAGGTACAGAGTACGCACGGCGAGACGCTCTCCTCATGCAGTATCTGGATGCGTTCGGCTCAAGGCCGCATGCGATGATCGAGGTATCCTTCCCACATGAAGGCCAAGGTATGGTACTCCTGTGGAGGGGCCTCTCCGTTGAAAAACTCAGCCCGCAGCCCTTTCTACTTGCATGTGCATGTTGAGTACGGTAGACGTCGAACCGCGGCCATCTAGGAACGTGCATGGACTTGGCCCTGGATCTGTCCTGCATGACGGCCGTGAAGCGCATCAGCATTCCGTTTCCACGTGGCCGCGCACTCCATTGAAGCTTCATCAGCCATCCCAGCATATCAGATCTCCCTTCCGCGGCGATCTCCCATCTCACGCACCTTAGCTTTCATCGTTTTTTAAGGACAGCTTCCACCACTTCCCAAGTGGCTCCTTCGACCCCAATCTGGTCCCCAAGCTTCCTATTGTCGTCGCAAACCCACATACAGGGCATCGAGACCCCAGTATCAGAGGGAGTGTTGTTACGCCAATCCTGGACCCAGCCCGTGCTCGCTGCTATGGGCTGTTCAGCACCTGCAGTAGTGCTCGAGTTGCGGTCCGCTTCTGCTTCAAAGATACCTCTGGTCCATCTCTCGACCAAGACTGCGTCTGCCGCGGGAGGTTGACGCGCAATGCCTTGGCAATAGTTGCCTATTCGAATGATGGTACCTCCGTTCCCGTTTTGTAGCGAGGGGGCTGCTCCCTCGTGATCCTTCGCGTTCGGCATTCGTATAATCTTTGCGACGGTGCAGGGGAAGAGCTCGAGTTCTCGCCCTCCAGCACCATCCGGACTTATCCAGTATTCCTTGTACATTTCGAGGTTGCCTGATTGGGGATTCTGCATCATGCCGACCTCCATGCAGTCCCCGTTTGGGAGGAGGAACATATCACCCTCGTCGCAGATGCCGGGTCCTTTCGAATCGATCTCGTGTTTCCACACGCAGTGCGCCGAGTACGGCATTTCAATGCCATCGCCATCGAGGCCGGCGAAAGTCGTGCTGGAAGTTCCGAAGAACGCCCAGAATGATGGTTCTGATGCTATGGGCTTGCCCAACTCTCGCTTGCGGGGGAATCTGATGTCGATGAAGTCCGATTTGGTAGAGGTAAGCACGAGGGTATCTGTGTCTTCGTAGGGTGTGCCGTAGCCCTGTCAAGTGAGTGAAGGTCAGCAGAAGGCACATCGACTGACTGGCCTGGCTCGCGTTACACGATACGTCGTCAAGCATCGTCAGATGACCCAGTAGTTTCGAGGTAAGAGGTCTGGCATTTTCGCACATCTGCACAACTGGAGACTTACCCAAGCGATGCCATTTCTCGACGATATGGATGGTTTCTGCAGGAAATCTTGCTTCCATTGGGGGAGCTTTTGTTCTTCTGGTTGGCCATGGTCTTGCGCCTTGTCCTTGCCTATCGTCCCCAGCTTTTCCCCCAGCATGCCGTAGATTTCCATGGCTGTCAACGACGGTTAAGATGGAGGCAGCTGGTGTCAAGTGATAGTAGCAGCTAGATGCTAATGTAGTCCGCGGATTTTGAGTAGAAAACAACGTGATATTCGAGTTTTGTAGAGCCACAAGTCCCAAATCACGGCGGTTAAGTCCGTCACACGAACCAGCCATTAGGTCAATGTTCTCGTATCTAGCAGAGAGTTTTTGTGGCTGTCTTTTTGCTTCAACTCTGACGGTAGCATTTGCTGTGCTACACGTGCATCTTTGCCATATATACGGTCATAAATCTGGTGTGCACATAGTCGGTAGCTCATCGCCGCCCGCCAGCCGCCTGAGGTGACGGCACTAGACCATGCAGCCACACCCTCCGCGGCATTGCCAACACCCAACGCTTGTAGGTCGTCTTAACAGTTGTGAATCCACCATGGTAGCGGGGTGCTGCAACCGTGAACCTCCTCGCTTCAGATAGACGCCATCGGTGTCTTCAAGAGGTAGAGAGGCTGGGAATTGCTCACTCCTCGGCTGCACCCCAACGGGCGTGACTGGCCCTTTCGCGACCTTAACACCGTGTTCTCCAGATGCCTAGGCACTTCATGAGCCCACTGATCCCTGCAGCATGCCACTGCCCCGACTAGAGAAGATGCCCATGATGCCAAAGCCCAAATAGAACAACGCCAAAGGGTATGCCACTAGCCCTCTCATGCCCTTCATCCGTCCGACACTGACAAACATGCCCGAGCTGCTGAATGTGCACCAACCGACGGCCATAGCGGTCAGAACATAGCCCATAGCCGTGTCCATGGGCACGGCAACCCCAAACAGTGCGGTGAAGACAAGCGGCAAGAAACAATACCCCAGCACACTCGCGCTTCGAGAATACGTTAGCGTACTCGAGAAGTGTCCGCCGCCACGTCCGTCACGACCCTGATGATGATCCCTTTGCGCCTGAGACATCTGGTCCGCCTCATTCGGGTCGATGGGCGGCGTCATGAGGGCAAACATCCAATGCAACGCGAACGAGCCGAACAGGGCAATGCCATAGATGTAGCCGTAGAAAAATTTGCCCGACAGTGCGAGGAACGTGCCGTAGAGGACGAGGAAAAGGAGACCGCCGTAAAGGTCGCTGTCGTCCATGATGTGTGGGGAGGGCCGGGTCAACGGGTTTAATACCGCAAAAGTCTTTCACGTGGGTGTTAGAAAAAAACAGTCACGGAATCTTCCATGGCAGTGTCGTCCTTACCTTGGTCTTGATGTGTCCAAAATTCACGCCCAGCTCCTCCATCAACCCGGGCTCGCCTTCATAACCTTCTGTTCCAAATGCGGCGAGCCAGCCCATCCTGAGACCACCGCCAGAATCGCCCATCCGGCCGCTCACACCCTGCATTCCAGAACCCGCTCCAAAAGCCCCAGAAGGGCCTGAACCATATGCTGAGAATGCATTTGCGGCGTTTCCGGCGCCGCCATAACCCCCGTATGAAGCCTGCGACGGCGTGGTGTGTCCCGAGACGTTCGAGTATGAGGAAGGGTAGAATTGGAGGTTCGCGGCGCCTGTTCCCCCTCCACCGCCTGCCCCAGGGCCGTATGGTTGATTATAGTAGGACATGATTGCGTTTGGGGAGGCCGTCGAGGCCGCGGGAATAGTGTGTTCCGCAGTCTCGTGGGACGTAGATGCAGGGTCAGTTGCGAAAGTGAATCAGGGACCCGTCCTGGCATATGCACACAACAATTAGTGGTCTTCTGCAGATCTTCAAAAGCGGTCAGTTGCAAGAATGAGCAAGCTGCAACAGAAGAAAATGCTATGATGTTGCCTTGGGTCTCGGATATGCAGATGTGTTCAGAGCCGCCTTGGAGTCAAACTCCGCAGTGTCGACCTTCTGACTGGCTGACCTTTGCCAGTTGTTCTCAGCCTCGCCTCGACCTCCGCGCAGCCTCGTCAATGCATGCTAACGTATTGTCACAACCCCGTCACTTACATAGGAACGCTAGATGATCGGTTCGTTGTCCGCAGGCTGGGCTGTCATTATGTACAAATCCTTCTAAGTCGTTACTACTACAGGAAGTTGATGCCGATACCGAAGGACACCCCTTTCCTGGCCTCTTCGTGTTTTCGGACCACCAGTGGGAGCGAGAAGTTGAGTTCGAATCGTGCCACTGAATGTGCATAGACCAGCCCTATGCCTGCAGACATGGTTGGAAGCCCATTGCCAACTTCGGACATGGCATTGGATACACTCTGCTTGACTTCTTGGCTTGTCATCACCCCCTCCCTCTCCGTGTTTCTGATGGCCAGTAGCCTTCCACCATTGACGAAGGCCTGTAGTCGGAATGGTCTGTCCTTTCCAACCTTTGGAAGTGGCACGAGGAGGTTCGCGCTTCCTGCTGCATAAAGATCGCCGCCGACCGCATCTGGACCATCGTGCGGCCCTAACCCTGATAACCTGAACCCTCTCACGTCTGTTGGTCCCCCGAGCTGGAATCGATCACTGATCCTTGACATCTCTGGGTTCTGCTTCGATCCAAGTGTCAACGGGTACAAAAGTCCAGCACGCAACCCTGTCGTGAAAGTCACACCGCTGTCGCCCTTGATCCCCGGAATGGGAATCGACGTTGCTGACTGTGACTCGAATTCGGTCTTGAAGAAAGCCACATCTCCTTGCAATGGGCCCCAGCCGGCCAATTCTGTAGCTGTCTTCGCGTAATATCCCCGGGTTGGTAGCATCGGGCTATCTCGTCGTTCTTTCGTCCATGCGTGTGATATACTGCTCTTGAAAGAGTCGCCCGCCTCACTCTTCACCGTCTGCGAAGCATTCTGTGCCAGACCAGTTACCTGTCGCCAGACCCCATTATAACCTAGCTCGTGGAAAGACCCAGCCGAGCTCAGCCAACGAAACTTCGACCATCCTCCCCTAAGCACTTCCTCGTGGCTGGCAAAGGCTTTCAGTGTCGCACTCTGTAAGCCTCCAACCTGGAACCGAAGATCGGGGTTGCTAAGCACTGGAGTATCGAAGGTCGCCTGATATGATGACCGCGTTCGGGTGCCTATCGAGGCATTTACGTCCAATGTTTCAGCCCCGCCCAACAAGTTCCGCCATTGGACGTTCGCGTAAGCTGATCCTTCGGCGTTGCCCAAGTCCGTTCCCGTCTTTGCAAATATCCGACTTTTCTCTTTCACCGAGTAATAGACAGCGACATCAGTCGGGGTCGTTGTGGGATCGGTCTGGGAGGGTTTGTCCAGGTAAACAGAAACGGGTTCGTGGTAGATGCCTACAAATGACAATGAGAGAAGGTCGCCACAGCTCCAGGGGTTGACAAACCAAACTTCCTAAGCTTCTCCGCCGTTTTGGCGACTTCACGTATCAGCTCACTCTGGGTATATGGTCTGTCGCGATTGCTGGATAGTAAGGGTTCCACAACCCTTTGCAGAAAGCCATGCCTTGTGTTGGGACTACCCAGGATCGTGACGGAGGAGACTGTGGAAGGCAGTGTCGAGTTCTGGTCAATCAGTTCTGCAAGACGTTGTTGCGATAGCTTGAAGGTGCTCTCCAGACGTCGTGAAATGGCGGCTTGCCGTTTCTCTAGTTCGGCTGGGTCAGCTTTCTTTAGCAGCTCGAAGATTTGATCTTCGCCACTTTTTTCGGCCATTGCGGCCAGACAAGCTCCTGGAGCTTCAAGTGTCGAGATGAGTGAGCACAAGACTGCTGGAGAAGGGAGCTGTGAATACTCGTACAACTGCCTTGTGGACAAGTACCTGCAGACCCGCTTTTAGCCGCTGACGATCGGTTCTCGGGATACCTGCCCTGCTTCACCATCGCTATGACGAGGCCTCGAGGCGCCAACTGCGGGCGGCCGCTGAAAAGGACATCTACTGTGTACTCAACTGCGGCTTGACTTGCTCGTGTGCGCCTTTTAACGAGTTTACTACCTGTCCAATTCCCATCACATTCCATGCGCTTTACTGCCATATCTTGACACTCTTAAATCCCGCGTGTCGCATCACACTCCTGTGGCGCCAGACAGTGCCCCGGTTGCGCAAACTCCCACCCACCTACGAATCATGGCGACAAGTGCTGCGCACAAGAGATTGACGAGAGAATACGCCAACATCCAGAAGTCACCTCCTCCGTTAATTACGGCTCATCCAAACGAAAGCAACATTCTGGAATGGCATTACATTCTGACTGGTGCTCCGGGCACACCGGTAGGATTTCTTGCTGGTCTACTCGTATAGATTGGAGAATGCTGAAGCAGCCGATAGTATGAGGGAGGTCAATACTGGGGAACCCTGATCTTCCCGTCAGACTGTAAGTCATCTGGGTTGTCAAAAAGGCCTCTGTCTGCTAATGTTTATTTGCATCGTTCATACTAACCAGTGCTAATGAAATCCACAGATCCTTTCGCACCGCCATCTATAATGATGCACACTCCTTCCGGCCGGTTCCAGACTTCTACGAGATTGTGTCTATCCATCAGTGATTTCCATCCGAAGTCATTCAACCCTGCGTGGTCTGTGTCGACCATTCTAATAGGGCTTATGTCGTTCATGAACGGTGAGGAGATGACAGCTGGTAGTATTGGTGGCACTGTACAGGAACGCAGATTCTTGGCAGCAAGATCGAGGTGGTGGAACTCAACTGGCGGTGGCACGGCCTCGAAACCTGTCCCAGGTGTCCAACGCAGTATCAAGGGCATCGGTAACGTGAAAGCGGGAGATGGGGGCGCCAAGTTTAAAGCTGAATTTCCCGAGGAGCACGAAGAGAATGTCAGCTGGATTCATCGGCACCGCATCGATCCAGCTACCGGTCGGATGCTCCCCGACGCTGATGGGGAGGAACCGATCAACTGCTCCCCGGAGACGAAAGCCCTGCGTCGGATACTAGGCGGCAGTACGGGAGTCGGTGCCGTGGTCCAGGGCGGCCAGGCCGCGCGGAACGCTGGTCAGGGCTGGATCTGGCGGCAGAAATTGTGGATCTTTGCTGGCTGTCTCGTCATGTATGTCATGCTTGCAAGGATATTCGGCGAGGGAGAGGGCATCTCATGACGAGTGATATGAACAAGCGAACTTAGCATTCATGCATGCGGTCCCTGCGGCGTTACCAGCGGCGAAATCTGCATCGGGATCTGGCGTGATCTGGCTATCTCAGGGGAGCGCGGTGAGTGGGCGGTTACTAAACTTTTTCGCGCAGGAGCTGTTGTGTGGCTGTGCAAAGCTTCAAGGTGCGATTGTGCAAGCCAAAAGGAGTTGTTTCGGCACAGAGCAGTGGCGGGTCTGCGGTGGCCAGACAAGGTTACACGCTTGATTTCGCCGAGATCAGGATGTTACTCCGTATAGACCGACGTAAGGAGTACTTGCACACAATGGGGTGAGATCCCCCCTTTTCTTCGTGGTGTGAGTGCTATGCAACATTGTCGGTTGCAGAGCCTCATAAGGCTCCACGGAAACTGCAGTCACAAGCTCCGAGGGGCTGGTCTTACATATGGGAGGAACCGCAGTTCCGCGTGGCGTTAGAGGTTGAACGGAAAGGAGCTGATTATTGCCACAGTTCAGTACTCCGTACTCCGTACCAATGTAGCGGTCACACGTACCGACGGATAAGGTACCCCGCTCCGCCACTGTTGCGATCGATCATGAGGATTCCGGTGCGTCCAGGCCAATCTATCCCACGGAATCCACATGGCACCTGCAGCAAGCTGGCAGCACGCGCATGCTATTACTTCGGAACATGAGGGGTACTACAGCTCGGTAGGACACCAAGGTTAGCTTGCTCCACTAGCCCTACAGTTGCTGCGAGCATTGGCTTCCTTTGTGAGCAAAAGGGATGGAGTCAACCTGGCAACGAGGTACTCCGTAGTGTATACGAAAAATGTGAAAAGCGCAATGTTAACGCAGCGACAACATGCCAATGCCTTGTCATCGGCGGCTCTGAATGGACTTTGCCGACCAAGCTTGCAGCGAGCACCCTCCACAACCGCCGCCAAAAATCCCGTCCACAGGCGTGCATTTGCGCTGCGTCGGTGCCGGTGCCGGGAGCTCCAAGCGAAACGAAGGGAGGAAGGATCCGCGTCATGGACAGATACCCATCCGGGGCAGCAGAAAACAGTTTCTAGGTACTGTACCTAGGTATCTTCAGTAATATGTTCGTCGGCGCGCCAAAGATGCAGTTGGAGCAAACTTTTACATCAGCAATTCTACCCCAAGCTGGTCCCGAACTCGAACTTTGTTTAGGTAGCTTTCTGTTAGCTGACCGTGCGTCGCCCGCCACGAAGATCCTTCTCGCCTTCCCCAGTCCCTGATTGCTCTTCGAGAAACTCCTTAGCCAGAAGGGGCTCACTCCTTCCTCATCAGCAGGCTAACGGTTCCACCCTGGTCGCCAGCTCCAGATCCTGGCTGGCGCCAAACGATCTGCTAGCCCAGCCTAAGGAGTCGGTCAAGTTCACCCTTTGGCTCTTGCTCTCCGGAGCTCTCCACTTGCCTATCACCCACTGACCCTTCACGCCCTCACCTCGAATAGCCTCATCCCACTATTTTCCCTTAGTAACATGTCGGTGTTTATCTTGTCGAACTTGCGTCGTGGATCATGGTTCAGATCTGGGGCATGGCAGCCTATGATAGAGACACTTCCCTGTCTGCCCATAAAGTTGGAATTCCCCCTCGACGATCCTCCCATACTCCCTGGCTTTCCCCAATCACGACCACTGTCCTTGTACTCCGTAATTATGGACTAACAGAACTGACCTTTCCTTTTCTATGGGCATACTGCTAAATCAGCTAACCGTTGCGTGCACGCATCGCTTGTCCCACACAAACAAGGACGCCAGCCGACACCTCATTTCCTGATCTGAAGTGATGGACTGGAGAGAATGCCCCCTACCTCCCGTGATACAGGTGCGAACACATCTACATCCTCGACTCACCTTGTCGACGCTCTCATGGCTAATGAGCTCAACCCTTAGACACGGTTGGCGGGTCTCATTCAAGCCCCCAAGTCCCGTCTACTACTTTCAACTTTACCTTCGTGAACCAGGCCGATGACTTGGACTCGTTGTATCAAAGAAAAATCATCAACAAAGAGCAGCGCCATACTATCCGCTCCCATGTTATGCAACGCGTCCGTCAATGGGAGTCGGCCCAAGGCAGAAAGAGGTCAACTGGGCGCGAGAATCCCAAGGCACCAGGCAAGTCCAAGGCCAGGAAGAAATTAGCAGATTCCGAGGCGGCAGTGCGCAATGAAGCAAAAGCCAGCTGCGCCAACGATCCTCTCACTGCTCCCGACAGCGACAGACTCACACTGACCCATTCTCCCCGTCAATCGCCGCGTCTCCATCTCAGTCCAAGCGTCCACGAGTTCGATCCGTTTGACACTCTGCCAACCAATACATTACCTCACCAGTCGTCAGAGAGCCTGTTGCAATACTGTGAGTGGGCAGTCAGTTGCGGGTTGACGTGATGAGAGTGCTGACCAGGGGCGCAGGCTTTGACGTGATGCTACCCATGACATTCTCTGTTGAGGTCAAGCGGACCCGTGATAGAATAGCTCGACAAGGGCTGGTCCTCAGCAGTAAGATCGCCAATCCTGCCAGTTTCTTGGGCTTTCTGGCAACGACCGCAGCGCACAGAGCGGTCATGTACGGTCGGCACAAAGATCTCGCACCCTCGAACGACGATCATGACGATCTCATCCTAGACCAAGACTATGTCAGAGTCAAACATGAAGCGACAGTGGCCGTTCGCCAGATCTTCCAACAACGAGCAATCGTCGATGAGCAGATGCTCGAGGCATGTTTCGGGCTTATCTCGACGGCTACGGTGGTGGGCAATTTTGAAGAGGCGAGATTACATCTGAAGATTCTTGACCGTATCACTTCGCAAATTGAGCTATCGGAGCAGACCTTGATGTGGCTTCCGATTGCGAATGTGAAGATATCCGTTGGCCTCCTCGAACGCCCGGTCATGCCTCTACCATACAAGCGCGAACCGATACCTGATGCGACACTACGCCGCATATCGCTTGGCCTCCCCAGCCACATGGCACGCCTGGGAAAAAGCTTCGTGCGACTTACGCAACTAAGCAATCCCCTCAGACGGCTCTTGTCGACGCAGACAATCATTTGCCATCTTTGTGCAGCCAAAGCAGCGGATCCGCAAAGCCCTTCAGCATTGGAAACGTCGATTTTGGTGAAGAAGTCTACAGAAATAGAATTCGATTTGCTGGCTTACCCCTACGAGGCCGATGCTTTCCCCCGAAATGCTCGCGATGAGCCAGAGCTACCTGCGCTAGAAGCAATTGTTCGGCTGGCAGCTCTGGGGATGCTGTCGGTTGCGCCTCATTCAATCCTGCCTGCGGCGGGAAACGGACGCGCTCTGACGCATCATCAAAAGAGGGCGGTTGAAAAATGGGTACTCGAGCGGCACGTTTGGCACGCGGAAGCATGCCACGTCGTGTGCTGGGCACTTCTAGTATTCATTCAGAACTCTCTACAGCAGACTGAAGAAGCATTTTTCAAGAGGCTGCTGGCGCAGGTGACACATTATCTGGGGGTGTCGACTTGGGAAGACGTCGAAAACGATGTATATGGATATCTTTACATTCCCGGACTACAGTCGTCAACATGGAAGACTGTCTGGTTAGATGTCTGCCGACTCAGAGCACAGCTCTACCCTCGCCACGAACACCGCGACGTGGTCGAACAGCTCAATAATGCCCTCTTGCCCTCCAAAGGGCCTAATGGGAGGACGCGGCTGCCGGAATCTCAATTGCGGACAGTGCGATAGGAGTCAACCTCCTTAGGGGTATTTGGCGGTATATCTACTGCCTCTTGCTTGGTCCTTTGCCTCCCTTTCGGCCGGGTTTACACATCTGCCCGTGTATGTCCAGCAAGGCTGCACGACGTAGTCGATGTTGCGACAGATATCCGTGAGCGGGGCTCGTTCCTATTGATCACAGGTACCATACTGGGCGTACGGTGCCGGTTGATGGGTCATCGATTGGCCCGGCAGTCTTTTGGAGGAGGGCGACTCGCCTGCGAAACCGCAGATATGCCTTACAACAGAAGCTGTACATGATCGCTTCAAATGCGGGGGAGGTACGGATGTTGGAATGAACATACACCACGCTTGTGCTGTGGCCAGAAGTCATGGGTGGTCTAAGCTACAAAGCGTTACATACATATTATCATAAGAGGGGTGAGTTCTCAGCGCTCCCAAGGTAGAAAGCGACCGGCGGGCATCGCCCACAGCCAGAAATCCAATGGACGCCGTTGCCTAAGCACATCCGCTGCGATGCTCCGAGTTTGTCGTCGTCAGAATCTGAAGCAGAATTTGTAGTCCGCATTTCTCCCCCATCCCAAGACGGGCCCGTACAACGACAACAACATGCACGAACACATGAGGCAGACACGGAATTGCCCATCTCACGAACCGTTCCTCTCCCTCTCCTTGGCCCGTGCGAACGCTTCCCTTGCAGCCCCCCCGCTAGCCCTCCACCACACATCGCCTCCCCATCTCATGGCCCGCTCCGCCGCCGCCGTCGGACTATCCAGCGCGGGTCTGATATCCAAGTAAAACACGGGTTGGCCCGTCTCCTCCTCCACCCCGCCGCCATAGTAATCAATCACGTACCTCACCTCGCGGGTCGACCCGTCAGGCAGCCTCCGGGAGACGTACCAGTCATGCCGATCGAACGGCGGTTCCTGGCTGAAGTTGCTGGGAAACACAGTCCCTAGAACCTGCAACATGCGGGCCTTGGGCGTCGGTTCCTTCGGCCGCCCCTGGAAACGGATGAGTTTTGGTTTGCTGCCGTCGCTTTGATCTTCGCCTTCCGGTGCCGCCAGGCCGAGCATCTCCCTCCGCCGCTGGACGAGCTCGCGTCTCGCCCGTTCGGACGCCACGCCTTCCTCGCCGCGCGAACATACCTGCCACGCGGCGCCTAAGCCTCTGCTGAAGACGGCCTCCCAGTCCTCGATCTCGGCCCACGCGCCCTCGTTCAGGAAATTGTGCACCGCGACCATGGCCTCGACGTGCTCGGCGGGGGTGTCGGTGTAGCCTTTGCGCAGCATGGCGTTGTACATCTGTTGCGGGGAGGGGTATTCCCAGTTGCTGGCACTGTCGGTGCGGGGGATGGAGGACGTCTCGCGCGACAGCGGCAGGGACACGGATTGCGGGCTATCGGCCGCGCGGACGTTGGAGAGGGAGGGCATGTAGTTTAGGGGATTGAGTTTGGAAAGCGTCGAGGCGTTGGCGGGTTCAGGGGAGGAGGACGATGTGGTGGCGGCGGTAGAAGGAGGTGGTGAGCGGAGGGCATGGTTTGGTGCTTTTACAGGGCAGGACGACGGCGGAGGTGAGTTTACGTCTGTATTTGGTGGGTTGTTGGCGAGAGGAGGGAAGGGGGCCGAAGACGATGTTGAAGCGTCGGATTTGTGCATTGGACATCCCGGCTGGAAGAGAGGGGGAGTTAGTATATCAAATCATGGGCAAAGAGGCGTAGAACATGGATATGTATCGACGTACTGGAGGAGCGGCGTCGGAGGATGTAGGTATGTTATGCGGCGCGACTGCCGCGGTGCTGGGTCTCGGCGTCGGGTCTGCCCAGAACCAACCCATTGTCGCAGGGGTAGCAGATGATTGTCTGCGAGACCACGATGAATCAAAAGGTGGCTGTAAAGAAGACTTCGTGTTGCATTGAAACGGAAGGTTGAAGGGCTCGGAGGCAATGACGCCAACGCCAACGCCAACGAGGTCTTTTGCGCAGAGAGTTGGAGCTCCACTTCGTTCACTCCGCCTTCGCTTGCACTGCGGACTTTTGGAGACGAGACCATGAGCGCGTCTTGACGGCCACAGAGAAATTGACACAAAACCGGCTCCCACTCGTTCTGTCTCTCTACATGCAGAATCACTCGTGACCTTGGTTGTTGGTCTTGTCTGACCTGGCTTCCGGCTTCACAATCTCCTTCTCGATCTGCACTGCCCCGTCAAAATGGCCGACGCAAAGACATTCAAGCAGGACATGGTCGTTTCGATCCGATATCGAAATGACCTGCCTCCTCCGCCTATGCCCCCAAAGTTGCTCGACATCGACACCGGTGGCTTGTCTCAGTACCTCACGACGAGTTACGCGTCCGGCCTTGCGAAACGAGAAGAACCAAATATTGAAATCGACGCCGAAGGGGGAATGCCCATTGATATGATCGGTGTGCCGGGGTATTTCTTGGGTGATGAGAGCGCAATCATGGCGCCAGAGATCACACCAGTGTTGGACCCTGCGGATCAAGCTCTGCTGATGTCGCTGGAGCAATTGAAGAGCCAGGGCGCAAAGAACAATGTCTCGTTCCTCCGAAAGACGCAATACATGACGGCCTCACAAATCGCCAAAACCACCGATCCATTCATGCGATCGAGTCCTCGGCCGCAGAAGACCGCAGGCGCCAAACCACCGCCAGTCCCAATATCTCGAGATGATCCAGAGAATATCAAGAGACAGATTCAAAAGGGTTTTGATCTCGCCTATCCCGACAGTGTGCCCTACAAGCCCCAAGACGCAAAAGCAAACCCTATTACCTCTGCAGAACGAGATGTCTGGGAACATCCTCAACATCCAGACAACCGCAAACTTCATCCGGTTGACTACTACCCCATCATGCCTGACCTCGAGACTGGCACGGATATGGCCTCAAATTGGCAGGCCATCAAGTTCGACAAGCCACCCCTCCCACCGCTCAAGAACGGCCGCAGAGACGACCGGATCGACGTCGGCCTCTTGATGGCCTCAGAGAACCCGGAACTGATGCCCGAATGGCGGGCACGCAAAGAAGCCCACGAGGCAAATCCGCAGGACTACTCCGACCCTGGTCCCGAGCCGTATACATGGTTGCTTTCAGTTCCTAAACAACCAGACGCCACGCCGCGCATCCGCCAACTCTTCGACGACTCCAACCCCAACAAAGATGACCCCAATCTGATGGCCCCCTTGCTCGAGGAATCTGCCGACGGCACCCCGAGACTGCCCTTCGAGCGCATAAAAGTCTACACCGACGCCACCCGCCAAGAAGTCGACCCTCGCCGCGTGGTGGCTCTGTCGCTCGTCAACCCTGCGAACCTGCAGCAACACTCACGCTTCCGCAAGCACGATAGCCCCGCGGCATACTACTATCCGATCTACGAGCGCGTCAAGATGAAAGCCGATCGCGGCCAGCTGTCCAAACAGAGAAACGCTGGACACCCCTTGGAAGAAGACCTCCCCGATCAAATGATGGTGTTATTCCGCGAACCAGATGCCAAGGAACGGCATATCCGGAGCGAATTCCGGGGACGCAATGATCAGAGTTTCGCAGAGCAGTGGGCCGAACTTGAGCGAGAGGTGCAGTTGGAGGAGGAGAAGGAGCATGCCGACCGGATCCTGGACGAGCAGGGGCCGCTGCATGAGGGTGCTCAGGACGTGTCCATGGCAGAAGTGGAGGGCGCGGAGGACGCCGAGGTATCCATGAATGGCGCACAGAGGAAGGATAGAGCTGACGATCGTAACACGCCGCCGCAGCAGCCGCAGTCGCCGCCTGTGAATGGCAATGCAGGGAGGGATGTGGATGCGGACGCCGAAGATGACGACGACGATATGCTCGACGGTTGAGGCCCAAAGCCGAAGATCCCGGTAGAATCAACATGCAGCGAGGGTATACGCTGTGCAAATGGATACGTTTATTGCATTGTCGGCCCCCTTATCTTCGACAACTCAATTGCACGATCGGCCATGGCCAATCAGTCCGAAGAGCAATTGAAACCAGTCCGCACCGAGCACCGATGCGAACACTCATATTCGCCACAGCTGTGTCCGTGTCATCCTCAGACAAGACAGCTGGCCAGACTCGATACTCCTGCACTGTCCATCCCAGAGGCTTCCATTCCGTGTGCAGTCCGACTTCTGTTGCGAGGAAGAGAGGATAGGGACCGAAGACAAGATAGTCTCCCCAAACAGTTTATCGGAACCGCCGTGCTCAAGCCACGCAGAGAAGGAACGAACGGCCACGGATATCCTATATATCTACCTCTCCGGAGAAAGAGGCAGAGTCTGAAGCAGAGGAAGAGGAAGAGCATCACGAGTCAAGGCATTTCGCTACCTCCACTACAGCATCCGTAAACGAGACACGCACGGGGCATGATGCACCCTTCGTGGGTGTGTGTATGTGTGCGAGGCCGAGAGGGGACCGCAGTGACTTGTAGTAGATCTGCAGTCACTTGCCCACGGGAAGTCGGCTACATGCAAAGCCAGGCTATATAGGACGCCCGAAGTATCGTAAATCCCGGAATGTATTGTCAGCATTTGATAGTCTCGGCCGATGAAGCGTGAGCTGAAACCTATGCCTTTTAGCCTTGAAAACTATCATCCATGAGCTCTAAGCCACAAGGTGTGACCCACAAGGGATGAGGTGTGAGATGTGAGATGTGAGATGTAAGATGTAAGATGTGAGGTGTCAGACCTGGCCGTTATATTCCCGTGCGCAGATAAAAGGCGAGGACATCGCATAATTAGATCCATGTACTGTAAGCGGCTCTTTATCATCTTCTGCGCCAAAGTCGTCCGGCGACACCAAGCCCACTGGGCACTTAGGGCAGAAGCGCTATGTTGCACTACATTACATTAGGTACAGTACGTGCTGTCACGTCGCACTCCACTGCAAGAATTCGAACCCGGACTGGAGGATCCGCTTCCAGGAACGTACCAAGTGAGTAGGCATGCACGCACGCGGCGAGCAGGCCAGACGGAGCAGATGCAGATTACAACCCATGTCGATATCCATGTCACGTCGATGGCGATGAACAAGTCGGCCGAAGGAAGCTGGAATGCACGTGCGTCTTTGAACTTTTTCTTCTTTCTTCCAGAGTCACAGTACCTAATTAGTATCTTTGGCGCTCTTCTGGGCAGAAGAGAATCGCCTTACGTAGTACTGAGTGGGTCACTGAGGACAATTCCTGATCGTCCAAGACTGCAGGCTCACACGCTTGAGTTTCCAGTACTGTATTTGCCGCCTTGCCCCTACCATCCACACCATGGCATAAAGTAGCACCAGTGCCTCGCTCTCGCTCACGCTCACGCTCGAGTCGGGGTTTGGACTTTTCACCGCACTCCGCATCCTGTCTAAGCAAAATGTTTTTGTTCGGGAGAGATTCTTCGGCCCTCCTCGTCCCGAATATGCAACATCTCAAGTTATTGTCTTTTGGTCATAGGCGTCGGGTCCCCTGGCAGCTATGTAGCCTAGTAGCCTACATGATGCCACCAGCGGATGTGAGAATGGCGGGCCATCGTGCAGCCGAAATCCATGCGTTTAGGGCGGAATCATCAGCCAAGCCCACCATCACAGTCCGCACTCGGAAATGCAGAACTTAATAGGCCCGTGCAAGATTCCTCAGGTACCAATCGACCAGTCGTCGCCCTTGCTTCGCTTCGCTGATATGGATCAAATCACCTTCGATGGCGTAGTCCAACCCTTCGGAGCTGCCATTGCCTAGCACACCCACGATTTCGCCCTCGAGCAAACCGCCCTCTGTCCAGCGGATCTGGCGACAACTGCGCTGTTTGTTGACGAGCAGCCAGGACCGCAGCTTCTCGGGCTCCACGTCGAGAAAGTTGGACAGTTTCTGAATCGACATGGTGGTGTAGAGCTTCAGGTACGACTTGATCAGGGGGTTGAAGAGCGTGTTCTTGACCTCGTCCATGAAAATCTCAGTGTGATGGTCCACGGGATCGATGTTGAGGCTCGGGTTGTCAAAGTCCGGTGGCGTGGGGTTGATGAATTTCGGGCACGCGCTCTGGAACAGTTCCTTGAAGATGGGCAGCGACTCGGGCCCGCCACGCTGCAGTTTGGAAAACTTCTCGCCGTACTTCTCGCGGAGGGTCGTGTGGATGCTGTCGTCCAAGCGTGTCGGGGCGAAAGACACGCAGAGGGCGATGAGGGCATACATCTGCTCTGTCTTCTTGGCGATGGCGTCGAACTGTCCCTGGTTCGGGCCCTTTTGGAAATTCTTGGTCCGCGACACGTACACCAGGATGTGGCTGAACATGCGCACCGCGTCGGCGTAGCGGCGCAGCATCATGTAGCTGAAGCCCACGTAGTAGTAGGTGTTGAGGTGGGCGGCCATGACGCGGGCAAACATGGCTTTCTTGTTCATCTCGATGTCGTCGAGAGTTTTCAGCGCGAGGCTGAAGTCCCCAAGCAGACAGTGCACCCGCAGCAGGCCAATGATGGAGAAGTATCCCAACATCCTATACAGAGGGCGAGATCCGTACTCGCCAGCCACGGCCTGGGCGTCTTCTCCTCGCTTCGTGGCGGCCAATTGCTCGTTGATCTGCGAGCGCTGGATGAGCGAATACAGCACGTTCAAAACACTGTAGCAGCCCCATGTGTTTGGATTTTCGCGCAGGACTTGCGCTTCTTCTTCGGTTGGCGCCGTGCGGGCAACGCGATTTCGATACCGACAGAAGGACTCGAACTGGTAGATGAATTCGTCAATGACGTCCCAGGCCCAGAAGTACGACGGCGTTTCGATCTCGACGGGGCCGTCCGAGTTGAGGATGTAGTGGAAGAGCGAGCAGTAGTTGTCATACGATTGGAACCTGCGAATGTGCTGTTAGCCACGTGCAGGCTACATCCAGCTCTTATTCTCGACTCACTTTGTCTCTAAACTCGCCTGAAATTCGAGCGGAGCAGCAGCGGCTTCAAGCTGTGCTCGGAGATCCGCTGGGCCTCCACTGACTATTGAGTCTGCGCGACCCAAGTCTGCACCTTCATCCGCGTAATTGTTCACTTGCTCCTGGTAGTCGGCGACGAGCGTCTCTTCCTCCACGTCCTCGTCGGGGAAGGCATGGCCGTTGGCGTACGACATCGTTGTAGGATTTGAGGGTGGACCAGGGAAAGGTATGAAGGAAGGTATAGGAAGAAGAGTCACACGGAAACAATTCCCATGCACAGAGTCCTTTCGAAGGGTACGTTTTGTCTCGCCTCACGTGGAAGCGCAGTGTGACGGTCTCCTCGATATGTCGAAATATTGTCGAAATTGTGGGACCACGAATTCGTTCAGTGGGCAAAATCTCGAAGCGGTTTAGTGCAGCCTTTCTGGTTCTGACGCAGATCCCCGCACTTCGTCAAAGCTTCGCCGGCGAAGGCCGACCAATAATCTCTTCTAGGCGTGGCAAGCGCGCCTTCTCTAAATAACTCCCACCGAGACAATATACCCCTTCAAGAACCCTCGGTTGAGAAAAGGTGGCTATGGCGACCTCATATGAATCGTTCGACCAGAAATTCAAGGTTGCACTGATCCAGCTCCATCCCAAGGTAGGGCACTCCTTCCTCACCCACGATCACAAATGCTTCTGAAGGTATCATTGACATGCTTCACATTAACACCTCAATCAGCCGCTCGACCCGGAACACAACTTCAAACAAGCCTCCAACTACGTAAAGGAAGCCGCCTCACAGGGAGCGTCCCTAGCGGTCCTCCCGGAGTATCACCTCTCAAGCTGGACTCCCGACGACGAGCGCTTCGCTCAAATTGCCCTCACCGCGTATGAGTACGTGCCGCGCTACCAGGCCCTTGCCCAAGAATGCAAGATCAACATAGTCCCCGGCACCATTGTGACCGTTGATCCAAAGTCGCCGAGTCCAACCGCGAGTAACGGCACTACCGGAGCCACGGTCAAGCCACCTACGCTGTTGAATATCGCACCATTCATTTCGTATACAGGCGAGCTCTTAGGGAGTTATACAAAGGCCAACCTCTGGATCCCTGAACGTACAGTCCTGACATCGGGTCCTGGTTCAGTGAAGGAAAGTCAGCCGGAGCACCACCACCTTTCCACGGAAGAGGGCCCTCCTCCGCATATGAGCCCTCACTCTGTTATCGAAACACCTCTGGGACCCGTCGGCATCATCATCTGCTGGGACCTTGCTTTCCCCGAGGCCTGCCGCGCTCTTGTGAGGCAGGGTGCCCGCTTGATCATAATTCCCACATTCTGGACCCGCGACGACTTAACACCCGAGGCCAGAGCATATGGCCCAGACGTCGATCTTCAGTTTTTGTCATGCGCATTGATCACCAGATCTTTCGAGAATACCTGTGCTGTCGTGTTCTGTAACGTTGGAGGGCCGAAAGAGGAAGGATACGCCGGTCTAAGTCAGGTCGTGTTGCCGCTCGTCGGGAAAGTCAAGGGCAGTTTCGATGATGGTGAGCCGGGGATGAGGATAGTTGAGTGTGATATGAGGGCGGTTGATGTGGCCGAGGAGAATTATAAGATCAGAGAGGATTTAGCAGGCGAGAATTGGCACTATGGGTATAGTCATGAGAAATGAGACCGAATAATCGTCAAAATGCCGAGTCTAGGCATAAGGAAACACAATGGCTAACCTTCATACAAGCACAGTGATGCAAACAAGGTCTCCTGATGATGCAGCTCAACGGTGTTCGCTCTCAACGAGCCATGCAGCTGAGCTTCCACAGCCCGTTGACGTTATGAATGATTTCCTGCAGCACCACAAGAGTCGATGTTCACCTTGACAGGTACAGACTTGACTGGCTTGTTCACCGAACATTTCAGCGTGGCCGCATCGCTATACTTTGGCACTCGGTGTGGTCTGCCCTTCGCAACAGGCGGTCTGGTCCATGTCCCCACCATCAATACTCCGAAGAGTGAATCAAATTGAGGGATTCTTGGCTTTCTTCATTTCCAGGATAAAGCGGCGCGAAGCGGTTTCGGTGGACTGCAGCTGGCTGAACAGGTTGTAAGTACTGTGGTTGCTTGATTGTCGCATTCGGGAGTGGCTGAGCGCAATCATCCGGCCAAGAATCGATCCTCAATTTCTTGTACTTCAATTGCGAGTGCATGCAGGTTCTGGCAGTTAGAGCGTGTTGGATACTGTTCAGAGAAAGGTAGGCATGGCCGTTGCGGAAGAAGGAATCGACAATCTCCAGCTGGTGGATGTGTTCAAGGTCCTCCCGGATGCTCTGTGCCGTCCACTCTTCTTTCGCAAAACGGATCACAAGATTGCGTGTGAGCCCGGAGAAAGCGATGAGCTTTGCCAGGTATGGCTTGATAAATCTCTGTTGCTTGTCCCAGCTCGCTGTGACCTGTAATATTTAGCATCCTGCCCACGATGCGGACGACTTACGTACCTTCTTTCCTTGTATGTAGATCTCGTTGGTCTGCACATACTCAAGGAAGCTCTCAGCCGCAATTGGATCAACAAAGCTCACATGCGCAGAATCATGTCGCTTGCTCAAGTGCATCTGCAAGATCGCGCCACCTTTCAGCAGCTTGGCAAGTCTCTGGAGTGTCGTATCTGGTGGTAGCCCGGTAAGGACCAGAGAGCGTCTGCCGGTGATGTTATCGCTGCAAGCGGACTCGTCTTCTTGAGGATCTTCTATTAGCTGGCCCGACACGCTTCCGTCGGCACAGACAACTCCAGGAGGCCATGGATTGGACGAACCGAGGGTGGTTGGTATGGACGACGGGTTCTGGTGACGGCTCGAAGTGGTGCTTGGGGGCGCTCGAGGGGTGAAAGGGCTCGCGGTGGGTGCAGGAGTCCATTCCAACATACCAGACTGGTCTGGTGTTGTTTCCTCAATTGGACTGTCATTTGGAGTGAAGGCCGGCGTTGGTAAAGAACAGCTGCTGATCAAGACATCGAGCGACTCGCCGGTGGCTCCTCCTATCAACAGTGCCTGCCTCAGAGCATGATATTTGCGGCCCGTGTCGAGCTATGGCTGGTGTCAGCAGCTCTGCCCAGGCTATGACGAACGATCCCACTCACCAACGTGTTGTATTCTTGAACTGATATGGTGACTGCGCCTGCATCTCTACCACATGCATGATTGGCCATGGTGCCGTCTCGTGGGTCGGTGATTGAACATGAAAAGGGTTAAGAAGGCGAGATGAAGCTATTAACTTGTATGTTGGAGGGTGAGGTGGAGTTGAATTGTGCCTGCCAGACCCTCATGTTCACCTGCACCCGTTCCTGCCAACCCGTGAACCGTCAGTCACTGATGCTGCCACTGTCCGATCTTGTATTCAGCACTCTCCATCTTGGCTTGGAACGATGACAGTGGCGGTGTGTCCACTAGCAGTAGTGGGATCTTCCTGCAACGAAACCACCATAGGTGACCGATTTCAAGATGCTCAACCACGAAAGTGCAACCGTTCCGAACGCGTCCTCCAGCACATCCTTGTTTCGGCGCTGGGTTCGTTGGACCAGGGACACGCGAGAGCGACGTTTCGTCCATGAATCTCTCCAAATGGAAGGCCACCAGCGCGGATCGGTCTCTTGTTTTCCTCTCGTGTCTTCACAGACACCGCAAGCATCTTCCTCCAAAGCTCTGCGCCAGGCAGCTTTCATGCAGTAACTGTCGAGATTGGGTCCACTCCAACGCAGAGTAACTCCTCTTACTTCCCTGAAAAAGCTCAAGATGTTACCATTTACTACAGAGCAGCCACCGAAGCGGACCTCTTCGAAGCAAGCTTTGATTCGGGCCGTCGCAGGGTGTCTCGGGCCAGGGCCTCTCTCAGCTTGACTTTTGCCCGAACTCCTCTCCATGCTCCTTCATGACCGCATCCACCATCTCAATGCTACCCTTGATCAACCTTGCTCGTTCTTCAGGATGCAGATCGAGAAATTCCTGGAACTCCTGGTACCAGGTATCGTCCTTGGCCGGTCCTTTGCCGTCGTAGCCAACGCACATCTCTGCAAGAATAGCTAGTGCCTGTCGAATCGCCATGTCCCCTCCGTACCGTTGAGGTAGTTCAGTCTGATTGATTGGCTTGAAGATGGATTCTGGGTCGTTCTTGTCAATCGCTAGGGCGAGAGTCTGCATTCTGTCTTCGAACAGCCACCATTTAGGCAGGATCTTTGAGCCTTCCAACAGGTCGAGGAACCGTTGAAAGTCGTCAATCGCTGCGTGATTCGGGTCAGCATCGCGCTAAGCCAATTCAGTGGGGACCATTGACTGACCATCCCCTTGTGCCCAGACCAACCCATCAAGAGGCTTCCCTGAATAGTACATGCCGTGGTCTTCCTGGCGAGACAGGTGATCTGTTTCAACCCTCAACCGATATGCATCAATGATTACACGGTAGACTTCATCATGATCGTAAGACGAGAGGTAAGCGCTCTGCTCCCCTTTACCCTGGACCATGTTACAGAACGGCTTGTGCTTCCGCCAGTGTGCTTTTTGGCATCTGCCATCGCTTTAGTACCGCCATGCCATGCACAGAAGATGAATGTGCATCGCGCTTACTCCTTAGAACAGTAGTCGATAAGCAGACACCCATTGCATTTTTTCAGAGTCTTCTGAAATCCCAGCGCCAGACATTTAGCACAGACAGACAGTTTCTTGCTGTGCATGTATTCGTGTTCGATCCGACCGACATACGACACGCCGCACATGGGAAATGTTTTTGTCGGCTTCGACGTTGGGTCGGCCGGAGCCTGAAGATCTACTGCCATTGCGTTTCAAGGATGATAGAATCCGTCGTAGCGATTCAGAGCAACAGCAGCGACTAGTTAATTCACTGTGTCACGGTATCAAGTACGCCTTCGAGATTTGAACAATTTAACCGAGGATTCCGCGTCGCTTGGCAGGCGTCAGGCATCTCAGGGCTCAGGGGGCATCCGTAAATCCAGCCTCGCCTCACTTCACCCTGACTCCAACATGCCATACGCCAGACATCTATATTTGGTCTGCCACTTTTTTCTCGTTAACGGACCCTTGAGTGGGCTTTTACGTTTGATGCGAAGCCTCCGACCGGGGCGAAGTTGGCCAACACGTTGATTGAGTGGTCGCTGGCTGACCTCTTGATTGAACTCCTAGCTGTAACCTTCATGCCTAGCTAGGTACGAACCATTACTGGGAGCTCGAAATTCGATTTGAAATTCAATCCTGTTTCCTCCTGCTTGAAACACCAGAATACGCAAGCGTATGGTTTTCCTTTCACGACGATGGTTGTGGACCTATCTGATTGCGTACTGGATGCCACGGCGTGGTCTGCAAGCTGCAACTCCTTCGCTCCCACTCTCGGTATATACCCAACCTTCTCTCTACTTGCCTATCCTGATCTGTCCGCGGCCGAACAAACTCCATTCCGACCTCTTCGGAAACATATCGATGGGGGAAAGCATTCATATTCAACGCGCTATCATAAACCTGGCTCTCTAGAATCGTGTGTGTCTCTGTGTGTGTGTGTTGAGGGGGAGGGTGCCGTGACAGTCATCCCTCCCGAACGGACCCCTTGCTGCCATGACTGCAAAGACAGGTCAAGACGATCGGGCGACAACGAAGCCATCGGTCGCCGCTTGATGCGCCGCACGTGGTTGGTGCTCACAACCAAATATCAGGCTTATAGTCGGCCGTCAGTCTCGGGTCCTCACCAAAGGTCGCTTGCCATGCGCCAAATCCTCCATCAAGCACACAAACCTCCTGCTTCTGCGATTGCTTCTTTTCCCCAGAGCCATCCTCTTTCGCTCCCTCGGCACCATCGTTCGCCTCCTTGTGCTGAGCCGCTTGCTTCGCCCTTGCGTATGCCAACGCAGCCTTCGGGCCCCTCTGTTGACTCAACATGCAATGAAAAATCACCTTCTCCTTGTCCTTGAGCGTCCGTATCAGTTCGGGCATTTTCACGTCCAGTTGGTTCAGCGGGACCCATTGACTGCCGTTGATGTTGCCGCCGATGTGATCCGAGTCACGGACGTCTATTATTGCAATCTTGGCCTTTTCAGCAGGTTCGAGGAGGAGCTGCGCAACTGAGGAGGGAGGAACATAATTGAGAGATGAGAGGGTTATGCGGTTGGCATTTGAGGACGCCCGGTCTGTCATCCTGCGGTGAATGCTGCGCTGCGACGGTGAGCGTGTTGGCACACTCGACTTGATCAACGGCGTTTGCAGGAGATAGGGCCAAGTGCTCCCGCTTCTCATCGATTTTGAGTAGTAGAACCACTTTTGCTGCCAGCAGATCAGAAGAGTACGTTTAGTGGATTAGAAAGTCCATGGCCGGCCCGCAAGTCGCCAACTGAGGCTCCGAAGATGGTCGCATTTGATTGGCTGCATTGTCCCCTGTCCAGGATCCACTCTGGCAGAGCTGCGGAAATCTCCAACATCTCAATCCGTGCTGTCTACTGCGTACCCTCAATCTCACACAATTGCACCAGCACCTTTCTCTCTAAGGTGCATGGTGAGAAGTGCTAGACACCGTGCTTCTGGCACAACAACATCAATATGAACGCAGCACGCACCCTGCAGCGGTGCACGCGTTACTCCCAGACACCCCAGCTCTACAACTCCTCGAACCATCCCAGATCCAGCACCGTCAATGCTACTCAGAAGCAGCAGCCGAGACATCAACATTCACAATCACGACCATTCTCCATGACAAGCCGTAACTCCCAGCATTCCAATCCCTATCGCAGTCCCAATAACAATGTAACCGCCAATACGTCTTCCACATCCCCATCCAGACGCCCACCAACGGCCAACACGGCCAACAAACCTCTCAACAACGACTTCATGCAAAGCCTCATCCGCGAGACCCGCGCCCGCGAACCAACGCGCACCACGCAGTCCCAAACCACCCAGGGCGCTCCCACAGGCGGCCTCAACGACATCCTCAGAATCGCACGCACCTCTGCCCCCCCAGCCCACGCACGCAACCCAGCTACACACAACCCAACGACAACAGTCAACTCCGTCCTCAACAGCCTAGGCGACGAGCTCGCGACCGGCTCCGTTGGACGATCCATCTCCTTACGCCTGCGTCCCACGCTAGGCCGCACGGTCGACGGCCTGCACGGCGACCCGACGCGCGGGTTCCGCATGCTGGAGAGGAAATGCGCGGAGAACAACGTCAAGGGCGACATGCGGAGCCAGGAGAAACATGTCCGGCGTGGCCAACGGCGGAAGAACGTCCGCATCCTCAGGTGGAGGAAGCTGTTCTTGCAGGGATTCAAGGCCGAGTTGGCGACCATTCATCGCATGAGGAGGCAGGGGTGGTAGCTAGCTTGCCAGCTTGCTAGCTGCGTAGGTTTGATCGAGTCGGCAGACAGACAGACAGACATATAGACGGCCAATCGCAGGGCAGGGCAGGGCAGGCGATGGATATCGGTACGAAGAGGCAGGCACATAGAGCTGGTCATTTCAGGTTGTCGCTTCGTGCCCGGAAAGAAGACAATGGCGTATCTTTCGAAGAATGTGGGGCGGCCATGTCAGCCAGGTCCATGGTACAGTACAGTATCACGGCTGGGGCATGGGCTGTTTCTTGTGTGCATCAACGGCTGGATTGCTTTGCTTTGCTTTGATTTTGCTGCGAACTACACGACAGCTCAATGAAGTGGAGGGGTTGCGATGCAGAGACGTCTAACCTCTCGACGACGCAGGTCAGTCAATCAATGGATGAACAAGTCAGTCAATCAAATCCAAGGGTCAATCGACCACCCAACTGCGCACTTTTCTGTCTGAAACATCCCCGAACAAACGCAAACATGTCGTCAATGCAGTATCAGACAGCGATTGGGATACTCAGCTGGGCAATATATGCAATCGCTTGGTCACATGTTGACTGATTGATGGGTCCATTGATTCGTGATCGGCTGTGGACTGAGCTAATACATAGCTCAGTACAAGAGCTTCTCATTTCCCATTTTCGATGGTCCTCAGCTGTGTTGCTTTCCTGTCTATCTGATTCCAGAGCTGGCTTTCCATGTCTGCTTTCCTTGGGCGCTGACAGCTCATCCCGAACTACTGACCGCCGGCAGCTGACGAGTGAGCCATCACAGAAGCAGAGTGCGATCACAGTCGTCGACGCATAAAGTTTTTTCCCCTCAATCCAACGGCATCACACAGCTCCAGATTATGATGATGACAGGCCAGTCCTCCATTCGACAACACTGTCTCGTAGCATCGCTCAGCACACCACCCCGTTGCGCCTTGCTGGCAGTACTGCTTCCATTGGCCTCACCTTTGCACGTTAAGACGTCGAATTGTCGAACTGTTGTTACTGACGAAGCTCTCAATCTCGATACATGTCATTCCAAAGTCGCTCACAAGTATGGCTTGCGGCACAACTTTGCAATCACCATCAAGTCGACCGGTTGATCCCCGACGGCAGCATGGTGCGCGGCACGGATTTGGCCCTGCACCTGCTGTAGCTTGGCCTTGACCCCATTATCTTCGGGATATCTAGCAGAAGCGGTGTTGAGCACATGGAGCTGACAGACCTTGGAAGTGATCACGGGAGACTGCTGATCGTACCACTGGAGGAAGTCGACAATCTCGCTGTCAATGACGGTGGTCTTGCCACTCACGACCTGGTTGCACCCGGGCTTGACACAGGTCGACTGGAAGCCAGTGGTGGCGTTGCCGTGCTGGGCCTGACCTCTGAGCTGGAGGACGCAGCGGTGGCAGTACAAGTGCAGGCAGTTCAGGACACGAACATCGCGCTTGATCTGTTGGCAACGAGAGCAGCGAATGTTGCTGGAGATCGATTTTCCGGCTCGGTGGAGTTGTTCGAGGTGCTTCATATAATTGATGAAGGTGTGGGAAATAGCTGTGGACAACCAATGGTCAGCATCGACTCGGAAGACAGACAGCAGGGAGAAAGTGAAGTGGCAAGCCTTACCTGGTTCCTTGTCGGTCTTGAGTTTCTTGGCCACTCGGACATGATTTGGGCTTGGGCTGTCGTTCAGTTCGACAGAGTCTCTTCCACGCCTCCCAGCCACGGCGGCAACAGCGGGTTTCGGATGAGGAGGTGAGGCGGCAGGGGCTATGGATTCCAGGAGACCAGGGAAGCTCTTCTGAAGATTTGTCATCCCATGCGCGACAACACTGGCTCGTGGCTCACGGCGAATCGGAGTCGTCTCGATTGACGAAGCGATATTGCCAGGCGTATTGGTCAACGCAGCTGCGGTCAGATCGGGGAAACCGTTGGAGACATTGAGAGGGGTGGCGATGGAAGCAGCCTCGGACTTGACAGAAGGGGACACCAAAGCGGCGATGGACGCATCTCTAGCTTCTTCTAATGGGAGAACGGACGGATCTCGCGCTGACTGAGCAGCTCCATCGTCCAGGGCAGGATCAGTGATCGCTAAGGTGGGATCGACAAAGGCGTTAGTACCATCAAAGAGAGGTTCACCCATGGCTGCAAGAGATTCGTTCTTTGCCTTTTCGAACTCGGTGACTCGAGCTGCGACATCGTGGCCGAATTGGAAAGTGTTGCCCGTCAGCTCGGTCATGATGGCCGCTGCAATGAGATTGTTGTCTTGAAGGGTGCCTTCCTCTTTGGTGACGGCATGGACGGCTTTGAGCAACTGCGGCTGGGCCTGCATCTGATAGTACATGGCTTCGATGAAGTGGTCATTGTTGAGCATGCTAGTTTGAAACTCTGACTGGCGCTCAACGCGCTGGCTGCGGAAGAGCTCGCTGCTGAGGTTCTCCATGGTGTGGCGGATGTGGTTGTCGTTGGCGAAGATCTTCTCACGAACGGCCTGCAGTTTTCTCAAAAGGGCGGCTTTCTCAGCGCGGAGAGATTGGGCAGTGATGTCAAGGTGATGAAGTTCACCCCGGAAGGCGTCGGTGTTGGAAAGACCTTGTTGTAGAGGAAGGTGAGGAAGAGGATGATGACGATCTTGTTGTTGAAGGTCAAGGTGCGGCAGATCTGACGGCATCCTGAGCCGAAACAAAATCGAGAAAGAGAAACGAAAGTGAGCTGAAAGTCACCTGCCTTAAGTAGGTGCCTTTGCACATGCTCGCGCGTGACGGGCTCTCCAGGCAGTGAAGTGTCTGCAAAGCAATGGCCTCTGACAACAACAGGAGTCGCTTCATCAACCAATGTCACTGCCAACGCTACGTTCGATGCTGGTTCCAACTGGGATGGAAAGGCTTCTTGAAGGTTGGGACCGACTGGTGTCGGAATTGGATGGAGTTGCACTCTTTTCTGTATCCTTGTCGAGGTTGATGCCCTGAGAGTACAGGGAAATGTGCTGGTCCAGGGGCCACCTGTGAGTTTGGGACCAGGTGAGAACAGATGGGATACGCCCGTGATATACTTTGTGGGTGAGAAGGGATCGACGCGAAATCCGCGATGACTGGTTTCAGGATGTCCTCTGTCTACTGTCTGTTTCTTGCAATGCTGAGACAACAGTGACGAAATACAGCGATACTGCGCATTGCTGCATTGTTAACTGGGCGCTTCTCCAAAGCATCTGCTGACATGATCAAAGGTAACATGGGAGTGCTTTTCAGCCAACACCACTGAAGGTGCCAGTAACATCATCTTTGGGTCAGTTGCGGACGTGGTATCGTGCAACTAAAGAGTACTCTACGGAAGTGTAGATGCGCGACAGAATTGAGCCAAGGCAAGCAACCGCGCAGCAAGATCCGAATGACCTCTCAGAGAGTAGCAGCGAATGATTCAAGATCAGCTCCTGGCTCAAAGAGACGACTCTCCAGGCGGCGCCTCGAGCGATAGGGAGGTCAGAGATTCCTCGAAGAACAGCCAAGGAGCATACAATGGCAGGTTGCTCAAACCGAGGGATTGAGTAAGCATCATCAAACCAATGATGTGCATGTTGGTGCCACTTCACCCATGACTATACAGTACTAGGTACTGCCTTGCCTGCGCGTTGTGCTAGAGTCTCGTCCTCGAAGACAGCCAACCGCCACTGCCACCACTACCTATTGCCGCAGCATGAAGGAAGCTGAAGACCAAGTTGTTCTAGGAACCTGAAGCAGATTCATTTGATTAGCAGACCACCTGTTTGAACCCCAAACGGTCTGTATCATCTCCCCCACCTAGCACTTGGATATTTCAGCACCACCACGTCCCATCTCAGGCTTCGTCTCATCCTCCTCGACTTTCAACTGCAAATCACGGACCAGATCCGAAAGGGCATCGGCCAAGAGAGCGTCGTACATGAGTCCCGCTTCTGTGACAGTGCCCTGCACCTCTCCCATGGCCCTATCTACCATGACTGTAAGATGAGCAACTCTCCCCCTCAGCTACTCTAGACGCTGCATCTCCCGCGCTTGCTTCACTCTGAAAGACAGGTCCTGGGCGCTCAGCTCTTTCGGGGTCTTTGCGTCGCCAGTCCCGTGAGCTACGTCTCGCAGGGTTGCTGGAAGGTGAAGGCGATGTTTGTCTTCCTGCACCAGTTGCAGGTCAAGAACGCTTGCGATGTCGACACCACGGATGCTGCGCATGCGTGCGTATGGATCTGAATGAGAGACCATGCTGACTCTTCCTTGCTTGTTGCGCTCGACTGATGTTCCGTCCGCGGGCATTTCGTGGAGACCTGCCTTCAATGACCTTGGATCTTCTGTGCCGATCTTGTCAGGATGAAAGGTGTGGGGAGGGATGTATGCGACTTACTCGTGCTGGTGGGCGCATCTGGTGTATGTTCGCAACGTGTCGTTCCTCGCTGCAGACCCACCGTTCTACAGGACATGCACACTTGATGTCGCGGGGCAAGTGCAGAGACGAGTTCTCAGGAAAAATGAACCGCGCCTGAAGACGAGACGAAGACGTGAGAGAATACGCAGACTTTGTACAGCAGCTCAAGTGACATGTCACCATGTAACTGGAGAAATAGGAACCGACAGCCTGTGAAAGGTAAGAAAGAACATCATTTCTGGTCTAGATCGGTTGATGAGCCAGCTCATGTACCCAGGGAGAGGGTGCCCTGCACCCTCTGTCCATCAAACAGGCAACTGACAAATATGACACGGAGGACACATGCCTACAAGCATACAATGGTATGCCAGATTGTGTGGTGGCCTTGATACGCCAACTCGAGATGAATCGTATTCGGAGAGCAAGGCAGCTGCTCGCAGTGATGGACCAATGGATCTAAAGCGAGCCTTGCACAACCAAGCTGTACTGTACGGTTGTCTAGCAATGATTCAGGCTGTCGATCGGGCTGATACGTTCTTCCCTTTTTGATTGCTATTGGCGTACCATGACTGTCAGTTCTCAGACCACGAAGCAGTCCGCTGCGCCTGGTGCTGACATTCTCTTGTGGGAAACAGTCTTGTCTCCGGAGCACGGTGGCCTCAACCGCTCGTTTCGCGTGGGACACATGTTCGGCATGAAAGGATCACGCGCGGCAACCGCTCATGTTGCGGATCGGGCCAGTAGTTGTGGGCGACTGCCTCCCACTGTCAAATCAATATACGCGTCGAGGAAGCTGTTGTGTTTCCGTGCAGCTCAGGGAGGACCAAAGCCTCGTCCGAATTGAGGCAGCGTTAGGCTCGGGAGAGCGCCGGGCGCCAACGAGCTGATCATCACGTCAGGCTGGGTGACTGTCATAATATATAAGGGTCAAGGGAGAGCCTCGCACTTCCGGTCCAGAAGTAATAGTTGTCTCATGTTCGTTCCACAAGAAATCACCGTGAGACAGTCAACTCGAAGTATAGGCGGGAAGTCGTTTCGAGAGTCTCCGGTACCAAGGAGTCGGCCAACGGTAATCTGAGCAATTTTCAAAACACCGCTTCGTCTGCAGCGTGTCCAACAGGTGCCGGGATTGCAAACGCGGACCTCGATTCTCTTGAAATGTTCGTGCTCCGAGTGGTGCTGGCATCTGGCCCAGACGAACTGTCTGTGCCTGTGTAGACAAGATAGTGTACTGCTCTTATTTGTGGTCGAGAGGTCGATATGATTGGATGCATTCGTCAAAACCATGTCCTTGAGACAGGAACCATCGCCGTTCAGCATCCTCGAGAACGAGCAGAAGAGCGACTGTGGAACGTGTTGGGCGAAGTTTGAGAAACGTAATAACATATGCTGATGGCATATATATGAAGACAGTGATACACACATACCTGGACGGTGGCTCATAAAGCACTGCCCGCCCGGTTCATCGGACCCCAAAACTGCCTTGGGTTCATCTGATACCTCACCAATTTGCCTCGAGGCTTCTCCTTGCCTAGCTTTTCGTCAAAGATAATAGTCAGGTTGCTTGGTGCCAACGTTGTCGAGGGGGAGGGACTTCTTGATTGGGATCGGTCCATGCTACCTCCTCCCTGATCAGGACCTACTGTCTCGTCGCTGACGTCTTTCGGTGCAGATGATTCCCTGTTGTCCTTGTCGGCGGTGCCCCTCTCGTTCTCGAGCCTATATAGCATGCCCTGCAGCACGACTTTCAGATCTTCCTTGCTATCGCACTTGGCAAGTTGAGTCTTCGTGATATCTTTCAGGTCTGACACAAGTGCTCTTTCTGTTCCTCTCAGCCTTGCTAGGACATTCCAACCGGGCGTGCCTTGCTTTACAGCTCCTTCCTTGATCGGACTCTTGGTCCGCACGAATTCGCGCATGATTTCCCATAGCACTCCCCAGGGTGCGTTGGTCTTGATGCTGCCGGCTTTGCAGTGTGACCTAGAAACCCTGTAACCCAGCCCGAGGAGCGCACCGCGCACTGCATACTCAGAAGGCGTAGCGCAATGGAGGATCTTGGCCAAGTATGTAGGCATGAAGAAAAAGGGAGCCGGGTCTGGCTTGTTTGTCGCCAGCCGTGGTATAGTCCGCGGGTCCGTTGTTGATGGGTCCTTCGCGTCCGCAGGACTCGCATTTCCATTTGAGGAAAGCTCAAGACTAAGGTCCTCCTCGAGGGCCAGCGTGAGCATCCCCTCAAGCCTGTCGATGGTACCATAGACGGTTTTGTCTAGGGAAGGAAGCTTCTCGAGCATCTTCTGTACGAAGTAGGAGTTATGCATAGGGCCTGCCCACATCGGTCCACACAGATGCATTTTGGAGCCACAGTGCTCACAACTCGGACTCTTGGCAGTCACTTGTGCGGCCGAGAATTTGTAGAAGGTGTCCCCATTCTTGGACGTCTGCGGCTGATTCCGAAGCAAAGGCTGCGTGACCCATGCTCCACAGCCGTGCCCACAGTTGTAGACGGTCATGGTCGTACCTGCAAGAAGCTTGACGTCTTGCTGCTTTCGATGCACGCGAATGAACAGGCGAGCGTAGTAGTCAATGGAGAGTGACAGCAGTGGCTCTATCGCCAGGCCGTATTTTGCGGCTGACACGGCCACGCCGTTGAGTATCAACCTCAAGCCACCCTCGTGAGATTGTGCCCCCTTGACCGGCATGCCGCCATACAATGCGAAAGTTTTTTCGGGATATCCGCTAGACGCAAATACTCCGGCATCGGTACATGTGACACAGAGCATTCCGCCATCTCGGATCGCCTGGAGACTGCAGTCGAAAAAAGGAGCCGCCGTACCATATGGATCGATATCGATGACATCGAATCGATGGACGTATCCTTTAACAGATCTTGAATGTTCGTTTCCAACCTTGCTGTACATGAAAGCTCGAGCATCACCCAGATTCGCCCGAACTTTATCTTCCACCTGGTTGTGCTTGATGTTTAGCTCAATACTCTCAACCGACGCTTGGGAGAGGTCATTCGCGACGATGTCTGTGGCAAATGGTATTTCTTTGGCGTACCGCAAAGCTCTCAGACCCGTCGCTGATAAGGCATCCAGGATCGAGAAAGACACTTCCGGTTTCTTCGCGGCTTTCGACTTGACGCCGTCTTCGGTGGCTTGCGGATGCCCATTCTGCTTTGGCTGTTCAGTCTGATTGTGCGGATCGCCACTGGGGTGAGCAATCAGCTCGGCAACGGGTAGTTCTTCCTCGTCGTCTTGTTCATCGGTGTCTGCCTTGGGTTTCTTCGTAGGTGCTAGGACCGTGTTGTCCTCGTGCGGGTCTTCGATATCGTCTGCCTTGCGCTTCCGTGCATTTAGTTGTGCGGGCCCATTTTCAGCAATCCTGTCCAGCTGATTGGTGGCCAGGTTCTTCGCTCGTCGCTCATCCCTCTTGTTTTTGTTGTGCTCGGCTTTCCGCTTGAACTTGGACTGTGTTTCTAGCAAGGCGCCTTCACCGTAGACAGTGATTGCAAGCACAGTCAAGTCTCGATTGAACTGCTGGATTGGGTTGTAGAACACTGCCTGGTGTCCCTCGTCATTGTTCCTGCTTTGAGTTGTCAACAGCTGAGTTTGTTTGCTGTCATTGTTCTTGTTACGCTTGGTAGACGTCGCAATGTCTTCAGCATACGGAGCAAGCACTGAGGCAAGTCCTTCACGGACCTGTCTGTATCTCTTGCCGTCTATGATCGTAGCATCAGGCGGTGCAGGCGACGCCATTTTGCAGCGAGATGAAGCTACGACCGTCCTCTGTTGAGACGTTGAAGAGTTTCGCAGTCCGCCAATCACAGAATTTTTCAGACGGAAGCGGACGAGTCCAACTCGTATAACTCCAAAACAACGCGCAATCCTCATCACCCGCTCAGCAACCCTCCTCTCCAACGCGTTAGACGATGTTGGCCCGAGAGGACGCCTTGTTAACGAAGGCAGATTCTGCGGTCAGGGGAGCGACGAGGTATGAAAGTGCCAAGATCAAAATCTTGGCCCGTTTTGACAGCAGCATTCAGGTCTATTTTGTAGGGCTCAATGTTATCATTGCAACCTGCCTCTCGTTATAGGCAAGTTGCTCTTCTGGCTTCTACGCTGCTATTCTATGGCATGACTGCGTGTAGCTGGGGTGCATTACATCTATTCTCTCTGCCTGCGAAGATAACTTGGGTATACTTTCGGTCAGGTGCTCACCGCAGCACGACCCTTGCAATCAGGCGTGCAACCTGTTGGTCGGCGTGGGTCGTAGTAGTCTTCGTCCTCTGTCACGTCGCTGTCATCTTGAATCGCACTTGGCGCTGCACCTATGGGGTCGGCCTCATCCTCTTTCTTGACATCAACACTAGGCTCGTCGTTGGCTGGAGCGAATGCGTTCTTGAATCCTCCCTTCTTGAACCCTCCGCCACCGCTTGACGCACTCTTGGGGGCACCGCCGAGTTTTATCTGCATCAACGGGCCCTTCTCTTCCTTTTTCGGTTGGACTTGTCGTTGCATTTCCTTCATCTGCTTCAATCTCTTCTTGTGTTGGTGATCGTAAGACGACTCATGCGCTTCGAACTCGTTCATACGACTGTAACCTTTCTGGCATAGCGAACAGAAGAAGGCGCTACGTGCTTGCTTCGCGGACTGTGTGTTCGCAGGAGGAAGGGTGAATCCTCGCTGAGAGGGATGCGACTAGTCAATAACGCCAGAGAAGAATGGGAGCGCACTGCGGAGGATATCGCAATCTCAAGCGCGACTTACCGGAGGCATTTTGACAAGGCCTCGTGCATTGCACGGCGACTGAATGCAAGGTAAAAGATGGCGCGGTAAGCACCAGATGAAGTCCAGGTGAGAAGAGTTTCTTGCGGCAAGAATGACTCGCTCCGGACCGCTTGCTCCGCCGCAGCCCCTCGTCGTTTCGGCCGCAAAAGGTTCAGCCAATCAGACGCTCGAGCCGCTCTGTGCTGGCTCCATGATCTGGCCACTGCTTCTCGCCTTCCGCTCTTAAACCTGTCGAGGTGGGAAAGCCGTTTGCCGTCTTAGTACGGATAGTAGTACTCGTCGTCGAATCATGGTGGTGACCAAGCAATACCCCAGCGAGTTAGAATAAATTGACCGGAAACGAGGTTGGTGAAATCGCCGTCGCCTCAGCAATCACAGAATCGACATGCTCATGCCGGCCTTAAACCGCAGTCCCCGCCATGCGCCTGATCGATGTCAAGACTCTACAGTTGAAAGAGTTCGGCAGCGGCGAAGTACCCAGATATGCTATCCTCTCGCACCGATGGGATTCCGAAGAGGTCTCCTTCCAGGACATGAGTCAACCAAAAACCTTTGGCAAGAGAGGCTTTGCTAAGATTCAGTCGGCATGCTGGCAGGCCAGGAACAAAGGGTATTCGTACTTATGGGTCGATACTTGTTGTATCGACAAGACGAGCTCGGCAGAGCTGACTGAAGCCATCAATTCCATGTACAAATGGTATCAGAATGCTGATATCTGCTTCGCCTACCTTATGGATATCGAGTCGCGAAAGAATGCGCTCAAGGATAGCGTGTGGCTGACCCGCGGATGGACACTGCAAGAACTGATCGCTCCAAAACATGTCAGTTTCCACGATCGCAATTGGGTATTTCTAGGCACCAAAGACGACCTCGCGCACGAGCTTTCCATGCACACCGGCATCCCAATCGAGGTCCTCGTGGGACATAGCAGACCTTCGAGCTGCTCTGTGGCGCAAAGAATGTCGTGGGCATCAAGGCGACAGACGACACGTATCGAGGACAGAGCGTACAGTCTCCTCGGTATCTTCGACGTCAGCATGCCGATGCTATACGGAGAAGGCGAGAAGTCTTTCGCAAGGCTGCAGCAGGAGATCCTCAGACTTTCCGACGACCAATCCATATTCGCTTGGGATCGCGGCCTCGAAGGTTATTTTGGAGGCCACAGCGGTTTGCTGGCGACATCTCCCTCGCAATTCGTCACATGCCAGAATGTCATCCGCTCCTCCCATGGTCTCCCAAACACCGGAAGATTTGAGCTTACCAATGTCGGGCTCTCTATCTCCCTGCTGACGGTACCGTGGACGATTGAGACGTATCTCTGCATCCTGCACTGCACTCTTCGGGCCTCTCCTGGTTCAAGGCTGGGTGTCTTCCTGGAACGGTTGTCGTCGTCGCAGGATGCGGAGCAGTACGCTCGTGTCGCAGTCAACGGCAACACTGTTTTGTGTGTTCCGATGCAAACAGTTCTGCAAGACCCACGGCATCGCGTGCGACACATCCATGTCCGCCCAGCTATAATCGATGCGCCCCTCCGCAGATGGTATGGATTTCGTCTCCACGAATTCATTGTCCCAGAGTATACACTCAACGAACTCTACAAGACGGCGTTTCACTTCCGCGACAGCTTACGTGTCATTACCCGCTATAGCCACCAGGAAATGCGTGCCGCCAAGCTGTACCATCCTAATGGGCTTGCTGGCCTGCCTCCCCGGCCCCTTTTTTTCGGCATGCCCCCTGGTCGCAACGACTTGGAGCCCGTCAGAGGGACTGCTGCCATCTTCTACATTCCGCCCTCGAAGCACGACAAGAAAGGCGACCGAGTTTGCTGGATGAAGTTTGGCTTCGACAAGAATTTCAACCCCGTTTGTATCTTGGGCCGACGAAAGTCTTTGTGGGGAGGTAATGCAGGTCATCTCGCTGCGGACGAAGACTCATACTATGACGCCGAAGAGCAACCTGGAAAGCATGCTCTTCTATTCAGAAGCGACTGGCTCGTTCAACTCGCACCGTGCGACGACGATAGAGAAGTCGCCGCGCTATGGCGCTCGCGGGACTACTGTGTGATCCGCGGGCACCGAGATCTGGGACTTGACCGAGAGATCCACTTCTTACGTTTGCATATATCTGTCAAGCTGGAGCACATACCACCGAACTATCCAGTCGAGGGACGCCCTGGCTCATTGCTGCCTGGCATGAATGTCTGGACCATCAACGTCGGGACGTTGGGTCCCGGCGGTAAGGGCGTTGGGATGAAGACTGCACAAACCACAGGAGAACTTCTCTTGAGAGGAATCGACGATATTTTCATGGCAGTCTGATATGCGGGCTGAACCAAGTGTCCTTGACAAAGCGGCTCTGGTCGACCGATTTACGTCTGCTGAGTGCCCCAAGCGAGAACGCATACCCATGGCTGCGACTTTTATCTGCCAAGAACCAGCCTTTGCATCTATGCGAGGCCTGACGACTTATATCAAGCGTCCACCAGCCGCACCGGACTGGCCAGCAACTGCAGTCTGACAACCGGAAAAGGCATATGAGCGCAACAATCTTCGGGGATATATTCCGTTCAGCAATTGTCAGTCAACGAGGACGGTGTCTCAGAATTGCAACATCTCCGAGGAACCGTCGAAGCCACATCTACACAGTCTACATCCGTCGACCGAGCAGAACCTGAATAGGCCCTAATGATTTCATGCTGCTTTCCCCCTACACGAACCCGTGCGCTGCTGGAGGAGGAATTTACTAAGACCTCACACGAGAAGTATTGAGTGACAGCGGAGATCATCTTTTCCGAGGACTACCTCGCTCTTTAGAACACATTTTGTGACGAAGTTAATGACTCCCACGACACTATTTACGAATCTATATGCCCATCTATATACCTGTATATGAATCATATATCATATGCAGGCTGGTCTCGACATAGTGGCAGACGAGATCTGCCTCAAAGTTCTCCCTGTGCAAGCTCGGACCATCGAGTTGGGCCTTCCATCACATTCTGAAATCAGTCGGAACTTGCTCTCGAACTCGAACGCCCACTGCGTAGCCATCCAGTCCTATCCCATACTGCTTTAGTCCTAGGCACTGCGTAGACAGAAGGCGTGCCGCGCACGGCATGTGCAGAACACTGGACACCTGTCATGGTATTTACTACCTTGACAGACACGCGCAGCGAGGTGGCTGCCTGAGACAAGGGCAGCGAACTCAGCCAACAGATCCCGGCTCTCATGCTGCCGTCGATCCCGTTTCTCCCCACGATACTTTCCGAACGGGACTGTTCCGCAGGCAGAAAGAGCAGAAACGAGTTGCGCGATATGTCGTTGAGGCTACGTACTGTTGTGTCGACTGATTAGATTGAAAAGCACAACGATGGATCTGGTGGGGTAGAATGGGCTAAAGTGGGGACAGAGCTGCAGTTCGCCTTATACCCGGAAGGGCAACGCGTGACATCAAGCGATACTCTCCTAACTGCCGCTAACAGAAGCGAGAGGTAATCCCGAGCACTCAGTAATTGCTCCACTGCCATTGGTCCGTCCGACATCGTGCAGGATCTCGCTAGACCTTCTCCTGTTGACACGGTGTCCGAGGTGCGCGGACTCGGTATGTAAGTGGTGCCTACGTGCTGTAGCAAGTGTTGTTTCTGGCGGTGGTGGTGAGTCCTTTCCTCCGCAATTCTCCTCCCTCAGGCCGACCCTGCTAGGAGTTCCAGACCGGGACTGGTAGTAGTAGTAGTAGTAGTCATTACAATGGCCGACCTACCGCCCCTCACGACGACCGACACACGCGCCTCCCTCGCCTCGATGCACGAAATCGACCCCTCGCCCGTCGACGACGAGGAAGACCCGTCTATGGACACCTCGTCGCCATATCCAACAACGGACCCCACGGATCCGTCCTCCTCCACGAAAGACTCGTCGTCGAGCCACGCCGCCTCCCCTTCCCAGGGCACAACAAACCTCCTAGGCCTCACTCCCACACGGACGCTCCACCTCCTCACGGCCCTGCAGAAATACTCCGTCGCCCCACTAGGGCTCTACCTAGCAATGCACTACACCAACACGGCGCTCATCCCGCTGGTCACCCCCTCCGTACGCGCCGCGGACAAATACCTCCTCCTCACACGCCCCTTCTACCAGACCCCGCCTCTCGAACCGCTCCTGATATTCCTCCCCGTGCTCACGCACGTCGTCTCCGGGGTAGCCCTGCGTGTATACCGCCGGCGGATCACGGCGCTCCGCCACGGCGCCGAGACGCGCAGCCAGCGCCGCGGGATCGCGTGGCCGAAACTCAGCGCCACCTCGGCGGCCGGGTACGCGCTGTACCCGATGTTCGCGCTGCACGTGCTGAGCATGCGCGTGACTCCGCGGCGCGTCGACGGCAGCTCCGCGTCCGTGGGCCTGCGGTACTTTGCGCATGGCATCGCGGCGCACCCGGGTCTGGGACTGGCGGCGCATGCGCTGTTGATTGTCACGGCGAGTTATCATTTCGTGAGCGGGGCGGCGCGGTTCTTGAGGCTGAGTACCGAGTATGTTGTTGGGGGTGGGGAGGATGGGCGGGTCAAGAGGAAGTGGCGGGGGAGAGTCATCAATGGCGTGGCGGCGCTGATGGCGGGGGTTTGGATAGTAGGCGGGTTGGGCGTCGTGGGGAGGAGTGGACCGGGCGTGGGCTGGGAGGCTAGTCACTGGAATGCGATATATAAAGAGGTGCCGCTTGTTGGGAGGTTGTTCTAGATTCCCGTATTACTGGCGTGTCGTACGAGTTCTGCATTTGGAAGAAGGCAATGGAGGGAGTTTTCGAGCGTCATGTAAAGTTTCATTCACGGGAGCATTGCATTAACTAGACGCAAGCGGTGGCGGACGAGACCAGCATTGTCGCCTCTCCCTCAGAATTCGAGACAACTTCGCCGAAAAGTCAACAGATCCAGGTTTCTTTGCATTCCCCTCTCGATCAGGTGACCGCACAGACTTTCCCATTGCTATAGCAGAGGAACAATGAGCGTTGTACCCAGAAGTTTCCAGCCTCGTCAGAGAACCACTCTCAGACCAAATCCCTCTTGCACAACATCCCCGTATCACAGAACTGTAAATGTCGCACTCGCAATACAAATTGCAGTAACAGCATGTTCGTTGATACAGGTGTTCCGGTGGGCGCGGAGAATGTCATACCGGTCCTGTTTCACTAAGGCACACTACTCGGGCAACATGGGCTGCCAGATGCCCCAGGATATCTTAAATGGTGATTCAATGGCCCTGGAAACCGTCGTCAACAAGTTAGTATCCATTGCCGATTACGATACTCGGTAGATTCCACTTACGTGTCCAAACGTCGAATCGGCAGACCGAAAGCCAAACGGTTCGATCCGGCCCCCTTGTCATCAGCCGACGTCTCGTGAACTGGATTGATAATGTGGAAATGGACGCATTGCAGGCATTTTAGACGATACTTCATCAACACCAGCCGGTCAATGATGGCCTGTGCTTGGTCCCGAGAAGCCACCGCTAGTTCAAGTCTCCTGACCGTGTTGGGTATGCAGTCGACAATGGCGGTCTCAATATCAGGCCACATTATGCGAACCTCTTTCATGTTTGTTGTTCCCAGAAGGAATGCGGACAGGTACTCAACGAAGGCCGAGGTAGGGATTGTGGTCGAGGAGATCGTAAGCGACCGGAGGCTCTCCCGGTGGACTTCATAAAGTGCTTTCATAGTCTTCTGGGTCAGGAAGACGTCTGCATCCATCCCTGAGTCCATAAGTTGGACGAGCGTCAGTTTTTCAGCGGTCGCAGGCGTTCGAATGTCTGATGATCTACGGACTGCATAATCTTGGTCTGGCTACCATGTCGTTGCAGCGTTTGCAGGCCCCGAGGCGGACCCACAACCATGAGCTCCTCAAGGTTCGTCAGTTTGCTGAGCACATCCGCTGTCCTCATTGGACTGGTCTCGGAATATCCAGTCATCTGTAACGAACTTAGCTCCGTGAAAGACCCCAGACAGCCAATATGGCACTGCTCGATGTCAAGTCTCAACGACCGGAGTATGGGGTAATTCTCGGCTGCCCAGTTGAGCAGATGTGTCATGACAATGCTGGATGGTATACTCGTTTGAAGACCGATCGGCCTCAGCAGCTGCAAATGTGTAATGCCAGGCAGTTCTGCGAGGGCAAAAGTGATTTGGTTGATTTCCATGAGATATGGATGCCGATGGATTAGCTCTGGGTTGCCACTTGCAATTGCCGCAAGGTACTCCTGCATGATTTCAGGTCGAATCTCTTCCACGCGCATCCGAAGATCGGTTATGCTTTGCAGAACGCTTTCCGGCCATCGCTCCACAAACTTGATGAGATCGTATTGAGAGTCACAGTAGAGCGGCCTCTGGTAGAAAGATTCTCTTGCCTCGCCGTGCACCTGCTTGTGTACGCACAAAAGGTTCAGATGGTCACGGTAGGGAAGCCTAACCATCAAATCATAAATATTGCAGCGGACCTCGAGGGGAAGCTCGAAAAATGGACTTCCGGTAGAGGCTGCGGAGGTACGGCTTGATGTGTCGGCCAACTGTTGGCGTAAGTCTGAGTTGACAAAGCTAAACCAGGTCACTTACTGCCTCGCACGAGCGCCGCGAGCCTGACGACATCTCTTGTAGCGGCGGACGAGCCCGCCTACTCTTGCTAGACATGCGTTTGTCTGCGTAGGCTACCCGGTAGAGTGTGAGGTCATCGCGCGGCGGTGGAGTCTTGCCGACGATGATGCCTACGTAGGGCGTCCTCCAGGTGGATCGCCCTAGCTACAAGTCCGAGTAGATTCGTGAGGCTTGGTCGATCAGGTATCGAAAAGAGCTTGCACATACTGGGATGATAAGGCCCTGGTTTCAGCATTTGTAAAGTATCGCGCTCCGATAGGGGCCACAAGCAGAAGAAAGACATGCGGCGGCACCCAGTGCCCAGAAACATCCCGATATCAGAGCGTAGCTCCGTTTGCAGGCCAGATCCTCATCCTGATATCAATCGGATGGCCTCTGCGACATTGTCGAAATGTCGATATTTGGCGAAAGATGGTGTGGTGGGGTGGCTCAAGGAGCATCAAAAGTCCCTTTCCCACATGACATACCCTAGCGGTGAGATAACATTCTCCAGGTTAAAGGAGGCGATCTGGAACTGGGAAGCAAGCAACAACTCAGAGCTGAGGGATTTGTCCGGCCGCAGTTGAAGGTGGCTGCCACATGGCGTTCAAGGATGGGATGCGGAAGGACAGAAGCGAACCGAAATGCAAGGGAAAGCTGCATGGCACAACCCCAGCCATGTGGACAACGGGGCCCTCATCTCTACATCTCGCCGGAACTCGACGTGACCGAAGCACTCGGTGACTAGCGTCAATGAGTTATCTGGTCAAAGGAGCTAGAAAAAAGCATGGATATGGAGCAATGAAGTGTGAAGTCCTGTACTCGTACCTATGGTCGGGCGACGTAGACCTGTCGACCCGATATCTTGGGTCCGCATATCTCGGAGATCATCACGTATATGAAGCTTCCAGCGCCATGCGGCCTTTGCCAATCATGACAATCCACTTCGCGCAGCTGCGAGTAACAAGACACGACGATAAGGGGCTCGGGTGGCGAAGCTCGTGGCAGGGGATGTATGCCACTCGATGCGTCAACCACGTGGGAATAAAGTGCAGATCTGGAAATTTTTCTCCATTCTCGCACGGGAGTTATCCTCGTATCCGAAGTTGGGGTATTGTCGAGCTCGCTTCGAGATATTTTAGTTATTTGACGCCTGATCGTTGGACTGACAGTTGGCGTCGTCCTAGACCAGAGCAAGATGACTGGCAAAATGACTTCAGTTAGGGGAGTCCTGCCGCGGCGGCTGCCTGCAGTATAGTATGATAGCTCCGGTTGGCTTCGTGCAAAGATAATTTTCAAAGAATGCTCAACCACGGGGTCTTCTGGCAGAGGCAAGATGCGAGTGGGTCGCCACGTGGGAATGGAAGAGGAGACACAGGATGGCCAAGGAGGGACGAATCTCGAAGAGGCCAAAGGAATGCTAGAGTCCGATCGAACACATGGCCCATCGGCACAATTAGATGCGGGACTCCCCCGACCCTTCTGAGCCCAGATCTGGGATGTCATGGGGACCTGCACCTCGAAGCGAGGGTGAGCGCGTAGGAATTTTTCCTTCCTCTACAGAACGAGTCGTACGGGGTTGCAACAGGCTGGCGGATTGTCCAGACATGGAGGTCCCCGATCCCAAAAAGCGTGAGTTATCAGGTTGACTCGAATTGATGGGCGTCCAGCTGGGGATCCAGGAACAAACGGTGTGCGGCGAACGATGGACACGAGCTCGACTGGAGGACTCCATTCGGGGTCTCAAGCGCCCTCACGGCCTCATGAAACCAGACTGAAAGTGGCGTGAGTTTGGGGACGTGTGAGAAAGCCATCTGACGAGAGCGAGAAGAGGAGGTGAAGGTGAGGTGAGGTGAGGGTGAAGAGTTGGAGAATGCCTGCAATTCCAGACCCCAATCGATGACAACGCTTCGTGTCATTTGCATTTGAGATCCAGCCGCGATCCAGCCTCGTCTGGCCTCATCCACGCAGACGCCGCAGAGACATCTGACCACCTTGTCAGGGATTGTCGACTTCGCAATCAGGCTGCATGGACATCATCAGTTGTCATGTGGCCGCCATGTTCCGGAAAGGTGACCATGCATATCGAAGGGCAAAGCACCATCTTTTTACGACCTCTGAGCGATGCGTGTCACACGTGGTCTCAGACATCTGCTTCGAGCTGCACCAGGAATGCAGGCCACGTTGGCCGTCTTACACAAGTTGTGACGGGACCATAAACTCAGATTGGGATCGTGTGTTCGAACCCACGCGATGAATCTGGCCTGGCAGGTGCAGTCTACCTCATTCTGGCAGGGGCCATCCCGATCGAGCATGAGAATGAGGACAGGACAGGCAATGTCATATTGCAGTGTACTAGGTATCGTTTCACCGAGTGCTTAAGCGAGATCACTGCAGCACGATCCGTGCATCTGGATCACGACCACTTGGGTTGCCGGAATAATACATTGCATTCATGCTGAACCGAACAAACTCATCCTGGTATCCAGGTGGCAGCCACCTGCACCATGAACTAATTCTCATTCCAACCAGCCCCTGCCTTCACCTTACATGAAGAAGCCGCTTGCGCTAATACACACGTGGGAAAATGCTTTTTAGGGACTTCCGCCGAGAATGCCCTACCCGTCCAGACTACACCCTCAGCAACTTCGCGGCATAGCTCGTGATGGTATCAACCTGAGGGAAACTCATCTCCTCCAATTTCTGCGCGTAGGGAGTGGGCACTTCAGCCCCCGTTACGCGCACTGGTGGTGCCTGGAGGTAGTCGAAGCCGTATTCGACTGCGAGGGCCAGAATCTCGGCACCAACGCCAAAAGCCGGGAAGCCAGACTCTACCGCCATGAGCGCACCGGTCTTCTTGACTGATTTTATGATGGCCTCCACGTCCATGGGCTTGACTGAGCGCAGGTTGATAACCTCGGCCTCGACGCCATAGTTCTTCTTCAGTTGTTCCGCAGCGTCCAGCGATTGGCCTACGCAACGTGAGAGTGTAACGATGGTCAAGTCTTTGCCTGGTCGTTCGATCTTCGCTTTGCCGAAGGGGAGAACGAAATCGCTCTTCTGTGCCTCTGCACTCATAGGGAATGCCTGACCGTACAGCAGTCTACGTGGGTTAGCATGGTTCCAGCACGACGCGTCGCCTACACTTACTCATTCTCTAGGACAACCACAGGATTTGGGTCGCGGATAGCTGCCTTTAGCAGACCCTTCGCATCCTCTGCGCTCCAAGGTGCAACGACCTTGAGACCAGGGATACTGCCATACCACGCCGAGTAGTCTTGTGAGTGTTGAGCTGCGACACCAGCCGCGAAACCGTTGGGTCCTCGGAAAACGATCGGACAAGGCTGGATACCGCCAGACATGTAGTGCGTCTTCGCAGCCGAGTTGATGATCTGATCAATTGCTTGCATAGCGAAGTTGAACGTCATAAACTCGCAGACAGGATGTAGACCGGCCAATGCTGCACCGACGGCAAGACCGCAGAAGCCGGATTCAGTGCTGATCCCTCGTTAGCATCGAAGACAGATTCAGGCGGAGGGCGCAGCAAAGTCTCTCGCGGTCTCGCTGTCGCAAGGCTTATGGAGGACTCACATTGGAGTATCAATGACCCGCTTGGGTCCGAATCGATCCAGAAGGCCCTTGGTGACCTTGTACGCGCCTGTTGAGAATCTTGAGCTCCAGCGTTAACCTGCGAATAGAAATGTCTTTACCATTGTATTGAGCCACCTCTTCGCCTAGTATGAAGACCTTCTCATCTTGCTCAAGCTCCTCGGCCAAAGCTTCGTTGAGGGCATCACGGACTGTTACCGTCTGCTGCGCCTCTGAAGCATAACCTCTAAAGGAAGCAGGCAGAGAAGCCCAGGGCGCGAAGTTACGGATTGACGGTCGTATCGAGGAGGAAAGTGCAGGTCGCTGAGAAACAAGCCGTGAAGCCGCCCTGAGGACTGATCTGGACGCGGCCATTGTGAGAAGGGAAAAGTGAAGCCGACGAGTAGCTCGCTGCAAGGCAAATGTGCTTGCCGGCGGTCAGAGAGAGTTGCTTGGTTTGACCGTGAGGAGTGAAGCCAAAAAGTGCTGTAGATCCGGGTTGAATTGAATTGGATTGGATCGAATTGAATTATTTAATTAGATAGAATCGAGATGCGGACTTTCAACACGGACTCAGGAGCTTCGGCGATCCGTGGATTGGGATCCCAACAACGGAAACTGACATCCATCCCCGAGAGCCTGTCAGCCCGCTTAACTAATTCGGCCTCCTTGGCAATTTTGCTTCTCTTCTCTACTTCAGCTCCTCATCAGACCGGCCCTGCGAATCACTCGTTTGTTCCAGGGTTCTTCTGCTCGCTCTCACTTAACGTGGTCCCAGCACGGGACGGTGTGCAGGGTGCTACCTAGGTATCCTAATAGCTCTGATTGGTGGTGTGCATACCAAGACGAGCTGAGGGTATTATCATGAGGTCTGCAAATATCCAAGTCAAGGGCCTGGATATCTTGTAACTCTGTTGATCTTCTGACATGGTCTCCTTCCGAATGTATTATCTCAATGTGGCAAGATGAGCAGCCGGTGCAGGATGATGATGGGCTGTATACAGTAGCTCGCTCCGACCATGTACTCGAAGAGTGGGTGAAAGGCATTGAGACCTGAAGCTGATACGTAGAATGAACCGAACCCGCTGAGCCAGTTCGCCCACAGCAGTCTCTGCAGACTACTTGTCTCTCCAGTAAGTGGCGAGAGGTACGTCAACGTTATCACGGCTCAAGCCTTAGACATTTTGATAGTAAGCTGAGGGTCGAGCGACACGGAGAAGACAGTGAAGTCTGGGAAAAGCCTGTCCGTCACCGCGCTTAAGAGATTGTACTCTGTGCATTCTTGGTGCAGCACAGTCGTCATTGTCGGTAGAGATGAGATACCCGTACTGTATCCTCAATAGCTGAGAGAGCCACCGATGGTTAAGCCTACGGGGACTGAGAACATGACACCAAAGGTGATCACCAGGACACCAAAGGACACAACACCTTATGTAAGCAATGCGGGTGGACCGGAGTCGCCGAAGTTGCCCTGGGAGACTAAAGACCGCGACTCCGAGATGCCGTCTGAGTGTGAGTGCTTCTCCACAAGCATCGCCAGAGTCAACAGACATCGAGAATGCTTCCCTCGGTGAAGCTTAGCGTGGTCCTGCTGGCGGTACCCGCGCTCTGCAAGCAACCAACAGCACCTGAACCGCTTGCCGCTCCCTTGAGAGAATTGGAGTTCGGGCAGCTCAATTTCTTACACACAACGGACACCCATGGATGGCACGCCGGCCACCTCTTAGAACCCTCTTTCGGGGCCGACTGGGGCGACTACGTCGACTTTGCTTCTCGATTACGAGAAAAGCTCGACGGGGACGGGAAAGACCTGTTGATTGTCGACACTGGCGACCGTGTCGAGGGCAATGGCCTCTACGACGCCTCGGAGCCCAAGGGCCTCTTCACCTTTGACATCTTCCGAGAACAGCATATGGACATCATCTGCTCCGGGAACCATGAGCTGTACAAGCAGAACTCGTCCGAGAACGAATATCGGATCACTGTCCCTGCGTACGCGGACAGCTATCTGGCATCGAATCTCGACATTCGGGATCCGACCACAGGCGAGCTGGTGCCCCTAGCTCCCCGGGCGAAGAAGTTCATCACCCAGAACCAAGGTATCCGTATCACGGCCTTTGGCTTCCTTTACAACTTTGACCGGAACGCGAACAACACTGTGATCCGGCGCGTGGAGCACGCGATCCAAGAACCGTGGTTCCAGGCCGCGATCCGCGACCGCGAAGTCGACCTGTTTGTCGTGATCGGCCATTCCGCCGTGCGCTCGGCGGAATTCGACATGATATTCACGGCCATCCGCGCCGCGCAGCCGGATACGCCCATCCAGTTCTTCGGCGGCCACTACCACATCCGGGACTACCGCAGGTTTGACCGCAACTCGTACGGCCTGGCGAGCGGGCGCTTCATGGAGACGCTCGGGTTTCAGTCCATCAGCGGGCTGTCGACAAAGACCAGCCGTTCAGCCTCGACTCCATCCTTCTTCAGGAGATACATCGACAACAACCTCTACTCGCTATATCACCACTCAGGCCACAACGCATCGACCTTCCACTCCGACCGCGGCCGCAACATCACGCTGGCGATATCAGAAGCCCGGGCAGCACTCGACCTGGATCAGACCTTCGGCTGCGCGCCACGTGATCTGTGGATGGCACGGGCACCCTACCCGAGCAAAGACAGCATCTTTTCCTGGTTAGAAGAGGATGTCTTTCCCGGCATCGTCAATGATCCAGCGCGCAGTGATCGTCCGAGACTGGTCATTTCGAACACGGGAGCCATCCGCTTCGACATCTTCAAGGGCGCCTTCACCAAGGACTCGACGTACATCGTCTGCCCGTTCACGAGCGGGTTCCACTACCTCAAGGACGTGCCGTACGAGAAGGCCAAGCATCTGATCAACATGCTCAACCGCGGAGGCGAGATCTTTGAGAACGTCGACCCCTCGTACGCAATGTGGAAACTGGGTCCGCCGGAACAGATGGGCGTGAAAGAAGACGTTATCGCAACAAATCCGCTACAGCTACACGACCTTTCTTCGTTATCTCAGGTTGCGATGGCCAGCGGCGTTCGCTTGACGCCGGGGTACACCACGCGTGATGACGCGGGTGACGATGGCGACGACACGATCCACTCGCCGATCTCGTTCTATCGGGTGCCGAATTGTATTCAATCCACGATCAACCCGAGTCAGGTCGCTCTGGATGGTGAAGGTGTTGTCGTGGACGTGGTCTTCAACGAGTTTATCGAGCCTTGGATCTTGCTGGCGTTGAAGTTCCTGGGTCTGGAGTACACAGACGAGGATGTCGGCAAATACATGCCTGAGGATAACTTGACGACCCTGATTGCGAGGTGGGTGAGCGAGAATTGGAAGGACAACTGTAAGGATTGAGCTGGCTCGTCCAGGCGTACTCGGGATGGAACATGACCTCGGAGTGTACTATACCATGTTGTGACATACCCAGCACATGATAGATTATATGGTGCTAAGGGCCGCCATCGTCATACTCACATTATTTCCGTTGTGTCAAATTGAAGAATATTCTTCCACAGAAAGACTGATCAAAATTGAAGAATCTTCCTCCATGAAAATTCTGGTCATAAGTGGAGAATATTCCTCCATGAAAAGACGGGTCAAATTGGAAGAATATCTCTCCAAGGAAAGACATATCCGCCACCTATACCAAGATACCATCCCTGGGAAGTCGGCCGTGGAATGGCATATCTGCCACCGTGACAGGATACCAATCACTGGGAGCCGCCCTTCAGCCGCCAGTTCCCCGCTGGGGTTTGCAACAAGAGCATTTAGAACTTTTCCTTCAGCCACCCGACAATGGCCTCCCCAAACTCCTTCGGCTTGTCCAAGTGCGCCCAGTGCCCCGAATCAATGACCACATTGGTGCAGTCGGGAATCAGTCCAGCATCGAGACTCGTCTGCAACATCTCCGGGCGGCAGACATAATCTCTCTGGCCCCCGAAAAAGAGGAACGGCACGTTAATAGGGATGTTCTCCTTGGGAATATGCCTGCTCGCTTCGTCCTGCACGCCAGATGTCATCGCGCGATAGTAATTCAGCGGGGCGTCGAAGCCGGGCGGTTTCTTCAACGAAGCGATCCATTTTTGCTTGCGCTCCTCGGTGGCGTAAGACATGGTCGGCTGCCTCTTGTCGGCGACAAGGAAATCTCTCACCCCGTCTTTCTTGCACAGTGTTTCGAGCCAGGTCTCTGGGTCACCGTGCGCGACGTCCCACATACTGTCCAGGTGCGAGCCCATGACCTGCGCGCCGTCCTCGGCGGTAAACAGCTTCCAGTACCAGTAGATGCCGTAGCCGAAGATGCCTTGGGTGAACTGCAGGACGCCGTCGAGATTGAAGGGCTGGTCGGGCGTGGGGATAAGGTAGGAGACAGCCATCAGGACGAGGCCCGCGCACCGGTCTGCGTGGAAATTGTAGAACCGCTGAGCGACGCCGGAACCCTGTGGCCCAATGATGAATGAGATCAAGATGGCTTGCAATAGATCTGACAACTCACCCAGTCATGACCCACGGGAACAACCTTATCGAGACCTTCCTTGTCGACTATCTCCTTGAGGTCCTGCGCCATACCTTGGAAACTGTACGACTCCGTGTCTGTCGGCTTTGATGTTCCGTTGTAGCCTAGACAGTCAATGGCAATGACGCCGTAGCCGTTGGGCAGTAGATAGTCGCGGATGGCATCCTCGAAAGTGTCAGGTGCATCTGGGAAGCCGTGGATCAGCACAAGGGTCGGCTTATTGCCCTTCGCGGGGCTAATGTAGTAAGTGTAAGTGAAGCCTCGGGACACGTCGAGCGTTTTCTTCTCGAGGTTGTCCATGATGGATGCTCTATCTGCGACGAATGAGCGGACTCTGTTGATTCAGGCTGGACGAGAGGGAGGAAGATTCGCTTGTCAGCCGCCTGCCGAGGGCAGAGCCCGTCCGATCTTATATCTTGCTGGCCAGACATGTGACATGGTGCACGCGGCCCAATCCGGCTGTCCATTGCTCCTGTTGGCAACTGTTCAGCTGGGCTGCTGAATCTCGATGCAATGCGCAAAGGCATTACCGTACAAGGATAATGGGGAATGCCGTCGGCCATGTCTAGCCAATCCGCATTTGCGGGGAAACTCGGAGAATCGTCCAATGCTGGGGAGTTGCGCCAGTGGAGGATCACGGACTCGACAAGCACAATTCGAGCTTGGTTGTGTAACACAGCGCGATAGGAGCCCTGGAGAGAAGCGCCGTCCGCCAGGCAACGCAGCTGCTGCCTGCGGACTTGCAGCCTGCAAATTACTAAGAACCATGGATGAGATACGACCGAGGGTTGCGTGTCTTCGTTTACAAATCCCATTTACAGTAATTAGCTCCAAGCAACACGGTATCGCGCTCTCCGATTGGCTCATTGGAAAACACACATGCACGGTTCTGGCTGTGAATTTCGAAGCCGCTCAATGACATCTGCGAAAGGTAACGCACGGATTCACATCTTGCGTGCTAGACACATGTTGCAAAGATGACTGGAGTAGGTCGACATGTGGACGCGTTCACGGTGTGCAAGAGTACGAGATGCCTGCTGCTGAGCCTCGAGATGCCGGAATTTGCTAACGTTTCTAACCCAGGAATTGCAACCGTGCGGTGCACGATATATCACTCGCCGGAGTCATGATTCTTCTCCCTCGCGGTATCCGCACGCTTGTCGTGGGGTAGAGAGCACCTACATGCCACGATTCGGACGCATATGTGCCGCCTTCGCACCACGAAGACAGTCCACCGTCCGTCCTTTCCACTATGGGACCAGAGATGCTCAAGGAGCCTCGTCTCCGGTCGTGGCTCCCACGGAGGTCGATAACGATGAAACAAATACCACTGAAGCAGTGCCTATCGAGGACGAGGTAGAGAAGCACAACTCAGTGGAAGAAAAGAAGGCTAAGCCACCTACCTTCAAAATCGAGATTCCGAAAGTCAATATCCAGTCCGCCATCAAGACGATGCAATTGGCACATACACACGGCCTTACAACTGAAGGAGTGATTCTTGGGTCTTCCCCAGAGCCCGCGAAACCGTCGAGATCTCCTATATCAGTCAGGCAGGACGGGGCCTTGGCCGCTCGTATGAAGAACGCTCATGCGCAAGCTAGACGAGGGGCAGGGATGAAGGCAACCCTGTCCCGGAGACAGAAGCTGCCTTTGATGGCTGAGGACACTCTGAAGGCGCTCTTGGAGCTGGTCAACGACAATGACGTGGCTATCGTCTTGGCCAAAACTGGCTGTGGAAAGACCACTCAAGTCCCTCAGATCCTGCTCGACGACATGATAATTTCCAGTCGGGGTCCGTGTGCAAACATCGTCTGCACTCAGCCTCGGAGGCTGGCAGCGACCTCGATTGCGCAGAGAGTGGCTCAAGAACGTCATGCTACCATTGGTGGCACAGTTGGCTATCACATTCGCAACGAGGATCGGTTGCCCGTCTCTTCCGGTTCTATCACGTATTGTACCACCGGCATTCTTTTGAACAGACTGATTTCCGATGCAGAGCGTGTCTTGTTGGAGCACTCCCACATTATCATTGATGAGGTGCATGAACGTGACATACAGATTGACCTCGTCCTGTCTCTTCTTCGCAACGCAGTCCGTGCCAGCAAGGCAGCAGGGCGACCGCACCCAAAAGTTATCCTCATGTCTGCTACAATTGACCCTTCGAGCTTCCTCGCTTATTTCACGCGACCAAGCCATGACGGCACGACCCTTACCGCTGACTACGTGGATGTGGAAGGGAGACATGCGCACATTGAGAACCACTATCTCCCAGAAATCCTGCTGGATATGTCGCAGGAAGGTGCCTTACAGGAGCCAATGTATCAATACATCCAGGGCAGCCATGTCATGTCCAGTCGACGTTTCGTCGAGCATGAGATGCAATTTGCTGCGAAACGAGCTAAACTTGTATCTGCCTTGGATGGTGGTGGAACGAGAGACAGCGACGAGCCACCGACTTCCGTCGGGGACGACGAGTCCGCAGGACCCACTGGCCCCTTGTATGTCGGTCTGGCAGCGTCGGTAATTGCTCATATTGCGCTCACCAAACCAGAGGGCGACATCCTCGCATTCTTTCCTGGAGCTACGGATATGGAAAATGTGGAGCTCTTGTTGCGTAGCGGCCGGTTTGTCGATACGGGACTTGATGTCCAGGATCCGAAGAAGATCAGACTGTTCAAACTCCACTCACTACGCAGAGAAACCAACAATCACGTCTTTGACCCAGTCCCTCAGGGCTGTCGAAGAATCATTTTGGCAACGAACATCGCTGAGACGTCGATTACGCTGCCAGAGGTTGTTTACGTCGTTGATACCGGCAAGGAGCGTAATAGCCTTTTCGACCCGTCTACGCTTGCGAAAAGCCTGCCATATGCCTGGATCAGCAAGACAAGTTCGATCCAACGACGAGGGCGAGCTGGACGGGTACGCAGTGGCCACTACTATGCCCTCTTCACCAAGGAACGGCATGACTCGTTTCGACCAATGAACCGCCCTGAGATTGGCGAATCCGACCTTGCCGAAGTAGCCCTGCAATTCAAGGCTTTTTCGCAGCACGCCGATGTCGAAGACCTTCTACTTGACACTCTGGAGCCACCCAGCCGTCCCGCTGTTGACAACGCGATCAGACAGCTGCAAGGTTTAGGCGCTTTGACCGGGACTGGCGACATCACCAGCCTGGGCAGACTTTTGTGGCAACTCGGAGTACATCCGGCCCTGGGAAAGGCGATCCTTCTTGGATGCCTGTTTGGATGCCTGGAACCCATGCTGATCATTGCTTGTCACGACGCTGGTAGCCCGCTCATATCGAATCTCGAATTGAGTATGGAGAGAGTACGAGAGGTAAGGAAGCGATATCTTCCTGAGTACGAGACGGACTTTGCTTGGATTATCGAAGCGTTCAGAGAGTATCACGCAGCCAAGATCGCTGGCGACGGCAACCTCATGCTAGAGCTACAGGAGACCAAGCACATCCGACACCGCGCTTATCTTGACATGATGATAACGTGCGAGGGTCTCCATCATGTCCTTGCACGTAAAGGCTTCGTGCCGGCACCACAGCCCGGCAAGACGCTTTTTGAAATGCTTCCCGCGGCTCTCAATGCCCACCGCAACGACATGGTGCTCGTCAAGGCACTGCTTATCAACACCGTGAGTGCCGAGCTGGCTGCCTGGTCTGACGCCCAACCCTCTGGCTGGACAGTCGATAGCCCCGAGCTCAGGGGCTTGACCTCGAAATTCGGGGTCAACGAAGCGAAGACAAATTCGGAGCGGCGTCGGAAGAGAAAGTACCGTACCCACGGCCGTTTGATGGCGTACACATATAAGCGAGAAGCTTCCGACGGACCTGACGACGTGGTTTTCCTAGAACAGGCCTCGATGGTGACACCCCTGATGGCGCTCCTGTTCTGTCAGTCGCTGGCCCTGCAGAGCGAGCACACCCTTCAGCTCAACCGCTGGCTGTTGCTTCAACTTAAGGCAACTGCAGACGTTCCGCCCGCGGTTGCTACTAAAGTCGCGACCATCCTGCTGGAATTGAGGAAAACCATCGACCGCCTCGTCAGCCTTGCATGGTTGGACCTAGAAGGGCTCGATCAAACAGCAAATGGGAGCGACTTTTGGGGTGATTCTCCCCAACGACAAGATCAAAAACATCAACTTCGCCTGAGCCCGACATTGCGAAAGGTCATGGTCGATGCGGTCGTCGAAAGGCTCGTTCAAGCAGCACCCGAGGAAGACTTTTCTGATGATTCTCCACAAGGACAAGACCAAAAATATCAGCTTCGTCTGAGCCCGGTACTGCGAAAAGTCATGGTCGATGCGGTCGTCGAAATGCTCCACGCGGACGCAGCATACTGGTCCGACTTCAAGTCGAGGCGTCGGAAGTGGATCGATCGCGAAGTCGAGCGCCTAGCGAGTGAGAAGATGCAGGCTGCCGCTCTACTTGAGGACGTGAAGGCAGACATCGACCAGATCGACGAAGATGATGACGGACCTGAGGCGGAGGGTGAATCTGATGATTAGGCCGTGTGCAGCAAGTGTTTGAGAAAGAGCCTGGAGACGGGCCCTCTGAAAGCAAGGCACGTGAAGACCGATGAGTCTCCTACGGGGCATACCCTTCTTGCTATTACTTCCCACTCGGTTCGTGTACAGTATTTGTATCCTTATAAAATAGATATAGACGAAACGACGAAAGCTGGGAATTTGTACCTCACACCAAGTATCAGTGTATCAGTGTATCGTAGAAGAGTTCCGCCATCTCTCACTGCTACTGCGGCTTGTACGTAGTGGCAACGAAGTCCCGAGGACTGATATCGTACGAGTATGCATGCACAACATACGGTATCTAGCAGGTGTTGTCGTCTGCCCTTTACTGGCTTGCATTGCCTGCCTGCCTGCCTGCTTGCGTCAATCACCCACCACCAACCTACTTACAGGTACTGCGTCCTGTGCACTGTGCGCTACGTAGGGGTACTCGTGCTTTACTTGGTTGATTGTCAACCTGATTACTTAGGTACTCACTTCTGTGCTTTGTACATTCCACGCAAATCCCTCTCGACTGCCTAACTAAGATACGTGTAGCTCGTCCTCGGTCCTGCCCCTACTCCTCCTCCTCCTCCTCCTCCTCCTGCTGCTGCCGCACCTCATCTCACCTCAATTCAAATGCTCGTCCCAAATCATGGCCCACGTCCTCACCCCCTCGCCCCCCTGCTGCGGCCAGCCGTTCCCATCGACGCGGCCCTTCCCGATCACGACCTCCTCACAAACCCGGAACCCCAACTTCTCATACTCGTCCCTGGAATTCTGGGCAGCCGTCTCCAACCACACAGGCACGCCCTCCCGCTTCGCCTTGCCCAAGAAGTAATCCATACAAGCCCGCCACGCGGCGGTCGCCCTCTCCGCGGGGACATCAGGATCCCTCGCAATCATCGCGAGATGATAAAACGGCCGCGTCTCGACGTCCACGTCCTTGTTAAAGTCCGCCGGGTAGGGATCCTCGCTGGGCGCGCCGCTCGACTGGCTCGGCGCGGCCGGTTGGTCGTAGCTGTGCTCCCCGCTGTCCGGGATGCTGAGGTATTTCGCCTTCAGTCTCCGCGCGGCGGACCGCCACTCCTGCAGGATGGGCCCCGGGTTGCGCCGTGCCTGGGAGGGCGGGATGCCGCAGAAGTCCGGGGGTTCGAAGAGCGCGGCGGCCGCGAAATCGCCGGCTTCGCAGAGCACGACGTTGGATTTCGCCGCGGCGGTGATGCCCAGGGTGAAGTGCTTGGAGAGGCGGGAGGGGGTGATTACTTGGGAGCGATCCGCCGAAGGATCCCTGCCGTCGATCTCGGTGATGAAGGCCGTGGTGAGGGGCGTGGCTAGGTAGGCGCGTGAGAGGAGGGAGATGAAGCTGTCGAGCCATTGTTGGTCGGGTGAGGAGGTCGTGCGGACGTGGACGGAGGCGTCTGTCGACATGTTTGGAGGCTGCGGGAGTGTAGCGTAGCTGTTGTAGAGGTGCGGGAGGAGTCTGGCGGGCTGTCTGTGGTGTGTGGGTGGGTGTTCCTCTCTGCCTCGCCCAGGCCTGTCGCTGCGAGGAGAGGATGTATGGGAGTGATCGGATGGTGAGACTGAGTAGGGACGAGGTATAGGCAAAGAAAGCTGGTCCAGAGTCCGACAGTCGTCTAGTCGTGCATTACCTGCGCGTTATGCGTCTTGTGTGTTTGTGCTGCGTGGTGCGTAGAGAAGAGACACCGATGGGATCAAAAGAGGGACGACGGAGGCCGTGCTTATGAGCTGAACACCGACGTTTGTGTCGAAGTAGAAGCTGACAGGAGAGGGCACCAGGTGCGTCATTGGCCCACGGCATCGTCTGGCCTCGTCCCCGTTACGTGACTGTCCCTGTTGATCTCTGTGCCCACCAAGGGTCCGAACGTTACGGCTACCTCCGCTGGGCACAGTAATCTGTAAAGGGAGCACTGCAAGAGGATCGAAGCCAGGCACCCCCAAGTGCGGGGTGATGGAGAGGGGCCGGAGGCACCAGGGCGGCACTAGCACAGTACCTCGTACCACAGTAGGGGCTTGCTCCAGGAAGCTCGCCCTCGACCGGCTTCGATTAATTATTGTCGCAGGCAGCCAATCGGTGGGCGGTCCCAGTCAGAGCTTTAGGAATGGCCTACCTCGTACACAGTACTAGTAGTTACCACTCCGAGTAATCAGTTAATTAGTCTTCCTTACTGGGGGGGCCCTTTTCGACATAATTGAAGCCTCCAGAGTTTGAAACGCACGAGTACGACATCTATATTACGAGGTCATCTCATGGCGCCCAACGACCGCCGCAAAACCGTCCTCATCACAGGCTGTTCACCCGGCGGCATCGGCCATGCCCTGGCTCGAGCCTTCCACGCCCGAGGCCTCCGCGTCTTTGCGACGGCTCGCACGACACAACAGATCAACGACCTGTCTCTTGTTCAGGGCATCGAGACCTTGCCACTGGTCGTGGATGACGATGAATCCATCCTCTCATGTTACGCGCAGGTCGAGCAGTTGACCGAAGCGCGAGGCCTCGATTACCTTGGTTAGTTTCAGTGCATATGACCTCCTTGTACTCCGTACGGAGTACTGTACTGGGGCTGACTGTCTGCCCACAAGTCAACAACGCCGGCGTCTCGTACATAATGCCCGCACTGGACATCACGCTCGACGAAGCCCGAAAAGTCTTCGACGTCAACGTCTGCGCAGTCATGCGGCTATGTCAGGTCTTCGCGCCCTTGCTGATCACAGCCCGTGGCACGATCGTCATGATGGGGAGCCTTGCGGGGGTGATTCCCTACGTGTTCGGTTCCGTGTACAACGCCTCGAAAGCGGCGTTGCATGCCTACGCCAATACCTTGCGCGTGGAGATGGCGCCCCTGGGCGTCAAGGTGGTGACTGTCCTCACAGGGGGCGTCAAGTCGAATATCAACGCGCATGTCAAGCGCGTCTTGCCTCGCGATAGCGTGTACGGGGCGCTCGAGGACAGCTTCGCGCGACGCCAAGTCCACTCCCAGCAAAGTGCGATGCCGAATGAAGCGTTTGCCGAGAGTGTGGTCAGGCAGGTTCTGCCCGGTACAGGTATTGGAGTCTGGCCTTGGAGGTGGCTTCCCAGCAGAGATGCCAGGAGGAGATGGATTTGGGAGGGTAGCAAGAGTTGGGTCGTGTATTTTCTTGCGGGGGGGTATACGTGGACGGGGATCTTTGACTGGTGGATGACTCGTGCGTTTCAATTGTCGAGGCTGAAGAAGGGGAAGACGGTTTGAGAGTGAGGCACGATATCGCGGCATACTAGCAACCGGCCTGCTGGAGGCAAAACTCATCAGCGCCGTCACGGACCTTAGGCGGCTGCCATGGGTACGACACGGAATCTTGGCAGCACACACAGAAAACAAGTATGGAAGTTTGTGTGATACGTGGCAGCGACATCAAAGCACACGCTGAGGCTTAGGGTGGACAAAGAGTGGCAATAACGGTGAGTCAACCCGGCGCACACTGTTCGTGTATGTCATTCACCAACGGAGTAACATTTGAGGATACTGTGATACAGTGGGGACGGCAGAGCATGCGAATAGTGAAAAAGGTCTGCCGAGACGGAGCAAGCAGTCAAGAAGAGGAGGCCAAAGCAAGACCTTTCAAGACGACTACCACAGAGCCACCTACCAAAGAACCACCCTGTTCTGCGACGTCTACCACGCCCACATCAACTTATGAGCGAGTACCCGCTCCCCGAGCCTCTCGTATAAGAAGGCATTGATCCAACTGTCGTTCGTGCGACTCATCCTGCCAAACACCGCACCGCCCTTCCACGCAACGACCTGCGGATCCAACTCCCGAGGTGGCCGTCCAATAAGGATGTCCTTGCTATATCCTGGTAGCATACCCTTCAGGGACTCCTCGAGATGACCGGCAAGCCCGGGGATGATGCTTGTTCCGCCCGTGAGCATGATCCCGGAGAGAAGGTCGGACGTTTTCTGGCTCGAGCCACGTGCAGCGTGGGTTATACTCGTCACGATTGCAGCTGGGAGAGGGTAGACGGGTAATATGTCGTCACGCCGCTCCAGTGGGAGGACTTCTTCCTCCTCCGGTTTGGGGAGAGGTGGTGCTGTGTTCTGTTGACCGATGCTGCCAGGAGCCACGCCGTCCATGCCGTCCATGATCGTGTCATCGGGCGCCGGGGAACCGTTGTCACCGTTGGGGGCGCGGGCGGGGGAGCTCGCGGCCGACGGTTGCGGCGTGGAGTCCATTTCTTTGATGTTGCTGAAGGAGGGCCGACGGGATTCTGGGTTGAAGGATTCTTGATTGGTGGTGATTCCGTTGGTAAGGAGGCCGTTGGCATGTCCGTTCATCTTCGGTCCCGGTTTGCTGGTGGAGTTCAAGACTTCCTCGGGTGCGATGGAGGTAAGGATCTCTGCTTGGGCGGAAGACGTCGGGTCATTAGCTCTCCCATCGTAGATATCGTAGGATCGGTCAATGAGTTTATGGCGGCCAACGAGTTTGCCATTGTCGTCAAGGACTTGAGGCCTGAACAGGCCCATAGGGGCGAGGATGACCTCGTCGTAGATTTTGAACGTGTACTTTCTCGTGTCTTGGCCGGGCGCGCGGAGGTGGAAGTCGTAGAGCTGTACGGAAATGTCGGCTTCGGTCATGGTGCAGTACTTTTGCTTCAACTCCTCTGCGAGTTGGAAGTCGTATCGGCGGTTGAGATTGAGTTCCGAGTACGGGAAGTGATTGTAAATAATCATCTTGACAAACATGTCCGTGATGTCTCGGCCCCCATACTTCAGATTGACACGCGAGTTGTCAATGATCATGCCATCCTCCACACAAGAAATCGCAGTTTTCTGTGCTCCAATGTCCACGATACAGCATGTCGTGAAGCCCGCACCAAACGAAGAGGCCAAGCTCTCCTGTATAAAGCACACCCGGCCGAACCCGAATTCTGTGATGGCCATGTCAAGTAAACTGGTCACGTACGTGCGCTCGTAGTAGTCGGGTATGACGATCACAATGCTATACTGAGCCCAGTCATCCCTAGTGCGCAAATCCAACTCGAGTTGTGATTTGATCGCCTCCTCGAGGATGATCCGAATGTCGTCGTACAGGAAGCGCTTCGAGTCGTAGTCTTGCTCGTTCATCCAACCATGTCTGATCGGCCAGTACAGCTTGTACCGTGGTGTGGACTTGTCAGGTATTCGCAAGGCAGCCTTGCCTGTGATGTATGCCGGCGAACCGCTCGTGTCGGTCCACTCAATGCGCATGGTGTCGTTATGTTCAGTGATGGTGTCATATGTGTTTCTTCGGTTGTAGCTGGTCACCATATCCCTCGACTGCGGCAACACTTTTCTCTTGTTCATCCGCATCCTGACCTTCAGGTCTTGTGACATGCCTGAGAATCTCTTTGCGAAATCCTCACCGAATCGCTTCTCTGGCTCAGGAGGCGGGTGTCCGTTATCCAGTTTTGCTCTTTTGGGCGCGGGTTCTCCATCGTTTTCCTCGCTCTCGGACTTCTCTGCTCGCCGTGCAATAACCATTGGTACCGTCCTGGGTAACGCGTCATTGGCAAGGCCGATCCGTAGATTTTGGGAGCCAATGTGTATCACAATCGTCTTTGCGCCGCTCGAAGCTTCGTCTTCAGCCCCTTCTTCGCCCTCATCCATATCGACATCCCCATCGGGTTCCACTAGTTGCCCTTGCGCAAGTGCCCGATCCCTATCTCGAGCTTGCTTGATCATCTGATTGCGGTCTTCCTCTCGCTGTGACCGGTAGGCGAGGATCTGTTCATCTCGTTTGAGGTAGTCGGTGTAGTAGTTCTTCTGGTTGATGGCTTGAATGATCGGCCACGATGTCATCTCCATGTTATTATCAGTCCTTTCGAGGCCTTCCTCCCGGAGGAGTGCCTTTCCACTCTTTTTGCCCACCATCTTCGCGGTGGTCGCCGTAGATTGAGGATGCCCTTGCGACGAAAGGCTGAGGTACGGAGGTGTCGACGACTGCGGGTTCAGAATATCGTCTAACTAGGACATATCGTGTAAGGTAGACGCGGAGGGTTGCAGAGTGCTCTCTTGTCGCAAAGCGGATATCTCACATGGTCAGAAATTCGTCTAGATTGGGAGTGTGTAAAGGGTAGCGAGTTCAGACTCCGCAACATGTGGCGTACCATAGAGAGGCCGGAGTAAGTTGGGGAAACAATGCGAGATCCGGTTGTGGCTCGTTGCTGCCAAGTGGCTTGACGAGGCTTCCGCGTCGACAACGTCAACGTCCCACGTCTTACCATGCCATGTATTAATTTCCGGTCTTTGATCCGAGCGACGGAAATCTGATTGTATAGAGTGAGACACGGAAGTTCGCTGGACGTCGAAGATATGATTTTGTTGTGACCGCCTCCTCCCATTCATCCCGAAGCGAACCAAAGCAGACAACATTACAGAATGGGTGGCTCGATATCAAAGCTGCTGGGCAGCCTCATCTGGGGGAAGAAGGACATACGGATCTTGATCCTGGGACTTGTGCGTCGCCAGGTGCAGTAAATTTGGCGCCAACCAGGCCTGACGGTGCACTAGGACAACGCTGGCAAGACCACCCTTCTGTACAGGCTCAAGGTAGGCTCTGTGCGGCAGCACTCTGGTCTCTATCTCTAACACTCATGTCTAGATTGGTGAAGTGGTCACTACAATACCCACGATTGGATTCAATGTCGAGTACGTCGACGGATGCTCAGTGTTGGCCCCTGCGGACTGACAGCATCACCAGATCCGTGCAGTATGGCAATCTGAATTTTGACGTCTGGGACTTGGGCGGACAGACCTCAATAAGGCCATATTGGAGGTCATACTACGCCAACACAGCAGCTGTTGTTTTTGTCATTGACTCTACCGATATTGAACGATTGGAGATAGCAGCGGATGAATTGCGGTCGATGCTGAACGAAGACGAGCTCAAAGATGCCGCCCTCCTGGTGTTCGCTAACAAGCAAGACCAGGTACGCGACAGTCCCAGCGCCACATTCTTGAATAATGCTAACCAACAATACAGCCAGGCGCGCAGGGCGCCGGAGAGATCTCCGAAGCCCTAAAACTGGGCGAGCTGAGAGATCGAAATTGGAGCATTGTTGCCTGTTCGGTGATTGACGGCAGAGGCATCAATGAGGGAATGGATTGGCTTTCGTAAGTTTATTGACGTGTTGCAGGTCGCCATCTTGCTCACCATGCCTAGGCAAACGGTCCAGGCCGAATCATAATGGACTCCATGATATACCCTGCATCAGTATCGGCGCGTTTGGTAACATCATATACTCATGCTCGCGGATCGCCCGCGCCTGCATGTCACCACGATGAACGACATCGTGTAAGACTCGCTGGCTTCCATTCTGCGCAATTATCCTCGTGAAAATTCCGAGTACAGTAAGAATAGTGCTCCACTATCAAGCACTGGGCTTTGAGAGGAACCACCTCGGATCTACACTGATCCAAATTCCGATGTGCTGTAGTTGTTGTGGCCCGACAGCCAAGTTAGACTATGTAACACGCGACGACCTTCTGACGCAGCACCGGGGGGTCCTTTGCTTTCTGCAATTTGGCCTGGCATTTAACAAATCGTGTTGCGGTGAAACAACACTGAACAATCCATTCCGCCTCTCACGCAGTCGGTGCGGAGTAGAAAATGCGGAGAGTACCGAGTATGTAATACAGAGGTCGTGCTTTGGTATTTGCGTTCCGTCTCATCGTGCCGTTCCACGCAACGCCAATTTACTGTTGACTTTGGACTATAAGCGCGGCATCTAAGTCGCTCTTTGCTTACTTCCCATGTCTGCGGCTTGAATCTCACCCATCGCCTCTGTCACGCTGGCTCGCTCAAAGGGTTTCTTCATCCTCCTCGCCTCCGCCGCCCTCTTTGTCCTCGTGACCTTCATCACTCTGGCTCCCTTTCGTGCTCCTCCTCGGCTGGGCGCAATCTTGAATCAGGTCCGACCTTTCAAGCCGACGGCGTCCTCTACGAGCTCCTTCAGACCTGTTACCACATCCAGTATGTCCGCGTCAAAGTTCAAGAAACCGCCTCAGGCACCGCCTAGCTTCACGGCCACTCCGGAGTCGCTGATCAAGGATGCCAAAGACATGCTGGCTGAGTCGAAAAAGGTCACAGATGACATCGTGGCGAAACTGTCCCAGAAGGATGCGAGCTTCCAGAACGTGCTCCTGCCAATGGCCCACGACGAGAACCAGCAGACACTAAAGGCACATATTCTTGGCTTCTATCAATCCGTCTCGACCGACCAAGCACTGCGGGACGCCTCTACGGAAGCGGAGAAACTCATGGATGACTACAGCATCGAGGCAGCTATGAGGGAGGATGTGTTCAACTTGGTGGACGCCGTGCTCAAGAAGGGAGACAAGCTGGATCCCGAGTCTCAGAGGCTGCTGGAGAAAGAGCACAAATCGTTTGTACGGAACGGGCTGAACATCCCGGCAGGGCCGCAGCGAGACCGCTTCAAGGAGATCAAAAAGAGACTCAGCCAGCTGGGCATCGCTTTCTCCAAGAACCTCAATGAAGAGAAAGGTGGCATATGGTTTACCGCCGACGAGCTCAACGGCCTCCCAGAGGATGTCCTGTCATTGCTGAAGAAGCAGGACGACAAATACTGGCTGACGTTTAAATACCCCGACCTGTTCCCTACTTTGAAGTATGTCACAGACAGCGCCACCAGGAAGAGGGTGTTTATTGCCAACGAGAACAAATGCAACCAGAACGTGCCGCTGTTCAGGGAGGCCATTCTCCTCAGAGACGAAGCCGCTCGCTTGCTGGGCTATCCCAACCATGCGGCGTTCAGGATCGAGGACAAGATGGCTAAAACGACCAAGACCGTCGATGACTTCTTGGCTGATTTGCGTAAAAGACTAAGTCAGGGCGGCCTCGACGAAATCGACACTCTCAAGAAGATGAAGGAAGACGATCTAAAGTCACGGCGTGAGCAATTTGACGGCCGGTACTATCTTTGGGACCACCGATTTTACGATCGGATGATGGAGGAGAAGGACTACCAGCTTGATCAGCAGTTGATTTCAGAGTGGTTCCCGCTCCAAACGACAATCAGAGGCATGCTCGAGATTTTTGAACAACTGTTCGGCCTTGCCTTTGTCGAAGTTGTTGGCAAAGACCGAGATGCCATCTCGTCCTCAGGCAAGGGTCAGGACATTGTCTGGCATGAGGAGGTGCAAGTCTTCAGTGTTTGGGACGATGAAGGCGAGGGAGGCGGATTCGTCGGTTATCTTTACCTCGACCTTTTCCCGCGAACAGGAAAGTACGGCCACGCCGCCAACTTCAACCTACAGCCTGGCTTCATTCAAGAGAACGGGACAAGAAGATACCCAGCGACGGCGCTTGTCTGCAACTTCTCCAAGCCAACGGCGAAGAAACCCAGCTTGTTGAAACACGAAGAAGTCACCACTCTCTTCCACGAGCTCGGCCACGGCATCCATGACCTTGTCTCTCGAACGACATACTCCCGCTTCCATGGAACCAACACCGTTAGAGACTTTGTCGAGGCGCCCAGCCAGATGCTGGAGAATTGGTGTTGGACGCCTTCACAGCTGAAGGCGCTAAGCAGGCACTACTCGACATTGTCCTCCGATTACTACGACTCGTGGAAAGAGTCGAACGGTTCACAGACGAGCAAGCCTGAAGAACGCATCCCAGACGATCTGATTCAGAAGCTGATCAAGACGAAGAACCTGAACGGCGCTCTGTTCAACTTGCGTCAGTTACATTTCGGCATCTTCGACATGACGATACACGAGCCGAAAGATCATGCTAGCCTCGAGGCAATGAATATCTCCGAGACATATAATGCGCTGAGGAAGGATATCAGCAAGATCGACGGGCCCGAGGTTTTGGGCGAGGGCAATGGCTGGGGTAACGGACAGGCGACGTTTGGCCATCTCATGGGTGGCTATGATGCTGGTAAGGCGTTCTCTTTTGCTGCTGCTGTTAATGCTGATGCTGACTTTGTCCCAGGCTACTACGGCTACCTGTCGTCCCAAGTGTACTCGACAGACATGTTCTACAGTGTGTTCAAGAAGGATCCCATGGATCCGAAAGAAGGCCGACGGTACAGACACACAGTGCTGGAGAAAGGAGGCAGCCAGGATGAGATGAAGACGCTCATCGACTTCCTTGGCCGAGAACCCAAAACAGACGCTTTCTACGAGGAACTTGGTCTCACCAAGTCGACGCAATCCGGTGCGGGCACGACCTAGACGTAGACTGTATGAGCACAAGTGGATTGTATGACTGTCTTGTGGTTACAATGTGTACAGTACTGCGCCTCGTAGGCGAAGGTCCGGCTTTCTCCATGTCTTACTGCGACTGTAGGAGGGGGCTGCTGGTGCGTGAGCAGCATAGATATCTAGTCAAAATCTAAACAATCGAGCAGGACCAATCCACCAGCAGTGAGGCCTACCAGTGTCAATATCTACCTAGGTAGGTACCTTACTCTTGCTCTTATCGTGTACAGTGCTCCGTGCTGTACCACGCCACGCCCATGTATGCTGCCTCATGGTCCCCGTGGCCGTGTCTGCCTCACATGGCAGATGCAGGAAGGGAAAGGGAAGGCGTGCCCGCCACAATATGAGTGTGAAGAGCAACTTGGCCAATTAAAAGACGCTCCCGCTCTCCTTGCCATGGTCGTCTCTGACCTGCTTGACTGGTATGGCCTTGTCCCCTGCGGATCAAGCCGGTTGTCGTTCTGGTTTCTGCTCCTGGTCGCCCTCGTTCATGGCTCGTTGTTCGACCAAGCCGTCGAGCGCCTTGTCGCATACATATACACACACGTAGCCAACTTACGTACGAGTACTCATGCTGTTACCCGTCCGAGTACCACGATTTGAGGCCGGTCGATCACATCGCATCCCACGTGGCCGCCTGTGAGAACCCTTCGACGGACAGATGCCCGAATCCTACTTGGCGAAAACGGCTTATCAGCACGACATACGGAATATGCGGACGGTGTTCGTCGGTCTCCTGGTATCGGTTCACGGATCTGCGATATGTGATGCCTTCGTTTCGTCGCGCTCGCTTTGGACCTTCCCACTTCAGCGATCACGCAATATGGACCGAGAATTCGTGAGCATCCGCGCACCGCACCTCACCCACTCACCACTGAGCGTGTATTCTGAAAGACCAACGGCAGCGTCGCGATTGTCTTGCAAGTCTCTCTGACTTTTTCACATATGTCGCCATCATCGGAGAAGTGCACATACGCACACGCTGGGCGGACGCTGGCCTGACCCTGGCATATCCTGCCCTGCCCTGCCCTGCCCTGCGGGGTTCATGTTTCGGATCGGATGGTGGAAAGGAACAAGCTTGGATTCCGCAAACCATGCGTGAGGGAGGAATATCCCAAGAATTGGAGAATGGCGCAAGAGCACGCACACACGCTACACGCTGCATGCTGGCTGGGCGTAACTGTGCCGATTATCCATGGCGTGGTATAAAAGACCGGGGTTGTCACGCTTCGATTCTACATTTCGAGGCGTACAACACACTCACTCACTGTTCAGACTGTAAAATCTTTGTACAGGACGAGTACCTTATAAGTGAGATACCCTGTACATTTCGGACATGGCGACGGCGTCTATACCTACCGCACTCAAGGGCGCGGTTGGTGCCTACAAGGACATCCAAACAGTGAGCTATGAAAAGGACAAGGAACTGGCCGGCACAGACAAGTTCGCGCCTGTGAGCTTTCCGCACTATCTTCCTGTCTGGGTGAGTACTTAGTTCCGTGCTTTCGAATATCGGTCCCGGTTGTCGGAATGTCGGCCGGCATCGTTTGGACGAGTACTCCTCATACTGACGGATCGTGACGCCAGGACAACGAAAAAGGCGAGACATATAAGCCACTGGAACCATTTGAGCACTATGAGCACGGCAAAGATGCAGACCCCTCGTTCAAGAACCTCCTCAAGGAGGGAAGCAAGCTGGAAGACATCACTGCCTCGATCGGCGCAGAGGTCACTGGCGTCCAGCTCTCGCAACTGGACAACAAGGGCAAGGACGAGTTGGCTCTGCTCGTGGCGCAGAAGAAGGTCGTTGCCTTTCGTGACCAGGACTTCGCCTCCGTCCCTATCGAGCAAGCGTTGGAATTCGTTCGATACTTCGGAAGACTGCACATCCATCCCACAAGGTACGCTTGCGTTGATGAGGTTTCGGGATACGATTGCTGACCTGTGTTGCAGCGGAGCTCCTGAAGGATTCCCAGAGGTCCACCTCGTCCATCGAGCCGCCGACGACAAGACCTTTGCCGATTTCTTGACCAGCCGAACCAACTCGATCGCGTGGCACAGTGATGTGACATACGAGAACCAGCCACCTGGGACGACATTCCTTTACGCTCTAGATATCCCAGAGGCAGGCGGCGACACTTTGTTCTGCAACATGGCCAAAGCATATGAGCGACTTTCTCCGGCGTTCCAGGAACGTCTGGCTGGACTGCAGGCTGTGCACTCAGGCTATGAGCAAGCCACGGCCGCCAAGAACCGAGGAAGCATCTATCGTCGCGCCCCAGTTTCGTAGGTTTGGTATTTTACCAAAGACTGTGGAGTTACTGACGTGGCACAGATCCATCCACCCAGTCGTGCGGACTCACCCGGCTACCGGAGAAAAGGCGCTCTTTGTCAACCCCCAGTTCACCAGGTATATCGTGGGCTTCAAGCAAGAGGAGAGCGATTATCTCCTGAAGTTCCTGTATGAACACATCGCATGGAGCCAGGACATTCAGGTCCGTGTTAGATGGAGGCCGAACACCGTCGTGGTGTGGGACAACCGCGTAGGTCGAAACGTTGATTCTTCCCTGAAGCTCGCTCACACTCAACCAGGTTACTGCGCACTCGGCCCTCATTGATTGGCAAGACGGCCAACGACGACACATTGCCCGCATCACTCCTCAAGCCGAGCGTCCGACCGAGTAAATAGATCAGAGACTAACAGTAGTCAATGGGCAACCGGCCATAGATCTAAGATAAAATCATTAGCAGAGCATTGTGAAAAGATGGCATGAGTTGTCGAAATGTCTTCAATTTGGATGCCCTGAGCATCATGTTTTCTGTCCATCCCTGACGCCGAACGATGCACATGATATTACATGCTGTTTCGCATACCAGTCTAATCCCCCTCGAGCCTGGCGACCACCGTGCTCATTTGTTCATCGGTATAGATTCGGAAACCCTTCTCGCGCGTGACGCTCGCCAACTGGACGTTCTTCGAGTCCAGCTTCTCCTCCATGACCTGCTTCAAAGTCTTCAAGACGAGCGTCTCGGCCTCTTCCAACGTGAGCGATCGGTGGTACTCTGATTGTAACTCCGCCTGGGCCCCTTCGCTGCCGGATCCGATCGCCTTTGCGTCGTAGCGGTAGAACGTGCCTGACGGTTCTGCGTGGTACCTGTCACGCCGTAAGCATATTGGTATAAATCTCCCGGGGCAGGTTGTATGTGCTCACAATTGAGGCCCCTGGTCCTCGTCCCAGCCTGCAATCAACAGAGCCACGCCAAACGGACGACTCATGATCGACTCTTCACCCTGGGCACCTTCGCCAAACCTCAATGCCAGATCGCAGATCGCCTGCGTGCAGCTCTCCACGCCGAGCTTCTCGTTGAAGTTGAAGGCATGGTTCTGCGACTCGACGCGGGCGTGCTCGATCATACTCCGCGCGTCGGCTTGGAGACCGGACATGGCGCAGCCAATGTGTCTGTCGATCTCCACGATCTTTTCTATGCTGGAGGAGACGAGCAGGGGGGAGGTGACGCGCTTTTCGACGCCGAGAAGGACGCCGTGCGACGTGGCAACCTGGACGGGACGGGACGTGTTAGACTGTAGATTCTGCCGAGAGAGAGAGCATTTGCATTTGAGCGTACTCCGATGGCTGTGGAGCCGAGCTTGATGGCCTCTAATGAGTATTCCACCTGGAACAGACGGCCCTCGGGCGAGAAGGTGCTGCGTTATGTTAGCTCGGATATTTCTGGGTGGATTGTGAAGCCGCTCACTTGATTCCGCGATCATATTCAGATCTTGCGATAAACATGGTAGGAAGTCGAGAACGGGGACGGTCTGGGACAAAAAGGTGTTGCTGGGGGGGTTTCCGTGGTCTTGAGAGGAGTGAAGACCGGGTTGTGTCTCGCAAAGCACCAGATGTTGCAAACGAGGTCGGTGACTTCGGAGGACAGGCAAGCTGGGGGATGCGCAATGCAGTTCAGCCTTGCGTCTGCGTCCGCGGCCAAGCTTTCAGCCTCGTCAATGCAGAGCGCGACGCGCTCCGCTGCCACTGACGAACAGCCCCCCCACCACATACACTGTAACAAGTATTATGAGCACACCACGAAGGCGACGATGATGACCATCCACCGAATATGACCTCTCTCCACTACAGAAGCGCCTCTGCTACTGACCGGAGAAGTACACAGTTTTCGAACGGCACCACGCGCGTGAACTCGAGCAGAGCCACCAGAGACGAGCGACCATTCGCCCGCGACGCCGGCTCTCCAGTCCTGCCCGATGGCGTTGCGGATTCGGTGAATGGCGCACATGGAGCCTCCAACGCCGAGAAGCGAGTCAGTGGTCTCGAACCCAGACGAAGGGAGAAGTCGACCATCACGACAACCGAGGCAATATACACAAGGAGAAGTCCAAAGAAGGAGCCCTCGAATAATACTGCCGCCCGACATGGCGCGAGGCGGAGCGTGGTCAGTCCTGTGCTTAAGCAGCCAGAGGAAGATGCCAGCACGCCTTCCCCGCCATGGGCGCCTTCAGTATCGCTCATCCCCCATTCTTCCGCACCTCTTGCTGTAAGAGTGACGGTGCCGCCGTTGTCGCGCCATGCTCCTGCAGACCTTGACCCTCTGCCGCTTGATCACTTGTCCATGCAGGAACAAGAACATGCACTTCTGGATGATCTACTGTACGTGTTTATGGGCTTCGAAGGGCAGTACGTGCGGTTCCAGGACAGCTACGACCCTGCGGAAGAAAAACACCGCCTCAATGGGCCTTCATTCCACCCGCTTCCCGGCCTTGATCCGAGCTTGCGAGATCTTACTACGTCGATGCTTTCCATGGCCACACATCATTGCGCGATCGAAGCCTTTATCGAGGTGCAGAGTCGCGAAGAATTTGGTTCGGTCAATCACGCCCTCTGTGCAGCAATCCGGAAGCTACTCAAGGACTACTTGATCTTAATTGCTCAGCTGGAGATGAAGGTACTGACAGATCCGAAGTTCACATTGCATCAGATGCATATCGCCGTCATCCCCACCGCGCAGTGTCTGGCTCAGTTGTATTCGTTGGCCCAAGAACTCTTGAAGAAGAACTCCCTCCTCGAAGAAGACATTGACGATTCCATCGACGACTTCGACGCGGACAACATCATCGAGAGGCTCAAGGAAGGTGGGGATCTGCTACCAGGCAGTCTGGCCAAGAAACGATGCATTGGCGGTAATGTTCTGGGGTTGCTGACCACCCGACTGTCCACGTTCTCAGGCGATCCCGCTGCCAGATCAATCCTGGAGATGCTTCTCCGGGAGTCGAGCAGGCCTTACATGGTCATGCTCAACGAGTGGCTTCACCATGGAGGTATCAACGATCCGCACTCGGAATTTCTCGTTGGTGAACGTGCCAGTATCAAGCGCGAACGACTTGATGAGGACTATACCGATGAGTACTGGGAGAAGCGATATTACATCAGAGAGAAAGAAGTACCGCCACAACTGGACGCGATGCGAGAGAAAGTCCTCTTGGCGGGAAAGTACCTGAACGTGGTGCGCGAATGTGGTGGTGTGAACATCAGCAGCAAGATCGTCGACACTCCGGCCACATTCGACGACCCACGATTCCTTGACAATGTCAACAACGCATACTCATTCGCCAACAAGGAGCTGCTACATCTGCTCCTGACGAAGAACTCTCTTCGGAGTCGGTTGAGGTCACTGAAACACTACTTCTTCCTAGACCGGGCCGAGTTCTTTCTTTATTTCCTCGAACTCAGTGATTCCGAGCTGCGGAAAAAGCACCGAGACGTCAATGTTGGCAAGCTGCAGTCGTTGCTGGATCTCGTGCTTCACCAACCAGGGAGCATCGCAGTGGCTGACCCATTCAAAGAGGACGTGAAGGTGGAAATGAACTCTGTCGGACTGACGCAGTGGTTGATCAAGGTTGTCAACGTGCAGGGCATGGACCAGGACAACCCGGATTCGGTGATCGACCAGTACAAAACGCCTGCGGCTTCACAGATCTCCGCAACCGAGAGACTAAAGGAAGAGAAGAAAAAGGAGGAGGAGGGAAAGGACATCATCGGATTCGACGCACTAGAGCTCGACTATCAAGTGCCCTTCCCCTTATCCCTGATCATCAGTCGCAAGACGGTGAAACGCTACCAGCTCATCTTCCGGTACACCCTCGCGCTTCGGCACCTCGAGACTCAGCTGGTGGGATGCTGGTCCACGCACACCAAAGAGAAAGCCTGGATCCACAAATCCTCCGACAAGAAATTCGAGCTCTGGAAGCGGCGCGTATGGACCCTCCGGTCCAGGATGCTCGTCTTTGTCCAGCAAATGCTGTTCTTCGCCACAGCGGAAGTCCTCGAGCCGAACTGGCAGAAGCTGATGAAAAAGGTGGACGACGCCGAGCGAGACGACTCCGCGGAAGAGATGAGCAGACCCGCCGGACTCAACCCAAAAGCCAAACCGACAGTCGACGAACTGATGCAAAACCACGTCGACATGCTGGATTCATGTATGAAAGACCTAGGCCTCACACAGGCCAAACTCCTCCGGCTACACACGAAGCTCATGACGGGTTGCGGCATGTTTGCGTCCTACGTCGAGCACGTCACAAAGTCCATCTACGAGGCCGACACGAGCATTCAATTGAAGGCAGCAGGGCCTAAAGGAGGCGCGACGACGCCTGTCCCCACGCCGACGGATTCAGCGCGCATGAAGAGGATCGAAGAGTCGATCCGCAAATACGAGGAGCATTTCAACAGACATTTAAAGATCCTGATCGATGCGCTCAATTGGTTCGCCACGACGGAGACCGTGTCGTTGCTCAGCCTGTGCGGGAGATTGACGAATGCGGAGGTGCAGAAGCGGGATGACTTGTTTCTTTGATTGTTGCCAACGGCCAGAGAGACGCCGTAGTTTGCAACCTTGCCACTGGGATATTCCTTACGACCTTTATGAAAAATGAACTCGGGATTGGCATGGAATGTACTGGATGGATCGGACGTGGGAAATGTGGTGGCAGGTGCCGCCTGGTGTGCTTTTTTGGCACCAATGCTAGTGCGGCCTTTGCACAGACTCCTGGCTAGTACGCAGTAAGTCTGTATTCAGTCAATCGATGAATCAACCAACAAACACTCGAAGAAGCACCGTGATGGTGTGGCGTACTTCTAGCCGGGAAAGAGTGGAAAACCACGCAATGACAATGATACCCATGCCTACCTACACGGTGGATTTTCTTCCGACCGTACGGTAGTCTCTCGATGTGTACCGTTGGTCGTTCTGTTATGAGTTCCAATTCTTACTACCACACGGTCGTATTTCGCTGCGTCTTTCTTGTCTGTCTACCTGTCTGTCTGTCTGTCTTTCGCCACCTGAGTCATGCAAAGTGGATTTTATGCCCCGGAAAATGTCGCGTCCGCGCTGCTTGCTGCGATCATCAAAGGCCTGCCAGTCATGCCGACGAGATGATATTCCCTCCCAATCAGTGCGGCTCTCCTTGTCTCTCCTATGGCGTTTACCCATGAAGTGGTCTATTGAAACATGCATACTATGTGGTCGCTTGCCGGTTCGCACAGCCAATACCGCTATCTCTGTACTGTTAGGCGCGCATGGGGAGGCGTTATAAACTGGTTGGTCAAGGATCGATGCTGTGGGCAAGAGGAGTGAGTGCCGCCTATTGCAACTTGTAGCAGAAATCATTAGGGTGTGTTTTATTGGACGACGTTATGGGTAGACTATAATTAGCAGATATGTAGAGGGATCTGTCACTGTAGCGACCGGCCTCTCCTTTTGATGTACGTGCTACGTGTAGTGCTAAGCATATTTGCGTACCTGTATGTGTATATACCGGTGTATACTCCGTATGTACCGCGCCGTGCCCGTGCGTGTGACTTAGGCTCCGGAGGTAGAGAACAGCGTCACGTAGACTGAGCGCGTGCGGATGAAGAAAAGGGGGAATCTACGGGGTGAGCATGACTTCGGATTAATCTTTTGCATTCGACACATCAAGTGCACTAGGTGGCAAGGCCGGAAAACACCCATAGAACCCACGGGACCGCTTGCTTAATTGTTCAAGGAGACCGACGCTTTGCAGGCTGGCTGGCAGGTTGGCTAACTGGCCGGCTCACTTACTTTCAACGCCCGCCTGCATTTTCGACTTCTCCAAAACCTCATCAACCTGGACGTCCTGCCCGACCGCCTGCTTCATGTCGCCGTCATCCTCGACGTTGAGGCTGACGCCCTTCTTCTCCGGCCCAATCAGCACAACAAGGACATTGTACAGCAGACAGCACGCCGTGAAGATGCAAATCACCTTGCCGTAGTGATAGCGTGCCACGCCCGCCTGTGTGGGTTCCAAGGGGAACCGCTCGCCGAGGGTGGCCTCGATGGTGGAACTCGCGGACGAGACGAGGTTCCCCAGCTGGAACGCCGTGCCGATGGAGAAAGTCCGCAAGGACCCGGGCGACAACTCCAGCAAATGGATGGGCACAACGCCCATGGCGCCCTCGATGAAGAACTGCTCGAAAAAGCCCGCTGCGGCTGTGGCCCTCGAGGAGACAAAAGTATACGGGTACAGCAGGGCCGCTGAGACGAGGAACGTGACGATCAAGGTGGCGCGGCGCCCCAAAATATCAGAAATCCAGCCGCAGGTGACGCCGCCAGCGAAGCCGCCTAGGTTGGCGACCACGTTGGTGATGGTCACGTCGTCGGCCGAGAAGCCGTACTGGCTCTTGAGCATGAGTGGGTACAGATCCTGCGTGCCGTGCGTCTGAAAGTTCAGTCCCGCGAGGAGCAGAACCATGTACACGAGGAGAAGCCAGTGGTTGGTGAATGCGAGTTTGAGCTCGCGCGCAAAAGTCGACATGGTGGCTTTACTACTTGCGTTGCGTACCCTCTCACGGTTAAGGTACGTGTCCGTTTCCGGCAAGGTAAGTCTGAAGGCGATGATCAGGACGGGCGGACAGGCACCGAACCAGAACAGTGGGCGCCAGCCGTGTGAAGTCGTGTCCACAAGGGCGCGTGCGAAGACCGTCGCGAGCAGATACCCCAAAATGTATCCCATCTGGAGGATGCCGGACACGATCCCTCGCGCCGCAAGCGGACAATCTTCCAGGGCTGTGGCGACGACGTTGCCGTATAGACCACCCATGGCGATGCCAAACAGGGCACGACAAGCCAGAAACTGCCGGAACGTCTGACAGAAGCCGGTGCCAAGTTCGATGACAACGAACATGGCGTTGACGATCACAAAGGGCCACTTCCGCCCGTAGCGGTCGCTGGCCAGGCCGAAGATGATTGCTCCAATAGAACGCACCATTAGCACCAGGGTGATGCCCCACGTGATGTCTGTGTTGGTCCTGTCGAACTCCGCCGCAAGTTGCGTAACGGTCAAGCTGACGGTGAAGAAGTCGAATGCATCCCAGGTCCAGCCTGCCATGGCAACCTGTCGCTCCAGAGTCAGCTACTCTTTACTGACTGTGGTCGTTATACCATCCACTCACCGCAAAGAACAGCCAATTCTTGCGGGTCAAGAGACCGAGCAACCTGATAGGGTTGGGAGGGATTGTTAACGTTGGCTTCAACGTCGAGAAACGTGTTGATAGATACTTTGAGGTGCCCATTTCGACGTCGGCCTGGTCCTGGAGGCTCATAGAGCGTTCGACGAAGGCCTCGTCGACCCTCTCCTCGTCGAAGGAAACCATGGTGGTTGTCAGTCAGACTGTGGATTTGAGATAGTTGAGTATCGTTACATCCAACCTGGTGCTGTAGCACGGAAGGAGACTGGTACATAAAGAGTGGATCAGCAACGTCGATCCCGTCCATATCAGGAAGCGCACTGCTGGCATCTGTGGAGAGGGAGTTGGAGGAGGGTGAGGAGGATCCTGGAGGAAATGCATCTGCATCTGCATCTGCACTGTTTCAGAAATTGGAGGATTTCCTTTCCCTTCCGACGCTAGATAGAATGGGAAGACTCACAGAATGTCAAGGCGTCCAGCCGAGCTTGAGTCCGTCAACCTGGCTGCTTTGTCGTCGATTGTGGAGGCGTTCCGAGCAGCACTAAAGGCCTCATCCAAGCTTGCCGCGTCGTGGGGAACAGGTGGTATCGTCACAAGATTCGCTGCCATGGTTGCAACCGACACCGATAAGGACGAGTGCACTGGCACGATGGCCTTCTGGGCCGACATCGACGCCGAATACGTGCTGAAGTACCAAAGATGGCACAACTGTGAGCATATGCCGGAGCGGCTTTCCATCCCTGGCTTCGTCGAAGGTCGAAGATACCGCGCGCTTGACGACAGGTCGCACTTCTTGATGTTCTATGATACACACTCCACATCGGTCCTTTCGTCAGAAGCATATATGGCTGCTCTCAACAAACCGACGCCGTGGACCCGCGAGGCTCTGACGCATTTTCGGAACCCAACCCGAGGCATCTTCTCGAGACTGACTGCTGTTGGCCGCTCAAGGAAGTTCGCTGCTCCGTACATCACGTCGCTGCGCTTCGATCTGCCTGACGAAGACACAGAAGCCATTTACGCTCGGTCTTGGGTGCAAGCAGCCTCAGAAGCGGACAACGTCGAACGCGTCGGACTGTACAAGGCCCACGTTGCGATAGGAGACACGGGCACCTCGGAACAAAACGTCCACGGTGGCGGTCCTGGAAAGCAGGCATATCTCGTCCTCATCGAGGAATCTGATTGATCGGCACCCTTGAAAATAGTGCAGAGAGGCTCGATGGGTATTTGACTCCAGTATTGGCGGGCATTCGAGACTGCCCGGTCTTTGGCAAATCGATTGGAAAGCCTCAGACAGAACCAAACTCATCTTTGCATGCAGATGCCGCCCTAAGAACCGCAAAGACTCTCTTCCATTCGTATGTAAGTGTCCCACCGATAGGCGACACAGTCCTCAAGCCTCGCCACCTAGCCGCGTCTTCCCGCTCCTTCGCGATGTCCGCAAGAAAGCATGGCAGAGTATCTCGAAGCACATAACCTGCCCGACACGATTGAGTCTGAGGGAGCAGTTGAGGAACCCTTGTCGCGGCCACCGATATGGCTTCCAAAACTGCTCCAGGGTGTGGATGGGCAATTCATGTTTCTTGGGATTGGCGGTAAAGTAGGCCCAACAATCGCTCGTATGGCGAAACGTGCGACACCATCGAAGCGAGACATAAGAGTAGCAAGATTTCAGAAGCAAGTCCTCGCGAACGTCTCGAGAGCTGGGGCCTGGAAACCATCACCTGTGATCTCCTGAACAGAGATGCTGTTGCCTCTTTGCTTGACGTCGCTAACATTGTGTACATCGCTGGCAAGAAGTTTCGTGTTGATGAGGATCTTAGTTTTGCATGGGCAATGAACACTCATGTACCCGCCGTGGTGGCTGAACGCTTCAAAGCTTCGCGCATGGTCGTCTTCTCGACGTTGTGCCTCTACTCTTTCGCTCCAATAAGCGGCGGCGGATGGGACGAAAGTGTCCAGCCAAGCCCTGCCGGCGACTACGCCATGAGCTGTGTCGGCAGGAAGCGTATGTTCTCTTATTTCTCACGGCGCCATAACACCCCAGGCCGAATTATTCGACGCCATTATGCCATCGATATGCGGTATGGTGTCCTCCATGACATCGCTCGGTGGGTGAAAACCGAGACTCCTATACCGGTCGAGACGGCGTATGCATCAGTTATCTGGCAGGCAGACAGCAACGCACAGATACTCGGGGCGCTGGCCCACGTCACAGCACCAACCAGTCCACTCGATGTTGGCGGAGCAGAGCATATGAGCGTGCGGATGGCGGCACATGAGTTCAGCCGTCGTTTCGGCAAGACCCCGATCTTTGAAGGGACGGAATCAGAGTATGGATGGTACAACAGCACGCTCGCCGCTCAACGCTTATACGGCTACCCTGTCGTGTCTCTTGCCCGCATGATTGACTGGACGGCCGATTGGGTTGGGAAAGACACGCCAACAATCAACAAGCCAACACATTATGAAGAGCGTCGTGGTAACTTTTGAGCAGTGGGAGTGGCCACAGGAGTCAAAGACCGACTGTGAAAGCCACCAGAGCGACTTCAGGTGGATATTCGTCGAATGGTGCGTGTCGCCGTGTACCTAGGTGGACTTGGTGCACCCAGCGTGATTTTTAATCCCTACGAAAACCCAAATAGCTTCTCCATCGGCAAGGGCGACTGCCGAACCAGGGCATTAGTAGCGCATACTAAGTTGGATGGTAAGTCAAGGAAATCCATAGCAGACGGACGGTGCCCATATTGTATCGTGAGCGTGCTCCTGACTCACAAGAGATGACTCTCGGAAATTTGGCAGAGTGAAAATTGAGGCGGCGATGAGAGCGAAGTGAAAGTTGCGTACGAGCCGCATACGCGGCGATGGCGCCAAGAGATGTGAGGCGGGATGCCCCACTCTCCACCGCACAATAACCATGCAGCCATGGTCAGCCTTCACGCCACGATACCCTCTCACGCCTGTAACTATACCTTTGATAGGTAGGTACGCTTGTGGCCTCCCGCGGAGTTAGGAGATCCATGCAAAGTTGTGCCTCCCTCGTGGGAGACGCCCACATGGACCCGTCATCAACTGATAGTGTACCCAGAATGGACGAAGGTCGCGAGACGGGTGGTTGTTAACAAGGCTAAGAAGAGGGCCTACCCTTTCGTACCTACCTAGTTCTGTATCTCGTCTCTCAGATGGTGAAACCCGTTGATTGGCACAGAAGGGAAGATGCCTTCATACTGGTCACGGTCACCTCGTCTTGTAAACACAAGGTTTCAACACCTTTGCTTCTTCTTGTGGTGTCACCTCTTCTTCAGGACCGCCCTTCTTGGTCCTGCCCTGCTCGACCGTTTGATACTCTCTTCCAGTCCATTTCAGACCCTTGTGTTTCCCGGCCGTGGGAATCCCGGACTTTGTGAAAGCCATGCTCACGAACATCTTGTTCGACTTGTCCACGCTATCATCGCGCAACTGGAAGCCGCGGCGCGTGAAGACTTTCACAAAGGCCGAGATGTCGGTCTCATGGCCAGCATTTTCAGTGGCATCCTCGGCATAAATCTCCTCCCCAAGAGCAGCATCTTCGTCGTCAACCCCCTTCCTATTCGGCTTCTGCTGCTTCCTCCTCTTACCCACGCTATTGTCAACCGCTTCGCCCTTCCGTCGGCCTACCCTGCCGAACCGGCTCTTCACTTCACTGACCCAGCACTCTCCCCTCCCGTCACCCCTGAGTATTCGCCATGCCTCTTCCACAAAGCTGATCCAATTCGTGCCCATCAAGCTGAGACAAAAGACTGCTATATCCACCTCGCCGTCGCGGAGAGGTAAACTCGATATGTCGGCTTTCGTGACCAAAGTGCTTGGCGCGTGCAGGTCGAAATTGTGAAACCTGAGCTTGTGAGATTTTATCACCGATTGACAGCCGCGAGCAAGAGGGGCGTCGCCGCAGCCTAGGTCGGCAATTGTGCAGAGGGAGGTCTTGGGGCGGCGAGGAAGCGGTGTTTCTCGTAAAGGACGCTGTTTCGTGTCTTTATCGGAGGTTTGTAATCGTCCGCGGTGCCTAACGGAGGCTACGTACTTTTCCACCGGATTGACGGGCCAGGAGTCCTTGACCTGTTGGGAGAAGCCGGCGTGGTACTCGGCGAATAAGTCCGGTGAGCTTGTAAAGAGGTCGAAGGCTGCTGCCGAGGAGGTCGTGTAGAGCGTCTCATTCAAGTGACGGAACCGCGCTGATGTGAGTTTGCTGCGCATTTTGGCCTGTAGTGCTGTCAACTTCGTGAGCGGCGGGGGTGCTGGTGGCAGGGTCTTGAGAACCTCGTCCCGTGTGGAAGAGGTGGTTCCGGCATTGCCATTGCTCAGTCGTGGCTGAGTTTCTTTCGATGTCCGGTCTTCTTTCTTCTGCGCCGACTGTTGTTTGGAACTGGAAATGTCCCTTTGATTCTGCCTGTGCTTGTCGTTGTTCTTGATGCGCTTTTTCCTCTCTGTTGCTGCGGCCTCGTCACCGCCGCTCTTGTCTTGCTTCAATCGCTGGACGTCCTGCTTCCCTGCCTCCTGCCTCTTGTGGTTGGTCTCCCCTCCCTGCGCTTTCTTTGGCTTTGATCTTGCAAGGTTGGTGTCGGCCTGCTCGTTCCATAGTCTCTCGAGCTCACTCCCTGAGACTTTGGACGCCTGGTCGCTATGGGCAAGGGCACGCTTCCTCTTGTTCGAGGTGGCACTCGAGGTCCCGGGAGATACCTGAGCGTGGCTTTTGGATGTAGGCTTTTCCTGAACGAGTGAAGTCGAATCGAGCGACCAACCTGGAACAGAAAACATGGTTGAGGTCTCCGCGGAAAGGGATTACAGTCTCAGCCTGGCATTAGATTCCAGTAAGGGCCATGCAGGTCTCAGATGGAGCCAGGGCCAGATTTGCACGTAGATAACGCAGGGCAGACTTCAGTTTTGTCTTCACAGAAGCAACGCCTGGGGCCAGGTGCTGCGAGGTGCGATGCAGTGCATGGCATGACTCGTGAAATTTTCGTGGCGGGTTTTCGGGGACGCAAGAAAGCCGCAGCTGTTGCAGCAGCAGGGGCGGGGCCACGGGGGCGTTCTGGAGGCTGCGTCGTTCGGTTGTGATTGGGCTCTGGTGGCGCTAACTCCGGAACCGTGCTCAGAGGTCCAAGCCTAACCACCGCCTAGGCGTAAACGTGGGGGAGACTTTGACGCCCCGAAGCCACGGCGATCAGGTTTGCAGCTAACGACACAGGCAGCACTGAACGTGTCCGCGCTCAAGGCCTAACGGGCTTCTGATGATAGAGATGAGCCAACAGTGATACATCCTGTACATCTCAGCTCAGCACACCACGGTCTTTCGGTCACTCCTCCTTGACTGTACGGTTGTGTCTCCAGCTATGCAGTCAGAAGCAACTCCATGCTACCAGCCACGCATCTGGGCTGAAGAAGCCTCGCGGCTTGCGAGATCCGCCCCGGATCCACGGAGATATCAACTGTCCTGGTAGCCAACCGGATTGTGCAGCAGTCACTAATCCCATCCAGACAATAGCTTTGCAGACGGCGAATGATGCGCCAATCTTGCACTCTCGCTACCTCCGCTACGGGACCAGCAGATACGAGTTGCAAATATAGGATCCTCTATCGACGCTTCAGGTAATACCCCTCTTAACTCTTGGGCTCGAATCAAGCTCATCTGCCATCTCTTTGAGTTTCCGGTTTCAACGCGGCGACCTCGGGGACCAGACGCCGTCGGCGGGCATCCCAACGTCTTTGCAGCCTCAATTCTGCATCTGGCAGCAGATCTTCGATTGACACGATCATTTCGTCCTGAAAGGGACATATGTTTCAACGTGAGAACGTCCACTCAATAAACCCGGCCTAGTGCCACCAAAGGCGAACTGGGGACACCGCTGTCACACCACTCATCTCATGCAGTCTGTTGCTGAAGTTGCGTCACACGATAAATCCCAGACCATTAGGCCGCAAGCCCAAAACTTCAATAGTTTCCCCGTCCATGCTTTAGCGCAGGAAGACCGTCCTTTGCGTGTAAGTGGAGCCAATGCTGTGAGCATAGCTTGATGAGTTATCGGGCATGCAGGACTATTCAATCCTGTCGCCTGTCAAGATGTGGCCATGCCCGTAGATGATCGAAGCTAACGGTTAACGAACAGGGGTGGATCGCTGTCATAGCTGGGCGACAACTGCCATCGATCTTCGGTCGTTGCATGTCTACGAGGTACACAGTGCGAGGTTTCAATGTGACCTGGCCTGGCGCACTGTAACATTCGACGCCAATCTTGACGTTGAGCGATACCAAGACGGCAATCTCCAGCCAGGCGATCGAGGTACCCACAAAAGAATGATGCAAGACGCACGTTACACAGTACCCTGACCAAGCTGACGAGATCGACTACGAACTCGTATCACTTTGTACGAGGTAGGAGGTACTCGTACCGGAGTAATGGATGGCAGGATGGACCAAGATCAACACACCCGCCAGAGTGCCGCCTTCAGCTGGACAATCCCGCCAACGACCGGTCATTCACCTTGTCCCCGAAAGACTAGCTCGACGTTGGTTCAAGAAAGCGCACCCCAGATTGGGAAACAAGCCAAGTAACTCGTACGCCCATGTCAACCCAGCAATTCTCATGCTCCAAACCGTCTCCACAATGTCCTGCTATGGAATAGAGGGGCTAAAGCGAATCTGCTGATGCCTTGACACGGACTCAGCCTTACAGGCCCCTCTTAAGCCCCTCTGCACTTGGTTTGTTATTCGTATTAGGCATTCCCGATTAGGTGTGAAGCTTGGATTTGCTGTTGACGCATCCTTGCATCCCATCTGTAACCAGTGACTAGTACTGCTTCCTGCGGCGTACCTAGGCCTGCTCTTACAGTAGACTTGCTGTCACTAAAATCAATACTCCGTACAGCACTACATCTGCTGCGGCCTACAGGGATTCGTTCCCCGAGTGCCTGTGGTACCAGCCTTGAGGGCCTTCTGTCTTCAATAACGAACTGGCCAATCAGTTGAGACTTGGCTGTCACTCTGCATGTGCGACTGCGAAAAGGGTGATACCGGTACTTTGAGCTCCTAACAGTCCGACGCCGTCGACGTTGTGCTGGAGAAGCCACCCACATCGGCAGAACTCTGTATCCTGGGGCAAAATTTTCCGGGTCCACTACGCTTTGCGCCCTCTGCCTCAACCACATCCGACGTTGGATATGAGTAAGGCCGGCGCTTTCTCTTTCGAACAGAAATCACCCGCTATAGCAGTAGATGTGGAACATAATGCCGGCTTCCACACTTAGCTCAGCCATCACTACCTGCGGCCAGGAGGATCTCCCCACAGTTCCTATCCTGTCCCTCGGGATCTTCCAGGCCAAACAAATTGGCTAGCAATCCTGGTGCAACCCGTATCCTCTTATCAAGCCGTCAAGACCGATTTCGGCTTTGCGACTTTCAACTCGTCCGCATCGCTTGAGAAATCGACAACAGCGACCAAAGTTCAGCATATCCATGCCCAATGTCGCCCAAACGAGAGGACGAGGAATCTGTCGATGTCAAAGACCCGAGCATCAAATCAGAAGATGAGTCTGCACCGGCGGCGGTACCCGACGCCACACGCAAACAAGCCGCAAAGAGGCGCACCAAAACTGGCTGTCTGAGTAAGTCTGCACGTCGACGTCGTTTATTCTGATCACTCTTTTGGCATGAGATGCTGATATATTCTCCTGCCAGCGTGCCGCAAGCGACGGTAAGTCCCTCCCTGGGTGCCAGAGAGTCGTCAAACCCCGACGGAGTAGTCATCGACTTTGCACAAATGTCACCTTGATCTAACAAGCTTGTACAGGATCAAGTGCGGAGAGGAAAAGCCAGTAAGCATCACATGACGCCTTACCACAGGTTCACGGCGCATCTCCTCTGACCCCGGTTAGTTTTGCAGGAATTGTGTCAAATCGAAGCGCGATTGTGCCGGCTATGTCTCACCACTCGTCTACAACAAAGGACGTAAAGATTCGAATAGCGGCGATCAGCTCTCTCTTCAAGAACAAGAGACGACCCCTACGATAAATCTACGCTGGCAGTCCGAGCAACCATACGCGGGATCGCACAATGTTTTCCCTCAGGCTGATGGTCCTTCTCCATACCATCAATTGCCATTCAGTGCCATTTATCATGCTATGTCTCATCTGCCACCAAACACCCCTCACCCTCCGGGTAGAGCACAAGACCACGGCAACCAGCGGTGGCAGGCCCGTCAACCACTCCTGAACCGGCCCGGCCTGGAGGGGTTCAATTCATTGGGGCAATATGCACCGGCTCTCGATCTTTCGGGCAACTTGGCTGAGGACGCTCAATCTTTCTTTCCTTTTGATCCGCAAATGCCCGGTCAGCCCATGTATCCTGGCGGATACCCTCAATCAGCCACAACTCAGACGCCAACATCGGCATTGTCTTCCAGCAGCCATTTCTATCCAGTAGAGCATGCGAGCACTGCACAGCTTCAGCAAAGATCGGCTTCGTTGTCACAACCATACGGCATACCACCTATTCTTGTAGAGGGTATGTGGCCAAATATTACGACATTCACTGGTACCTATGTGTGCTAAGCTCTTCATAGAATCTGCGAGTGGACAGTATGGTGCGCATGGTGGCCTACAACATCCAAGATATGCTCCTGTTATAGCCTCCGGCCTAGCCACGGGAGCTGCAGCCGGATTCTATCATCATGAAGAGGAGTATGAAGACCCCGACGACCCATTTGACGTGGACATGGAAGACACAGATCTATCATATCATGACGCCGCAAACAATCTCACGGACATACTGGGTCGATCCGGGCAAGCCGATTTCAAAGCTGCAAAACTATATATTCCACGTCGAACCGAGTATAAGGCGGTTGCAACATATGGGCTACCAATAACTAAGTCACCGCTTCGAGACGAGAGAAACGAGCAAATATTCTGCCATTTTGTCGAAATAACCAGCAACACCATGTCCATATTCGAGAGACACCATTTTAGTCCGATCGCTGCGCCAGCCAGGACACTCTGGAATTTCACGATCCCTGCTCTAGCGTTGGGCCATGCAGCACTTGCACACGCAATGCTGGCTCTCGGAGCGTTGCATCTTGCAAAGTTGAACAACACCTCCGAGAATCCTGCGATCAAGCATTTTACCTACGCCGTCCGTCGAGTCGGGAGGCTGTTGGGGCTCCCTCAACGACGCCACGAAACTCCGACCCTCGCGACAGTTATGCTTCTTGGGTATTACGAAGTTGTGGCGGGTGATCACTCGCGCTGGAATCTTCACTTATCAGGCGCTGCCAGGCTGGTGTTGGAGCATGACTATGCTGGCTTAACCCGTACTGCAAGGCGAATGCGCCACGGTGCGAAGGCGAGACTGAGCCAGTGGACAGCTCAATTTGCCTTGACGGAGGAGAATTACGCTCGCGTGGCGGGCATCCCGCTTGCCCTCCTCGATGATGCTGACTGGGAGGTCGACCAAGCACTGATTTCTCGGCTGCTAGGCGTTCGCGTGGACTATGACCATCAATATCAACCGAACTTTAGCCTACGCGCGACTTCATCAACTCTCAGTGAGAAAGATGTGGAAGAACTGAAGACGAAGATGAGTTTGAGATGGTGGTATTGCAAGCAGGACGTCTTCCAGAGCATGGTCTCTGGTGATCCACCACTAATGGCTCTCGAAAACTGGATGTACTGTCCGCCCAGAGGTCAATTCGGACGCGCCGATGCCCCATATGCCACATTCGATCACTTGCTGCTTGTTATGGCACGTCTGTGTGATTTTGGAGGCAAAGATCGAAGGCGGAAGCAGAAAGCGGTAGCTGCTCAAGGTGGACAATGGAGACCGCCACCATGGCTGTTTGGATCGCAGAGGCCGCCCATGCCACCCGGTGGCCATGGTGGTCCGGGCTCCTCCAAGTCATCTTCAGGCTCGCTCGCTGGCCGGGCTCCTGCTTCCGCCACACCGGCAGGAGCTCAGGATGGAACAAGATCCACTCCTCCGAGTGCGAATGAGGGTAGGGCCAGGCAAAGCAAACCAAGCGCACCCGGTGGAATAGTGCCAGGACCCAAGCAAGGCGCAAGTCCACCCATGCTAGGGATGATGCCACCACCAGCGGAGCCTCCAGAGCTGGATTCGGCTTTTCAATCGATGGATGCAAGCATCAAGGATCCCGCCTTTGCCGTCGTGCGCGAGCACAAGGAATCCAGCCCGCCCACGAATCTCGAGGATGACACTGCAAGAGCCATGGCCGAATACGAGGAAATCACGAAGGCGTTTGATCTCTTCGCGCAATCACTGGGTCCGGATTTTGAAGCGCTAAACGACAGCTCAAACCGCATCTCTTCACCGTTCGGGCCAGCACTGGTGTACAAAAATGCGGCGATTGCTTGCGTGTGGGCGTGCTACTATATGGCGCGTATCTCACTCCAACGATTACACCCTGAGATGCCGCCGGCCGCGATGGTGGCTGCGGGTGTAACCGCACACCTCACCCACGACTACGCGCAGAAGGTGGGCAAGATATGCGCCGGGCTCTACGCAACGCAGCACTATGGCCAGACTGGTGCTCTCGATCCCAGCTTTGCCGGTGCGTTGATGGAGAGTACCTTCTTCCTGCTCTTTGCTGGGGTCCAGTATACCGACGCGGCACAGCGCGGGTGGACAATCAGCAAGCTTAAGGACGTCGAACGGCGATGCGGATGGCGTACGTCTGGAGCTATCGCCGCAGGGTGTGAGACTGCGTGGGAACGCATGGCGCAAGCCGGAAGGGGACCTCCGTATGAACGACGGCGAGATATTCGGAACTTGGACTCTCGGGTGAGCGGCATCTCACTTCGATCAGACACCTCATCGCCTCAGAGCGGACAGCATTCAGATGTCGCTGCTGATCAACACGAATCCGAATTCGTCAATCATGACCGCAGCCTCATTGACCGATCAAGCTCCACTCGAGTTCACTGGGCACTTGGCTTACTCTCGGTGGAGGAGGATATCAAGAAGATGACATTGGACGACGACTAGGTCGGGGGCTTCACTTGGCTGTGCATGCGTACCTGCCCACCAACGGTGAAGTGAAGTGCACTTGCCTTGAAGGCAGCACGGTATCCGCTGCGCCTTTACTGCTTCGATCTCAGTATTCATCACACCTTCACATTCGCTTCCACATTGTGTTACTGCCTGGCCGGAGTCACATAATATGACATACCGTCTTTCTTGTAGACATAGCAGGCAGGCCGAGCCTTGTATCTGCTAGGAAGCACCACACCAGGATCGATCTACCGGGGTCAAGGGTTAGCTTCAGCTATGGCACATTCACCGAGCGCATCCGCCCCTCTGTATATCATCGAGACCGCACCAAGCGAGGACACAGCATCCTTCGGCAAAGGAGTCACTTCTTATTTCGACATCTTACCCAAACGTGATGGCTCCCCTGCGACCCGGTCACATGCCTCGCCACCCGACATCAGCCCTGGCTCTCAGCCCCAGCTGCTCCCTGTCCGACGTCCTCACTTCCGCTTTCATTCTGAATATGAGGCCCTACACAAGAGGATCCATGGCCACATCATCGCACAGACCAAGTCCCTCGAGACCCTGACCTCACCAGGCCGTAGTTCGCCACCATCTCAAGAGACATCTTCGGCGAAGATCACGCCGGGTCGGTCCATCGAGCAGTCTCCCCGTCGTGCCTCCGTGCAGACATCTGACTCTTCTGGACGCGGCTCTGCAGCGGTGCGATCCCCTTCGCCGAATCACAATCTCAGATATGCTCCACGCCAACCGAAAGTCAGCCAGCTCCGAGGAACGTCGTCTTCGTTGGCCTCCAGAGTGGAAAAATGGAATGCCGCAAACGAGATCGCCCAACGACGATCGTCGACCCTATCTGAGAGTGTTACAAGAGATGGCAATATCATTGTTGTCCGTACAGATCAGGCTCCGTTGAGACCACCACCATCGAAAAGTGCTGCTGTCACAAAGATGACCAAAGCCAGTTCGATAAAGGTCGAGACAGAATTCACAGAGTCTGGAAAGCCGCCAGAGATAACCCAAGGGATTCAGCCCTCACAATCAGCGATCAGCGAAGAACCCCAGCCTTCAGACCAGAAGCATCGATCTACCTACCATCATCGACGTCAGTCAACATCTCGCAGAAGCTCAATCAATCCTAGACATATCTTCTCAGCTCCGTTGCAGCTCCTGCACCGTGTCAGTTTGACCAAACGCTCGAACTCACCAGCTGTGACGCAGAGACCCCAACCGTCTTCCACAAGAAGAACCACCCAATTGCCAGATCATCCCTCCCAGCTCAAGCGGAATTACACCTCAGACGTCCTGCAACGCGTGAGTGCGACTTTGCAGGAAATCAAAACGGCAGCACCAGCCACGCTCTTCCCGCCGCAGATTGCCCGGCCTTTGACCTGGAAAACCTTCTCAGACAAATCGGTCCCGCAGAAAGCGAAGAAGGGCCAACGCAATGGACATGGAGTCACGTCATCACTGGACCACAACAGCAACATCCATAACAGTGGCAGTGGCAACCACTGCTCAGACGTCCAGTCATATACTTCGAGTCAGAGATACCTCCGCATGGGTACCATGCCCACAAATACCCCGGACGAAAGAGCCACATACAAGATCAAACGAAGTCGGAGCGCAGACACGGAGGAGTTTCTGAAGGTTGATATCAGTATCAGAGGAGGCACGAATTACCTACCGAGCGAGGCGCGTCGCATACACACGCCACCCCTGCCCGAAGAAGGTGTAGACGGCCGCTGGAAAGGGTTTTTCTTCGACTACAACGCGCCGAGACGAGCTAGTAGCTTCCAAGCCCCTGAAATTGTCGTGGAAGACGCACCAAACACCGGCAGTGGCAGTCTCGACAGCGTGTCTGGGGATTTGGAAGGAAACAAGCCGATACCAGAGGCGAGACCCAAACTCGAGAGATCCAGAACCAAGAACAAGCGCATCCTCACTAGTGAGTGGGCTGACGTCAAACTGGCCGAGATCGATCTGCTGGGGAACGAGACCAAGCAAGATGACATACAGAGCGCCAAAGAAGGGTGCCGGCGATTGAACTCACCGGCTGTTCTATCGAGGAATCGGACCAGGATCATGTACGAAGGGAAGGAGGTGGAGCCTGAGATGTTCGACTTGACCATTCCGGAGCATTTGCCAAGCAGTCCATTGTGTCCCAGGCATCCAAGGTATTGGCGGGTCGTGAAGCGACGGGGGTCACAATTCAGGGGGTGTTGGATGCACGGGATCGGTGTTTATGAGGGGACGAAGGGCAAGGCATCGTGATGGTAGTGTGCCAGCGGTCATGGCAAGTGATGAAGGATAGTAGTAAACGAGCTGTCACGAGGAATCGTTGGTACTCCTTGGGATGAATTGGAAATAGGAGCGTTTGTGGTTGGATGACTGGGAAGAACGCATCGAGTCCATGTTGTCAAGGAGTACAATGAAAGGATTCCCATAGACAGCATAGGTGAAGCGCTGGCGACGGCCGGACAGCCTGCCACGAGACGAGAGGATGGCCTCGGGACAGGTTTGATGAAACAGCCTTGAAAATTCCCTATCCCCCGGACTTGTCGTGCAGATGCCACGTTAGCGCCGATAACAACGACCGATATCTTGCTCGCCTTCACCACCTCGTCAACGCGACAACATGAACCCGTTTCCTGGATCCTGCACGCCTCGTCAAGACGGGTCCGACCCATATCTCGCTTCCTGCGTCAACGCGGACCAGACAGTATCATCCCACGTTTTGTTTTCCCTTTGATATCTCGCCCATGCATAGGTATACCCGCTCCGCTACGCCCCGCAGGCTCACAACTCCCCAAACTTCTCCTCATACTTGGAAATATGCGCCACCTTCTCAGCACTCGGGCTCTGCTCATCAAACCGCAACTCCACCCACTCATCCACCAACTTCTTGGCCAACTCCAGCCCGATCACGCGCTGCCCGAAACACAGCACCTGCGCATTATTCGACAGCACGGCCCGCTCGACACTGTACGGATCGTGCGCCGTCACGGCGCGGATCCCCTCGACTTTGTTCGCCGAGATGGCCACCCCCAGGCCGGTGCCGCAGATGAGTAACGCGCGGTCGGCTTCTCCGGCCTTGATTTTCTTGCAGGCGTCCACGGCGAGGTGCGGGTATGCTGTGGCGTCGTCGGCGTCGACCACGCCCACGTCCAGGACTTGGGTGACCCCTGCGTGTTTGGAAAGGACGTCCTTGAGCGCGGCTTTGTAGGTGTGTCCTGCGTTGTCGCTGCCGACGACGATGCGGAGGGGGGTTTTGTTGGTGCCGTTGGTGGTGGAGGTCATTGTTGTGGTGGTCTGAGGAGTGGTGGGATTGATGGAAGAGGGTACGTGTGTATCTATGCGTATGTGAGACTGTACAGTGGTCGAACCTCAGTGCTCAAGGCCAGGGCTCTGGGGGATAGTGGGACGTTGTTTCGTAGAGCTGGGTGATTGCAGTATATTCGGTGACTATGGGCAGGCAATTATAGGTATGGCGAGTGCAGCTCAGAAATCAAAATATCATCAAATCATATTTTTGTTGAATGAGATCAAATATCTAGTGGATCTGTCTCTCTTGTCGTGGCCGACGGCGTGCTGGCCGTTCAGATGCCGATGGGAAAGGAAGGGTCTGTCCTGCTCGCCTCCCACCTCTCGCCTCTCACCCCCTCCCCTCCCTTTGCATGTGGCGTCATTTACGGAGCACTGCATGTCCAATTCTGCGAGCTACAGCGGGATTGCCGTTTCAGGACACCCGGGCGGCTAAATTGCAGCGCGGACAACGTGGGGCCAAGGGGTGGAGTGCACCTGCCTCGCGAGCCTGGCACCTGGCCACGTGCTAACCTTCTTTTGTGCGGGGATTGTTCGGCAAGGACTGAAGCAGTGCGATGAGACATACTCCGTACTCATTGTACGAGGTACTCTACCCCGTATTCGTCTCGTATATCGAAATCGAAAGTCTGAAGTCAAGCCAATTTCCGAACCATCGCAACTCCACGCCGGACTCCGCGAGACACTGTATTGTGACACAACCCACCTCTGTACTCCCGCCGCGTCCACGCAATGTCCTCACAGACACAAACCAAATACCCATCCCTCCCTTCCAAACTGATCCTCACGTCAACAAAAGCCTACTTCTCCCCCTCCCGAACAATCACATACCTCCACTCACTGCTCGACCCAGCAAACAACATCCTACCTCTGCTCGAGCAACACCGCTCGCAAATCCACTTCGTCTTCATCCCCGACTTCCTGACCATCTACCCGTGTTCTCAAATCCTGGGATCCCGATACCCCTCGCCAGTATCAAATCCCGACGATGATGCCACCACTGCCCACGCGGACTCCGAGCCGCTCGCGTGGCCCATCACCCTCGGCGCCCAAAACGCCTACCCCTCGCCCTCCTACGGCGCTTACACGGGCGAAATCGTGCCCCCGGCACTGAAATCGCTCGGCGTGCGCGTCGTCGAGCTCAACCACGCCGAACGGCGCCGCTACCTGGGCGAAAACGACGACAGTGCGGCCGAAAAGGCCCGCACCGTGGCCGACCTGTCCATGGTCCCGCTGGTGTGTATAGGCGAGGTGGAGCAGCCTGATCTGCGCGGCCCGCTCAGCGCCAGCGTGGGCAAGGCGATGGCCCAGCTACGGCCGCAGATCTTGGCCGTACTGGGGGCCGTGCCAGAGGACGCGCCCGTGATTTTCGCGTACGAGCCGGTCTGGGCGATCGGGGCGGCCGAGCCGGCGGGGGTGGATTACGTCGGGCCCGTCGTGCAGGCGATAAGGGAGGTCGCCAGGTCGGCTGTCCCGCTTAGGGGCGGCGAGAGGACGGGCGGGGTGAAGGTTGTGTATGGTGGGAGTGCGGGGCCGGGGCTGTGGAGTGGGAAGGCGAATGGAGGGAATGGGCTGGGGAGGTGGGTTGACGGGTTGTTCCTGGGACGGTTTGCGCATGAGATACAGGGCGTGAGGGCCGTTGTGGAGGAGGTTGTCGAGAGTTTGGGCGAGAGTTGAGCTCCGCAGACGAGAAAGGATGTGATTGGAAGTCTCAAAGGTGGGAAGATTGGGGCAGCACTATGCATGGAGCACGCATGCCAGCTATCAACGACGCGATACCACCGCTATGAACAACAGACTTGCCACACCACCTTCCAAAACGCCGTCGCCAACTTCAACAGACACCCGTGTCATCCAGTCGTAAACTCATCCAAGCTGGGAGACGTACAATTCATGGAAACGCCATATACTATACAACACAGGCACTCCCCGAGATCATCACCCCTTGATCTCCCCGGGCGTCATCACAGACACGACACTCGTGCCTTCACTAAACCTCGTCCGGAACACACGGTTGGCATTCTGAAACATGCCGTCCTTCAAACTGACGACAATGAACTGCGACCCTTGGAATCTCGTCTTTATGATGCGGCCAATGTTCTGGGTATGCGACAGGTCAAGCGCCGCGTCGACTTCGTCCAGAATGTACATGGGCGCCGGCTTGAACTGGAGCAGGGCGAGAATGAGGGATAGAGCAATGAGCGATCTGTGAGTGAGACAGGGGGGTAACCAATTAGCACGGCACATCAGCCAGACGGAGCAGCAGAAAACAAACATACCTTTGCCCACCGCTCAACTCGGCCAGACTCTGCTTCCACACCTTCCCCAGGCAGACCTTGACCTCCAGCCCTTCCTGGATGCGCTCGAGATTGTCGTCCAGCGGCACCAGCTTGGCCGTGTTGTTCCCGGGCAGCAGATCGGAGAAGATGTTGCCAAAGTCCTCGGTGACCGTGCGCCACGTCTTGATCAGCGCCTCCTTCTTGTACTCGTCCAACGTGCTGATTGTCTCCTCGATCTTTTTCTTGTCGCGGATCACCGTGCGCAGCATGTTCTTGAGAGAGGCCTCTTTCTTCTCGACACTATCGATCATGGGCATCACCTTCGGGTTGATTTTCTTCTTCATGCCTTGGAATCGCTCCGTCACGTTCTTGAGAGTCGCGCGGCTTTCCGCGAGGTTCTTGCCGTGGAAGTCGTAGGGGCTGCCCGCCCGGCCGAATTGATCCTTGTTGTCCTCGATCCAGTCGTGCTCCCTTTCCAGCGCCGCGACAAGCTGCGCTGCGGCTTGTGCGTCCCTCTGTGCCTTGTCCACGGCGTGGCCCAATTTCTGTGCCTCGAGCGCTTCTTCGGCGATCTGTTTCGACTTTTTGGATTTGGCTTGTTCCAGTTCGCGCAACTCGTCGTCAAAGCCCGTTAGTTTCGCTTGCTCGTCGACGAGTTCACCCTGGGCCATGTCGTGGTTGCTTTTGACGCTGGCTTCTTCTTGGCGCAAGGTCTCAAGTTCTGCCTTTTGTGTCTCGATCGTGGCGTTGACCTCTGCAAGCTGCTCGACCGCGGCGTTCAGATCACCCTCTGCTTGCTCGCAGTCGATCTTAGCGTCCTGCAATTCCTTCTGGAGTGATTTGATGGCACCGGAGGTCTTCGTCAGCGACTTCTTCAACTCGGCTATCGACTTCTCCAGCTCTTTCAGTTTGCTGCCTTTGTTCTTGCTGAAGTCTTCCATGTCTTTCTCGATCCGCTTGACGTCCTTGGATGCTTCGACTTCTCGCGTTTTCGCATCGGCCATGTCTTGCCTGAGGTGGACAATTGTCGCCTTCATTTCCTCTATCGCCTGGATGATGGATGATGAAGAGTTGCCCGAGATCTGCTCCTCTGCCAGCTTAATTTCGTGAGTCTTCAGATCGAGCTCCTGCTTGACTGACTTGATATCAGCCAGCTTCGCTCGCTCCTGTCTCATCGTCTCGTGCAGCTGTTGAAGCTCTGACTGGTGTTTTTGCAGCTCTTTCGTCACTTCATTCAGCTTCTGAAGAATCACGAGTACCCCACTCGAGTTTGGCGAGCTGCCGCCGGACAGCGTCCCGGAAGGGTCATATACATCGCCTTCAAGTGTAACGCTCTTCAGCCTGACTGCCTGGTCAAAAGTCACTTTCTTGGCTGTTTCGGCATCCTGGCAGATCAGCGTGGTGCCAAAGACGTAGTCCATGGCGGCAGAAACCTCGTCTTCGTATCCAATCAAGGACAGCGCGAGGTCGACTTTGCCCGGTGCTATTCGTTGTGCTGCTCCAACCTTCTCTGCTGACGCTCTAAAGGCGGATATCTTGTTCAGAGGAATGATGGTGACTCGCTTCTTGAGCTTTCCATTCTGGAGAAGCTGTGTGCCAGTCTCAGCCGTGTCCACGACCACATTATACAGCCGGCCACCTGCGCAAATTTCCAACGCAGTGCCAGCCATCGACTTGTCCTTGTCCAGGGTGAATAGCTGGGCAACCAAACCTTTGACTCTTGTCCGATCGAAGTTGGGTGAAGGGTCGCTGAAGTGGAAGTCGACGTTGGCCACTTTTCGCTTCAATTCGTCGGCTTGTCGCGACAGCTCACGGATACTCTTCTGAAGGGTGACCTCGTGCTCTCGCATCTTCTGCTCTCTGCCAGGCTCAAAGCCCAATCTTTGCAGGTTGTTCTCCAGCTTCTGTGCGTCCTTGCGGAGTACCTCCAGGTCCTTCAGGAGATCGGCGTTTTGTTCTCGCGCCTTTTTTGCTCGTGGTTCCTCTTCCTTGATGCGCTTTTCCAGGTGAGAGATCTTCAGCTTTGCTTGTTCTTGCTCCGTTGAGGTCGCAGTGAGTCTCGCCCGAGCTTCCTGCAGTTGACCTTGGTAGCCGCTTTCTTGTCCTTCACGGGAAGCAACTCCAGTCTGCAACGTCGATAGCAGCTCTTCTTTCTTCTCGACTTCCGAATTTTGAGAATCATGTTCAGCTTTTGCACTGTTCCATTGTGACTGCAACTTCTCCAGACCAGCCTTCTTATCGCTGACTTGCTTCTCCAGGCTTTTGACAGTTTTGGTGACCTCTTTCTTCTTCTGTTCTTCTTCAGCAACGCTGGATTGCTTCAGGTCAAGCACCGTTGCAAGTCGGACCAGTTCGTGGCTCAACTCTTTCACTTGAGCTTCTATTGCTTGGAATCGGCCTCCTTTGCGCATTTCCTTCTCCCGAACAGCTCGTACGCGCTGAGAATCTTCGTCCAGGTTTTCGATTTCGCGCCTGAGTTTGACAGCATTCTCCTCGAGGTGGGTCACTTTTGCTCGTTTAGCTTCGTGCTCTTGTGACGCGTTCTTCATCTTCTCGCCAGCTCGTACATAGTCTGCCGCGACAACCACTCGAGTTAATCTTTCAAGCTCGCTTTGTGTTTTCTGGTAGTCCAACCACGCCCGCTTCTCGCCTCTCAGTTTGTCGAGTTTCGGTTCGATTTCTTCGCGCAGTAAGCCTTCTATCTCCACCACTTTCATCTCCTTCTTCGCCATGGTCTTGACTGCCTTCTCTTTTCTATCCTCAAACATGCGCGTTCCGGCGGCTTCTTCGATCATAGCCAAAATCTCGGCGGCCTTCATGTTCAGCACTTTCGTGATTCGACCCTGCATGATGATGAAGTTCGGGTTGTTGATGTTCAATCCGACGCTCTGGAACAGATTCTGCACTGTCGTCTGCTGAGCGCGATGTCCGTTGATGAGGTACTTGCTAGTTCCGCCCATGACAATCTGTCGCGTCACACTGATTTGCGCATACTCTTCAAAGCCGATCGGACTCGTGCTCTTGTCACTATTGTCAAACACGATCGTGACGCTCGCCTTGGTCACGCCCGCTTGACCGCGCTTGTATATGAGGTCTTGGAGGTTCTGCGCTCGGACGGTCGACATGTTGGTGATGCCTAATACGAAACATATTGAGTCGAGAATGTTGGACTTCCCGGAGCCGTTGAGGCCAGTCACGGCGTTGAAGGTCCTGTCCCAACCAGAGATGACCGTTCTCTGGCTGTAAGACTTGAAGCTGCACGTTTTTGTTAGTTGACGGCAGCATCTTGGAGAATCATTTAACAACTCACCCATCAATGACCAGTTCTATGATCTTCATACTGCTTGTTAGTCAATGGCACCCATGCGGTCATTGCAGTTTCGAAAGTGCAAGTGCAATTGTTCCATCTGTCGCACTGTTGACTATTTCCGGATAAGGCTAAAGCGAAAGATTCCCAAAAGGGGAAAGCTCGGCACGTGCTTGGCGCGCATTTCATGCGGAGTCTCAGTCGAGCTTCACTCTCAATTCACCAGTGACTCACAGCCACAGCCAACTCAAGGTTCACATTGTCAGTGACTCATTCTCGCTGGCGTACCGGCTTCCATCATGGCGTCGCTCGCTAGACCTTTCCTCACCCCGTCGCATTCGACCAGTGTTCCTCTCTTCCTGGCTCCCGCCTTCGCTCGCCCATTCCCCATTTCATTATCCGCAACAGCACAGTTCTCGACCTCAACCCCGAACCAACGTGCTTCGGCGACAAGGAAGCAAGCTGGCATTAAAGCCGCAACATCAGGGAAACCGAATTGGGCTTTGAAGGCACGGCCCAAGATCGACCGCAACAAGAAGAGAGGCGTGAGCGCAATCCGCCGGACAGGACCGAGAAGCACGCGCGGACTATGGAACTACCCATTGCCGGTACCCGTGGCGAGAGATCATCGGGGCACGAATCCAGAGTATGTTGAGTCGCAGGACCACGGCCTCTGGGGATTCTTCGATCAGAGCAAGCAGGCACTGCTGGATCCAGAGCAGGAGTCCAGCCACGGTAAGTCCGACTGACACGTGAGAACGGAAATCGAACGCCGCGACTAACTCGCTGGTGTCAATGCAGGTCGCCCGTGGGAGTACAAGGAACTGTCCCTGAAATCCTTTGACGACCTCCACAAACTCTACTGGGTATGCGTAAAGGAGCTGAATCGGAGCCTTACGCGAGATAAAGAACGTACACGCCTCAGGGCAGGTTTTGGTGATGTGGAACATCAAGAGAGAATCAATGTCGTGAGTTTCCCTTCCTCTTCTGGTCTGCACATTGTGCTAGGGAAAATCCAATGATGAATCCAACCCCTTTCACTCGCCGATATGAGTCTCCCGGCCCTGGAGGTAATGCTTAAACCTCCTCGGCCATGATTACACCTACCAAAGGTTTCTGAGAAAGCAGCAGCCAAATAGATGCAGCATAGTATTATCCCTTGACACGTCCATATTGGGGTCTAAATAAGCGATTTGCTAATGAGCGTGCCGGTCCACCAGATCAAAACAACCATGCAACTCATCCGCGAAGTCCTCGTCGACAGGCAATTATCCTTTCAACAGGCCAACGTGTTAGTCAATCAGAAGACTGTCGCCGACATATTTGCGGAGGCAGAGGGAGCAGCGCTCGAGGATGACACCGCATCGTCGGCGCAGGAGAGCTATCCAAAATCTGCACCCGCGGGGTCCTGAGGTGGAGCAACGTTCACTCTTGTTGGCAGCCCAGTCCAGCAGGCCCTGCATAACCACCATCTATAGGTCCCAACAGGCTACTCTTAGTGACAGAAGCCCTCGCTGTGACCATCACGAACCATACAAGTGCGCAGAGCATATAGCATGTACTTATAAACTCTCCGACTGGTTGAGTTCCTGTAATTCTATATGATTTGCAGCACCGACAGGGGTATACCCAGCAGAACATTATTGTGCGAAGCAAACCAGGCCAGTGCCTCGAAATCTCCGTGCCTTTGACTGCGCATGTACCTTTGCCAATGCCCAAGCCTCCCTTTGCACCATGTAACGATCAACACAGGCAGCGCCAGGGCTCAGCCAATGACCTCGACGTGTCTCGGTCACATGTATGCTTCGAAATCACACCATTGCTCAGAACCCACCACCCCGCCATCATACCCCGTGGCCAAGCTGAACAGCGCGGGATCAATGGTCGTCGAGGTCATGGAAACCAAATCATCGGCGCCCTCTGTACTGATTTCGAAGGGTCCCTGGGCCCCTCCTGTATGTGCGTGTGCGTGTGCGTGTGCCGGGGTCTGGCCTTGACCCTGCCGTGCCTCATTCCCGGCAGGTGGCATTCCCACCCGCGAATCCCTCACGGGCAGAGCCTGCCTCACTGCCAATTCGGCGCGCAGCATCCTCAGCGGCTCCCACAGATTATCATTGCCCGCAAGATAGTCGATCGAGGGCCTGTTCTGGAACAGCAGTTCGATGCGGTGCCTCGCGGCGCGGGCCTCGAGCGAACTGCTCAGTGCCTCGTGGCGGAGAACCATCGAGAGCATGGTGGCGACCGAGTGCCATGAAAAGGCACGGATGATGGCCCAGTCCAGGCTGTAGGGCGTGTAGAAGTCGATCAGCGTCTGGGTGGCCTTGCAGTACTCGACGGCAAGCTGGTACATTTTGGCCTCGAGGCCGGGGCGTGCGGGGTCCGCCGGACCGGCGATGGTCCCTGCCTTTGCGTTGACGAGTGGTTGAAGCTGCATCAGTCGCAAACGGCGGAAGGAGTGGTCGAACAGGTCCTTCGCCAGGCGGTGGAGGATGTTGGTCTCCGTGTCGAGGTTGCGCATGTACAGGATGTCCATGCGGTGGTGGGCCTGGCGGAGCACTTCGTTGTGGACGGCCAGGTAGCTGCGCGTCGTCGTCGCGGGCGTGTAGGGATGTTCGAGGATGAATTTCGTGAGGGACCCGAATTCGTAGTGCATGAGGGAGATGGTCGCGTCCGTGAAGTTGTTCCGCGGTTGAGGCTGGTAGGAGGAGAATTCGGAGGTATCCCATGCGGAATCGTTCTCGTTGAGCGGAAGGGAAGTGTCGGAGTCGCCGCCGGGCTGGAGAAGCGGTTGGAGGCCGTGGTTTTCGACGCACCAGGCGTCTAGGAGTACCAGGTGGTGCCATAACCGTCGACGCAGTTCAATCTCCCAGGGGTTTAGATGGAAGTGTGCCCCGTCGCGATTGAGGCCCATTCGTCTTGCCATGGAAAGGGCAACGGCGAGGAGAGTGCTGACGTGGAGCATTTCCCCGGTCCAAAACAGGAATGTCTGTTGGGAAGAATCAGGGAGGTGCTATATCATGTGAAATGAGTCATAGAACTCACAATATATAGCAAGAATGTCTGTAGTGTCGATAGGGATTGCGTTGTCGTCAGGTTCAATTGGCTTAGACCCTGCTCGACATGCGACCGGTAGCGCGACAGCAATCCCTTTTTCGACTCGTGGAACCGATACTCAACCATGGTCGAACAAAGCGGTAACAGTCCCAAGGCATATACGGCGAACAGGCGGACTTGGAACTCGGTCGGATTTGCTAGGATGCCGCGGCGAAAATGATTCAATTCGAGGTGGAGTGTCGGCTTGTGCAGAATCTTGACGAAAGGGTCGACCTTTTCGACAAACGTCTGGACCAAGAAGTCGCTCTCCCGAGTCGATAGATCGACGAGGGCCGGTCGACTAGTCTCTTCTCGAACGTAGGGAAACAGAAACGTGTCTCCGTGCGTCTTCGCTGCATTATTGTCAGCGACCAACAGCCACGCCGGACGACCAGAACAAGAGCCCCTGTTCATATCCGTGCAGCTTCTGTAAATCGCACTTACGCTCTTCCTGCAGAGTGAACTTCAGGTCTCTGACCTCGTCATACATCGCGGCCCAGAAACCTTTGTGAAGGTAGCGGGACCTATCCTTGTCGAAGACGAGCCTGCCTTCTGGGTTGCCGACGGGAGACGCTTGACTCCCAAACTTCTGGGCGATGTTCTCGGTCATGATCTCCATTGGGTTGCCCTGTTGGGGCCGACGACTCAGGTTGCGCACAAGTTCTTCGAGTTCAGCTATGCGTCTGGCTAGCGGGTCATTGGAAGTGGGCGTCCGTCTGTGCACCAGACGGCCCGTATCCTCGTAGATGCATTCGACCCCGAATCGTTGACAGTTCGCACATGGCTCTGTCTTGGAGCACTTGACTTTTCGCCGTCGGCAGTCGAAGCATGGTAAATCTTGAGTGGCCGTGGCAGAGTGTTGCGATGGTTGGTTGCTGGAATGGACGGGGGTACTCGAGGAACTCATTGCAATACGTAGCTAGATTCCCACACCGGCATCGTGACCGCGTCTGTTCTACGGTGTGCGAGACTGAAATATGCATGCGCGCGTTGCCAGTGGTCACAATGCACAGATCGGCAAGTTCATACTGGTAAGCCAGATGATTTGTTTGTCAACATGACGCAGTACGAAGCCAGTCCACTTTCGTCGTCAGGAATTCTTCGGGCAACGATCAGCTCGCCAATGCGGTCTGCAAGGCCAAAAGCTCCTGCGTGAGGATAGTGGACTGTGGTGTGGGCTTCGATATGAGGTTGCGGGAGGTCGGAGCAAATTCAAGGTCCGCACGCCGGCGCTGATAGGGCTGAGGATTACGTGATAGTCAACACTGACTAAGGGTCTGGACCCGGGGCTCTTCGTGGTAGGTGCTGTACATGTCTCTGTTCGCAAATCAGCGCCGAGCTGGAAAGGACCGAGAGAGTTTCGATTCGGCCTGTTCGAGTCGAGATGAAAAGCATCCGAGTCTGAACGTGAAGAAGCAAAAGTCCACGCAAAAAATTGGTGGAGTCGTCTGATTGGCCCAGATCATGTAGACTATCGCTAGGTGGCCTAATTAGGGCACAGAATAAACAAAGCATTAGGGCGTCTAGAGATTTTCGAACGCCTCCTACCAGTACCAACTTAACAAGTCACCCTAGATGCCGTTACTGTCGTATCTAACTTGCACACTGTACGCTCATCATACCCCATGCAGCGTGGTACTACGTTGAACCCTCGCTACGCCAGGTCCTCCTGCATCTGGACCAGGATCGACGGGTGCGTGGCCTTGAAACCCAGTCTGGCGGCACGATCACCCTGAACAAGCATATTCGACGCCACGAGAGCACCTATTTCCCCCGCCCCGGCCTCTGCAGATGGCACTCTTTTCGGCTCTGGCGAGGATAAGTCGCCCTTTCTATGCAAAACCTTCGCCAAAGCAGTGCTCATGTCCTTCCAAGTGACCCTTTCGCCGTGAAGGATGTAGTATCGGGAGTATGCGCTACCTGTGGGCGTATCGGTTCCAGCTATCCCTACTATCTTGTTGAGAAACGGGATAGCATCGGCGATCTGTGGGCGTCCATTAGCTCGCGCCGTCGCTACCAGGACAGCGTCTGACCCAGGCGGGACTCACATGGACTGTGCTTGCGACGGCTGTGCCATCACCGACATAGGGCGCGTAGCCTAGCTGTTTCGCATTGGACGTGAGGATGTTGTACGCAACACCCAGGTTTGGGACCGGGCCGATGTTGGGTCCGTATGTCTGCAAACTGTCAACACCTCTCTTAGACTAGCCAAGAGCCGCGAAATAATGAACCCAGAAATCGGCGAGTCCATATCAAACATCTTAGCTAGGGAGATGCGCGGTCGACAAGATACGGTTGTCGGAGGGACAAGGGCGCCTTACCATTGCAAAGCACACAATGTAAGTGATGATCTTGCCCCGTTCCCCTGCCTCGAGTACGCTGCCCACATGTTAGCACTGGAGACACCCTGTCGACAGGGATGGGAAGCTCTTACGGAACATCCGTAGCCCCGTTGAACATGGTTCTTGTTATCTGCCGAATATCTTCCTCTTTGTCATCCTGGTTCCGTCAGTAGGCGTGCCCCTCAGCGCTGTTGGCCATACTAACACTCCAAACTTTGCTGGCAGGGTTGAAATTGCCGGTCTTTCCATAATCGATGAAATTCCCCGTGCCCGAGACATGGACGAGGGTCCCCTTTGAATCCTGGGTTCGCTCTTCCATGCCGGAGATGACATTGGCGATGAAGCCACCGTCGAATGAGGTGATGGCGTTGATGACCAAATCATGCTCCTTGCTCAGAGAACGGACGAGCTCCGTGTCCGAGATCGAGCCATGCACAATACGGTCTGCTTTGGCAACCGACCTGAACCATTCATCGACGTTGGTGTTGCGCAGGAACACAGTCAGGGGCCAGTCAGGGTGTGCCTTCTTGACTTCAACCGCAAGGCGGGCTTCGAGACTGTCAGCGCCTGGTACTATAGCCTGCAGGGACTACCCACAGCCAATGAGACCGGTCGCGCCGAAGAGGAGAACTGAAGGCATTCTGAACCCAGCAGAACTCGAGCTTGAAGTGATTGCAGTCCGACAACGTTGGAAGATGGCGGTCTGAAGCTGGAAGTCGGTTGGTGGTGCGAACTCCGCCGTCGATGCAGTGTTCTGAAGACCTGTGCAGTGTGATATCTTTGGTGGTGAATGGAAGCATGTTGTCGTGTTGTTGCCCGCTTATAAGCACGCTTTGTGCTAGGTACCGCTCGGTGGAGCAATTCTCGACCCACTGCAATCATCTCAGAAGCCGTGGCCGGCTGAAAAAAGTCCTCCGCTGTGGTTGATGGTGCGCATGTCATCAAACAAGACAAGTCTCAATATTTCGAAGCATCGACTACTGCATGTGGTTGTTTAGATAAGCATTCTTCGGCGGAGGCCCAGTGCTCGCCGAGCGGGCGAGCCAATAGACGCGGAGGACTCGGTGTGCTGATGTCTAATAGCCGCATTGGAAACCCTTGGTCATCGGAGCTTCAGCTCGTTTCTCTGGCCTTTCGCCGACTCGTATGAGGGTGGGCCTTTGTCAAGGTCCATAACGCCTGCAATGTCAGTCATCAGAACTAGGCGGCGAGTGTCGAAGTGATTGCGATGACAGCTCAGCGGAGTTCATCAAGTCCCCGCCTGCCAACCGCTGAGAAAGGCCTCATCCCACGACGAGTCCTGGCATGGGACCTAGGGTAACATGTGTTCTGCTGCGACAATGCCCTTGGCCACGCAAGAAACCTTGGCCTCAGATAAAAGGGACGGACAAGCCAGTCCCGAGCAGAGGACGACTTCTTCTCATCACTTCCACCATCGTTGATTCTCAACCACCGACTGTGTACCGTATTTTTCACCCATACCTGAAGCTTCTTCAAACACCATGTCTCAACAGTATCTAAAGGGCAAGACAGCCATAGTCACTGGCGCGGGAAAGCCGAACGGAATAGGAGCAGCATCCGCGATCGCCCTAGCTGGACAAGGTGCCAATGTATAGCCAGAGACACCCTCCATCTCATCCATGACTAACCGCTGGATTGCAGGTGTTGATCCATTACAACAGCTCCGCCGGACCTGCAGAGGAAGTCGTCAGTAAGCTCAAGGGTCTTGGAGTCCAAGCGGCGGCCGTCAAAGCCGATGCCTCGAGCGTCGACTTCGGCAAAACGCTCGTCAACGCCGCTCTGAAGACCTTCAACACCAGAACCATTGATATCATCGTCAACAATGCCGGGTACGCTGCGCCCAATGTCGAGGGAATCAAATCCGTCGGTTTCGACGAATGGGACACGACCTTCCGAATCAACGTTCGAGGTCCATTCGACCTTATCCAGGCGGCACTTCCGTATATGAAGGAAGGCGGACGTGTCATCAATATTGGGAGCATTGCAAGTTTCCCCGCCTCCGTCCTGTTCACGTCAAAGACATGTTGTCCCATGTGCTGGCGGCCAAAATCAGCCACAAGACGCATAAGTCGCAAATCTCGTCCTAAGAACAATGCTAACTTTGCGGAAATGCAGATCTCTCGCCTGGGCTCGTGGATGTTGCCGGTATACTGTAAGTCTAGAGAATACCAACGTTGACGTGGTCTCGACTGTCCCGAGCTTTGTGTCTCAAAGATTCTCTCTCAAGGCTAATGACCACGTAGGTGCTTCCAAAGGAGCGTTGACCTCCATGACAGTTGCCATTGCGGAAGAGCTTGGGCCCAAGGGCATCACCGCCAACGTGGTATCGCCTGGGCCCATAGCCACAGATCTCTCCATGGAGGGGTCACCCATCGGAGCAAGGCTGAGGAACAACCAGCACATCAAGCGGGAGGGGAAAGCGACCGAGGTTGCTGAGACGGTCCTTTTCATCGCGAGCCCCGGGGCATCATACATCTCCGGACAAGTCATCCACGTCGACGGCGGCATCGCGTTCCCCTGAAAAGGCCAGCCGTTATCAGCTCCTAGGTAGTGTATGGTTGCGCATGTCAGGGAGGCCAAAGGAAAATATCCGCTGATAACCTTGATGTACATATCGCGGTTCTGGGCTCTCATAGAAAAAACAGCACACTGGTAAAAGAAAGTCCATAGATCTAGTCTTATCATTCGAGTTGCTGCATGAGGTTGCCGTGACTCGGCAGCAAACCGAGAGGAAGAGCGTATGCCGATACGACACCTCGCGGGCCCGGAGACCTCCTTGAACAGCTGTGAGATATCATGGTCTTCGCGTCTCGGTCTAAAAGGAAGATCGGGCTAATATCGCGTTTGAAGAAAATATTGTTTTTTGATCACGTCGCCGAAGTCAATCTTCCATAAAGACAAGGCGCGCAATTCAACGCCACTACAACTACGCGTGGGTGACGGGTGGGGAGGAATACCGAATTTCTGACATCAAGAGCCCTGTGCTAGAGACAAGCCCGCACGGCTGCCCCCCAGGCGCCACTAACTAAACTCCGCACAATAGCCAGAGATCCGTGAATAAGCGATTAAGCGGTGCTTTCCCCCGCAGCCTCGGTCGATTTCCCCAGCAGACCCCCCGTTCTACCCCTACTTGGGTACGTATCGGATGCTCACGACGTTGGACTTTTAGCAAGAAACCATACTTCACTCATCGAAGGACGAGGCTGTCAGCACCTTTACATCTCCCCACCTCATTCTCTCACTTACTATAAACCGTCAGTCTGATCTGAACCTGACCTTACCTGGTTTCACCATGACCTCACCATCGACAGTATGCATGGGACAGTACCTCTTCCAGAGGATCAAACAGCTTGGGACACAACATATCCTGGGAGTTCCTGGAGATTTCAATCGTGAGTCCGCTGACATCCCATTAAAAGCAAATGAGGCCACTGACACAGACTTTTCAGTCACTCTCCTAGATGAAATCTACAATGTGGGGGGCTTGAAGTGGATCGGCTGCTGCAATGAACTCAATGGTGCCTATGCTGCTGATGGCTACGCGAGGATCAAAGGCTCTCCGGCCGTGCTTGTGACAACCTATGCCGTCGGCGAGTTGTCGGCCATGAATGGCGTTGCTGGCGCGTATGTCCGAGCACCCGAGCATCATGTCTGAGGGTGTCTAGTAGTCCATCTAGAGCCACTTGCTGATCTAAAGTTCGAGAACAGTTACGCAGAGCACGCCGGTATGATCCATGTCGTCGGCATGCCCGCAAGGTCATTACAAAAATCCCGAGCAATGCTTCACCACACCATGAAAGCCAACATGGACCACGCAATCTATATCCAAATGGCCGAGCCCATCCGCGAAACCCATGCCTACCTGATGGAGGACAAGACAATGGCGGAGGAAATCGACAGGACACTCATTGCGTGCCTGCGAAGTCGACTCCCTGTCTACATCTACGTCCCTGTCGATTCAGTATCAGTCCCGCTCGACGCAAAGCGACTCGAGACACCATTAGACACGAGCGTGCAGAACAAAGACAGCAAGGTGGAAGACCAGATCGTCAGCAGCATTCTTTCCTTGGTAGAGAAGGCTACCAGCCCCGCCATATTAGCTGATATCATTGGTGTGCGGCACGGCGGCCGCGAGTTGATCAGAAAGCTGGCCGAGCTAACGCAGTTCCCGTCTTACTCCACCCCTCTGTCGAAGGGAGTGATTGACGAGATGAAACCATATTACAACGGTGTTTACAATGGAAAAGGTGCGTGGAACGCAGTCAACTAGCTGTGAACTGGACTAAATCCAAGCAGTATCGTTCCCAGGAGTCGCCGACAGCATTGAAGCCTCAGATCTCGTTCTCAATATCGGCCCGCTTCCATCGGACTCAAATACCGGTGGTTTCACAAGAGAGATTAAAGATGAGCACCTCGTCTGGCTGGGCCATGACTTCTGCAAAGTGCAAGATCAGACCTTTGACAGCGTCCATTTCCTACCTGTTCTGAAAAAGCTGGTCGCATCCTTAGAAGCCGATCCGCAGAAGTTCAACCTCCCGAGGTCGCAGAAAGCGCCCAGAGTAGATGTACCTGTGCTTCTGGACCAGAAGTCTGGCCAGATCAAGCAAGCTTATGTCTGGCAAAGACTTGGCCGCTTCCTTCGAGAGAATGATATCCTACTGGTGGAATCGGGCACAGCACAGTTCGGCATGCCAGACGCAATCTTCCCTCCCAACGTCAAATTAATCACCCAGACATTCTGGTCATCTATCGGCTTTACGGTTGGCGCCTGCTTCGGGGCGTTGCTTGCAGCAAAGGAGATGAATCATACTGGGAGAGTGGTCCTCATTGTCGGTGAAGGCAGCCTCCAAATGACAGTGCAGGAGATCGGATCATACATTCGCTATGGTCTCAAGCCCATCATTTTCGTCATCAACAACAACGGCTACGCTATCGAGAGGGCGATCCACGGACCAGAGCAGGGATACAACGACGTGAGCACGATGTGGGACTACCAGAAGATGCTAGAATTCTTCGGCGCCAGGCAAGATCTCGGCATCAAGACAAAGAGTCGAGCGACAAGGACAGTGGAGGAGCTGGAGGCTGTCTTGAATGACGAGGAGTTTGCAAGTGGTGGAGACACTTATCAGGTAGGTCTCATTCCCAGAATCATCTGCCGGACGGTACTAAACTTATCTCGCGCAGCTGTGTGAAATCGTCATGGACACATTTGACTATCCATGGAGACTCAGCGAGCAGATCTCTTTGACCAGAGAGAAGATGAAGCGCGAAAAGGAGCAACAGACCGCATCTACAGGTGAAGAATGAGTCTGCCGACAGGATGCTCAAGACGCAACAACAAATACGAAGGAACGACCAAAATATCAGCTTCGATGGAGAAGTATTCAGACGAGGTGCTCAAAAGAGCGCACCCATTTCTCGGCATTGAGTATGCCTAATTAGATCAATACGAACTCGGTGGGCATCCCAGCTTATCACGGTGGGCATCCCAGCTTCTCTCGGTGGGCATCCCAGCTTCTCTCGGTGGGCATCCCAGCTTCTCTCGGTGAACATATATTGGTGAATTTACTCCGTATCTGAAACGAACGCAGCTGGTCCTCATACTGTGTGAAAGTTACGCGTCAGCAAGCGCGTCTTGCGCCATACTGTACGTCATCGAACGCGATCATGCCAAGACTTGCCTCGTCCATATCCGACGTCTAGGGACGTGGATGGTTTCGGCACCTTTTGACGCTTTCCCATCTCCTACCCGGGTGGGTGCCGGGGTGGTAAGGTCAACCTCCGTCATTGGCGAGGAGTGGATTGTTGCTGTCGCTTGCGATGGTTGTCAAGCGTTCGCCGACCTCGCTCGAGTTGCGGGTGCCTTGGTTCTTTCAGGGAGCTGGCTTTGACCAGCCGTAAGGATCTGACCACGCCCTGTAGAGGGGTTTAACTACGACAAGCCAGCCTCGACGATGCAAGATCCTGCCTTGCAGCTCTACGGACTTCAAACCCTTCAGTCGCTTCTGCAAAGGCTCGGGATGAGAGAGGCGAGTCCGTTCTCGCATCCTATTATCGCCCATAGGGGGACCTGTTTGAAGGTCTCTGATGTCAAGACGCAGAACAAGATATGCCGGACAGGTAACAGTCCCAGGAAATTCCGATAGATTTAATCTCTGGCTCATATCGGTTTGTCCGGAAATCGACACCAGAGAATGCCGCAGCCTGTTTTGTCTCGTGGCGGTTCTCTTCTGTCGAGGCATTGGATTGCGTGACACGTGGAAGGTCAGAGCGACGGGCAATCAGTCAACCGATTGCATACCAGATAACTTATGGCATTAGGATCGGTTGCGGCAGCCCCGGGCATGCGAGAAAGTCCCAGCTACGCCGCAATCAATCAACCAGCGAGTCTATGTTCCAGATGAACATTTCTCATACTGTCCATGCAGAAAAAAACCGAGGGTATAGGCGTGCCTGTCGCGCAGACTATTTTCGATAACAGGTCGATGTTGGGGTCTCCTGTCGCCGACTCCCCGAAGTACGAAGAGACTCATGTTGGCTTCTGAACATTGAGGTGAAGACCGCAATGTACAAAAGCCCCGCTGTGATCCAGCATGCATTTCAAGGCTGTGTACAACAGCGCACGGCAGGGCACTCTTTTCGTCGTACTCACAACGAACGTGACGCTCTTGGTGCCGGTGCTGCTGCTTGCAACGACGCCACTCAAGAGTAGGATTTTTCGTAGACATGGGCCAACAGCACTCTACAACTCACCTAGGTAAAATTAAGGAAATGAAGGTACCATAAGCTGGCAATTGTGGGCCTCCACATAGACTTCTATCTGCAGGGATACAAGCTGAGCTGGACTTAAGGTGAAGCGGGCCTAAATATCGAGATTCAGCCTTGGCACCATGACCTCATTCGCTGTGATGCCTGTGGTGGCATAGCGCGACAGCAGTGTTCACCGACCATTTACTCTTTGTTAGCCTCACCATACTCCTGTTATCTTCTGATATTCCTCCGAACGACATTCTTTCCGGCCGACGATGGAGGAGATCGCCCCAGAGTATGATGTTATCGTCCTAGGCACAGGTATACCCTTCAGCTAGCCACTTTACCCCGCCATCATCGTTGACTGACACTCAGCCGGCAGGCTTAACGGAATGTGTGCTCTCCGGGTAGGACTCGATTGCGTCCCAAGATCCGCCCTCTCTTGCTGACACCACTACAGAGTGCTCTCCGTGAAGGGCAAGAAGGTCCTCCACATCGACCGCAACGATCACTACGGCGGGTATGGATCGTGCGCACCTCGAGGTCAACTAACAAGGGCTGACGACGATGTGCAGGGAAGCCGCATCTGTAAACATTGAGGCTGTAAGAACGGTGTCGTCACAAGACCATGGCTTCGTCTGACATCGTCCGCGCAGCTGTTCAAGAAATATGGCAACTACAACAAAGGTGAAGAGCCCTGGAAGAAGTACGGCCGCGTCAACGACTGGAACATCGACCTCGTTCCCAAGCTTCTGATGGCCAATGGCGAACTCACAAACATCCTGGTCTCGACCGATGTCACGCGATACCTCGAGTTTAAACAAATTGCAGGCAGCTTCGTACAGCAAGGCTCGGGGCCCCGAGCCACCGTCGCCAAAGTCCCCTCCACCGCATCTGAAGCACTGAGCTCGCCCTTGATGGGCCTATTCGAGAAGAGAAGAGCAAAGAAATTCCTAGAATGGGTGGGTGCCTTCGAAGAAAGCAACCCAGCAACACATAATGGTGCGGACACCGAGATGAAGGAAAACAAACGAAAGAGGGCTAACACTTGCAGGATTGAACCTCAACCAATGCACCATGAAAGAAGTCTACGACAAATTTGGGCTGGAAGCCACAACGCGAGACTTCATCGGCCACTCAATGGCTCTGTACTCAACCGACGACTACATCAATTCCCCTGGTCAAGCCAAAGAAACCGTCGAGCGGATTCGGTTGTACGCCAACTCGATGGCGCGCTATGGCAAATCTCCCTACATTTACCCGTTATACGGGCTCGGAGAACTCCCCCAGGGCTTTGCTCGTCTCTCCGCTATCTACGGCGGGACATACATGCTCAACACCTCGGTCGACGAGTTCCTCTACGACGGGTCCAAAATCTCAGGCATAAAAGCCACGATGCGCGATCGCGGGGACGAGAACGAAGAAGGAATGAAGTTCACCACGAAGACGAAGATGATGCTCGGTGACCCATCTTACTTCCCCGGCAAGGTGCAAGTAGTGGGGCATCTCCTGAAGGCGATTTGTATCTTGAACCACCCACTCGAGAAGACCGGCGATGCCGATTCTCTCCAACTTATCATTCCGCAATCCCAAGTCGGCCGCAAACACGACATTTACATCGCCATGGTGTCCGCCGCCCACAACGTCTGCCCCAAGGGCTACTACATCGCCATTGTCAGCACCATCGCCGAAACTTCCGCTAACCATCACCTCGAACTCCAGCCCGGCCTCGAAAGACTGGGCAGGATCGAAGAGAAATTCATGGGTCCTCCGATTCCGTTGTACCAGCCGCTCGAGTCTGGTCTCAATGATCAGATCTTCATTTCCAACTCCTTTGATGCAAGTAGCCACTTCGAGACAGTCACGGAGAATGTGCGCGATTTGTATAGACGGGCCATGGGCGAGGAGTTGAAGGTCGAGGGACTGAGGGAGGGACAGACCCTGGCGGAGGAGTGAACAGTCCGCTCGGCTTCGGTGCTAAGACATGCCGTTTGGTTAGGTGTCGAGTGCGATGTTCCGCTCCGAGGAACGTGATCCCTCAGGTTCGATCAGCAAGAAAGCCATACCAGGGCATACGCGGAGCGCAGAAAGTATCAGGATCGGATACAATAGGGTAGGATATCGAGAACCGGATTTCCAGATTCAAAGTCACGACCTCGGAGAGAGGGCGCCCGCATGCGTCGAGGTGTGTATGAGAGTACGTGTATAGGCGTTGTGGTAGCGATAACGACAGCGCGAGCAAGAGACAGTAATACGATACTGAATACGCACTGGAGCGGGCCTGTCGAAGGTGCAGGATTTCCTGTACAGTGTACTCGCATACTGTATGGTAGTGTGACACGTGGCATGTGGCTTTAGGGTTCAATCTCCGTTGCTCCTCACCGCCGGTGCCCGCATACTCTCCGGTAGGAGGTGTCGCTAAACTGTGTACACAGTACGGAGTAAGTCAGACCACCGTGTAATGCAACAACCGCGTACTGCAACAGCCCCGCATTTACACGTCATATATGATCGCCGTCGTAACTATTTAAAGATCGGCGCCAGCGACGTTGTAAATATGAAAGACGTTGCAGAGGCTTGTGAACTCGGTCTGTTGGCACCTCTCAGAGGTCAAACGGGCCTCTTTATCTCTATCGATCCTCTCCCACTCCTCTTGGCGCGCGATGGCACGGTCTTGCGCCTCTTTTATCTCAACGATTGAAGCAAAGGACTTGTTCGAGTCGATGTTAACTCGTGCACGCTTAGTGGTGGTCTTTTAAGCAACTTAAACCGATAACTGCTGAATTTAGAGGGTCTATTACGCTGATTATAATAAAAGCTAGTTGATCTTATTGGCAGCCTTACGCATAAATAACCGAGTGCCTTTTTAAGCTGCAATATCCGGGATAAGGCTGATCGCCTGTGCCTATAAATGACGCCCGTTACGCGGCGTTACTATATAAACCTCTCTAGATAGTTTACGCTTATAAGATCGTAGTGTTTATAGTGCTGTAGTAAGGGTTTTAGGGGTTTGCACTAGCTGCGATAATTAAAGGACTTTACGGGGGTTATATGGGTATAGACTAGTGCCTTTCCATCTACCTTTTATATATTAAGGCGTCAGAGTCATCGCTCTAGCTATCTTATAAAATTTAATAAACTCGAGGCGTTATACGGGTGTAGTTTCGACGAATCTTAAGATATTAGTAATGCTTTTACGATAGTTGCTTTTAAGGACTGAAAAAACACTAATATTAAGAGGTTAAAGGACGTGCGATGAGTGTGAAGGCATATAAAGCAGCTAAACATTATAAGTAAAGCACTTGAATATAAACGCAATAGTAACGTGAGAGTTATAGTTATCGTAGAGGAGTAATTAGGGTGCTATGCTATTTGCGGTTTAAGGGAGGAAGATCTCTTATAACCAGCTTAACCCGACTATATTTATTATAAAGGCGTTCTCAGTATACTTATAGTGCTAATTCGAGGGTGAGTTATACGGGAACTATATTAACTAGAGGTCTTTACCTTTAAAAAGCACCAGCGGATCGATAAAACGACCCTCCGCCGAGCAGGCCTCGATTATAGTGACCTAGTTACGATTTTCAGGCGTCTTACGATATAAACGTCTCTTATTAGTTGCACTAATAACTCTTTAGTTAGTATAGACCCCTATAGCTAGTCCGGATTCATCGAAGTTCTATATATTAGCTGGTTTAATCTAATGACGGGTAATAATAGCGCGGAAGAGGGTAAAGAAGGTCTAAAGGGTATCTAGACTAGTATTTTCAACGCGCAGGTACTCGATCTTCCTTTCTACCTTTAATTTTATCTCTAAATGACGATTAAGAAAGCGTATTAACCAGTTTATACCGACTAAAGTTAGGCTATCCGAGGTCTTTAAGATAAGGCTAGTAAACTCGCGTACTTAAGAGAAGGTTAGGGGGGCGCCAGCGTAGTTAAGATTAATAATCCATCGAATAAGAAGATCCTCTTATATAGAGGACAGCAGCTATTGGTCTTCTCTTACTGATTATCGAGTTTAGCCTCCTTTCAGTCGACGACTCATGGTACTTAAGTTAACGCGGTATGCTGTCGCTGCAGATCGAATCGAGGGGTAATCGCCGCGTTCGAAGGCCCGGATTGCCTCCTGGAGGGTTTCTTCGGCATAGGAGGGCATGCTGACTAAGTATGAACAAGATAAGAGAGGTTTGTGGTGTGCTGGTGTGATATGAAAGAGAGAGGGTTGTTAAGAACGCGATTTGACGCGTAAATGCGAGGCTGTTGCAGTACGCGGTTGTTGCATTACACGGTGGTCTGACTTAGGTGTGATCGAGCTCGACAGCGCCGAGGACCCCACCTTGCCAAGCCTATGCCAAGGAGACATCGTCGGCGCAGCAATTGGTTGGTCTCAAACACGAGCGATGCTTGCTCCTCTCAAGCTAAGTCGGCGTCTATTGGCTTTGAACTCAATAACCCTGCGTAATAGAATGGCCTCCCATTTTGCGGGGAAACGGAGTACAGATGTTGCATCCATGGCCCACCCAAGTGTCCCGGATTTCAGATGGCAGGCGTTGTGTACAAGCGCAATCGTGTGCAATGTCACTATCGCCACTCTGAGTATCAGGACTCACCAGCCCATCTGCCCACCGTGTCCAATTAGAGTCAGATCTTGACACATGGCCCCGTGTCGCTTCATGCTGTTGTGGGTGACAAGGGCATACACCCTCGCCAAACTACTGCAAGCCAGCCATCATGCTGTGCCACCTGCTACTTGATCTGTTGGCATGCGATGTTCACGCCTTCCTATCAGAAAATGACGATCTGGGAACTGCCTGCAAATAAATGCAACCCTCCCCCCTCCACGTTTGACCCTTGAAATCTGCCAGCTTTCTGGCACTCTCTCTCGAACTGCGCCATACTACTTCTCTTCGTCCTCGAACATGGCAGAGCATGGAGAGAAAGATGCTGTCACTGCTAACGAGACCACGAGGCATGGCGTCGACCCGGAGAGGCTCAATGATCCGAAGATGCAGAAACTGGCAGGTGAAATCACCTACGAGGATGAGATCGACCCCGTGGAGCGACAACACAATCCGCTTGCCCAGAAGCTGCGTTCGCGACACATGCAGATGATTGCAATTGGTATACCCATCCTCGCCATGCTCTGAAGGACGCTGTTTTGACAGATGTTAACAGGCGGTTCGATCGGAGCTGGTCTTTTTGTCGGCTCGGGTGGTGCTTTGCGAACAGGTGGCCCTGGCAGTGTTCTTCTCGGCTTCATCATCATCGGCTTCATGTTGCTCTGCACGATGCAAGCGCTGGGTGAATTGGCTGGTGAGTCTCCCACAGAGGCGGGCCCGCTTCTGGCACACTGTTTACAGGAGCACGCTGCCCTCCACAGATTTTAATGCTCGGTTCGCTAACACATCGACAGTCCTGTACCCGGTGAATGGCGGTTTCTACACATACATTACCCGCTTTGTCGACCCGTCACTCGGTTTCGCGGTCGGATGGGTAGGTGTACCCATGTCTCTGCAACAGTGTCGTTTGTACTCCGGCTCAAGGGTTTCCCCTTTTTGGTGTATTGCTTGGATGCTGACGCTCGTTGCTAGGACTATGCCATTGGGTGGCTAACCGTTCTGCCCTTCGAACTCACCGCGGCTTCGATCACGATCCAATATTGGCGCGACGACATCCATGTCTCTGTCTGGATTACTGTGTTCCTGGTCTTTCTGATCCTGGTCCAAGTCTTCGGCGTTCTTGGGTATGGCGAAGTCGAGTTTGCGCTGTCAATGATCAAGATCATTGCTTGTATCGGCTTCATCATCTTCGGCATCGTTGTTGACTGTGGTGGCGTACCTTCTGACAATCGTGGCTATATCGGTGCGCGTTACTGGCATAATCCAGGCGCATTTCAGAATGGATTCAAGGGCTTCTGCACGTAAGTCTCTCCTCGAGTCCGCAACATTCATTCTGACCAAGCCAGTGTTTTCGTGACAGCAGCCTTCGCATTTGGTGGAACGGAGCTGGTCGGACTTGCGGCCGCCGAAGCAGCGGACCCTCACCGCTCCCTTCCCAAGGCTACCCGACAGGTCTTCTGGCGAATCGCAACATTCTACGTCCTCTCGCTGTTCATCGTCGGCCTGATTGTCCCCTCGGATAGCCCTGATCTCCTTGGTGCTAGTGGAGCCAACACCAAGGCATCCCCTTTTGTGCTGGCCATCAAATATGCCGGTGTCAAGGGCCTGCCTTCCGTCTTCAACGCCGTCATCACCATCTCGGTAATCAGTGTCGCGAACAGCTGCACCTACGGCTCTTCTCGCACCATGCAGGCGCTCGCGGCACGAGGCATGGGCCCCAGATTTCTGATGTACGTCGACAGGCAGGGTCGACCTGTGTGGTGCATCGTCGTGCAGCTCCTGTTCGGCTGCCTCGCTTACATTGGGGAGGCCAATGCGTCGGGCACCATTTTCACCTGGCTGCTCTCGCTCTCCGGCTTGAGTTTCTTCTTCCTCTGGTTCAGCATCAATCTCTCACATATCCGTAAGTTGCTGCGCGAGACCTATATCAAACTGACGCTATACTCATAAATCCCACTAGGTTTCCGCCACGGCTGGTACCACCACGGCTTCACCAAAGAGCAGCTGCCCTACCAAGCCGCGTTCGGCATTTGGGGCTCTTACATCGGCGTCTTCCTGTGTGCGATTGCGATCATCGCAACCTTCTACACCTCGTTGTTCCCGCTGGGCGGCAGTCCTGATCCGGAGATCTTTTTCGAGAACTTCCTTGCCGCGCCGATCGTCATTGCCTTGTACCTTGGCTGGAAGGTCTTCTCGCGGGATTGGAAGCTGTTCATCCGTTCGAGCGAGATGAATGTCACGACTGGTATCAGACGGGGTAGTCTCGAATTTGCGACACAAAGCGGGCGAGTACCTGGGTGGAAGAAGGCGCTCAGGGCGTTCATCTAGGTAAACAAGGTCTGTGAGTGTCACGGAGGGGGTAGCTTCTTCGTCTTGGCGTGGATCATTATTTATTTGAAAACGTCGGTTGAAGAGTAACCAGCTCAGACCTACTTGTATTTCCCTGTGCCAGCAGGCATAAGGACCAGAGTGTTGTCCGCTAATACTTGCCTATCCTTAATTGCTGGTGAAAGTTCCCCTCGCGTCTCATCAAATCCGAGGCGTAACGGTTAATCTTGCCGTTCTCGTAATTCTCACATGTCGCTGTTCGGGGGGGGATGGTCGTCACCGGCTCTTCCTCTACGATTGACCAGATCGTGGTGGTTCCCATCGCGCTGAAGTACTGGTGGGGACGTTGATCGACTCATGCCAGGTTTGTAGAGTAGGGACGGGTGGTCACTGTCTTCATATGCCCGTGCCAAGTGAGAGGGATGGTGAAGCATGTTCATGTTGCCGAAAGACTTACTTCCAATGCTTAGAGAAGATAGAAGGAGTTGTTATCTGGGGTCGGTTCGGGACTGCGTTGAAGGGACCAGAAGGAGGCTCGAGATCTCGAGAATGCCGGGTTTGAAAACAGTCTCCTGGGGTGTTGCCAGCGAGAGTGAGATGGGCCTGGCTCCCAGAGATCGACTCGCGAGTCTTTTCGAAATCGTGAAGACGGTGGCTAGGTCGGTGCGCTGACGACTCGTCAAGATACGAACCGTCTCGTTCAGCGGGGACGGTCTCCAACACTGCGACGGGCAAAGGGATCGAACAGCAGTGCGGCGTTTCAGGTAGTTGTTGCAGCGACATGTCGTCCCCAGGGGCCCCTTCAATGCCATGCGAAAGTGAAGTTCACATGTGACTCCTCCAATCACGACCCACCCTGCCACCATTCATCACATATATTTTGAACTTGTCAAAATCCTGGCAACAATTCCTCACTGGCATCCGGTCAAACTAGCACCGGGCTCGAAGGCGTGTCTGGGACGAATTGCGACAACCACCGACCCCCGACATCGACTTCGAATCCCGCTCCCGACTCGAACGACTCGACCTTCCGACCGGAATCGCACAACGTCCGAATACCGCCCGATATCCCTAAATCCCGCCCCCCCCCCCTCCCTGGCTGCATACTTGACATGAGTTCAAATCGGTGTTCATAGGGACACGAGATGGGAGTAGACCGGTGGCCACCGGATATAGCCCGATCAAATGACTGTTGCCATAGCCTCCTGTTCGAACGGGGGTTGTGGTACAGTTTTTGTTTTTGTTCCTTTCGCTGAGCGAGGCTGTTGTCTGCTGTTAGCAGTGAATTCTGGCTAGACTCGACATAGGGTCTTGCGTTCGAATAGAGGGGTGGTACAATTTTTGCTTTTGTTCCTTCCGCTGAGCAGGTCTGATGCTTGGTGTTAGCAGTGAGCAGTGAGTTCCGGCCTAACGACAGAACTTCACGGACGTCAAGCGAAGTCTGGCAGTACGTTTTTTTCCACATGGGCCGGATAACAAACTCCTGTTTGAGTGTAGGTTCTTGATCCTCCTGGTGATACACGGTGATACAGTCTGACATCTCGACCTGGTCACGAGGGTTTATGGTGGGTCGCCAGCTCCTCTTTCACGATCTCAGCGAGGACTTTACCCTCATATAGCTTGCCGTCCAATTCACCACCTTGTTTCAACAGCTCCTTCATCACAGCACCCTGCTTCAACTCTCCTCCGTGGGACGACAGGGCTTCAATCTTGGATCTCACAATATCCCGTAAGTCCTGTGGCTCTACCATCTTCACACTCCCGACAAGCTGTTCGATGACCTCTATCTCTTTGTCCTGCTTCTCGGCCAGATCTGCCCTGTTCGCGGCCTCGGCCTCCTTCTTCGCGTTCTCCGAGGCGGCCTTCCTTTTTCGGAGTAATGCGAGGACTTGCATGTCTGTCTTTACCGGCGCGGAGGATGAGGCGGCTTGATTGATCTCCGAGATGGTGCCGCGGAGGACGGTTAACCTTACCTTTTCGTTCAGCACACGTTGATCCTAGGACGCGGACGCGTACAGGGCAGGAGCTTGCAGGTGCTTACCTTGCTGTGTCTTTTGCACGCATGGCGGCTTTCAAGTCATTCTTGATTTTGGACAGGAGAGGTGAAGCTGTAGCTTCCGATGCGGTCGACGTTGAAGACCATCTTGCGCTGGAAGCGGCGGCCCTGCGGATGCAGCTAGAGCATGCTGTCCGAGCTGATACAAAGAGCGGCGCTGTAGCGCGAGTTGCTGCCATGTCGATATGACCCTACCCAGATAGCAGATATTCACGGACGTGATCACGAAGCAAATCCCGAGAAATTGTTGACTGCGAGTCATTGTACCTGACACTAGTCCTAATCTGGATTTAGGCATTACTCTGCCTCGTTGACCAGGCGCGTTTTGCGCTGCAATGTTGCTCTACAAAACACCAGCGACAGTCGTTGCAAGGGCAGGAGTTTGGTGGGATTTGGGCCGAGAACTTTCACCTTCTTCACATCTACAGGGCTGATTGCTTGCCATCCTGTACCAACAGTTACAGCTTCTCGTCGCGCCTTCCCGCGGGCGCTGCCGCGTTAATGCCTGCTCAAATTAATTAAGTCTCCAGCCGCTCACAACCTCTCCTCCGCCAAACATGGGCTCGGTAGTCCAGCAGACGCCAGTGCGGCCTGTACCAGGAATATGGCCTCAGACTCCAGCGCCGCGCCCTTCACTGACGACCGCCTCGTCCTTCCAGACACCTCCTCGGCAGTCGCTCGTGCCTTCTCAATCCTCCACCAGCCTCGTCACCACGACTCCCGCAGGAACTGTGGCTCAGCCATCAATACGACCGCCAGAAGCCCTCGAACCCGCCGAACGAGCTGCACGCGCCATCAATGAGTCCTTGTCGCAGGAATCGCGGTTCCCAGAGGTCGACAATTACCTCACCCAAGGCTACTCCGCGGACTATGAAGTCCAATCCTCCACGACATGGGCACCGTTCCAGAAGGCTGGCACATACAGAATCCCAGACGAGATATTTGAGCAATACAACAATGCGCAGCTGTCCACGAGCATGGGTCTGTTCGCTGAATTGAGGATGGCATGGACAACGATTGACAATGCCCTGTACATCTGGGATTACACTGTATCGAAGCCGGATCTCCTGGGTTTCGAAGGGCAGCCGCACAGTATCCTCTCTGTCAAGCTGGCAAAGCCTCGTGCCGGCGTCTTCCTACCACACATCACCAACATCATCGCCATTGCAACAACTGCGGATGTCTTCTTGTTGGGGCTGGGAAAGGATCCGACTGGCGGCGCATCTGCTGGTCTCTCTCTGTTCCAGACGGGCATGTCGGTCTCGGTCAAAGGCCTTGACGTCAGCGTTATCGCGGCCTCTGAAAAGACGGGAAGGATATTCTTTGGTGGACGGACGGACAATGATATCTACGAGCTGACATATCAGCAAGAAGATCGGTGGTTTGCAAGCAAATGTTCCAAGATCTGCCACACAAGTGGTGCCACCAAATCCTTGACCTGGACGTTCAGCAGCTTCAGTGGCGGTCAGAAAGAATCTGTGAAGCAAATTGTGGTCGACGACAGCAGGGACCTGCTGTATACACTCTCTTCCGCCTCCAATATCCGCGTCTTCCACATCAAACCTGAAGGTGGTTTACCGCTACTGGTCACCAAACCTGCTGCTGAAATCTACGACAACATCGGCCACATCATCAACCAGAGTGAGACACTGAACAACCGAGCCACGATCGTGTCGATATCACCCATCCCAGCTTCTGAAGCTTCGAGGTATCATCTTGTGGCTACCACGGTGACCGGCTATCGCATCTATCTAAGTGCCAAGAGCGCCACAAGTTACAGTTACGGCGCGCCCGCTCGATCTGGTGCTCCGATCAGTGTGCAAGCACAGCATGTCAAGGTTCCACCCATGTCGCAGAATACTGGAGTCGGGGTTGGAGGGACGGTAAACGTCCATCAACCCATCAGGACATTGACGTATACTGGTCTTGCCGCGCGATTTCCGCCTGGGTACTTCTTTTGCTTCGTGGCTAGTCGGCAGGATTCGCCTTCTGATAACTTGTTCATCTCTGCTCCGGATGCAGGCAGGCTGCTAAGAAGCTCTGAGCCTGGCCAACCAAGTCGGACCTCTGAGTCTGCCATGTGGCTCGAGCTCCGTAGCCGGGCAGAAGATGTAGGTCTGGTCACACCATACTCTGCCCCGATTTCGAACCCAGTTGGATTTGGCAACGACCTAGCGGTGCAGTTCGACAAGCCGGTTCCAGAAATTGCGATATTGACAAACACAGGCATTCATGTTATCAGAAGAAGGCGCTTAGTCGATGTCTTTGCGTCTTTGACTCGCATAGGTGGTGGCCCAGAGGGGTTCCAGCACGAAATCACCAACTTCATCCGAACGTACGGGAGAACTGAGACCCTGGCGACAGCACTTGCGGTGGCTTGCGGCCAAGGAATGGAAGACACGGGCAATGCTCAAATGCTCCGGATTAATGATCCAGAAGTCCTTGAACTTGCTCGCAAGGCCTTCATTGAGCACGGCGGAAAACCGAGCATAAACCAGAACTCCATCACTGACAGATCCATGCCTCTCATTGACGCCGTACGTCCTTCGCCTCGTCATGCAGCTATCGCTCTGTACCTGTCACGCATATTAAGATCGACGTGGAAGAACGCGATCGCTTCAGAAGTGACTACCCCGGCAGGATACTCTATAGCGCCTGCGGTGCCCCTGGAAAAATTGAGAGATGTCCAGGAAGCACTGTCTGCTCTCCAGCGATTCTTCCAGACAAACAAAAGCTTCATCAAGGGCCTCAGCGGGCCCGATGACCTCAACAGCACAAGCACGAAAGATGACGAGATCGCTTTGAAAGGCGAGCACCGTGCCTTGCATGCCATGGTCAAATTCACATCTGACACGATCGAAGGCATCTCATTCGTTCTTGTCCTGTTTGAAGAGAGAGTGGCCGAGATAGTGCCTTTGCTTCCTGAAGCTTCCAGGCCTGAAATGCTGAAGTTGACTTTCGAGGAACTCTTCACCACAAAGAAGGGCTACGAACTTGCAAAAGAACTAGTAAAGGCTATTGTCAATCGAAATATAGCCAAGGGTTCGAATGTCGAGACCGTGGCTGAAGCTCTCCGCAGAAAATGTGGAAGCTTCTGCAGCTCGGACGATGTTGTGATTTTCAAGGCACAAGAGCAGCTGAGACGAGCTACAGAGGCCGAGATGAATTCAGAGGTACAACGAAACCTCCTCAACGAAAGCCTGAAGCTCTTCGAGCAAGTGGCACATTCTCTACCTTATGACTATCTGGAATCCGCTGCGAAACAATACACCGCTCTGCAGTTCTATGCTGGGGCAATACAACTTGTGCTCCGGGTCGCACATGAGAAAGACAAGGCCAATGAAGCCCTGTCCTGGATGGCTGAAGGTCGACCAGACGCAGACGCGCGGAAAGCCAAGTTCGACCTCAGAAGCCAATGCTATGATCTTGTTCATGCTGTGATCGCGGCCGTCGATCAGAATGCGGAGCAGGGTCCTGGCTTCGTCGACGGCCAGCCCACAATATCCGCCACAAGGAGAAATGAGGCATACGATGTGATCAACCGTTCGAAGGATGAGGCATTCTTGACGAATCTCTACGATTGGTATCTGCAGCAAAAGTGGTACGATCGCCTTCTCGCAACAGAATCTCCGTTCATTGTCACATATCTCCAACGGAGGTCATCGGAAGATATCCTCTATGCGGATCTGCTGTGGAAATACTATGGTCAGGCCAACCAATTCTCCGAGGCGGCAAAAATTCAACTGCAGCTGGCGAGAAGTTCGTTTCCGATTTCTCTGGAGAAGCGGATTGAATACCTCAGCAGAGCGAGGGCGAATGCGTCGACATATACGCCTGGGGGCAACCGCAAGATGAAGCAACAACTGTTGCAAGAAATCTCCGAGCTACTAGAGATTGCAACCATCCAAGACGAAATCCTTCAACGCCTACAGGATGATGCTCGACTCGGAGACGACCGAAGACAAGAAGTCCTGGACCAGGTGAATGGCCAGATCCTGGACATCACTACCTTGTACAACAACTATGCCGATAACGCCGGCTATTATGACCTTTGCCTCCTCATCTACCAAACCGCCGATCATCGTGACCCAGCACAGATCAAGCAAACATGGCAACAGCTCCTTCAGTCGGTGCACGACAAGACCGAACAAGATCAGACCTGCTTACCTTTTGAGGCCATTGCCGAGGAAGTGAGAAGTCTAGGAAGCAAGTTGCGTGTGTCTGAAACGACCTTCCCCGTGCACACACTACTGCCGATCCTAGAGAAATACTCATTCGAACATCAACGCAATGTCGCACCGCCGCACTGGGTTGTCGATATTTTCCTGTCGCTTGAAGTCCCCTGCGAACGGCTCTTCGAGGTTCTGGAGATGAGGTTCTTCTCGGGCGAAGCGCCCTTTGTGGGCTCGAGTCGCAAATACATTGCCAGCGACCTCGCATACGTGGTCGGCAAGTGGTTTCATGAGTCGACGAGAGCAGGCACCGTACTCTTTGGTAGCGAGGCCTCAGCAAGCAGGGTGCAGGAGACAATGGAAGCCATGTTGCAGCAGGGACATGCTGCAGGATTGGATGAGGAGACGACGAGGTTGGCCCGGGAGGTGGTTCAGAGGTTTGCACAGTTCCTCGGGTGAGAAGGGAGAACATGGCTTTGTACGAAGACGCGATTGACCTCCGTGAAGCAACCGGCATATTGGATGTAGCACAAAAAGCGGCCGAACAATCTCAATGAATCGTGAAAAATCGTCAGTTAATTAGTGCCCATATGCTATTGTTCCATTCCTGTAATTAATAGACTGCCGCTGCAAGCGAGGCTCGTGTGACGAGGCAGTCATATGGGACTCAAGCATACTGTATATATCAACATCTCCCTCGCCTCCCGTGGCCATAACAATCCCCGGCCTTGCGCCTCGCGGGAACAATCCTGATAGACCTGTTTAAAACAAGTCTCTTCGAGATGGTCACGTCTCTGGATATGTTCTCCGTAGGAGGCCTGAAACATCCCTAATCAGGCAAAGGCTGCTTGCTCCTTTGCTGCGCCAACTACATCCTAGACCCTACCAGCTCCAGCTTCCAGCATCGTGTCTCTTTCCGACTTTTCTTCGGAGCATGTCCGTCGTGACCCTGCCTGCTGAGCATCTTCTTTGATGCCCCGGGATTTTGAGGACATCCTTTCTCTGCTCGAACGCGCGCCTGCTGTACACCTACTTTCGTCCGCCCTTGACTTCGAACTTCTCCCTTTTTTGGCGGGACGCGCGACAACGCCGACTTGCTACCTGTGCTCAGCTTCCACGCCCAAGCTACAGTAGTCTACAGGCCAAAGGTAGAGAGGGTCGAGTCCCTAGACACCAGCAAGCCGAGTCAACGTGGCTACAGTACCAGGTACGCAGTAGAAGGGCGTGGGAATACGACTACATCACCGCGAGTCAAGCACAACACATCTCAACTCAACTCAGCTCACTCAACTCGGCTTTACACGGCACAAAAGACAACACAGACACCTCGTAATGGCGACTTTTAAAACGCCACGCCGGCCCCTGACCGCGAGGAAGCTGGATATCTTGTACCTCGTGTTCTTTGTCGTGCATGTGCCGATCATGTTTTGTGCGTAAGATGAGATGGTTTCTATTTTCTGTTTTGCGTATGTGTTCCTTCTCAGACGGTTCTCCATCTTCTGCTTGCGCTTGTATCTCTTCCAAGATTGGGATCCAACCTTGGGTCCTATTCTACCGAGATGGTTCTCTACATGCTCGCCTTTATATCCTTTCTGAGATCGGGTTCGGGGGATTGGGTCCTATGATGGCGCGCTGGTATACTACTTGCTGGCTGGTACTTTGTGTCTGTTTGCGTGGAAGCCCTTGGGTACAGGGTGCAGTACTGCAGGGATCATGCCAGAGGTGCGCTTGTCATCGAAAAAGAGTCGACAGAGGAGATCTGGAGAGGACCTCTGGATGATGTCCAGCATGAGCTGAGAAGTTCAGGAGACTGAAAACGGATCTGGCGTTCAGTCGCGCCACATACTGGCTGTTATTGTCTCTTCTCTTCCTTTACCTCTCTCCCTGATCTCTCCCAACTCGGGCCTAGCTTCACATCGATGCGCGCCCACCGCTGACTGTCCTTTAGTGATCGACCTCTCTTCCATCCTCCCTTCCTTCCTGGTCACACCGATCTCTCGCACGTTAGTCTCCTACCACCTCGAACGGTTTCAAGATCAATTCTTCACGTCCCCGCCAGCCTGGTTCACGGTCTACATGTGGCTTGAGCTGGTGTATCATGTACCTGTTAGTTTGTGGTTAGGGTGGGGCTTGTGGAATGGTGAGTCCGATACAGTACCAAGGCTGGATCACAAGCGCCTCCAATACAGTCTCTTGCAAAGCACTGCACCATGCTAATATCTCCTCGCTACGTCTGCGCAGACCATCCCCTCGTCCCGCTCAATCTCCTCGTCTTCGCGCTAGAAGTCGCCATCACGACGCTCACGTGCCTCGCGGACATTTCTTCGTGGACGACGTACACTTCGGCGCAGAAGAATGATTTGTACGGGCTTTATGTGCCGTATCTGATACTCGGTGAGTCTCAAGTAACTGCGTCTATGAAGGATTGGGTGCCTTCGTGCCGGCTGGCGGCTTGAGTGGTGGCTGACTTTGACTCACCCCTACTGTAGCCTGCCTCATGGGCATCGACGCGTTCATGCGAGTCAGACGCCAGGTTCTTCACGGGCTCATCCAATCAAAGGGCAAGGCGGCGTGACTTGCGCGCAAGTGATGCTGTTGTAACCCACTTCGTCGAGAGTCGAGACTGCCACTTCAGGAGCAGAGAGCTTACCGGGCTGTGTTAGCGAAGCACGCAGCGGCGTGAAGAGGGGGTGTAGGAACACAATAGCTGGATGTTGTGCTTCGATGGGCTCCCCCTTCTCTCCCCTTCCAGGTGAACTATCATCTACATGTGGCGGGTCATCTGGTCGTGATGCATCTGGTTCCTGTCTCTGAGGTGGCAATAACAATCAGGCAAGGTCTGGTAGGAGGTGGGCGAAGAGGCCGAAGAGGAAGGTGAAAGCCACCTGTAAGTTTTCCGAAACCATGTATGGATTCAATCAAGAGGGACTCTGCTCTCGGCAATCCGTCTACTGTATCGTAGCGAAGCAAAGCGAGGGTATCGAGTTGCAGAACCGTGCCTCGTGCCTTGACGTTAGCTGCCCTCAGCCAACTACCTGAAACCATGCTCTCTGCCAACTGGGATCGATTTTTCTCATGTGCACCTCTCATCAACGCTCAATTATGCATCCACGAAAGAGGATCTAACCGCGCTGTCCGATGTCCTTTTCTTTATTGTTCCTCAACCCAACTCCGTCATAGCTATCCGAGCAAGTCGCCCGCAAATCAATCTCGATGGCAGTAATGACATTCGTCGAGTTACCCGCGACAGTTGAGTCCGGCTCCCTAGAGCCTCATGAATGTTCAAAAACTTGAGTGGGTTTGTGCGAAGCATGCAAAACATGTTATATAAATCGAACCGTACCCAGAGAACCCATGATAGTGCTGCAATGATAGGTCATACCTGTTCAGAGAGGCTTCCACAAGATTTAGCCCCACCTGGATCTGTGGCACAGAAAGCCGCCTTGGAGGACGGAGGCATCGGTAATACGAACTCTTAACAAGTGAGCTCGTGTCGATGCGACTGCCGGCCAAGCTGCAGGTCGTCAGTGGCGGCGGGCGGCGTGAAGACCACGGCGTCATGACCGACTCGTTCTTTTCCCCGCAACACAATTACATTCGATCGCTGTGAATCCGCCAATCAGCCGCCGGCTAGATGGATCACTCCCAGGTCCAGACAAGAAAGTCCCTGCTCAGACATACCGATTTGCAGAGCTTCGCGCCAGCATTTATACTTCTCTTTGGCCTTCTTGTTGTCCTCGCCTTTGGCATCGTCTTCTTCTCGCCTACCCCACGCGCTGAGGTGCCCCAACGACCTGACCCCGACGTGGAACGACAGCCTCTGCTCGCCGACCGGACCAATTCAACATGAACCACGACGAAGGTGAAAGGCCCGATGTTGGCACAATAACTGGCGATGAAGTGGCAAAGCACAATTCGCGAGATTCGTGTTGGGTCATTGTACACGGCAAAGCATACGATGTGACAGAATTCCTGCCAGGTTTGCATTGACCTTCCACTTTCTCCATCGAAGCTTACTGACGTCGGTCTAGAGCACCCCGGTGGTCCCAAGATCATCCTGAAGTATGCGGGCAAAGATGCTACTGAGGAGTTCGATCCCATTCACCCCCCAGATACTTTGGACAAGTATCTGCCGAAGGAGAAACATCTGGGGGCTGTGAACATGGAGACGGTTCAGCAAGAAGAGAAGGAAGAGAGCCCGGAAGAGCAGGCAAGGCAGGAGCGCATCAAGAATATGCCACCTCTGGAAGCATGCTACAACTTGATGGATTTCGAAAGTGTCGCCAGACATGTCATGAAGAAGCCCGCGTGGGCGTATTACAGCTCTGGTGCCGATGACGAAATCACCATGAGAGAAAACCATTCGGCCTTCCACAAGATCTGGTTCAGGCCAAGGGTACTCGTTGATGTTGAGAACGTAGACATCAGCACAACCATGCTCGGCACGAGGTGTGACATCCCCTTCTATGTCACAGCCACCGCTCTGGGCAAACTGGGAAACCCAGAGGGTGAGGTCGTTCTCACGAGAGGTGCAAGGAAGCACAATGTCATCCAGATGATTCCGACTCTGGCCTCGTGCAGCTTTGACGAGATCTGCGATGCCAAGGAAGGCGACCAATGTCAATGGCTGCAACTATACGTCAACAAAGACCGAGCGATCACGGAAAAGATTGTCAAACATGCCGAGGCTCGAGGCTGCAAAGGCCTTTTCATCACCGTCGATGCTCCCCAGCTCGGACGAAGAGAAAAGGATATGCGTAGCAAGTTTGACGACACCGGCTCCAACGTCCAGAACACGAGTGGGGAGAACGTTGACCGATCGCAAGGTGCGGCCCGAGCTATTTCCAGCTTCATCGACCCCAGCCTCAGCTGGAAAGATATCCCCTGGTTCTTGAGCATCACCAAGATGCCCATTATCCTCAAGGGTGTCCAACGGGTAGAGGACGTCCTCAAAGCCATCGAGGCTGGCGTGCACGGCGTTGTGCTTTCCAATCATGGCGGTCGCCAACTGGATTTTGCCCGCTCTGGCATCGAGGTTCTTTCCGAGGTCATGCCTGTTCTCCGTGAGCGAGGCTTGCAGGACAAGATCGAGATCTTCATCGACGGAGGTGTCCGCCGTGCAACGGACATCATCAAGGCGTTGTGTCTCGGTGCCAAGGGTGTGGGTATCGGTCGACCGTTCCTCTTCGCGATGTCGTCCTACGGTCTGCCTGGCGTGGACCGCGCAATGCAGCTTCTGAAGGATGAGATGGTGATGAACATGCGCCTCATTGGCGCGTCGAAGGTTGAAGATCTGACGCCCGACATGGTTGATACCGCCGGTTTGAGGACCCACACGGCCATCGTCCCCCAGGATACACTTGGCATCCGTGCTTACGATCCACTGATTACTCCGAACGAGATGCTGAAGGCAAGACTGTGATTTGTTTCAATATACAGTGGAGTTCGGAAGCAGGCATAACAGCGGCATTTGACCGGGATTTCGTGTACTGTACAATGCTCCTAGTGGGGACCACCACCAGTAAATACCGGGAGAGGGTAGAGTCCAAGGAGCTGCATTGGGGGAAGATGAATTGTGTCAGATGTATCAGATCTAGGCATTTGCTCTTGCTCTTTGCTCAAATCAATCTTCTTCAGAAAAAAGGGCTTCTTCATCCCAGACAACTTGCTCATGTATTGGAAGTCCGGGTTCGAGGCAGCTAGAAAAACGTTCATGCGTGTACACTGCTGGTACCAAATGCGATGCACACCGAATAGCTTAAGAGCACATACTGAAAGTGAGATGACCACTACCTCGGGACTATAGTATGTATACTTTAGTTTAGACTTCATGACATAGAGTTTACTCCTGCATCTGGAAAACTGTTTGTATACCGGGTCCCAAGCAGGCTCTTCTGCACGAGACGGAAAGAGGTACGGAGTACTTTGATCGAGCTGGCATTGATAGGGCTCGTGGCAGCTCAAGAAATCACTAACTGAAAAAGGCTTGGGTTATATACTACTAAACGGTAAGACGTAGAATGGGACATTATCGAGATGGGTTATTATGTCATAAGTTGTGCCTCAGAAGACCGGCGCGCCTGACACGCTGGTCCTGTCGTGCCTGTGTACATGGGTACTGCCTTGTGCACGCCAAAGGACGAATTCATGTGCCCTGGATCCGGTGATCTTTATCATGCGGCTGTAGTGACATGCACTGCAGCATTAGACCGTGTCAAGGATCTCGAACATGTCTCGAATCTGAACGCTATCCTGTCCAACCCGAGTATGCCGACGGTCCGGGAATATGCTGATCATCCACCAAACCGGCGCCGTGAAGGTCGGTGAGGTTGTAAGGTGAGGAAGTCAACTTCTTCAAGCCCACCGCTGTACGTGTACTGATCGAGGGCGGGAAACTGCAGATATACCGTGACCTACACTCCCAGCCTCGACCGCATCCTCCCTCCTCCGACTCACCTCCATGTCAAGATCAAGAACACAGTCGCCGCACCACTCCGCGCGGCATACCTGCATGGCCCGTACACTCTATACGTTGCATGCTACCCATCGACATTCAACCCATTCCGAAAACACGAGACTGTGCATACCGAGGGAGCGCCAGACTTTGAACCACAACTGAAAGCGGGAGGACATTGGACTGCTAAGCTCACGGTGCCAGAGGAAGTAAGGGAGGATGCCCAAAGATACAGCACCGACAACAGGCTCAAGGGTGGGGGCGAGAGGAAGTCCTTCACGTGGATAATAGAGGTCGCTTCGCAGATTATATTCTCCAAGACAGCCAGCGTCGAGTATGAGCTTCTGGTGGGACGAGATGAGAAGTCTGTGGATTTGGGATTTCACGGTGTCATTGGATCTGGTCAGGGCGCTCCGGGCAAGCTCGAAGATCACCAGAGGGGCCGTTCAAAATCTACACCAGCGCATCACAAGGGCGTCTTCTCCAAGGCAATCAGGCTGGCCGTGGATGATACCGAAAGTCTTTGGAACACCCCTCCATTTCCAGAATGGGAGACAGACGACCAGGGTCAGTCGCAAGTGGCCATAGAGCAGGGCCCGCAGCACGGTGACAAGCGAGACGCGGCCGCGAAACCGGAGAAGAAGCAGAGGACCCAGAAGAAGATCCACTTGGTTCTGCTAACGCATGGTATTCACAGTAACGTCGGTGCGGATATGCTTTTCATGAAAGAGAGCATTGACAGTGCAGCGAGGCAGGCCAAAGAAGACGCTAAAAAACGACGAGAAGAGTTGAGGGCAAGACGCATGGCAAGGGAGAATGACTTCGGCCGAACAGCAGTTGACCAAAGGGCGAAGTCGGTGCCGGATGCAGCTATTCTAGGTGACACTGTTGGAAACGACCCGGGTCCGAGCACGTCGACAGAGGATGAAAAAGAAGAGGAAGCCGAAGAGGAAGATGAGGAAGAGGTTTACGTACGAGGTTTTACCGGCAACACGGTCAAGACCGAGAAGGGGATCCAATACCTGGGCAAGCGTTTCGCGAAATACGTCCTCTCTATCACCTACCCGGATCAGCCATACCTGCCCGTCAAATCCTCCATGAACAAATCTCTGTCGAAATCGCTATCCGCGCCCATGTCGAAGACGCCTGGTCCGCAAGACCAGGGTAGTACCCAGCCAGCACACAAGAACAGTAGCATCATCAAGGACGAAAACCACCGGTCCCACAATCTCCCTTACCGCATCACATCCATCAGCTTCATCGCGCACTCCTTGGGTGGCCTGATCCAAACATACGCAATAGCCTACATTCAGAAGCACTCACCCGAGTTCTTCGACCTCATCAAGCCAATCAATTTCGTCGCTTTGGCTTCTCCTTTCTTGGGGTTGAGCAATGAGAATCCCGTCTACGTAAAGTTCGCTCTAGATTTTGGACTTGTAGGACGGACTGGTCAAGACCTCGGTCTCACGTGGCGAGCGCCAACGCTAGCAAAAAGCGGTTGGGGAGCCGTGGTCGCTAATTTCACAAATGAAGCCAACAAGAAATCACCAGACGAGTCCGACCCTGCTGCGAAGCCTTTGCTCAGGATCCTCCCCACTGGACCGGCGCATGTGGCGCTGAAGAAGTTTCGCAACCGCACCGTGTATTCCAATGTGGTCAACGACGGCATTGTGCCATTGAGAACTTCCTGTCTGCTTTTCTTGGACTGGCGGGGCCTTGGTCGTGTCGAGAAAGCGAGACGAGAGAGCGGCCTCGTTGGCACGATGGTCGGGTGGGGTTGGGCGGAAATGCTGGGCCACAATGCCAGCGAGACGAGAAAGACCTTAACGTGGCAAAATCTGTTTAGCGATAGTGGCGACGACATGGGCAAGGCCGGAAAGTCGTCTTCAGACCCTGAATCAAAGGTGCCCCAAGCGGAGACAAGTGAAGGCTTCGATCACGATCAGCGAGCGTCGGAACCCGAAGACAACCAGTTCTTGGAGAGGAACGAAAGCCCTGTCGCGGGACGCACAGATGTTCGATCTGGTGCAGGTGCCACGTCGGCACCGAATCTATGGACGGAAGTTTTGAATTTCTTCAAGCCACATGCAGGAAGGCAAAAGACACCTCCAGGCAGCCCCTCTCGGAGTCCCAAGAGGACACAGAAGATTTACAAGAGAGGTCAAACAATGTCTTATCAGCAAGGAGAATCTGAATCCGAAGAGCCTCCAAGAGAAAAATCTCAAGATGGGGGAACGAGCAGTGCTGCTGGCAAAGCCCCTGTCCGAGGAGCATCGCTATTCAGCAATGGTTCTACAGACGATGGCAACGCGAACGTTGAAGCACCTCCCAGGACAACGTTTTTTGAGTCAGCAGGAGATCTCCTGAACCCACCACTGCCGCCCAAGGACTTCATACTTGACCCTGCTGCCCGGCCGAGGACAATATTTCACGATCGAGTCTACCATCCTGGAGACATCCCACCACCGCCAGCTAAACCCCCGCGGACATTCGGGATTAGACGTTCCGCGTCCAATCTTGCAGCTCAAGCATCTTCGTCGTCACAGCTCTCACCAGGCCCGGCATCTCCTTCAGTCCCTCGTCCTGCGTCAGCCAATCACTCTGGACCACCTTCGCAGTCGAAACCAGACCACATTCAACCTCAAACCCACGATGTGGGTAATATGAAGATCGAGGAGAAGATCGCTCGAGCTTACCACAAGGATCTGTCATGGCGAAAGGTCCTGGTGCGGCTGGAACCTGACGCGCACAATAACCTGGTCGTGCGGCGCATGTTTGCTAATGCCTACGGCTGGCCTGTCGTCCGGCACCTGTGCGACACTCATTTTGCCTATACAGCAGCCGCGAAAACGAGGGACGAGGATGAGGAGAACGTTGAAAGGGCGATTGCACAGGAGGAGCCGCTCACTCGTGGCGAGCAAAGAGGTGAAAGTGTTCGCGGGCAAAGGGAGCTGCCCGACGAGAAGGAAGAAGGGAATGCCATCAGCAGCAAGAGGACGAAAACCACTGATAATATTGGGGTCGAAGAGGCCAGTCCTGAAGAAGTCGAAGCTCTGCAGACCGACTTCCAGAAGCTGAGCACGACATGGAAAAAGCATGATAGTCCAACGGCGGCTACAGCAGGGCGGACGAAGCGTACCGACTCTGAGGCTCGTGAGGCAAGAGACGATGTCTCGGAGCTTGTTTCCCGAGTTAGTGCTACGGGCGAGAGCTATCACAGCATGAACTCTGGTAGGGCGGCACTGTCAAGACTCGCAAGGCAAGACAGTGCACGGTGGAGCGACCGCTTCTTCGAGGGCGGCGATGACGGCGAGGAGGACGAGGACGAGGACGGGCTGTTGCAGGAGATACGGAAAGCGAGGTACAGAGGTGAACTCAATCGAAAGTTCAACATCGACTTTGATGTCGAGTCGGGCCCCAGTGACTCGGAGACTGGAAGGACGCCAGCAGAGAAGATTTCCAACGGTCCACTCACAGTGAGTCCGGCCAGTACTAAGCTGAGCAGAACCAAGGGCAAAGGCAACGGGAAAGGAAAAGAGTCCGAACACATGATTACTACACCAGATATGCCTCTGTCGGCAGAACCTGCTGAGCTGGAGCCGCTTTCGCACTCCTCCGCAGGGACGAATACGCCCAGACACAACACAGCGAGCGATGTTGAAGAAGGCCCAGAGCTGGAGCCGGGATCTATCACTTCACCGAGCACGGCGGCTGCTTTGGGTCTGTCCCTCAATGAGAAGATTGACGAAACCCGGAAACCACAGACGACGTCTGGGGGTACGGAAAATGCGGGAGGTGTTGCGGAACAGGTGGCTCTGGCTACGACAAGGAGTCGAGACAGCCAGGAGGACAATTCGTGAACAGACAAGAGGGAGCAGCCATTCGACGAAGTGAGGGACAAGTAAGAGGAGCAGGAGACTGAGGCAAGGTCGATTTTGGCCTTGTGCTCAGCTTACTTGGCTTACTCTTCAGTCTCCATGCCCTAGGCTATTGAAGAGGGATTGGCCTCACTTTCGTGGATCTTTCAACAATCTGGGCCACTGATACTCTCAGATGTCGCCAGTATCTCAACTGCATTCTAGGGTCCTGCCTTCTTGTCGGTGAATTTCTTCTTGGCAGGCACGTCCCGGTTCAAGGGGACTTGATTTCATCCTCACCTCAAACTCTTTTCACCCCCACCCAGTCCCTCTACCGCCATTCTTTCTAGTCTCACCACACTGGCTATCCTCCAAGAGCACTCACAACGCCGCCACCTTCAGGATGGTCAGGACAAGCCAAGCTGGTGGCAAAGAGCAACTACCTTCAAGTCTCAAGCAAGCTACGTGAGCCTTATCAGCCCGTGGGTATTGTGCGGTATTGATTGGTCACATAGGGACATGTCGAAACCCCCGGCTATGAACGGTCGAGGTCGTTTCTCTTCTCTAGTTGAGGAGCTAGTTGGAGCTGCAAGCTCAGCGGACCGGACTGAACCACACACGAAACAGGCCTTCGATGAACTTCTCGACGATGTCTGGATAGCCCCAACCTCAGAAAAAGCCAACATCGTCGTATTGGACAAATCTACTATCGCCTCCGGCAGCAAGCGCTTCATGGAGCGAGTGACCGAGATTCGACAAATGGATACCATTAGCCTCCTCAAGGGAGAACTACAGCGTGCCCTGGCGAAAGTACACGAATGCGAGGCAGCTTTTGAAACGACATGCGGGTTGCCCAACGATCGACGTAAGAGACGTGCACAAGAGGCGGTCGACGAGCAATTGGGGCAAGTGGAAGCGGCAAGGAAACGCTTTCGGGCGAACGCGACGAAGGTCGAAGAGAACGACTCCGAGTTAGAAGAACGACAGGAGTCGCAAGAACTCGGCACTATCACGCTCTGATTGCGGGTACACTTGATGCTGACACGCCCAGAAATATCAATGTGTTGGTAGGGCCGATCGTGACTGGGACGACACGTATGACTGTCAGTTGTGCGATATCATGGAGCCAACGAGCGAATCTTGCACTTCTGCATCCGACCAGATGCTAAGTTAGACCACGTGTTCAGCTAGACGACAGAATGCTTAGTACGAAAGAGATCAAGTCACCCACTGGGGTCAACTGCGCAAATTTCTGTCTCATTGGTGCCACGCTTGCCATGCCTGCCAGAGGGCAGTCATACTGCAGGAATCCTACCTCCTCTAGTTGGGGAGAATGGGAGGGCATTGAGGCAAGTGCCCTCCAGAACAGGCAGGGCATGCCAACCAGACTGGGACAGAACATGGCGAGAGAAGTAAAGCAGGGCATATCGACCATGACAGGACACCCACGAGGTGAGAGAAGGAAAACAGGCTAGAGCAGGCCAACCAGGGACATTATCGTGATCGAAGAGCAGAAGGTACATCAGCATAAGCATGGCCTAGACTAGCCGTGGTACCTGGTATACGGGCTCCTTAAAAGCCAAAAACACACTTCGCTCAATTGGAACCTCGACTTGAACTCCCTGACGCAGACGCGATGCTTCCAGGCAAAGTAGGACTGTGGATATGTCTTTCGAGATTCCCGGTAGGGCCGATGCATAAGCCCATTCGGACCCCCTGCGCCTGTTCTGTTCGCGGTTTCATAAGGCGCGCAGGACAGACACCATGGGATCGTCAACCTCTCGATCCCCGGTTTTCTAAGGCATGGGATAGTGTGCGATCGTCAATCTCCCGCGCCCCTTTATTCCCCGTGTTCACAGGGCACGTTCAACCTCCTACGCCTCTCCCTTTCCGTTTTCGTCAGGCGCAAGACAGTATGAGATTGTCGAGGCTCCTGCGCCCCTTGCTTTCCCGTTCCACAAGACACAGGACAGTATGGGAAGGAGAGAGAAGAGGGAGAGAGTGAGGCAGGCAGGCAGGCAACCAAGACTTTCCCAATGATGACCATTCCTATGCCCCATTATTATTTCTGTGCCATCGCCGTCACGGAAACCCGCTCCGCCAGTCCCCACATATTCGCACAACCTTTGGCCCCCACCTCTGTCTGTGTGTGCGCGTTTACCGACGACGCAAACATGGCCTCAACCAAACGAGCCGGATCAACACAGAAGTCAGAGCGCTCCACGTCACAACTTCTCCGTCCGTTCCGCCATACCCACCTCCGCCGCGGGCACGGCCCCCGCAGGCGCAGGCGGGAGCACATCGGCGCGCGTCTCGTCGGTGAACTTCAGGTCCTCGTCGATGTCGGTCGTGTCCTTGACCTTGAGCCAGATGACGGGCGAGGCGATGACGAGCGAGCCGGCCAACATGCCCCAGTTTGTGGCGAACTGGGCCATGAACGACACGCCGTTGGCGTCGAGTTGCGGCGAGATGGCGCCGCCCGCGGATTGAATGCCCTTGTAGAAGCCCGTGAAGCAGGCGAGTTTGCGGCCATTGTTGGTGAGGGCCCCCATCAGCCTACACACGTTAGTATGAGACGTCGTCGAGGGGAGAGGCTGGGACGGCGGAAAGAGACAATATGCAGAAACAGGCACAGATAAGGACAGGCAGGCGGGGACGTATACGGAGAGTGGGCGGACTTACCAATAACTCGTCGTCTGCCACACCGAGTCATAAGCCCCGTAAAACATGTACAAGAACATGGGTCCCACGTAGCCCGGGTCCGTAAAGTCCTTGGGCACAAAGTTGTCGTCGCCCAGCGTGCTCTCGCGGGTGTATCCCTTCTGGAAGTCGTAGCCGCCGCCCCAGATGACGAACGTCAGCACGAACAGGGCGACCATGACGACTTTCGCGCGCGTGGTGCGGCGTAGGTAGGTCGTGTCCAGCAGGAAGCCGAAGATCCAGGCGCCGATGATCTGCGCGAGGTAGTACAGCACGTTGTTGAGGGCGCGGGTGCGGATGTTGAAACTCGGCAGGTTGACGTCCTGGAAGTGGTACGTGTAGAACCAGTTGGACGCGAAAAACATGGGGAACATGAGCACAATGTACCAGTCGGTCAGCAGCACCTGGAACATGCCCGTGATCTCGGACTTCCACGTCGGGTTCTTCATCATGATGACGCGGCTCCCGTCGGACCGCCGCACGAAGAACGGGTTGCACAGGAAGCCCGCCAGGACGAAGCCACACGCCATGAGCACGATAAAGGCAATGTACGTGCCGTCCTGCACTTTGTCGCTGGTCGAGTGCAGGTTCTGGCCCAGCGGGATCAGCGCGCCAATCACCGCCCCGAGGTTGAAGATGCCCCAGAAGGCCGCGATGTATTTGCCTTTGGAACCTTCAGGCGGGTACGCCATCATGACGGCCCCCTGGGCGGTCCAGAGGAGACCGGCGCACACGCCGAGCAGACTGCCGGCGAAGATCAAGAACCCGGCGTTCTGGTTGTGGTTGTACGACAGGATCGAGGCAATGTAGAGCGCGTACCCAAACCCGCCGAGGCCCAGCGTCAGGCGCAGGCCGATCCGGTTGGCGATGCTGCCCGCGAAGAAGCCCACGACGGAGAAGGTAGAGTACACGGCCGTGTTGGCGTTGTTGATGTCGTGCGCGCCGACCTGGCCCGCAGCTCCCAACCCGTTCACGGCGTTGAACATGCCCGGGCACAGGAAGCAGACGAGCGCCACGAAAACGATCTGGAACGGCGGCGACGCGTAGTTGGGGAGAGTGATGGGTCCGAGCTTCAGTTTGCGGTACATCCACGCCGGGCCTTCTTGGTGGTGGATGTCTTCGCCATGGATTTCCGGTGGCGGTGAGTCGGTACCAGTCGTCGTCTTCTCGGTGGCCGCCATCTTCTCGTTGGAGATGTCGGACATTGCAGATGGTCGTGTGGAAGAAGGAAAGAGGAGTGAGAGAGAGAGAAGTGAGAAAGATCAGCGCTGCGAGTGAGGCTCTAGATCTACTGTGGTAGGGTGGGTATGTGAATTAGTGGCGGGCGGAGATGACTGGGTCCGGCAACCTTGCGGCGTCTCGGGGCTGCTTCCTAGTGGAGCTTAGAGCTTGAGCTCGCAGACCTGGAGCTGGGGTGTCGCGTGTACTGGGGAGGGAGGACTCTGGGGAGGCGCTGAGAGGAGTGATATACAAGTGACTGGCTGGTTGCAAGGACAGTCAGGAGGTGGTATGAACAACACGACAAGAGGACTAAGGCACGCTAGGCCACGGTTACAGTACCTCGAATATCAGCAGGTCAAACGCAGCACGCGATAGAGAGATAGAGCCGTAGCATTGTCGCACAGGAGTGCAGCAACAGGAGCATCGGAACAAAGGGAGGGGGGTGGAAGCACGCGACAGCTAGCTCCAATAACCACTGAGCGCGTGTTGGTCGCTTCTCCAGATTCCATGCTGACCAGGGAGCGAGATAGAGACACCAGGGACGAATTGCGGCTACGGGCACGCTTTCTGTAGCCAACGCACGTGATCGAGATAGCCCCGAGATTGCAGTGTCGCATTCTCGCTCCGCCTTGACGTTGCATTCACCTGCTGTCCAGATGCTACCCTATTACTCCGTACTCCCGCCAACACAACGTCTCATTCATCCAGATCTCGTCTGCCATCGTTGCATCCACGCCGCTGACTCTGGACTACCTCAGTCGTGAGTCTCGAGACTCGAATCTCACTGCGAACAAGCTCCCTGCGTACCACCAAATTGTCACCATTGTGTCGCCGTCGTGGCCAAACGTGCCTGCACGCTGCAACATGACAGGAGCGTCTTCTTCCGCCATGACACCGGCTTGCAAGCCTCGCCTATCGTTCTCCAGGCACGCGCCTTGCTGCGAACTTCCCACGAACTCTTTTCCCTTTGTCAGTCGCGCTCAATTCCGTAGGCTGCCGTCGGCCAGGCGGATCCTCGAGCCTCAAGCCCAGTAGAATGTTCGGTCTACATCTTTGTCACAGGCGAAGAAAACTGATTGTATGACGTGACCCTGGCTGCCATCTGGGGTTACAACATCAGCGCAGGCATATTATTCTGGTCGATGGCTGTTGCTGGATTTCCCTTCCCTATTCTCGTAGGGTCAACCTACAAGCAATCGTCCCTTCCTTTGGTGTAGTTGCCTCGTGTTCTGCCATCTGTTCCCTATCTCCCGAGCCTTATCATCCCATCCCTCGCCATGCCGACGTCATACCCTGGTGTTACCAAGTTCACAAACGGCTATCTCCTCAAGCATGGCCAGCTGGTATCTGGCGACCTCTGGGTGTCGTCAGAGACCGGACACATCATCAGCCCCCAATCAGCCTTCTACTCGTCACACCTGCGACCCGACAAGACCGTGGACCTTGAAGGCCGAATATTGTCGCCAGGCTTCATCGATGTGCAGATCAATGGATACCACAACTTTGACTTCTCGACACCCGACGCCGAGTTCGCCTCGAAACTCGTGGACACAGCCCAGCGGATGATCAAGACCGGTCTCACATCCTTTGTCCCAACCGTCATCAGCACCAAGCTCGAGGCGTATCGCGCCGTGCTACCTCATCTCGGCCCCCCGACAGACGATAGAGATGCCAGTAAAGGCTGCGAGAGCCTCGGGGCGCATATCGAAGGCCCCTTTCTCTCGCCAGTGCGAAACGGCATCCACAATAAGGACGTCCTCCAGGAAGCCCAGTCTTGGGAAGACATCGAGGAGTGCTACGGCGCCGACAACCTGCGCAACGTCCGCTATATCACGGCTGCACCGGAGCGCGGCGCCATGATGTCGCTGATCTCCGATTTCGTCGCTCGCGGCATCGTCTTCTCCGTCGGCCACTCGGACGCCACCTTCGAGCAAGCACAATCTGCCATGGCAGCCGGCGCCACGATGGTGACACACCTTTTCAACGCGATGCGGCCATTCGGCCACCGCGACCCGGGCATCTTCGGCCTCCTCGGCCAGTCCACACCCTCCAGCCCCGTCACAACCCCCAAAGCAAGTCGGCCAGCCAGCGCGTCGACTTCTCCGGTCCGCTCGCCGCGCTCATCCCGGCGCTCGTCTCCTCGCTCGAGTCTCAGCATCAGCACAACCATGTCCGAGATCGAGGACTCGGAGCGCCGCTACCGACAGCCCTTTTTCGGCCTCATCGCCGACGGTATCCACCTGTCCCCTCAGACCCTCAGGATCGCGTACTCATCACATCCGGAAGGCGCCATTCTCGTTACTGACGCGCAAAAATTCGCGGGCTGTCCTGACGGAGCGTATTCGTGGCGCGGTGAGGATCGCTTCATCAAGGAAGGCAAAGTCCTAAAGTTGGAGAGCAACGGCCGCATTGCCGGCAGTGTGGTCGACCTGATCGACTGTGTCAACAACTTCAAGCGCTGGACCGGCTGCGGGACGGCCAAGGTGCTCGAGACGGTGACGAGCACGCCGGCCAAGATGCTGGGCAAGGACGTGGAGAGCCGCAAGGGCAGACTCGAGGTCGGCATGGATGCCGATTTGGTGGTGCTCGAGGAAGGTCTTGACGGTGATCTGACGGTGCGGCAGGTGTGGAAGTTTGGCGTTCAGGTTGTGTAACGCGGACACGTGAGGGCCTTGTGCACTCCTTTTTCCCAGACTGAATTTGGTGGAGGCTAGGACGGTAGAATCATATGTGGATGATATGTTTGAGGGTCTTTGAGTTTAGCGGTCATGGACGGGGCAATGACGGACGCTGTTGCCGTCACCATTAACTACCCAAAAGTCCGGGTCATGTCATGTTGTGTTCTGTGTTGTCCAGTTCGGCGTCTCTTCAAGAGGATGTGTTCCTAGCTAGTCTCGCATGACGCTTGGGGTCTCTGTTGAGACGGAGTCGGGTGCTTTTGGCTTTGAGCATATCGTCTATAGACACGGAGAGACTATGACTACCTTGTCTTGCTTGTAACGGGTGTGATGCCGCCATGATCGAGATACCGAGGTACAAGGTCGCATACGTTGCGTACGATGTATAGTATCATGTATCATGTATCATGTATATTACCATCTGATCCGTGAGCTTGTATCGTCTATCTTATGTTACAGTGGCTGGCAACCTCAGGCTATTAGTCGACTGTTCTCCGGGATGCAATAACATAAGTAATAAGTGATTAAGACGAGGTGAAGATGATTGAGATGAGATGAGATATAGTATTAATATAGCGTATAGAGTAAAGCAACAGAACACAAGAGTATATAATAGGAGATGAAACAGAGCACGCTCGGTCCATGCTGCTACACACACACACACACACACACACACACACACACACACACACACACACACACACACACACACACACACACACACACACACACAGGTTCACCTAAGTCCATATATTAAGCCGCATGCCTTTCCATACCATGGCTCTTAGCCTTCACCGAACGCGCAACGCACAACGCCCATCAGTCCGCCCCACAACTGCGTACCGAACGCGAGTCATTCAATCTCTCGTTCAGTCTCGTTGATAGACTGATTGGTTCACTGATAAGCCGCACTCCTTTCCATCCATGCCCATGGCCCCTAGCCCCTAGCATTCCCACAACGCACAACGCCCATCACTCCGGCCGCCACAACTGCGCACGTCCCCGAACGCATGTCACAGACTGACTGAGTGCTACTGCTCCAGCTTGGAACTCCCCTGCCGCTTAGGCCAAACACGCCGACTCTCCCTCCTGCAAAACCCACTCCCATCACGACCCTGTCTGTCCACGACCCGGGGCAGCCCGACAAACCGATTAATCCAATTGATCACCACGAGATGCCACACCAGACTATTCTCCGGCTTCAACACCCAATGGTTCTCGTCCGGGAAACTCAAAAACCGCGACTCGATGCCCTTCATCTGCAGCGCGTTGAACGCCGCCAGGCCCTCGGAGATGGTAAGTCGATAATCCAGCTCGTTGTGGATGACGAGCATGGGCGTGTCCCAGTGCTTGAGAAACCTCGAGGGGTCCCACCTGTCGTACACCTCCTGGCGCTCCCAGAGGGGCCCCCCCAGGTCGTGCAGCGGGAAATACTGCTCCTCGCTGGCCAGTTGGCCCGTCATGCTGAAGACGCCGTCGTGGCACACCAGCGCCTTGAACTGCCGGCCCAGCGCGTGCCCTTGCATCCAGTTCATCATGTAGCCGCCGTACGAGGCCCCCAGGGCCACGCTGCGCGAGGTGTCCACAAACGGCAACTCGGAGCGGATGTACTCAAACCCGCGGGCCAGGTCGTCGTACGGCAGGCCGCCCCATTGGTTGCGGATCGCGTCCGTGAAGCGCTGGCCGTAGCCCGTCGAGCCCGTCGGGTTGGGACACACCACGACGTACCCTTGCTCGGCGAAGACGGCCGGGTTCCAGCGCGTGGACCACTGGTCGTTCCATGCCCCTTGGGGTCCGCCGTGGATCAGGTACGCGAGTGGGTACGTCTGGTCGGCGCGGAAGAAGGACGGGCGCATCATCCATGCGTGCACCGGGTGGTCGTTGGCGCCGTTCCACCAGATTGAGGAGACCTGTTCCGGCGAGAGGCCGAACATGGAGCCGTTCCTGCTGAGCGAGGAGATCACGACCGGAGGGCCAGAGAGCAAGGGGTCGGGGTTGACCAGCGTGTACACGCTGTTATCCACCAAGTTGTTGCTCGACACGAGTAACAAATTCGACTGGGCCGAAAGGGGCGCAAAGTCGATGATGTACCCGCTGTGCGTGAGCTGGCGGGGGCGCCATTCTTGACCGGCGTTGGCGTGCAAGTCGAGCGCGAAGAGGCATCCCCGGCCCGTATCCTCGGCCTCGAGTAACAGCATGTTGCCGTCCGCAGACCACTTCATCGCGGTCGGCGACCGGTCCCAGCCGCAGTGGCCGTCGGGCGTGCGCATCAGCTCCGAGAGCGACACGCTCTCGCCTGTCGACAGCCCGTTCAGCCCCTGCACGAGGACGACGCGGTTCTTGTCGCTCTCGTACCCGTCCGTCGCCATCTGCAGGAACGCCATCGACTGCCCGTTTGGCGAAAAGACCGGGGACGACGCCGCGCCGTCGAGCCCGGGGAAGTGCAACTTGTGGAAACTCGGCGGAGGAGCCACCACATCTAACCAATCTTTCTTCGGGATGAACCACGCGTCACACTTTGTATGCGTGGCGGGATCCAACAGAGGGTCCTTGGCCACAATGACCAACCCGGTCGGGCCAATGTCGAAGTGATCGACCCCGCCAAACGGCGGGATGGGACATTCCAGGTTCGTGCCCACGAGCGCATTCTTGAAGCCATGCAAGCCATACCGGCCCTGCCGCGACGTGACCACGGGCTGCGCCTTCTGCAGGACAGCCGTGAACAAGGAATTGCGCTGCTCCGTCACCCACGAGTCCCAATGCCGCACGAACAGCGAGTCATACACCCGCGCCGAGGTGTGCGCCTTGGGCGCGTCCTTGGGGTTGAACAGGCTTCCATCAGGATTCGCTTGGCCCGCGACCGCGAGCGCGACTTTGCCCGGCTCAATCACAAAAAGTTTGAGACTGGATACGGGCCCCGCCACCGTGCCGGCCGTGTAGGACTTGCCTGGCAGCGTGGCGTCGGTGACGACAAAATTCGTGTTGCCGTTCTCGGTCTCCTTGAGCCAGACGACCTCGTAGCCACTCCCCAGCCATCGCGGCTCGCTGGCCTTGGCGTCCTTGGTGATCGTGGCTTCGGTGCCTTGAGTCAGATCGAGCGCCCGGATCTCACTCGTCCGCGTGTGCGTGTCGAATGAATAGCTCGACTGTGTGAACAGCGCGAGCTTGCCATCTGGACTGGGGATGGCCGCCGACCTGCGCGGCGCGCTCAAGAGGACCCTAGAGGACGTGAATAGACAAACACGTTGATAGTGTGGCAAGCAGCTTACTCAGGTGTATATTGCTTGCGGATAGTCATGGCTTCGACGCCAGCGAGGCTGGAACTGAACAGGGCCGGAACACGAGGATGATGGAACGGCGAAACTGACTTACACAGCGGCCGACTCCTAACAACCACTTCGAGTGTTCAGACTCTCCTTCTTGACGCGGCGTGGGTCGAGAGTCTGTGGTGAGGCTACAGTACGAGTACGGTGAGTTGAGTCTGAGCCTGTCTGGCCTCTGGCCAACGGAAACGCGGGGGGAAGCTAGCCCTGTTCAGCGCGTGGCCTGCGGATTGGTGCGTCCGCGGTGTGGGCCCGCACGTGCCCATGCTGAGCGTGGAGATCGTCCTGGGCTCGCCGGTCACCGCCATTGTGATATCTCTCGCAGAGGGACGTTGGAGCGACAGGGGAGAAGGGAAGATTGAGGTCGAATCAGTATATGCGGCAGACAAGGCTTCGGAGCAACGAAATATTCAGCCGACCGCTTGCGAGAGAGCGCTCGGGTGAAATAGGAAGCACAGTCCGGATGAATATATCTCCCGTTCCGGTCGTAGCGGGTGACCCTGTGTCACGTGCGGGTCCAGCCACTGCAGAGCCAACTCATTGATACACCTCGAAAAGAAAACCTCAGAATTATATAGCATTAGGCACCATTGATACACCCAGAGAGAGCCCATCCCGTCATCTTTTATACATCCCCAGACTCTCCAAGTCACCAGCTTGCCCACATATCGTGACCTCAGGACATCCAGCCCTTGGTCCGACCTCGACCCAGGAGGAGCCGTCACGGACGGCCTCCCCAGTGTCCATTCATGCTCGGAAAATATTTCACCCGCGCCTAGCAGTAGATGTGACCATGGTCAGGAGAGATGTGACCGTAGTCGGTAGAAATCTTCGAGGCTTCTCGCCGCCGAGGTTCTAGCATCCCCTAAAACGCCTCCTCGACCGGGCAATCCACACTGTCATGCCCGTCCTTTTCACACAATGCGCACCATTTCTCGGGGTCTATGACCCCCGTCGTCCGGCCGGCTAACATGCCCGCTTGCGCGCCTGTTCCTTCGACCAGCTTCGAAGACCCAGTAGCGGGCGCAGCGGAGGCGATCGGTTCGTCGACGGGAGGCGGTGTCTCCGGGCGTCCAGGGTCATCGGCTTGACGAGGCGTCGCGGGTAGATCTTCCTCCGGAGGAGGATTGAATGTCGGATTGATGGCTGAGGCGATGGCGTTGTTCATGAATTTTCGACTCATCAGCGGAGCAGGTCTGTCCAGGTCGACGGGGGCCGAAGGCCGCTCCTCCTCATATTGACCACTTGGCGCCTCCTTGCCGGGTTTCCGGGGCGAAGATGTTTGGCTAGTCAAGCCCTTCTTGCCCGGACCAAACATGTTTGAACACGTGAGGATGTCGTGCCCTCCTTCCTCGCAGATTTCACACCACAGCGCTGTACTTTCGGTCGCGCTCACGTCCGTGACCCCGTCATCCGACCGCTCGCGTTCTCCATGGTTGCGCTGTGTAGGAGAAGCGCCTCGAGACGGAGCATCATGCCAACTCTCCGGCCCCACTGGTTGGCTATCTTTTCTTTCGTGGACAGTCCCACCGTTCTTCTTCGGGCCAAGCACGACAGTCCGCTGACTCCCTACCGTGCCAGTGCTGAGATGCTTTCGATCCAATTCATGACTGTTGCCTCTCGAGTGAGGACTCCGCATAGCGGTATGCAATCCAAACGCTGCTCCGCCCACCGGCATGGGAAACTTGCTCAGCGTCACGCTACTCCTCAAGTGCTTCACTTCCTGCGCAAGTTCCTCTTCATGCGCAGATTTCTGCTGCAGGAGCTGTTCCAGATCGCGGATTTGTCTTTGCAACGCGTCCTCTACGGCCGTGCTGTCGTTGCGTTGGTGTCCATTTCCAATTCCAGAAATTGCGCCATTTGGTCGCTTGGGGCTGGCGGCATTGAGGTTCTGGATGATGACTTTCAGGCCGCGAATCTCGTCGTCTTTGGCCATGATTTGCGCTTCAAGGGCTTGAACATCCGAGGACGAAGAGTACCCACCACCGCCGTTTAGCTGTTCCTCCGTCTTCATCCGTTCACGTTCTCGACGCAGCTCGCTTCGCGACCGCTCGACCTCGCCGCGCAAGAATTCTACCTCTCCTCTGGCTTCTGCTTCTCCTCTCCGCGCGTCTTCCAAGCCCTCTTCGAGCTCTTGCACGAGCTCTTCCAACTGCTTAAGCTGTTGAGCCACAGTTTCGACGTCCTCGGAACGATCCTGAAGGTTGCGGACTTCCTCGAGGAGTTCATCTACCCTCTTCTCATAGACTCGTTCAGTCTCAGAACTTGCCGTTTCCAGGGTGTCGATTGTAGATCGGAAATCTGCCCGGTTGGCATCGAATTCCGCAGTCAACAGTTTGATCTTGTCATTCTTCTCCCGCAAGGCGTCGCGGAGAGAGACGATATCACGCGGCAAGTCCTCCTCGTCTTCTCCACCCTGGCGTGTCTGTTTCCCTTCCTCTAAACTGGGCATCAGTTTCTGGATCTCATTGAAATTGCGCTCCATCTCGACAAAATTGGTGCTCTGATCCCGGATTTGCCGTCTGGCTTCAGTGAGTTCTTCATTGAGCTCTTGTATCTTGGCCTCGTATTTTTCGGTGTCGGCTTCGGCTCCCGGTTTTCTGCTGAAGTTTGGCGTCGGTGTGGGTGTGAACTCCGCTTCATTTTCCGGAATTTCATCGAAGCTCGATTCAGGGCCCAGGGAGGAGGAGGGACTGGCTGCTGATACTGAGCTGCCTTGCCGCAGACTCTGGCTGAAGTTGTTCCGTTGACCCGGTCGGGCATAGGGTCCGCCGACTGCGCCTCCGTTTGTGCTTTTGGCCAGCCCGATGCCACTAGGCCTCGTCTTTGGCGTCGCCAGACTTCTGGGAGTTGGGGTGTTCACTTTCCGGAGCGGACTCGATGGTCGTGGAAGCGATTCTCTTCTGAGTGGTGGCTTGAGTCCTGGGCTAGCCGCGCCCGACGGTCTCATTGCTCCAGGGCCGATGGATTGGCTGAAACCGGGCTTCGCCATGCCTGTTGTCCCTGCGCCAGGTGTCCTTCCACCCTGATTAAAACTGGCCAGTCGCGGCGTCCCGGGTCCGGGACTCGCTCTCATGCCGCTGAGTCCCAATCCTACGCTTCCGCCGCCACCTGCGCTGCCAGGTTTCTTGACTGCTTTTTCAAGTGGGAGGAATATGCCCGAACCGGGGATTGTGGTTCGGAAATAGTGTTTGCCATCTACTTCGCCTGAGTTTTTGCCTCGCCCGGCGTATTCTGTCGCTAGTTGGACTCCTGCAAATGTTCCTTTCTTGCCGGCCACCGGTCCGATGAACTTGACCGTGCCGTACATGTCTCCGGGCACCATGACAGAGTCTCCGACGTTGATGTTCGCCATGCTGGGCTAGGGGTATTGAAGCGACACTCAAAATCGAGGTATTACTGAGATGCACGGGCTTGATATTTCCAACGACTTTCTGCCGCACCTCTTTTTTGAAAGTTGCTGCGGCACCCTAAGCCTCGACGAATATTGTGGTACCCATCCACCTGCGCTGAATCTTGAGGGGTGCGACGTTAGACGCGCTGATTGCCCGGTAGGCCAAGTATGGTCGACACGGATTCAAAGGGGGTGGCAGGCTTGCTGGGGAAGCGAGTAGTCCTAGAGGGAACGTGGTGTGCACCGGTTCCAATGCAGGCGCGGACGGTGGTAGATGATTGTGGATGGTGGGAAGTCGTTGATGCCACGTCGCTGACATGAACACGTACAAGAAGCGTTGTCCCGGGTGTTGATATCCCGGCGGTTGTCGCCTGGTGCACCAGGTCCTGTGTACTCGTAAACAAAAGACCGAGCAACACAGCAAAGGGTCGTGCCGCTTCAAAAAGTGAAAGGACACGCAGGACCAAGGCCAGTCAGTGGACAGTGACCGGTAACTGGTCGTCGCGGTTTCGTGCTTGACCAGCGACCCTGCATGCGCAACGCGAAGGGGTCCGTTGAGAAATTGTCTGATTTGCTTAGCGACTGCGAGCTAAATTCGGCTTTCAAAAGGAGCAGCGACTCGGAAGCTGCCAGGAAGCCCACCAGGCAACCCACCGGGCGACAGACTCGCTTCATCTTGCCCGCCCACCAGGCGAGAGACTCGCTTGCTGATGCGCCACCAGACACAGTTTCCACCCCCCGACTTCTACATATCATTTGCCATGCCAGTGGAACATTGAGTAGTCCGGAAAGGATCAGATCGTTTTACGGTATGTCCGTTGGACAGTGGCTGCGCGTGCTTTGGCACCACAGATGGACATTGGGGGCACCTCACTTTCAAGTTTTGGAAACCTCAGACTCAGCCTCTGGACACCTCAAACTCCCTGGTGCTGTAAATTACAACTGCAGCCGGAACGTCTTGACCTCAAACGCCCTCAGCTCAATCGCAATGCTGGTCTTGTGCTTGCCCGAAATTTCTAACTCTTTGCTATCATCTTCCAACACATTCGTCTCATATACGTTCTTCACGGGCAATGTCGTCTCAATCACTCCGCGACTCTTCCCACCTAGACTCTCGTAGATCCTCACGATGACGCTTTGTCCCTTGCGCCGGGTGAGTTCGCCGCGGGAGACGTCCTCGTCGTCTTCACCGCGCTTGATGCAGTCGAGCACCAGGGATTTGGCCCCCGTGACCGACACGGCGTTGAACAGCTCTCTGGCCGGCTTGTCATCAACCAGAGATACCAATGTCAGTGGGTGGTTGAAGTTGTAGGCCGCACGGACCGTGTCGCTGCTCAGTGCTCCTTGGTGGGGCATGATTGCCCATTTGATGTGGTGACGGCCCATATCAGCGTGTGCATCGGGAGCCTTGGGCGCTCGCAAAAGTGACAATCGCATGAGATTGCCACATGTTGCAAAGCCATATTTCGAGTCGTTCAGGATCGAAACTCCGTAGTCGGCTTCCGACAGGTCTGCGAACTTGTGGCAGCACACCTCGAACTTGGCCATATCCCAACTAGGACTGTCAGCATCTGCGCTGCAGGGCAGGAACACAAAACCTACCTTGTGTTGTAATGCGTGGGACGGCGAATGATGCCGTATTGCGTCTCATAGCTGGCCTCGGTATTGGTCACGTCTACAGGGAACTCGACCTTCAAAAACTTCATGGTCTCGCGCCACTCAACCTCGGCTTCTACGAGGAGGTAGCCCGCTTGGCCTTCGCTGTCGGTGGCGTCCAAGCTGATGGTGGTGTTGACCCAGCTGTCCTTGCTGACTTGCGTCTTGGTCGCCACGCTGACCCTGTATGGTCCATCCTCCACAATCTCGGACGCTTCTGACTTCAACTCCTTCCTCGAATCCAGGTGGAACACCTCCACGTCCCACGCTTGCCAGTACAGTGGCTTGTCGTCAAAGATCACGAGCTGGTTGGCCTTGCCGCCCTTCGCGAGAACCTCCCGATTTGCCCTTAGATCAATCAATGATGTGATGACGCCGGCCTCGATCTCGACTTTGAAAATGCTGTTCTTCATAACAAACACGCCCTTCTTGATTTCTTCGACCGAGGCGGTCGACCGAATAGCTGAAGCTACATGCGTCTTGCATACGCCGGGTCCGCCGGACACGTATGTGTATTGCTGCTGTTGAGACTTGGCATTAGCGTGTGGAATCTTGACCAATTCAGAGCGCTGCCAAGGTGCGGTGTTCACTGCCGCCAACTCGGCATTGGCCTTGAGATGTCGTGATAGTCCAAGAACGGTGAGGGCTTCCTCCTTCACTTTCTCTCCCAGTTTCGCGTTGTGGGCGTATAGTTCGTCAGAGTCGTCGTAGCACATCTCGATCGAGCTGCCCGGCAGGCAGTCGTGGAACTGGCAGAGAAGGACGTTTTCCCACATCTCATCGATTTCCTTCTTGGGATACTTGTAGCTCTTGCTCTTCAAACTGGCTAGGGTTGCCAAGTACTCGACGTCATGGAGCATGACCTCTTGCTTTCGGTTGTTGAGCTTGTTGTTGGCCTGTGTGGTGTACGTGCCTCTGTGGAGCTCAAAGTAGAGCTCGCCATACCACGTAACAAGTTCGGTGCCCTCGGCCAGTTTCTTTTCCAGGTTCGCATAAAAGTCATCGACGGAATTGCCCATGTGCACCCGGGGAAGAAGTCCAACCGTATCACTGATACCACGACATCGGCGTAACTTCTCCAGCATTTCCCACGTTGGACCGCCTCCACCATCGCCTTTGCCGAAAACCAGAAGCGACGTATTGTCCTGGTCCAGACTCTTATGTTGAGTGACACTCCGTCTGACGTCTCCGAAATGGGCATCTGCGGTGTACGTCTCGCTAGGGGCCATATGGCAAATGACCTGGCTTCCGTCCAAGCTCACCCAGTTGAAAGTCGTGTGGGGGAAGTTGTTGATGTTGTTCCAGCTGAGCTTTTGGGTGAAGAACCGCGTCATGCCAGCCAGCCGGCATATCTGAGGCAATTGACCAGAGTAGCCAAAGGTGTCCGGGAGCCAGAAGGTCTGACATCGTTCGCCAAAATTGCTCTCAAAGAACCGTTGGCCATACAGGAACTGTCGGACCAGGGACTCGCCGCTGGGCATGTTGGTGTCGTGCTCAACCCAGCTGCCACCGATGGGATGGAATCTGCCTTCCTTGACCTTTGACTTGACGCGATCGAAGACATATGGATAGTAAGCTTTGAGCCACTTGTACTGTTGTGCCTGGCTGACGGCGAAGCGGTGCTCGGGGTACCGATCCATCAGGTCACATTGGTTTGACCAGCTTCGCGCGACTTTGCGCTTGGTCTCGGCCCACGGCCACAGCCAGCATGTATCGATATGGCAGTGCCCAATGCCAAACACCAGCGGCTTTTCGCCCGACTCGTAGATCTTGGCTGAATCAACACCCTTGCCAATATACTTCTGTGCGATCTTGCGGCCTTGTTCGATTGAGGCTTGCGATCCGTTGGCAGCAATAAATGCATCCATGATCTGGTTGCACACCTGGAGGGCTTCGTGCTTCTCCCAGCTGTCCCCAGGGAACTCCCTCGCAGCATCACCGATGATCCAGAAATCAATGTACAGCTGGCGGGCTGCAAGGTTGACATCCACGATCTGCGCCTTCCACAGAGTGTAATGCTTGTTGGGATCGGGCGGCTGAATGCTGTCTCCGCCCGGCGCATTGCCAAACATGCCGTTGCAGGCCATCTCGATGTACAATGTATGTTCTTTGGCATCTCGCCAGCTGTTCGGTAGTATCCATTCTGTCCGGTCACCTCCTGTCAGACCTTGCAGAGGCTTGCCGTCATGCGTCCACACCATCCCTTCATTGCCTGCGTCCCAGTGGAACTCGAGGTGTTCGCCATCACACATATGCTTGGGCACCGTCAATTGCACCCGAAACCAATGAGTTGACCAGGCCGGCCCAAACGATTCGCCTCGCCGCGTAGGTCGGAAGGTATGGGAAGTAGCATCTTCGAAAGTCGGTCTTGTGAGATTTGGCGGCGAGTAAACCGACAACTTGACATGCTCGTCGTCGTCACAGCGGTTGTGATACAGTTTTCTGGCACCGGCTCGTCAGCGTTCCTCCATATTGCACCGGTCGAAGCAGGCTCACCCTATGAGGTTCTGGTGTTCATATTGTCCACCAGAGGTGAACTGTCGGAGACGGTCCGTGTATATTGACTCGATCTGCTTCCCGACTGGTCGTTGGACGAGCTTCGGGTAAGAGCTCGTGGCCCGGGAAGAAGTCTCGCCTCCCATAATGTAAATCCAGGCTCAGTAACAGTGAACGACGAAGTGAGCGTGACGGCCTTTGGGAACGGAACAAGCTACATTCCACCGTCTTGAGCATTGGGGATGAATTGAAGAATGCGGGGTACATAAACTGCGGTGTGACATTGACCCCTGCCAGTTTGGGTCGGTCTTCTATTTGATGACCAGTAATTATTGTCTACAGGGATTGTCTATATGAACTCCCGGTCTAGATCCACGAGTCCTCCCTCTCAGTTGTCGCGTGCTGCAGGGCGTTTATTGAGCTACGTGTCTCGGCCGTGCCCAGCAAAATGATGCTGTCCTTCAGCTTCCGTTGTCTCTTCTGCGATGACTTCGTCGTCAACTTCCGTAAGCTTGCGACCAGGCCGTTCTGTCCTTTGTGGTACGCAGAAGCTAGACTCATCGATTTCCCCCTCTGCCGACGTGCACGCTGTGCTTCTTGAGCTTGCCGAGCCTGGTATTCCGCCTCTCTCTGCTGTTTCTTCTGCAGCTTGCCCGAAAAGATCTCGGCACCATACACTTGATAAGGCGTGGCAGGAATAGCCAGCTGCCTTTCGCGTGGCGGATTGCTAGTGTCTTCTGGCCATTCTTGGCTTTCTGCCGCACTCTTGTGAGAGAGTGAGCGGAGAAGAACGCCGACACCCTGTTGAATACTCGACCTGGCAAGATCTTTAGGTACGCTATTTTGATCCCGGCTCTCCCTCTTTGAGCTCGGCGAAGGTGCTTCGGCGCCCGTCGTGCCAGGCTCCAGGTCTCGCCGCGGTAACGGGCTGCTGGGCCGGAAACTCTGCCTCGGCCACGACTCCACTGGGGAGCTACGCGGACTCTGGGTGACAAAGCCATCCTCCAACCAGTTCTGTGACCAGCTCCTATTATGCCCATGATTGTGCAACGGGCTCTGCTCGTGATCTTGGTGGCGGGCAGGGTTGAACTCAGCAGGCTTCTCCCAATCATCAAAGGGAGGGCTTGGAAGGCTGGAGCTGCTCATCGCTAGTGGTGGCGGGAGGAGGTCAGAGTTACTCGCATCGGATATCGATACTGAGACCGCATCTGGCAAAGGCGGGGTGTGTGACATCGAGATGGACATCTCAATGGATGAGACTTGCGGCGAAGGTGGAGCCAACTGGTCATAGGCTGCTTGTCGATGCATGTCCGCCGAAGACACTGATTGCGGCAATACCAGTTGATCCCTGCGCTCCAGAAGCTGACGGGAGAACTCAGTAAATGTCGGAGCGTCCTTGTTCCTTGGTATTGCATCCGACTGCGCAGCCGCAGAGCGAAGGGATGCGGCCGATGGAGCCTCGCGTGGAGCATCTTCCACTATCGGTCGGGGAGGAGGACTCTGGGTCAGACTCAGTCGCCTGATGAGGAGTGGCGCAACGGTGTCTCGGTAGGCTTGTGGTTGGTGCAATAGCGGCATCGGCGGAATGTCGTCAAGCTCACGGTACTCGCCATAAAGGCGGAGTATATTGGTGATCGTAGTGTCAGTACTGTAAACGCTACCCCGATCAACGCTGTAGACGCTTGACGACCTCCGCTTCTTCTCCTCGAAGGGTTCGAGTGGCAGTGGTTTGTCCAAGTCCGACGGTGTCGATCGGCCAGAGGCATGATGCGGTGCGACCTGGAGAGAATGCGGCGGAGGAGAGATTGCGAGTTCGAGACCTTGCTTTTGCAGTTCGAGGAGTGCTTGAGATGGAGGTGGAGAGGTCAGATGCATCCGCAGGGTAGAACTTGGATGGGAGCTCATCGTAACCAAGGATCAGCGCGAGTCGGCATGACATTCTTCCAGTACGATTCAGATGTGGCCTCGTCGCGATGTTCCAGACATCGTAGGCATCTTGATCGAGGCAGGGACAATCTCTCACCCGCCCACGACGACTCGGTTTGCCTGCTGCAGACGGTGCTGTGCGGCACGAGACAAAGAGACCGTTTTCAGGAGTACAGGAGACTTAGTCCCGTGCTCGGTATGTCTTCCATTGTTCCCAAAGCTGCGGCGGCGATACTGAAAGGCCACCGAAGCCTGGCAACGGGTTCGACGCCATGAATGAAAACGGGTTGATTGATGGAAGGTATTTTTAGCGCGAGAGGAGGGCAAGGTTGTTCCACATTCCACCGCGTGCCACTACGAGGGATGATGAAGGGCATGGCAATCTGCAGCGTAAGGTATGTTACCTTACAGATTGGCGGCTTTGCGCAAATCTTCCTTTGTCAACTCGTCCGTCGGCTTCCTCACTTCACCCAGACGCCCGACTCTTCGCAGCCGACAGATCATATCTTCATCGCCAAAATGAGAGTTATGTTCGAATTCGGGTTCTTGGTCATAGGCGTAGCGTGCGGCGTCTACCAGGATCCGGGCCGTCATACCGAAGACGCGATACCGCGAATACTTGTCCAGGCGGTCAGCAGCGGCCTTTTGCCCTTCACTCTTCTTCGGCTTTGAAACGAGCTGGTTTGTGACAGGCACAAAGAAGTTGTGCATTCGCCATTGACTTTGGTGCCAATCCGTCCACGATCCCTTGTACCAATCGCTGGGCTTGCCAGGAAGATTCTCGCCCGGCAAGTCTTCCATGTACAGAAAGTTCCTAATGATTGTCAATGCAACCTTTCTATCCCATGTGCCATGTGGATACATACCTGAAGGGAGCCGAAAATACAGCGGCAACCTCCCTTGCATCCAACCTGGGAAGCAATCTTTCTGCGACATTGGCGTCCTCTCCCGTCTCGGGATCGTATGAATGCAGAAAAGCAACGCAAGGGCGCACGACAAGCTCCGTTTTCGCAACTATGTACCTGTTAGAACCTGTGATGCGATATTGTGAATCTAAGAATGAATGAAAGAGGCCGCAGAGCTGAAACACTGTCACATTGATGCGGATTGACAGGGTAACGGGCACGATATCACAGGTAAAAGTAACGTACGATTCGTCGGCATCTCGCACAAGTGCTCGACTCTAAACGGCGAAGGCAAAGCTGATGCTTTCCTAGGAAGACCTATCTCTTCCGAAGCCTCGCGCCTTGCACACTCAAAAGCAGTTTCACCTTCTTCCGCCTTCCCACCCGGCAAAGCTGCGTGGCCGGAATATGAGCTCAAGGTACTGGCGCGCATGGTGATGACCACCCTCAGCTCGCCGGCAGGATCCGCAAACAGCAGGATCAGTACAGCTGCTTTGCGCGATAACGGCATGGTTGGCCATACTGTGTCGGGAGACTTATACGACCTGAGGCGGTCAATCGCTCTCTACGAGTCTGTCAGAGTTGACCGGCCAGATCTATGATGTAACGGGTACATACCGCTGATACTGGGGAGAGGCGCGGCATGCTGTCACTAGACGTGGTGCTGCTTCTGCGCACCGACAGCAAGATGTGTCGAGGCTTTCGGACAGCGGCTCGAAGACGCCCGGAAAGCATTGGACGGTTATATCGATGTGATGAGAGTTGAAAATGGTGGTTCCAAGGAAGACCGAAGGTAGCACATAGCCGAGGCATCGAGGGGCTCAAGCCTCTCTTGCATTTGGGCCTGCGACGCTCAACCCCGAATCAAACTCCCCATCCACACCTCGTGTCTTCGCTCCCTCGTGCCCATAAACCGCCATTATTGCAGTCGCGATGGATTTGGTAGATGTCTTCGGGAATGGCAATGCCCTAAAGGACATCAGTGTCCCTTGTGCGTGTGTTGTTTGGCCTCGGGACGACGCGATACAACTCGTCGCATTCAGTCATCCTGGATACTTTTCCGGCCGCCGCCAAAAGTAATCTTCTGGCGCTTGGTCGACCTCGCATCCGTCTTGGTGTCTGTATCGTCTTCGCCTGTACCAGCCGTGCTCTTTTTCTTTTTCTTGTCACCCGTTTTCTCCGCTGTGAAACTACCTGTAGGTGTTGCTGCATGGTTTGGGGTGCTTGTCGCGCTGCTGGGAGAGTCGGAATCTCGCATATAGGAGACGGAGGATCTCGAGAAGACGCGGTCAGCATCGTTGATGGCGGCTCTTCGACGTGCGCCCACTCCTCCGCCCAGTGCGCTGCCTGAAATCGTCCCTGCTGAAGCGGTTGTCGAACTGGACGCCTTGATGTAATTGTCGAAGCCCTTCACAATATTTCCTGCAACGCTCGTTTCTTCCAGGTAGGCGCTTTCTTGACGGTGGATCTGGTCCTCGATAGATGCCTTGGCTTGATGAGCCTACAGCTTTGACAGCGTACAATAGACGACTCACCAGGTTGCGATCTAGAAGTCTCTTTTTCTGTAGCGTATCCCGCAGGTCTCGTCGCAGTTTCTCATAGTCTGCAGAGCCATAGTCAGACCATAGTCGCGGAAAATGCAGAGACTTAAACTCGAAGACTCACACGGTAACCCAGGCCGATCGGAGTTCGTTACAGGTTTGGAAGCCGTGTTTGGCGGTATGTTTTCTGCCATAGTATGTAGCGGATTGGGCCGAACCAGATCACTCCGATGCAACGCCCGGGAACAATTTTATGGAAGTTGAGAAGTCGAAGAAGTCAAGCTGATGAAGAAACGAGCAAATTGTAGTGGGAAGATGGATGCGTGCCCGCGTCGGGTGGTGACTGCGCCCTCACAACCCTCCGCACCTCGAAGGACTGTGTACTTCATACTCCATATCCTCTTCTCCTTCTATCCTCCAAACCCACCTCACCCTCTGCCACTCTCCCCAGCACGGCATTTCGACCCCGCCAGCGAACGTGAGACGTAGGGTGTATCTGCACGATGGACATGGATCACGGACATATGGGACATGGAGGGATGGACCACGGCGACATGGACATGGGCGACCAGTGCAGCATGAACGTGAATCCTCCTCCCTTTAATCTACTTCCAGGTCGATACTGACAGCACCAAGATGCTATTTACCTGGGACACCCGAAACCTCTGCATTGTGTTCCGCTGGTGGCGAGTTGCGGGTCCTATGTCGCTGGCTCTGTCTCTGCTTGCAATTATCCTTCTGTGCGCTGGGTATGAAGGAGTACGAGAGGTCAGCAGAAGGGTCGAGGCGCGGCAAGCCGCACAGCTGAGCACACACAGCATCAGCGCATCAAGTATGTCTCCCCTTGCTAGCTATTGCCATTGGCAGCCACTGAGCTACGGAAAAAGGTGAACACGAGTCAAGCTCACTGCTCCGAGTAGGAAGGGACACCAAGGGGGCGGCGGAACGACAGGGAACCATCATCCGAGCAACACTATACGCTGTTCAGGTCTTCTATTCCTTTTTCATTATGCTGCTGTTCATGACCTATGTGAGTTCAGCTGCCTTCGGACAGCGAAACGGCGGTGAATGCTAATAATGGAGCAGAATGGTTGGGTGATGCTTGCAGTTGCGGTCGGCGCTTTCGTCGGTTACATTGCCTTCTCGAACAAGATGCCATCCACTAAGACAGTCGCGTGCCACTGAACTCATCAGGAATAGAAGCGGGGGCGTATATTATTCTATGTCCTCTTCATCGATGTCCTCCCCGAATGCGAAGCTGAACCCTTGGCGCTCTCCGTCAGCATTGCCGGGATCCGCCACTACCTCTTCCCATTTGCGCTTCTTGTTGTCGCGCTCGTCGAGTGACGCTGCAAGATCAGGATAAGATTGCCTCAAACGCTCCATGAAGAGCCCATATGGGTCCTTGACGTCGTCCTTGAAGCCGGAAACTTGGTCTGGTTTCTCCTTGAGGAATCGAATTGCTGATCTGACATGAGCCCGGGGTACGAAGTTCTGTGTGATTGCAATTGCCGGTTCGAGGTTGACGACCAGATGCCACCAGCCACTCGGCACGTGGAGCACTTCGCCTTCCCGGCAGATTCCTTCAACACAACCAATGGTTTGTCGAGCTTCGGCGTGGAATCCGAGTAACCATTCGGCTATACTCAGCGGAGAGGTTACTTCACTTTGATCTTCGGACATGTAGACACCAGGTGGTAAAACGGAATTGGGAAACATGATCCAATACTTCGAGCCTCGAATGACCGCGTTCCAGGCTGACGTTGCGTTCGGGTCTTTGTGAAACGTCGAGCCGCTGTATTTTGGCCCGATTATTAGCCATCGATGATCTGGGCGTTGTTCCTGCAGGAGCGTAAAGAGGTCCTCCTGGAAAGCAAGTGGAGGCTCATAAGCGTTATGCACCATTGGGTCTTTGCTTCCAACTTGCAATCCCATTTTCTCGACAAAGCCTCGGTCAAAGAGATAGAGGGGCGACTCATCTTGAGTAGTGTTCATGTATTTCACGTACTTCTCAAAGGGCCATGTGACAGACTCACAGACAAAAGAGATGTGCCCGTATTTAGACAGCAAGTGGGCTTCGTTCCATTCCTCGAAGACCTTCCACCTCTTGACAGGATGTGTCAAGATGAACGGTTTATCGACCCATGAGTCAGTGAACTGGGCAAGCGACAGGTCTGTAAGGCGCGCAATCTCATTCTGCCGGGGTATGTTCGAGACATAAGGGGACAGGGAGATCTGAGAGCACAGGAAGGGCTGATAGAGTGCATCAGAGAATAAGGATGAGCAGTCGATATTAGCCAGTTTGGCTGATGGAAGACCCCTTAGAGACGCTCGAAAACTGCCACGCCACTCAAAGTCCCGTGTCGTGTTGTTCACACCAATGTCCCTCCACAGCCTATCTTGCGCAGAGTAGGCATACAGTCCCCGACACGTAGACCCCAATGCGACTAGATCTTGAGAATCCAGATACTCCAAGACTTCCAGCAGTAAGGCGCCAGGCAGACGTCCGAAGAAACCCATGAAAGCTTGGGCATTAGGCTGGGAAGCATCTAGTGTCAACTCATTCCCAGACGGCTTCACACCTAGCGGATGTCGCTGGGACGCGCGAGCGGCTGGTTCCAAACCAGTTGCTTCATTCTCTATGCCGGAAGAACAGGGTATCTCTGGGAGTTCGGCCTGTGTCTGCAAAAGGGTAATTTCGCTCATCTGTTTGGAGTGCTTCCGGTGTTTCTGGACAGCGACAGCACGTTATGTCAGAACCCCAGACCGTGTTCTAGTGGCTGTAAGCTGAAAGATGACTGTTTCCATCAATGCCTCTTGATGTCTGGAAGGCGGTAGACGTGAGTGCAGAATTTGAATAGTCTGAATCAGGAAAAGCGCCACCCTTGGTGGGGAAAAGCCTTCTGTGGCGCCTCCCACTGGCACTCGGTTTACCTGCCAAGATTTCAGTCGCCGCAAATGATACAAGTCTCATTTTTTTCTTCAACCCGCTGCCATCACAGCATCTTCCGCGACTTCAGAAACTACCACCACATCAACCCGGATTCTCACTACAGAGAATCCTCTGACATAACAAAGCACCACACTTCAACAACTCTCAACAGATTTCGAGGCTTCCGGCGTCGAAATCTCCCATTGTAACCGCAATCATGGCCGACAAAGGTGAGTTTTGCCTCACTTGACCGTTTTCCAACCCAGTCGCCTAACCAGAGTAGGTCTCGAAGAAATCAATGAAAACCAGATCGAGTCAAACTACGATGAAGTCGTTGACAGCTTCGACAACATGAACCTCAAGCCCGAACTCCTGCGCGGTGTCTACGCCTACGGCTTCGAACGCCCATCCGCCATCCAGCAGAGTGGGTACCAACAAAAAAAACAGTTTGAATCAATGCTAACAAACACCAGGAGCCATCATGCCCGTCATCAAGGGAAGCGACGTGATTGCGCAGGCACAATCCGGCACAGGAAAAACTGCTACCTTCTCCATCTCAGCACTCCAGAAGATTGATCCCAACCTCAAAGCGTGCCAGGCTTTGATCCTTGCCCCTACCCGTGAACTCGCTCAACAGATCCAGAAAGTTGTGGTCGCGATCGGCGATTTCATGAACGTCGAATGCCATGCTTGCATCGGCGGCACAAACGTCCGGGACGACATGAAGGCACTCCAGGATGGTCCTCAAGTCGTGGTTGGTACTCCCGGCCGTGTCCAGGACATGATCCAGCGACGTGTCTTGAAGACCGACAACATGAAGATGTTCATCTTGGACGAGGCGGATGAGATGCTTTCTGTAAGTCCTGTTCAGCTTTATTTGAGTCCAAAGCCTAACATTTGATCGCAGCGCGGTTTCACCGAGCAAATTTACGACATCTTCCAGCTCCTCCCGCAATCCACCCAGGTCGTCCTCTTGTCTGCCACCATGCCTCAAGACGTTCTTGAGGTCACCACCAAGTTCATGCGCGATCCTGTCCGAATTCTCGTCAAGAAGGCTGAGTTGACCCTCGAAGGTATCAAGCAATTCTATATTGCCGTTGAGAAGGAGGAATGGAAGTTGGATACGCTCTCCGACCTCTACGAGACAGTCACCATCACTCAAGCAGTTATCTTCTGCAACACTCGTAGGAAGGTGGACTGGCTCACCGACAAGCTGCAGGCACGTGACTTCACGGTCTCTGCCATGCACGGTGATATGGAGCAGGCTCAACGTGATGTGATCATGAAAGAATTCCGATCGGGTTCTTCTCGTGTCCTCATTGCCACTGATCTCCTAGCCCGTGGTATCGACGTCCAGCAGGTCTCCTTGGTCATCAACTACGATCTTCCCGCTAACCGCGAGAACTACATCCATCGCATTGGTCGTGGCGGTCGCTTTGGGCGAAAGGGTGTTGCCATCAACTTCGTCACCGCTGATGATGTCCGCATGATGCGCGAAATCGAACAATTCTACAGCACTCAAATCGAGGAGATGCCCATGAACGTTGCTGGTAAGCTATCTCCTCCCCACTTGTGCTGTCTATTCCGACCACTTGCTGACATTCTTCCTCAGACCTCATTTAAGGTGGCACCCTCCTGCTCGCAACAAAATCGATCATCTCCGAGCCTAGCATGTGGATGGCGTTTGTTGCTGCACCTGTTCGCGACTGACTGAGAAAAGTGGGATGAAGCTTGTCTCTGACTACTTGGCTCAAGATATGTCGCTTCATTGAAAAGTCATGTATTTTCTCTTTCATTTTAGGGTCACCAGGACGCTTGCTGCGGGCATACGAGCGCGGTAACGACGGCCGAAGTGTCCTATGTGTGTGGCAGACATCGCGGGCGTTTCTGCTTCCTTAATTTCTTAGCTGGCAATGGCTGTTGGCTAGGGTTCTCAGACTGCACAACACGGATCTGCACAGCATTCTGATGTGACACGAAATGGGACGATGGACTATTGCGCTTCATGATAGACAGCTAGAGAAGAAAACATTGAAATCCCTTCACCAGCCCCTGTGGTTAACTCTTTGCACTCCTCGCTCCTTCCATTTGTGCAGAGCCAGCGAGAGCAATCGCAGAGCCTGATTCCTCTGATTCTCCCTCTTACTTTGCTCTCATCCTATACGTCAACCTGCTCGACCTGACGCGAGTACTCTTCTGCGCACTCGCAACTTCAGACTTGTTCATGCTCCTTCCCGAGGTGGCGTATGATCATATCGATGCCTCTCAATCCGCTTTCAGATCGGCAATTCACTGTCGCTTATGGCAGTGACTTGCTCAGAGCCCACAAAATTTGTCGTGAGAACGGCATCTTGCAAAAGCAGCTCAAGGCTTGCATCGAACAAGTCGTTGCTTTGTGCGAGGAAGTGAGAGGTCTGGAGGCCAAATATACCACCGACGTCGAAGATGAGCGTGCAGCGAGAACCCATCTGGAAGCACAGGTGCAAACATTACTAAATGACGGTCAGAAAGTTGTTGCCGCGCAGCAGCAACAAGAACAACACATTCAAGTCACCTTCGAGAGGCTTCAGATCGCTATCAACGAGAAAGCTGACGCATCGGTGGTCGAATCGCTCCAGAATCGGGTTGATCAGCTTCACGTCAGTTCAGTAACAGTAAATTCCACATTGCCGCCAGCCAGCCGTGTGTCCGAATCAGTCCAGGTATTGGACTCTCAGAAGTATTACCATCATGAAGAACCAAGCATTGCTGCTTGGCCCTCCGATCGTCTCAGAGTCCATCAAGGGCCACACGAGACTGTACCTGATGACCTCGATTTGGACGCGAACGCTGAGACGATTAGCTATGGCGGTCACCACCAATGTCTCCATGACAAGAACGACTCGCTGAACATGTTGCCAGCCCCGACCGTCGAAGCCACACAGCTCGCCAGAATCAAGTCTCTCCGCCAGAGGAGATTTGATGAATGGACTACCTACTATGATCAAGGCCAGAGACTATTGGAGAACTTGCCCGACAGTTTCGAGGAGACAGTCGTACGCAACTTCGTGGGCGGAATCTTCAAAGACTCTCATAAGAGACAATGTCAGCAATGGCTTGATGCGAATGGGTGGACGTGGGCCAACGTTACCACATTTGGAACCTTGTGCTCACAGGTTCTGGCGAACAATGCAATACATTCGGCAGGTAACACGCATGCACTATCCTGGCCACCAAGCCAAATCGACGACATACATGACACGGCCGGCGCAAATAACAAGGTCGGATCCCGTACGGATAGCAAGAAGGCCCAGAAACCAAAGACTCGGGGGGCAACAGGGGTTGAACCTTTGCGTCGGAGCCAACGTCTTCTCCAGCATCGGTTGAACACATCCTCCCACGAAACCCCTGTTTTGCCGTCGATGACTTTACACCCAACGAAAGCCATTCCCCTCAATTCCAGCGTTGGTGCCGCCACGAAACCCGGGATGAAGCCTGAAGCTCGAGCCAAGCTCAAGAAGAAGCCACAACCCGAGGGGCCCGCCAGCACACAAGTACAAAAGGGCCAGCAACAGCGACCTGGGAACAATTCTGCTGAGTTTCCCAAACCTGCCAACGTCAATCCACCGACGGAGTACACATGGCAGTCAAAGAGCCACAGCAGCAGAAAGAGAGCAGCCGAGTCCATCCAGGCCGTACATCCAAGAAAGCGACTGAAATCAAAGAGGGGAAAGTCTAGCAAACGTAAAGATGCTAAGTTTCGGGTGCTTTCAGCAAAGTCAGATGTGGCAAAAGTGGCAGCCGAAAGCAGCGATGACGAGGGCTTTTTATATGAAGCAAATCCCTCCGAGACCGCCGACCGCCACGAAGGAGGGGACGTTCTGAGGGACCGAACTCATGCCGAACGTACAGGTCATGGTGTACAACGTCAATATAAAACAGACAGAACGCAGAGACGGTTGCCTCTGCCGCCACCTCCGGAGATTCCGATTCTACCTACCACGGATGAAGAGTAGCAGCAGGAGGTTATTGCAGACCATATCGACCCCTGCGGAGATGCGATGACTGATTGTTGCTGATAGAGAATCAAGATGTTCATTCGAGTCGAGCGGTGAGGCCCTCAGTGCAAGAATCAAGAGACATATCACGTCTCTTTGAAGACGTATCCGTCCACGCTCTCATCATCGACAACCTCAACTTCGATTCTTGCCTCGACGACTTCTTGATTGTCCACCTCCAAGCCGCACTTTACTATGTCTCCGCCCTTCATGGGACCGACACCTTTAGGTGTACCTGTCAAGATGATGTCGCCTTCCTCGAGAGCCATAACTTTGCTGATATCGGAAAGCATTCGGGGAATATTGAAAAGCATCAGATTGGAGTTGTCCTTTTGTCTGATTTCTTCGTTCACACTCAACCACAAAAGGACATTATGCGGATCTGGAATGCGATCGAAAGGGATCTCATGGCTTATAGGCAAAAAGGTATCAAAGCCCTTGGAGATGCTCCATGGCAGGCCCTTCTTCTTTGCCTCATCTTGCACATTTCGAGCTGTCACGTCAATGCTCAAGAAGTAGCTCTGGATGTGGTCGAGGAATTTTGTGTCATCTGCCCGCAGGTTCTTCAAAGGCTTTGGGGTTTTCCCAATCACAAGACCCAGCTCAACTTCATGGTGTAGAGTAACTCCACGTGGGCGAATAATGGGGCCTTTGTCCGGTAAAAGGATCGAGGAGGGTGGCTTAAGGAAGAAGAACGGTTGGGCTGGTCGTGCTGAGTTCAACTCAGTAATGTGGTCCCTGTCAAGATGAAGGTGTTAGTCCGACGGGCGGCCAGAATGAGCACGGAGGATGTGGCATACGCATAGTTGCGTCCAATACAGATGACCTTGCGGCAATTTGCTTTGATGCTGGCCATGGCTCACAATTACCACCGCGGTCGCTGGTGGGAAAGGTTTCAAGAGTCGGCGTTGGCAGGCTCTGCAGTGCCGTCAGTGCTCGAGAGAAAAACCGCAGATGCACGATAGGCTGCGAGGTGCCCCTCACCAATGCTCGCTGGTACCAGCCCACCTCTGGGGCATGGGACTCGCCGCGCGGGGGCGATACGGTGCCTTGCATATGACGAATTCTCGGGGACGTCTCGGACTTAGTTAAAGAGTGCAGTCCGGGTGTCGAGGGCGTCAATGCGGTCTCTGGCCCTCGCTCATCGCTCCCTTCTTCGGACGAGGAGAAGGCGGCATGAACCATCGCCCGGTTAGGCAGTCACTAACATCATCCAGCTTTCCTTTCGTCCTCTGTTACCTCTCTCGTCTACCTGTCGATTTCGCCGACTTCCTACGACCGGGAGCCGCACGAGGCGCAAGCCTCGACACCTGAAACCTCGCTGCTTGGCCTTCCGCTGCTACAAGGTCGGAGGCCTCAGGGGCACCAAAAGCGGCAATTTCGCGCCGATGCTGCCGCCGCTTCAAGATCTCACCATGCTCATCGCTCTTCTTTGACTGACGTCTCTGACGTTCGGTCCCAGTGTTCCAGTGCCTTGGCTGTTGAGTTGACCTGCTGTATGTCCTCAACACCGTTTGAGTGGCTCATACATGTCCGCAGGAGATCGATCCTTGAAGCGCAACCTAGCTCGCTACTCCTGCTTTCGTCTTCGTATTGTGAGAAAGAGACACACCTTGAGCTCAAGGTCCATGATCAGAACCGAAACCGCCAGCTCAGTCTGGTATTGCGGCATTAACTGAAGCGATCATCTTGACTAGCAGCTCTTTTCACCAAGCGCACGATCTTGCAGCTATGCCCATGGTCGTAACAACGGCTAGCCTCAAAAGTAGTCGTCCTGTTGACTGCATATCGTGTGCCACTCGAAGATGGCGAATCGGGCAAGGCCGTAGCCTGTACGATTCTTGGTACACCTGCGACCGTCTCTTGAAGTATTTCTCGACAAGGGGCGGTTAGTACGCGTTGGTGAACCATTACTTTGGGAAGCGTCCATATGCACTGCGAATCGAGTGATGAAATTTCTACGACAGGGTGAGATCTCCCTGGTTTTTTCCTTGCCATTTGACGCGAGCGAAGTAGATATCGTACGGTGGCACTTCCAGAGGTGTCGTGCCTATCAGCGGCGTCATCTACCTGAACGCAGGAACGCGACTTCGGGCAGTAGATGCACTGTCTATGTACTCAGCTAACGACTCTTTGGCAATCAGCAGCTACCCAATGCATTGAGGACAAGCCGGTGGTCACTCCTGCTTGTCGACGAGCAGGAAACTCTATCCTCCAGGCTTGGCGTTTTGTATCTGATTTCTGGCAAGAGTGAGCGCCGCTTTGGGAATATGGTCGCCTTGATATCGGACGGATCGTTTCCACGGAGATCGCTGGACGCCGCGGCTCTCGTTCGGATTCACTTGCATAGGCGTGTGCGCAGCTGACTAAACTCCTTGTCCTTCGGGTTCCTGGTTTCGCAGCTACGAAAGCTCCAGATGCCATCCTTGATTACCGCTTCCAGTAGCGCAAGCCGCTCGCGTTGAGGACCGAGAAATACGAGTGAGCCTTTGCCAGCCGCGTTGCGAGCAGTTGGAATGGGCCATGTAAAAGAGCTGTACGGAAAATGATGGCATCGTGCACAACGACATTGGGGATTGGCTGAATTATGACCTGCGGCAGTCACCGTGGTTGGCTCGCCTGCGTTTGGAGCCAAGGCACGGCTGCATGAAGGGACGCCCCCTGTCCTCGAAGTCCATATTGTCCCCTCCGAGGCTGCCGTTCAGATCCAATGCCAGGCCATACGTCAAGGGGTGCCGCATGTGTCTATGGTCCTTCTCCCGCTGCGCTATTATGTCGAATGGCAACACGGACCCCATTAGTCGTGCATGCTTTCACGAACTCACGCTAGATCTCACACCTTCGACGATGGAACCATCCTTGCTGTTCGATCGATCAGGCTTACTGCTCCTCCAGCCGGTATTCATTCGGCATGACACGCCAGACGGTCGACCTAGATATGGACGTCGAGCCCGTGTCTGGCTCACCGATATGCACCATGGACGACCTGACATGCATATCGTACAATGTCACGACGAGGGCGAGGACGAGCTAGCAGTACCAACCCTGATTTCCTCTGGGTCAACCGGACACCAGACTCGGAGAGACTGTCGGCAACTCGACAGGAACGTGATGAGGTCCGAACGATTACTAGCCACGCCCGACAGTGGCGCGCCGCCTTACGACGCCAGCAACGACTCTACAGTGCTCAAACACAAGCAACGCACGCACAAAGCATTGTTGGGTGGGGCAGGCAAGGCACCGTGTCCGAGACGAGTTCCGCGGAGACCTCGGCCGCTCCATCACCAGCGGCCATGACACAGGTCACCGGCAACAGCACAGACCCCTTCAGCTACCTTGAAGCGCCGGACGATGCGTGGTGGTCGCACAACGCCTTCCAATTCGCGATAGAGAGCTGGCTGCCTTCTGTATTCCACGACTTGGATGTGCTGGAGGAAGCAACGGCTGGATCGGATTCCTGCCTTGCAACGATCGACCGCATCGTGCGAGGCTGCCTTGAGAACAGAATGCACATGTTCTCTCTCCTTGCCGCGAGCAGTGGGTTTATGAAGTTCGTTCTCAGACTACAACTCGACCGGCACGACACGCCTGAATACTGCATGGGCAAGGCTCTGCAACATCTACGGCACCATCTGGCGGCAAGTGATCCCCAGCCAAACGAGAGTCTCATATTTGACCTAATGGCACTGTCAACCTTTGAACGGTACGTCAACAACTTTGAAGGAGCCCGAACGCATTTTCGGATGGTTCAGCACCTTGTTCGATTACTCGGTGGGCTGGGGGTGATGGAGCTGCCCATGCGGCTGCTATGTTGGCTGTGGGATCTGCTGGTTGCCGGCTGTGCTGGAGAGACTCCGCTGCTGCCCCTTACATGGGATCCTGGTTCACTTCCACAACAACGCATGCAGAACGACATACTTCCAGACCTTGCGCAAAGTGGAATCATGCCTAGTGGCTCTGGGCTGCTTGAGTACGGGCCGCTTGTACATCGAGAACTCACCCCAATCATCGGCGACACCGTTCAGTGGTTTCAGGTCCAGCAGTACAACTACATCCACAATTTTTTCAGATCCTCCGTCGAACGATGGGCCACAAAACAATCACATGCCCTGGTCCATCGCTTGCTTTCAGTATCACCAACTTCGCCGGGTGATCCACTTCAAGGCGTGCTTTCCGAATGCATCAAGCAGAGTATTTTGAACGTGATAGCCCAAATTGAGGCTGCACGAAGGTCGCAAGCCGATACAAGCTCCATCAGAGATTACACAACTTCCTCATGGTCAGACGTCAATCGGCTTTACCACTCTCTCTCGATGCTGGTCCAGTCCGGGGAGAACTGGCAGACCCAACACGGAGAACTGGTCCTCTGGATGGCCTGTCTTGGAGTTCAGCAGACAGTGTCAGCAGTGAGAATACCATCGACGCAGTCGCTACCGTTGGGGGGACAGGAAGATGACCTTCACGCCTGGTTCGTCGCGTTAGCTAGGCAGATCCTTGACAGTCAGCGTCGAGAGGGACCACCTGCCCATTACGCTCGTACAGATGAGCTGGTGCAGGTCATGAACCGGTATATCCATCGCTGTGAGCCTTCCGGGAGGCCGAGTGTCGACTTGCTCGAAGTGGTGTTTGAAGCATGATTACATCGAAGCCTCCTAGCCCATTACATACAGTATCCCAATTAGGTCTCCGCACTGACTTTGTGGGTAAACGTGCCCTTCCTCCGGGAAAACCATATTCTCTGTTGCGGGCAATTCTGCAACTCCACGCGATTGAATGTCTCATGTTGTGTTATGTCACGATACACTGGGTAGGGGAGACGACAAAATTCGCGCCCCGACCCAAGGTGCGAAGTGGATTGGAGAAGTACGCGAGCGATACCCAATGTGGAGTTACCAGGTATTATGTAGAAGGTACATCTAGGTACTACGGTCTACGCCTGTAATTGCGTTCTCGAGACACACGCCGGATCGCATGCAAGTCGTAAGCGGCAGCACTGCCTTCTGTACACATCGGTGGACTCCTAACCTGTTCAGAGCGCTTCACATGAGAGCAACAGAATGGCTATATTGGGGGTTGTGAAGCGTCGAGGGACCACATGGCATGTTTCAACAGACGATTACAGGGGTAGACCGTAGGATGTTGATGAACGCGGCTTCACGACGAGCGTGCATGTATAACGTAAGTTAGGATATGGATGTATAGCTAACTACCTAGGGAGGTAGACACGAGCTCTGTTCATGATTACTGATACTCTCCTCTCCACAAGAGACCGGTCTTCTCGACAGAGCCAGTACAGACTGTAACTTCAGGTGCTTGTAGTATAATGTATGTATACCTAGGTACCGACTGTATAAACTTGCCCCGTACTCCCTGTTCATACCGCGCCTAACTTGTGTGAGTCAATGAGGGAGTGTCCTCTCATCCGTCCTCTTCTTCACAAACAGTGCTGTAAACTGTAAACCGGGTTGTTGTCTGTTTATTGCAAGCACGTCCCACAACCTTTATAAGGTACTCGATTCGCCGTACTCCTGTACATCACTCACGGCTAGTTTACCGCAAACGACGACTCTCTCGATGTATTATTTCGGTGCTACGGCCTTGCGAGCATCAGGTCCACTAGATCTGTGCCATGTAGGTATGCAAGCTGAGGCATAATCAGACACAGGCATTAACCACTTGCATCGATGTTCCTCGAGGCGGACTACAGTAGCCCCTCGACAGGCCCGTCAGTTCAGGACCGCTGCGTGCCATCGTGTGCCGTGTGAGTACAGCCCCTCCAACGAGTACAGCGAGCACAGCGGAACGGGAACAGGAACAGGAACAGGAAAAGGGAATACTCCCATACTCCGTGGGATCGAGAGAAAGGTCGCCACGTCTGTACATCTGTATTCGTGATCGAATACGCTACCTAATAGCATATGTACTGTACCAGGACTGTAGAAAGGGTGGTGACGCTGTTCCGGACCTGCTGCTATGTACTTCTACCTACACCTAATTAGCCCTAATTACACCAAAACCGACACACATGTGAGGCCAGCACGCATGGTATCGTGATTTGGTATACTCGTCCGGTCTTCCTACCACGCAAGCCATCGCCTCCAAATCACCCCTTTGGCCAATGACTGTATCTTCTTGACAGGCAGCTTCAGATCATCGCGTGGGTGTTGTACCCTGGTCCGCACCGGATGCCGACGCAGGCAAGACTGGGATAGGGCATTTTTGCTACCCCCATGTCCTGTGTCGGGTATGCTGTTCCCTTTCGTGGAGGGAGAAAAACTAGATTCAGCTACGGACGGATATTGACCGTCGGCGCTGAATGAGCAGCTCCACGCCAAACGCGAAGAAATGCCTCAACCGCTCTTGATCATTGGCCTGGAAGCTGCCACACGATGCTGGAGCAGTATGTGAAGGCGTACCGGCATAAGTATGCACAACTTTGGGGACGGCCAACGCTCCTCTTGGTGGAATTTCCTCGATCAACTTTCAGGCAGCATGTACTGCGAGCGACCGTTTCTTCTAGCTCTTGCGCATGGAGTAGGGACGTGCCTCTGACACTCCGAGACCCACTCAGCTGAGCGGAGCTATTGCAGCTGGCAGCAATCGGTGAGGGAGTCAAGCTCAGCCCGGACTCCTCCATTTTGGTATGGGAGAGATGGAAGGGGGACTCTTAAACCGTTATTCTGGGAGAGCCAGGGCTGGATTGAGGCGTTGAGAAGCATACCGCCTCGGAACGGAGATTTAACGAAATACGCTGTCTGCTGAGGTAATTAGATCTCCTCCGTTACCAGCGAGTGCTGGGCTAGTTGGCGAACTGGCCGTTGCGCGCTCGATGAGCTGTCGACGCTGCTTCCATCACTATTGACACTGAGTGGTGACTTCTAGCCCGTATGAACTCTGGCTTACACCAGATATGCCGCCCACGTGTGGTGCCATCGTATTCCTGCCTCTTTTCAATCTTCTCTTGCCATTTGCTTGGACGGTATTGTGAATCGATTAGCGGCACCTATGGCAAGAGACAGAAGGAGAGAGAAGTCAAACGAGATGCATGGCCGCCCAGGCGCATACTTGTGGAAGAGCACAAGGCGACAGATATGGAGAGATGACTATGAGATGACGGCCCATATTGCAACAAATGTTGTCTCAATATATGAAGCTCTATGAGTAATATATCCCTCAGCCAAGCAAGTAGCTGTTGAGTTCATCGAGCTCGTAGACAGTAGTCAGCAGGTCGTCATGTTGTGTCTAGCTCGAATAGAGGCAGTAACCACAAAGGGGTATCTCAGCCTGCGACGGCGGTGTTTTCCAGACATCTGCGGTCTATTGTCGCACCACGGGCTGTCTTCAGGGCTGCCAACCACGCGTGGCCCGGTCTGTCACCATCCCAGCCTCCGGCACATGTAAGCCCGTGGCCGTCTATCACCTCAAGATGTGAACACTGCATCAATCATGTCGATGGGCATGGGCTTCTGGCGCATAGCGCGACGCGGTGTTCGTCGAGCACTTTGGTTATGAGAGCCTTGGCGGGAAAGTGGTGGCAGGGGGCCGAGTTAGGATGACACCTTGATGGGGCATATCTGGAGAGCCACGTTCGCCTGGGGCAGGACAGCTTGTTGTATGCTGTACAGTCCACGCCGAGCTTGTACGAACTCTTCTGAGATGTTCGGAACAGCTCAGATCTGCTGCAGCCCGGCTGGCCGAGAGTGCTGGTGGACTCACGGCTTGACCAGCACCATGTGAGGTTCCCAGTTGGATGTTGTGTTTGGCTTTGCTCAGTTATTGTCGTCATTCCCGGAGTTCAGGGAGCGTCGGCCAGAGCCACGGCGACAGCAGCACCGAAGACTGCCGCCTCGTTGGTAGGCTCCAGCACAATTTTCTCCGCAGCATAGGTACTCCCAGGCGATGACGCTGCCTCGATCATTTGCCTAATAAACCCTTCGCACCGATCCTTAAACCCTGGGTATTTGAGGATGACGCTCCCATTACATGCGATTGAAGTTTTCGGAGTCCCGTTCGGCGTGGTGGGGTTGACATCGGTGTCTTTCTGCAGAGCCCAGAGCCCATGTACTGCAACCGCCATGTAAGCAGATGCACGGTATGAAATTGACTCGGCCGCAGCACGGAGGAATTTCACTTCTTCCAATGAAGGAGCCTTCTTCAGCGCGAACGCTTTCTTGATCGTTGCGATGGACTGCTGCATGGTCTTCGTTGTGTCCATTTCAAGCCTCGCCATGACCTCCGTATCCAACGAGTAGGGCTCTCGCAATGCCTCCGGCATCACGCCATTGAACAGCTCGCCGGTCCCGACGGCTTCGATGACGATTAGTCTCAGCAATTCACCCAGGTAGCGACCGGTCGTCATGTACTCGAGAGGCTGAAAGTCGGGTCTCGAGTGCTGTTTGTTGAGCAATTCGTCCCACCGGGTCTCTGTGAGAATAGATCTGCCAAACATCGACACTTCCGTGTTTGTGATGACTCGGTGGGCCTGATCAAACCAGGACTGATCCCGCACTCCAAATTTTGACCTGCCCATGCACCCAGTCGGCAGATACGCAGCAGCGTTCGTCCCCGTACCCAGAATCAACGCCATCGATGTTGCGGGATCGAGATATGCCTGAGATAGAAGAGTGGCAGAAGAATCATTGACGATGGCATCGACGCGGACATTCACATTCCTCCTCGCGCAGGCGGCTTCGATCAGTTCACCCAGATCCATGCCAAGTGTCGTCTCAGCACATGCGAACCCTTTGCCCATTCCTTGCACTTTGCCGCTACGGTGACTCGTCTGCTCGATTGGAAAGCTCCAAGCTAGGCCCATTGGTAGTGTCCTTTGAGACGACAACGCCTCCTTTGTCTTGTCCAACATATCTGCGATCCTGCCGGCCATCCAATCAAAAAACTCTGTGCCAGGTAGTCTGCGGATGTGTTCATCGATCTTCGAGCTCGCAATATGCTTGATCACCATTGGGTTCTGCGAATCCCTTCCGTGCAGCTCGACCAGTGCGATCCGGAGAGTAGAGCCGCCGACATCCAGAGAGATATAAGTGCCCGTCTCTCTACCATCCGGAAGTGCATAACAATAGGAAGGTAGCATACAAGCCTCGCTCTCCTGCAGTTTTGCCTTGTACTGGATGCGGAGGGCCGAGGACATGGAGAGCATACGGCGCAGGGTGCATGGCGATCTGAACAGCCGCATGACATCGTCCTTCAGCGACTCGAGGGTATGCAGGCTGCCGACGGTTTCGACGACGGTGACCTCGGGGCTGGAGGACTTGACCGAAACCGCCATGGTCTTGAAAGCGGAGGGGAAGATGATCGTTCGCAGGCGCCGCAGAATGCTGCGGAAGAATTCGAGGAGGGTCATGGTGGAAGAGGACGAAGCCGGTCGGGGCGCCCCAGGGTGTTCAGCTGCCTTCCTAGCGATAGAGGTAAATCATATTGGGCTTGAGGTGCCGACTTTTGTTCGCGGTCGGAGAAGAGACACACGGTGAAGCGGAAGTGAGGTGAGAGTGAGATGTCACAATCAGAAAATTCTACCCGTGAAACGTCGACCCCAGGAGACTGTGACAGACACCGTGGGAGAGGACGCAGAGGCTGAATTGTGTAGGTAGTGGTAGCATAGCATTCATCACAACACAAGATGGGGCATTGTCGTCAAACAAAGGTTAACCTTGAGGGCAAGAAACGGCTAAATGGAGACGGGTGCAACAACAATGATAGGCCTGCGATAAAATCACCGTGTCGAGGCAAATCGGGCCTCATGGTAAAGGGCCAGAGGAGGATGAGGAACCTCACCTCACATGGTGACAGTGAGGACGGGTTTCGACGGGCCTTGACTGCGTTGCCTTGCGTTGCGTTGCGTTACAATCTTGCTAGAGAGCGCGCAGAGTGCTACGGTAGAGTCGCAACTCACTGTCCAAGCCACTCGGTTGCAGGGCAGCGGCAACCAGGGCCAACAGGGCCTAGAGTTGCGCCGAGCTAATTACATGTACTCCGTACACGTTACATTTCAAGGTCACGCACGCTCTTTTCAACGCCAACGCGCTCCGGCCGTTCCTTTCTGGCTGCTTCCGGCGCTTTGGAGAATGCAACTCATTCCATGCGGTTATCTCATCTGATAGGATTCAGCCGTCACCACTGCAGTGTGCTGCTCCTGGTGGGCTCATCTGGGAATACTATGTCAGAGCGCTGATGTGCCTGACGTGCTTTTCGGTTTTCGGTCGACCACTGACACAGTCTGTGCACTTGATGTCTTCGTTGCTCTTGTTGCCGGTTGCCAGCTCAACCCGCCCCTGCTTGACCGCTAGACCCAAAAGCTCACGTGTTTCGCTGATGGAGACCGACGTAGCCTTGTCTGCCTCTCCAGTATCTCTTCTCAACAGCGCTGGGCATTCTGACAAGTGCCTGAACGAGCCTCTCATTCATGAAGGTGGTGTGCTACTGTTTGAGACATGGGAGCGGCCGAAAGATATGACTTGAGGCCGCTTAGACATCGACTGAGACTGCCCGGCCAGTTTGAGATCAGCCTCTGTGACTTTTCAGCCTCCCTGGGAATATGCTCGTTTCTCTACGTGACCTGGACAAAAGGGGATCTGTCTCAGTCTGGATAAGAGAAGGGGATCAGCACTATGCGGTGTTAGCCCACTGCCGCATCTGCATGCTTATACGTAGGTGTCATTATCGTACAACCTCAAGGGTCGCGCCGTTGTTACACAGGACGATCTGACCTAGAAGTCTAGGTGCAAAGGGGTTGCAAAGGGTGGCGTTTCAGTGGCATAGACCCCGACTACATGTCCAACTATGTACGTCCTAAGGCGCGAATGTGCTATGGCACACGCAGGTACTGTACGAGTACCCGGCGAGACTGCTATATCGTATGTGTGGAGGGCCGCGACTACGATACCTTTGCTCGCAGCTGTCCGGCGCATTTGGCTATCGATCAGGGTTTGTCAGTTTTGTCATGAATGCGTGACCGAAATCGATGTCCTTCGAACACAAGGTGGCTTGTTCTCGATTGATTTGATCCCCAATCTGACTGAGGCTGTGGAAGGGCAAAGTCCAGCTTCGGCGTTGGTTGTATGCAAGAAGCCGAAAGGTGCTGCAAACCATTGCGGCCTCGTCCTGACCGCTATTGATGGTGGTTCATCAATCACAATTCCATAATTAGTGAGCAGCTACAATTCCATGGCTGACTACAGCCCAGAGTCGCATTCAATGACTGTTTCTCTTGTGCTGTAGCCAGCAAATTGTCTGCTACAACAAACAGGCTGAACGGACTGGACCTGCGAGCCATCATTATCCGGAAATGCACCATGATGGATCCCACCTGTCAGTGATGCACGCCAATGCTGCGTCTACTAGGTACTCCCGCACACTTCCCCTGTCGCTGGAGGTCGAAGCCGATGGACAAGGGTTCATCACAGAGTATTGAAGCAGTTCATCCACGGCTCATCATCCGGCTCGCCTCTATTCGCTTAAGCTCGTCTCGGCCTGCTGAGCCACAGCCCCGGACACCTTTGTCGCATAAGGGCACCCCGGCTTCCTCAGATTTGCCCGACGAGTGCGCTGAGCCCGAGTACTACGACACCCGCAGTTCCAGCTGTCGCAGATGACAGCTCGTCACGGTCCTGCTTACTCACGAGGAAGAGGTGCAATGCCCAGTTCCCCTCGATGATGGTCAGACGCGTGGAAGAGTTTTGTTTACTCGGCCTCGTGTTTCAACGCCTGGGGTGGTACCATTGAAGCTCCCGCGCGTGGTGGTTTCGTGGTCTAGCGGCTTCAGCATGGCGTCTTGTGGCCCAGTCATGGTGAGTTTGGCCTTTGGGTATGACAACTTCCGGCCGAGTTCCAAGGACCCGCGTGGAGCTTAGCGACGACCAACCACCGGTTTTCAACAGCCTTGTTGTGCCTCGTATGACGGACACCCCGGTTCCCTGCCACCTCCATGCTTCAAGCCCCTGCCCTGTCCGATGTTTGACTTGGGAAAATGCCCTCGTCTACCTCACCTTCTAGCATCATCCTCGTCCCAGGCCCGCGTGTGCGAGATTTGCTGCGCTCTTCATGGCTCCGATGCTCCTTCTAAGCCACGACCTCTCGTCCTCTTTGCATCTCGGACGTGTCTTTTTCATTCTCGACCAGAACATGGTGTTTCTCAGCCAGCGCATCGTCTCTGAAATAGAATCAGTGTCGATCTACACCCAGCATCCGGTGGAATCCGACAGTCTTGTTTGACACAAACACGTCAATGCCCGTTGACGTGCAAGCCTGACACGGAAGCTGGCCTGGAGAGTTCAATAAAGCACTTTGTCGAGGCCAATGTCAAACCCACAACTGTAACCTTTTCACATCATGGAGTCACGGTTACGGAAATTGCTTTCACCCAGGAAACACAAGGCTTCAACCAACGATGCCACTGCTGAGCTGGATCTGCAGAGCATACCGTATAGCACGACTCCATCGCAAGGCCGACTACCTGTGCTCATCAGTCAAGCGTTAAGGAAACCCCGTGCGGTCAAGCAGTGCAAAAGCAGTCAGCCAGCCGACCCTCTCTGTTCGTTTTCCTACGAAGAAGCGGTACCTGGCAAGCCTCCTCAGCTGGGCGATCGGCCTCAGCGAGGTAATGGGCCTGTCAAGCTTCAGACCAGTCGGCGCCTGAGTTCCGGCGAGCTACTGGTCACTGAGCAGGACTACGACCGCACGTTGGAGGAGATCCGGGAGGGAGAGTACATTGTTGGCGGCAAGGAGAGGAGGTCTTCTTCTCAACCCAAGTCACCCACGGAACCCGTCAGCCTGAAGTTCATTTCGACGGCTCCCAGTTCGCCTAGAGAGCAAGTCGTTTTCGCCACTCCGATCTGGCAGCCTCCATCTGTACTCGGCGAGTTTGGGCCAGTCGCATCTCCTGCTTCGACCTCCAGCACTTTCCATCCGCCCCAGCGGTCGTACTCGGCTCAAGCATGTTATTCAGACTACCGCCACGATGGCTTTGGAATTTCCGGTCCAGCGCAACAGCTCTATGCTCGGCCTTCGGCGTCAAGTACGTCTCTCCGAGAAACTCACGAGGAGCATAACCCCACGATCCAAGCACTTTGGAAAGCCGAGTATGGTCGGCTGGCATCCATGTGTGGGCAGACGGGTGTGGACCAACCCATGGTGGAGCGTGGCATAGACCACGGTGCTGCTCCTCTACCGCACCCCGTAACCCGCCACAGGTCTTACTCGCACTCATCTCGATCATTAAGCCAGCCATCTCATCTACCAAACAGTCTTACAAGGACCGGCCCATGTTTAAGAACGAACGCCTCCACATCGGTCCTCGACCTGGCTTACCATGATGACCGCTCGGAAGGCTCATCACACCTCAGATACTCTCACCTCTCCTCGAGTGGAGCGTCCTCATCCCTCACAACACGGACCAGCATTGCCGAGGAGTCCAGCACTACCAGAGATGATATCCGCAAAATCGTTGACGAAATGCGGACGACGTATCTACAGGCCATCGAAGCTCAGACTCCACCCCTGCAGCCTGTGTCGAGCCCGTCCGTGGACAAGCCTCGATCCAAAACGCAAACACCCTCTCTCATGTCATATGCCTCTGTGGATAGTAGCCTGAGATCAGCCAGTCGACAATCCACGAGCACCACACGCACCAAGTCATGGCAGTCGAGTTCGACCCATTTCACGACACCTCGCCCGTCAGTATCCTCACCCTTGCAGTCGAAACGTCCAGGCTCCGCAACAAGCCGACGGACTTCTGGCCAACCTGCACTCGGCACGGCCACCTTGACGCCCATCGAAGCCAGCCCCGCGAAATCCCCCAAATCGAGCCAAAAGAAGAAACTCCACGAGGGGGCCGGCGGCGGCTTGAAACGCGCCGATTCGACCACCTTGGGTGCGATGGCGAGGAAACTGGCCATCGTCGACGACCGCCTCTCGACCGGTTCCTCACAGCCAGGTTCTAGACGGCCGCCGACATTCTACAACTCCTCGGGATCCGACTCGGACTCATCTCTGTCAGTGTCATCATCGCCTACGAAGAACTCGTCAGTGCAACACACGCCCGTGAAGCACAAGTCTTCGGCTCGCCAGCAATCGCCGCTCGCGAAACAAGCCTGGCAAATCGATGTTGATCAAATCCTCCCTCGGGACGAGGACCTCGAACTGGCGCTTGACATTGACGATTTCGAGACCCTATGCGACGGCTTGTTCAACGCGCCGGCCTCGACGGTAGCTGTGCGAACCGGCATATTACAGGGGTGGAATGATGGTGATTCAGCGACAGCTCCGCAGCGCCACAATACCAACGCCAATACTAGCCACTTCGACCACGATGCCTTCGCCTCGACCAGGCCGGCCGAGCTCAAGACGTCCAAGTTCGCCGATCACCACCTTGGCCATGGCTTGGGCTTGACGGGCCTTCCTGCCATGATATGAATATGATATGATATGATACCTTATGATTGATAGTTTCTACCTTATGATACGACACCAATGCTTTGATGGATGACGGTTGATGCATGGTAATGAGTCTCTTACTGTATTCAGGTTCCTTGGGTCTTGATGTCACAATCCCGTTTGTGGGGTGGGAAAAAAGTCGACACGCTATTTCGTTTCGTTTCGTTTCGTTGGTGTTTTATTTCGGTTCATTGCATTTCATCTCATCGACATACGGAACGTATACCACATATACCACGTACGCCACATACAGCTGACGCACGCGCACGCACGCACGTTGCACATCCCTCTGAGACTACCTAGGTACTCACAGGTCTTGCAGCTCATCGGTGAATCAGCTTTCGTTCGGTTCCGCATTACATGACATTCCGCTTCACGTCAATCACATCGCAACTCACCGCACCACACCACGAGGGATATCCACTACGTGTTCGGGTCTCCGTACCTTCACGACCGCCGAGATCTTTTCCCCTTTTTGACCGGGCCTTTTCGGAATATATCATGTATGTTGGCGATGCTGGATGGTCGGTCGGACGGTCGGACGAACGCAGCAAAGCAAAAGAAACGCAACGAACATTAATCGGACATGGGGAACGGGCGTTGAGGACATACGCATAGCCGTGGCCGTCGGGAAGGCGACCCTTCTGGTGAGGACAGCAGTGAGCTAGGCGGGAACAAAAGGGATAGGAATAGAATGGATGATATCAGGCGTACGCACAGAGGCACAAGCACACGCGTGAGCACGGACGGGTATCACGGTTGGGAAAGACAGCATCAAGCAAGCGTGGGAATATAAGGACAGGCATGGCAAGGCATGGTATGTCATGGCATGGCATTTCTTATGGCGAGAGCTCGAGAATATAGTAACGGTTTCTACTCTAGGGTAGAGTACAGGACTACCCGGTATGCCTCCACCACTGGATGCCCACTAATCCTATGAGAAAGGCAATGGATTGGAACGAGCTGCTCTGCTCTGATGTACTGTTGGAATCGTGACAACAGGTCCAGTCATCGCGCGCGCAAAGGATGGGATGGGATGGGGTGGGTTGGGTTGGTAGAGTAGCGCGATGCTCAGCATCATGTATCTTGCTCTCTCCACCGACCTACCTAGGTATGTCTACCTACCCGCCACCTTCCTACCCATCGATACGTTCATGACATCACGTTGTGCATACTTAGTCCGTACCCATTCCGGCCAATGTGCAAGATTGCTGTAGCACTTTGGCCAACGTCCAAGATGTCAGTCCGTAGCGCATTGCCTAAAACACCAGCGTCCCTCCCTATAGCACTTGGACCAATGTGCAAGATGTCGGTCCGTAGCACTTCGGCCAACGTGCAAGATGTCAGTCCGTAGCACATTGCCTAAAAACGCCAGCGTGCCCAAGGTACCTATGGCACTTGGACCATAGTGCAAGTACGGGTATAGCACTTCGCCTAAACTGCAAACATACCTAATTATAGCACCTCAACCGATGCGCCATACCAGCGAAGTCTTCAGCACTTCCCCAGGACCAAAGCGTACATGTGTCCGTAGCACTTCGAGCGACGTGCAACAAGTCTTCAGCACTTCGACCCAAAGCGTACACGTCTCTGTAATGGTAGCAGTTCGTGGAATCTGCAGGCATCAATTACTCGTCCATAAGCTGCTCCTATGTGCCGGCCCTTTATTACCTCGGATGTACAGCTCCGAGAGGACCTAGGTACTCGTACACAGTTGGAGTCCAAGTCACACCGCCACGGGGAGCAGAACACAGATCCTTTCCGACTTGGTCAGGGGATCGTTGCTCTTGCAAGGATTGTGTCCAAACGTAGTGACGGCGAGCTGAGGCGGGGATGAGAGGGAGAATGGAGCCGAAGGTGAAACGAGGGCAAAGTCAGGTCACATTGCACGCTGTGTGGCCAAAGCAGGAACTGTTTTGTGAGCAGCGCCGAGCAGGCTGCCATGTTAATCTCCTGGGATTTCGCTTGTCTACCGGCTTACTGTGTACCTAGGTACATGTAGACCGACGCATACGTATTGAGCCATGTTGAAAAGTACTCATGTTGCTTTCTGCCGGCGCGGATCCCATTGCTTAATGAGACCGCGTCAAACCATTGTTTCTTCGCGTAAATCATTTCATTTCGTCATCAGCTCCTCTACTCGTTCGATGCCGGGGTATCATGTTGAATTAATTGAGCACTTGCTCTTCATGCCTTGCCTTGGGGTATCATGTTGAATTAGATACTTTTTGATTTCCATCCCTTTCCACATCCCAGGCTCACCCGGCGGTGAGACCTTAACCACCAGAAAACTCCATTCCAGCCCCACAAGGTACGTATTCAAACGAGGCAAGAGTTGATCTTGCACGCCTCGAGCTGACGTCGGCGGTCAGCAAAAGAAAATAGTCAGAAAACCACTCAACTCTTGAGCGCAACTCCGTTTGTCGGGAATGGCACCTTGCGTTCCTCTCCATTCGCAATGCTCTTCTCCACCTCTGCAACGGGGGCGTCACCGTTCAGCACTTCTCTGGTCCCGTAGGTCCCATTTGCGTGATCGCTTGCTTCAGTGCCTTCGAAGACCAAGTCGAGGTCCCTGGCCTCAAGTCCCTCGAACACCTTGAAAATCTCATGGGTCTGATGGAAGTCGTTGTTGACAATGTTGACAAGATAGCATTCGCCCATGATAGTCTCGATCAGCTTCCTGCTGCTTGAGCCGGCTGGATAGCATTTCGACCAATCTTGACCGAGGCGGAACGCTTCGTCCTTCCAAGCCAAGAAAGACACTGTTTCCACGATTGTTGGCTGGACGATCTCTCGGTTCGGGAAGATACCCCACGTGACAGCGTTGGGGCCTTCGTCCTTGGTGTTGGTGAGTAGCTCTCCTTTCTGGTTCACGGCATAGTAAGTGAGGTTCTTGTTGGCGTCGAGTCTTTCGATGACTGTCTTGAAAATAGAAGGGAAGACAAGCAGCTCAAGATATGCTTTCTGGTACACCCAGCCGCCCACAGGTCCCCAGCCATGGACTGGATGCGTGGAAGAAGCGCCGTCGATTGCTGGCTGGGAGTTGATGGTGAGGAAGCCGCGCTTGTTCAGACTCAACAGGTCGTCTTTGATGGACTCGGCCTCTGTGGAGATGGCGCCTTCGCTCCACGGTAACCGGTCGAGGTCGCCCTGGAGATAGCGGACGAACAGAGATGTGACCTCGCGCAGAGACTTGGGCTTTCCCCACAGCTTGATGTTGGCCTCGTTTGTGCCTTTCAAACCAATGCCGTAAGCATCCAATTCGCCAAAGGCAGGAGATCTACTGTCGCCCCACCGTCCGTTGGGAAATTCGTCCCAGTCCGCCGTTCTTGTGATGTACGAGGTGTTGCGGTTCCTCCAAAAGATTGGTCGGACCGTCTCGTCTCTTCGGTTGAGACCCAGCGACTTCCGCCAGGGCAGAGGTTTCTCTAGAGCCAACCCAGAAGTTGATGGGGTGATAGACAAATCCTCTAGAACCATGCGTGTGGCTTGAGCGAGGTTCATGGTGTAAAAGTGAAGGTGCAGAATTCCTGCGTCGAGGATTTTCCGACACATCTCAGCCACCAGCTCTTTTCCGACTGCTCGGACAGCGGCATCGTCGTTCTTGACCGGCTCAAGTGCTTTGTACCAGTCTTCGGGGATGTGGCATTTTGTCCAGTTGGCTCGCCTCAGGAAGGCGGCGTGAGTGTGGATTGGCATGATACCAGGAATGATCGGAATGTTGATACCTCGGTCGCGGCATTTCTTTACCCAGTCTAGGAATATGTCTACGTCGTAGAACATCTGGGTAACTACGAAAGTCGCTCCGGCGTCCACCTTCTCCTTCAGATGGTCGATTAGCATGTCCACGTCCCGATGGTCGTCGCAGCCCTCGGGATAACCGGCGACACCGATATCAAAGTGGTCGCCGTATTCTGTCCTGATGTATTTGACGAGGTCCCTTGCATATCGGAAACCTCCCTCCTTTACTTCCCATTTTTCTTGGTCCCGGGGCGGATCGCCTCGGAGCGCCAGTATATTTGTGCAGCCGGCCTTGTACGCCCGGCGTAGGGCGTCGTCAACTTGAGTTCGCTCCATATCCGTGCATGTCAAGTGCATGCATGTTTCAAGCCCATAGTGACTTTGGGCAGCGTTGACCATTTCACACGTCAACTGAGAGTGTCTTCCGCCTGCGCCCCAAGTAATGTCAATAAACGCCGGTCCAAGGTCATGCATGCGGTCCATGCGGTCGTAGAGATTTTGAACGCCTTGGGCTGTTTTGGGAGGAAAGAATTCAAAGGAAAAGGTAGGCTTGTTGCTTTGGTGAGCCTGCGCGAGCTTTTTTGAGATGTGCATTTCGGCGTGCTGGACAACGAGTGGTGAAGGGTGAAGAAAGTGGCAGTTTGCACAAGCAAAATATGAAGAACCACGAAGAGTCTGGGTGTACGTCGAACAGAATGATTTGGTCTCGAAGCTGCCTCCGTTGGCTGTGTAACTCCTTGTTTACCAAATAAGGTCCTCCTCTTGACTAGAAACAGCTCAACCGAAGTAACGGTTGCGAGCCCACCTGTCAGCCAGTTCTCGCGGCATTGGGCGCTGGACGTAATGAAGTAGGGTGTATTTCAGGCAGAGGTGAGGTGTGTACGGAGTAAGATTGTCGAGCAAGTAAAAGCGAAAGTACGTGGACAGTAATACTATTGACAGGCGGTCAATGACTATGACATTTTCCTCGTCCGGGCCCCGCCATTTCCCTTACCATCCCACGCCCGGGAGCCTTGTTCAAAGTTATGCGTGTGGCTGTGAGTCGTTCTTGGCAGGCACCGCTCCAATCACCTTATGACTGCGTTAGCTTGCGAAGCACAAGTAAAATCTGCTGGTTTGCGGTGTAAATCCCCTTCGAATTGCTCGGGCGACAGGAAGCATATCACGCAGCACGCTGTTTGCGTTGGCTCGCCCTTTCCTCCACGCCTGTGCCCGCCGACCTGGTCGCCTGAGGCAGCCCGCGGCAGGCTTCTGCAAGCTTCGATACCGAAAGTTCTTGCCTAACAGATGTGCTGATACTCCGTACATGCTGGGCCAGGACTGAGTAGCTTGAGCATGCCGTGTAGTCGATGAGTCCAACCCACCTTGCCATATCATCCAGCCCGTTGCCACATTATTCGGATACTTTGTTGCCCCTCGTTAAGTGTCTATCAAGAAAAATCAGCGACAGGAGCGATACCCCGTAAAAGCGGTACGGTGGGGGTGAGTCGCCTGTGACCGTCGAGCAGTTTTCGCTCGAGCATTTGCGCCGAGGCCGGCGTCGCTGCGTGCTCGATTCGGCTGCGGGCAACTCCAAAATTTTGTCTGCCCTCTCAAAGCACGGCGAACATGGCGACGACGACATCCTACAAAGACACTCTCCTGCCTCTCCTTCTCAAGGCCAAAGTTCTCTCATTCGGCACATACACGCTGAAATCTGGACGCGTATCACCGTACTTCTTCACGTCAACTCTGCTACATACCGCATCACTTCTGGGCGCTCTTGCCCGCGGCTTTGCAGCTGTTCTGACATCCCCTCCGTTCTCCCTGCCACTTGGGACCGAGGAAGCAGGTAGTGACGCGGACGGTTCCCTGTCACCTCACTTCGATATCATCTTTGGACCCGCATACAAGGGAATCCCTTTGGCCGCAATTGTTGCCCGGGAGCTCGAGTTCGGTGGCCACAATTTCGAGGGTGTCTCCTACGCTTTCAACAGGAAGGAAGCAAAAGATCATGGTGAAGGAGGCATTATTGTTGGGGCGCCCCTCAAGGGCAAGAGGATTATCATTCTCGATGACGTGATGACGGCCGGCACAGCGTTGCGGGAAGCCGTCTCAATTATCAAAGCACAAGGAGGTACGGTGGTTGGCGTCGTCCTACTGCTCACCAGACAAGAACGGGTATCGGACACCGAGCCACGAAGTGCTATGAAGGTCGCTGAGGATGAGTTGGGAGTGCCTGTCAGGGCTGTTCTCAAGTTCGAAGACCTCTTGGAGGGCATTGAGACAGGTAAAATTGAGGGAGCGGGCCCTGAACAGCTGGAGCTGATGAGGACATACCGGGAGAAGTACGGGAGCACAGATTGAACTACGGCCACAGGCAGGAGTCCATGCATGGTTCAGGTATGGGATAGTTTGGGACCGAGCAAGATACCCAGATACACTACAGGTGTTTACGAAATAGAAAGCAGTGATGATAGACGAGGTCGACACGGCCACTATGACAGATGGTTAAGCCAAATCCAGCACTTCAACACCCCGCCTGATTTGCATTCATGTCCATGGGCACAGAAATTCGCCTTTCTTCATGGCTCCGGACCTTCGGGCGGACGAAAAGTCTCATCTCCGTGCCTTGCATTAAGCTGTAGAAGCTACACGGACCCAATTGAACAGTGTACGGAGTAAGTCCTCGACATCGAGTGCTGGATGAAGCCTGCGCGATGAGGCCCCGAGTCGCTGACCAAGCTCCAGGCTATCAGAGCAGCACGCCATCCGACTGACTTCGACAACTGCCACTGACAAGGCTAGTTTCTGACTTTCTGACGGCCACCACTCTCCACCACAAACCAAAAAAAACAATGGTCCATTCTGACATCTACGAAAATGCTGGCGGCCACCACCGGCCGGACGAACCTCCACCGAGCAATACATACATGCAGCAACGGAAGAAACGGTGAAGGTTCTGTAACATCAGAAGCCAGTTGAATTACCAATCCGTCACCATGAATGCATACGGATCTGCTCCACAAGGGCACCACCACCGTTCGTATATGAGGTCCGGAGGACGAGAGAAGAGACGAAGATGGCACGAGTCCCGTCAACCCAGTTCGGTGCAGTGTCGCTTGCTCAGGAAGCCCGTCTCCTCCCACACACGCATGAGGCCACGATCTTGAAAGCCGATATCACTTTCCAGATTCAACCATGACGGTGACAACCTCAACAACATACCTGATCACAGGTGCCAATAGAGGTAAGCTGCGGGCCCCAAAGACCCCTGTACATCATCCAGAGATCCCACACGACCATCACGACCATCACGTCCTCCTCCACCGACATTCTAACCACCCCTTCATGTAGGCTTGGGACTCGCCCTCGTCGAAGCATACCTCGCCCGCGCACACAGCACCGTCATAGCCGCCGTCCGCGACCCATGCTCCCTGAGCAGCAGAGCTCTCGCCACCCTCCCCCGCTCATCGACCAGCCGTCTCATCGTCGTCAAGATCGACAGCGCCTCCGCTACAGACGCGGAGGACGCCATTGCCACCTTAGCGCACACCCACGGCATCACGGCCCTGGACGTCGTGATTGCCAACGCGGGCATGGCGAACGCATACCCGGCCGTCCACGAGGCCAGCCCCAAGGCCATGCTCGAGCATTATACCGTCAACGTCGTCGGTGTTGTGGCGTTATTCCGCGCGGTGAGGCCCCTGCTACTGCGGACGGCCGCTACAACCACGAATCGTTCGGCCAGGACGCCCAAATTCGTCACCATGAGCTCGAGTGCCGGTTCGATTGGGGGACAGGAGCGCGTGCCTGTCCCGAACGCCGCGTATGGGCCCAGCAAGGCAGCGTTGAACTGGATCACCGTGAAGATTCACCTCGAGAACAAGGACTTGGGGTTGTGTAGCTTTGCGATACATCCAGGGTGAGTTGAATAGCTTTTGCCTCTGGGAAATACGTGTTGCGTCTATTGGGAGTCTGCATGTACGCATGCGCGCATACGCGCATGTACAAGGGCTGATCATTTATTCCGGGCCCATTACTGACCGTTTTCCACAGCTGGGTCCAGACCGAAATGGGCAACGCCGGCGCCAGGGCATTTGGTATGGAAAAGGCGCAGATCACGCTGGGAGAGAGTATCCCCGGGGTGGTTGACGTGGTATGTTACTTGTCCGTGTCCGCATCTATGGGTTTATGTCTGTGCCTATCTTCGTATCCATGTCTGCCCTGCAACCCCATGCACCCCAATCTCGTCTCGAGTCATACCTCCATCACCACCCCTGTCAGAGACAGAGGGTCGGAAGAGAGGGGAGTTTGCTGTGCAAAGGAACCGAAAATGGTGTCCTCTTCATTATACAGTCCCTCCATGATTGCATCTGCGGCAAAAAAAGCGAGAAGAAATGGTATCATGCTCATCATACAATACCCTTCATGATCCTATCTACATATCCATGATGTCCTCCAAGCTAGTTCTGCTGTTCTCTCCGTCCCACTGACGCTGACGATCCGTAACTTACACACAGATCGACAACGCGACAATGGATGCCACGGCCGGGAAATTCATGGTCTACGATGGCAAAGAGTGGGCTTGGTGAGTTGTCACCAGACCACGGGAGGCGGGAGAATTATGTTCAGGAACGCGGGTCCTCGATTAGGTCTTGTAGGATGCATAGTGGATACTAGGCGCTGGTAAGACGGACGGCGAGGAGAGATAGGGTCGGTAGATAGTACGGGCCGGTTTTCTCGATTCTCGACTCCTCTCTGAGTCGCTACCTAGATTGTTGGGTCGGATGCCATGCAAGAATTATCGCTGCCTGTCGCTGGGTTCGATGCATTCTCACTCAGAGGTCATCACGCTTCAACCCTTCCATGCTCATGGAGCAAAGCAATATTCTTCATTCGCCCCATTCATCTTCCCAAGGTCTTCTACCGGTACAACCACTATTGACCTCGATAGCCCTGTGTCTAGTTCCATTCGCCGGGACCTTCTTCACCCTGTTGTGTCCCGTTCCAGGCCATGGCGAACATCAACGGCAACCCCGCCGACACTCTAAGCCAGCAGCCACGACCGCTTCCGGCACCGACCATGCTGATCAGCCGTCGTCTTCGCCTCAGTCGAGTGCGAGAGATGTCATTTCGGATCCCGCTCTACCTCGTCTGCGACCCTCAATGATCCAGCTATCTCTACCACATGAGCGTTGATGATCTGGAATGCAATGGCCCGGATTTCAAGGCGTGTGGTAAAAGTGACGAGGCGAAGCGGTAGTATTACCTTTTCGTTCTACAAGGTATAGGAAGAGAGGAAGGGAGCAGAGACAAGGAGACGGGGAGACCCAAACCACCAGAAGGACGCTGACATCTCATTTCTGTTGTCGCAGGTCGCGTGTGGGATACGAGGGCGCAATCTCGCGTACCTTGCCTGTATGGTGATGAGCGTGTCCTGCCGTTCGATCTTTGGAGGGATGTGCGCGGCTTCAAGCGTCCATCAACGTTTGAATCTTGCCTGATCTGACAGTCGCTATTCACTCGCTGATTCCTTGATCCGCTGATAGATGTTGCATGCGGAGGTCGAACCGGCAATAGCTGTTCAAGGAGACAGAGCCGAAGATCCACAAGATCCAAAAGCTACACTGGCTCCCATCTACTGCGCTTGGCTGCACTCCCCTGAGTTCGGCCTTGAACCACCTGCTTACAAGCCCACCCAGCAACTGCCTTGCTCACACACGCGGGTGTAGAGCTTCGACCAGCCATAGCCTCCCTCTTTTCCATCTTCAAGGAAGTTCAGGCTTTTTCAGCGTGATGCACTTCCGCTACATGGACATCCCCACCCGCGAGCTTGATTTCAATCTGCTCCTCGATAATGCCGTGGCCATCCTCGGTCAAGTGCACGACCACCTCATCACCGAAGAGGGCGCCGATTTCCTCGACGGGGATGCGCTTCGTCTCGGGGATGTAGAAGTACACGATAACTGTAGAAATGACGCAAAGTCCCATGTACAGAAAGTACATGTTGTATTTACTTTCGGACACAACCCGAGTTAGCCGAATCCCATGGTGCTGCACGATTGTCTAGGAGGCACTTACATGTTCTTGAATGCCAGCGCCGACGGAGTGGTGTAGGTGATGGCACCGACAAAGTAGGAGAAGAAACCCAGTCCAATGCCCCGGCCTCGGATGTTCGTGGGGAATATCTCAGACATCCAGATAAAGGCCGGGCCGTCCACGCACTGGAACACGACGATGTACACGTAGATGACAGCCACACAGCCGGCGAGTCCGGCTTTGTGGTCGGTGCCAAGGTACTGCGATTGGAGGACACCTTCAAGAAGCAGACAGACGGCCATCGCAGGGAAACCGATGACTGTGTGCTACTTAGAAGAGGTCGTGGATCGAAAGGCCGCATCGGTACTCACGGAACATGGTTCTCCGTCCAACCCTATCGACTGTGAAGATGGCAATCGCGACGAAGATCGTGCCAATTGTGGTGTAAATCGCTGTACTGCAGTGTCAGGTTACATGTTCCGCGCAGACATGAGGGAGGGCAGGACGGACCGTAGAGCAGCAGGGGCATGACGCCCGTCATTCCCAAGCTCGAAAAGATCAGGACAAGGAAATTGGCAATGCCTAGTATCTAATTGATAGTCAGCTGAAAGTTGTGAGGTGCTCGCCCGGACGACGTACGCCGGTGGATTGAGCGGCGAACCTGGTAAGAAGTTAGACTCAGCCGAATTCCAGGATCGGTGTAGGAAGAACTGACTGAATAAAGATCGCGAGCAAGCTCCTCTTCCGCCACGAGGGCTTCCTGAACATTTCAATGTATCCCGCCTTTTGCTCCTTCTCGAATTCGACCTGTCTGGTGATTTGCACAAACTCGGCATGAGCTGCCGAGTCAGCCTCGTCGTCCGGATCGTGATGGATCCTGCGGAGTACTGTCCATGCCTCGTTGGGTCTGTTCTTCAGGCAAAGGTATCGAGGGGACTCTGGCAGATCAGTCAGCCTTGCTCAAACAATAGTGGAACGAAACCCACCAGGGATGAAAGGCAGCCCAACGACGAGGGCGAGCGGTCCGACCATAGCGAGCGCCAGCGGCACCCGGACCTGAATGTTGAATTCTTTTGCATAATAGGTGCCAATGGAGAGCCATGCACAACTGGGCCGTGTCAGTGGTCTGGTTCTTGATGCACGGTGACTGCACCTACACGAGATATCCCATGCCAAAGCTCAACGTTGTCAGTCCACTGAGCGAACCGCGGTGGCGCGGAGGTGCGACCTCGGTCAAGTAAAGTGGCACAAGACAGATGAGCATCCCCAGACCAAAGCCGTGCAGCAGACGAACTGCGATGAGCATACCAATCACAGTCGAACTGGTGATCAGAGCGGCTCCCACGAGGGAAGATATGGCCGCAATATAGAAGGCTTTCTTCCTCCCGACCACGTCAACCAGCCACCCTTGTGCCAGAGCACCGACGGCCAACCCAAAATTGAAGAGTGCATTGATGGCTCCGAGAATGCTGCAGAGTATTAGGCTCTTGTGGATCTCGAGGGTGAGAATGGGGTTTGACTTGCTTCGCGGTGTAGTCGCTCGTTGCTGCCAGATAGTCAGTACGCACGGATCAGCGTGGAAGGAAAAGTCCACTCACGATCGAGATCGAAGTACTCGTAGAAGCTGGGCTGTCCAAGGCTGGTGACAAAGATGGCGAAGCCAAAGCCATAGGAGAATCCTCCCCAAGAGACGACCAGGCAGATGGCAATGTTGAACCACGTCAATTTAGCCATGTCGAACAAGACGCTTTACTCAGATTGCTTGAGCTTGACTCGAGTATCTCAGAAGTCCCGCCGATTCAGCGGCACGTTCGTCTTCTTTATAGTCTGGTGTGTCGCGTTCTCCGCCTGGACTCGGACGCGATCACATTACCGCTCCGGAGTATTCGAGAAGCAGAGCATCACCCCGGACTCTGACAGCTCGGCTCTCGTCTCGCTCCACGGGGTTGGGTGTGGGGTGCATTGTGAAGGTTCCGCTGGTCTGGGTCGGTCTATCGTGGCTCCAGCATCGGCGGTGGTGTCTGAGACAAGAGTCTAGCCGAGCGCATGACTGTTGGGAGCTTCGAGTAGCCTGGGTTTGTGGCTCCGTAAACTTTCTGACAGTGTCCATTTAATTTCTGACATTCGTTTGGTCAGTCAGAAACGTGTACCACGGCAAAGGCATCGGGTATGACGGGAACATGAGCGGTGGTAGGCTTGTTGGTATGAAATGTGTCCTTGATTTGCGTTTAGATCAAAGGCATATGTAAACCCTTCCGCTACAGTATAGGAGCTTGATGAGCGTTTGCACAGGAGTGAGCAGTGTCAGATTGACAACCGAGTCAGGACGTTGAGAGATGTTGACATCTGCCGAGGTCAATGCTCGACCGTTGCACCCGACGGTCTCTACGGTGGGCCACAGCGGCCGAAGCACTCAGTAACCCTCGTAACCTCAACGCGTCGACTTCTCATTAATATTCAGTGAGAGATACTGTCCATGAACCCCATCTATCTCTCCGAGCTGATGAAGCGCTACACTGGCTGGTGTTCTGATCGCAGTCGTGGACCATTCACCTCATCGGCCTTACAAGGGGTCTAGGCCGGGGATTTCAGTATCGGCCTGGCCCATCAAATACAACGTACAAGACAGACTGATCCTGAAACCATGTCTCGTTCTCTTTGTGCTGAATAGAGTTTCGGACCTTGGTATGAATCTGCTCATATCAACGGGTCCGACCGAGCAGGGACGCCTGAAGGGTGGACGCTCGAGCCATACCTGGCGCCGTTGGCAATATATGCGTTGAGTGTAACCATTTGCTCTCTGATGACTTGTCCCCGTGTAAATGCAAGTGCGGCTCCAGTCTGCGCTTCTGAACCTGAACAGCACACGCTGAGCCACCCGTCATGGAAGCTTGCCAGCGCTCAGAAGAATCAGTATCCTCATTGTGTACTGTTTAAGAAAACGTGCAACGGGGAGGCTCTAAGTGTATGCAACCTCCTGTGGCGCCAAGTTGATATGACCACGACGAGACCATGCAACTTTGCCCAGCGGATAGTTTGCTCCGTTCTCTTATCACCCATTGCGCTGGGAGGGGCCGGCCAACAAAGGACCTCGTTAAACGCTGTGGATCGTGTCGTATCGGCTTCGCCATAGCCAGGAAGGCCATTTTCCGTATTACTGGAGCGCGGCGTGCGTGGATGGAGTCCGACGTAACCCAGTCGCGGAGATGAAACTTAGCCGAATGCTCGCATCACACGATTCGTGCCTTGGCGCCTTGTCGTCGCAGAAGCTCTACCAGGCGGAGGAAGGTGCCATCCCATGTTGGTGATTATCACCGAACAGGAGAATGTATCACCGGGGCCAAATCCCACACAGGCTCGAGTTGTAGACTGTGTGCTTTCGGAAGTGGATTGCCGTCGAAACGACTGACCGATTTGACCTTCTGAGCCTTCTGTGCGAAGACAAATGAACGTCGATTCGGCTGATGCTGGTACTCGCAGGGGATGGCTTCTCCCTGAGACCCAGAAGGAAGGCGGCTCTGACACTGCATGGTAGCGCATCGCCTTCTGTCTGTCGTGCGCCCTTGAGTCTCCTCTAACAGGCTGACATGCCACTCCCAAGTCGCGGCCTCGGTGTTGAGAATTTGCACAGGGCGGATCACTGGATCGCGCTGCCGCCATCACATATGTTGGTTGGTGATTCTCTTGCTCTGAGGTCGCAATACTGGGTAAGTCCTTTCCAAAGACATCCGATCTCGAATTCGAGTGGCTGATTCGATTCGTGGCGGCGTCACTGGTTCTCCCAGCATTCTTGTCGGTCGAAATCCCGAGAGACATTCTCCGCGCAGTGCTATCTCACGACGCCGCCAATTCCGAACGTCCTTTCGCTAAGGTCACGGGTTTCGTTCTTCCACGGGATGCTCGATTCGAATTTTGACTAAGGATCGTTCTCGGCGCGCGCAGATGTGACTGGGAGACGAGGGATTTTCCTAATTTCCCATCCGCTTTCGTGGATGCGCAGTACGCTTGTCCTGGACTGGGATTGATCAGTGTTTCATTAGCAGCGTTTCAACCCAGCAAACGTAGTAACGACTCCATGAGCAACCTTCGATCCACCGGTTTCGCAATGTAGTCATTCATGCCTTCGGCCAGATATGCTTCTTCGTCTCCTTTGAGGGCATTGGCGGTCATGGCAACAATGGGCATGGCATGCCCAGCGGCACGGATCTTCCTGGTAGCCGTGACACCGTCCATCACAGGCATGGAGATGTCCATCAGGATCAGACTGTATGCCAGCGGTTTCTGTGTGACCATTTTCAAACCCTCCGCGCCATCGGCAGCTATATCCACCTTTTCGAACCCAAAGCTTCGCAACAGGCGAACCATGATGGTCTGGTTGATGGCATTGTCTTCAACCAGCAACAGATGCTTCGTATGGGCCAATTTCCTGAGTTCAACATCCGGCGCGGCCTTCGCAAGGGGTTTCACTGGCGTCACTTCAAGTTTGTTAACTTTTGTCGTGAAAAAGAAAATGCTGCCCTTGTGCAAAGGGTTTTCCAAGTACCCGACATTACCGCCCATCAACTCAGCCAGGCTCTTGCAGATGGAGAGTCCGAGTCCCGTGCCCTTGAATTTCTTCGTGGAGGAGTTGTCCAACTGAGTGAATGGAGTAAACAGGACGTTCTCGGCTTCCTGACTCACGCCGATACCCGAATCAATGACTTCTGTCTTCAATTCGAACGTGGCTTCGTCCTCACGAATGACGGCTACTTTAACGCGGATGTAGCCCTTGTCAGTAAACTTGACGGCGTTCGAAACCAGGTTCTGAAGGATCTGCCGGTATCGAAGAGGGTCTCCTTGAGCAAAGGCCGGCAGGTGGGGGTCCAAATCGACTTCAAATCTTAACCCTTCGGTAGAACCAATGTTGAAACATCGTCGTACGGCGGCAACTATGTCAGAAATGTTCATGACCTCTTTGTTTATGGAAAAGGAGCCGGAGCTCAGCTTCGAATAGTCGAGGATGTCGTTGATGACCTGTAGGAGGATGGCGCCCGACTCGTCAATGATATCGGTCAGTTCCTTCTGCTCTTCTGTGAGACCCGTATCAATTAGGAGCGATAGGGCGGAAAGCATGCCGTGCATAGGCGTCCGGATCTCGTGACTCATGTTGGCTAAAAAGTCCGACTTCATTTTTGATGCTTCCTCGTAAGCAGCAATCAACCGTGCTTCACCGGCTTTTCGTTCCGTCAGATCTCGCGTGACTTTGCTGAAGCCCGTCAAGACACCGTCTCGGTAGACAGGAGATATAATGACGTTCGCCCAAAATCTAGAGCCGTCCTTCTTGACGCGCCAGCCCTCATCCTCGACCTTGCCTTCCCGGAGAGCCACCTCCAGTTCCTTCTCGGGCTTTCGCGCTTTTCGGTCCTCTTCGCTGTAAAAGGTTGAAAAATGCTTTCCAATGATTTCTTCTTCTTTGTACTGTTTAAGAAGCATGGCTCCAGTATTCCAGGTAGCTATGCAGCCATTGGGATCCAGCATGAACATGGCGTAATCTCTGAGCGTGCTGACCAGCGTCCGAAATGTCTCTGCGGACGCGAGTTGAGCGGAACGCTCTTTGGCTTTTTGGATCTCCTCGGTGACGTCTTGGCACTTTACTACGACATAGAGGAGGTCATCGCCGTCATGAATCGGTAGAGCTTCAATGCGCCAATAAGTGGGCGTCGCTATCCCCGGCACGGGCTCGGATTTCTGTTCTTTGCGACTTGCGATGGCGTCTTGGATCATCTGCAGGATGTTGTGGTGTTCGGTGGGCAGCAGCAGGTCGCCGATAATTTCTAGAAAGTTCTTGCCGCGAAGTTGCTCGGGGTCGATGTCGGCCAACCGCCTCCAAGAAGAGGACATGATAATAATGTCAAAGTCTCTGTCGAGGACGACGGTCGGCGTCGGCGACAGAGCGACGAGTCGATCCATGCCGGCGAGCTTCTGGCAGCCGCAAGTCGAAGACGGGCTGAGTGGCGGACTGAGATTATCGGAGGTCAGAGGTTTCGGCAGCGGGGTGACAAAATACGATTTGCTGGCCGCCCGGACAGCGCCATCAGGATGTGATTCCGCCGGTCGTTTTCGCGACGTCATCTTCGCCTGTTAGTGCGTGTGCATATCCTTTTGGACGTAGAAAACAGGCGCCGGGCCAGAGGGCGTAGAATGACTAGGAAGGTGGGGAGAGTTTTGGAGTGTCGAGAACAAAAGCTGATAAAATAGATAACAATAGGTGAATCAACGTGCTGGCTTTGGCTTACCTACAAATAAGTGCAACGAGCGCTACGCGAGATGCGGTATTGAACTGCGGGCGCCACGGGGCGGAAGGGGGATGCCACCTGGTCCTGCTTGACACTGGCAGCGGCACCTGCGCTCTCGAGTCTATGGTGGTTCCTGATGATCAAACGTTCAGGGATGAGTGAGGAGGAGGTGAGCGCAAGCTGATTCGAGAGCGGCTTAACCGGAGTGCAGTCTTCTGGATGCGCTCTACCGATCGTTGCAGCAGGGCAAACTCTATCTAGCTGCACGGTGTTGTAGAGGTCTTGAGCAGAACGACGAGTTCGGATCGTCTGGACCTCGAGACGGGTGCAAAAGACGATGCAAGTGATTGTTGGCTGTTAGATTTGCTGAAAGCGATCCGGCTTCAAGCGGATATGCGACTTGTTACGCAACATGAGATGTTTGGGGCGGATAGTTCTAATGTGTGTGTACGCCGTAGGCTTGTAGCTAACGCCTAGGACCCTGGATCCTGTATCGGCTGCAGCCACTGGATAATTTCAGGGGTTAAAGGGACCTGGTAGGGCTCCATTTCACCACCGCTCAGGAAACGCCAGAGCCGTTACGAGGTGGTCTTGGACGTTATCCACGATCCTGGCAGGTAAACTGTCTCTACAGCCGTCCCTGGACTTGCCACCTGAGATTTCCTGCGCGTGCCGACCCTTTGGTGGTAAAGATGCGTCGAGGTATTGCACGAAGTGGGTGTTTCGCTTGCAGAGAGTTGCGAGTGGATTGTGAAACAAGTTACAGGATTGGGAAGCTGGTTAATTAGTGGCTGTGGCAGGGCCGCACAACCGGGCAACCACACACGGGGGACTTTATGCCGGGGCACCTCTTGCTTTAGCGACCCCTGGAGAGCCTCCAAAGGCTAGCTAGCGAGAGTCCAACTGGACAGGATCTGGGAAGCCGGGCGCAAGTGCGGGACAGTTTGCCTCAGCATCGATAACCGAGCAGCGAGTGGGTCGCATGTGAAACGTCAGATTGACCTGTACGGTGCAAGGAGCGCCGCCGTCGATTATTTGCTGGCGTGGTAGCCACAGTGGTACAGCAGGCAGAGGCGAAGGAGCGCAACTTATCCTGCCAGAGGAGGATCATTCATGGGGAGCATGCAGGACGCAGATGTCGGCGGGGATATATAGCCGTCAATGACGGCAGGATAAAGCCAGGAAGGCGAGCACCTAGCCATGATTGACACCTTCTTGAGGTCCTGACAGCTGTCGCTCGCGAGGGCAGACGCCAATAGATCGAGGCATCGCGCAGCACCGTTCCCGCCGTTGTGATTCAGACTGCATTGCTAACGGGCATGGGGTGTCTGCTACCAACGAGTCTCGTCATGACTTTATGCAAGTACCGCCACCAACGAGGAGGTCTCAGTTGCCCGAAAGTTCGGATCCCACGCTTTCGACAGCAGGCATAATGGATGGGTTTCCAAGACGAGAGACGAGCATCGCAAATATCTCGCTGCACTCCAGCATGCCTTTTGATGTCTTCTAGCAACATGCTCGTATGACAACCAGATTCGACTTCGACGTTGGTGCGACTGTCAGCGAGATATCATCTCAACAGTCTGGGCGACGATCGCTCTGCTCTCGCCACCATATGCACATGCAACATGCCATGATCACAACCCAGGAGAGATTCCAGATTCCCTCCCTGTTACTGTACGAGTCCCCTGCATCAACACCATACCAGTACGAGTATTCACGCCGCAACCAATGGCCATCCCCGATCGCTACTCTCTGGCCAGGCCCTACTTGAACGAGAACTTCTTTGGGAAGATCGATCACGTACCCGCCCCCGACTGTCGTTACGACTATGTTCCTAATAATTGTACCGGGGAAAGCCAGGTCTCTTAATCGTGGTCTTCATTCTATTCCATTCGCTCGTTGGTGAGGCGATTGCAATAGACGCTGGTGCTGGAAAGCGTGCATCAAGTTGTAAACATCCCGGCCACAGATATCATTGTCCGAACTCATACAGGAGGCATTCGCTTCCAGCAACGCCACGTACCAGATCTTGGCTTCTCCTGCACTTCATAAAGATAAGCTCCTTATGGAGAGCTTTGTTTCCAGAAAATGCCCAGACGGTCGCCTGCAAGGCTGAATCCTAGACACCCCGGCGGGCCTGCCGGTTTCCCCACATACCACTTACCGTATCTTGGATCTTCTGTTGTTGCCGTCGAATCTGCTCCTCAGTTTGCCCGTGCCCGTTACCTCTGGAGTCGATCTCCATGGCGTCCGAATCACCTTGCTGCGGACCTCTTGCCTCTTCGCCCTGGACCGTTTGCCCCTGTGCATTGATGACTTTACTACCATTCACGTCTTCAATCTTGGGCTTGGGATCCACACTCATAGCACCGTCCATGTGTCCGGCCATTAACCCACCTCCTTCCCGTAGCTTGTTGATCGCTCGGACCGTGTCGATTGCCTTGTGCAACGTCCTTCTTGCATTAAAGTTTTTCTTCACCGTCGGGAGCAGATCTTGGCCATCGCCAGGACCTTTGACCGGCGAAGTCTCGTCCATATCCGTCTTGATCCAAGGATGTTGCAGCGCTTGATGCGCGGTCATGCGTGCTCGCGGATCGATCGTGAGGCAACGCCTGATAAACTCTTTGGCCGTCTCGGACACATTCCGCCAATATTCGTGCGGTGTGAAAGAGTAATCGGCTGCCAGTATTGCCTGCATTTCCTCGAGGTTGGAATCGCGGTCGAAGGGTGTGTAACCGCAGAGAAGGAAGTAGGTTATCACGCCAATGGCCCAAAGGTCACTATAATAGAGATCAGCAAGAAGATACACACAAGACATGTATCCATCGCACATACACTGGCTTGCCGTGACCTGTCTTTTTGAAGATCTCTGGAGCCATATAGCCCGGCGTGCCACATGTTGTGGTCAGGACGTGGAATTGCTCCTCATCCATGATCCTTGACAGTCCAAAGTCTGCTATGAGAAGGTCGGCATTGTCTTCCGGTGTCCGGAACAGTAAGTTCTCGGGCTTCAGATCTCGGTGAACGATCCCGTGGTCATGGAGGTAGGCGACTGCGGACAAGGTTGCGCGGATCAGGTCGGCCGCGTCAGATTCGTAGTAAGAGCCCTTTCTGCAAATGCGATCAAAGAGCTCTCCTCCCAATGCAAGGTCTGTTACGAGATACACTACGCCACTGTCAGACGAGACCCTCACTCTACCTTCTGCGTAACAACATACAATTGTTCATCGTCTCGAAATAGTCGACGAGGGTCAAGATGTTGCGATGTCCCACCGAGACTCGCTTAAGTACAGCGATTTCATTGCGAACCTGTCCGCGTCTGTCAGAGGTGACTTGGGCAAATTGTTGTGAACCTACCATATGCTCTCGGCCAGCCATTAGCCGCTTGTTGATGACTGCCATGGCGTGAGTACGGCTGCTGCTGCATTGTCACCGACGCAACGCCCACCTTTTGCAGCATAGTATCTCCCTGTGTCTATGTGAACGCATTCCTTGACCACCGAATATGAGCCAGCGCCGAGCGTCTTCCCTGCCAGAAGTCAGCAGATGCACTGCGTGCGATCCAGTATAACAATGCACCAGTCTTGTATCGACAGGGCTGGACCTGTGGCTTCTGTTGGCCTTGTGTCGCCATATTGGCTCTGCGACTTTGAGTCCTCCAAGACCCTCTGGTCGTCCGATGGTGGTCTGACTGAGGTAGCGCAGTTCAGGTAAGCGAGGCCGGGTCCGGCTGACGAGTCGAAAAGGTAGGAGAAAGGGGAATCTACAACGACCGGAGCCTGAACGATGAACCGCGCCGTAGTGCGCAAAACAGCAAGGCAGAGCGATCGACGACAGAAATCTTTCCAGCAAACGTGCCGGTTAAATGTCAGATGGAGGCAGATGAGAATATGTCTATTCAGCTGAGAGATCCAGGTACGTGTCGAGTTTGGAACGCACCGCATACGTCGGCTGGCCCGCAGCTAAGGACTCGGACCCCTCTATCGACCAACAATCCCTGCGCTTTCGATAAGGGCAGCAGTGCGGGGAAAGGGTGGATATGCACCGGGGGAGTGCCGCGCCCCTGCGCGCCTTGGTCCATTACAGTTCTGCAGTGGAGGCTTCTCATCTATTCGCAGCGACAGTACATGAGTATCATTCCTTTTCGTGGCCGCAAGACGCCAGGCTGATGCATGAGAGCTGATCCTCTTCTGATCCTCCCGTTCGTGGTTCTATTCCTGCGGTATCATTGCACTATTCTCCATCCATTCCTCCCGGCGCCTGTTGCTTGCCCATCTGCCTCGCCTTCAACAGCTCATCGCATAGGAGCAGATTGCTTGCAATGCCCTGACTGCTCGCAATGCTATTTCGTAGCACCCTGAAACTGTCGAAGACGCCTTCTTGCACAGGATCCATGGGCTCTCCCGTCACCAAGTCTAAGCCGACCACATTGCCCTCTGCATGCTCATCTTGCAATGCGGCTAGAGCATCTTGAATGTCATGGCCAGAATTTGTAGCGAGGGTCTTCGGGATAATGAGTAGAGCATCTGCAAAGGCGGCAACGCCCCACTTGGCTTTACCCTTGACGGATTTTCGAACCTCTTCGGAGTTGAGATGTGCCGCAGCAGCGATTTGGAACGATCCAGCGCCAGGGACCACACAGCCGTCGACAATGGCGTTGTAGACACTTCGCAGCCCGTCTCGAACAGCGTCCGTGATCTGGGTGATGCTGTGTTGGTTGGGGCCTTTAATCAACAGTGTGACGGATTTTGGGTCCTTGACTTCCTCGACAAAGGTGTACTTCTCCTCGCCCAGCGTTTGCTCGTACACGAGACCTGCCCAGCCAAGGACTGAAGGATCTAAGTCATCCACACTGTTCTGTGCTTTACCACCACAAATGAGTTGTAGTCGCTCCATGTTCCGCCTCTTGGCCCGTCTCAGGGCAAGTATGCCATTCTTCACGAGTACGTCTAGACTCAGCGGGTCGATGCCTTTCTGGTTGATTACCACGAACGACTTCTTCGGGTCGGACCCGCAAACTTCATTCTTTAATGCAATGATCTTCTTCAACTTCTCATCCACAAACCGTCTCTCCGAAGCGACTAGTTTATCCCGTTGTTCGGCGCTACTGTAGTAGAACCCTGAGTTGATTTCCGACTTTTCGTACTCGAGAGACACATTCAGGGTCAGGATGTAGGCATTTTCGACTCGTTTAGGCATATCAGGATGTCTTGCTCCGTGATCTAACACTAAGCCCCGGATTAATGTTGTGTCTGATGCGAGTTTGTGCTGTAGTTTCATGATCTCAACCATATGAAGATCGGGTTTCTGGGGTTTTCTTTGGATGGCAAGGACGGCATCGACTATAGACGAAGTGAGTTTGGCGGCGAGGGTGGCGTTGATCTTGGTAGATAGAGAGGTTTTCGCGATCGAGAGGAGCAGATCGCGGTCAATGTCGCGGGTAATCTTGAAGCTGTCAAGGAACTTGAGTGTTTCCGTTTTCGCGATTTCATAGCCGTCGGTGATGACTCGAGGGTGCAACCCTTCTTGAATGTATCTGTCTGCCTGCTTGAGAAGTTCTCCGATCATCAATACCACGGAGGTAGTGCCGTCGCCTGTGATGTCGTCCTGCGCCGTAGCGGCTCTAGCGATGAGAGTCGCAGTGGGATTTTGAATTGACATCTCTTTCAGGAGAACTGCACCGTCTTTTGTGAGTTTGATCTGGCCTGAGCCGTCCACCAACATCTTGATGGTGCCCGAGGGGCCCAAATTCGACCGGAGTACATCTTGCAGCCCTTCACCAGCATTGATATTGACTCGTAAAGCCTCGCCTCTTCGCCTGCTCTCTGCTGTTCGATTGAGAAGTTGTACGGCTGTATATAATCAGTGGGAAACCCTCGAAGAAAGCCAAAGCACCTACCAGACATCTTTGTTGGACTTTAAATGAACATGCGATGGTGGACGGTTTGCAACATTATTTTGCGCCAAAGTCGCGGATCCACCAAGTGCATTGTTATACCGGGCAAGTACCCCGAGGCTCTACGCCGATGCAGTAACCGTTCCTGGGTTAGGGCCAAGTGATTCAGGTGTGCTCCTTGCCAGTTTCCCAGTCTCCTGTGGTTGTTCCGCAGTGATTCTGCTTCCTGAATCGCTGCTTCACACAATGACTGATTCCCTTAAAGACGCTTGGCTCGAGTTAGCCTTGCTCTGGCTCTTTGCTTTCCCGCCTTGTGGCCTTGCGGGTACGTAGCAAGTCGAAGTGAGCGCTATTAGACCCAACTGAGTTAGCTCGCCAAGCCCTTGTCAGCGGATCAGTGAAGGTGTCGCCCGAATCACTTCCTCAAGCTGCGGAGGAAATCTTCTGGGCCAAATTTTCGTCGACTTCGCACCAGGTGTTGCAGCGACCTTGACGTGTCACCATTTATGTGCCGTACCTATTGTTTCCTGGTTGGTTGTTGCATAACCAAGTCTTGTCGCGACCGGCGCGCACTTTGCTGCTAGACGCCACAGTCAAGCACACAATCTTTCCCACTCCGCACGAATCGACACTTGCGCCATGGCCGAGTACCTCTTACACGAAGGCCCAATGGGGTACTCTATCTTCAAGGTCTCTCATCAACCTGATACTGTCGGCAATCGCTTGAAGGAAGTCCAAGACAGTGTGCAGGACCTTGCTCGGTTCGGCAAGATGGTCGACCTCGTCAGTTTCTTACCATTCGAGTACGCTGGCACCCGCCGATATTTGCCAGCACTCTGTTAACGATGCATTAGGAGCGGAAAGCAAGCCCTCTCCGAACTCAACGACATCTCTGAAGGCATCGCATCCGACTATCTCAGGTCCTTTCTGGAACTCAATTTGCCAAAGGCTGGAAAGAAGAACAAAGTCACGCTGGGAGTTTCAGACAAGATTCTCGCTGGCAGCATCAAGGCCGTCTTCCCCAACGTAGAGTGCCAAACGGGCGACACTTCAGAAGTTGTACAGGATATGCTCCGAGGGCTTAGATTACACTCCGAGAAACTGCTCAAACAACTACGCGAAGGCGACACCGGCACTGCACAGCTCGGTTTAGGCCACGCATACTCCAGAGCCAAAGTCAAGTTTTCCGTACAGAAGAATGACAATCACATCATTCAAGCCATCGCAATCCTCGACCAACTCGACAAAGCCATCAACACGTTCTCCATGCGAGTCCGTGAGTGGTACTCGTGGCATTTTCCTGAGCTCATCAAGATTGTATCGGAGAATCACAAGTATGCCAAGGTCGCACTGTTTGTCAAAGATAAGAGGATGCTGTCCCCTGAAAGTCTACACGACCTTGCTGCGGTCGTGGACGATGACGAGGAGATCGCAAAGAACATAATCGATGCAGCGAAGACCAGCATGGGGCAAGAAATCTCGGTTTCGGACATGGAGAATGTTACCACCTTTGCGGAACGAGTGGTCAGTCTTGGCAACTACCGAAAGACTCTTCACAGCTACCTAGTTTCTAAGATGGGCGTGGTTGCACCAAACCTTGCCGCTCTTATTGGGGAAATTGTGGGCGCGCGCTTAATCTCTCATGCTGGCAGTCTGACGAATCTCTCAAAGTATCCTGCCTCGACCGTTCAGATCCTGGGAGCCGAGAAAGCGTTGTTCAGAGCGTTGAAGACCAAGGGCAACACACCGAAATATGGCCTCCTCTATCATTCATCCTTTATTGGGAGAGCTGGCCAGAAGAACAAGGGGAGGATATCGCGATTTCTTGCCAACAAGTGTTCGATCGCCTCAAGGATTGACAACTTCTCCGAAACACCGTCCACGGTCTTTGGTCAGGCTTTGAAGAAACAAGTAGAGGAAAGGTTGGAGTTCTACTCATCCGGTGCACAACCCACCAAAAACGAGGTCGCTATGGTATGTTTGCCTGGCATCTGATCTAGCTACTTGCTAACTGTTCGAACAGAAAGATGCCATGGACAGAGTTCTTGCGGACATAGACATTGATGGACCCGAACAACCAGATACCCAGATGTTCGATGTGGAGCCGAAGTCAGTTCAGAGCCAGGAGAAGAAGAAGAAGGACAAGAAGAAGGAGAAGAAGGAAAAGAAGGAGCAGTCTTCGAAGCCAGAGGATAACGACAAGAGTGAGAAGAAGGAGAAGAAACGAAAAGCAAGTGAGCCCGACGATGAGCGGAGCGAGAAGAAAAAGAAGAAGTCCAAGTCCAAGGAATGACGGGACATTGGGCAATGATTTTAATGCACGGCGCTGGAGGTGGTGTTATTTTCCATTACTGCTTGGAGACCATTGCTCCCTGCCTGTTATCGAAAACGCAGCCAACTGCATCTTCTCTGTCAATCGTAGTCAGCACCACCGAAGATTGTGGAGAATAAAGGCATCGGGCTGGCGAATGCGCGGAAGACTGCATCTATCGTGCTTTGGAAGTACAATGTCTCTACGGTTGTACGACGTAGATAAGCCTATAGACGGACGACAAATTCCATCGAGGCGCAAGGAAATCACTACCGTGAGAACTTTCTATCCGCGAAACGGTCCTTCAGCCAAAGTATCTGTATCACCTCAGAGTACTCTCATCCAGTACGCTCTTTTCCCTTGCCGACTATTCCTGCTGGTTCACCTGTCCTACGTTAACCCAGCGCAATTACCCAGTTTTACGCATCATGGGAAAGGATTGCGGCGGTTGACAGCACAGTCCGTATGACCTTGTACGGAGTACGTTCCAGCGTTTTCAATTGCCCCACAACTCCCATTGACATGAGCGCCGCTTCGCCGAAGAGGAAACGAGGGCATACTTTGCCGCTTGACACGAAGAGCCTGACATCTCGATTGCTTGGAGACAGCGATCTAGAGGAGCATGTCGAGAGTCCGAGAACAAAATTCGCTAGACAATTTGAGGACTTGGAAATTCATGGCAAACTCGAGAAGCGAAGTCAAGACGCTACGAACAACTCGGCTTACGGAACCGACGCCATAACGGAACAACCAAATGAGGGACCTATGAAGCTGGGGCCTGTTGCATCGCACCAAAGTGGGCAACGGCCACAGAGTCTATCAATGCTCGCTTCCGAATGTGAGCCCTCACCACCGATATCGCCAGGAATCCATTCTCGCTCCAAGTCCCCTCCACTCACCGGCGGGCTATCTGACGAGTTTTGGCATGACTCCGAGATAACTGGTCATGATCCCGACGATCCCGACGACGATGGCTATGGCATCAATGGGATTGGCTTCAGACCTACAGCGGCCATTGCCTGGACGAGGTCACAGCAACGGAAACGGCAACTCACCGAATGCAAAAATCGAGAGGCTCGAGAAGCAAGGCAGCAAAGGAGTGAGAGGAGAAAGCGTCTTTTCGACGACGGCGAGGGAGCACCACCCATGGAGTCTTCCCCTCGGAAGGTCGTTCGCGTCCATTTCGAAGATGGTTAAACTCCGCCATCTCATCACCCGGGTTCTATCAGTAGCCAGGCGGTATGCACACCCGGGATCCAAGCCCGATCGCTCCATCCTCATATCCCTGAAACGCCTCGCCATGCAAATAATTGATGTGGAAGACACACTTGCCATCACCAGAATTTATACCATTGCTGCTTCCGCCTACGCTCCTCCTCCTCGGCCTTCGCAGCCATCGCCGCTCGAGCAGCCTCTTCCGCAGCCAACTTCTCACGAGCTTTCTTTTCATGTAACATCTTCATGCCCTGAACAGCAAGGGCCATCCCTCGGGCTTCCTCTCTGCGTCGCTGGTCACACCAATAGTACATTCCAGAAGCTGACAGGACGAAGCCAGCGACAGCGAAATTGGCGGTTGTTAACATGGAGGAGAGCCCTACCACTAGTTAGTTCAGAGGTACAACAACCATGTCCGAGAACAAGTACAGCACCTTTCAGAATGAATCTCAGACCACCCACCGCGCCTCCTGCTCCCATGCCGACCAACAATGAATCCCTTGCGCATGGCGCCTGATACCACGCATAGCCATTCCCTTCATGCTTAAAGCTGAAAGCATCTTTCCAGGTCACGTCCACAGGCCTTCCGCCGGCTGAGTTGTATGTTCCTCCGGGCAGCGCATTTGCCGGTTCTGCAGGATTGCCCAGGACCTCCCACATCTTTCCAGCCTGAGTCTTCGGAAAGTCATGCCTGGGTTTGGGTCGCCTAAGCGCGCGTGTATCTGCTTGATCCGCGTCCTCTTTAGAGACGGTATCTGGCTGCCGTGTGTCGTCCGCCATGCTGAATGAATGCTGCCGAGAGCGGGTGCTTCGAAAAAGCTGCGGCGAGATCTGGTGGTGGAGTAAATTACCGTCATTTGGTACTCAAATGATCCACCGAAGCGCAACGCGTCTTCGTTAATTGAGACGCGTGAACACCAAACGCGTCCGCCGCCGACTTTGACATCCACCTTGACCAACATCCCACGACCACGAAGCTCTCGACCAGGTGCTACGGAGCAAATAATATCAGCATGCCTAGACATCCACGATAGGCATTGTGACACCTATCCATCAGTATCTCTACGCCCGGCTTCCGCAGCAATGCCGGTTCGCAAGCCCTCGCGCTATGGCTCAAATGTGAAATTCAATAAGAATACCTTGCGGAAACGAACGAAAACGGTCGATGCTTCCTCGCTGCGCGCTACTGAAGGAACGTCTCAAGATGAGAAGATCGAGGCAATTCGGCATGCCAACAGCATCGATGAGGCCATGGGCTTCCCCCGGTACGACTCCGGAAAGAAAAGAGTTGGCTGGCTTTATAACATGCACAGCACCTCTATCGAGGACTCGAAAACACCCGGAGGCCGCGCAGGTGTCGATTTCTACTTCATCGGCGACGATGGGGAGAACTTCAAAGCGGCTGTCGAGTACGATCCATATTTCTTGCTGGCTGTCAAGCGCGGGAGAGAAGCCGAAGTGGAAGAATGGTGTAAGAGAATGTTCGAGGGGCTTGTCAAGGCTGTCAATCGGGTCACAAAGGAAGACTTGCAGATGCCCAATCACCTCCTTGGCTACAAAAGAACATTCCTGCAGCTCACCTTTGCCAACGTGTCCGATTTGTTGGCCGTTCGACGAACAGTGATGCCCATTGCAGAGAAGAATAGAGAGAAGGTCAACGCAATGGACACATATGCCGAGGTGGCGAGTGCTACGGCTGGCTTTGACGTCTACGATGAAGAGCAAGCCTACGACACTAGGCCGAACACGATTGCCGAGGCCAGCGACCACGTTGTCGACATCCGAGAGTATGACGTTCCCTACCACGTTCGTGTCACAATTGACAAGGACATCCGCATCGGAAAATGGTACACGGTCGAAGGCAAGCACGGTACGGTCACCTTGACATGTCTCGAGGAACGCTTGACGCGTGCGGATCCTGTCGTGCTTGCCTTCGATATTGAAACGACAAAATTACCTCTGAAATTCCCAGACCAGCTCGTCGACCAGATTATGATGGTCTCTTACATGATTGATGGGCAAGGTTTTCTCATTACAAACAGAGGGATCGTATCAGAAGATATTGCGGACTTCGACTATACCCCGAAAGCTGAGTATGAAGGGCCTTTTATGATTTTCAACGAGCCCGACGAACGCGCCGTCATAGAGCGGTTTTTTTCGCACATCAAGGAAGCCCGACCTACTGTCATTGCAACGTACAACGGAGACTTTTTCGACTGGCCTTTTGTTGAAGCCAGAGCTAGCGTTAATGGGATCGACATGTACGCCGAGATCGGATTCCGGAAAAACAGCGAGGACATCTACCAAAGCGACTACTGTGTTCATATGGACTGCTTCGCTTGGGTCAACAGGGACAGCTACCTGCCTCAGGGGAGTCGAGGCCTAAAAGCCGTCACGGTCGCCAAGCTTGGATATGATCCGGATGAACTCGACCCCGAGCTAATGACACGTTATGCCAGTGAGCGTCCTCAGGTCTTGGCAGAGTATTCCGTTTCCGACGCTGTGGCCACCTACTATCTGTACATGAAATACGTACACCCTTTCATTTTCTCGCTTTGCACAATTCTACCGTTAAGCCCTGATGACACCCTACGGAAGGGCACTGGGACGCTTTGCGAAATGCTTTTGATGGTGCAGGCGTACCAAAAGAGCATCGTCTTGCCGAACAAGCACAAAGAACCCCGGGAAGCTTTCTGGGAGGGTCACCTCCTGGAGTCAGAGACATACGTTGGGGGACACGTGGAGAGCATTGAAGCTGGTGTCTTTCGAGCCGACATACCGGTTAACTTTGCCATCGACACTACCGCCATCGATGAGCTTATTCGCGATCTCGATGCAGCCTTGCAGTTTTGCATCACTGTTGAGGAGAAGAAATCACTTGAAGACGTTACGAATTATGACGAAGTACGAGCGCAGATTTTTGAGAAGTTAAATAACCTGAAGCATACACCCAACAGAAACGAACGACCCCTTATCTACCACTTGGACGTGGCGTCGATGTACCCTAATATCATGACAACGAATCGGCTTCAGCCTGACTCCATGATCTCAGAATCTGACTGCGCGGCTTGCGACTTCAACCGCCCTGGGAAGACATGCGATCGACGCTTGCCCTGGGCATGGAGAGGCGAATTCTTGCCCAGCAAACGAGACGAATACAACATGATTCGCAGGGCGGTGGCGAATGAGACTTTCCCCGGCAGAGGTCCCAGAGCGCCGAGACGGACATTCCAAGAATTGTCTTTGGATGAGCAAGCTGCCATGGTACGGAAACGGTTGCAGGAGTACTCGAAAAAGATATACCACAAGATCCACGATTCGAAGACCATTGAACGAGAAGCCATCATCTGCCAACGAGAAAACCCCTTCTATGTCGACACCGTGCGGGACTTCCGCGATCGCCGTTACGACTTCAAGGGCAAACAGAAAGTCTGGAAAGGCAAGACGGAGGCACTGAAGTCATCGGGAGCGCCTTCGCATGAGGTCGAGGAAGCCAAGAAAATGATCGTGCTTTTCGACTCCCTACAGCTGGCTCATAAGGTTATTCTCAACTCTTTCTACGGCTACGTCATGCGAAAAGGATCCAGGTGGTACTCCATGGAGATGGCAGGCGTTACGTGTCTCACAGGAGCGCACATCATTCAAATGGCTCGAGAGCTCGTCGAGAGAATTGGGCGACCATTGGAGTTGGACACCGATGGTATCTGGTGCATGCTTCCCGCGACTTTTCCGGAGAATGTGGTGTTCACTTTAAAAAATGGGAAAAAGATGGCAATCTCATATCCTTGCGTGATGCTTAATCACTTGGTGCATGCACAATATACCAACCACCAATATCAGACACTTATCGATCCAACCACATTCAGGTATGAGACGCACAGCGACAACTCGATTTTCTTCGAAGTCGACGGTCCTTACAAAGCCATGATTCTGCCAACATCAAAGGAAGAGGACAAGAATCTGAAGAAACGCTATGCTGTCTTCAACCACGATGGCAGCCTTGCAGAATTGAAAGGGTTTGAGGTCAAGCGACGGGGTGAATTGAAGCTTATCAAGATCTTCCAGACTCAGATATTCAAGTTCTTCCTGGAAGGGACCACCTTGGCAGAAACGTATGCAGCGGTGGCTCGAGTCGCTAACCGTTGGCTTGATGTTCTGCATTCCCACGGATCCACACTAGCGGACGAGGAATTGATCGACTTGATCTGTGAGAACAAAAGCATGGCCAAAACCCTGGAGGAGTATGGGGCACAGAAGTCCACGTCCATAACGACGGCGAAGCGCTTAGCCGAGTTTCTAGGAGACCAGATGATCAAGGACAAAGGTTTGAACTGCAAGTACATCATCTCGGCGAAGCCCCGAAACACTCCCGTCACGGAACGGGCCATTCCCGTCGCAATCTTCTCAGCCGACGATGGTGTCAAACGGTTCTTTTTGCGGAAGTGGCTGAAGGACGACCCTGCGGACATGGATCCAAGGACCGTCATTGACTGGGACTACTACCTCGAGCGTCTTGGTTCTGTCATTCAGAAGCTCATCACGATCCCTGCTGCTCTGCAAAAGGTCAGAAACCCCGTTCCGCGTGTTTCCCACCCGGATTGGCTCCAGAAACGAATCATGGCGAAGGACGACAAATTCAAGCAGAAGAAGATTAATGATCTCTTCGAAAAGCGCCCGCTTGCTGAGCGGTCAGTCAATCTGCTGGACCACCGGCTTCCCGCGACAGGAGATATTGAAGACGCCCTGAGTTCTCAGCTAAAGTCGCCGGTACATCCGCTCAAGCCTCCAAAGCGAAAAGCTGAGGAATCGGCAAATCAACCTCTCGTTGATCCCCTTGCGTCCCTTGCATTGACATCTCCAGCAATCGATGAAGACTATGGGGGCTGGCTCCAACACCAGAAGAAGAAGTGGAAGCTACAGAAGCAAGCAAGAGCCCGCCGGCGTCAATTGTACGGGGAGAGGCCAAACGTGGCCGGCGACTCCATCGGCAGCTTTTTCCGCAACCAGGCCGAGATGATGTATACCAACACATGGCATGTTCTCCAGCTGCGTCAAGGCGATGCACCAGGTGAAGTAACGGCTTTCGTCCTTATTGGCAAAAGGATCCAACCATTAACCGTCAAGGTGCCCCGGACACTGTATCTCAATCTGAAGGGTGAAGAGCTCCCTAACGTGGAAATACCAGGATGTGATGTTGAGAAGGTCAATCACGCACTGCCTAATGGCCATCAGTCGGTGCACTTGTTTCAACTGACCATGTCCGAAGACACCTATTTGCGGGAAGCGGAGTTGATTTCCTTGTTGTGCAACCACCCCAGTGTCGAAGGCGTCTATGAGCGGCAGCTTCCGCTGTTCATGCGAGCACTGCTGAAGTTGGGGAATATGTGCACCTTTGATGACAGTCAGAAAGGTGTTCTCGGGACAGGTCTTGACCAAGGTTTTGACCTGTCGGCCCTCCTCAGAGGTGGTACACAGTCTACCTACCTGGAAGATGTAGCCTCTCTAGGCTATATCTACCTGTACCACGTCGCAGTGGGGGACAGACATGTTTTTGCACTATTCTCGACAACCAAGCCAGAAGCTCACCTTATTGTTCTGAACCGGGGGCGAGACGCTCAGCTTCCCAACGCCGACAAGATTTATGCTGAACACTACCGTCAGAAACTTCAAGACGACGGCTTGGTTGAAAGTGTCTTCGGGTATCAGCCCAGCATCAGCTTCAAGGTGTCCCAAGTGGCAACGAAAAGAAAAGCACATCTTGAGCTGGCCGACATTTTGAAGAAATGGCGCTCGGACGCAACGAAGCCGACGATCCTTCTGTTGCAGACCGCCTCGCACAACCAATTGGTGCACGATGTCCGCATCATGAGGGATTTCCCGATACTGTACTTGCCCACCGAACAAGCCGATGTGGATCTACCCACATTGGGCTGGCAGGGCCATGCCTTTAAACAGGTTATGACCCATTATCTGAATGTATCTGGCTGGTTGACGCATCTGATCGAGCTTGCGCGATACGGTGACGTGCCGTTGTGCAATCTTGAGAAGGACGATCCTCGTTTCCTCATCGACTTGGCCTACGCTAGGCGGTTGCAGAGAAGCAACGTAGTGCTGTGGTGGTCTGATCAGCCTCGTCCCGATCACGCCGGCCACGAACGCGACGACATCTTAGGCCCGCTGACCGAGGTGGTGGAGATGCCCTCCATCAACCATCCTGGCGCCTATACTTCCGTGTGTGTCGATATCTCGGTGCAGAACTTGGCTATCAACACCATCCTGACCTCGTCCATCATCAACGAGCTTGAGGGATCAGCCGAGTCGATTGCTTTTAACCCGGCAGCTGACGAAGAGAACCCGCTTGACTCGAACGTGGTCAAATCTAATGGTGGTTTTGCACAAGCTGCGTTGGAAGTTCTTCGCGAAATGGTGAAGTCATGGTGGGCAGAAGCTTGTCATGGCAACAGACTTGCGGATGTCATGGTTCAACATTTGGTCAGATGGGTAGAGGCGCCAGCTTCATCTCTTTACGACCGGCACCTGCACTATTACATTCAGATGATGTCCAAGAAGGCTATGCAACAACTCATTACCGACTTGCGACGTGTCGGTTCACATGTGGTATTTGCGAGTCCGACACGACTGCTTCTGCAGACATCCAAGCAGGAGGTGGAAAATGCTTACGCGTATTCGCAGTACATCCTGAAGTCCATCCAACAGAAGCCTCTCTTCCACTTTCTGGGACTGGAGGTCAAGGACTACTGGGACATTCTGCTCTGGTATGACGCATACAATTACGGCGGTAAAGGCACCTCGACAGTCACAGAAGAAACGAACAGCTCCAGCCTGGAGACTGTGGTCCATTGGCAGCTCTCACAATTCCTGCCAGTGTCACTGCAGCCCAGTTTCGAGGACTGGGTGATCATCTTCATTGAACTGATGCAGAAATTGAAGAGACCACCCCCTGATGGTACTCCGTTCACACCTCGAGCCACACAATTGCCCTCTGGCTTTATCAGCTTGACCGAAGATCCCACCAGCACGGAGGTAACGACAGTTCTGCAGGACGACTTTTCCAAGCCGCTGAAGAAGCAGATCACCAACCTGATCCGACGGCAACGCGAAGAATTGCTTCATCCAGAACTTGCCAGCGACTGGACATTCCCTTCTCTCCCTGGCGGCACACTCGAATCAAGCGACCCACGGCATCCTCGTGATCCTGTGCTGGAGCTGGTCAAGTCACTCATGCAGATCATTTCCTTGTCGAAGCCTCTTCAACTCGAAGCTCGGTTGCTCCGTAAAGAGCTCCTTGCCCTCTTCGACGTCCGCGAATTCAGTAAGGAAGCGCGCTTCGAGAATCCCAGCGCGGCTCTCCGCTTCGAAGGCCTCGTCTGCGACACATGCACTGCGACTAGAGATCTGGATCTGTGTCGTGACGAAGACGTCTTGCCCAGTGTCAACGAGAGTGGTGAAGAAGTGAGCAATAAACCCTGGAGGTGCCACAGCTGTGGGACAGAATTCAACAGGATCGTTCTTGAGGAAGAACTCATCGCAAGGATCCAAGCCATGCTGCTCCGGTGGCAGATGCAGGACATCAAATGCAAGAAATGTGGTGTACTGCAGAGTGACGATTCGTCGTTCGCGGATCATTGTTCATGTGGGGGACACTGGGTTGGCACGGTGGAGCTGGGAGATGTCAAGGACAAACTGAGCGTGACAGCGCGAGTGGCACAGTCCTATGGCCTGAAGATGTTGACTGGTGTGATTGAAGGCGTCAAAACGATGTGCATGATTTCATGATCAACGAAGGATGGTGGTTCTGGAGTGACTTTGGCTGTCATAAAAAGCATGGCCAAAGGTACCGGGCGCTGTATCGGCAGCGATATTTAGATGCGGCATCTCAACGACTGGAGTTGATATGATGCGACTGCACACAGTCTTCGAGTTGATTGAAGACCATGAGCTTGATGCCACCCAACCTCCCAATGTTCGTCGACGCTTGAAACTGTTCTCGCTTCTGTTGAGATGCGCCCACCTCCACATCCGCTAGTTAGTACGTGATACTCTCGCAAGGTAGAATAGTCGAAAAGCAGATATGTTGAGCAGTTCGTCATGTTGCGAGCCTGCACAAGGTCGAGTAGTGGAGGACGTGCCGTTTCCTGCAAGGCTGAAAACGACGGCGAGGCTGAGCGCCAAGGTCGGATTCGTTCCTTCGTAGGCGGGGCGTGTCGTCCTGCTTCTCTCTTCATCATCTTTATCCAGCGGCTCGACACCGGACGACACGTTACAAATATCTTTGACTGCTGCTTGCCATCTATTGATCCTGATCTTTCTTCTTTCTCTGCTCTTTGTCTTCCTGCCGTGCAGAGTTTGGTGCTGGATGTCACTGGGCATGGAATACTTCGCGACGTAGCCGGTGACATTCGCTCCCCCTCCGTCAACACACTCCCACGTTCCCACATATAAGATTCCTGCATCAGTCTTACCTCCCTTCAGTCTCTCTGCTCCCTCCCACGACGCTGTCATCATGGACAACCTCGCCCAGAAACCGACGCCGCAACAGCAGGCAAATCTGATCAGACCGGAGCAGGTCAACAAGTTACCGCAGCTCAATCCTCAACAGAAACAGCAGTTCTTCCAAGGAGTCACGAGGTACTGGGAGATCTTGAACACCACCCAGCCTACCGACCCTCAGTACCAAGAAGCACTGAAGAGGCTGCACAGCACGTCCCAGCAGTTGATGGCTGGCATGAAACAGTGGCAGGTCCGGAAACAGATGCAACAGGCGGCACAACAACAAGCGGCGACGCAGAACCAGGCACAGACCCAGGCCCAGGCCCAGGCACAAGCCCAGGCTCAGGCTCAGGCTCAGGCTCAGGCGCAAGCACCAAAACCCGCGGGTCAAGCTGTACAAGGGCTAACAAGCGCGCCCTCCAGTCAGACTGGAGGTAGTGCCGTGCAATTCAGCCAACTCTTACCTGAGATCCAGCGCAAGGTAAACGAGCACCACTTCTACTATCCCCCAGCTATGAACAAGGGAACAGAACCTGCTGAAGTATGGTTGCGCGAGGCGAAGGCCAGGTTGGGCCAGGCGATGCAGAGACTCCAAGTTGCGAAACAGAAGAAGGCCGAGTTTCATAGAACAGCTCAGCAACGGCAGGCAGCGGGCAATCCGCTGACGCCAGAAGAGACCGCCGTGTACAACAACAAGATTGCCCAATGCGACCGAGCGGTGACTGAGAGCACTTCATTCATGAAGAAATTCAATGAACAGCAAGAACAATTCCGCAATGCGCAACCACAACACCAGTTTTCGAAACAAAACGCGCCTGGAGGTGAAGGGACAGACACGGCTGCCGCACCTCAGATGCCACCAGGCGTTCAAGGCCCCACCGCCCATTCAATCAGCAGTGCTGTTTCTGCCGCACGTAACCAAGCCAGCGCTGCTCAAGCAAGCAGTCCGACCGCACTTGCACCCACTGCCAGCCAGAGCGCAGGTGCAGTCACTCAGCAGACGCCTTTGTCTGCGACTCAAGCGCAGTTCCCTCAACCCCCAGGAGATACCTCTGCCGCGCCTCGTCCAGTATCACATCACGGTCAAGCCATGCCTCCTCTCCAACACGCGCCCTCTTCTGGCGTGCATCCTCACCCACTCAACACCAGCATCAACGGCGTTAAGACCGCGACTCCGCACATCACCAAGAATCTACAGCTGCCGGATCCGAAACCGGTTCAGATGCCGCCGTCTCGGCCAACCTTGACTGGTGGTGCTGGTGTAGGCTTGCCGGGGCAACTCGCACAACCCGCTATTACAGCACTACCTGGCTACGTGTTGGAGTCCAGCGAAGACGGAAGGGTCCTGTCTAAGAAGAAGTTGAACGAGCTGGTGCGTGAGGTTTGCGGCCCCGGTCCAGAGGAGCAGCTTGATCCCGAAGCCGAAGAGGTAAGTGGTCCTTGTTCCACGACCACAATCTCATGGCCTAACTTATGCCAGATTTTCCTTGCTATTGCCGACGACTTCGTGGATGAGCTGGTGTCCCAGTCCTGCAAGCTTGCCAAGCTGCGTGGCTCGGCCAGTCTGGAACTCCGCGATATCCAAATTGTCCTTGAACGGCAGTACAACATCCGCGTGCCGGGCATCTCCACCGACGAAATCCGCACGGTTCGGCGACCACAGCCTGCTCCTGGCTGGGCTCACAAGATGGGCGCAGTCCAAGCAGCAAAGCTGACGGGAGGTGGCAGTGCAGGAGCCACGACGGGCACAAACGCAAAGGAGACTTGACCTGTACCATCATGACACGGCGCTACCATTACGAAGCACTTGTTACTGCTGGGCGTTGGGGGATGTGCACGCTTGTGGGTGGGACTGAACGACAGGCATGAGCATCTGGCGCGAGGCATGGTATCATCGGACGGCGAAGTTGATTCATTGCGAGCGATCGGCGATATTCAAAGTCATGGGTCGGAACAGATGCATTGTTTTCGACAGATTTCGACAGAGACAATTACCAAAGTTCAGGAGGGCTGACATTGCTCAGACCATGCTGTAGTTCTTGACTCGCATCAATTGTCTCTATCAGATCTTGCGCAGCAGTGTTTTTAGAGTAACCGGTGAACTGACTCTGGTGCCTCTGGAAGCGCAGACGATTCGTCCCTGCGCTGTGCGAAAAGTACTGAGCATGGAGTGTGTCCGCAAGCTGCCCAAGTCTCTAGTGCTCGGGGGAAGGTGGAAATGTGAAGAGAAGAGGCTGGGGACTTTGCATGCCCAAGAGCCAGTCGTGCCACTCAATCTTGCACCGGACGGCGACGTCATCAGCGGCCCAACTCACTGCCACTCCCATTTCCCACCATCAGCGTCTCGGTGTAACCTGTCGCATCTTGCTACTGCAGCCCGCGCGCGGCAGGAGTCTTCATATTGGTCGTCTCTGGACTTTTGAACAGACAGTCTCTTGTCACACCTGCCACGACTTCGCCCGGAAAGCGTCGAACTTGATCTGACCGATTCAGCCTGACTGCCCCTCCGGTGCCAAACCTTACTTCACAAAGTCTCTCGCCCTCGATCGGCCATTCCAGGGCGTCAATCTGAACAGATCGGCAGCGTGACCATGTCTCGGTATCGCGGCGATCCTCGATATTCTGACGGCAACCTTGCCTACCGCGACCCCCCTCCACAGCGCTGGGATGCTGAGCGCTTCACTCGGGAGCGGGAAGTCCGTGCTCCTGCTCCTCCTGCTCCTGACTACCCCCCTCCTCGGCGCGCCCCCGTCTACGAAGAACAGCGCTTCTACGAGGAAGACCGGTATGGCCCTCGAGGGGCGAGCGAGCGCCGATACTTCGAGGAGACCGACTACTATGACCCCCGCGCGCAGCGTGGTCAGATGGTGCCCTATGCTCCGGAGAGGCCAGCGAGACCGGATCCGATTCCCCGACCAGGCATCCTCCGGCGACAATCCAGCTTGGACACTTTCGACCGCAGGCCGGCGAGACGATTTGACGACTACGACGAGCTTCACAGTCCTCGTCGAGCCCCTCCTCCCCGAGAATTGATCCCTGTCCGCGCGCCTTCACCCCGCCGATATCCGCGATACGATGAGAAATACTATGATGAAGTCAGAGTCCAAGATCCAGATCACTACGGCGACGATGGCTTCCGCGAATATCGGGAGCGCGAATGGGTGAGGGAACGGAAAAGGAACAGCCCGTCTCCCGACCGCCGCACGGTCAGAGAAGAAATCATCGAAGAACGCAAAGAAGAGGTCATTGAAGAGAAGCCATACCCACGGCGTGGCAAGACACGCATGCCGAAAAGACTGGTGCATACCAAAGTGCTATATGATCTAGGATACCCGTACTACGAAGAGGTACGACACAGTCCGTGGGCGAGGACATCCATGACACTGACTGTACTAGGACGAACGTACCATCATCATTGAAAAGGCTCTTGGCCCTGACAACATTGACGAGGTCTTCACCAAGAGTAAGGAATACCGAGAGAGGGAAGGTCAGTACTATCCATCAAGACGCTGAGACATATGCTGAAGGCTGCAGTTACCACGACTCGCTTGATCGAAGCGCCGCCCCCAGTTGTGGTGTCAAATCCAGCACCCAGCATGCGGGCGCCCAGTGTTCACGGTGGTGATGTGGTATATGAGAAGATGGAGAAGGTCGAGAGGATCGACACTGTTCCACTGGCAGATGCACCCCGATCGGTACGTGATTGGGATGCCCTGTCCGTTAGGTCGCCATCGCCCAAGGCTCACCGGTCACGCTCCCGGAGACGCTCACGGCGCGGTTCTTCGCCGGGAGAGGTTGTGCGAGAGACTGTGGTGGAGAAGAAGGAGGTCATCCGCGACGTTTCGCCTGCACGAACGCATCGCTCTCACGCCACGTCTCATCGCCGGGGTTCGTTCGACAGCGACGACGCCACCATCATCGAGCGAAGAGTCACCCGTGACGAATTTGAAGATTCAAACTCGGTCCACGTCGGGCCTCTTGCGCTAGTGGTCGATCGCAAGCCTCAACGCAGCGAGCGCAACATTAAAGAAGAGATCCGCAGACTCGAGGCGGAGCGCCGAGAACTAAGGCGCGAAAGACGCTACGAGCGCGAGGGCGGCGAGGTCGTCAAGATTGAGCGTGTCCGCGAGAGGACTCCATCACCCCGCGGCGAGGTCATCATCGAGAGACGCGGCGAGGAAGTCCTGGAAGTCAAGAAGGACCGGAGAGGTAGGATGTCGCTAGTCGTCAAATAAGCAACCCCGTCCTGATAATTGGCGTGGAACAGGTCGCTCACGCTCGGCAGCCCCGCCGCCCGGGCTCATCAAGGCCATGATGGCAACTCTGACCTGAGTGAGGATGGTCCGTCACGCGACACATTTCTGGGCGGTTTCAGAGGGGCCGGCAATAGGACACACAGTCTTTTTGATCGTTGTTCCGCTGCATGGAATTCGGAGCACACATCGAGGTCAACTGCACAACGTCTTTACCGAGGGTGCTTGAAGTTACGGAAGATGGAGATGGATGGCCATCAGGCAGAACATGTTTCACGAGTTTCATGTGTACGTAGTTCAGGAGATCGAGGGACTAGTTGGATTCTTTGATGGGTACAAACAGTGCACGATGCCAACTTGCGACTATTTCCCTCCTTTGATCAAGCCTCGATACAGTGAGGGTTACAGTGAGGGTGACAGTGAGCAATCTGCCCCAGGTGTGCTTTCCATGGAGTCCACAATCGAACCGAGTCGTCGATTGTTGCCTTGAGAAATATGTACAGTAACATGTGAATGCACGGGGCTTCGCTTCCCCACGCCGGCCGCCGGTTCTTGTCAGACAGACTGCAACCCATCTGTTACTTCTCTCCCTTCGACACGAGGCTCTCCACTCTGCATACCAGCTTCTTCTGCTGGTCATCTATTCAGCCCTGCGTCTGTATTTCCTTGTCGTTGTCGAGACCAGGCCCCAATATGGATAAGTTCGCTGCCTTTGGCAAGAACATCAGGTGCGCTCCAGCCAATGCTTCCGGGCCATCGACATGCTAACGGACGGTTCCTCACAGCTCGGCCTTCAATTCGACCGTCACCCCCTCTTTCCAGCGAAGCCAGCAGTATCTGAAGGAGCAATTTGGAAATGCCGAAGACAAGGTCGGGCACGCACTGCATTTGAGGGCAGAATCAATTCGCTGACAGAGTGTTGCCTTAGACTCAACTCCCAGCTGATTACACGGAACTCGAAAAGCGAGTCGAGGCCTTGAAGCAGGTTCATCAGAAGCTTCTCGATGTGACGTACGTGTTCAAACCCGGCCAGCTCGAACCTCTGTTGACCCCCCGTGCGCAGCAAGCAATACCAGAATGAAGCCTACGATTACCCGCCCAATATCCGTGAATCGTTTGGGGATTTGGGTCGAAGCATCTCGGACAAAGTGAGCCTGCTATCCAAGGCCTCCAATGCCACCGAGGCCGCAAATGCTTTCACTGCGCCCCCATCGGCCAAGCCGCAACCGAAGACCTTCAACCATGCCATAGCCCGCGCTTCGTTGTCTAGTTCCCATATGCTCAAGCAGGCCAACACGACCGGCGCAAGCGAAGAGCCCCTGGCTGTGGCGCTCGAGCGGTACGCACTGGCGGAAGAGAAAGTGGGCGAAGCGCGACTGGCACAGGACCAGGCCATTCAGTCACGGTTCCTCGCGGGATGGACTACCACGTTGAACACGAACATTCAGTTTGCGACAAAAGCACGAAAAGCCGTCGAGAACAGCCGCCTGTTGCTGGACAGCACCAAGGCGGCCAAGAAGAGTCAAGTGCAGGGCCGAGGGATGAACCCGGACGACGAGACCGCCATGAGCGAGGACGCCCGCGCCGAGATCGAGGCCAAGGAGGACGACTTTGTCTCGCAGGTCGAGGAGGCTCAGGGGGTCATGAAGAATGTAAGTTTACAACACAGTGCGTACAGCTGCACCGAATTCTGACGGCATTAGGTCTTGGATACACCCGAACCTCTCCGCAACCTGGCGGATCTGATTGCCGCACAGCTCGAGTACCACAAGAAAGCATACGAGATCTTGTCGGAACTGGCGCCGGAGATTGATCAGCTTCAAGTCGAACAGGAAAGCAACTACCGCAAGAGTAGGGAGGGCGCGTAGGTGCGTAGGCGCGTAGGTGCTGGGGAGATTGCAAATTGTTCACGGCTGCGTGGATGCTAACAGGAACCTGAACTTGTTCACGGCTGCGTGGATGCTAACGGGAACCTGAACTTGTTCACAGGTGCGTAGGTGCTGGTTGAAGCCTGGAGTTGTTCACGCGGGCGTAGGCACCATAGGTGCTGAAGGAAACCTGACATTGTTCACGGGTGCTTTGGTGGTTTGCTTCTCCACGCATGGCTTTGCCGCAATGGTGGTGCGCTTGGGAGAAACTTAGGGTTATGTAGGCTTTGGTAGATGCAATACCGTCATGCGGTCTTATTGTCGTCAAGCTCTTGGAAGCAATATGAGCCGCAGGTAGAGGGTCTCAGCGTCTGAACAGGGCAGATACTGCATGACTGAGATGACCCTGGATGACCTGCTCGCTACCCGTTCCAAATGCCGAGGTTGGCCCGAACCTGCACTGCACGTATCCGTCATCCGAGTCGATTGGCTTGACTGGACTTGACCTTGACCTTCATCAACGGCCTGTGAACTCAACTCACGGTGACCTTACTCCATACTACGAAGCCAACCACGCCAGAACCGACGCTTTCTACCCGTCCACCGACCTACCTAGCTACATCGGCACTGCTCCTCATATCGTGTGCTTCACCTGCTATACTGTAACCCGAGCACCTACGTCCGTCCGCCTACCTTCGCACGACCTTACTTCGCCTCCAAGCCGACGGAGCATCTATTACCCGCCCGCGGCCTCGCCTCGAACAGGCGCATTCACACATCCACACACACCAGCAATTGCGTGCACACATCTGGATACACACAGGTCTCGCTGAGCTGAGCTGTGAACTGAACCGAACTCGAGTACTCGAGGAGGACAGGACGGGACGGGAAGAAGAAGGTGTACACTACACGTACACTTACACTTACACTACAATATGGCAAACGGGTACGTTACTTTAGGTTACGTTGGTTGCGTCCTCTGTTTCTGTCTCGATGGACGGTTTTGAGTTGAGTTGTATGCTTCGCAAATGCAAATCCGAAAGCGAAACTTTCGAACGCCTTGAATCGTCTCGGATTGCGGCGCATTGCATCGCATGAGGATGAGGAGGAGCAGAGCTGGTGCTTGATTCAGTCGCAAGCTTTCGACCGTCTCGCCTCGCCTCGCATCGCATGAGGATAGCAGAAGCCTTCCCTTCCGGCCTCTTCCTCCTTTTGCGGCGCCTCTACATCCTTTGCTTGTACCTCTCGATACGTGCCCTGCCCCTCGCCTGTGGCGATTGGACCTTTTGGCGCTCGAAATTGTACTCGACAATGTGGAGCCTCTCAGACACCTCTCTCGACTGTTGAACATGCACTCTTCCACGGGAAGCTTTTACTCAGCCACACACGCCCGAACAAGGCCGCAAGATCACAGGCAGCCACCCAAACACACGCTAAAGCAGGTCGCAAGAACAGGAGCAGGAGACACACACGCGCGCGCGAACACATACATGGGCTAACCTACGGCTTGTCATACACACACATTGGCTATTCTGCGTCGCGTCATACACATACATGTGCTAACCTACACATCCTCATCACAGGTGGTCCATCCTCATCGGACTCGTCGTCATCGTCGCGTTGAGCGTCGGCGCGTGGTTCCTCAGTCCAAAGGGCGAGAATCAGACGATCTGGCGGAGCACGCTCATCCTCAGCTTTGCCAGCTGTTATATCATGTGGGGTATGTGGTGTACCAGTTCCATTTCTTTTGATTTTTCGAGGTTTGGCAAGCAAGGGAATGGCCAGGGAATGCTAGGGGAGGCAGGCGGGCAGGCAGGCGAGCAGGCAAGCCGGCAAGCTGTTGCATGCCATGCGATGCTCACGCTGTTTTTCATGACCTTTGGTCCTTCAGGCGTCCCCCCGTCTTGTAGCGATGCACCTACCATGCTGCTCTTCATAATCTCTGCGGTTTCCCCCCCCCCCCCCCCCCCTTCTTAGGCGCGCCCCTGCCCCGTCTTGTGGTTCTCCCGGCGGCCCAAACCCCCCGAAACCTCAATCTGATGCTTTTGGTTCGATCAAACTATGGTGCTGATCGCTAACTTGCTTTCACCACAGCGATAACCTTCCTCGCACAATGGCATCCTCTGATCGAGCCGCGGATGTCGAAATTGAGACCCGGGTACGCTGGTGGAAGTTAAAGTGTTCATCCTGGTAGAAGTAGGGATGAAACGGAGTACTCGAGCAAGGTATTTTTGGACGTGTCGCTAAGGTACCGGCAGACACGGGCAGATAGACAGCCAGACAGACAGGGATCATAACAAGGGAAAAAGGCAGATCGATGTGAGAAGTTGACCGGGAAAGGAATCGGCCTGTCGTAGCTATGATCATAAGCCCTACTCCTTAGTGCCCAGCAGGAATGATGCGAACAATGTTCTAGGTGAGCTTTGTTGTCTGTTCTCTTCCATGCTCTACTATACTCGATAGTCAAGGACATGGTCAGGACGGACAAATGGTTTGTACGAGGACGAGTAGGAGTATTTTCATCCCGATCTTCATTCCATACTCCCCAACGTTTTACCAGCCTCAGCTCTTTGCGCGTCGTGTGCCCTCAAGCATCCGTTTTATGAATTTGTAGCTGTGTTTCGCCGCCACTACAAGGATATATATATACAGGTAGTACTTGAGAGGTCTCATCCCGTCTCGCCTTCTTTTGCCCCGACTGGTTGATATGCAAAGACCCCTCCGACTATGGATGGAAAGTCCATACAGTAACTTGTGCCCCCAAAAAACTGAGGATCTATCTATCTGTTAGCTACTCCCTAGCCGCGACTACCTGTGACCTGCTAGTTACCTACTCCTCACTCGGCCGCTACTCACTTAATTACCTTCTACCCCAGTAAAATTCAGTAACTTCCTCAACCTATCCACTACCTTCTGACCAAGCCTACTCGCCTACTCGCCCACTCTAATCTACTTGCCTACCCTACCTATCACTCGCTTACCTACCTAACTACCTCAGTAAAATACCTCTACCTCAGGATCAACCCTAGGTACTCACTGATAGAAATCACCTACCAACCTACCTGAGACTACCTACCCTACGTAGCCGGCTCAACCGTACCCGTTTCCGCGAAACACTCCGTGAAATACTCCGTACCATCTACAGAATACGGAGTATCGAAATCAAGACACCCAAGGCCATCTTGGAGTAGAGGTTCTCACGCTACGCCCTACCCTACCCTACCATACCATCCCATACCCGTGCATTGTAATGCCATGCTATGCCATACAATGCACCGGCTCGGCGAGAGAAGACAAGACACGACAAGACATGATAAAGTGGAGAATCCAGTACTTTAATTAGTCGTACACAAGGAGCGCGCACGGGGCGCGCATCACATCGCCCTCGGTCCTTGAGGGTATATAATTATGAGACCGACACGGCATACGGCATACCGTAGCAATGTACATAGGGATTCACCTATATAGGTATGTGTCCGAGATGCTGGAGCGCACAGTACACAGTCGGTCAATTGCAGTTGGTCAGCCACAGTCCATAATCCAGGCACGCCAGCGGGAACAACGGGAATTGGTCTACAACCCCGCAAGGCGTACTCCGTATGCGTCGGTGCCATAATCAAAGTTCAAAGTAATTCGGCCAGCGGGCATGATTATAGTAAGAAGATAATGCATATGATATATCGTATGTACCTCGTTGTCATGAACCGCCGTTCCCGTGGGTTCAAAACAAGCATATAAGCTAAAAGGTCCAACAATCCGGCATAAAGTGCTCGGGTATTCAGTCTCTTGATGGTGGATCCGCCGAGGCTGCGGACCCGTCCTGGATATCCGTACAGTACAGCCCGATAGTCGCTGTACTTGTCACTGTCACTGTCATTGTCATTGGGGATGGCAATGGCAATGGCAATGGCAATGGCAATGGCAATGGCAATGGCAATGGCAATGCTCCTTCCAATGCATACATATGCACACACACATACGAACATACACGGACATAGAGTGAATGAGCAGATAATGTCCCGCCAGACATTCTCCTCTGCGAGCCTCAAGACACACAGTAGCTCTCTGCCACCTCAGAAGTTTGAGATTTGATCACGACTCCGTCTACTCAGCGGCACCCTCAGTCCCCTTCCGCTCTACCTCATCATCGCCAGTATTGCTCGAGGGCTGGTCATCCTCGGTCCCCTCCTCCACAGAGACAAAAATCTCATCGCGTCCCAGTCTGTGACGGTCGGCTTGGGTGTTCTCGCCCTCCTGCTCCTGTTCCTGCTCCCGTTCCTGCTCCTCACCTTGCTCTTTCTGGGCACCATCGTTCTTCTCAACGGTATCTACACCCGGAGGCGGTGTTGCCTCAACGGGACTGAAACTCTCATTCTCTTCCACATCCTCGTCAGCCTCCTCGTGCTCTTCTTCTCTAACCTCAGTCATCACATGAGCATCATTCCGTTTCTCAGTACCCTTAGTCTGCGCTCCTCTGGGCGGATAATTCTCCTCATCAGAATCATTCATGTGCCCCATTATTGCCGCAAGGACATCATTGCCGGCCGTTCGTATCGAGCCGCCTGAAGGAGATGTGACTTTCTGACCTGCTTGGTCATCATCAAAGGGTTTGGTTACCTGCTCAACAGGAGTCTCGGGCTGTGTTTTCGTTGCTGTTTCATCCTTTAACATCGTGCTAGCTTCCTCGTTACCCCCCTCCACCGACTGTCGTTTTGCCCCTTTGTGGGTGGAAAGCGGATCGATGTCTTCCATAGTGCCCGTAGGTGTAGGATCTTCTGGCGCGCGAGGCTCGTATTTGGGCACCGAAGAGGCGATATCCAGTTTGGGTAGTACACGATCCTGCGAGGAATCATCACTCGATTTCCTCGGCTGCGGTGACATTCCCCTCTTCTCCTCTAATGATATCTTCAGGGACTCGGGAACCTCAACCAGTCCTAGCACGCCGGGCACACTATTGGGTTTTGTCGAGATGGTACTCGTTGGCTGCTCTTCTTCTTCCTCTGCCCCTTCGGCGATGGTGGCCACGTGGCTTCCTGTACTAGGAGTATGTTTGTGCCTACGTGTCGTTGCACCGGTACTGACCGTCGTCGCCGATGGCACTGACGCAGCAGGCTCTGACGACGTGGAGTCGCTGGATGGCTCCTCTGATGTGGAACTCGGTGCGCCATCCTTTCGTAGTATGAAAGGCCGTACCCCGGCATCTTTTTCATCGACGGCTTCGCGAGCACCTTCAGCTTCAGGTGGGATCGTGTAGCTGTCCTCCGGGATAAGATGGTACTGGTCACAGACGACTTTGAACAACATGTACAAACCATAAGTTGCTTCGACAGACCAGAAAACATCGCGATGCTGAAACCAAGCATGTGCAAAGATCCGGTAGACACGCCGGAATATGTTGGTCAGCTGTCGCATGCTTTGAATGACGTTGCCTCCCTCTCCGCCCAATGCCAGCCGTGACGGAAAGTGTTTCGGGCTCGTGAGGACATTCGCCGCCCAATCCAGAGTATGGTTGCAGTAGTCAATGGCACAGCATGATTTTGGCGGCTCATGCACGGCGCAGAGGTATTGCCATTCACTAGCTCTCATCTCCGGGCAGGTCGTGGCTGAACACGGCGGGTTGTCGTTCATGAGGAAAATAGAGACAACATTCGCTTTCTGGGTTAGAAATCTACATAGCTCGTAGAGCCAGAGATTTCTGTCGACTGACTCGTTGTCGTTTGTTTGTGGAGGCGTAGCGAGTTGTAGAGCGGTCTCTTTTGTGATGGGGACGGTATGGGTCCCGTCCGGCGTATGGCTGAGGTGCGAGTAGAGCGATTTGAGGTGTTCCTGGAGCTGGAATGGCGAGTCAAGCTGACTCAACGGCACAAGGGGAGGGCCCATGGCCATATCTGCAGCTTTTGTTCCCGGTCTTATCCTCCTCGCGGCTCCTTCGTCTGGCTTTGAGGTCGCATCGAGCGAGAGTTCTTTCGACAGGTCGACACCAGGGCTTTTCGGGCCAAATTGCACTTCTGGAATGGGAGGGGGTGAGGGTAGCCGAGGCGAGCTGGAGGGCGACACGCCAGACCTGGAGGGTGTAACTGCTGTCATCGTGCGAGGGGAGGAATTGTGTGTTCCGCCTCGACTCCGGCGCTAAACCTCAGAACGCTGACTGCCAGTCCTTAACAGTAGCCCAGTCACCCAGTCGCCCATTCAATGCCACTGGGTGTTCTTAGAGTGAGATTGCCCTGCGTTCGTGTTCGGGCTGCAAGCCGGAAGGTGTTGTCTGTTGAGGGATGAGTTGCGAACGACTGCGTGAACCGTGTTTGAGGCTGCTTGCTACTCAGACGCGCCGTGGTCACCCAGGTCCAGGATGATACCGGACGGCGATGGGGCACGACGAGTAAGTCGTTTCACAAGCCTTCAAGCTCGATTCCTTCCCTTGTCTGCTATGCTATGTTGTCGGAGCGTCTCGAAGGTCGCCGAAGTGAAGATGGACCACCACGAGACGGCGCCTCGGGCACAAGCGCAGTCGCAACCTCGGGAGAGTTGCCTCCAGCTAAACTATCACGCTAAACTGCGGGATCGACAAGAGTGGAGAACTAAACTGTATCGTGCTTCGGCTAAACCTTCCTCATCGGTGTATGATGCTGCAGAGGCAAGGCTGATTCTTCACTGTGAACAACATTTCAGATTGTATGTCCCACCGGTAAGCGTGGATGATATACCAAAGAAAGTCAGCATATAGACTTTGAACTTGAAACATGGATGATGACGACGATGAAGTCCCAGATCTCATTGAAACGGAGAAGAACGAAATCAGTCAACCTGACAAAGACGGGACCAGTACCCCGAAGAAGGTCCCCATCACGATCGTGACGGGCTATCTCGGGGCCGGCAAGACAACATTACTAAATTACATTCTGACGGCCGAGCACGGGAAGAAGATCGCCGTGATCCTCAACGAGTTCGGCAACACAGCGGACATTGAGAAATCCCTGACGGTCAACCAAGGAGACCAGTCCTCCACGGAATGGATCCCCCTCGCGAACGGGTGCATCTGCTGCAGCGTCAAGGATTCTGGCGTGGCAGCGCTAGAGTCGCTGGTCGAACGGCAGAAGAATTTCGACTACATCCTGCTCGAGACCACGGGGGTGGCGGACCCGGGTAACATTGCACCCATGTTCTGGCTGGACGAAGGCCTGGGGAGCAGTATCTACCTTGACGCGATCGTGACGGTCGTGGATGCCAAGAACATCCTGAGAAGTCTGGACGAGCCTGCTCCCGAGGAGATCCCGGACGATGAAACGGCCGACCATGAGCACAACACGCCCCTCCTCACGACGGCCCACCTCCAAATCTCCCACGCCGACACCATCATCCTCAACAAGACGGACCTCGTCTCCGACGTGGAACTCTCCGCCGTCGAGGCACGAATATCTTCCATCAACGGTGTGGCCCTAATGATCCCCACGAGCCGTTCCCACGTCGACAACCTAAGTGGTACGATCCTAGATCTCGAGGCTTATTCGACCTTCCCCACGACCACGTCCTCAAGCGGCGGAACTGCAATGCCCGACTTCGCATCCAAGGGCCACTCGCACCTCGACCCGACGCTTTCCACGTTTACCGTTCCCTTGCCGCCATTCGAGCCGCAGAAATTGCCTCTCCTCGTCGGCTGGCTGGAGACCATCCTTTGGGACGCGGACGAGCGCCAGAAAGGCAAGGGTACAAAGTATGAAGTGCACAGGACCAAAGGGCTAATCAGATGTACCGATGGGACTAGTCGGGTTGTGCAGGGTGTGCGCGAGATCTTTGATCTGATCGAAGTGCCGCCAACGTCGCCAACTGGGAATGCGAATGCGAAGGGGCCACAAACAGAAGATGGCAAAGTTGTATTTATCGGGAGGAATGTCCATCTGATCGAAGAGATAGAGATAGAGAGAGAGAATCGAGGTCTTGGATGATCATTGACGCATGCATGGTTCATGGGTTCATGGTTCATGGCTATCATATCGTAAGCTATATTGGTCGTGAGTTCTGTCTGGCCTCGTTTCATGTTGGTGGAAGAATTCGCAGACTTGCATGATATCCTGTCATAAATTCCGGCTGACAGTGCTGCAACAAACAACGGAAGTGAAACGGTTTCCTGCCCTGAATGACTGACTGACTGCGCTACTTGAGGTCGCCTTTCCTGGCTGGAATGAGGATTTGACCACTTCTCGGGCATCGTTGGTTTTGCAACCCCTTTAGTTTCGTATCGGCAATACCATCAGAACACCGCTCAATGCACAGTGAAAGAATACCGAAATGCCCGAAATCGAGTCCCCGCAATGCCCGACAGAAATCATTCTGTCGACTGAAAAAGTCGCTATCATAACATCCACAGCATCGTGCTTGCATGGCGCTTGAAATTCTCAACAATACACTCAAATCAGAAAACTAATCAACCGACTCTCTGGGGGATCGTCAGATGTTCGCCTGTGTCCGTGTTCGACCATCCACAAGACGCGGGTACCATGCTTGTGGTCGACGACAACGTTGGAAAAGTAGGGCTTCTCTTGTAGAAGACGTCTACCCTGACTGCCGACTGACGAAGACGGCTTCGGTGGCCTCAAGAAACAAACGCAGGCTAGGTGGTCCAGATGTATGCAACAAGGCCCCGGACCACGGAGAGCCGCCATCGCGGTCGTCCAGACCACAGTGTAGACTTGAGCCTTGCATTTTCACCAAGTGCCGCAGGCGACCACGACGAGAGGAGCGGGATCCCCATGATGCATGGTCCGGAACCCAGTCTGTAAAGGCTTTCGTCTCACATGGAAAGTCGTGTCAATGTCCAGACGACAGCAGGTGCGTCATTGAATCACACTTGTACCACTATTTTAGTCCCTTCTTAGGTGGTAGCTCATGTGATTCCGCATCAATGATGTGTTCGTTCTCAGACGACGGTACACAGATGGCGTGCTTCTCCGCCGGCTCAGTCTCCTTCGGATGGGGTACGGGTCCAACTGAAGCGAAGTCGACATAACTGGTCTTTTCTTCAGCCAAGTTCGGATGCTGCAATAGGCTAGGAGTATCATGCTCCAGGCTGAGCCTTGTATCATCACACAGCAATGCTTGCTTTGCAATGTGAGGCGAGCCGTCTGTCTTCTGTCCAGGTTGCTGACTAGATGGTGTCATCACACTCTCTGTCTGTTGCGGCTCGGCTTTGTCCGAGATAGGTGGCATGGGCTCGACGTCACCGCTGCTTACGAGGTACCCAAGCGACTCATCGTAGCCACTGTCCGCGAAGGGGAGACTCGGGGGTTTGGTCATTTCTTGTCCTGGGGGGAACCTTGTCTTGTCTTTGGGAAGGTCCGTCCCGTGGTTACGTGTTAGCAGATCTGAGTCGCCATCAGCAGCTGGAGTCACGCCATCCTGAGGAGTGTTTCGAGCGTCGTTGGGGCCTGTAGGATGATAATATAGCCCGATATCATTCACTCCTCTCGTCTCGGAGTGCTGATCTCCAGACCAAGGCGTAGCGAGGACTGCGAGCAGGTCTTGACTGTTGCGAGGGGTGCTGTCGGACGTGGCGTCCAGAAGAGAGGGACGCCTGGCTGGTATAGGTGCTGAGTCTGTCAGAGCCGCTACCGGACCTTCTCCATCAACCGCATCTTGACTTAGAAGGGAGCTCTCGGCCTCTGCATGCCGCTCCAGTATTTTCAATTCCTCTTCAGTGAAAGTCTGCCGTGATATCAGGTACCGGTGACCATCCATCTCCAGCTCATTGAACTCCCGGTCCATGCCCGGCGAAATGGGCACAATGTTGGGCTCGAAGTCTTCTGTTGGAGTCGGTCTCTCATCTTCGGACTCCCAATGGTGCCTCTCGTGACCCCCGAGGTGTGCATAGTTGATGGGTGGTCTCCTACCTCTGGGGCGGTCATATCCTGAGAGGTCGCTTTCGAACTCATAGTTGGAGGACTTCGGATACGTAAATGTGTAGTCATCCCGGGAGCTTTCTGGCGAATATGGAATCGCCTCGCTTCCTTGGGGTTTGGAACCAAGGCGTAATATGTCGTCCCGTTCAACGGCGTCGGCAGGGTCAATGTACTTCTTCATCGTGCGGACTTTCAAGGCTGGTCGTTGTTGTGGCCGAATATCGTCACATGACATGGAGGTTGCTTCTGGGACTGGGAACAGGCCGACCAGTTCCTTGGCCGATAATCGATCGCGTGGTCGGGGAGACAAGCAAATCCTGACAATATCTTGGTACCATTCAGGCACCTCCGAAGGGAACTCATCGATGCTTAGTGGTGGCACGTGCCGCTCCGGCTCATCGTCATCCATGGCCAAAGCCCACAGAGTCATGCCCAGTTGATAGATGTCCGATTTCTCACCAATGTACATGGAGATGCGTTGATTGCTCGCGATTTTGGCAGCAATCTCTGGAGGTTCCCAGCCCACAGGGCACCCACGCCGGTTGATGTCGATGATCTTTGCATTGCCGTCAGCGTCAACCACGATGTTGGATAACGTGAAATCGCCCTGAACATAGCCCTCTTCATGAATCTCACTGAGCCCTCGAACCGCCTGCTCAGCCCATCTGCATCGATCTTCCCACGCAATGGAACCTCTGTGATCGTACAATAGATCAACGATTGCACCTTTGTCTGCGTAGCTGATGAGCAAGCCTTTGACCAACGTTTCCGTGTCATCAAACACAACGGCCTCAAGTTTGATGACATGAGCCGAGTCGTGAAGTGCATGCAGGGCATTGATCTCATACAAGAACTCATCAACCGTGTCCGGGCCAGGGATCTCTTTCTTGATATACGTTCTGCCCTTGTATAGCACCTTGTAGACGAAGCCGGAGAGGTGCGAGTCGAAGACGAGCTCATCCTCACGGACCTTCATCGGTCTGAAGGTCTCATCGTTGAAGATATGTGACACGGTAGTTTTCGGCGGGTAGGGTATGATCTCGTTGACATCTTCCGTCACGTGAACGTGTAGTCGGCCGTCAGTTGTTTCCAACTTGAGATTCGTGACGGTGTCGTAGAATTGAATTTCAGGAAGAGAATCACGTATTGACTCGTAGATTTGCATGCTCTTGTCACGTTGAAACTGGAGTTCTTTCAGGTCCATCTCCAAGGAACCCATTTCGGCATTGCGATAGTCACATGAAATGGTCACCCGACGCCAAAAACTGGGAGTCTGCGCATAAGTGACGAAGAACTTCTCGCGGTCGGACTTGTCTCTAAAGTGCATGCTCAGGTTGAGGATCCATCGATGGTCAAGCTCATCCCTTAGTTCGGCCTTGTCATCGGCTAGAGGCATCTGTGGATAGTGCGAATCATCAGAGGACGTCCTAGAAGGCGGGCGCGGAGGTCGGTGGTCGTCTTGTGGCCAGAGATCCTCGGTCGTGTCGAGTTGCGCCGAGTCAAGAGTTGGCGGAAGGTCGACATAGACGCCGCCACCACCAACATCCGCCCTAGCGGTAACAGCCACAGCGGGTGCTGATGTTGCAGATGTTCGAGCAGGGTCCCAATTGGGTGGCGACGATGTGGCTCGCCGCCTAGGTAAGCTTATCGAAGCATGCCTCGTCGACGAGACGGCCCTTCTCTCAGCATTCCCAGGCTGGATAGGAAGCAGTCGGTCTCGTCGCTCAGAGTTCTGGCGGCGGAACGTTGCTTGCCGGGGGAGGCCAACAGCAAGCGGCCTCGTTGCGGATTCGTTCTTATTGGAATCTCGCCTGTCAGCCCAGTCCCGGGACCACTGTTCATCGTCGGAGCACTCGATGGGACTCTGTGTCGCATCTTCTTTGGCGAAGAAATGCTGCAGTTTCTGCCACATTCCGAGTCTAAGCGAGTGTCTGGAATGATGCTGATGCGGCTCGGAATCGACCGGTGTCAATGCATTGGGTTCGGCATGGTGAGGTCGAATACCCATTATTGCGGAGGTCGCCTTGGTCTGATACGAGTGAGGGGCAGTCGGCAGTCCTCCACCGCGATCGAGTCAGCAACCTCCGCTTGATTCGGGCTACACAACAGCCCGAGTATTGCGACAATGGTGACAGGACATTGAAAGTGTGGTGCGTGACGGTGATACAGAAGGATGGAGAAGGTTTTGGTGGGATTGGATCCGGAAGTCCCAGAGATATTATTGGTGACTGGCCATCGACTGGGCGGGAGAGCGACGAGACGTCGGAGAATCGGAGCTGGAAGAACCTGGAGGCGGTGAGGACACGACAAGCCACTGATGCCACACAATCACCCAAGGTCTTGGAAATATTGCACACAAGTCTGATGTCTTGAAAAGAGCTGTCCGGATCTTCCGTCTGCGCAGGTGACAGATGCACAAATGCAGGACGAGGTCCGGGTTTTGTTGTGTTCGCAGCCAATACTCGACCCGGGTCAGTGGTCTCGCTCGGGTCGTTCGAGGGCAGGTGTTGGTCGGGTGCTGTGCTGGAATCAATGCAGGTACTTGGCTGATCAGTGGTCGTCTGACCACGGCCTTGTCTCTGAGGCTGGCTGGTAGCTGAGGGCAATGACCGGACCCCGAGGTGGATTTGAGGAATATATGGTGGTTTCGAAAGAGTGGTTCAAGCTACTTCACCGCTCCGACAAGGCTCTTCAGGCAGCGAGGTCTGAAACTGGCAATGGATGCACGAGGCAGGAGGCAGGAGGCGCAGGAAAGACTTGTGGGTAGTTTGCAAAACCTGCTCGCTCTCGTCGGGCGCGATATGAAGCTTTAGCTCAAACGTATACTGCGAGCACTGAAAGGCTAGCACGCAGTATTTCTTCGTCGTGTGCCTTCACGCTTGACGTGCCGCAGCGCACCAGCTTCCAACCAAGCCCAACATCGTGGTCAGGGAGGTTAGTTGGGGCTTGCGCCGTGGGGCTGGGTGACTGGGGGCCGCCCGCGACAGCGCAAAACTCAACCGCCAACGTGGATGTTTTGCGAGCGCGAAGCAGCCAATAAGGCATGTTGGGGCATTGCTAATAGGCGGCTGCTTCCTTATTTCCCGCGTGCCCCGTTCGCCCCGAAGACGCAGAGCTTAGCTAGAACCGCATCATCTCACGCTTGGGCATACCTGAGGCCCAGTAGTTAGGCCGCGACTTGTCCGATCTGGACCTCCAACCGGGTCTGCAGCCAGCTCACTTGTGCGCGGAATCCTTCGATTGCATCAATACGGATATCCTTGGGACATGAGTTCCAACAGGCGAGCGGCACTGCGGCATGCGAGAATGCGCTGCAAGGCAGACACTACACAGTAACCACATGGGCACCGACGGCCCCTAATAAACTTCCGCAGTGGCCTTCAGCCATGCCCGGGTTTACGGTTGATCCTTTCCGCTCAGCTGCTCCAGCCACGACGCGAATCGCAGCTACAGGACGGAGTCCTCCGTACCTAATGTATCTTCCAAAGCTTTCTTGTTGTCAACCCTCAGCATTGAGCTCCTTCATGCTCGGACAACCTGAATATCTCGGCTTCGTCTCCTGCAGCGGTCCATGTCTGAATCAGTTACTGCAGGCCCGCGCACAGACACGAAAGCGACAAGCGATATGTGCAGTGTTGCATGAACATGTCCTCCTGCGAACGTCCCTCGGGCCCCAAGATTGCAGCAGCCAGTCCTCTCTGACGGTCCGAATGCTGCCGCTACTGCACTCTCTGCAGAAACGACCCGGCGCGTGCATCTCGACCAGTGATCTATTTTCCTGCAAGCTCGGCGACATCCATTCGTTGCCTCGAGGTTGGGCAGCGAATATTTCATACAACCTCAATTTCCATTGGCGCTGGTGTTCCTATATCGCGCGCTGACATGACTATTTCCAACACAATTCCACAACGCTGCCTACATCAGCAGCACCCATCGGAGAGGACATCGGAGCCATGATCTCATAGTCTGTTCGTGCTCACGTCTTGACCTCGTCTCCGCAGGACCCAACGTTGACGTGGCAAGTCATCATCGATGCAGTCCCTGCGCAAAGAATTTTGGAGTCCGGGTCTCGCGTGAGCTTGAACATCATCATACATCTCCCGTACGAGAAGCAAATAACTATATGTCGGAGGTTGAGGTCACCAGACTCGAACGGACAAGGCGTTGGTCGAACTCTGGTCGTCCGCAGCCTTGTCGTTCACCGCTTATTACCCCTTACAGTAAGTATTCCCAGCATATTCGTCCACGAAAAGTAATCAGAGCATCGATGTCCCGATCCGACCCATATCGCTGAGGCTGTTGGTACAGGCAAAGCTGACATGACCCTTGGGCATCACACGATTCCTGTCTCCGCTCCCAGATGGAGTGTTGGGGATTGGTCGAAATCAGCTGCTAAATCAAACCAGCACCGCAAAAACAGACAATTGTTTCTCTCCTCCACTTGACCTCTATGTGTTGGGTCAGCAGATGATGTTGTATGAAGATCGGGTATGTCGTCGCCATTCGTCTTATTCCTCCGCCCTAGAACCAGCAGGAAAGATGACGGAACCGTGTCATGGCTCAAAGATTGGACCCGGCTTACTTGTGTGGCAGAATTCGAGTACTTGAAGCATTGAGCCTGCGCTTCTTGCAAGAATGGTTCCGATGTCTCGGGCGGAAGAATTTCCTTACGCGTCAGGTCGAGGTAATCCCGTGATCAGCAGACACTGCAAGATCCTGCAGGCAGTCCAGAGAGGGCTTTCTGATGGTGTTCATCGCTAATCTGTGTGAATCGGCTGCCCAATCCAGACAACTCAGCAGATATCGACGCACTCAAAGCACAGAGCTTCGATCATTGGCTGATACACTGCAAGGTGAGATCGGAATTCCAACCTCATTTCCGGGTGACCTCTTCATTACTTTACGTTTGCAATTTTTCAACTGATATTGCGCACCACTTTCGCAGAATTGCATTCTGTATGCCCTCTAAGGCACAGCAACATCGCTTCACTCTCCATGGGAACCAGTCGCAGAAATCACCAAGATCAGCTCACAACGGCGAGATGGTCGAGTTTCAATGCAAATGACCTTCGGGGATGCGAGATCCCCAGCCAATGGAGTTATCCCAAGCGTTGAAATCTTCCATGACATTTGCTCGTCTTTGAGACGCCAGGGTGTTGTTACCAATGCCAGTCAGTTAGCATGTGTTACACTTGACTCGGATGGCTGGGTCCCGACTTGCCCTGAAAGCTAGGGTCGAGCTTTGCTGCTCTCTCTGCATGTCCTGCACGACGCGGATTGATGGCCTTGTCATGCTCGACCACCAGGTACGAGTCTAGGCTTCACGTGCTCATCCGTGCTCTTCAGCACAGTGCTGCGCCTATTGTTCGCGGATGTGGGCAAGCGAGAAGAAATCCAGAGGAATTCTTCACCTCGTGATTGTCGTCGCCATGATAGGCACGCGAGGCGCATTTGGGCGAATGACTTCTGTCAGACTTGGGAAATCCAATCCCGTGGCTGGATCAATCGGTAATCGCTGTTACGAGTGTTTCTCGCCAGCATGATATACTTGGGCAAGGCACACCACGTTTGACTGACATAGCTGTACCTCGCCCGGTAAGGGCCACCCCACCATGGGAAGCATAATATACATGAAGTCCCATCCGTGAGTTTTCATTTCCATATCCTACCATTTCCCAAGGTGCATAGTCCGTTTTCAATTATCACATGTTTCGAAGCTCCTACATTATGGCCTGAACCTTAACCTGAACCCGACCTCGCCCCCGGGCCCGTCAACCCTCCTTTGCTCCCGGCCATTGCCTCCCATCCAGTATCCCGAGCCATCACCCTCGGACCCCTCCGTCCTCACTTGACGAGAACTCCCATTCTGCTGGACCACGTAGATGAATCTCGCGATTGTATCTGCTTCACCTCCAATCAGCTGTTGGGCGTTGAAGTGTTTGCGGACCGCGGCCGCCAGATGCGAAGCCGGTTGGTTGGGGCCGAGGTAGGTTGAAGGATTTGAGGAGATGAATGATGAGTCCCGTTCAGACGACGGGAGACCGGGGTCAGGCGGTTCGATAGATTGGGCTATTGTTGAAATCCCCTCCGCCGTTGACGTGTCTCTCAACTTGCCCTTCTCTTTGGACTTGCTACCGTTGCTCGTAGTCTTGCCTGTCCCTGTCCCGTTCGTCTGCTGCTGCTGCGCCTGGCGAGCTCTGCGCCGTTGAAGGTGCTGTTCGTGCAGCTTGCGTCTGTAATACACCACCGAGGGCGCACGCTGGCCAATGTCAGATGACTTATAGGCTAACTCGGCATGAGGTCGGTTGAACGCGGCAGGTACGGGGAGGCGGTGGGCGATGCGGTACGTGCGCAGGACGGCGACTGGCATTGTATCCCATTCGGTCTGTTCCGATATGCCAATTGCTCAAATTAGCCTCAACTCGCCCTTGGCTTTCACTCGATCTGAGGGCATTGCCCGACGTACCCGAGGCAGACTTGGATCAACTTTGTCGGCCTCCACTGCTGGTGGTGCGGCTGCGGTAGCAGCAGCAGAGCCATTCCCATTCCCTGTCACAGCGGCTTTGGATCCAGCGCTGGTACCGTTGTGTCCTCCTGGAGCCGACTTTTTCCCTTTCGACACGCCCGAGCCACTGGTTGGGCCGAGTGCAGACTTCTCCTTCTGGTTTGTGATGGTGCTTGAAGTCTCGGATCTTGAGTCGTCGACGTTGCGTGCTCGGGCAGGAGGCATCGTTGGGAACTTTTCAGGGGGCAAATTGTTCAAAGCCGCAGTGTCGTAAGCCTGCAAGGACTGAAGGAGGGCACATGCAAGCAGATCTGGATTTGCATTGAGAAAGCACCTCGAACGATCACATCGGCGTGGTCGTCGTCGTGGTCGTTGGAGGTGCGCAGTTTCTCGCGGAGCCTCCGCTCGTCAAGTCCGCTCAGGGACGCGACAGGAAAAATCGACGTCTACGTCATCGTTCCCGAGGCACCTTAAACTCAAATTAGACAAGGGTCGGAGTATCGTTGGCTCCGGGTGGTTTTGCCACGTGATCATCGAGCCTTGCAGACACGGCACACCGACACGATCCGAGGGAAATTTTTCTGCCTTTTGTGCAAGGCCTGTTCCTGCATGTCGATGGGAGATCGCATCTTGCAGATAGATGGTGGTGGCAAATTCTGCGTCCGCTTTGTACCTGCTACATATTTTGGGCGCATACGGTCCTCATATGGGCAAAACGAGTACGCACTCACCAAAGATGCGCCCAAGTCCCTGCACCATTGCCAACCAGTGTGGGCCAACGGGAACACGAAAGATACACAACGTACCATAGTAGTGAGAGAGAGACGAAGACGGGGAGCCTGCGAGGACTGATGGACTAGTGCGATTTGGAACACCGGGCCATAGTTTGGTAGGGAACATGTCAGATACACCACCACTGGTCGTCCGCAATTCGCGTATCCCCCTCTCATACACCCTGCTGGTCGGATGCAAGCTGTGAGCTCATGATGGAAAGATGAAACTCAGCTGTCGGACAGGTCGCGCATCCTAGTTCGGCGGCTGAAGTCAAGTTTTCTGACCAAAGTACTTTTACTCCAAATGCCATGTCGCGGTGGAAAGCACTGGAAAAGATCTTGTAGGAATCCCACTCATGCCAGTCTGCGGCAAATTTCGAGGCTGGACTTCCGATTGCCTTCCTCTAGCTATGCAAATTTTGACGTCGCATGCTGACACACTCGCGGTATCTGGCATCTTGACGCAGACAGGTCCGCGAGCGCCGGATAAGCGTTTGTGCGAACAGGAATGCTGCTCACTCTTCGACACGATCGCGGTTTGTTTTTCAGGCCGGACCAGCGTGAACGGTCCTTATGCGAAGTAGCTGCAATTCGTCCTCGGTGTTCCTAAGGTTCATTTCCACGTAGCTCGGACGTGGGATTGATAGCCATCCTGGTTGGAGGAAAATACCTCAGCTCCAGCAAATGTTGGAGACCATCGCATCATGGAGATCGAAAATTATCAGCGGTTCTGGCTCCGTAGCGTGAGACCAGAAGCGCGCGCAGAGTCGACATAGCCCCCGCCGTATAGTTGGTCCCACAGCTGCGAAATTCCTGCCCGCGGGTTTCGGGAGCCTAGAGTTTCTGGTTGAGGATTTTTGTATCTTTTGCCAGCTGGAGTGCTTGTGGTAGAAGTCGGGTTTCACGGGCCACGAGGGCCGTTTGTGCTAGAGTACATATCTCTGACGTCAAACGGTCGCCCAACAGCAGAGGCCATTGTAAGTACCTAGGTAGTGTCAAGTTTTCCAGTCCGCTTAGTCGGTAGCGTGTCAAGTTTTCCAGTCCGCTGAGTCGGTAGCTCGAACCTACGGTCAGATATCCAGTGTGCGTTACCAGAGAAATCCGAAGAAACGCCGCTCCATGTGATGAGAGTTTCTTCAACCCAAATACCTTCTTTGCCTTGTACGATGTCACCCAACTCATATCACCTAACTCCGTGAGATGCACATGTTTTCACATGGCGCTACAGCTTTCGAATTCCCTCACTTTGTTGTCGTCAGATCTTAGTGCCTTCCACATGGGAATAGGGTTGTGGTGTGGCCAGCGCTGTGGTAACAGTGACAAGTGGAGGTAGTACCAATTTTGGACGTGCGTGTCAATTGTCCGAGGGAATTTCTTTTGTTGGGTTCGAAATCTGAATCATGTTGCGCTGACGTTGCTCTGACTGCCGCGGCAGGAGCCATGAGTAATATGGTTCAGTCTGACGAAACTAACCGTGTGAGTAAGAGTCGAGGAGCAATAATGCACATGCACTCAAGACCCGATAATGAGGTTCTGGTCACTCGTAAACGCTTTCCGAATCAACTTGGCATGCGCTTGAGAGGCGACATCGGACATCCGACCGGAACATGCTTCCTTGCTATCACGTACACTCGTCGCCCTGCCATGTGACACTTACCCCGGTATTAGTCTGAGTTGTGTAGTAAGTCAAGTTGAACTCAAAAGTATGCCCTTCACGACGTTTTGGAACGTACCTAGCACGTCCCGATCACTCTTGACAGTGACTGTGATGCGTACATGTCCTCGACGCATGCAGCGTCAGTAAATGCGGTACGGTCCGAAAAAGACATATGGCACCGTTGTCGCCTCAGCTGTGGGTACGAGCACTTGCTGCAGTCCTCGATTCTCTCGGTGTTTTGGTGGAGATCAAGGTGCATCGCAGATACAGACAGCACGAGTAGAGAACTGAATGTGCTGCAAATTCTGTCATAGTGGTCTAGTCAGTGAAGCCGATATCAGCCAACTGAACCGGATTGTAAGACGAGAACAAGCAGATTAAGAGGAATAGACCACGCTGCCGCCCCACAAACGGTCAGACCGTAGTCACACCCAGGCTGAACCCAGCTCCCGAGATACGAAAGCAACACGGGTGGGTCGTATGCTCAGCCTTAGGCTCTATCGAACCGCATCGGGATCATACGGGCGGCATGCAGCCTAGCACAACATGACCTTCGATCGTTCGATCGTAACTGAATCGACATCGAGCGTTGAGCAAAGACGGAAAGTTGGTGATCGTACGATTTACAGGGCAGTTTTGATCGATAGGAGTTCATGCTTCTACGAGTACCCCATACGTACTCCAGTACTTCGTAGCTCTTACTGTATACCGACTGACGCCACGACCTTCTAGATAACAACGGCGAAACGCCGATTCCGACCGATAGCCTTGCTCACTTGCGGCTCGCGCTTGGGAAAGCGATCCCTATATGTCCCTGAGTTTTCGACACGGTCTCTGTTCGCGGTGCTCCGACCAGCTTCTGTGCATGGGACGCATGATCCCCGTCCTCGCAAACTCGAGAACTTATTCCCTCGGGATAGCGAGGGTACAGCGTGTGCGATGGATCTTCTTCAACCTTAACAGGGGCAATTCCAGGTTAAAGTAATTAATGGGGGCTAGACTACTTGGTGTCATCCCGAACAGTGTGGGGATGTGGGAGAAGGCCGCGCCTAGAACGGCACATGCTAAGATTCCCTGGCTCTCATCGAATCAGCAAAGCACGAGGACCGATAGGTACCGCCCCAGACAGAGCGATACGTACCTCAAAATGCGGTGGTGCCTGGACTACACAGGATGGAAGAGCATTAATTAGACCGTTGTTCAGATTATCATGCTGCATTATTGCCTCTATCGTTCAGTAGGCCATAAAACACAAGATCTAGACTGCGCTGGCGAAAAATTGAAACGGGCATCAGCGCTGCCTAATGCTGCGATAACTCAAAGGCGGCTTTCAAGATGCGAAATAACCCCGACAACTCCTCTGTACCCGCTCTCGATGGATAACGTTGGAAGTCATGATCAACAATAATCGCGGCTCGAAGATACCTCGTACTACTCGGTAGACACGCAAATCGTGATGTCCTTTGCTGCGATCCTTTGTACTTTGTGGTCCGCTTTGCCGTGCGTCATGAACGCTTGTGTGCCAACACTACAGTACCTAGATACCACATTATCAGGAGCCAGTGTGCCTGGTTTTCTCGGGGTGATCTGCCCCGAGTTCATGCCCGCCAATCTCCAGCCCAAAGCCACAGCTCCTTCGTCAGCCTGAAACCTCCACTCTGACTCGTAATCTGGCAATCCGTTCCAGCCGGCCCCTCAGCCTCTCAGCCCTGGAGCACAAGATAATCCCCTTGTAGCGAACCTCCGAAGCATCAGCCTGAGACGCTGCGGGTGTCCACAAGTAGTCCTTATACGCAAATAGCCCTCCCTCAGGTCCAGAGGATGCAAAGAATGTATCTTTCTTCTACTTCGCGTCGAACGACTAATAAAAAGCCCTTCCAAGGTCAGAGTGTCGAAATTATCTGGAGAGACGACGAACCATCTGGTTAAGCCACAGTGCCGCAGAAGGGATTTGCCTGATTCATGGCGTCGCTAACCGTAGACTCCTTCTGGGGCGTTCTGAGGGCGTTCTGTGGGTTCGCCCGTAATAGCCTAGCAGAGAACCCCCGCAAGACGCCTCAAAGCTGATGGCGCCATGCAAGGAAATCTTGGACTCCCGTGTCAGCAGTCTTGCTATTCCCACGCATTTCACCAAATTGCAGCATTGTTGCTAGATGATGACTGTATTAGGGTAGGTGTCATTGCCTCGGCAAGAAAGAGGAGGTGGAGTGTCGTGTTCCGGCGAGACTCGTAGAAGGGCAGAATCATGTGCAGTCACTTTCAAGACGGTGCTCAAGGTTATGCCTGAAAGTGTCCAAAGGCTACGTACCCGAGTCTCGCAGTCATCGGGCAACACACCGCATAACACTCTGAAGGGTTCCGAGTTTTTATCGTGCGATTAACTGGGTACCAGAAAATCTTTTGTCAGACAGACCAAGCCGCGGATGCGACTTTGTCACTTTGCTGCAAGTGCCGTGCCGAAGGATACATCACCTCCTCTTGGGCCTGGCGTAAATTTTTCGATTCCCCATCAAATTTCTTTCCCATTATGGAGCGCTGTGTCCTGGAGGTGCTCGTAGCATGTGGTCGTGTTACCCGTTCTCACTCGAGTAAGCATACGTAGGTAGTCGCAAGCACCACAATAACTCGTCCGGCGTTGTCTGAAGCGGCTACCTCGTACTCAGGTGACATCTCTGCCACGGCTTCAGGGCAAGCATATCTACTGTACCATAAAGTATCTCTCCATATATCTAGAGAGACTAGTAATCGATCAACCCGCGGCAGCACAACCATCAGCCCGAATTCCGAAAGTTACGGGTATGAAGGTTTGGCCGGGTCCTCCCCGTGTGGTCGCAGGCAACTGTCAAAAGCCAAAATCTGCATTGTCATTTTCCAAGGTTCATTCATTCCAGGCGTCTAAGCACAGCTGACACGGTCATTTGCTCCTCGCACCCCAGCTTCGGGTGGCCCGTCAGCCCCCGGACCACCGCGCCCTGTGCCACGTCGAAGAGAAACAGGCCCAACGAAGGGCAAGACAGGTCGAGGAATTTACATGGCTGTCTATCACAGAGCCAAGTCAGGCTCGAAACATCAAGCAACGTCGGAAACGACACATCATTCGACAGGGAGAAGTAACCTCCGGCGGCACCGATTCCCTCCTATCAACGTGCCTCGGCGCGCTTCTCCTGATTTCGGCATAACCGCCGGGTGTCGGTACCTCGAAAGGGAGTACCTGGTACCTTCGCCGATTCCGTCATTATTGCCAAAGGCTCTCCAGGCTCAACGTGGCCTGATAAGGAATCGGCGCTAACGGAGGGGTCCACCAGTGACTGCGCCAGGTCTTTTCATTTCTTTTTGGGTGCCTGGAGGGCCGAAAGGTGTCTCTGCCTGGGTGGAGCACCCCATCATCTGTCCCACAGTTGCAGAGAGCGTCTGGTTACCTGACCTTTCCCTCACCCACAGGCCGGTTACATGTCAAACCTGCGCACGGGTGCCACACGCTGTTTCCTCGCGTCAAGTGGTGCAGGCGCCCACTGACTAGCGAGACGGGCAAGGGCGGTGGTGCCCACATTCCTCATCCCTCGTTCCTGCTGGAGGTACGAAGCCAGGAGTTAAGCACCTTGGCCTCTTCAGGCTTCTGCATCCTTCTGTCAGAAAAAAAAGACAAACACGTCTTCACCCCCATCCGAAACCCCTGCTTTGCCCCGGTCTCCAGTTTTTCCACGTCCGCAGCGCCGGGTAATTTCCTCATCCTCAATTTCTCAACTGAGAAGTCTCGTCTCATCACCTCACAGACGTGAACGAGCCGACGTCCTTCTCCAACACGTACCCGGCTCATCTCTGATCCCAATCTACTCCTGCATACTCCGTATCTGACAAAACTCCGTCCACCCCGGACTCTCCTCCTTGTTTCTTCTCCTCTTTTCCCCCAAACCCGCACCGCCAAATAACTCTGCCCACACTATTTCCCTTACCTCACCACCTACCACACCACCCCTGTGCGAGCAGACCTCCCACACTACAGCCTGTCATCGCCAATCCACTGCCAATATCAATCTGCGCCTTTCCGACCCCAGGTCTGCAGCCGGCCTTGTGCATGCGTCACGCCGCCATCCTCGTCACCTACCTAAGTACTGTACACGAAGTGGATGATTCACCCCACGATAAGCGATCAGCCTTTTGGGGAACAAAGTATCCCCTTCGCTCGAATGCAACGCTCTTCGTCCGCAGTAGACTTTACTGCTCTTCTCAACCCTTCGCCTCCTCGCTCCTCAGACCCTTCTACGTCTTCCTTACCGCCGCCTGACGCTGTCGCGCCACAGCCACAGAACGTTAGTACCTCGACGACTACCCAAAACGATAGTAACATGGCCGCCGCTGTCAGCCTGATGCCGACGCCGTTGCCCTCGCAGCCTGCCAACCCAGACGACCGACAAGACCTCCCGCGGCCGTACAAGTGCCCTCTCTGCGACCGAGCGTTCCATCGTCTAGAGCATCAAACCCGACACATCCGGACGCATACAGGAGAGAAGCCTCACGCTTGTCAGTTCCCTGGTTGCAGCAAACGCTTCAGCAGATCCGATGAGTTGACTCGCCATTCACGCATACACAACAACCCGAACTCACGCAGGAACCAAAAAACACATCAAGTTGCTGCCGCCGCCGCATTGGCTGGCCTTCAAGATGGCTCAAACCAGAACCTCGTGGCCCAGGCCCAGATGATGCCACCGCCGAAGAATAGTCTGCCACGTTCAGCACCTACTTCAGTCGTCGGCTCACCTAATGTTTCACCGCCACATTCATTCGCCGTCCAAGCCTCAATTCACGGCCCTCATATGCCTACTCATCTGGGTCCATTTGGACGAAGTGATGACCGGAATGCAATGGACATCAATCTACTTGCCACTGCCGCTTCTCAAGTCGAGCGGGACGAGCACGTCACAAGAGTTCCTTACCAGCATCAGCACCATCTTTTCAGTCATCGAAGCCACCACACCAATGGACGTCTGCCTTCTCTATCAGCCTACGCCATCTCTCACTCGATGTCGAGATCGCATTCACAAGAAAACCATGACGAAGATCACCGTGTAAAGCGCTCTAGACCAAACTCGCCACACTCCACCGCTCCCTCGTCACCTACATTCTCCCATGAGTCAATCTCGCCGACACCAGATCACACACCCCTGGCGACCCCTGGCCACTCTCCTCGGCTTCGACCCCATGGCAGCGATCTGCAGCTCCCAGGCCTCCGACATCTTTCGTTAGGTCACACCCCTCTCCTAGCTCCCATGGAACCCCAAGCCGATGGCTCTTACTCCCATATCCCGACGCCACAACATACCGGGCCTTCGATCGCCGATATCGTGACAGGAACCCAGCGCAAGCTCCCGGTTCCCCAGCTCCCTAAAATTGGTGTCTCTGAAATGCTACATTTGCCCGGTGGCTTGAGCTCAGGAGAATCAAGTTCAGCGGCGTCGATCAACGGCGACTTGGCACGGTGAATGGTTCCTGGTGAAGCATGTGTTTACGGTACCTACAGCGGTTTTGCCACGGCTTGAAATTAGAAGCAACAATACTGTCATCTTTATTCTCCTCTTCACTTGGCGTTGTGGGAAGTCTTTTTCTAGGCAGAGCTGACGCCCCAGGTTTGGGCCGCTCGGATGAATGGTGAATGAAACTACAGCGCGGAGCAGGTTATAGACGGACAGGGGACAACCAGGAAATGCGCCGCAAGATTGCGCCAGATAGAGCGGCGTTTATTGGTGGTATGTTTTGTATGGTCTACTGGTGTCAGGCCGAGCGAAATCGCGCTCTTACTGTCAGGCAGCCAATCCCCTGTTCACATGTGTAGTTTTGAGATAGCCAATTCAGTCTGACACCTGGATCTGAGGCCTTGGGGCTGCCACCAGGGGGATCACCGAATCGCCCCTCATGCCCGCCAAGTACTCCGCTGATGGCGATGATCGAATCTGATGATGGATTCCACTTGTCACTTTTTCGGAGCGTCTCCCTAATTACTGTACACAGTAGACAGTGCTCCCGCCCAACCCGGTGTCTGGGCAGCTGAGTCACATTTGCAGGCTAGCGTCTTGTTCAAGCAACAATCAGAAACCATGGTTCAAACACCCGGGTTCGCTTGGAGCATGAGCCAGACAAGGTACTCGTATTGGGGGCGGAAGAACTGCGCGACAAATACTCCGTAGACAAGGCGGATTTGAGAGCGCCCAACATTTCGAAACCTTGCGAATAGGGCGAGCTGACTGTGGAAATGACAGCTGCGCCCGCGAGTACTCCTCTGCACCTTGGTACTTTGATAATTTAGGCGCCAAACACTTTCATTGTGTCCTCAGCTTATCAGCCCCATGTAACCACAGAGCCACATATCCCGTGGTTTCCCCCACACTATGCAGGGCTGATGCGTCGTGACCAGTCCCGCTGCATGGGTTGGCCAGAATCGCCTCTATCACGGCTCGAGAATGTGGATGGGCAATAAGGCACAATACGAGGATTTGAGGCTGGCACTGGTCTAGACTGCTATCCACCTTGTGTTACACAGCAGGTTTTGATTACTGTTTGCCCCGGACGGTCATGCACCGCCCACAGCCAGACGCGAGAACCGGGGGAATCGCGGAGTCCCCAGTTTTTGACAAGCCAAATGGGATGCGGAGTTGATTAGATTGTCAAGACTCTGGATGCGAATTTAGCCAAACTTCCCGGCAATGGTATTTCATCATTATTCATCTCCCCAGTCGAGGGAGGAATTCATTGACCGCTGCCTGTTGCGGCATGCCGATCAATGGGAGATTGGAATCGTGGCACGCAGAGAAACCCGAAGGTCAAGAAATGAGACGTCCGGACTGATGTGATGAATGACTCGAGCCCTTTCGGACCGGAGGGGCATCCTCAGTACCACAGTACTCATGCCGTGCCGATTCAGGCATAACCGAGCCGAGGGCACATCCTCGGGTGATCCGACCTGCGATGATCTTGAGTCGCGGTTTCCGTCGTCAAGATGATGACCAGAAGGGTCAGTCACAGTACGGCTCTAACAACGATGAATGTCATACTGGGAGTGAGCGGTGTGTCTTGTCGTGCTGATGTGTTCTCCTATCCAAGAAGACTACTATTCGTAACGAGGTACTGTGTGCTCGTCCATCAAAGCGGGAAACACGGCGTGCAATCCGTCTTCTGCCGGGTTTTACCGGGCTTTACCGGGCTTTACCGAAGGAACAGACTTGCGGTTGCCTGGCATCTTTCAGCATCCCGAAATCACCCTCGATGATAGGAACCAAATCGGTCTGACAATCGCGATCATCTCGATTTTCGAAGGCACGACCGTCCGCCTGGCGTCTTCGCTCGAAACCGAGGCGGATTTCTTTCCCCCTTCATCCACACCTCATTTCTTCCACGTAGCGAATCTATCAAGCATAGATCGACCGGGACTAGGGCTGAAGAAGTGGCTTTCGCGTCACTCATGATTCAAGCTCCGAGCCCCAACCTTATCAGTGATGCGCTTGGGGTACGGAAGGACTCTGACGGTTCCGCGTATGCCATTCATACCAGCTGAAACACATCCGCTCTTACTGTCGCTATGCCGCGTGGGGGAAGCAGGGCAAGGCGGCGTGTGATTGAAAGGACTACACCCATCCTTTTTAAGTCATTCGGCATCATCAACTGACCACGATCAGGTAGGGCTCTGCATTCACCGTCTTATCGCACAATCTCCCGGTGCCAACCTCCAATAGCCTCCTCATTCACGATGCAGCACATGCTCAGAACCAGTCTGCTGATAAGTACCAATTGATGTCGGAGGAGCACACCATCAGATGCTGGGAAGCACATGCCTGCAGAAAAATACCTCGTACTGACTGTTCAGGGGCCAAGAACCTGTCGCTTTCTGCCACCACTTGACACAATACATATCTCTGCTCTCTCGTTCTCACCACCGGGTGCCGATCACTCAGCACCCTACTCTATACCGCCTCGCTCTCCTTGGTCACGATGCGCCCGGGGTGTTGGGAACTGGAGAGGCTGCTTGGCTGTCTATTCTCAGCTCCCTGCAGCCTTGCCCACGCTCGCCCATCCGCGACATAAGCCACTAGAAAGAAACTCGAAGTCTAAAGTTGTTTCTATCGCACGGAATAAGCGAGAGCACCACACAATCCTGCCCGGAATACGAATGATCGACTACCCAGTCGTCCGCATTGAGGTGCACCTGAGCGCATTTCGGCCAGCGAGAAGGGATGTTGGAATGACAGAAGCGAATCAGGCACTCGACAGCGATCACCACCCTCTGGCTGCACAAGGCCAAGGGTCAGCCATAATCATGGCGCGTGTCTCCTGGTAGGGGATGTTGAGGGGGTAGCGTCGCAGGGTACAAGTTTTTATTGGTGAAGTCTTCTCTCGATTACAGCGGTACACGTTCGTTATTCGCACGCCAACCCGTCAGATTGGTGAAGGACACCCAGAGGCTTGCAGGGGTGTTCTACTGAGGCTTTGCAGATTCGTGCTTGACCCATGGTTTTCCTACCATTTGGTGCTGTATCCAGTACGTACCTCCCACTGTGCATCTCCGCATGCATCCACGACGAGTGGCGAGTGGGTCTCCGTCCCCTGTTTCGAGTTCTCCCACTGGGGTATAACTAGCCGATAGGAAGAGGATCTGCCTTCCGCCCGACCGTCGACCTGACGTCCATCCAGTGCCTTGATTCAGCTGCCGGATCTGAGCACGCACGGCACGGCTACGCAGTACATGGATGCTGTCAGCGGCCATCAGTAATGTGGCATGGCATATCTTCTCAACTTACTTCCGGCACTGCAGGACAAAAAGCAAGGTATACCCCAGATCTGCAGTCCGGACGATTGACCCCTATGCCCGAATAAGGGGTACACTGGCACAGATCCCGCCAAAAACAACAACCCTCTCATTATTACAGCAGCGTGCACGAGGTGGACAAATTTTGTTGGGATCGATATAATTCACGTTCACTAGGCTGTCGCCTGGCCTTGCGTCATGACTTTGCAACCATGACGGAATCCCATCATTCGGCAGATGTGACTTTCTTATTGTCGGTGAACACAGAAAGCAACAAACCATGCCGGCGGCGCAAACCCCCCCTGTCGGTGAGCTCATCTTGCGCCGACATGCCCACCATGCGTCTGTCTCATCCGCATCCACTTCCGCATCACATATCCGTCCGGAGTACCTCGTATCCACCATTCCATTCATCCAAGCGAGCAGCCATTCCAACAGCACAGCACGGCATACATACAACACCGAGGCGTGGCAGGCAGGCCAAGGCTGGCTGGTGCCTCTCGAAATGTGATGATCCCGGATATGAAGTCCACTGTAAGTGTGGGGCTGTCCAGCTGTGTACTCGGAACTCGTAGTCCTCGTACTCGCAGATTTGCACATGCATTTCTCTCGAGTGAGTGGCCAGCACAGCACATGCCAAATGCATATTGACTGATTGACGCGTCTCTCTCGGAAATCGTTCAGCCAGCCGCACCCCAGCGCTTGTCTACGTCGTACTTACCTACTGACCTTGTCGACCCCTGCTGGATTCAACCACCACAGGTAGGGAGTAGGGAGTAAGGAGTAAGGAAGTCACATTGTTCTACAGTATTGTCTCTACGGAGTATTACCCGATGAATCCGATACTCCGTACGGACCTCGCGGGATCGGCTCGTGCAGAAACTCCCTCCCGCCTGACACTGACACTGACAGTGGCAACGACGCACTACTGTACCCTGCATCCATTCAGCTCAGTTCGACCCAGCACGACTCAGCTCGACTCAGGTCAGTTCATCTCAGCTCATTCTCCTGATGCGCATCCGCATCCGAACTCAGGGATCAGGTTCGGATACCGACTGATTGATTGACTGGGGTACATAACCTACCAAAGGTGTAGGCATGTGCTTAGATTTGGACTTGGACTTGTCACATTGCTGGACACTGAAAGTAAGTGCCGACATAGACTGCGTGACGTACACAGTACAACAGTAGACAGGACATGTGTAGCTCGACTTCCGAGAGGGCTCGCAGCAATGAGAAACTGCAAGCAACTGTAAGTTACTTTACTGCCTACAGGGTACGACAACAACGCAGCCGGTACCGTAGGCTTCACCTAGGTTAGGTACCTAGGTATGTATATATCTATTTTTGAAGTACCTGATACAGTACATTGCACATGTCTCTGTGTCGTCTGTACGTAAGTATGTAGGTGGTGACAGGCCCAGCATGTACCTCTGAGTCTGCTTGTGCCTCTGCGTCTGCGCGCGTGTGTCTGTGCTGCGCCACTCATCTTTATCCATACGAGGCACATGTATGTACTCCGTAGTGTGCTTTAGTACGCCGTCGAGGCGTCTACAGATGCATGAATGGATGCACGATGATTGCGACCAACAATTTACTTCACTCGCTCACCACCGACTCACTCAACTGTATGAGTCTACTCCTCTGTGTTCGAGGCTGGTCCCAACAGCTACTCCTTACGCTACTCATGAGAATTACGGGATAGTCATGATTTCGAGTCATCTATTATCACCTAATCATATATTGTATTGTATCGCATCTCTGCCTGCTCTGCCTGCTGTACCCTGGTTGGCGGCTGGCATGGCACAAAACCTTTCCTTCCCACTGTAAATCGAAGCTACTACAGTACATACATCTTCAGAGAAGAGATTCTATCGCTCGCTCGCTCACTCGCCCGACGGTTGTAAGTGCACATCGAGCTCGCGCCAAGTCTGGGTCCGTCTTCCCACGCAGCTTCTACAGGAAACGACCGCCGCGCATTCCCTCCATCACTCACTGACTCGCTCACATCCACCATGGGTCCATCGCATGGGTATCCAGTCCATGTCTAATTAGTTATGGATATTTCGGTGATTTCCCTGCCTTCGAGAGCGGTGGTCGCGCCCGTGCCCATGCCCTGCGCATGCAACCATTCAACCAGATCAGTTCAGTGTTCTATACTGCACGCCATCCGACATTCAAGCACATCGGTTTTCCTTACCGCGCATCATCCTGCGTGGTCCATCTTCCTGTCCTCTGTCTGGCGCGGGGAGGTCATCCCGAACAAAGGTTCGTCTCTCTTTACCCACCGACACCTCTCTTATACAACATATGATATTCGTTGACAAAGTCGACAGCGACCTTCCCTGCATCCATATACACAGCGTTGCAGCCGAAGATCTAGTCGTCATCAGCGTCGTCGTCGTCGTCCTTGTCCTCTTTATTTTTCCTCTCCTTCTCTTTCCTCTTCAGCGCATCTTTCCATCTGTGGTTGACTTCGTTGACATTCACGTCCGGAAAGACAATCTTGAAGACATCGTCGTACCAATTCACAGGGTGGCCTTCTATGCCCTCTTTGATGTTCTGGAACAACACACAAGTCAGTCAGTTATCAACACGGGCGTGATAGAGGGGGCAGATAAAACGAACCTCGGGCAACTCAACCCAGTCGCCCCAATTATCCTTGGGGAACAGAATCCTGTTACAGCCCGCCCGACGCGCTGCGACGGTCTTCTCCCTCAGCCCACCGATCCTCAGCACCTTGCCCGTGACGGTTAGTTCGCCGGTCATTGCCAAGGCGGGGTCGACTTCTTTGTCCATGGCCAGACTCAGCAGGGACGTGGCCATGGTGATACCCGCTGAGGGACCGTCCTTTTGCACGGCTCCCTCCGGGCAATGTAAATGGATCTTGGCGTGGTCGAAGAACTTGTTCTTGGGGAATTTCGTGGCGAGGAGGTGTTTGGCGAACGAATACGCTATCTGAGTCGATTCCTTCATGACCGGTTTCAAATTGCCCGTGCGTTCCAGGCCGGGACGGCCGGACTGTGACAGTGCGGATTCGAGGATCGATTCGACGTAGAGGGCTGCGCCGCCCATGCTTGTCCAGGCTAGACCCATCGCTACGCCCGGCGGTGTCGTTTCGTACAACCGGTCGGCCGTGAAGATTGGGGGGCCGACAAAGTCTTTCAGATTGTCCTTCGTGATGGTAACGTGGACAGACTCCGGCACCGCGAGCGCTACACGAGGCTTTTCCGTGGTTTCTTGCTCAATATTCTCCGGCGTGTCCTTGACGTCGGTGTTATCTTTTTTGCTTTCTTCCAAGGCGGCTTTTCCTTCCGCTGTCAGCGCCTCGGACTCGGGCAAGACCTCTTCCCCAAGGTCTTGGATGATCTTCAGGGCCGACTTCCGATACACCTTTTCGATGTGCTTTTTCAGGTTACGGACGCCGGATTCTCGGGCGTACTTGTTGATCAGCTCTTCGATGGCAGAGTCGTCGAGTTTGACATCCACGTCCTTCAGGCCTGACAGCTCTTTGGCCTGGGGTGCAAGGTATCGATCAGCAATGGCTTTCTTCTCGTCAGCGACATAACCGCTCAGCTCGATGACTTCCATTCTGTCAAGGAGGGGGCGGGGAATGGTGTCGGTCATGTTTGCCGTACAGACAAATAGGACTTTGGACAAGTCGACGGGGATATCCATGTAATGATCCAAAAAGCTGGAATTCTGCTCTGGATCAAGCAGCTCGAGGAGTGCTGAAGACGGATCTCCCTGGTGACCGCGGCCGATCTTGTCAACCTCATCAATGAGAATGAGCGGGTTCTCGGTCTGACACTTCTTCAGGGCCTGGATGATTCTTCCCGGCAGAGCGCCGACGTAGGTCCGGCGGTGGCCTTTGATCTCGGCAACGTCCGTCAAACCCCCGACGCTGAAGCGGTAGTACTGTCTGTTCAGTGCGCGAGCGATCGATTTGCCGATCGATGTCTTGCCCACGCCAGGAGGGCCGACAAAGCATAGGATCTTGCCCTCAACCGTTCCACGAAGCTTGCCGACCGCGATAAACTCGAGTATCCTATCCTTGACGTCTTTCAGTCCGTAGTGATCCTCGTCCAGCACGGTCATGGCGTTCTTGATACCGAAGTTCTCAGCGCTTCGCTGACCCCAAGGTATCTGTGTAATCCAATCGAGGTAGTTCCGAGTCACATTAAACTCGGAAGCTGCGGGTTCCAGATGTGCCAGCTTGTTGAGCTCCTCGTCAAAGACCTTCTTGACGGCCTCCGGCATGGCTAATTTCTGCGCCTTCTCGCGGAACTTCTCCACGAGCTTGTCTTTGCCATCGGACTCGATGCCCAATTCGCGGCGGATACCTTTCATTTGCTCCATGAGCCAGTACTCTCGTTGCCGCTTCTGGATCTTGCTTTCAACGTCCTTGGAAATCTTGGACTGCAGCTGGGCATTCATCAACTCTTTCTTGAGCACGACCAATGCTTTGTGCAGTCTTCGGGCCACATCCATTTCCTGTAAGACATCCTGCAGTTCCCCAATCTCGCCAGCTGAGACTGCGGCTGCGAAGTCTGCAAGCTTGGCTGGCTCTTCGAGTACGTTGCCTTGGTATTGGGAGACGCTGAAATCCGAGATCTGATCCCGGAAAAGCTGGTTCAGACTGGCGACTTCCTTGAAAACACTGACGATTTCCGAAGTCAAGGCCTTGATCTCGCCACTCTTCTTGTCAAAAGGTTGTTCCGCTAGATTCTCGACGTGGACCAACGAGACAGGGAATTTGCGAAGGAAAGCAGTGGGTTCGTAGACGCCCATTTGGCCGGGCTGTTCCTTACTCGGTTCCTCGAAACTTGCCACAACATCCCCTTTATTGTCTGGCCCTTCGCCCTTCGACTTGTCCTCCTTTACCGGCTGGACTTGCACCATAGACGGCTCTACTTCACCTGCTTTGGACGGAGGCATCAAGGCGGTCATTTTGATACGGCGATGCGGGTACAGCACGGCCGTCAGACTGTGTTCGTCTCCGTGGACTGGAAATGCGCTGGTAATCTGGGCGAAGACTCCAACATCATGGACGTCATCCACCTTCTCAATGATGTCCTTGTCTGCGTTGTCATCCTTGAATAGAAACGCGCCGACGTATGGTTGGCCGCGCTTCATCATCTCGGTGATGGCAGCAACAACATTGGGATCACGGATCGTGATAGCCTTGTAAAACCCGGGGAATAGAGGACGCTTTGCGATGGGGATCGCCATGACCTGGGGGTAGACCTCTGGCACCGTAGGTTTCGAGATCTGCGTGGTCTTCCGCCCACGTTTGCTGCCATCGTTCCCTGATCCTGCGCCCTGCGTGCCCGGTTGGGAGTCCCCGCCCGAGCCTCCTGCAGCTGCGGGTTTGGCATTGTCGGCAGATTGGGGTATCGGTTGCGGCTCGGCGGCCGACTTTTTCGTTTCCACTGAATCCTCTGTCCGTGGAGCTTCGTCCAACTCCTTTTCTACCTTTCCAGCTTTTGCCTCGGCCTCCTCTTGCTTCGACTGGGGATCGTCTTCGGGGGGCTTGTCTTTCCGTCGCGCGGGATGCGAGGAGAACTGACGTATTTGTAATCCATATCGGGCGACAATGGGGTGGTAGCTCGAAGTGAGTCGAGGTTTCGCGGACAAACTTGAAGCGCTTCTCTGGAGGAGCTGCCGTCTGCAGTCCCTACAGATGTTGAAGGAGCCTTGTCGGAGCGCAGTCCTCCATGGTAACGTTTGGCCACGAAGCATGCTCTGGGTAGAGGGGAGTGGCTGTGGCGAGCGAGAGGGACGAACGCTGCGCCAGTGGAGGGAGTGTAGAGAAGGGTTTTGAGTACACTCTGAGGGTTCCAGAGGTCAAGGAAAATACTTTAAACCAGACCAACTGTGAGAGGCGATAATGATGAGAAGGCGACGGCAGGTGTCGCAATGCACTTTGATCTCAACTCGATATCATGTGGATCCACGCCCGCGACTCGGATAAACTGCCGCCGACAGCAAAAAGCCGAACTGCTGGAACTTTCTCTCAGTGCTGGGACAGCATTTCGATATCTGTTCCCAGCCAATTCTACAGTCCGTGGTGAAGACATCTCCGTCAACAGTTTATCTTGCTCTGGCCCTTGATGAGCGTTATAGCAACTCCGACCGCACTGGGCGGGACCGCTCCCTTGCGATCACTCTTGAGGACAACGTCGCAGTGTCCCCGACAACGGAATAGTTTTACTCGGAAAGCCCAAACTAGACGATTTTACGACTCTGCCGCCCCGAAGAGACCGGTACCGCAGCGCTCGTCCTCAGCGTCTCCCCGATGTCCGTCGCATCACAGACGGCCGTTTTCTGCGACCCCGGCCTTCCAGGCCACGAAAGATCCTTATGCGACCCTGGGCGTGGGAAAGAATGCTACGGCTCCTGAGATCAAGAAGGCGTACTACGCCCTGGCGAAGAAATACCACCCTGATACCAACAAAGACCCGGGCGCGAAAGAGAAATTCACCGACGCCCAGTCAGCATACGAACTTTTGAATGACCCCCAGAAGAAAGCGGCCTACGATCAGTTTGGCGCTGCTGCATTCGATCAAGGCGCGGGATTCGACCCTTCCGCTGGTGGTGGAAATCCTTTCGCAGGCGCCGGGGGAGGAAATCCCTTCTCTGGGTTCGGCGGAGGTTTCGGTGCCGAGTTCAATTTCGAAGATTTGTTTGGCGCATTTACTGGCGGCGGTCGCCGTGGCCGGAGGGGAGGCGGGCCTTTCCAAGAAGAGATCTTGGTGGGCGAAAATATTGAAGTCCAGACAAATATATCTTTCATGGATGCGGCGAAAGGAGTGAGTAAGAATATCACCATTACCCCGCTGGTACAGTGCGGGACGTGCAAAGGAGATGGGATGAAGCAGGGATCTTCGAGACAGACATGCAAACGATGCAATGGTACGGGCACAAGAGTCCATGTGATGCAGGCCGGCTTCCAGATGGCCTCTACGTGTGATACATGTAACGGGACCGGAACCGTGGTGCCCAGGGGATCTGAGTGCAACACATGCTCCGGTAACGGTGTGGTTCGGAAGAGGGAGACTGTTGAAGTCGACATTCCCGGCGGAGTCGAGGATGGAATGCGCCTGCGGGTCGCAGGTTCTGGTGACTATCCTCCCACCGGCCTATCAGCAAACCCCAAACTTCGAACACAGCGCGGCGACCTGTACGTCTTCATTCGGGTGGCACCAGATGCGCGGTTCAGCCGAAACGGAGCAGACATTCTCTACACTGCGTCGATACCACTGACCACGGCGCTGCTTGGTGGTGAGGTGATGGTACCCACGCTAGACGGTGAGGTCAGAGTCAAAGTAGCCACGGGCACGTCGACAAACGATCGGATCACACTTGGTGGTATGGGCATGAAGAGGCTCGGTGGCCGTGGTGCTGGCTCGTCTGGCGATCTGCGGGTGGAGTTCAAGGTACAAATGCCCAAGTACCTGACTGCCAACCAGCGGACGATCATTGAAATGCTGGCGGATGAGATGGGCGACAAGACGGCCAAGAGGATCATGAATGTGGGCCGGTACAAAGACCAAGACAAGCAGTGAGTGTGTAGAGTGAGACGACAAGCATTTTGCTAATCTTCGTCTCAGAGCACCTGGAAACGACAGCCCTGCATCGAAGCCGTCCGAGAAGAGAGCGGACCACAAGAACGAGGGATTCTTGAAATCTGCCTGGCACAAGCTCACTCACCAGCATGATAATCTGGAGTCCGACAAGCCTGGAAAGGAGAGCAAAGCGGAGCAGCACGAGGATAACGAACCCGAGAAGGCGTCTGGGTCTGGCTAAGTGACTGAGCATTGATGATTCCACAATACCCTTCTCCTGTTTATATACCTCACAGCGACGGCGACGAGATTGGATTGTGTGCATTTCAGAAAGGGATTCCATTGGTGATGGCTGTGACGACGGATGTACAGTACCTATCTGCGCACGACTGGATGGTCGAAGCCAGTACGGAGTAGCACTCCCATCTTTTGTAGAATACCAGGCCCGTTAAAAGCGTATGCTTCTCAGTCGTGAATGACGGCTTACTGATTGAAACTTGAGAGAAACCTGAAAAATCTGAGAGGAAGCTCAGAGGAACCTGAGGGATGGGTGAGTCTCGAATTCCGCATCTCAAATCGGGCCTGCCGCGCCTAGGCCTCAATCACTGCCGTCTGATTGGCGGAGCTTCTCCTCGTCACTGTGCAGTGGGACGGACACAGCGGGACTTCACAGATCTGGGCTCCCGAACTGGCTTGCATGCCACGATGCCGTCTGCTTCAGACCAGCTTCGTAGATCGATCGGATTTCGTATGTCCACGGCTGCAACTCCGTTAGGTCTCTGTTCTTCAATGCATTGATCAGTTGCTTCGTCGCCGCCTATTCCCCGAGCCACTCTACGACCGGTTCCCCTCACCGGCAGTCAAGATGGTGCAAGCGCCCATGATATCCTGTCCGTTGAAGACGACAACCGAGGTCAGCTGGGTCGAACCGCTGTCGCAGTACATCCGCAACAGCTACGGTGACGATGCCAGCAAGTACGCAGAAGAGATTGGTACACTCAACAGGCTGCGGCAGGACATGAGAGGGGCTGGCGCCGACTCGGCGTCAGGAAGAGACTTGCTGTACAGATACTATGGGCAACTGGAATTGCTAGACCTAAGGTTCCCTATCGACGAGGCGCATATCAAGATCTCATTTCAGTGGTTTGACGCCTTCACGCGGGCGGCGACGTCTCAGTATTCCCTAGCCTTCGAGAAGGCATCGGTGATTTTCAACATCGCCGCCGTGCTCTCATGTCACGCCGCTGCTCAGAATCGTTCCGAGGACAAGGACTTGAAGACTGCTTATCATTCTTTCCAGGCCTCTGCTGGAATGTTTACCTATATCAACGAGAACTTCCTCCATGCGCCGTCGATCGATCTGAACCGAGACACCGTCAAAACCCTGATTCATATCGTGCTTGGCCAGGCGCAGGAGGTTTTCCTAGAGAAGCAGGTCAGGGATGGCAAGAAGCCGGCACTTCTGGCCAAACTCGCCGCTCAAGCAGCATTTCTGTACGGTCAGGCCAAAGAAGGACTCGAGTCGGACCATGCGCGCGGAGTTTTTGAGGGTGTATGGTTGAAGCTGATCCAGATCAAGGCCTTACACTTCTCTTCACTGGCAGAATATTACCAGGCACTGACTGAAGATGAGACCAACCAACAAGGTTCAGCGATCGCGCGGTTGCAGCTCGCCGAGAAATCGAGCAAGCAGGCATACACTTTTGCCAAATCTTTCCCCGCGACTCCGTCCTCGGCGTCACAGCTGGGCTCAGACACTGCTTCAACAATGCAATCAATCACTCGAAGACAGATGGAGATGGTGCAGGAGAAGGTGACGTCCTTGGTCAAGGATAATGACTACATCTACCACCAGACGGTACCAGCGGATGCCTCATTATCTCCGGTCACCAAAGTACCGGCAGCTAAAGCAATTCCTCTTTCTGAACTATACCAGGGCCAAGATATCCAACGGATCATTGGCCCCGACATATTTCAGAAGATCGTCCCCATTTCAGTCACCGAATCGGCCAGTATGTATGACGAGGAGAAAGCAAAGTTGATCAGATCCGAGGCGGAAAAGGTCGAGCAAGCAAATGGTGAAATGGCCGCGAGCCTCGACTACCTCAAATTGCCCAACAGCCTCAACGTGTTGAAAGGTGGTCTGGAACAGGAAATGGGCGTTGACCGAGATTTTGAGCACTGGTGCCAGGAGATTGCGAACCACCAGTTATTCAACAGCGCCTTCGAGCAACTCCAGAAAGACAAGCAGACTGTTCTGGACAGCTTGGCCAAAAGCTCCAAGCAACTTGACATGGAGGAGAGCGTGTGCGAGAAAATGAGGTCCAAATACGGTGCCGACTGGACTCAGCAACCCAGCTCGAGATTGACTTCTACGTTAAGAGCTGACATCAAGAGCTACCGCGACACAGTAGATGAGGCCGGAGCCAGTGATGCGCAGCTCTTTTCCACAGCCCGCCAATACGAAAGTGATTTTGCAGAGATGCGGGCTGCCGGCGAACAAGGTGATGCAGATGTCCTCTATCAGCAAGCACTGATCAAGGCCGGGTCCGGGTCGAAAAGCAGAAGTAGGTCGGGAGATGAAACGACGCTACTCGATGAGGACTACGGCGAAGGCGGTTTGTCAGTGATGGATCAAATTGCAAAAGTCGAAGACTTGTTGCGGAAACTTAACCTCGTCAAGCGGGAGAGAATGCAGGTCTTGAAGGACCTGAAAGAGAAGGTCCACACCGACGACATCTCGAATGTTCTCATACTGAACAAGAAAGCAATTGCCAACCAGGAGAACCAGCTGTTTCAAGCCGAGCTGGAGAAGTTTCGATCACACCAAAACCGACTGATATCAACCGTGCATAAACAGTCGTCCTTGTTGAAAGAATTGACGAAAACGTACGGAGACTTGCTACAAGACAAACGGGTGCGGTCGGATCAGCAAAGGTACGACGCTATGCAGAAGAGCAAGAACAGCGTCATGAACAAGTATCGGAAAGTGTTCAATGCACACGAAGATCTCATCCAAGGTCTTATGCAGGCGCAAGGGTTTTATAGTGAGATGAAGGAGAGTGTTGACAGCCTCGAGAAGAATGTCGAATCTTTCGTCAGCAACCGGAGGGCAGAAGGTGCGCAACTACTGCACTCGATCGAGCAGACCAAGAATAGTTCGGCGGATGGTCAAGCTGCAGCCGAACAGAAGCGAATGCAGGAACTGATGAATCGATTGTCCATGGAACCCAAGCCGACCTCACCTCTGCAAGCGGAACCTCCTGCTCTTCCTCCTTTACCGCCCATCAACGCTTCAAGGTCTCCCGGTCCGGTGTCGCCATCATATCCTACCACAAATGCCGATCCGAGATTCACAATTCCTCCTCGACATTCGCCTGCGCCGGTTGTTCCGAATGGATATTCGGCTCAGCTCCAGCCGCCCTCACAGCCAACGAATCCCTCACCCATCGAGTCGCAGCACGCTTTCGCTCAAGGCGCTGCAACCCCGCTTTCATCAGCCTACAATCCTATGGCATATCCTGAAAGAGTCACTGTCACTTCACCCAGTCAGCAGCCGAGCGCATATACTTTCTCACCAGTAACCTCTCCCCTCGGTTCCATGAACGCGTACTTCGCCCAAGGACCCCAGACGCACCAACCACTGGCATTTGCCTCTCCCAGTCACCAATATCCTCAATACGGTTTCCCTCCTCAGCCTCCGAGTGGCCCTGGTCAGGGTCCTGGTGGGTACCAATCCCCTTCACCTCATCCACAAATGCCCCAATCGCAACCACCTTATCATCAGCATCAGCATCAGCCCTATCAGCCTTCTCCGTCGCCATACAATATGCCGCAGAATTACGTGCCTCCGCCACCACCTCCAGGGCCACCCGGAGGTGGTTCAACCACGCAGTACCCACCTACTCCAGCTGGCGCATGGGCGAGCGGACCCGGTGGGTACGCGAATTATACGCAAAGATACCCGCAACAACAGCAGCAGGGACAAAGCTTTCCTGTGCCTCAATCGGGGCATCCTCAAAGTGGCGTCCCACAAGACACTGACCCTTGGGCGGGCCTGAGCGCGTGGAAATGAGATGACACAAATCCAGCGACTTTGTGCGACTGAGAGAGAAGTCGAAGTAGACGTAGCTACAGTAACCGAGAATATACTTGCCGCGGTCGCTACCTTGCAGTGGAAGGGAATTTCGTCGCGAAAGGTGTCAGGGTAGGACCCAGGAGTAGGGGTGCCAGAATGCACGATACTGCGTTCCTAGTACAAGCGTGCATCTGCTCGGACCACGACCTCTGTCAGTTGCCTAGATTACTCGTTGCCCCAGGTACAATGTCAGGCGCGAGCACCTGTGATCCATGCCACAATCCATACAGAGCTCACGACGGTCTTCGGCGTCCGCAGGGACTCCGACGACCAAAGGTAACGCGTCTTTCCTTCAGGTAGTTGACGCAGTCGGAGAGGTCCCCGTCTGCGTGGAGGACTGGGCGGATTGGCTTTCTTACCGTCGGTTCTCGAATGGAAAGGGAGCTTTTCCTTCATGCCCGCTGTGATCGACCCTACGGCATGCATTTGGGCCCGCGTGTGGAGTGGCCTAATGTTTGGCCCTTGTCATGCTCGACGGACTTTGCGTGGAAGTACTCAGCCTCTCACCGCATTGTGGGTGACAGCTGAGGGCACAATTGAGTGATGTTTGAAACCTGGGAAAAGGGCGCCGAGTCTCTTGAACACTTCTAAAGTCGGAGGACCCGCTTCTATATGCAGCTATAATTAAGTAGCGTCTCGGTGACAGCCACAGAAGGCTGAGCGCTCCACGATATTTGCCAATGGCAGTTTCCGGCTTGGCAGCATCCGAGGTTAAGCCGCCCTCTGCAAATCTTTTGAGCCTCACAGTGTAGACTGCCACTTCCACCTCACACACCCGCCCATAGATTGCGATTCCTAGCACCAACAGTCATGCCGTCGACACATAAGAAAGATAAACCGTGGGACACGGACGACATAGACAAGTGGAAGGTCTGCAGTGCCTGGTCTCGGTCTGCCAATACCGACTGCTGACTTCACTCTAGGTCGACGAATTCAAACCTGAGCACAATGCCGGTGGCACTTTTGCAGAAGAGTCATCCTTCGCGTGCTTGTTTCCCAAATACCGCGAGCGCTATCTGAGAGAGGCGTGGCCTTTGATCACGAAGGCGCTGGAGAAGAGGGGCATCGCATGCACACTCGATTTGGTCGAAGGCCGCATGGAAGTTCGGACAACCAGGAAAACATTCGATCCTGCCTCGATCCTAGATGCTAGGGACCTCATCAAACTACTCGCTCGCAGTGTGCCTGCTCCACAGGCCATCAAAATACTGCAGGATGATGTGGCGTGCGACGTGATCAAGATCAGAAGTCTGGTTCGCAACAAGGAGCGATTCGTCAAGCGTCGTCAACGACTTCTCGGCCCCAACGGCTCAACCCTCAAGGCCCTCGAACTCCTCACAAATACCTATATTCTGGTGCAAGGAAACACCGTGAGCGCCATGGGTGGCTACAAGGGCTTAAAAGAGGTCAGAAGAGTGGTGGAGGACTGTATGGCCAACATCCACCCCATCTACCACGTCAAAGAACTTATGATCAAGCGTGAGCTGGCAAAGGATCCCGCGTTGAAAAACGAAAGCTGGGACCGATTTCTGCCCAATTTTAAGAAGAAGACTCTCAGCAAGAGACGTGAACCACTCAAAGTCACAGACAAGTCTAAGAAGGTCTATACGCCCTTCCCACCACCACAGGAGAAGAGCAAAATCGACCTTCAGATTGAGAGTGGCGAGTACTTCCTCGCCAAGCACGCCAAAGAGAGGGCTCGTGAGGAGGAGCGTCGGGAAAAGCAAAAACAGAAGAAAGATGAGAAGCAGCGACAGCGAGAACAAGCGTTTGTCGCTCCGAAAGAGAGCACAATCGACCGGCCGAAGAAGAAGAGGGAGCATACGGACGAGGGCGGGGTGGAGAAGTTAAAAACTAAGAAGTCCAAGAAGACGGCAGGGTAAGCAGTCGTCTCGTGCAATGCTTTGCGCCAGTAGCGGGAACGGCTGAGTGCGCGTCGGTGACGCCAGTGGGGTACGAGGAATGATCTTGTATCTTCTTAGCCAAGCGGCGAACAGATTCAACAGGGTCAAGCACCTCCGGATGTCCATGCCTATTGCTGCATGCTGCGGGTCCATCACACGTGCCCGCTGCTATGCGGCGAAAGTTGTGGAGCGCAACATCAAGTCTGGAGCCTGACGGCGTTTTCGATCTTGAAAGAACGCACTGCGGGATCTCTCTTTTGGCAACGGCCGTCTCCATGCAGTTCCACAATCTCGGTCTCGGCCCAGAACGATGTGACAGCATGATCTTGCATGGCAGAAAACGTTCGGCTCCATCTGCAAATGCTAGCGGCCTTGCTGCAGGAATACTCCACCCTGATTTCTCAGGTGCAGCCTCGCACAAATCCAAACGCCGACCGGCTATCGACAGCGAATCAGAGATCGGTCGGCGAATCCCTCGCATGTCCTATCCGCTTCCCGCCTTACCATAGCCGACGCCTCCACCCAGCGCCTTGAGACTCCTTCCAGACGCCTTCTAGCGCATCTTCTCCGGTCTTCCTCATACCGGAGAAGTGGAATGATCTTTCCCAGCTTGAAGGATCACAGTGTCGGATGCATTATGCTTGACATGATTCGATGAAAACGCACGCCCGCCCGCGGGAATCAAGATTAGCATGTTCGCCCTGGCGGCGTCCGTGTTTGCGACCATTCAGATCACGCTCTTCTCATGATTAACCCGTTGGAATAATGGGACACGTTAAGCCTAGAATCACCTGTCGCCCAGGAGTGGCAGCAATCTGATCAAGTCACACAAGTCTACACGCTCAGCCGCGATCATGACATCGGGACGAATGAAGGTGCTTGTAATGCGCGCATACCTGAATGCGACGCAACAAATCCTATCTATGAAACTCCACCTGGTGGACGGCGTCCTCGGTAGGATACCCGGTAGACCCTCCTGACATTTGCGTCAGCTCACGGCGGTGTATCGGTAGCAACCACCGGGCTGCCTTCTCAGCAGTCCACCCAACGCGATCATGACAGCTTCAGCTCACTCTTCGGCGACTCTCATTGAAGACACACCATGTGACAGTGTGCCATGCAAGCAGTTCCCTTGCTCGGCGAAACTCGAATCACGCCGAAGCTAATGCAACCTGGTGAATAGTTTCGCCGTTCCGGGAGGGCTGATGTACCCCTGTCTGCGCTGCTTCCCGGCCATTCATGACAGCTCGCTCGAATTGACGTCGTCCTCGAGAGACGGAGAATCTGGGCGAGGGCAGTTCTCTCCACTTCCCCAGCTTCCAGCACGACAAGCACCCTTGTCAAATGGACCGATTTACAAACCGCTTTGCTTGAAAGAGTCAAGCTCTGCCCATGATCCTCGTCGGCGGCACTCTCCAGCTATGAGCAATGATCTCTTCTGCATTTTGATCCACTCGGGGACGAGACCGTGCATGGGCTGCTTGCACTTCAGATCTGTAGCCTTGGGAGGCACTGACGAGAGAATAATCCTCCCCACCAACGGCGGACATTCTCGATCGCGGGATGTATAAAGGTGGCCAGTCACTCGCTTCAGATGACGCTCTCTCCATCACGATCAACAGGCTTCCTTCCCAATCGATCCTCTTGATCATTCCACATCCAGCAGCTCTCGCGTGTGAATCCGTATCGGTCGTTGTACCCCCGCCCTCGTGCGACATTTAACAACTGCTGGCGTCCGTGTCAACACGACTCTCACCCACGACCGCAGTTCTTACTTGAAGGTCGTACCACATCCCATCAGCATGGCGGACATTGTCGAACGCGCGCCCTCCAATGCCGACGCAATGGCCAACCAGCAACGCAAGAGCGTAACCAACAAGGGCTTGACAGGCGCTTCGGCGCTCACAGTTAGACAGTCCATCTTTCCTATCACCCTTGTCACCGTCCTGTTCTTCCTCTGGGGCTTTGCCTATGGTCTCCTCGACGTGTTGAATGCAAAGTTCCAGAACTCGCTCAACATCACTGCGGCCAAGGCAGGAGGGCTACAAGGTTCTTACTTTGGAGCTTACTTCATCGGGCCGCTGACATACTCTGGCTGGATCGTGCGAAAATGGGGTTATCGATGTATGTTTCGGTGTGGAAGCGATCCGAGCGTGGTGCTAACCTGTGCCTAGGGACGTTTATCACCGGTCTCTGCATCTATGGTGTGGGTGCGCTGATGTTCTGGCCATCTGCGGTCTACAAGTCGTTCCCCGGCTTCTGTGGTTCTCTCTTCATTGTCGGCTCCGGCCTCTCGACGCTGGAAACATCGGCCAACCCTTTCATCGCGACTTGCGGGCCTCCACGCTTGTCCGAGTTCCGGCTCGAGCTCTCCCAGTCCTTCCAAGCCATCGGCTCTGTTGTGGCTCCTCTGCTGGCTTCTCGCGTTTTCTTCAAGGACACGAACTCGGACGACCTGTCCCACGTGCAATGGACGTATGTCGGCATTGCTGCCTTCGTCTTCCTGCTTGCGGTCGTGTTCTTCTTCAGCCCTCTGCCCGAAGTCACAGACGCCGACATGGCTCTTCAAGCCGAGCAGTGCTCCGACCTGACCGGCTACCAGGAGAAGCCACTTTCCAAGCAGTACAAGCTCTTCTTTGGTGTCGCCGCACAATTCACCTACGTCGGTGCTCAAGTGGCGGTCGCTTCCCAGTTCATCAAATACACCGAGGAGTCGGCAAAGGTGTCTTCAGCCGTTGCCTCTGACCGATACGCCATTGGGCAGGCTCTTTTCGCGATCGGCCGATTTGCCGCCGCGGGCATGTTCATGTTTATCAAGCCTCGATTGGTGCTGTTGGCCTTTATGACGATGATCATGGTCTTCATCGCGCTGTCCATGGGAATCTACGGTGAAGGTGGCGTGGCGTGCCTGTCGCTGGTGTTGTTCTTTGAGAGCTGCATCTTCCCCACCATCTTCACGCTCTCCATCCGTGGATTGGGCCGGCACACGAAGAGAGGATCGTCCTGGATCGTGGCCTCGGTCTGCGGCGGTGCTCTGTTCCCTGCCCTCACGGGCCTCGCGGCCGACAAGATGACGTACCACAAGGCCATGTGCGTGCCTCTGGTTGGATTCTTCGTCAGCTTTGTGTTCCCGATCTACTTGAACACCGCGTGCAAGAAGGAACTCGACGGCTTCCGCGAGACCAAGATTGGGTATGTTGATGAGAGGCGCGGGACCATCATTGGGGATATCAAGGACATTGAGACTTTCGAGGCAATGCAGAAGAAGAACTCGGTCAATGTGGAGAAGGTGTGAGTGAGGACAGCGCCTGAAGGGAGAGGAAGATTATTACGGGACTACGTTGACGAGGGTTCAGGACACAGGTAGACAGAATACCACTTTGCTTGCTGAAGCCCGAACTCTTTCGGATGTATCCCGGCACCAGTCTGCTTGTCTGCTTGTCTGCTTGTCTGCATGCCTGCATGCCTGCTTGTCTACTTGTGTGTCACATTGCCGTCCTCAACCAACTTAACCATCCAAATGTCCTTTGCAAGCGCTGAAGAGTGAACCGATCCCATCAGATCGTGATGGTAGTGAGGGTAACGGTAACGCTACCTCTAACGGTGACTGGCGCAACGACGGTACGAAACACGCATGTCACGAGAGAGACACATCGCTCCAAAGTCAAAGGTATGTATTTCCACCTGCTGCGACGAGACTAGAATAAGTAGGAAGTAAGAGCGTCCAGTTCAGAGCAGACAAGGAGTACGAAGTACTTGTATGGGGTAGTTATGCACTACGATGAAGTCCACTCAGTCCCGCAGAACGGATACCCCTGTCCTCGACTGGTGTCGTGCTCGACTTGTCTTGAGCTGTTCTCTGATCGAGCTGATGCGTGTGGGACGAGAACTCGGGCGATCAAGACAACTGCCAAAATCGGTCAAGGTCAATCAGACAATTTGGACTTCATTCACGCGGCATGATTGTCCCACATGTACTCCGTACTCCGTACCCCAGCTCGAATGCCCCCTGTCCCTGTCCCTATCAAATACAAGGCAAAAAGGTACTGTAGCAGTGTTCAGAGTCATTGGTTGATACTGCATCAGAACAAAGTGATCGGATGTTTTCATCCATAATTACTCACTGGGATTACGGAGTAATACGAGGACTGCCACTCCTCGGGTTCGACTTCGACTTCGACTTCGACTTCTGCTTCTGTCTTCTTCCATGCGAGCGTCGACCACCTTTCCAATTTGACTTTCTGCCTGAGTTACAGTATGGAGAGTAATGTGTTCTGCGACAATGCCAAGCCACATACTCCGTACACGACACAGTGCAGGTACGGACGACCTCGTCCGCCTCGTATGCTAGCTCGGTATCGACCAGCTGGGTGGCCGCCTGGCTGCCAAGCTCTGTACAATGTGCTGTACGTGAAATGGGTGGCCCAAGGTAGCACAAAGAAAGGACTCGGACCAAGGATTGGGTTCTGACTTCTGACATTGGTGCGCCTAAGGCTTGTGAGATGTACTGTATGTATGGACCCCGCCTGCTCGTGCGACGTGGTCGAGCTCACTGACTGGTTCAGAGTGAGTCTACATATCCGCTCCTCTGTGGGCGAAGGGGTATAGTCGAGCTCGCTTGCTTGGCCGAAGAACTGGCTTTTAAAACGCAACGGCACGTCCACACCTCTGACTTGACCTGACCTTGGCTCAAGTCAATTCGGATCGACTGTCCTATAGGTACCTCGGTCTCCAGCTCATTCCACTCTACCTTCAAGTCGACTCCCAGGCAAGCAAGCATATAATTACCTCCCCTAACCCTATCAGAATGACCTTCTCGACTGCTCGCCCGACTCTATACAATCGCGACCCTTACACCTTCTTCAACGCCTCCTCCGTGCCTGCTGGCATACTGAATGTCATCCTTTCCATCTTGACATCCTGGGATCAAGCGTCCACCGACTACGCCTACGCCGAGCAGTTCCACCCCAACGGCGTCCTCCATGTCGTCCCAGAGCCTTCCGTCGGCAAAGATGCGATGCGACGACTCCACGATTCCATGATCAACCCCTCTGCAGGACCGATCGTCGACCTGCAACATTATCTCGATAGGGTCTTCCTCATGCCTAGTCCGCCAGATGGCAAGACCGAAGTGGTCTTCACGGGGAAGTTGACGAGTGTGCTCAAGACGGGCGACGAGGTGACGACCGATTTCGCCACGTGGCTTGTGATGAGTCCTAGTCAGGATGGCGCTGGGGCGTTGAAGGTCGAGCTGCTGAGGGTTCTGTCCGATACCGGAGAGCTGATGGCGAAGATCGGCGCCATGATGCTGCAAGACGGGCAACAGAGTTGAGGACGACTTGAACCGATGGGTGTATGCTTGAAGATGGGACCACGGGAAGAAGGAGGGAAAGGAAATGCCTGCTTCCTTCTCCCCTGCTAGGACGCTCACAGATGTCCCAGACTGACCGGCTCGTTATCGATTGACGGCTGTGTGCAAGTGTGAGCGTGCCAGTGGCGAAGAAATCGACGACTAAGGTTGCTTTTGGACCAAAGGCTGAGCTCGTGTGTTCCTTCACCATCTCCGACTTGCAAAGATCAATCCAATCACATCTGAACCTGAGCCACATGCAGAATCAAAGTCCTCCGACTTTCCATCTACAAGAGTATTCCCCCTCCTTCCACCTCGAAGGTGCTTGCTGCCCCGTTGCTCTGTTCCCAGATGAGCTCCCCGCTGCTCCCATCATGCCTCGCCGTGTCTTCCTGACGAGCGCAGCAATTGCCATTCTTCTGTACGACCTGAGATCTTGCTCTGCCATGAATGACTGCGACCAATATTTAGCAGGGAGTGGCCCGCACGCGGCTCCAGAGGCATGAACTCCGGTCCGCCATGAGAACCGCTCCTCCTGTGAGTGGTGACTTGCCTCAGCCCACTCAATTCATACATGACAATCGCCCGACACACCAACGTTGAAGCAAGATATCTCGCCACCACCGTGACGGCGTCGCTGGTCGAGATGAACAAGATGCTTGAGAAGGCCAGCGTTCCGTACACGATGTGCAGCACGGTCCCCATGGAGGTGAACCAGCTCAGAAAGATGTACAGGTATGTTTCGTCCCTGATTTCCAGTCTGGCCACTTCTCTTGCCGCCGACGGTGTGAATTCTGCGCAGATCCTTCTCCAGATGTGTTGTGTCCAAGACCTGGTCGCTTTCGGCTCAAGTAGCATGATTCTCGTACGCAGATAGACCGACCACGTGCCAAAGAAGTGGACAGCGATGGCCAGGAAGGCCCAGAGCGCAGGCAAGAAGGCGTCCTCGGGAGCAAAGGAGCACACGGTTTGGATGCAGAGTTCGTAGCTCACAACAGCCAGGTTGACGACCGCGCTAGCGGCCATGACATACTCAAAGGAGGAGATCAGCGTGTTCGCAGTTGATCCCATTGTCACGATCTTGGCTGTTCCGGGCTTCTTGGCAAGCAGCTCTTTCGTGTCGACATAGTCGAACGTTCGAAGTGGGGACACAGCCGGGGCGCCAGCTGCCAGCAGAAAGGCGAGGAACGGTCGTCGAAGGGCAACCAGGCCGACTTCGACAGTGGTCGAACCGACACCGCCCAATGTGGTGGGCAGGAGACCTAGTAGGACTGCGGCGGCGGCAATGTTGGACTTCCGTGTTTCGTTCAGGTGCTCAAGAATACAATCAACGACAGGCGTGATGGTCATGCTCAGGTAGTCCTTCGGCGCCTCCTTGGTGAGGTATACCTGATACTCTTGCTGGCAATCGCCCCGCACGATTTCCTCCAAGACCTCTCTGAACTGTCCGTACCAGCTTTCGAAGTGGACGGCAGCGTTGGATTTCGAGATGAGTGAGAGGAGGACCACTAGGGAGGTCCCTTTGCGAAACGCCATGTCGAGCCGGAACAGGCCACACATCCGTCCACGACTGAATCATTTCGCTCACGAATGATGCTCAAGGCCGCATATATGTATTCGTAGCCATAGACCCCTCCGCGACCCCTCTCTGGGGGCAAAGATTGATTCTTGTCGCCTGCCTGCAATGGTGACGAAATAGTGGTGTGTGAGCCAGTGTACCCGTACGTCTCCAGCCTTTTGTGGAGGGGCTGCAAACGTCTTGAGGCTTACTGGAAATGGTAAAAGGTCATACAGGCAAATGGCCGTCACAAGTGTCCAATGTGTGACGAGCAGGACGAGCAGCGGACTTGTCTCTGGTGGTACTCCATCAAACATTGAAAGCCCCATTTGATAGGGCTGGGCCAGGGCGGCAACAGAAAAGTGCGTATGCGGGTGCTTTTGCTGAGGAGGTCAGTGTTTCTGCATGCTATTGTCAAACACTCCCAGATGCGGAAGGCGATAGAGAAAGACTGACTTGGCGACGCGGGCGTAGGCCGTACACCTTTCCCCAGAAAGACGTGTCTGCGTGGTGTTGTGGCTATGACTAAGGGAGGAGCGTACCTGGTAGGAATCTGAGGTGGCTGGCCGTTATTGGAGTATCAGATGGAGAGTGAAACATTCACGATTCATCATGCTCTTTCTTTTACAGATACAGAGTGTTAATGTCGACGGTAGCACGCAGTGGTTATTACCCTAAGGTTCACCCTCGAGTCACTGGCGGGTGACCGGGGCTTAGCACACATCGTAGTCCTCGTTACTGCCTAACCGGTGCTAGGTGGGTGCAGCCAATTTGATTTGGATCTGCAAGTATTGGACGTCGAAATTCGTACCGTCGAGGTAGAGCCCGATGTTGTCGTTGGTGGTTTGACGGCCGGTAAGAGTAGGTTTAGCAGCCACAGCGCCGACAGGGAAAAGGCAGAGTATCCCTGATAAGAACGTAGACGTCTGTATGTTGTCGAATGGAACCTGGATGTGTCACCGGTTGTGGTCTGGCCGGGGTGATGATATTTCGGAACGAGTACTGTGAGTCTGGCACTTTCTGTCAGCCGCATGCGATGAAGTTATATGTACGCCGACTCGTCAGGTCAAAGTTGAGTTTCATGTGGTGAGAATCGAGTCGGGCCTCAGTACCCTCCGGACAGTGCAAGATCGATGATGCCATTAGGTTGGCCGGTGAAGCCCTTTCATCTCGATACTTGGATGAGCGACCAGGATCCTTCGAAGGGGAAGCCCATGCCCTTAGCACGGTAAACAACTACCCGTCCTAAGACGCTCCCATGGATCAAGTCACAAAGAAGCCCAGGTGAGAGATTGAGATTCGACGCAAAGGTGTGAGCAAGCTTACGATGCGAAAGGTTCTCGTAGCTCACATAACCGAGAAGCGTAATGGCAACACTGGGTTTATTGGTAGCATGGACTTTTAAATGCACGGCTTGATTGCGTCTTTTTGCTCTGTCCTAGATTGTCAGCCAATAATTATGTCGTCTCCATCAAACTGACGAGGCTGGCAGCTCTTTCGGGGACTGGCCACATGGGCTTATGTGGTGACGGTTGAGCTGACCGCATTGACCTGTTAAGGCCTCCGGCCCGTGGTACGGCCACCTCTAATCGTACTCGGTATATGCACCTGCATCGTGTGCCGTTGGACGTCTGCATCATGATCTGGACCGGCCACATCCATGCATCTGCTTGACGTATCGTTTCGAAGGACAAGGGCGTTTAGAATCAGTCCTGCCGGTACGAGGAAGGAAGAAGATTGACGTCCCAACCCGAAGAGGGGGAACTTGACAAGACCTCCTTACAATGCTGAGCGAGATTTGGGGTGTGCAAACCCCGGATGCAAAGGGCGTCGAGGAGGGACCTGCAGAAACATTTTCAAGGGAACTCATTCAGACTCGGATTCGTGGCAAGTACAAGCGGTTCAGGTGAGCTCGTTCGTTCTATCCGCCACATTAGTATGCTGCCCAACCGACAATTGCCTGCATCGCAATGGACACAAATTATGGCTGCCAGTCTCGGCCCAGGTAGCAAGAAGAACGCAGTCGTAATGTACAATCCTCCATGATGCCATAATGCCCATTCTGACCGGGCTCTCCTGTGATCATCGAAATCTGAAGAGAAAAAACATATCATCCATGGCTGTACCGAGTCCGACATCATTTGCCTGAGTATTTGGCCTTCCCGAAAGAGAACGGTACATAGCGGTATTTGATCATGTGTTGTATTTGCCGTCTCACTGATAGATCGTCAGTGGGTAGGTCGTAGCGGAATGTGGGTACAACTTACTCGTCAGAGAAAACAAGATCAGCCAGTACATGACGAGAACCGGCCAAAACACCGGCAGGTTGAACACCTCGAACCAACTGCAAACAAAGCTGATCGTGATTGCACGCGTTGCAGCGTGCCAGAACTTGAACTCGGGCAGCCTTCTGATGAAAGGCCTGAACTCATCATCTTGCTTTGTTGGTAGCGAAGAGCCTTCACCATCCTCAATACCTTCATCCTGCGACAAGCTGGGATCGAACTTAGGCTGGAGGAATGCGAGGAAGAGATTGAGCAGGTAGATGCCGAGACAGTAGGCTACAATGTACCAGCCTTGTGCGATGACGATCCTAAGGAAGAATAGGACGAGTATGGCGCCTGTCGACGCCCATCGGTAGGCCACATAGGGAGTGCATTTGTCGAGGTATGTTTGGTATTGCTAGCAAGCTGGTTAGCTGGGTCGGTCACTCAAGTGTTCCTTTAGTCCATACTCTTAATAGCCTGTTGCCTTGTGTACTGATGGCGTCGAACGGTGTCGTCTCAGGTTCGGGCCCGTCCATGTTGCTAGCAGCGACAGGTGACACAGAAACAGGTGTGGATTGTGCTGGGCAGGGTTTGGCGCATACGCTTCGAGCCTCAACGAAACGCAGTCGCGTGGAGAAGTCAACAACTGAAAGACACGAAGAGGACGAGAGTCGTGGCGCAAAGGTGATGTCGGCGCGCGACAAACAGCAAGTTGAAAGGGTTAGCGGAGGGTCAAGATCAGGGAGGCAAGTTCGCTGAAGCCACGTCTTTTTTTCGTCGGTCGCAGCCTTTTCGAAAGTCGGGCGGAGGTTTTCGAAACAAAAACCGACTGCGCCACACGCCCAACGCTTGACGCCTCAATTCGTATGCGGAGCAAAAGGGGGATTAGGGCAAACACCGGACTAACACTTAGTCCGAGTGCGGGTCCCGGCGAGACTTCGGCCTCATCACAGCCGAGGACCTCGAAACTGCGGTTGTCGTCGGCCATTCCCAATGCTTAATACTCTGTGTTTAAGAAGCTCACCTGCAATTCCTATGTCTTGCCAGCTTCTTCCTAAACTTTCACGATGATTCCTCTGAGACTCTTGTCACGCCCAGTGACCGCTGTCTCAGCTGCTCCACGGTCTCTTCCCCGTCTGGTCCGATTTCAGTCCACATCGAGCAGCTATGACAACATTATTGTATCATCTCCCCGGCCTGGCGTTGGTCTAAGTATGGTTTGCTTGAGCATTATAACGGGATGTCTCTCGCGCTAATAGGAGTAGTCACGCTGAACCGACCGAGGGCTCTCAACGCTCTCTCAAGTGCGCTGTTCGTCGAGCTCAACGACGCACTGAAGAAGTATGAAGAGGACAATGATATTGGTGCTATCGTCCTCACGGGGAATGACAAGGCTTTCGCAGGTAGAACCAGCCTCACTAGCAACAAAATACTAGCTGACACCTCATGAACAGCCGGCGCGGACATCAAGGAAATGGCTCCCTTGACCTTTTCCGAAGCATATGTTAACAATTTCATTGCGCCCTGGTCCTACTTGACAAGCCTCCGCAAGCCCATCATTTCAGCTGTGTCGGGCCACGCTCTTGGTGGAGGCTGCGAGTTGGCCATGATGTGCGACATACTATACTGTACGAAGACGGCCAACTTCGGTCAACCTGAGATCAAACTGGGCACCATCCCTGGCGCAGGTGGCTCACAACGCCTGACAGCTGCCTTTGGCAAGAGCAAGGCCATGGAGATCATTCTCACGGGCAACAACTTCAGCGGCGAAGATGCAGAGAAGTACGGCCTAGCTGCCAAAGCCTTCGACGGCGGTCATAAGGAAGTCCTTGAGGGCGCTCTAGATACGGCCGAGAAGATCGCAAGCTACAGCCGTGTAGCTGTTATCGCAGGAAAGGAGGTTGTCAACAAGAGTCAGGATCTCGGAATCAGAGAGGGCGTCGAGTACGAAAGGCGCATCTTCCACAGCCTATTCGGTAGTCAAGACCAGAAAATCGGCATGAAAGCGTTTGCCGATAAGAAGAAGCCTGAGTGGACCAATTCTTGATTCGGAGAAGAGTTGTCGGAACGTTCCGACGGCATCAACGTCGGGCCACGGGCTTCACACCCACTAGGGTGGCCTAGCAGTCTGTGTATACTATGATCCAGCGAACCTTCTAACTGCTTGCGGCCGGACAGGTAGGGTATAGACCGACAAGGCTGGAAAGCCCGATTACAACCAGCCTGAGTTCACTTCCTCCCGACCTCTTAACTCCGGATCTTCCATGCCTGCTCAGACCGCTTCAGCTCTCCATGCCGGCTTCCTACGCTGACGTGAGGAGGACACCCTATCCTTCTTCTCCCCTTAGTACGAACAGTCAGGCTAGTCGAGAATACGGCCGTTCCCTTTCCGCTTCACATGTGTCAAATCCCGCCATCACCAATATGACACTACCAGCCAGCTCGACATTGTACCAATTTGAAAGATCAACATCCATGCCTTCTCCGGACCTGATTTGCCACGTGCTCTGATTGGTGTAATCAAAATGCCATGGGAAAGCGGACTACCAAGTGGGTGTGATGTGGACACAGTAGAAGCTAACTGCGTCTTGGACAGGGTTATCCAAATGGTTGAGACTATTCTTCACCGGCATGACAGGTGCAGAACATACGTACGTACGAGTATGAGATTCTGTGTAAGCGTACCCAGGTAGGCTCCAGCCCAAGGCTTTGGATACCACAAACCGTCTACCGCGTACTAGCAGAGATCATCGCCGAGTGGTCCAGCATTTCGCCGCGTAGTTTTCTCTGGCTGCGACGTGACCTGATCTCTGTGCACAGGGACGAAGCACAGTACATGACACGCAACGCCTCCAGCACGCAGCATTCCCTAGGTGGCCTCATTTGCCTGGCTTCTGTTGACAAATCATCTGGGGTATGATTCGGCCCCAGGGCAACCTGCAAGATCAACTTGTCGGGCACGATCTGACGCCGTGAGACACAGTACGAGCATCCACAGAAGTACTACGGAGTACGTACCAGGAGCTTTGAGATCGTACACGTGAATGCGAGCATTTGGCTTCGTCTTATCCAATTGCGCATAAGCTTTCGAGGTTGTGTCGGGTCGCATCTTCCGAAGTGACAGGGTCCGTTTAACTCGTTCTTTAGAGCCTAATTAGTAATGATATGTATGGAGCACGAGCATGTACTACGGGTAAGACGCCAGCTTGGCAATCCTGAACGCGAGCGTGGACAGACAACCCATCAGCCGAATTAGTTTGGAAGCAGAAGTTGCGGTCGTCCAGTGGCGGAGGATTGCTGCGTTATCTCCTCGCATTTTCTATCCTTCGTCCTATCGACTGAGAAACGCGAACCACAGCCGACTCATGTAGCCCTCAATCTGTCACCGACAGCAGCGGTGTACGACAGTGGTGCGACCTTCAAGCCTCACAAGGGGGTGCATCGGCTGTACCATACTCTCCCTGGCATGACTCAGGCGATACCGACCACTGGATGATTAAGCCACGCGTGGCCGGTCTTGAGTATCCTCCTGCCTAGTCGTGTCACAAAATACTACATAAGCACGGAAGTCGAACGAGACTCCATAGCCTCGTTAGGCCCGCCGTGTTGCGCTTCTGCTTACCTGCATTGTACAGGACCTGGCTGGAACGACACCTTGCCAACCGGATCGGGAACCGCGCATGTAACCCGCTGGAATTCATTCGCTTGCTATTCAGGCCTTGTTGCAAGTCTGCCTCCTAGTGGGGTACTGGAACCAGGATGGAGTTCATCGATAGAGCCCGTATTCCCAGTTCGGTGGATCTCACGGTCCGCTGGCTTGATGCTTCAGGAATATGCTCCTGTACAGGGTCACTCCTCGCTCACGAATCGTGTATCCAGGTCTTTGGCCTGCCTCGGGCGATCGCGGCGGATTTTATGCCGAAGGGTTGGATGCTTCTGGCCTTGCTGATGGACATGTTACTAGACCCATTGGGAGCTTTGGTCGACGATGACTGGTGACCATTGCTGGGAGGATCGAGCTTTTCTCGAAGCTGACCTCGACTCGGTGGGGATCTGTCGAGTATACGGAGTATATAATCCCTGTTGGTTCCCAGACTTCAGCTGCTTGCTTGTCACCGACTTCTTTGAACACGCAGCCGACCACCAGCAGCATTATCATCCAGATAACTTCGCACTTCCCAGTCTTCACCCATGGCTCCTTCAGCGACCACCGACGCCCCTACCGAGGGTTACAAGCCAAAGCACATCGAAGACCGTCTGTTTATCAACGGCGAATTTGTTCCATCGAAGTCTGGAAAGAAGTTCGACATCGTCAACCCCAACAATGAGAAGTTCGCCGCCTCCGTCTATGAGGCCGGGGCCGAGGATGTCGACGCGGCTGTCGAAGCCGCCAAAGCTGCTTTCCCTGCCTGGTCAGCCCTCTCAGCGTCTGATAGACAAGGATACATCGAGAAACTGGCCGACGCGATCGAGAAGAACCTGGAGGAGATCGGGTACCTAGAAGCCATCAGCATGGGCAAGCCCTATATTGGCGATTGTAAGTGCCATGATACCTTTTTATCATCGGACGCATTGCTGACCTCCTGCAGTCTTCGGTCACGTCGCTGTCCAGATCCTCCGATACTTCGCCAGCAGAGCGCTCGACGTTCAGGGCGACTCCTCGCTCAACACCAAAGATTTCGTCAACATTACCTTCCGTCAGCCCTTCGGCGTCTGCGGTGCCATCATCCCCTGGAACATTCCTCTCCTCATGCTGATCAACAAGGTCGGCCCCGCGCTCGCCACTGGTAACACGCTCGTCCTTAAGTCCTCGGAGAAATCGCCCCTGTCATGCCTCGTGGTCGCCAGGCTCTGCCAGGAGATCGGCTTGCCCAAGGGTGTCCTGAACATTCTGAGCGGCTTCGGCCGACCCTGCGGCGAGGCCATCGCCAAGCACATGGACATCCGCAAGGTGTCGTTCACGGGCTCAGTCATTGCCGGCCGCGCCGTCAAGAAGGCGGCCGCCGAATCCAACCTCAAAAACGTCACCCTGGAGCTCGGCGGCAAGAGCCCGCTGGTCATCTTCGACGACGCCGACCTGGCAAAGGCCGTCCCTGCCGCCGCCTTTTCTATCCTCGCCAACTCGGGCCAAGCCTGCATCGCTTCCTCGAGAGTGTACGTGCACGCCAACATCGCCGACCAGTTCATGGACGCGATGAAGACGGCAATGACGCAGATGGGCGTCTCCGGCGACGCTACCGTCGCGGGCACTCGACGCGGGCCCCAGGCCGACAAGATCCAGTTCGACCGCGTGATGAGCTACCTCAACTACGCCAAGGAGCAGAAGCTCGACATGCCCCTCGGCGGCGGCCGCGAGGGGACCACGGGCTACTTCATCGAGCCGACCATCATCGCCAACGCGCCCGAGGATTCGAAAGTCATGAAGGAGGAGATCTTTGGCCCTGTCGTCTGCGTCAACACTTTTACGGACGAGCAAGAGGTGCTGAAGCGCGCCAACGACACCGAGTACGGCCTGTATGCGAGCGTGTTTACCAGGGACATCTCGCGTGCGCTGCGCGTCGCCAAGCTGTTGGAGGCGGGATCCGTGGGCGTCAACTGCACGAGCCCAACCATGGCCATTGACATGCCGTTTGGGGGGTTCAAGCAGAGCGGCGACGGGCGCGAGTTGAGCAAGTACTCGACGGATTACTGGACCGAGCTGAAGTCCGTGTTCATTGCATTGTGAGTTAAGAGTTAATATGAGGTAGCTCAGTTGGGGACTTGTGCGGCGATGTGCTTGAAGACAAGAACGCGTCACACGGGGACGCCGCGTACAGGGTATTTATAAAAGCATATATGAATGAATGTAGGAATGAATTCAAAGTCAACATGCCGGGAATCAGGATCCGCTGATGTTCAAGCAATCTTGCTCTACTCCGTACTGCTGGGTGTATGATGACGCGGGAGCCATGACCCCATCAGTGCGGTAGCCTCGCACCTATATATTCTGCGACATCGGCCTCCGATGGACCCTGACGGGTAGATGTTTTGATGCCCACGACCGACCTGTCATGTTAGACGACCTGTACCTAGTCTTTGTCCGCGGCGGTGCGAAGGAGGCCCATCATGCGAGTCTGTCGTGCTACTCCCCCTGACCGAATTGAGCCTACGTGGTGAACAATCCAAACCGTGCAGATGAGGTCCCTCAACGGATAATACGTGCTCCAGTGCCCATATTGCTGTGGATCATGCCTTGGGGAATTGTAAACCCGACGCTACACAGTATGCGTGATGTATATAGTCAAAAGGTCAATTGGACTGAAGGCAAAAGTGGTACACCGAGATCTCGACGTCTATTGTAGCCCTCTATATTCAAAAGCTTGTATGTCTATGTCGCGCCATCGGTGGCCGGAAATGTGATCCCTTAGACTCGCTGTGTCTCCGCGCATTTTTATGCGCCAACTTCTAGCAACGACTTGACCGTATCCGTGATACTCTCTTCCAGAGTCCTGTACTTCAGGCGCAACATTTGCTTACTTCTCGAGTTGTCGATGTCATAGACGTCGGCGGGCTTGTCGCTCTTGATCTCCGCCGGTAGCTTGTCAGCGAGGTGAGGGAAGTTCTTCTTGATAATCCCGGCGATATCAGCGTTCGAGTAGTGACCTGCAGTGACGAAGAAGCGCTTTCCACCCGCCTCGGGGACCTCGAGGGCCTTGACATGAGCGAGGGCAACATCCCGCACATCCACCCAGATGAAGACACCTGTAGGGGGAAGGCCGGACTCCTTGGTTCGTCCTTGGATCATATTCCTCACGCGCTCGTTGGACGTGTTGATGCTGTCGAGGGAGTTCAGGTAGTGGACGACAGGTCCGAGCACTAGCGGAGGGTTGATTGTCGCGATGTCGAAGTTGGGCTTCTCCTTCTCCACAAATTCCCACGCCGCGCGCTCGGCGAAGGTTTTCGACGCGCGGTATGCGTTTGCTGGGTTTTGGATCGCTTCCTCTTCGGTGATGGGGTTCCAGTTCTTCTCGGAGTAGACCTTCTCCTGCGATGTTGCGTTGAGGATGGCGGCGAATGAGGAAGTGATGACTATCCGCTTGACGGTGGGTGCGTTTTTCTTGACGGCTTTGAGGATCCCCGTCGTGCCGATGATGGCCGGGTCTAACAGATCTTTCTTGGGGTCTGTCACGTTGAAGTGGAATGGCGATGCCGTATGTAGAACTCCTTCAAAGGGAGGATCTGACTTGACTGCTTCGTCAAAGGCATCTTCCTTGGCAATATCTCCCACGATCACATAGCTGAGCTTGTTCTTGGGCTGGTCGGGGTGGTTCTTCAGGATCTTTTGCCCCTTCTCGTCTGAGCGCACAGTGAACACAACGCTATGGCCATGTTGGAGGAGGAAGTCGACGCAGTGAGCGGCGATAAAGCCTGAACCGCCAGTTAGGAGGACTCTCATGTTGTCGGGGTTATAAAAATAGTTTCTTCTGGATTGCTGGCGTATTAGGGTCTGTTGAGGGCAGATGGACTTGACAAGACCTGATCGAACACGCAGTATGGGATTCTGTTATATAGATTTTTCGAGGCCCTGATAAACTCACTCGGCAGTTGTCGGTGAAAAGCCCGTGGATAGAAAAGACCCCGATAATGTCCCTGTTGATCAATCAGAGCTGAAGTCTATCGTCGTCACGTCATTATCATATCACCATTAACGGCATTTCAGCCCTTGCAGATTTTCCATGGACTTGCTATTACCCGCTTCGCCTGGTGATGGAGTTGCTTGACCTCATCTCCGCTAAACCCGGCGAAGGGAGTGTTTCCTCTCCACATGGCACGAGTTAGAGCCGCATATCTGCTTGGTAGGCATTTCGTTGCCATTGTGCCTAGGATTCTCCGCATGTCGATTGAGCAGAACATAGGTATTCAAGCGTTCAAATAAAGCCCTTCACTTACAGAAGTGAGCCAGATCCGAGCCTCATCAGGTGTTCCGCAAGGAAGTCGTTAGAAACCTGTGAATGTGAGTATGTGCAAGTGAAATGAGAGCGAACGTGAGGGGAACCTTTCGTCGTTTGGTGCGTGGCGGGACAGAAAGCGCTCCAACACCGACCGCAAGGCTTCCATAGGCTTGACCTGCTTGTTTTTCGCAGCAGCACCATACACCATCCCCAAAAGCCGGCAGCATGGGAAATGATGGAGGGAGGTGAGATATTCTGTGTCCAGATGCCTTTCCCTGTGCTAATGTGTGTCAGTATCCCTACACGACGCGAGCTCGTCAAGGAAGCCGCTCGAAATCCCACTGCGACAGAACTGAAAGACAAGCAAAAAGAGCACCTGGCTCATCGATGGGCTACATGCCCTGTCTCTCTCAGACCGCTCATGAAACCCGTGGTCTCCGATTACTCGGGCGATCTATACAACAAAGACGCCATCATACAATTTCTGCTCCCTGCCGAGGCCATTTCTGTGGATAAAGAGGAGTACGAGAAGTTTATCCAAGGACGAATCAAGAGCCTAAAGGATGTTGTCGAAGTGCTTTTTGAGACAGAATACGATGAAGAGACTCGGTCGGAGCGATGGATCTGTCCCGTTACCTCAAAAGCACTCGGCCCGAACGTGAAGGCAGTCTATCTCGTCCCCTGCGGCCATGCTTTCTCCCACGAAGCAATCAAAGAGATGAAAAGCGAGGGGAAATGTGTGCAGTGTACGACGCCATACGAAGAGCGAGACGTCGTCCCTATCCTGCCCAGCACGGAGAAAGACAAGGCTTCCGTCATGAAACGGATAGAGACTCTGAGATCTCTTGGTCTCACCCACTCTCTCAAGAAAGCCAGTGGAAGCAAGAAACGCAAAGCAAATGGTGACAGCAAAGTTGAGCCTGCCGCAGGCGGTGCGGATCTGCAAGATCGGAAACCGAATGGGGACACCAAGTCACTCGCAGGCAACCTCTCCCGATCATCCACGCCTCAGTCTGTTACTTCCACTCCGAAACCGTCAAGTGGCATTAAGAATGCAGTGACCGCCAGTCTTACCGCCCGAGTACTCGAGGAAGAAGAAGCCAGGAAAAGAAGACGACGTGAAAATGAGAACATCAGTTCTTTGTACGCAAAGAAGTCAGATGGCAAGGGGACGAACGAGGGCGACTTCATGACACGGGGCTACAGCATTCCTGCAAATGCTCGACATCGATGATGGAATAACCTAGCACGGCGGATATGCACATATTGGAACCGCTACATACTCTCCAGCGGGAGTCGAGTGTCGGTAACTATGCCCGGCAAATCGACGACCTTGATACGGAGAAGTTTTCATCCCTTAACCAGCTGGGTGTGACATCGGCCGAATACAACATCGTACGCCATAACCTCTGCTCTCAATACAGCAGTCAAGCTGCGATCTACCCTATCGAGGTCTACCACGAGCCATATCCGGACCAATCGTACGAAGTTCGTCCGCAGTTCGTCCGCTTCAGGTTGGCTTACGCAGAACCCGGCTTCCTGGCTTTCAAGGCCCATCTATCAGCTGACGGCAATTGCATGTGTTTTGAGGATCGGCAATGCGGCCTCATTACACGGGTTTCCACCTCTGGATACTCCAGACTGTCCTTGGCATTACTCCTTGCGCAGCGCCATCGATGTCTGGCTGAACGTTAGTAGAGATGGAAAATCACAGCACCTACGTACAGTCTCTGGACTACTTCGGACCTCGGTATTCCCCTGCCCTCTCGGCGTGGCAGAATGCAAGTATAAATCAATGATGTCCCTTCGAAGCAAGGAGTTCCTCAAGAGTGGAGCGCACTTTGAGGCTCTTGACCTGAATACAAATTCGAGAGGACCAGGACTTCCGCAACAGCTTCATCACTTCTCCAAGTCGGTATAGGGTCTACGTCCAACTAGACTCGACTGTCCTATACAACATGTATAAGGTTCCTTCATTCACCCCAACATGGCATCATTCGCCTGCGACCATCATGGATCCTCTCATTCCCTCACTCTCTGCTCAAAACAAGACTGTACTCGTCACGGGTGGCGGCTCGGGAATTGGAAAAGCAACGGCTATAGCATTTGCGCAGGCAAAAGCACGAGCCGTTGTAATTACAGGCAGGACACAATCCTCGCTGGACAGTGCGAAATCTGAAATCGAAGAAGCGGCCAGGGTTCAGAACAACCGCGACTTTCAATGTGTTGCCTTCTGCGCCGATGTTGCAGACTCGAAAGCCATTGACGACGTCTTCTCCCAGGTTGTCCAGAAGTTTGGTAGGGTTGATGTCCTCGTTTCGAACGCCGGCTATTTGGACGAGAACGCCCTAATCGCTGAATCCGACCTTGATGATTATTGGCAATGCTTCGAAACAAATGTCAAAGGCGCGTTGATAGTCGTCAAAGCATTCCTCAAGACCCATCCTCAATTGCAGTCCACCACTGCAACTCCGACCGAGACTTCCAAACCCGTGATCATCAACATCTCCACGGGAGCTGCCCATGTATCGCCCCATATCATGATCCGGTTCTCAGCATACGCCTCTTCGAAACTCGCTGCATGGCACATTTTCGACTTTCTCCAGGCTGAGGAGGCGCAGACTCTGTCGGTGTTCAACCTCCAACCAGGCGAGATCCCCACTGCAATGACGAAGAAGGGACACAACAATCTTGCGAAGGACGATGTACGTTTACCTGCGCATTGGTGTGTGTGGCTTGCTGCCAAGGCGGAGACGGATGCGGCGTTCCTGAGGGGCAGGTTTATTTGGGCTAATTGGGACCTGGAAGAGCTCCTCAGCCGGAGGGAGCAGGTCGAAAAAGAGGATCTGCTGAAGATCGCGTTGAGTGGCTGGGGTGAAGAGTTCGTTCGGAATTATGTTGACTGAGGTCAAGCATCTCTTCTTAATGAAGAGACAGCGGCTGATTGAGGTGGACCGTAGTGCTGCTTGGACATCATGGAATCTCAACGCTCACAAGCGGTACTAGTACAGCAGTTTCAGCGACGTCGGTTCCTTCGGCACTCCGTCAAGACTGCCCCAGATTCAGTTACAAAGGGGGTGTGTTGTTAGCACCAACGATGCTCCCTTGCAGACACCCTTCTCTGAAGCGCCCCACTCACCAGGTCTTTGATCGCACATGGTCCCTACATGGGAGACAAGGCCTCGATCTCAGTCTAGGGTACAATGGTTAGATCTAGCCTTCCCTCGGAGGAAGAATCCATTATAACCGAACTTCTATCTCGTCCAACTAGCCATCTACCACAAGACTGGCAAAAGTATCCATGCAACCACAGAGAGGTGCATGTCAATTACCGTGCGAATGTGCTTGGTGGCGTCAAGCAGCATGAACCTCCATCAGGGCAGCCGCGGGTATGTAAGGTACCATAGGTGCCAGCCGGAATGCCATCATATCTACCTACCTAGGTAGCTACTGTAATGTGTTGCTTCTGCCTCGTACATACGAAGGATTGTAGGCGGTCTCCAGATCCTACTCCGTACCCTGTTTGTATTGCGTCCGTAGACACAGACCTGGTCGCAAGCACCTGCAGCAGCATCTGGATCGGACTCCTGCCTTGACATCATTAGTTGAATTCGACTTCTGGCCACCGCGACGAGCCGTTCCTTCATTATCACCATCGCTTTGAGGAAAGCTATTCTTTGGACTCATTCCGTCAAAGGCATGTGCTCAAGGCAGTCTGGGCATCCTTTGTTAGTATGTGAGTCCAACGTTCACCGCGCGGTCGGTCATTGCTTATTGCTCAGTATTTGTTGTCTCTTGTCTTCTTGTCAATTCTCTTTTGTTCTTTCTCATTTATCTTCTGTTGAGCTTTTGAAGCTCTGCCATCTTGCTTGCCTCGGACAAAGACGTATTGTCCTCCAGAATCGCGTCTTTCTCTCGTCCAGAACATGACTACAAGTGATCCCTTCTGCTCAGTCATGTCCCTCTAGCCATCGAAGCAGCTCACACACCCAGCAACAAAGAGCACACAAACTGCCCAGAGTCCTTGTGCCCATCACGCTGCCCAGCTGCCTTCCCGTCTGTCTATTTAGTCCTTCAAACTTTCAACTTAACCGACACATAATCCCAGTCCTCCCGTTTCCAACATCGAGACTAACTTACGGCGCTTAGATTCTGAGGGGGGAAAAAACCAGGCAAACTTACAGCGCTTACTTTCCAGGTCCCTGGAAACAGAACCCATCACCATCATGGCCATCAGCACAGGTGTCACCATCGGCATCATCGCCGCCGTCGTCGTCGTTCTCGCCCTCCTGCTCTGCTTGTGCCGCGGCGGAAGCGGGGACGACGACTATGAAGCCCACTACGCGAGCCAGTGGCCGAGCGAGTCCCACCGGGGCCGTCCACGCCGCCGCCGGTACGATGACATGGATGGTGCTTCGGAAGTCCTTGGGAATATGGCGAATTGGGACCGACGGCCGCGTCAGCCTCCGAGGGCGCATACTCGACGTTGATTTGCCGTTCCTCGGGACCTTGGAGATGAATGGTAAGTCTCTAGACCTTAGAGATCTTTAGTACTAGGTAAGCCTACTGAGTTGCGGCTGGACCGCGCGGAGCGGAGTGCGTTCCAATAGGTAAAGAGTCGCCTCCGGCAATGCACGGGTAAGTCGTGTCATGGCGAAGCGGGTTCTTCGACGGTGGTTAGGGTACAGGGAGATAACAAAGCAATGAAACCAAAGAAGGGGTTCGGTTCGATAAGTATGTGTCCTTCGATAATTACGATAAGGACTTCACTCCTTCGTTGACTCGCCGCTAGGAGATGCATCCTTATCAGTCGTGAGGCGTAGCACAGTGCTCATGCCCATTCAAGCACAGTCAACGGGTTATATCACGGTGAGTGGTTACCTACTGTAGGTGTGACCGTAGCGAACTGTGCTTCCCTCGGCCATAACATCTGCGCGGACCCGTGTAGAGAAGACACTGGGGAACACGGATAGTCGCTAGCGTGTGTGCCATTCACGAGAGGTCTCAACTTGTCAGATAGTGGCTCTGGCTCGCCGTGGCTTTGTCAAGGTTACATACGGTACGGTACACGCTCTCCGTAGGTCCACGACTTATCCTGATGCTGCTCTGTCAATGCATTTCGACCATGAGCTTTCAGTATTCTTGTTCAACACTCCGACATGACGTACACACGTCGGTGACAATTCCCCATGCCAATCCATGGCCTGTTTTCTGCCAGGGTTTATACACAGGGGTTGGTCCATTAGTCATAGGATCATTCCGATGTGATTCACAGTTACGTCCACATCACTCACCAAATCCATTCTCCGTTCGAGTTCAGTATCCCCAGCACATACTCCACTTTCAGGCAGAGGAGCTTCTTCTTCCAGGTTCGGTCACTTACAGCAGTAGTAGAGCACGCCAGGGTGGGGGCAGTAATCCACAGGAGCATCAGGTGCTGACAACTGCTTGCCCTATTTCCAAACGCATCCTTCAACCATCAGGCGATTCTGGGTTGTTCGAATGACATTTTATCATATCATTTGTCGACGTGTGCATGCCAACGATTTGCGATCAGTGCAACATCTGGCAATGGAAAGTCGGTGGGAGCGATAGACCTCAGGGGAACCTTTCTTCCGGGGCGGGGCATTAGATCTTGTAGGCAACGAAAACACTCTCGGATCTTTCTGTTCGGGCGATCTTCTCGTGCGTAAGTGCTGCATTCTTGTTAGTTTCAGACCTACATGGGGATGGCCAGGGGTAGTCGACGATCCAGGGTCCCGAGACAACCGGTCATGACTGGGGTGGGTGTACTCACTCCATGTCCTCCTGTAGCTCTTGCACGGCTCTCTCCCTCTGGTTCCTGTATTTGTCGCGATACTGATCAATTTGGTCCAAGCACTTTTGGAATTCCTGGTGGTCGATCTGTACAGTTGCCCGCTGGTGCCTGACGGAAAAGAGATAACGTGAGAATTCAGCTTTCGAGGGCTCCTTGACGCCAACCCCCAGCAACGGCTTTCGTATTAGGAACCACTGTAAGTTGTGAGAGAACATCAGCAAGTCCACGAAATACCGGTGAGCTGTTTTCTTGCAGTCCAGGTTCCGTAGCTGCCATGCCCTATAACATGGCTCCCTTGCCGCAGTCAGGTAGCTGGCCACCTCTGCGAGAAACTCATCTCTCTTTCTGACAAAGGAATTGAATGTATTGAAGTGCAGGATCAGCCGATGCGCTATGTCCTTGATGTGTAGCATCGTTGTCGGAGGCCCGGTACGTCCCATGCTCTCTTTCTGATAGAATTCGTCCCAGAAGCTTGCCAATATAGGCAGAGTGTCTGTGTCAGAGCTTTTGTGAAATTTTCCAGGAAAACTCTCCATGGCAGTGAATCTCTATATAGAACCGATTGCTGGGGAGGTAATGGACGTGAAGAGCTCTGACCACGTGGACTTCGTTCTCTGTACCGACGGTGGTCTGCTCCGTCATCTAGATCACGGGCCTTTGGCGGCGATCTAGACCTCGCGTCTCTGGTGGGGAGGGAGGATAAGCCCGATACAAGAGGTCCACTCTCTTCGAGTTTGACCATCGCATGGTCTGCCAAAGCTGGACGAGTTCCAGCAAATCTCTTTGGGTTCTTAGTGGGAAGGGTCTCGTGCACCTCATCAGCGGCATCTGCTCTGTCTTTACTGGATGGCATAGAGCCGTGGTGTTGTGCTGCAACGGCTCCTTCGCCTGAATTTGCGGTGACCTGGACTGGTGGCAGACTGGGTGGAACTGGCGAAACTGGGTGGTTCCGTGGCTGTAAGGCTGCTTCGGCTGGGTTGCAAGCAACTTGAACTCCTTCCACAGAGGTCACGGATCTGAGGCTGTCGGACGTGGTGTTGTCTTGCTGGAGTATGCCGCGCTCAGTTGGTGGCCGCGGCGTGGATAGGAGGCTCGTTTGGCTCTCTACCACCATGCCTGCAAAGCCCACCTCACTGTTGCTGTTCTGGTGATTGGTGCCATTCTTTGCCAGGCGGAAAGCATCGAGTTGGAGACCCATCCGAGGTTCGCTGGCAGCTGCCGCCGGAGCCGGGATATTGCTGGCCGTTGGGGGAGCTGCATTTCTAGCCGGACGTACGTACAGCTCCTGACCGCATCCAGCGCAGAAGCGGCCCGGAACGGCGGGCCATAGGAATTTACATTCGATGCAAACACCATCCATGTTTGGAAGGTAGCTGCAAAAGGAGTGTGGACTGCAGTGCTGACAGGATCAAAGGGAGGAGCCGCTGTCCAGGAGAAAAAGTGTCCATGTCAACATTCAGCGCGCTCTCGGTCCGCCAAGGTTCACTGCCGTTGTAGAAGAGAGGCAGCGAGGTTGGAGCAAGGCTGCCATGACGGTGATGGAGCCACTGCCGGTCTCTCAGGGACCATTATATCGCGTTCGATCTATTGCTAGAGCTTGTCAGCCTTCAACAAGGACATCTCTTCATCTTCCTAGCTGATAGTCTCAGATCTCTTTGACCTCCCACAATAGCCTCAATCATAGCTGACTTGTGATGCCAGCTCCAAATTTGAGCTCATTGTGTCAAGGCAGTTCACATCACAAGCATCACTCTATCGGCAATGTATTGATCCCATCCGCAACGGGCACTGGCCTGGCTTCGGATCCTCCCCGTGATCACCTGGGTCAGTTGTGGGATAAGAGCGACAAGAGGTGGTCATTTGCTTGAATATCGAAGCGCGGAGCTTTCCGCCTCGCCAACAGCGTCTCGTGCTTGCATTCGACGCGTTTCCCGATCGCGTCGACCTTTCGTCTCGACGCGGCTTTCACCTCCGCCCAAAGTATCGGATACGGAGGAGGTGATGCGGCCATTTACGCGATCACTCAATGGCCGAGACCTCCGATGGCTAGAAAGCATTATCTCCCCGCGGCCCTTGCCTCTGCCTCGAAGACCGCTTGCTCGAACGACATCACCAGCCTCAACCCACTGCATTACCAACCACGGCCAGCTCAGAGGCGTAAAGACGGTGACGAGGAAGAAGGTGAAAGAGCTACAACAGGGCGAAATCCAGGTTGGGTCTCTTCCCGATTTACCACCCGAAGATGAACCTCAATACCCGACTGTGCTCCAAGGAGTGAAGTCCAATATGGCGAAATTTGACAACTGCGTGCTCCTTACAAGAGTCGGGAACTTTTACGAACTGTATTTCGAGCAGGCAGAAGAATGTGGGCCTCTTCTCAATCTCAAGGTTGGCTACAAGCAAACGAAGCTGGGTCCCGTCGCAATGGCAGGCTTCCCGTTCTTTCAACTGGATAGATTCCTGAAGATGCTGGTACAAGATCTGAACAGATACGTTGCCATCTGCGAAGAGTTTCTGGTTCAAACCTCCGGCAAGGTCAAATCTGGCGGTTTGAAGCACGATCGACGGGTAACGCGTGTAGTCACGCCAGGCACCCTCATTGACGAGAAGTTCCTGGATCCTTACGAATACAATTTTCTGCTGTCTGTCCGTCCCGAGACCGCCGTGTCTACCTTGAATGCTGCAGGTGAAGGTAGTGCGTCGCAAACGGAGCCAGAAGAAAAGATTGGGCTCGCATGGCTGGATCTATCGACGGGTGATTTCTACACGCAAACAACCCTTCGAAGCTCCTTGTCCTCGGCGTTAGCACGGATTGCTCCTCGCGAAATCATCCTGCCCGGAGATGTGTCGGAGGGTATTCGTGAAGAGGTGCGGAACATTGTAGGCCATGACCATCGACTGCTCACTTTACATCAAGCAGACAGTGACTTTGTGTCCATGAGCGAGTGGAACCAAATGCTAGAGTCTCCAGTGCCTGACAATGCTGATGACTCGTTTACCGTCGGCGAGAAGGCTGCAGGCCATCAACTGCTTGATTATGTCCGAAATCGACTGCAAGGTCTTCAGGTTCGTCTGCAACCACCACGTCAGAGGGAACTCCATGCGATACTAAATATTGACCGGAACAGCCTCAAAGGGCTGGAGATCTTGGAGACCTCTCGAGAAGGCTTTGGTAAGGGGAGCCTTTTCCACGCCGTCAAGAGAACATCAACTAAAAGTGGCGCCCGACTTCTCCGCGATCGTCTAACATCTCCTTCTGCTTCTTTAACAGAGATTGAAGATCGGCTTGAGCTCGTCAGCATCTTCGTCGAAGACCAAGAACTGACTGAGTCTCTAATCTTCCGACTGCGCCGCATGTTCGATGTGCAACGCATTGTGCAGAAATTTGCCCTCAACAAAGGCGATGCTGACGACATGCTGTCGTTAGCCAGTGCAATCTCCGAAACCGTCGCCACGAATGAGCTTCTGCGACCAGCTGCTGGTGCCAGGAGTACGATGGTAGAGCCTGGGCAAGAGGCGGCTGTTTCCCATTGCCTTGACAGACTTCTCCATCGCTTGGATTTGGAGGGCCCGGTTGAGCTGCAGAACAAGATAGCGTCAGCAATCGATGAAGAAGGCTTGATGCAGAAACATCGACTGGAAGAGGATGAAGCTGCAGACGTCGCAGCCTTGGCGCATGAGGTGGTCTTACAGACTGCTCCACATGAAGTAGACTCGCTTCCAAAGGCAGTTCGCTCACGGACCAAATCTGACGAAGCGAAAAGGGAAGTCGAGCTTGAAGAGCCATGGATCATGCGTCGCGGTGCAACCGAATCTTTACTGCGTCTGCACGAAGACCTTGACGCCCTACACTTCGAGAAGGTGCAATTCGCAGACACGCTTCGCAAGCAGCTGGGTGCGCCGACTCTTGTTCTCAAATCCACGCCTGGCCTGGGTCACATCTGCCACATTCGCAGTGCCACTGGCTTCAAGCGAGAGGCGCTGGAAGCATTACACGCCAGAATGGTGTCATCGTCAAAGAGCACTCGATCCTTTTACCTGACTGACTGGACACGACTTGGCCGTCAAATCGATCAAGCAATTACCAACATCCGCGACGAGGAGAAACGAATCTTTGCCAGCTTGAGGGAGCTCGTTATCAAAAACCTTGTGAAGTTACGGCACAACGCTGCTGTCGTGGACGAGTTGGACGTGGCAAGTGGCTTCGCCACCTTGGCTAGAGAGCAAGCATGGGTTCGTCCTATCCTCAACTCTGGCGCAGAGCTCAAGATCATTGGCGGACGACATCCAACAGTCAAGCTGGGCCTTGAGGAGCAAGGTAGATCTTTTGTTAGCAACAACCTTGTGCTAGACCACAATGAAAGAGTATGGCTGGTGACAGGTCCAAACATGGGCGGGAAAAGCACCTTTCTGCGACAAAATGCCTTGCTTATAATTCTGGCCCAAGCTGGGTCATATGTGCCCGCTGTGCACGCGGAGATTGGTCTCGTTGACCAGATCTTCAGTCGGATTGGCGCTGCAGACGATTTGTTTCGAGATCAGTCTACCTTCATGGTGGAAATGCTTGAAACAGCAGCTATTCTGAAGCATGCTACGTCCAGGTCATTTGTGATCATGGACGAGGTCGGGCGAGGGACAACGCCGGAAGACGGTACGGCGGTCGGCTATGCAAGCCTACATCACCTCTATTATACCAACAAATGTCGGACACTGTTTGCGACCCATTTCCATGCCTTGGCGGATATGACGCGAGACTGGCCGAAGCTGGCGTGCTACTGCACCGACGTGCTCGAGGAGGACAGCGGATCCTTCACCTTCATGCATCGCCTGAAGAGAGGTATCAACCGGCAATCCCATGCACTCAAGGTTGCCAAACTGGCCGGCATGCCTCCGAAAGCGCTCAAAGTCGCAGAAACCGTGCTCGACCATATGATCGCTGAGAAGCATAGTATACAGGTACCGCCGATCAAGGCAGAAGACGGCCCATGGGCCTCCTCAATGGCTGCAGCTGGGTGACGTCCTTCCTATACCATCAATCCTCCGGGAACCTCGGAGGTTGTTGAATTTCACCGGGAGCTGGCTTTGAAGTCGCGACCGTACCACAACTCTTACACGTGCGGGCGTCCATATTATTCTCAAACGCCATCACACCTTCCTTGATCTGCGTCCCGAGGTCTGTCAAATGGAAGCTTGCCTCATGGACGATGTTATTGCAATTCTTGCAGTACCACCGCAATGTGTCAACCGAGTCTTCTGGGCGGGGCTGTTCGAGCACGACACCCACTGTGTCTGCAAACCGGACTGGGTTGTGCGGCGTGTTCGGAGGGAGCAGGAACATGGAGTTCTCATGAATGGGCACGTCGACGGGCGTGTGCGGTGTCGTTGACGTGTCCATGGTCTTGAGCAGCATGGAGCCTTTATGCTGGTAGAAGAACTCGGGCGTGGTGTTGATGTGGTAGTCTGTCCTGGCATTTGGTCCACCCACAACCATGACGGTGAGCCCCCCCGTCGACGCCGAGGGCGCATACACGCAGTAATTGTTGATGGGAGGCTTGAGGAGGTGGGAATTGTCCTTCAACCTGAAACGAACTGTCAGTCAGGCGATCAATGTACATTACATGCCTCCTTGTCAAGCTCGTGTACTCATGGACTCAAGGACTCGAAGCCCGAATATCTATGGGTTGTGCAACACAACACAAACATGACATACCATTTCGGTAGATTCAAAGCCATGGTAGACTGCTTTCTTGACTGGATGATCGCTGGTCGCGGGGCAAGTGGGGGTAGATGTCTGCTCGGCACTCGAAGAGGTTCCGCACTTGTATACCGATGAACCCCGTAGAGACCTGCTGAGTATCCTGGAGTGGTTCATTGACTAGGTACAGGCAGCTACTGTACGTTCTGGGAGTTGAAAATGGTACGTGGTAGAACGCGAAGTCGCGGGCCGTGGTCGACGTCAGCTAGTTGTTTAGTCACTCAGTCATCGATCTCGAGGCAAATGCCGGGCACCCACACGGGGTGGGGAAATTTTTAGATGCGGGGCATGCACGGTACACTGCCTTAAGCACCCGTGAGTGCCCTAAGTGTTGGGTGCGAGTATTCCGTACCGGGTAGCTGTGTGACCTTCCTCGACTCCCACATCAAGATGGCATTTGGGTCGCTAGTTACCTGGTATTTCTCTTGTACATGTTGTTATGAGACATCGCTAGTTACGATCAAGATATTCTGGTGTGTATGCGCAAATGGTGACTCAATATGCATCACTCAAATGTAGGTGAACGATCGCTCTCCTCGCTACCCTTCGTCAGCAGTATCAAAGCTGCATCTTCCTCTTACGACATCTCCAACTCCCTCATGGGATAATGAGACTCGTTGTCATCTACCATAGCTGCGACACCTGTATGGCTGACTACGTGCTGTCGTTCCGCCGTGAGAGGTCCCATCACGGTATTATCATCCCACCGGCACAACCGCAAAAGGCATCGCTACGCCGTCATGCGACTGCGTGTCCCCTCCTCGCCTCTAGGTAATGATGCTCCTTAAGCTTCAAGTGCTGACGTTGGAACAAGTTCGTTGGAGTCATGGATGAGCCGAGAAGCCTTGAGTGCATTGATAGAGTTCTGATCGAGTATCGCCCGGGGAGCAACAACCGAACGTTGGCTGTAAGGACGGCGAGCTGCTGTAACGCTGTTACTTTGCGATCAGTAATACCAGCTGGACACGGATGCTCGGATACGCAGAGGATAGAGTCCCATGCAGAGGACGACGATTTTGGACTGTGAGAACACGCATCAGGCGGAACATCCGTCCCAAAGAGCGACTTTAGTAGACCCGACCAACCTCTGTCTCACCTGCGCAGGATGTAGAAGCTGCTACCACTTCTCTGGTAAGTTAGAACTTGAGGCATCTTGGATCGTCCAGGCGTTGCAAGACAGCTCTACAGGAGAGATTTTTTTTGGCGCACGGCCTTGCCTGGGCTCACCAGTTTGAGACCTCAGCATTGTGAGTCTCAATGATTAGTCCGTAAGGTACTTTAAAAAAAGGATTGAGATTATGAGAACACTGGGAAGGCGAATCGCAGAGCACCTAGATCTACCTGTGCTGGGAGCTCGAAGGTCAGTCCTTTCTGCTACTTGTCAACACAGTATCGCTATTGCTGAGAGAGAGAGCTTTGCACAGTCACAAATGCCATTATCTTCGGCCGCCATCTCGCCGATTTTGGAGAAGCGACTGCGAATGCGGGGGAAAAAGTTGATTTCGCTCGCAACTGCGACCGCGACTGAGAAGAAATCTCTCTTCCGAAGCAATCATGATCATGAAGAACAGCTGACGCTCCTACTATCGCAATGTCCACTTCCCAACCTCCCCTCCGCTTCTCCTCGCACAAGCAACTCACCTCACGACTGATTCTCGCAACACTCCTCGGTCGCGCCGTCCGCATCGATCAAATCCGGCCCAACTCGCCCACAAATCCAGGTCTTGCACCTCATGAAATCTCCTTCCTCCGCCTCCTCGAAGCTGTTACCAATGGCTCTCACATTGAGGTCTCTTACACGGGAACCGTCTTGCTCTACAAGCCCGGACTGATTACGGGTTCAGCCCCCGGTAGTGGCGCCGAGGCCGTCTCGGGTGTGCTTAGGCATGAAATTCCTGCCAACAATAGCAGAGGGCTCTCCTACTTCCTATTACCCATGTGTCTACTCGCACCATTCAGTAAAGCAAAGTTCAACATTATCTTCACGGGCCCAGGTGTGATCACGAGTTCTACGCCAGAGACATGGGGAGACATGTCCGTGGATAGCGTCCGCACGGCTATTTTACCTCTGTACACGAAGTTCGGCATCGAGAGAGATATTGAGCTACGAATATTGAAAAGATCGAATCCCGGAGCAAGGGGCATGGGCGGAGCGGGAGAGGTGCAGTTGGTGTTCGGTCACCAGCTGCGACTGCCTAAGACGATCCACCTGATGAGTCCTGGACGGGTCAAGAAAATTCGTGGTGTGGCGTACTCGACAGGTGTGAGCGGACAGAATAACGCCAGAATGATTGAGGCTGCGAGGGGCATATTGAACAAATTCGTAGGCGACATTTATGTCTTCTCCGACGTCTCGAGCGCGAGTCTGGTGCCCGCGCCAACAAAAGACAACCCGAACGCGAAGAAGAAGGTCGGTCTTGGGTTTGGACTTTCACTAGTAGCCGAGACACCGACTGGGTGCCTCTATTCAGCCGACTCGGCAAGCCCTCCAGAAGGAGGCAGACCACCCGAGGATGTGGGACGAATGTGCGCATTTCAGTTACTCGAGAGTATCGAAACGGGTGGATGTGTCAGTCTCGAAGCTGTCGAAACAGTTGTCACTCTGATGTCCATGGGTTCTGAGGATGTTGGAAGAGTACAACTCGGAAAAGATGTCCTCGCCAATGAGCGCACGATTCAGCTCGCAAGGGATCTCAGCTCCTTTGGAGCCGCAGGATGGGGTGTAAGAGATGTCAACGCCGAGAAAGGTGAGGGCCATTTTCTGGTCAGCATCGTGGGCAGAGGAGTTGGTAACGTTGGCCGGAAGATCGGATGAAAAGCTATTCCAAATCCACAACATTATGGTTTTTGACCCATCGTGATGGACATCTCCGCATTTTACGGAGCTACCACATCGCGGCATGGAGGTTCGTCTCATACAGGCTTCCCCAGACACGGGTCGTCAACCGCTTCAGCAGGCGAAGCGAGGATCTCAGCTATACATCGCACGACAGAACTGTAAGATGCCGATGTCCGACTAGCCGAACGGTGATGAACGTGCACAGCGATAGGTCTTGCAAGCTCCGGCGGTCAGAGCCTTCTTCCCGGCCCACCTGGTTGCTCATCCATCGTTAGCAACAACCGACCGGTCGGTCCGAGCAAGCGCAGAAGGAGACTTCGGGCAGGACAGTAAGCAAGACCGACAGAGATCGTAAAGCCCGGGCGCCAGCGTGTCTACAGTATTTGAGTGAGGGCGAATCTTCATAAGGCCGAAAGCCGAAGCATGCCGCATACCACAGTATGCAGCTGCCAGCAGAGCTGAGCACTATTCCACCACCCACCAAGTAGTCAGGTAAAATCGCCGGAACTCCCGGATGTCGGCGGAGAAGGTTCGTGCCTTGGGCGATAGGCGCTTATCCGGTAAGGGCAATCTCACTCTAGCACCAGGAATGTTGGACCGACGCACGACAGCAACAGTGCCCCTCTGCTGTCCCTCTATACTTACACGGTACTGTGCGATGCGCCTGGAGATATCGCCTTTTTCACGTATTTTTGCAGTGGATGTGGGCAAGGCTGTGGTGGAGAAGACAATACACAGCATTGGTGGTGGAAACGCGGAAGACGCGGCTCGGTAACAAAAGCGGCGATGATCAATGACGGAACCCGATGCTTGTCTGGACCATTGGGGATCTGCGGGTACGAGGTCCACAGATTCCTTTTCACTTTTCCTTCACTATCCAAACAAGCTTCAACCTCGTCTATTATTCGGCCCACGCGATGACTATCTGCTCCAGGCAGATTAGGCCCCGAAGGAGCGGCCGAAGCTGATGGACGAATCCCAAGTAATCATGTGCAGTGCTACCCGACAAATCCGGCGCGCAACAAGTGCTTCTTTGACGAGGATTCGAAAGCCGGATGCGTGCCTGCTTACCGGATACAGCCAAGTTGGTGCCCATTAGGTGCCCATCACCCCACCGTGCCAGCCACTTCTCTCCCAGTCATTCGTCCGAGTATCTAATTTTCTCGTCCGACATGGAATCTGCTGATCGAAGCACGGCGGCAACGAGCCAGTGAACGAGGACTCACCATTGCTGGATGACAGCAGTCATCGCCGTCCCAGCGATGCCACCCGGCTCTTCAGCCCGACCTTACTCATACGAGCTCCATTCGATGGCATGAAGCAGGTTAGACGGAGCCTTGCCTCGAAAGAGGCAAGAGCAAGGTGATGTGATGGTCTGCGAGTGACCCTTCTACTGTTCTATTATTACTCGCATGCCAGCCCTATCTGTGGACTCTCTCACAATTCAAGTCGGATATGGCGATCACTGCGTAAACTGGACTTCTCTTGGCCGTGTTTTCATCTCTTCACGTTGCCCCCTGACGCCTTTCCGCAGAGACGCTGCAGGTGGAGGACCAGCGCCTACCAGCCGACCAAAATAACGACAGCCAGACCGGAAAGGCAGGGCAGAGAGCATAGGCAGAGGAGTCACGATGGGCGCCGGCGCAGTCCTAGAACCTCTCACGGTCGTCGTCCTCCTCTTTGGGGGCGCATGGATCAACCGCTCTCCTGATGTCCTCTCGGGCACAACAAGTCCTCTGTCCTCATCCTTCTTTGAAGACGACGCCGATGTCCCAGAACTACCGCTAGCGCATCAAGTGGAAGGCGAGGAGGCAGTGGACGTGGAGACGCAGCGTATCTCCAAATCAAAGAGGTCTCTGAGCCCGTCTTTACTACCCAGTCAAGAGGATAAATGGCGGGAGCGAGAGATGAAGATACCGGCATTCGGATACCGGAGGGTTGTGCAGACACCGAATACGGCTGTCTTCAGAAACAGATTGCTCAGCCGAATACTGCACAAGTTCCCATTTCTGGTAGAGGCGTGGTACTGGGCACTAATATATTGGGTAAGTTAGATAGCTCGATCCGACCATGGCTGCTTGTGTTGATCTGTCTGCTCAACAGGTCTACCAACTCGGTCGCGCATTTACAGCCGTAACCATTGTCGAAGGCACTGTCCACGTCGCTCGCCGACATGCCCTGCAGTTGATAGAGATCGAACAGCAACTGCATATCTTTTGGGAAGCCCCCATTCAGAAATTCTTCATGTCGTTCCCACGCCTTATGACGGGGATCAACTGGCTATACAGCTTCATTCACATTCCTGGAACAATCACGTTCCTCGTGGTGTTGTATTACTACGCAATCACGAGAAATAGGTATATCCAGCGACGTTCGGTTCAGCACGAAGCTGGCCTAGGGCCGGCTGGCTCACCTTCTGGACCGTGGCTGTACGAAGCGCGAAGACGGACTATGGCAGTCTGCAATCTCCTGGCCTTTGTGGTTTTCACCCTCTGGCCGTGCATGCCACCACGACTGTTGAGCGATCCGGACTACGATGGACCGCAGGCAGAGACTGCCAAAAGCTTTGGGTTCGTGGATACTGTGCACGGCGAAGAAGGCGCGAGCTCGGTATGGACGCAGAATCGCTTCTGTAATCAGTATGCAGCAATGCCTTCTCTGCACTTTGGCTACTCACTCCTGGTTGGACTCACGGTTATGACGATTCCACTTGCTCCGCGGCACTCGCAACCCTGGAAGACCATACAGATCCCTTTCTTCAACCACAGCCATCCGAATCTCTCGCCGAAGATCCGTCTCCCGAGCACACGTCGCATGGTCTGTCTGGCGGTCGGATTCCTATATCCATTCTCCATCCTCACTGCAATTGTGGCCACCGCGAACCATTTCATCCTGGACGCAGTCGCGGGGTCGGTGGTGTGTTGTCTTGGTTGGAAATTCAACGACGTGCTCCTGAACCTGCTCGTTCTTGAAGATTGGTTCCTTTGGTGTTTGAGAATTCACAAGCCCGTTCAAGTACCGCTGGACTCGAACTGGCCGAAACAGGGACTGGCAATCAAGGAGGGATGGCCACCGGAAAAGACGACTATCGTGGTTCATGCTTCTTGAGCTGGCGGCGTGTCGTCTACAACCCCCGGGTCCCTGAACCCTGGGGCACAGCTGGAACAGACTTGGCGCACTTGAACTATATCCCTCCCTAGCTCAGGCCAAAGGCGCGAAGCATCTTTCCAGGTTCTATTGCGAGTCCAAGAGAGGTTCATGTAATCATAGCGTTCACGAGTCGACGATTAGCATGAGACGGGAGTTCGGGTTGTGGAGATAATGACGAGGATCCAGTGAATAGCAACGGTCGGAGATCCAACTCCCCAGCCTGCCTATCCTCCCGCTGATAGCCACCTAGGCGTGAGCTATAAAGGGCGCTCGGGTGATTATGGCTGGCCAATAGTGTGTCCCCAGGACTTGATAGGGACTCATTGGCATAGCTGAAGGAGAAACTATGTATATCTGAAAACAGATGCCCCTGTGCGCAGGGCGGAGTGGGCGGTCTGTGTAGCTTCCATAGGGGACATGATTCTTCACCGTAGGGTACGCATCAAGTTTTGCGCCTCCGTACCACCAACTGCCTCCTCGCACGCTTCATCCCGTCGCCACTTTGCTTTTAACAGTCATCAAATGCTCGAGATCGAAGGTATTTTGACATCTAACGCTTCCTAACCCCGGCAACAGAAAAGAACTTTCATGATGGCGAGGTGAAGAATGCATTGGCTGTGAAGTGTCGGGGAAAATCTTCTCCGTCTGTGCTGGGCCGGAGATCGATCTATTACCTGGAGGTTCAGCCCCGGCTTTGGTCACAACCCGGCTATCGCCCTGCGACAGTGGAAGAGCTGGGCTATCAGAGCATCTGCCACTGCATCTTATCGGGCTGGTGTCTTGGGTGCTATCCCATCTCTATTTGCTGGGTGAGATTACCACCGCCACGGGATTACGATTGAGCTCAAGCCTTGGGTCTACGCTGTTCATTCCTGGAGCGGCAGTTCTAATCTCTTTGACGCGGACATTGAGGTCTATCTCCGCGCTTCCCTCTGGTCTCAACAACGGACGGCTGCACCTGTCGGTCCCTTCTGAGCAAAAGGCGAGTGCTAATTTCATCCTCAGTATGCTTTTCCAAAGGTCAAGGCCCAGCAAGAATGAGTTCGGACACAATTGCACTGCCGACTTGCCGGCTGGTTGAGATGAGTTGGGGATGAAGGGCAGCTCCCCGAAGGCTTGGCGGGAAACGGCGAAGTGATTGGGTGAATCAGGGCAGTTGCAGTGGCTTTTCTTTCAGAGTTGCTTGGGCCTTTCAATTCCCTCTCCATCATCGTCGCAGTCGCAATCCTCACCCTCCTCCATCGCTGCAATACAACAGACCATCACTTTCTTCGTCGCAGCGACGACATCATTATCGTCAGCTCTTGACTCAGGCTCAATTGGTCCGTGCTCTTCCCTTGTGCGCCAGCGTCGGGTCACGGATCTCGCAGGCGTGGTTTTGCACAAGCTGTTCCTGCCGTCGCGTCACTCCTCCCAGCCCACACACAACCAATCTTGGCCTTGGACTTGTTGACGCAAATACATCACCCCTGAATTTGGGGGCACAACATTGCTAATATCTTTCTTGCGCAGCTATCATACACCTTTCAGCGGCGCTCTCATCGACGCGTCAGTTCCCCCAAACACCTCATCCTCCTCACACCTCGGATCGACATGGCGTCCGAAGATGCAACTCCTATGACAGAAGTCCCGGTCAAGGTGCCAGAGCCTGCCGATGGAGCTCCTCCCACTCTGGCCGAGCCGGCATCTGGGCCCGTCGCCGAGATGTCGGGAGCTTTGCCGGCTGCCCAGGATGCAGAAACGAAGCCAGCCGAGACAACTGGTAATTTATGTCCTTCCAGCCATTCATACACAGGAAGCTGACCACGTCATAGACCCTCCGACTGTGAATGGTTCTTCAGATTCGGTAGCAGAGCCTGTCAAAGAACCTGAAGACCCCGTCACCGAGACCGAGCGTGCAGCTCCGGTCACGGAGGAGACGAACGCAAAAGAGACAGATGCAACAGAGGCCGGTCAGCCAGAGACCAACGGCGCCGTGGCTGCTGATAAGAAGTCGTCATTGCCCAAGAGGAGGTCCTCGGCCGTCCCTGAGCACAAGGGCAAGAAGCTGAACAAGAAGAAGTCTATGCCCAAGATCACACATCTTGATGCTCAGCCGGGCGATTATTATCTCGCCAGGCTGAAGGGATATCCTCCGTGGCCATCTATCATCGCCGACGAGGACATGCTTCCTGAGATCATGCTCAATACCAGACCTGTCACCACCAAGAAGCCGGACGGCACCTACAACGAAGCCTACGCAGATGGCGGCAAGAAGATGAACGAGCGGACCTTTCCGATCATGTTTTTGTACACTAACGAATTGTGAGTTGCTCGTATTTATGCCGTGCGTTCATGCTGACTGCTCCAGTGTGTGGATCTCCAACACAGATTTGACCCCTCTGAGCCCCGGGGACTGCAAAGATGTCCCTCAGAAAGGTAAAGGCAAGGCACTACTCGAGGCCTACAAGGTCGCAGCCGAAGGACATGATCTCCTTCACTTTAAGAAGACACTCGATGAACACTATAACGCAGTCCAACAAGACATCGAAGCCAAAGAGGCCAAGGAAGCAGAGAAGGCTGCTAAAGCCGAGAGGAAGAAGCGGAAGAGCGAGGTCAAGGCTGATGCCGAGGACGTCGATATGGAAGATGTAGACGTCGACGCTGAGCCCAAGAAGTCTTCCAAGAAGCGAAAGAAGGAGGTCGATGAAGATGATGACGAGGACGAGAAGGTGAGTTCTGTGATGTTGCCTTTTGAGGAGATGTTCTGACTGGGGCCGTAGCCGGCGAAAACGCCAAAGACGACCAAGATCAAGTTAACCACGAGCAAGACTCCCAAGACTGAGGAAAAGAAACCCAAAGAGAAGGCAGGCAAGCCGCGATCCGAGAGGCGCAAGTCCAAGGCTGCTCAAGAAGATGAAGAGATGGCCGATGCACCTGAACCAGAGCCAGAAGAGAAGCCACTTGATCCAGTCGAGGCGCGCAAGTCGCGTGAGAAAGAGGGTAAGCATACAGACCACCAGATCTTATCGCGGCTAAATTGTTGCAGTTCTTTTCCTCCGCCACAAGCTGCAGAAAGGCTTCCTTTCCCGGGATCAAGCGCCCCAGGAAGAGGAAATGCCACTAATGGCAACATACATCAAGAAACTCGAAGGATACGCAGACTTGGAAGTCAGCATCATTCGAACTACGAAGATCAATAAAGTTCTAAAGGCGTTGATCAAGCTGAACACCATCCCCCGAGACGAAGAGTTCCAGTTCCGGAAACGCTCGGTAGAACTTTTGAGTCAATGGAACAAGATTCTTGGTGCCGAGCCAGCTGACGGCGAGACCACTGGGGACAAAGAAAATGCTACGAACGGAGTCCACGATGAGAAGTCAGAAGAAGCCACCGAAGAGGACAAGAAAGAAGATGCCTCTGCCCCTGCTGCTATGGAAAAGCCGGTCGAGAGCACCGAAGAGAAGCCAGCTACTGAGGCCGAGCCGGAGGTCGAAAAGCCTGTGGTGCCTACAGAGTCCGAGACTGCACCGTTCGAAGAGCCGGAAGCTGCACCGGCAGAGGTGCCTTCCAAGCCTGAAGCGGCAATTCCGGAAGTCGTGGACAAGGCGCCAGAGTCTGCTGAGGCTGCGACAGAGGCGGCAGACGTCGTCAAGGCTACTGAGTAGCAACAGAAGCAGAATTTTCTTCACTTGTTGGTGATGGATTGGCTACTTGCGATGCCCTGAGGAGTTGGCGGCGTATGATTGGAGTTGCCTTGGTCGCGGCTCTCGACTAGCCCTCATATGCGGACAGCGATTTCGCCGATGTAGAAGAACAAACCCAAGATACGTCTTGGACAAGCAGACGACGACCGAGTGAAGGACAAGAGTCGGTGAATCTTTACTCACAATGTCGCGCTCAATGGGTCCGAGAGATTTGCAATCAAGGCAAGGTGGCTGGAGCTTGTGCCGTTTAGCAATCAGGTCTTAGTCTTACTTCGAGGCTGCTTTTATTCTTCTTGTCTTCAGTTGACCAGCTTGTCTAGGAAAGAATGGATAGGGCATGTTCAACTTGGGTGGACAGTTATGATGATGAAGAAAATGCCAATGCAACATAGTTCAAAACAGCTAGATGCATCCATCTTCATCGAACTGCCTGAGGCTTTGGCCGACAGACCATTGTCGATGGTATCTGGGCAGCTGTACAGAGTAGAATCACAACTTTGTCCCAACATACAACACAGCCTCGTTTTGATGTACTCAGCCTTGTCTGCTGCCACGGCCCCCAATCGGTCCGCCTCGAGCGGCTCGCAGGACAAACAACTCAACTTCTATTGCTTTCACCTTTCTGGACAATTCATCTGTTACAGAACTTATGCACCGAAAACCCTGTGTACTTGCGACCACGCCTCCGTTACAGGGTTGCGACACCCCAACGTTCCAGCTTCTTTTCGCGTCTCGCGTCTCACGTCTCTCCTGACTGCGGCTTACGCCGGCATTACTCGACGGCCACCCAGCATGGCGAACACGATTCTAGACATATTCTATTCTTTATCCTCCTGTATATGCTGTTTTCCGAGCACTCCGCAACTGAAAATCAACAGTCGGAGTTTCCGCATGCTTCGGTTACTGGGCGAGGTAATTAAGCACCTGTGCGCAAGCAGCAGCAGCAGCAGCAACATATCTTTCACAGGTGGTTTATACTAATCCCTGCTTGTTTGTATAGGGCGGCTTCTCCTATGTATACCTCGTCCAAGACACTAGCGACAGCGCTCTCTATGCGCTCAAGAAGATCCGCTGCCCCTTTGGCCAGGAATCGGTCTCACAGGCGCTCAAGGAAGTCGAAGCGTACACGCTCTTCGCACCACACCCGAATATAATCGCCAGTATCGACCATGCCGTGCTCACGGACTCGACGACAAAGGTTTCGGGCATTGGCGCAGAGGCGGGGAATGGAGGCGCAAGCAAGACGGTCTACATTCTGCTGCCATACTACCGGCGGGGAAATCTACAAGACATGATCAATGCGAACTTGGTCAATCATACACGGTTCGGCGAGCGACGGCTGATGAAGTTGATGCTTGGGGTATGCAAGGCCCTCAAAGCCATGCACCAGTACCGCGTGCGGAACAGCGCCTCCCGCTCCGCCGCGCAGGCGATCCGCGATGAAGCCGCCAACGAGGACGCCGACGCCGCGCAGAGACGAGCAAGGACCACGAAGCGCACCATGACGGCCTCAGCGCAGAACCAGGAAGAAATCTCAGAAGAGCAGGAAGAACCCATGCTGCAGCCATCGGATGAAGTCACGCGCGCGCAAGAGGGCGCTAGACCAGGGGAGACCCGCGCGTATGCCCACCGGGACATCAAGCCCGGGAATATAATGATCGACGATGACGGACGGACGCCCATCCTCATGGACCTGGGCAGCCTGGCTCCCGCGCCCACGCCCATCACCAGCCGGTCCTTGGCAATTGCCGTGCAAGACACGGCGGCCGAACATTCCACCATGCCTTACCGCGCGCCGGAGCTCTTCGATGTCAAGACAGGCAGTGTGATTGACACCAAGGTCGATATTTGGTCGCTGGGCTGTACAATGTACGCGTGCCTTGTAGGGAAATCGCCCTTTGAGGCCCGCAGCGACGAGACCGGTGGGAGTCTGAGTATCTGCGTGCTGGGCGGCGATTGGAGGTGGCCGGACGAAGGCAACCAAAGTAAGGGGAAGGCCAAAGTGGGAAGTGCCCCGAGTCGCTCAAATACGGCGCAGTCGGCAGCGAATGGCGATTCGAACAAGCCGCCCGAGGCGTCGTCTTCGGCGAGGATATACCCCCATGCAGCTGCACGCGATGTTGTCAGAAGGTGTCTACAGGTCGAACCGGCGGACAGGCCCGACGTGGATGAACTGATGACTTTGATTGATACGTGTCTGAGCGAACTGCCGGAGGACGACGAGGGCGGAGGGGCCGATGCTGACAGAGAGCTGTGAACAAGGTCTGTCCAAGTGTGGCAATGCCAAGTTCCTGTCCGATATAATGTGTTCTTCTGGTCCCCTACGTCGGGTCATCTCGTTCGCGGCACTTCTCTGTAGGATATCTGGGGACAGGTACAGCTGGAGATTGGAGTTTGGGCTGATGAGAAGGCGAAAACATTCGGGAAGAGTGTATACAATTTATGCTTCGTATATAGTCGAGGGAAGTCCTGCTAGGGAGAATCATCGCTTTCTGTCGTCCATAGCTCACCAGGGCTCCAGCTCGCTTGTCAAGCAACGTCGAATCCAACTTGAGTCGAGCATAGCTGCTATGTGCACGGCCACACGGTCAATCTGATGGAAGAAGCACTTATAACCTTCACCATCTGCTCTTGGTCTAGCCTGCCGCCCTTGCTCAGAAATTCTTTCCACGACATGGCTGGTAGAGGAAGCCAAGGTCCAGATACTAAGTCTCTGCTCTTGTGGCTCCCCCGGCCTACGAACGCCTGCCACATCTGGCTAACGTCGTCGACAGGCCACATGGGCTCATAGGGTTGCATTGACCAACACCCGGCCTTTGCCAAGGACCGTCAGTACACGCGCTCTCAGATCAAGGGTGGATGTTAGTCCATGGGCCGAACAGTGTTAGAGGATCCTCCGATGAACGTGGTCTTTATCGATAAGCGAGCAGCCAGTCGATTCCTCCCCTCCTGCCGTATTCAGACTAGCCTTTGCTGTTGGCGGCTTGGCAAAGGAGCAATGCAGTCGCGCGAGCACTTCGAGCTCCCCACGTCGACGAGCTTATCAATGAAAATCATACCATTCTTGCCATCTAGCCGTCGCTAACTACGTGCCTTGCACTTTGCAAGCTTTCCCACCGTCATAGTGCTCTTAGCTTCCCTCACTCAACATGGCAGGCAGGCAACTAGGACAGCCGAAGCTTGCTGTAACGATGGCACCTCTGCATGTGCCGTGGATCGTTCTTAAGGGCAGCTTTGCCATCGAAGCTGCCCTCTTACAACAGGATTGCCAAACCTCACTACCGTCACTCTGACCAATATGCGCTTTCTTGGTCTGTTATGCGACAGTCTGGCCGCAATTGCAGTCCTTGCGGCTTGCTTGCCGGTAGCAGCTCTTGCGCAAGCATCTGACTCCAGCTCTGGACTGGCAGTCCAGCTATCAATCGCAAACGGATTCCTGAACGGCACTACAGACGGTCATGTTACGGTCATGTTTACCCCTAGCGGCACGGACCCCATGGAGGACACCGACGTCACCTCTAGTCCTAACCTGTTCTTTGGCATGAATGTGTACGGAGTAGCCACTGCCAGCAAGGTGACCATGGCTAGCACAAGTATCATCAACACTGTGGGGGGTGTCTGGGGTTTCCCTATTGTGAGCTTGGACGATGTTCCGGCAGGCAACTACTCGGTCCAAGCCTTCCTCACCAAGTACGAAAAGGTCACTCGAAGCGATGGATCTTCAATTAGCGTCCATTTCCCTTGTGGGGATGGCGCCCCCAACATCAACGGTTTCGGCAGCCTCACCACAGCAATTACCAACGTCAGTATCACTGGAGATCCGCAAACCGTCAATCTCGTGTTCAACAACGTGACGGCCACAGACGCATTTACAGGCAAGGAAATCGGTGGCTGCTCTCAGGGAAACTACGAAGACACGGAGACTCTGAAATATGTCAAGATCCGCAGTGAAGTGCTCAGCAAGTTCTGGGGTCGCAGTATGTACGTGGGTGCCAACATTGTACTACCTAGCGGCTATGATGCCGATGATACGGCCACGCGTTATCCAGTCATTTATTCGCAAGGCCACTGGGCCGCAGATGCAGGACCTTTCCGCTATCCCACCGCCAACTTCTCGGAAGCATGGGATAATGGAACGATCCCCGGTGACGACGGGCGGGCTGACCGACCTACACCCAAGATGATCCTGGTTAATTTCAGGCACGAATCGCCCTGGTACGATGACAGCTACGCAGTAAATTCTGCAAATCATGGTCCATTTGGAGACGCCTTGTATGATGAACTGATTCCCTATATTGACGAGCATTTCAAGACCATCCCTGAGCCGTACGCACGGATTCAGGTTGGAGGTTCGACTGGCGGCTGGGAATCCATCGCTGGCGTCATTTTCCGGCCTGATTTGTTCGGGGCCTGCTTCTCCTCCTACCCGGACTCGTTGGACTTCCACAGGCATCAAGACATTCCGCTGTATACTAATACGAACGCCTACCTACGCACCAATGGGAGCGCAATCCCTTCTATTCGGGACTTTGAGAACGGAACGCAAGTTATTCTGGCTACGGTGGCGCAAGAAAACCACTGGGAGCTGACATTCGGCACTTCGTCCCGCTCTTCTCTGCAATGGGACGTTTGGAATTCCGTGTTTGGGGTGCAGGGCCTCAATGGTTACCCTCTCGAGCCTTGGAACAAAATCACTGGCGAGATCTACCCCGCCGCCGTCCAATATTGGAGGCACATGGATTTGGCAGATTATATTGTCACCAACTGGAACAATAGCTACAACCTTGGTGAAGTCCTCCGGGGGCGGCTATATGTGTACGTGGGGAGCTGGGACGACTACTTTTTGAATGAAGGCGTCCAGGAATTCCAGAAGCGGACCGATGCTGTTGGCGGGCGGGGCTGGGCCAACATCACCATCCTCCCTGAGAAGCCGCATGGAGGGAATTATCAAGATCGAGAGATCTGGGATTACCTCGAGCTGGTCTATAGCTGGATCCAAGACCACGGGCCCAATGGCACCACCCCACTGCCGCGCAATGTGACGGTGTCGTCTTCACGAGGGAATAACTTCACCGAGGTGCTTGCTTACGGTGGACACCAAGCCGCGCTCAAACGACAGGCACCTCCGTCGATCACTGGCGGCGACCATTGCGACGGTGCCGGAGGTTGTGTTTTCCAGGGGAGCGTCGGCCGATGGGATCCGGGAGTCGAGCTCGAGGCACAGTGGGTGGTCAGCGGCAAGCCGGTCGGTGAGGCGTTCGGTGTAGCCCAGGGTGAAGCGCTGTCGTATGCGCCAACCACAGCCACCAAAAGGTCTTCGATCCAGCTCTGGGTGACGGGGCGGAAGCTGGGTTATGTTGACGAGACGAGGAAAAGTAATGGCATCATGCTGAAAAGATGAGGTCTTGCGCCACGACGAGAAGATAGGCAGCTTTGTACATAGGTGGCATAAGAGTCGAACAGTCTCAAAACCCGTGGCTGGCTTCGTCTTGGCTCACTCATTGCGTACAGTGTTCGGTTGAACTTGCAGATGAATGAGTTGGAATCATTTAATTACTCGGTATTGTCAGTGAGTGGCTGGCACAGGCTGTCTCAGTGGCCCGCCGTAGTCACTCGGGTAACTTGTCGTTCTCGCCTCGCCATTTGGAGAGACTTCAAACAGCATCAAAGATTTTGGGACGAGCACTAGAAGCGCAGGCTGCAGTGCTAGTCTTCCGAGCAACCCAGTCGCCGCCTACCTCGAGCTCTTCAGTGAGTTTGAAGAAAAGCAGCAGGTCACTTCTGGAGCGATTTGTCCAACCGCTGATTCCCTAATCTCATTCCGCCTTACACCCTTGGGGCCCCTCCAATAATCACCAGTATCACCTCTCCGCTACCGTCAAGATGGCGGACCCGAACAATGTCTCGCAGTACAAGTACTCGGCGATGTCGAACCTGGTCCTCCAGGCCGACCGGCGGTTCATCTCGCGCCGCAACGACGAAAACACTGGTGATCCCGAGTCGCTTGCAGGCCGCCTGAACATTCGGGACATGGGCTCGCGGGTCGGTCGAGAAGCCGCGCCCAAACAGAAGAAGATGGCGCCGGCCCTACAGGGCGTCGACAGAGGCTCGATCCGCGAGGGCGAAGATGTCCTGGAACGAGAGCAGAGGAAGAGAAAGCGGGGTGAGCCTGCCCAAACTCGAGGTGCCGGCATCCTCTCCGCGGGCGACGCGCTGATCGAAGGGCTCAAGTATCGTCCTAGGACTCCCGCCACCCGCGCGACTTACGATCTGCTGCTCACCGTCACGGCCAACGCACTGGGCGACGTCTCGCAGGAGATTGTCCGGAGCGCGGCCGACGCCGTCCTCGAATATCTCAAAGACGAAAACATGAAAGACCTCGACAAGAAGCGAGAGATTGACGATATTGTCGGGATCACGATGACGCCCAAACAGTTTAACGAGCTGGTGAATCTCGGGAAGAAGATCACAGACTACGATGCTCAGGACGACGACGAGGACACGGCGGACGGCGCAAACAACGAGACAGAGCTTGATGAGCGCCAGGGCGTGGCGGTGGTTTTCGATGAAGACGACGATGTGGACGAGGACGGCGTCCAACGAACGTACGAAGTCCGCGACGAAGACGAAGGGGATACTGACGACGAAGACGCCCCCGATCTGCCCGGTCTTGAAGAGACCGCGACAGCAGGAGGTGCCGGAGTGCCAGACGCCGAGGATGGCGACGATGAAGACGGCGGTCTGGTCATAGACGGTGGAGTTGGCGAGTCGAGTCGTAGAAAACGCGAAGACGCCGACTCAATACCCATTCACGAAATTGATGCATATTGGCTGCAGCGCCAGATCGGTGCCGTCGATTCAGATCCCCATATTCAGCAGCAGAAGACTCAAGAGGCGCTTCGCATCTTGTCCGGAAAGTCTCCCGAGGGTGAAGATCTATCCCTTCGAGACATTGAGAACGACATGATGGACCTGTTCGATTATGAGCACCCGGATATTGTCAGTAAATTTGTCTCAAACAAGGACAAGATTGTTTGGGTCACAAGGTGGCGCAGAGCTGCTGAAGACGCGGACGCCCGACACCTCGTCGAGAGTGAGATGGTTGAAGCTGGACAGCGAGCCATTCTTGACGAGCTGTTAGGCATGACGGACCGTGATGGAGAAGCATCACGGCCAGCCAAGAAGATGAAGCTGGACTTGATGGATATTGATATTCCCAAGGCGCAGGAAGATCAGGAGGAGAAGAAGGAGGGCGTCCTGACTGGTGGCTTGCAGCCGCAGCGACTCATCAACCTGGAGAACCTGGTCTTTGAGTCGGGAAACCACCTCAACACGAATCCAAAGGTCATTCTACCACCCGGATCGACTAAGCGGACGTTCAAAGGATACGAAGAAATTCATGTTCCCCCTCCTAAGCCGAGGAGGGATCCTGGCGAAAGGAACATCCCGGCAAGCGAACTGCCCGATTGGGCGAGACAAGGCTTCGGCTCTGCGAAGGAGTTGAATCGCATCCAGTCGAAGTGCTACCCCTCTGCTTTCCAAGACGACGGCAACATGCTCATTTGCGCACCCACTGGTTCTGGCAAGACAAACGTCGCAATGCTTACGATGCTTCGCGAGATTGGAAAGCACAGAAATCCGGAGACGGGTGAGATCATGCTGGACGACTTCAAGATCGTTTACATTGCACCTCTGAAAGCCCTGGTACAGGAACAGGTGGGCAATTTTGGGAAGCGACTTGAGGTCTACGGTATACGAGTATCTGAGCTCACGGGCGATCGGCAGCTCACCAAACAGCAAATCGCCGACACTCAGGTCATTGTGACGACGCCCGAGAAGTGGGATGTCATCACGCGCAAAGCTACAGACCAGAGCTACACCAGTCTCGTCCGTCTCATCATCATCGATGAAATCCATCTGCTGCACGACGACCGTGGCCCAGTCATCGAGAGCATCGTCAGCCGAACCATTCGAAAGATTGCACAAACCGGCGACCCTGTCCGAATTGTCGGGTTGAGTGCAACGCTCCCCAACTACCGGGATGTGGCTACTTTCCTTCGGGTAGACCCCCAAAAGGGCCTCTTCCATTTTGACGGGACTTTCAGGCCTTGTCCTCTCAAGCAGGAATTCATCGGAGTGACGGACAAAAAGGCCATCAAGCAGCTCAAAACCATGAATGATGTTTGCTATTCTAAAGTGCTCGAACATGCCGGGACGAACCAGAATCAAATGCTGATTTTTGTTCATTCTCGAAAAGAAACTGCCAAAACAGCCAAGTATATTCGAGACAAGGCTGTTGAGCTGGAAACCATCGGACAGATCATGAGGTCTGACGCAGCAAGTAGAGAAGTCTTGCAGCAAGAGGCTGATTCAATCAACGATCCCAATCTGAAGGATCTGCTGCCGTACGGGTTTGGCATACATCATGCTGGTATGAACGTCGCAGATCGAACTTCCGTGGCAGAACTCTTCGCCGACGGCTTTCTAAGAGTGCTCGTCTGTACCGCAACACTCGCCTGGGGTGTGAACTTGCCTGCTCACACGGTCATTATCAAGGGTACACAAGTGTATTCGCCCGAAAAAGGAAGTTGGGTGGAACTGAGTCCTCAAGATGTCCTTCAGATGCTGGGGCGAGCAGGTCGTCCGCAGTTCGATTCCTACGGCGAAGGCATCATCATCACATCCCAGACAGAGATGCAATACTACATGTCACTGATGAATCAGCAATTGCCCATTGAGAGTCAACTTATGAGCAAGCTAGCGGACAATCTGAATGCGGAGATTGTTCTGGGCAACATTCGTACGCGCGACGAGGGAGTGGAGTGGCTCGGCTACACCTATCTCTTTATTCGCATGATCCGGTCTCCGGGTCTGTACAGTGTCGGCGCAGACTACGGCAATGACGAGACCTTGGAGCAGAAGCGCGTAGATCTCATCCACTCAGCTGCCGTGGTCCTGGAAAAAGCCGGGCTGGTCAAGTATGAGAAGAAGACGGGCAGATTGCAAGGCACGGATCTCGGCCGCATTGCTTCACACTACTACATCACACACAACTCCATGTTGACTTACAACCATCACCTACAGCCATCCATCGGCACCATCGAGCTCTTCAGAATTTTTGCCCTCAGCGACGAGTTCAAGTACATCCCCGTCCGACAAGATGAGAAGCTCGAGTTGGCGAAACTACTGGGTAGAGTACCGATTCCAGTCAAGGAAGGCATGGAAGAGCCACAAGCAAAGATCAACGTGCTCCTTCAAGCATTCATCTCGCGGCTCAAGCTGGAAGGCTTGGCCTTGATGGCTGATCTCGTCTACGTCACGCAGTCAGCAGGACGCATTCTCAGAGCAATCTTCGAGATCTGTCTGAAGAAAGGCTGGGCCGGCGTGGCCAAGCTTGCGCTGGATCTCTGCAAGATGGCCGAAAAGCGGATGTGGCCCACAATGACACCTCTCAGGCAGTTCCCGATGTGTCCAAGAGAGTACATCCAGAAGGCTGAAAGGATGGAAGTCCCGTGGTCTAGCTACTTTGACCTCGACCCTCCACGAATGGGCGAACTCCTAGGCATGCCCAAGGCTGGACGAGTGGTATGTGATCTTGTCTCTAAGTTCCCTCGGCTGGAGGTGCAGGCACAAGTACAGCCGGTGACGAGGTCGCTGCTCCGTGTCGAGCTCACGGTAACTCCAAACTTCGTCTGGGATGAAGCGCTCCACGGAACTGCCGAGTCGTTCTGGATCATTGTCGAAGACTGCGACGGCGAAGAGATCCTCTTCCACGATCAATTCATCCTGCGACGTCAATTCGCCGAAGGTGACATGTCGGAGCATCTGGTGGATTTTACCGTCCCCATCAGCGAACCAATCCCGCCCAACTACTTCATCACTTTAGTGTCCGATCGATGGATGCATTCCGAGACAAGAGTGCCAGTGTCTTTCCAGAAGTTGATTCTGCCTGAACGCTTTCCGCCTCATACACCACTTCTGGATCTGCAGCCTGTGCCTGTTCAAGCCCTCAAGATCAAAGACTATATTGATCTGTATCCCAACTGGGACAGATTCAACAAGATTCAGACACAAGTTTTCAAGTCATTGTACGACAGCAACGACAGTGTGTTTGTTGGCGCTCCGACAGGAAGTGGAAAGACTGTCTGTGCCGAGTTCGCCTTGCTCCGACATTGGAAGAATCCTGAAGCCGGCAGAGCTGTCTACATCGCGCCCTTTCAGGAACTGGTTGACAGCCGGCACGCTGATTGGAATGAGCGGCTTCGCCAAATCGGTGGAGGCAAGGTTATTTCGACATTGACTGGTGAGATCACCGCCGACTTGCGCATCCTCGATAGGTCCGATCTTGTCCTTGCAACTCCAACCCAGTGGGATGTTCTGTCACGGCAGTGGCAGCGTCGAAAGAACGTGCAGAATGTTGAGCTTTTCATCGCCGACGAGCTCCATATGATTGGCGGTGAAAACGGCGCTGTTTACGAAGTCGTGGTCTCTCGGATGCAATACATCCACATCCAGCTTGAAAACAACATGCGCATTGTCGGCCTGAGCGTGCCCTTGTCGAACGCCAGAGATGTCGGCGAATGGCTTGGGGCAAACAAGCACACGATCTACAACTTCAGTCCCGTGACCAGGCCCGTGGGATTGCAGCTACACATCCAGTCATTCTCGATTCCGCATTTCCCATCGTTGATGATGGCTATGGCTCGCCCGGCCTATCAATCCATCCTGCAGCTATCGCCTGACAAGCCGGCTATCGTGTTTGTGCCTAATAGAAAGCAAGTGCGAGCGTCAGCCGTCGACATCCTCAACGCCTGCATCATGGATGACGACGACGAGCGATTCCTACACACCGATGCCAGCGAACTCGCACCGTTCTTTGAGCGCATCCACGAACAGACGTTGGCGGAGTCCTTGAAGCATGGCATTGGCTATTACCACGAAGCCCTCTCGACCAGCGATAAAAGGATTGTCTCTCACCTGTTCAAAGTGGGCGCGATCCAAGTCATGATCTGTTCACGAGATGTGTGCTGGGAAATCCCATTCACGGCACACTTGGTCATCGTCATGGGCACGCAGTACTTTGTCGGCCGCGAACATCGCTACGTCGACTACCAGATCAGCGAGATCCTGCAGATGTTCGGCCGCGCAACTCGCCCGGGGGAAGACGACGTCGGGAAAGGCGTGCTGATGGTCCCGGCCGTTAAGAGGGAGTACTATAAGAAATTCCTCAATGAGGCGTTGCCCATCGAAAGTCATCTCCAACTCTGGCTCCACGATGCGTTTGTGACAGAGATAAGCACCACGACCATCACATCCACGCAAGACGCGGTCGATTGGACAACGTACACATACTTCTACCGCCGCTTGCTGGCGAATCCATCATTCTACGGCCTCAGCGACACCAGCCACGAAGGGCTGAGTACCCATCTGTCCGAACTTGTCGAAACGACCCTGAAAGAACTCGCCGATGCCAAGATCATCGAGCTCGACGAGGAAGACGACTCCCTTTCGCCGCTCAACCCGGCCATGATCGCGGCGTACTACAACATCAGCTTCATCACGATGCAGACCTTCCTCCTGTCTCTCACCGCGCGCACGAAACTCAAGGGTCTGCTCGAGATTGTCACGTCTGCCACCGAGTTCGAGTCGATCCAGCTGCGGCGCCACGAGGATCACATTCTCCGGAGGATCTACGACCGCGTGCCCGTCAAGATGTCCGAGCCAGCCTTTGACAGTCCGCATTTCAAGGCCATGGTGTTGTTACAGGCCCATTTCAGCCGGATGCAACTCCCCATCGACCTCGCCAAGGATCAAGAGGTGATTGTCTCAAAGACCCTCGCCCTGTTATCCGCGTGCGTGGACGTGCTCAGCTCCGAGGGCCACCTGAACGCCATGAACGCCATGGAGATGAGCCAGATGGTCGTGCAGGCCATGTGGGATCGTGACAGTCCGTTGCTCCAAATCCCGCACTTTGACTCCCGCGTCGTCGACATCCTCGCCAAGCAAGGGATCAAGGACATCGACGAGTTCATGGCGGCGATGGACCCCTCGGAGAACCCGGACCAGCCCAAACTCGTGGCCCAAATGGGCCTGACCAACCGCCAGCTCGTCGAAGCCGCGCAGTTCACCAACGAGAAGTACCCGAGTCTGGAGCTCGAGTTTGAAGTCGAAGATAAAGACGACATCACGGCAGGCGAGCCCGCGCGTCTGTCCGTCAAAATCACGCGGGAAACGGGCGCGGATGAGGACGAGGAAGACAAGGAGGGCAAGGAAGTCGAAATTGACCTGACCGTGCACGCGCCCTTTTATCCCGGCCGGAAACTCGAAAACTGGTGGCTCGTCGTCGCGGAGGAGAAGACCAGGTCCCTACTGGCGATCAAGCGCGTCACGATCGCCAAAGCGACCTTCGCGACAAAGTTGGAGTATATCGTCCCCACGGCAGGGCCCAAAGAGTTGACGCTGTTCCTCATGTGTGATAGCTACGTGGGCGTCGATCAGAGCATGGGCTTTCGTGTGGATGTCAGGGAGGGGGAGGAGGACGATGACGATGAAGACGAGGATGGGGATGATGAGATGGAGGGTTAAGTCCCCTGTGTTTGGAGAGGGGAAAAGAGCGGCATGGCGAGATCAAGCTCGAGCACTCGAGTATGCTGTTCTATGGGTTGGCGGTCAGAAGATAACAGGCGACACTGCGACAGAAGCAAGGCTGGTTGCTTGGTCGGGGAATTTCACCCACATGTGAAGAAAATGTGACAGTAGAAAAATTGAACCCAGCTAAGGTTTCCTTTATTGCACTTGAGCAATTCTAGATCATATGGTTTCGCTAAGGCGAAGGCATGGTCATGCAAATTGGGAATCTTCCATAAAAGTGTTGCTGAAGGTTTTTGGATCAAGTACAGGCTAGGTAGGGTTCACGTTCAAGGTTTTCTGAGATTCCTCACGCGCAGCATCGCAAAGTCTACCGAAGCGCGTGTCGAACAGACGGAAGCACACTTGACCCTCGTGACGCATGCATAGCGGCTCCTTCACTTGAACACGGTTCGAGACCCCTCTCCTCGATCGCCGCATGAAGCCCGAATATTGGGCCATGAAGTGGCGGTCATACACTGGTGTGTCACAACAGTAAGATCATGGCCATGATTCAGCCACACACCACAGGAACATGCCTCCTCAACGGTGTCAGCTGCGCAAGTGACAAAACGAAATAGTGATGCCACTTGCGCAATCGCTATATTCCTTCCTCAAGCCAATGGCAAAGAGATGTTGGCGAGCGTCCCGATGCTCAACCACTTGACGATTCCTGCGTAACCGCATTTTCGAGCAACGAGCACAAATTCGTGGTCATTCCGGCATGTCGGGTCGTGCTCTGTTCCAACGTCTTCCCTCAACTCCTGGATCGAGCCGTCGCCACGGATTTCATCAGACCATGAAGCTAACTCCAGGACTGTGCTCGCCACCCCTGCAATATTAGCCTTGTTTCTGAAGAATGTGTAGACTAGATGTGGTTGCTCCTCGGCGTCGAATTCCATGTAGACCTTGATCGTGCGCTTGGTCGGCTCCTCGCGATCGATCAGACATTCTTCAAATCGCCTGTAGACGGCGACAAGCCCCTTCCTCATCACCTCGTAACGTTCCAGATATTTCCGGCTGTATTTTGGCAGGTGGAACAATCCCCAATCACACTCCATTAAGAAGTCGCTGCCCGAGAGCTCAAGCAAATCCTCAAGGCGAGAAGATTCCATAGAGGCCGCGATAAATAAGGAGAACCTCATACGTGGGCTTATGTAGCCATAACTGCACTTGTTACAGGTACAGCCATAGCGAAACTGTTCGAGGTCTTCCTCTGAGTCGATTTCAACATTTTTCAATAAAGCGATGCATCTTGCTTGGTTGAGCGTGTGACCGCGGAAAGCGTTAGCTTTGAAGACTACCGAATCACCGACCACTGCCCTCGTCCGCATGATCTCGAGTTTCTGTAGTAGCGCCTCCAGAGGCTCAAACCAGCTCGAGTTGCGCATTTTCAGCAAGGGATCTGAGCAGGACTGCTTCATGATCCAAGCTAGGCTCTTGGGAAAGAACTGCAAGCTGGCTAGATGCAGCAATGTATTCTTCTCATGGTCCGTTGCTAACCATTGCAAGTCATTGGCCTCCACGTGCCGATAGTGCTTCCGAACAGCTGCCAGGAATTGTTTGTCAGAGCGGGCGCTTGTGACAAGGGTTGGTAGGATGTTTTCGACACGGTCAAGAACCTGAGGATCACGATCGTCTTCTATAGGCAGGACCGCGGTGATGTTACCTGCGATGCACGGGAGGCCAAACCACATCGATGACCCTATTCGACGGAAACCGAGCGACCGTGCCCAAGGAGTAGCCGCGGGATCACACTGGTCGAGAACCTTCGCTCTGAAGAGGCCGCCAGACGTCCACAAGATAGTCTTGAGCAGATCCTGGAAATGGGGGTCTTTGGAGGAGTGAGGCCAGACCACAGCCACGAAATTCGCTCCTTTGGTTTTTCGTCGGGCAACCTCGAAGAGTGTTCTCACCATTGCTGTTCCCAGTCCCCGCCGTCGATACTGCTTGTCGACAGTGACGTCTTCGATGAGCAAGATTTCGTGCTCATCGAGTTGTTCTTGCCATACTCCGGAGCCCTTCAAACATTCATGGAGCTTATACGTTTCCTTCAGTCTCCCATGCTGGTCGAAGAGGTCGAACGCCATCAGAGTCGATTCATCAAATGGCTTACACATTTGGTAGTGAAAGGAACTTCGAAACTTGCTTCTTCTGATCAGTTTGGCTCCACAAAATCCAACACGACTCGTGGATGGTTCCGCGTCTATCACAGAACGAGCACGTGTTGCAACGACATCGATGGCCTCCAGCCAAGGCATGCCGGTGAACTCGTCATATTCCGCCAGGTCATCTCGGAGGTAGCCGACGTCCAAAGGTTCAACAGCGTCATTTCCTGGCATGGGCTGGTACTGGGGGTCGTCTGCAACAGTAGGATAATCATCGTCAAAGCCATTGTCCTGACTGTCCTTGAATTCGGCAGATCCAGTCGGCGAGACGTGATCAAGTGGGTTTTCTTCTGCGAGGGCGGTGAAAAGTTTGGGGTCCAGGGCCTCTGCCTTCTGCCTAGAATGTATTCTCACTTTGAATTTGAATCGTTCAGCAGATACCGGGTGCGATGAAGGCTGTGGGAGTTGAGCCAGTGTCTGTGTGCCGGTCAGAACGAGACCCTACCTTGGGAAATTCAACTTACCTCGTTGGCATCTGATGCTCTCGTGGTGCGACGGACCTTCGACGCAGACGGGCTGACTGTGCAGTCGTCTTCGAGCCGCCGCTTGTTTGTCTTCATCGTGTTTAGAGCAGATAAGGTACGCAGTACACAAAGAAAAGAAAGCTCTCGATGAAGTGGCGAGCTGTCTGGGCGAATGTGGTTGTTGAACAGGGCAACGATATGGTTCACTGGAAAAATCACATGTACAGAAGCTGGACAGTTTGGATTCAATGACAACGCAGTGGGAGCACACGAGAAAAGCAGATCAGGCTTCAAATGGGAGGAGCCGCAACGCAGTCAAGCACTAGTGAGGCAGTCGCGAGCTGAGAGTCACCATGACTGCCGAGGCAGCGAACTTCGCTTCAAAGGGATTCATCGCCTCGTGAAGCATTGTCCACGCGTCTTGTATACCTACATTGTGTACAGGTGGCATCAACCCTGCCTGTCCATCGATCCTGATGCTGAAGGATGTCAACTGGGTTGAAAGCCGAAGATGATTTTGTCAAACTACGTCACATGGTTGATCGTGCTCGACCGGACTTACTTACTAAGCGTGTCATACGGCTGCGCAGACAATCCCGAAGCGCGTCCCGCGGCTTTTGAAGGTTGTGGGGAAAGAGCAAAGAGGCAAAAAGGGGTGGCACTGTTGGTACATCTTCCGGGGAACAGGCCCGCATCCGATGCGTCTTCAATGAGAGATATTTCTTGACCTGACAACCATAACTTTTGCCAGACACATCTTTCATATACCCCATTGCTCTTAGACTCTCATCTGCTCGTCGACCTCGCCTTCTCGCAGCTGTTCCTCGACCGCAGATTCCAAGTGCTCCACCTCCAACAAGCTCAGGATGGCGACTGTCAAGGGCCTCAAACAGATCCTCACCAAAAACCCTACCGACGTGGTCATCCTCTCCTCCCTACGAACACCCGTCACCCGTGCCGTAAAAGGCGGCTTTCGCGATGCGCACGACCACGAACTCCTCATGCACGTCCTGCGCGCCACATTGGCCGCCAACCCAAACCTCGACCCCGCGAAGATCGATGATGTAGCTGTGGGCGTGGTCCTCGCCGAGCTGGGCGGCAGCAAAGCCGCAAGGATGGCGCAGCTGCATGCCGGCTTCAACGACCGAACAGGTCTGCATACCGTGAACAGAGCATGCAGTTCGGGCCTCCAGGCAGTGACGAATATCGGCAACTCCATCGCTGTGGGGCAAATCGATGTGGGTGTGGGCGCAGGCATGGAGAGCATGACAAAAAATTATGGCAGTAAAGCTATCCCTGTAAATCTGTGGGATGAGCTGAAGAACAGTCCGAACGACAATGCCAGGGATTGTATTATGCCCATGGGGTTGACGAGCGAAAATGTCGCGAAGAGATATGGCGTCAGTAGAGAGGATCAGGACGCCTTTGCCGCCGAGTCGCACCGCAAGGCTTCAAAAGCACAAAAGGCCGGCTTGTTCGATCAGGAGATCATCCCCGTCAAGGTCAAGCAGACCGAGCCGGAACACTCCGACATGCCAAGGGAAGTGGTGGTCGACAAGGACGACGGTATCAGACACGACGCCAGCGTCGAGAAGATGGCCAAATTAAAACCCGCCTTCTCCAAGGACGGATCCTCAACCGCAGGAAACTCGAGTCAAATCTCAGACGGCGCCGCCGCCACGTTGATGATGCGGCGGTCAACAGCCAACGAGCTGGGATTGACAAAGAGCATCATCGGCAAGTGGGCTGGCTCGCAAGTCGCCGGTTGCAGACCCGATGAGATGGGTGTCGGTCCCGCTATCGCCATCCCCAGGCTGTTGGATTACACGGGCTTGAAGACCGAGGACGTCAACATCTGGGAAATCAACGAGGCCTTTGCCAGCCAAGCCCTTTATTGCATCAGGAAACTCGGACTGGACATTGAAAAGGTTAACCCCAGAGGCGGCGCCATCGCTCTTGGCCATCCACTAGGTATGACTGGTACGCGACAACTTGCCACACTTTTGCCCCAATTGGAGGAAGGACAAACAGGTGTGGTGAGTATGTGCATTGGTACCGGCATGGGCATGGCTGGTCTGTTCGTCAGAGAGTAGACTCTTCGGGCCCGGAGTTGTATATCTCTGCGACATGGCAAGGCGTTCAACGGCGCGGCTGAAAGCAAAATTTTTGGAACATGCACTCGTATCGGACACCCAGCACTTGGATTGGAGGAATCAGTCCACCATATCAATGGCATATAGTCGGGCAATTTCAATACATTTGTCTTGTCAACTTTATGTTGTCCCTCCCTGGTTTTGTACACCACGCACTCTGGAGATATGAATCGATGATGCATTTCTTTCCAAGGCTCAGCTCGCATCGTAAAAACAAGAAGCGACTTCTGACATTTGCATACGACACGACACTGTGAACATGCAACGCTATCGAGTACATAGAACAGCAGTTGCTGGGAAATATACTCGTCACACCACGCCACCCTCGTCCTTGCGCCACGTCTCGCCAGCGGGCACGAGTTTGGGAACCGGATAGACCGGTAACCCGCGATTCTCGAGCTCGCGCTTGATAACCTTCCATCTCCCGACTTCCATCTCGCGGTCGACCTGGGTCTCGCGGCGGGTGAAGATCATCACATTCGGACCCAAGGGCATGTACTTGGGCTTCTGCTTGCCCGCCGCGTTTGCTTCTGTCGCTTCTGTAGTGGGGACGGCCGTCCCCGTGTGCGCCTGCAGGCCTTGCTCGGCCAGAAGCTTCTCGCGGGCGGCGAAGTCCAACGCTTTCTTCTGCTTGGCGAGAAGCACTTCGGCGAACTTCTTGGGTTTTGGCTTTGCGGCTTGAGTCAGTAGGTCGATGAAGGCGACTAGGGGTTTATTGCCGCGGAGGACGGTGTTGAGGACAGGATCCGGCACGCGATAGCCGGTCAGTTGGGAGAAACGTTTGAGGATCTGCGTGAACAGTGAGCCGGAGCTGAGCCAGTATTACTTTGACGAGGTGCCGCATTGGAGCAGGAACATACAGCAAAGGTAGTAGGGTCGTGGAAATCAAATCTCGCCTCCTGTAGCTGTTCTTCAAACTCAGAGACCGAGAACTCCATCTCGGAATCTTGCTCCCCCGCAGCCTCGGATCCTGCCTCTGCTTGTTTAAGAGTTCCATACGGATCGTCCAGGTGCGATATTGTGCCCGTGGCTGACAGCTGGATTTTAAGAGACGCCATGCCACCAGCAAAATTCGGTGGACCGTCGGTGTGAATAGACTCTGGGTCTCTGTTGAGTTGCTTGAGCGCGAGGCATTCGACAATGGAGATCCAGAGGAGGGAGAGGAATTGGTCTCGTTGAGGAGGTGTTGCCTGGGTGGGATCTAGCCATCTATGGTGGTGCCATCGTCAGCTCTTGCTTGTGTTTGTCTGAAAGCTGTCCAAATAGTACTCACGGTTCGTAGGCGTCTTTTGCATCGGGGGGAAGATCTTTCCAATGTCCTTGGTGGCCCATGTGTTCTAGGCCGTCCCATGTTGTTGCTTCCTCGTAGGGTTCCATTGGGACACTTCCTTCTCCCGGGGCGGGCTCCTTCGGTCGCTGAGTGCGCCCGATGAGAGAACTGAGTGAAATAAGGCGCCGTTGCTCATTTGGGTAGCCTGCGGCTTGCTGTATATTCTGTTGAGAGGATAGGGTCGCTCTGTACCGAATTTGCTGATATTCTCGCTTGAGTATATGCCGACACGTTCGACAGACGTATTGTGTGTTTGTTGCAGCCGAGAGCCCCTTGCTCAAAAGCCGAGGAGCTCTAACAGCAGAGGCCATAGTGCTGGGTACTAGAGAGCTATCTGCGTTGCGCAGGCGAGGAAAGCGCAAGTGGCAGATAGAAATATATCGTCTTGAATGAGGTTCGTCGCGGCTGAAATGCGGACTTCTGGTTTACGTCGGATCAAGAAGACAAAGGAGACATTTACGGCGGAGGGTTTGCAGGTCGATCTGCATTAATTGTTGCCATTCTCCTGGCGAGGACGCGCCCTCTCCTATGTCTCCCATCACGATGCCCTTGTCTGTGGACATGTGTTGACTTCATAGTCATGATCCGTCTCACGATCATGTAAACGCTTCATTAGGCTCGATGTTCTCCGACACAGGTATCTGACTCCTTTACCGGCTTACTCAATGCAGACGCGCCAGTTTTTGTCCTCCCACAGCGTCGCGTCAATGCAACAGGCAGCAAATACATCGAAGCAACGGGATTCCCAGACTCCTGTCTTAAATTGACATTGTTTCAAACAAATGCGTGATGCCCAGCTCAGTCTCTTGCGCAACCAGCTGCTCCGGCCGGTTCGTTGTACGGAACCACCTCATTAGCAGACACTCTCGACCAGGCCAGGCGAAGTCCTCAGCCCTTAAGGCGTCCACTGCAGCAACATCCATATCGAGGGCAAGAATCTTCGGAAGTGCAAAAGCTACAAGGAACCTGGGGTCCCTGCGCACTTCCTGGTAGCTGATGATCGAGTCGCGGAACACTCGATCGACTTCCGCCTGTCGCACCATATACGCCGCTCGGTGGTCAGCAACCCCAGTCAGCAGGCTCTGATATGATCGTTGGCTGAGTGGCATGGCAAGTATCTCCTCCAGCTGGCCCGAGATAATGTACTCCCAGATCTCTGAGTAGAGGAGTCGGCTGTTGGTTTCGAAACCTGGCATTGGAGATTGTCTGAATTGAGTCATCTTGGCCGCAATGGGCAATATGATGGCAGCCCTCTCAAACTCCTTCAAGGCCTTGACTAGTTTGTCAACGAGTTCTCGCAGTGATCGGGTCGCCTCCTCTGCAAGAGCTTTCCAGGCAGTCAGAATCTGGGAACAGTGCTCCGAATCGTTGAGTTGATCTGCGACCTCTGCTGGAGTTGTCTCGCATTCTTCTCCAGCTAGGAATGTCTGCAGCCAACACCACATGTTGTTCAGCATACGATTTTGCAGCCACCTGAATTTTCCGTAATCCGCGAGGTGGGCGGTAAAGTCGAGCAGCAAGCATACTGCATCATCGGCGGTGTTGGGAGTTCGTCGGTTCGAGGTGTTGGATCTGAGTATCCTGCCACACCTCAGCGCCATCCAAGGGAGACACAGGTTGAAGCGCAGTTCGCTGGCAGGAAGTTGTGGAAGCGAGGGCAATATGCGTCCTGACAACCTGGTATGTTCAAGAAAGTCGCATGTCGCGTGCCAATGGCCGTGTCCGCCACATTGTTCGCAATGCGAATCCTCGATGAGCTCAATCGGTGAAAGTAGTGACGGTATGCCACCATCGGTAGCAGCCTGCGTTTGTTGAGTGACACGCAGGGTCTCGAGCCGGCCAGTCACCGCAGAAACTGATTGCTGGTTCATCTTGATATTTATGTTCACACCGTCGTGAGAAAGTAGATCCCCGAATGTGGAGGAGTTCGCTGAGTAGAAGTGCTGAGGTTGATGCAAAGGCAGTGAGTGAGCTGTTTTGCGAATTGACGAGTTCGCCGCCGTCACTGCCTCCCACCGCCTCCACTGCCTCGAGAGACTAATTCACTGCCTGCACATATGTCCTCAAGTGGTTGCCTGAAGTGAAGACAGCTTGGATCCGGCGTCTTACTCAGTGTTTGTGAACGACGCATCCGCTCTTCCGTGGCCAACTCGCTGAGGCTCCTGGCGCAACCAGGTGATATCTTCGAAATAGTATACCTGGTTACCTTCAACGGCCACCAGTCGATACCCGGCAAGGACTTCATCCGCGTTAGACATCATATATGTATTCATATGGTTGGTCTGACGAAAGCCGACCTTCGTATTTACCTCTCCACGGCCTTGGGCCGTGTCCTTCACACTGCAAGGATGGCCATTCACGTCAAGCTGTATGCTCTTTGTTTCACTAATGGTGCCTTAGCAATTAACCCCTGGGGCAATTGGTTGACAAGAAGGGATCGCTTCCACCAAGTTGGCGTGGTGAATCTCACCGGTCTGCGTGCAACGGACCATCGGGCATCATGGTCTTCATGGTCGTAACCAAGGTTGTTGAGTGTATTATCACCTCACGTTGCTGACGCCTCTCACACAGTTGTCCAGACCTGGCGCTACTTTCCCATCAGTAACCAGTCTGTTTTCGTATGCGTCAATGCTTGCACAAAGTGCACACCGGCAATCGTATTTCTGTGGCTGAGATGTAGACGCTACAGTAGGTCCCAATGGCTGATTGCTTGCCATGCTCTGAAGAGACAGATCTCGATCTGCGTCTGTGCGCTCGTCTAGGAAAGAAACTTGGTTTGGAGGACGAGCAGCGTTGTATGACCAGTTCCCAAACATAGGGAGAGAATGTGGTGTGACAGGATTCTGGGTGTGGGATATAGATGTTGGCAAAGTCGGCGAACGAGTTTGATGTGTAATGTTAGAATGAACCGAAGACTGTGTTTTCGATATCTTGCTCGTCATTCGACGTTGGAACAACGCTTTCAAGGCCGAAAGTGATGCACAAATAATTGCCAAATGCGCTTCGATATCTGTCAATGCCTGTCAAGACAATCAGCACCTCCTCCAAGCATTTAGGGGGATATCCCTTACAAATGTTGGCCAACCATTCCAAGTAACGTCATGGGTAGTGGGCCCCAGCTGGTAGTTGGTGGTAACCTTCACGAGGAATATCAACCTTGCAACGCCGATTCCAGCTGTCAACAAGCCTGCAGAGAATAGCACATATAGGCCAAGTCGTTGTCGGCTTGTCATGTTGAGATTTCTGACCAACAGCATTGGTAAGAGGGAGGCATATATGTCAGAGAAGACTGAGGCTGCCGCTGAAAACACTATTGGAATTTGCTCGTTGCCGCATGTGTACTTTCTGTTATAGTCGGTGCTGTAGGATTTCCAGTACGAAACGAGCGGACGGCAGACAAACACCAGCTCCAAGCCCAAGCCACTGGTGTAAGCGAGCGTTAAGGCGATCGCTGCCCATGTCAGTCGAATGAACCAAGTACTGTGGCTTCTGCCTGATATCTTGCGATAGACCAGTAAGATCGAAATCTTCGTGCAAGCGTTGCCAAGCAAGAAGAAAAGCTCGATCAGCCACGCTGAAAGTCGAACATACTCCAGCCGATCTATCGGAATGTCCCAAAGGTGCATGTTCCAGCCCCCGCTTGTGAGAGCCTTGTATTCCGAGAAGGTTTGCCCGATGGATAATACCTGCAGATGTCAGCGATGGGTCCGTGGCGGCTCTGGGCTGGAAATCATACAAACCCCGCCAAGAGCAGGACGTCGTCAATGCCCACCGACTTGGCCAGCTGTAAGCGAGAGTACATCCTCAGTGCGACGACTACTGCAGTTGTAGCGCACGTGGCTATGAAAAGTGCAGGCTCGCCTCTTGTCTCAGGGTTGACGTAGTTCGGAGGTGCCCAATTCTCCGGTCGGGATGGAGCTGCCATTGCAGAGATTCAATGCTGTGTTGCGCTGATGAGCGTGGAGGAGCCGGGTACTGATGAGATACGACCAAGAAGAGTACCCTGATTTCGACTGTAGAAGGTACATCGATAGTCAAAGCTTGAGCTTTTCTTCAGAGTATAGCTTGCGCAACCAAACAGGCCGATTCTGGGGTGATAGTACTGGATCGTGATGATGGTCTTTGTGTAAATGTAGCGTGACGCCTGCCGTTTTCTGGTGCGAGGAGAGATCGAGTAACAATTCACATTGTGGTCTTTTCTGACAACGTGATCTGGAGACAATAGTGACCTTTGGTGATGCTTGCGAGTAACCACAGCTGTTCGACTCATCGACAGCTCACCCCTGGACTACCTCCTGTGAATGCAGCATTCGTTCAGGTGTCGCTCCAGCAGTACCGGCCAACATTGTACCTGATGGAAAAGGTCTCGGCCCCGCAACGTGCAACAAAGACGGTGGGATCTAGCTGCCAGCGGCCCGCATAGGAGTTCTGGACGTCCGACACTATGTCAGACTGGCTCCTTGAGTCCATCGATGCAGTCTATACCCTTCTTATGGTGACAAGTAAAGATTCAGGTTTGTGGGAAACTTACTGCCTGAGCCGCTAGTTGTTTGATAGCTGTCCACGCGCCATAGGTACAGCCATGAGGGCATTGTACTTGGTTATCCGTACGAAGGGCTTATTGGCTTTCAACAACAAGATGAGCAAACATTCTCCTCCGAAAGCTAGGCAACACAATGGTTGAGGCCGCGTATACAGTTTTATTAGAATTCCGCCCGCTGTAACGCAGCCTCGCACGGTTTGCGAAGAAGGAGTGTTCATTTATAGACTATCAACTCGGCCTGAAAAGCCTGAGTATGAACTCACGAAGGCTTCACAACGTCGACTCCGAAAAGGTAAGGGCAAGCAAGGCCATATTCACAATGGAGAGGTATGCCGGCTTCGGTGACTCCCCCGTAGCGCGGCCGCACGGCGCCTGGCGTGTTTCGCCCAATGGGCTTAATGTGAAAGGCAGAAGCAATATTCACGGCAGCATTGTAGCGAAGTTTGGGGCTGATCAACGCGTACTGTGTGCGAATGCGTGTGCGAGGAATGCAAGAGAGGCGTCAATTTGTCCTTCGGGTGATTGTGAAGGGGATGCACTATTATCGTCCTGATCCTCCGTACTTATCCCACGAAACGCGTTAAATGCTTGGCGCTCCATCCAAACTCAAATTTAAGCCAAACTTGAGCATGAAGTCACCTTCTTTTCAAGTCATTGCAGTAGTTCTTCAATGAGCGTGGCCGTTTTGATTGTTGAATGGCTCGAAGTTTCTCTATTCGAGGCGGAGGAGACGCCAACCTCACCTTCACCATTGGGGAGCCAGCTCTACGGGCCCAGGGTTTGAGTCTCCAGACCTGGACATCCTCTTTCGTTCTTGCAGGACTGCTTCACAAACTTCCTGTCGATTTTTCTTCTCCTACTCCCGTCCCTGTGCTGGAACTCGGAGCCGGCACCGGACTAGTTGGTCTGGCAGCAGCAGCCCTTTGGAAAGTGCCAGTAATTCTCACCGACTTGCCTGCTTTCGTTTCCGGACTAGCAGGAAATGTCAATCTGAACGCGGCGACAGTGAACGGGTTTGTTCGGTGCGGTTCGCTCGACTGGAGTCAGCCAGACTCGCTGATTCTCCAGGATGGCACCCGTTACGAAGCCGACAAGCACCAAGCTCGTATAATCCTCGCAGCTGACACGATATATTCCGAAGAACACCCCGAGTTGCTAGCTAGAACCATCTTGCGTTGGCTCGCTCCAGGTCCGACTTCCCGTGTCATCTTGACATATCCCCTACGCGTAGCCTACCTCGATCTACTTCGAGAGTTATGGAGCCTCTTGGAAGCAGGTGGACTCGAAGCGATCCAGGATGGTCAAGAGCAAGATGACGATGTCCACGACTGGGATGATGAATGTCTCTGTGAATGGAGTGTCTGGAGGTGGAAGCAGGTCGACGGCCTTATAGCGCAGGGTAATGGAAACACTTGAATAGTGGGTGACTATTGGCCAAGCCTGTAGCATGCGAAAAGCGACTTCAATTTCACCTGCGACCGCGAACCCCAGTTCTGAGAGGGCAAAAGGAGCAGCACGGATGAAAAGAGACGGCCTGGGGGTGTCATCCGCAAGCTATTCAACCTTGGTCAGGAAATCTGCAGACGGGTTGCTCTGAGCTGCACCTACTTACCTTCCTAACTCGACAGGCTGGCACCCCGCGAAGCCGTTATCATCTGCCTTTCCCCATGCCGATGCGGAAAACGCCTCTGCTTCCATGCATAAGGCGTAGGTCGTACGGAGTACTGCTGATGGGGTTGTAGGGTCGAGGACAATCCTGGCAGTCGATTCTTTGCCTAATTGGGCGATAGCGTATGTCGTGATCGGATATCACGATGGTATCATCACCACTTACTCCAACGACAACGCTTGAAATACGCCAAGATATATCGCGTCTGGGACGGTTTGTGGAGATGCGACCACGCCGTTGCGTTTTCCCGTCGAGACCTGCCCACGTGGAGTGATTGATCGGTGTCAACACGGCTTTTGTACAGCTGGTTCCAGGACCATCGGAGCAAATACGGCCAAGGAGGTAGTTCCGAATACATATAAGATGGCAGCAGCCTCGTATTCGAAAGCTGGACTTCCATTTAAGCCAGAGCCAAGCAGAAAACAAGATGGCTGCCAACGAAGCTTCGATCGAGTCGGACAAGATCACTGCCGTTCAAGGTAGTCCAGTCTCAGGCGCAAGTACGCCCTACCATTCTTCAGACCTCGACGATGACTACCATCTATACAAGCGTAGCGATGATCAGGAGATGGACCCCGTGGAGTCCAAAAGAGTTCTCCGCAAGCTAGATTTCCGGATCGTGCCTATCCTCTTCCTGATCTATTTGATGCAATATCTCGACAAGAACGGCATCAACTATGCCAGCGTTTATGGGCTGCAGGACGGCACGAATCTGCACGGCCAAGACTACTCCTGGCTCGGATCAATCTTCTACTTTGGTATGCGCGTGCATATGGTCCCCTCGCGCACAGTCACCCACTAACTCTCCAGGTTATTTATGGGCGCAGTACCCTGCCGGCTATCTCCTGCAACGACTCAGGGTTGGAAAAGTGATTGGGATAACGACAATCTCATGGGGCATCATCTTGATCACCACGCCGGCTTGCACCAGTTTTGCGGGAATTGCCGTCAACCGGTTTCTGCTGGGGTCTTTCGAGGCAGTAGTGAATCCGGGGTTTATCCTCATAATGAGCATCTGGTACACGACCTTAGAACAACCTTTGCGACTGGAGGCATACTACTGCACGAATGGTGTCGCAACCATGTTTGGAGGGTAAGTCTGGCACAAAAATTGAGCAAGTCGTTAAAGTGCTAATGCCACATCAAGCCTGATCGGATATGCCGTCGGCCATATCACCACGGGCTTGCCACGCTGGATGTATGTCTTCATCATCTTCGGCAGTATCAGCATTGCTCTAGGCATACTTGCCCTCGTTTTCCTCCCAGATCAGCCATCTACTGCCAAATTTCTCAATGATGCCGAAAAGGTCATCGCTGCGAAAAGAGTCTCGGCCAACCGGCAGGGAATCAAAAACAGCCATTTCAAGCGTTACCAAGTGATCCAAACCGTCACAGATCCGAAGACGTGGATTCTCTTCGTCATGGCGGTGGGTGCACAGGTCCCCAATTCTGCCATCACCCAATTTACGTCGCTCGTCATCAAGTCTTTCAACGTCGACACACTTGGTACCCAGTATCTACAGATCCCAGGTGGAGGAGTTCAATTTCTCGCCCTCCTGGGTGGGGGCATCATCTGCTCGAGGTGGCCGAATCTCCGTTGCCCAACAATGATCGTCGCCAACACGATCTGCATCATTGGAGCATCGCTACTTGTCGGTTTGCCTAACAGCAACAAATGGGGCCGACTAGTCGGTCTCTGGCTTTGCTATTTCCAGGGTCTCGGATTCAGCATGAGTCTGACCATGATCAGCTCGAACATTGCAGGGTATACAAAGAAGCAACTCACAGCGGCGATACTGTTCACGGGCTACTGCGTCGGCAACATCATCGGGCCCCAGACCTTCAAATCGAGCGACGCTCCGGCATATCACTCGGCCTATGTCGCGATGCTGGTCGGCTATATCATCAAACTGGTGTCGATCATTGTTTTGTACATTTATATGTACCTTGTGAACAAAAAGCGGGACCGCGAGGCGGCCGCATCTGGTGTGGTCGATCTGGACGAGGAGAAGGAAGCCATTGAGCGCGGTATGCACGATGTTACCGAGCTTGATAACAAGGGCTTCCGGTATTCACTGTGATTGTGTCGCAGCAGGGTTAGGGGACAGCATGGCGCCTGGCTGTCCGCCTTCTGCAATATCAATGCAATGCCTCTCTCCCTCTTGCTGGTCCGCTTTTACGGGTATGTTATTGTGCTTTTGCAGCCACCAAACGAGGACGCACTACTCGGCACAGTCGATAGCACGCCCATTGTCCTGTTCAACGAGTGGGGGCGAAGTTCTCAATGAGAACGGACAGGTCCCGCAGGTGGTGAATCAGTTCAAGACACATGCCCGACTTCGTGAAATCGTCATGATGAAGTGCGGCTGGTTGGCTCCCGTTGGGCGGCAGGACATGATTCCGCCCGTGCCGGAACTGGTCGAGGGGACCGAGATCGGACAACGCGGCGGTGGAGAAGAGGGGGAGGTAGCTTCTTCTTTGACCGGAACCCGCGAAGAGGAGCATGCATATCATGTTCCACACGCGGCTGCAACTGCGCACGGCAAGACCACGGAACTGAAGCGATATCAACTGGCAAAAGTGTCGAATGAGTCGTGCAACGCGCAGGGGATGTCGTGCTCGTGCACGCATAACGAGTGCCAAATGCACTAAGAGTTGTTCTGATGGTGAGGGTTTGAAGACTTGACGTACTCGACATCTGATGGACTGGACCAACCCACCAGCATGGCATCTCTCGAGCCCTAACGAGATCGCAAACACGGGAGTATGACGCTCAATGAAAACATTGCATTTGCATTGCATCGCCTTGCATTCCACCAGACCTGGGGCCCTTTCTTGACTCATTTTTGCGGTGTGAGCCCATGCTCGGCTGGCTCCCCCCACATGCCCGCGACCCTCCCTGTCTGCTTACACTCTTCTGCTCCAAATCACGCGCCGACCTTCTGCGCCGACAACCCCTTGAGATCCTCCGCCGTGTACTCATCATGCCGCTTGAACCCCAACCCCTCCACGTCACTCACGCCATCCTGTCTCCCCAGGGGCGTCATATCCAACCAAGTCAGCGTATTGATGATGGGCTCGCCACCCCTCGCGTAGGTGCTATAACTATGATAGACCTTACCCTGGTCTCCCACACCCACGCCAGAGGCCCCGCCGCGGATGAACACCGAATGGCCGGGCTGTTCGCCACGCGCAAAGTACCCCATCCCACGGGCCTCCAGCTCCTCCTTTGTCTTGAAATTGTACTTGACCGGCGCGACGGCCTCGTCCTGCGTGGCTCCAAAGTCGTGGTTGAAGCTGCTCCCAAAGGAACTCACCCAGGGGAAGGAGGACGTCCAGCCCATGCGCGCCCTGTACGCGTTGATCTTGTCAATGGGCGCGCGGCTCACGGCCACAAACGTCGTCGAGTGGCCGTGCAGGTGGCGCAGGTCCGGAACCGAGTCGCCTAGCAGGGAACAGCTCGCGCAGCCGGCGTCCCAGTCCGGGTCGAACATGAAGTGGTAGATGATCAGTTGGGCGCGCCCGTCGAAGAGGTCCGCCAGCGTCAGTTTGCGCCCTGTGGCGTCGGTGAAGGTGTACGGCGTGGTGACTTCGACGACGGGGAGGGCGCGGCGTTGGCGCGCCAGTTCGTCGCGCGCGCGGGTGTTTTCCTTTTCGGCTTCGAGGAGCGAGAGTCGCAGGGGGAGGTATTCGGCGGGGGAGACGATCTGGGACATACCATATCGGATGAGCGGTACAGTGACGGGGGTCAGTGGGAAGGGGATGAGAACAAGGGTCATCGCCTCTCACAACTCTGGAACATGGAAAGCAGATCTGACAAGAGTGATCGCTCAAATACCTTTAAGGTGGCCATTTTCCTGGTCTCGATACCGCGGGTGTGAGGCAGGTGGTATGGATATACTGTTGCGCGTTGATATGCCTTGTGCTCAGGCCGTCCAGCTCAGTGTACCTTTGAATGGTGTCTTGCTCTCGACCAAAGACTGTACTGCCCGATGAGGAGATGAAAAAGAACAGCTTCTCGCGTCATTCCCATCTATCATCTCCCTCTTTATATCTGCCAGGCTCTCATCTCATCTTCCTCAAGACCTCAAGGCTTAGGACCCGACAAGGCCAATTAATTGTCCCGCGCCGACGTATTCGAGTCATCCTCAATACGGGAGCGAGAGCGAGAACGAGAACCCTACTTGCCTCACCTCACCTTACCTTGCCCGAAACCATGTCATTTCTAAGAGCTGATTCAAATCGCAGTAGGAAGGTAAAAGGTTAAGGTTGGACGACCTCGTATTCGTCTCGCCGAACGCAGGCTCTCCTACCTCGCACCGATTTAAACGCGCCATCAGCTGATTTGGCGTCCCTGATCCCTGCATATTCCCCATTTCTGCCTGTTGGGTGCCTGGGGGTTTCGCGGCATCATGAGCATGCCCAGACACGCACACGGAGATGTTTACAAAATGAACCATCCATTGAGGTGTCGACGCTGATAAATCACCACCATGGTTGAGCTTCCTTGCTGGATGGGAGAATCGTACGGATTGCCATGGGGAAGAATCCGACAAACCACTGGCACCAGTGCATTGAAGTGGGCAGGCACAGACAGGCATAGCAACAATTTTGACGTCTGCATACTGTATACTGACTGAGTGGGAGGTCGACATGGAGAAGATCCCGGTACCTGGAGAAAGCGTGACTATGTACGGAGTACTCCGTACGAAGCACTGCGTATGGGGTTCCCTACAAAGAGGCCGAAATCATTGCTTTCGTACTGGTCATTTATTCATCTCCATTTTGGAGAGAGGGCCGTTTTCTGCCCTGCCACAGCTCGTATCCCTGCCGAGTGCTCGTTCTGGGCATGGGGCAATTAACTACTACGTAGCTACGAGGTACTCCGTACTACGGAGTACAAAGGAGGATTTGCACTTGCAATCGCCAGATCTTCACCAATACCATCCGAAACAATTGCTCATCAGATCCTACTGGATATCCGAGCAGCACCCACCGATGGTCATGTCGACGGTCCAGACTCGACGATGGTCAAAGCGGACAGGAGAGAGCTGATCCGAAGTGGCGAAAAGGCTGATACGCGGCCCGTGTTTTGAGGGTGTTTTGAGGATGTTTTAAGGACCGACTCCTCGGTCTCGGCAACGTCCTTTGCCAGTAATTCGCTTTAGTAGCACAAAGTCAAGCCAGGGCTATGCTGCGACAGGAGCCTGAAGTCCTTTGCGTTTCTGGTTCAGATATTGAGTCTCTCATTCAGCTGTCTTGGTCACTATGCACATGCACATGCTTTTCGGTGATCTGGTCTGATCCCGCACGCCCGCCTCCAAATCAGTATCCTCCTGTTGGCCCTGCTGGAGGCTTTTGCTGCTGGCTTTCCACCAATCTTTCCGCCATTTCCGAAAAGGCTCTCGTCCCGCAAAAGCAGAAAGCCGGGTTCTGGTTATACACGTCTATCGCGTAGAAAGAAAATAAAAGAGATATTGCTGTAGTCGTTGGGGACACCTGCCTTTTGTGATCCCCGTTCCATCATTTGGCCGTAGTCGTCACAAGACCTTGGGAAGATCAGGCAACGTAGTCGCGAGCAGCAAAGCGTCCTCGTCCACGACCGAAGCGGCCTCGGCCGCCCCGGCCACCAAAGCGTCCACCGGTCGTTGAGCCGTCTGCAGCGGTTGTGTCTGTGGCTGCGGCCGCGGCAGCAGAAGTCGTAGCAGCTCCGGCTCCGGCGCCGTTGTTGCCGCCACCGGCACCGCTGGCGGCCGTCGTGGTTGCTGCAGCTGCGGCGGAAGTGGAGGAAGTGTCAGCGGCGCCGCCAGCGTTGCCCCGAGTACCGCCAGTGTTGCCAGTGTTGCCGGTGTTGCCACCAGTGTTACCACCGGCACCGGCATTGCCACCAGCATTGCCACCAGCGTTACCGCCAGCATTACCGCCGGCATTACCGCCGGCGTTGCCACCAGCATTGCCGTTGCCTTGACCGACAGTGAATTTCTGGCAGTCATCTTGAGCACCACGTTGAGCAACCTAGCATATGTTAGTCTCAAATTCAGCCGTGAAGCGTCAAATTCCGCCACTTACGGGCATGAGCACAGGCTGATGGTTGGAAGCAGAGTTCATGGTGCAGATACGGTAGAAGCCAGCAGGGAGACCACCTGTCACTGTAGCCTGGAGGAGACCTTGGCCGTTTCCATCGTCGTTGATACCCTTGAAGAAAGCAAAGGTCTTCGCGTCGGGAGGCTGTGTCGGGGCCAGATCGTTGCCGAGATCCTGAACAGTGACGTGGCAGTGACCAACGACATTGCCACCTTGCAGTTGCTGAGGAGCGGCATAGTAGGTGGTGAGAGGGTCAGTAAAGGACCCAGCGACCAGGTTGGTGAGCTGCACTTGGATGTTGAAATCTTGGTTGGCTGCTATATCCTCCCCAGGGCCCGGGAAGAGGACGATTGACGAGATCATGTTGTTGTTAGAGGGGATATCACCCATGACGACTCCGTTGCAAGAGCCACCGGTGACTTGCGTTCCATTCGTCAGCGTCTTGCCGGTGCAGAAGTTGATGAAGTTTTCGGGGTCACTGCTGGCGCGTCAGCTATATCGATCAGCACCACACCAAGGTCTTTGCCACATACGTCTCGGAGTTCGCTTGCTCCGCGTTGGGGTTGCCAACGAAGTTGCTGGCAGCCTGGACATTCGAATCCAGCAGGGTTAGACCGCCATTACCGCCTCCATTGCCGTCATTGCCTCCGTCATTCCCGCCTGCGTTGGCTCCTGTATTTCCGCCGGCATTGGCGCCTGTGTTGCCGCCTGCATTGTTGTTCCCATTGTTCGCGCCTCCGTTTCCGGCTGCGGAAGCGGCAGCGGCGTCTGCGGTCGTCGTTGCTGCTGCGCCTTGGTCGTTTCCCCCACGGTTTCGTTGAGCCACCGCTCCTGTCGTAAGCCCAAACGTCGCAACCGCCAGAGTCAAAAGCTGAGATGTCTTCATTGTGTCAAAGTAGGTTCTGTCGAAGCAAAGAGAAAGGGTCTTTTTGAAGTGGAATTGGGGTGCGGAATGAAGAGAGCAATTCGAACGAACGAGAGACTTCGCGGTCAACGCGGTCTGAACCAGAAAAGGAGTGTATGGAAGAAAACTTTCGAATGCCTCAACACAATCAATGCGAAAGGAATGTCAGGCACTGCCGATGAAGAGAGGAAGCTTTGGGATGCGACGGAAGAAACGACCTCTTATGCATTCTGCTTGGCAAAGGTGTCAGGCCCGTCCGGGCCGGCAACGTCAAGGCGGCCGCTGGGTGTGTGGCCCACGGTGATCTCTTCTGAGGCCGCAAATGTTTCCAAGGTGGAGGATGACACAAAAAAGGCTCACTTGGTGTGCTGGTGGCTCGGGCCCTGGAATGCGTCGAACCTGGTTCGAAGGTTACAGGTTGGTCGAGCCTAACGCCGCAGCGCGGTCGTGAGGCGGATCAAGCATTGCCCATGTTTTGGAAACACAGTTAGCCTGCTTGGAATCGAGACAGGATCGAGCAAAGATGAGGGCGAGGGGTCGCAACGTGAAGCTGTGAGGGTTTCGAATCGTGTCGGAGAATCACAGGAGCAACAGGCGAGTCTGAAACGGGCGGCTGGCGCGAACACCCCGGCTAAGTCAGCCAATTGGTTTGGACGCGCTGTCAAGCCTCGCTCAATCAGCAGAGCTAGCCAGATGCGGTCAGAATCGCTCGTTAGACCGCTAGCAGCCGCGTTTAGCTCCAAGTAGTGCATCCCCTCTGGACTCTCCTTCCCCGTCTCCTGGCTTCTCCTGTCGACGTCATTGTCCCTTTCGCGTCTCTTCCTCACCACCAACCACTGCATCCTCACCTCATCCTCACTTCACCCTGCAATGTCCTTTGAACGTCCTCGTCCGCCATGCCAGATCTCCACGCAGCTGCCGCTCCAGCCGATGCCGCCATCTGCCACGCCTACAAGTATACGGATTCCCACGTTTGCACTCGGTTATCCATGCCGTGCTTCTGCCATAAATAACTCCAAACACACGCACCGTGCTTTATTACCCTGGCCCGCCTGGCTACCCCGTGCGTGGGACCATATTCTACTTCGTACGACTAGTTGTATGAGTACCTCCTGAGGTCGCGATCTTCGCTCCACTGCACGATAGAAGACCTGGACTCGACGACCAAGCTTCTGTTCAAGCTTTGGTTGCCGCGATCACCGACTCCGTTTGTCTCCGGACTTGGCCAACATGAAGCTCTGGGTGATTCGAATCCACCCGGAGCGTTCGTATACTTACCCTTCTGGTGCGGTTCGTAAAGATTTCGATGCGTCTGGACCTCAGCTACTATGTAATTACCTATGCTCCCGTATCACGGCCGACGTAGCACGACGCGGAGGAATACACCCTAGCGCTTTAAGTTGTGCCCTCACGGCCTGTAGGTACAGGTACTACATGGCTTACGACCAACACCCAGCCTCTTCGCTTAAGGTCTTGACCACGCGCGACTCGTTTCACGTTGCAGGTGACCTCAGCGACCAGAAAAGCTTGTTCGTCAACGTTTCTACGCTGACCAGATCAGCCATCGCCGTTGTCTCCACATAACGGCATTCGAACATCCGTGTAAGAGATGCTTGTTTGTTGCCCCCGGTATCTGACATACCCGCTCCTCGTGGACCAGAGAATCCAGATCTAGATTCTCGTAGGCACGAACGCTTTTCACCTTCCTTCTACGCCTCAGTTACGTCCCCAGAGCACACAGCTGAAGAATCAGAACCCCAAGACCTCTCCTTTGAGCATCATATTCGCTCTGCCCGACAAGATGACATTTGCAATGCTCTTCTCCCCGTCCGCATCGGTCTTGACGTCGACCTCGACAGCAATGGTGCAAAGTCTGCCCATCTCGGCGCCTTGCTGAATACCAAATACTTTCCTCTCGATCTTTGCGTCTCCTACTTTGAGGTCTTCCGTCTTCTTGACCAGGTCTGCATTAGCAGCAGGAGGCTTCCCTTCCTCAGACGCTGCAGCTGGCTCGGTCGAGCCCTCAGCAGGATTTGCTTTTTGCTCCGACGCAGCCTCCTGACCCTGGCTCTGCAAGGCCAGGTAGCAACTCAATGCGGAACACGCACTGCCCGTCCCCGGATCCTCGATCCCATGACTGATCATCCTCGCTTGAACATTATGGATCGCAGGCTCCCCAGGCACTTCACTCTTCGCAAGCACTCGGTAATACATGCATCCGACGAAACTCGGGGCCCAGTCGGCGTCCAGTTCCGCTTCCGGTGATTTCCCGGCTTGCAGTGCACCGAAAATCTCCGGGTTGTCCGTCAAGTCGACCAGCACAAAGGTCATGCCCTTGACGATGCTGACCAGCGGGAAAGTACGGCCTCGTTCCTTGTCGATGGTCGGCACAATCTGAACGTGCGGCTGCGTGCTGATGATCTTCTCAATGTCCACCCTCTTCGCGTGGACATGAAAACTGGTGGGCACCACGCACGCAGCGACCTGGCGGTACGGATTGAAGAAGATGGGGATGCGCCCTGCCTTTGTGAGCAACGTGGTGGTCTGTTTCTGGGTGTCGCGCGTCGCCACGTCGTAGTTTATCTTCTCGAGATAGGTGAAGATCTGGAAACCGCCGAGTCAGTGTGGTCAGGGCTTCTGGTCAATTCTGAAGGTCTAAGGTTTCTCTCACGTAATGTGCCGTGCCAATGATCTGGTGGTGGTGATCTCGTCAGTAAGCCGACCGTTGCACGCGCGCGGGGCACAAAGAGACATACCGGGTGTCCCGCAAAGGGCAGCTCCTCCCCCGTCTCGGTGAAGATCTCGAGCAATCGCGGCTGGCCCGGCCCCGGCGCGTCGTGCAGGAATACCGTCTCGGAGTACTTGAACTCTCGCGCCAGCTGGGCCTTGCGCCTCTGCGAGAGGACGTTGCCGTGCACGGAAACCAAGGCGAGCGGGTTCCCCTGGAATTTCTCGGGCGAGAAGACCTAGACGACGACACACGCGGTCAACATCAACACAAAATACCGTAAGGATGCCTTCTCGCACAACACGAGGGGTTGGGCCGATCACAATCAGTTCCTTAGCGTCCGCAAAGATCCTAATGCAAAGTCCCCAATATCCTGCACGGGCACACAGCCATCTCTCACACTTTTCCGGGCATGTATGTCCGGGGATGAGGATGATCATTTCTCCACAACCAACCAGCGACCGAAGTAGCCATGCCCTGCCATGCCACGCTTTGTATAGAATCACAGGATGGACTCCCTACGACGTAAAGTGATGCGTGCAGTCCAACTTACCACCATGGTCACATAAGTGAGAGGTCCCGAAGCCATTGTATCTGTGTCGCCCTGTCCCTGTCCCGGCGTTCCCGCTTACAGTAGCAGGTCCAACAACGCGGTGGTCTGACTGTTGAAGAGGTTGTTTTCCGACAACGTCCTGATGAATTGTTCCCTAGCTGCGTACAGGTACAGGTGGGGCTGTGTCCCGCATGATCTGCCAAGTCAAGTCCTTGCGCCCTGCTATCGACGTCGACAAGGCGTTTGGCGGTGCTGGTTGTTACAGTACAGGGTACAACAGGGTACAACAGGGTACAACAGGGTACAACATACAGCAAGCGTGAGAGTGACACTCCGTGCCTGGGGAACTACGGAGTAAGCTCGCCGATCAGCGAATGGGTGTAAAGATATTTGGGGGAATGTCGGATAAATGATTCTGCGTCGGCAGTGTTTGGCATCGCCAGCATCGACGCCTTCATTACGTGCTTTTCAGGTTTCCCACTCCGTACGGAGCACTTACTCTCATAATTACTACCTATGTACTTGATTGTTCCGGACTGGATGACCCGGTACTACCAATGTGAGGAATTAGTGATTTAGAGATACGTAACGCCCTTCGCAGCACCCAGATACGGCGTCAATGCCCCATGAACTTCTATTCCTCTATCCAAGATGATATCTCCACCCTCAACCGCCGAGCTCTACTTTGAGCGCCCCTCCAAACAATCCGTGGGCAGACAGTGACACTCCACGCCCGGCCTGGACAGGATGATGCTCGAATATCCACACGCGCGCAGCACCTTGCGCTGGAGCGGACACGTCGCACCATCGATCTGCATGGTCGGGTGGGAAGGATAGGCTATCTTCGACTTGTGGCGAGTGGTGGAGCAGGTTGCAACAGTGGCATGCTGACCGCCGCATCCGCCTTCGATTGTCCCCGGCGAGAAAACGTCGTAAGTAACAGTTGCTTCGAGCGACCGGTTCGATACCTTGACGTCGTGCAGTCTGATCCTGTTAGCCACTGCTGCCGCCGTTCCATGTTTCCTTGGAAGCACGTCGAGTACATTTTCCTCTGTATGCACGACGAACCGCGCGATCGTGGATGCGATGCAGCTTGTCCATTGCCGTTCACTGACATTGGCGCCGTGCAGAAGCTTCAAAGCCTCGTGACGGAGACCTGGTACCCGACACCTCGTAGCGACGAAGAACAGCGGCGGTAGCACACCCAACCCAGGTGTGCGCTCAGAGTCTTTTCCACGGGTGCAGCGGCGTTCGACTCGAGCATCCTCCTACAATGCGCGAGGATCTGCGCGAACTCGGCGTGGAAGCCGTCGAAGCCAACTTCGTCCTGGCGGCTCAGGGTAAGGAACATCACCCGCGCCACCTGTAGAAGGAGATAGAGGTGCGTCCAGTCGTAGCTGTCATGCTTCAAGAGCCCTGCCCTGCACAGTTCCTGTAGCCTACCCTCCAAGGTCTTCAGCGCAAGGGCGATCTTGTTCTTCAAGGGTTGTGGTATCAGGGTCTCGCTGGTGGCGCGCAAAATACACGTCAAAAGCCGGTCAATCGCATCGACAAGGCCGGCCTTGTCAGAAACGGTGTCTATCTGCTGTACGTCAAAATCCAATTGGTGATCCGCGAGGATACCAGACTCGGGAGGGGGGTAGTCGTCGGAGAAGGCACAATGCTGGTTGATCATCTCGTTCAGCAGCGGGATATAGACGGCGGCAAATTCAACGGACATGGTCGAACCAGGTGCCCGTGCAGAAGTCCCTGGGACCAAATTCTCCCGCATGATGCGGTTCGCCGCCAGAACGTGCGTGGTTGCCGACGAGGTCTTCTCGGTCCAGAACTGCATGGCCGTGAAGAGCAAACAACACGCCAGAAACACCTCGACAGGCAAGCTGGACGGGTCAGCCGTCCGGATCATGTGCATCGACTTCTGCACGTGCAGCATGGCAAGGGGTGTGATTTCGGGTTGTGGCGTCGATTGCATTTTGTTTTCCCGGCGAAATGCTACAGTATGCACCGGCGCCTGTAGAGCGCCCAGGGCAGTCAAGCCGTGCCGGACCGCAGCGTGGTGCTCGCCCAGCTGCGGTGCCAGTCGAGACCAGAACAACATCGAGTTCAACTGGTAGGCCGCCAGGATCTTATGGCCCACGTGGACGAAATAGTCGTGGCTCGACTTGTCGACCTCGGACTCGAACGGCGAACTCGTGCTCGGTCGAAGCTCGAAGATGCGTGCCTTGAGGATCTTGTACCCCGGACAGGGCACCCCAAGCTTGAGGCATCTTTGGCACTGTGGTTTCTCCTCACTGCATTCTGCTAGACAGTTGGCGTCCAATACACAGCACAATTTGCTGATTCCAGGCCTGAGCCAAACAACATATTGTCAGGAGGCAAGAGCAAGCGAGCGAGAGAGGGCGAGTGCGAGAGCTTGAGATCTATCCTTGACTCCTCTGTATGAGTGTGGAGACACTATGCAAGAGCTTGCATTGCTGGACTCGGTGGGTATGAATACATCCTGTAGGTCCCTACCCAGGTAGTCAGCCTTACAAGGACCTAATGCAACTGCACGTACAGTACTACGTCAAGGTCAAGGCCCAGAGATCTCCCGCAGGTGCTGTACAAAACTGGCACAGAAGTGTCTGTCTACCATGCGTCCTGGCCATTCGTGTGGAGACACGGGCGGGATTCCTTTTGCATACTCCGTACACAGTACACAGTCCGGGGCGCCTGAAAGCGTGGAGAAGTCAGAGAAGCCTTTTCCTTGTCCCATGCCGCCAGATCGGCTCAGGCTTGACTGTCGAATCTCCCGCCATGGGCGGAAATTTACCAATACTGGCCCAAAAAGACCCGGTGTGTCCAAGACTTCGGTGCCTGCGTGTTCTGTCGATCGCGGGCCGAAATGGTTCAATCACGGGGTAATTCGATCAGGAGCAGCCATGTACTTATACCGATTACAGTCACGGTGTCCGCCAAATACAGCAAACCAGATATCGATCCATGGCTCACTAAGTCACAGGCCAGACAGAATATGCTTTTGGCCCCTGCTTCGTAAGTCCGGGTCCATTGCTGCTAGCAACGAAACATTCTTTGCGGATGGAAATCTGTACAATGTTCACATTGTCCATTGATATATTGTACAAGGAGTGGTGGGCTGATGGGGATGTCATTTCCGACGCTTCATAACCTTCACACACATCTCCTCCAGGCCTTCTTTGGCCTCGCCAGCTGGGAAGGAACTGATGGACGAAATAGCCTTGTCGGCATATTCTTGCGCGAGAGCACGCGTTTGCTCAAGCCCGTCGCTTTGTGAGACAATATCTCGTGCCTGTGACAACAGTCAGCCTTGACTTCCGCTCCGCTCATCAGACGATCAGTAACTCACCTTCTGTACATCGCCTTCCTCGGCGAATTTCCTCCCTACCAAAACGCCCAACTCGGGCCTATCCCTCCAGGCGAATAACAAGGGCGCAGTCGCCAAGCCAAGTTCCAGATCTGCACCCGCCGGCTTCCCGAGCTCGGTGCCACTAATGGTGTAGTCCAACATATCATCCACGAGCTGGAACGCCAGCCCCAGATTCTTGCCATACTGGTACGCTGCCTCGACGACGTTCGGGGCGCATTGACCCAACAGTGCTGCTGCACGACAACTCTTGCTGATCAAGCTGGCTGACTTCAGATATGTCTTCTGCAGATAATACGAAATGGTCTGTTCGCTCCAGCTGGGATTCTTCTCGTCACTTGCGGTGTTTTTCAATTGCATGAACTCTCCTTCCACCAAGTTTGCAATCACAGTTGCTAGTAGTTCGGTGACTTCGGGATCGCGTAACCGAGCGAGCGCAACAGAGGCGCGACCGAGCATAAAGTCGCCTGCTAAAACAGCCATCTTGTTTCCAAAGGTGGTGTTGGCCGAGGGTGCCGAGCGGCGGGTGGTAGAGTGGTCTATTACATCGTCGTGCAGGAGAGAGGCCGTGTGGATGAGTTCGGTTATCTCTGCCAGTCGCCTCTGCGACGGGAGAATCGAAGGGTCGTTCGGGAAGGCGTATTCTCCCCCGGTTGGGTTGTCCATTAACGGCGACAGAGCTGGGGTAGCATTGAGATGTGCTTGGTCCGGATTCTTGTCGAACAGTACGGACGGAGAGGTTATGGGTGTGTCGATAGCACTCCTCGAGATGGTATGTTGTACATCGTATCTGGGCCGGGGTTGCTTCGCCGCAAAAGCAGTGGCTCTTGACATCAACAGCACCAAGAGTGGCCGAACATGCTTTCCCTCGCTCTGTGTGTAGTATTTCGCGACCGTGTCGAGGATCGGGTGTCCTGAGCCGAGCAGCTGCCGGATGTTCTTGCTAAGAAACTTCAACTCCTTCGCGACTATCTTGAGAGGGTCGACGGTGATGTGGCCCGTGGCCGGGCGAGCAGTCGAGGGAAGGACATCCGCAACAGTATCCTGGATCTTTTGGACTGCGGCAGCCCATGATTGCTGGTCTTTTGATGTTGAGAAGTGACGCTTCGACCGGAGGTGCAAGGATCGATTCTGTGATCTCGTCAAGCACCGTGAACAGACCGGTGCAGGCAGCGTCAATCGCGAGGAAGCTGTTGATGGTACACTGAGCGCTGGGTTTAAAATCGCCGTCGACTGGCGAGGTATGCGTCCTCGGCCACCCATGGCTGCAAATGACATAGGGGAGAGGTGCCCGTCAAGGTGCCATCGAGTTGTACAGCGTAGGTCTTGCGAAAAGAAATTACAAGACCTGAGCAGCGTGCGCCAGCACAGGTCGGGGGAATGTCCAAGTATGAAAGGCTTCGAAATGCCGCGCAGTTGACTTTTTTGACTGCGAATTGGAGATTCCACGCGAGCACGATTCACCATGCAAGCATTATGTAAGCTCAAGCTCTTCCTGGTCTTCTCATTGGTAGGTGATTGGCACTGGCGAACCCCAATAGATGAGCAGTTGAGGCGTGCCTGGTTGGTATACATAGTACTGCGTGCAGCAAGTGATGATGACTTCTCGACGCAAATGATCCCGCCACTCGTCCACACCCGAATACGTCCAAGTTATTCGGGTCACCACAATTGGCCGAAGTCTCCGCTCGCTCTGCTCAGCTTGATCCTACTCTTCCTCATGCACGAGTGGCCAGCGTCATCCCGTCAGTGCTTGTGATAAGGGCCGGAGCATTGCGGACCGGGGAGTTGGGACGTGATAATGCCTCTGTCCTATGTAGCCCCCCGTAAAGTCCCAGGTTCTCTCTCTGAGCCGGCACCTGCTATCGGGTGGCTGGACAGCCGTAAAAACACCGCTCTCTATGATGCGAGTCCTTGGCGGTCTTTCATGCCAACGTCGCATCCAGTTGAATTCGTACAGGATCCGTTCCAGGCTCATTTAACCACTTCATATCACATCATTCTCCTCGACCCAATCGCGCCACTCCTGCCATTCCGCATACGTCGCACTGGCTTTCAGCCCGGTGTATCTGATGGCTTTGAAGTCCTGAACCTCTTCCCATGGCTTTAGAGGTTGAGGCTGCTGCTCGCTTGTACTGCCACCTCCCCGGGTTGAGCCTCGTAGAAGCCTTCGTGCAACACCGCTTCCCCCAGCATAACCTCCATCCCAGCCAGCCTTTTTCATCAAACTCTCGAGAGTCTCTTCTTTAGTCCAACCCTGCTCGACTGCTACGTCCGGCAAATACGTAGCCCCGTGCCGTCGGTTGCGGTAGTTGAAGCTAATGCGCAGACCATGGACGCCAAGGGTCCAGTCCATGGCATTTTTGCAGGGCTCGAAATCGGCCAGTAATGTCAGAGAACAGGAGAGCGCGGGTAAGAGCGCTGCTGGGATAGGTGAGAATCGTGTGTCGTCGAAGGCGGATGTAAGTGCATAAGTAGTCAGGCCCGAGGCAAGCGGAAGAGCCTCGAAGGTGCCTATACAGCCTCGCAGGGACTTGTTGCCGGATCGAGAATGGGTGTTCCACGTCACGAAGAGTGGGAAGGATTCGGTAACGGAGAGCCGCGAGGCGTAAGATGAGCGCGTAGCAGGGCTGATGGATGTGGCGCTGGATGAGGTGGCGAGTCGAGAATTGGACGAGCCGGCAGAGAGGACTGAAGGAGAAGATGCTGAAGAGGACCTTGAAGATGAGCTTGAAGCCTGTAAGCGCGAGATACTGGGTATGTGAAGTCCAGCCTTGTTGCCGGGATTGCGACGCTCGAGGCGTTGGATGTCTTCTTCACTTGGCTCCTCGTCGTCTTCATCTTCGTCGTCATGTGCGTCCTCTCCCTCACCGGCTAGCGTGTTATCTGCTTGTTCGTCTACTCCATCCACATCCTCTGATGATGCAGTGGCTGCTTTGTAACTCTCGTACAAATCGAGCACTTTCTCAAGGGTGGGCGGGTCGCGGCGTTCAAAGCTGGCGGCTAGGACTTCAAAGCAGTAGAAGCAATGGGCAGGGCTTGCCATCACAGTCTGGCTGTGAGGTAGCGACGCTGGGAGGAGTAGGACTGGGCTATCTCAACGTCGATCAGTATGAGAATCAATACCTTAGGCAGGAGTAGGAGCCAGAGGCGCAGGCAGTACGGAACTTGGTTCGGAGGTTACAAAGCGACGGTCAGCGAGCAGTAGAATTTGGCGGCAAAGGAAAGCTGGGACCGCGAACAGGAAACAGGCAGAAAGGAAGGACAATGACGGCCGGAGAGCGAGCGTCGGAGGTAAGAGCAGGGCAATAGAAAGAACGCGAAAGATACGGAGTATCGCTGAGGGAGGCTTCGGCGGTGGTGGCGGGCGTTTGGGGCGGGTCTGAGGGTCCGGGTCGTGTCGTTATCGATCGATCATCCACGGGGCGGGGACACAAGCACATGTTGTCAGCTATGTACTGTGTACTGTACGGTCCCCACTGTGAACAGCAGCTCTTTGCCTCGTTCACCCCATGCTTCATGACAGGCATGGCGAGAAAATATCGATTCCGTGTACGCTCTACCGTCTAAAATCATTTCCAAGCGTCCGCGTAACCGCCAACACTAATGCCCAAGCCTGCATCACTCTGACTCGCTGAACTTCTCGTCGAGCTTCGTTCTCGGCTGGTTTCTGCCCTCGACGTCCTGCCTGCTTCGAGGTCACCATCACTTTGGTCGTCCCGGGGAACCAACCTGACCGCACCGCCTCCTCTCCCTCTTCTTTCGTCCGCCCGGATCTTGTCCTCTGCACGCCTCTTCTCCCACTCCGCGACCAGATTGCGGTAGTAAACCTCCGCCTGGACGGTAATGCTGTAAAACTGCGGCGTCCACCCGGCTTTGTTCTTACTCATGGGATCAGCGCCCGCCTGGATCAAGGCCCGTACAGCCTTCAGATTCCCCCAGGCAGTGGCATTGTGGAGGGGTGTGTTTCCCTGTTCGTCTTTCGCGTTCACATCCGCTCCGTTGGCTAGTAGTGTCTCGATCGTGGTATTGTCTTCCGGCGACTGGGCTGCCGTTCTTCTAGAACCATTGCTGACCACTTTCCGCAAGTTTGGCTTGGGCGTGACCTGTGAGGACGAAGCGAGGTGAAGGGGAGTCTGGCCTTTCCGGTCTCTTCGGGTTACCGTCTGCGGAAACTCCCTACAAAGCAGTGCGACCAGTTCGGCTCGTGAATGAGCAGCAGCCAGATGAAGGGGCGTCCTTCCATCTGTGTTGATCGAGATTCCGAGATTGTCATGCGTGTTGCTATAGATCCAGTCTTCAACTGGTCGAGTACAATCATGACCGAGCGATATCAGGAATTCCTGAGCGGAACATCAGCCTCGTGCCACGACGCCTCTTCGACATTCGTACCTACGGCGATCTCTTCTAAACCATGTTGAGAAGCTAAATGCAACGAGGTATTACTCTTGTCAGCGTAGTCCGGGTTGTGCAGATACGTCGGATTGTTCCTTAGGATCCGCTCGACCAACGCAATATCGTTCAGCAGGATAGCCTGCCGTAGCGCCAGGTCAACTCGGGTCGCCATAGAGTCGTGGTCCCTTTGCCAAAAGAGCTGCGGTCAGCATGGTAATCTATGGCCTGAGCACACCGCGCATCAGCCTTTCATGCCCAACATAATAGTGGATAACGCAGGGCCGAGTGTGTACTAAAGTGAAAGAGAAGAAGCCAACTGCGGCGCGGGGCGAAACTCGCGCTTCCTGCACGTTGCATCTCCACAGTTCGCAAGGCTGTGAATGAAAAGTCAGAGCCAGGCCTTTTTCCAGGACATTTGTATGTCGCTTGATAGTCTGATTGACAAGACAACAGCAGCTGCGGGCTAGTTGACTTCAGGTACAAGAATCTAACGCCTTATTATACATAGCTCCACCGCCAGCGTGGTATGGTGCCTATTTGCTCTTCTGCGCGTCTCGCTCTGCCTTTCTCAAGGCTCTTCTCCGGATCGCCACGTGCATACTCCTGTTGTAGCCAAGCAGCAGACTGTTCATCGGTCCCACCACGCCAGTAACGAGCGCTGCAACCAGGGCATGGCTCCAGTAGGGACTACCACTGTACGGGTATCCGACACTGCCTCCTCTTCGCCCGATTTTCGCAAGTGTGGACTTCACAAATGCCTTCTCTGTCGGGACTTGCCAGTTTGCTCGGCGGATCTTTGACATGGAGGAGGTGACCAGATACGAGTGGACGAAGAACACTTCGATTCCACTCGGCGCCAGCTCGGAAGCAATGGCATTGGACCAATGCTGCAAGAATGCTTTGGATCCAGAGTATGTCGCTAGTAGCGGTGTGGGCGTCAATCCACCAAATGATCCCATTGTCAATATCAAACCCTTCTTCTGTGGTAACATGCTTGGGAGCACCGTCTGAGTCGCCCGTAACGTTCCCAAGCAGTTGATGTTGATTATGTTCGTCATCTCGGACAAGGGCGTCTCGGCGAATGCAACGGGAATGCTGTGACTTTGGCCCACGTTGTTGATCAGGATAGCCACCTTCTTTTCCCGTAGTAGCGAGCCCAGCGCAGCGTAGTCCTTGTCAAGATTCTGTGAGAAGTCCATGGCTAGTGTTTCCACCGAGACACTGGGGGAAGAGGTCTTGATCTGCGAGGACAAGGATTCGAGCTTCGATGCGGTTCGAGATACCAGGACCAAATTGAAGCCCTTCTTGGCCAACTGGAGAGCATATTCTTTTCCGATGCCATCTGATGCGCCTGTTATGACTGCCCACGAGCCCTTAGGGCCAAAGGAGGAAAGCTATTGAGCGCAGTTTAGCACATTTACTTTTGGGGTTCCCATAGTCTGAGCTTACGGATCTTCCAGGCAAGATGAAAGTGCTTAGCAGCACTCTCGCGATCGTAAACACGACAGACGCAAGCGTGAGTGCGCCAACCCCAATGAGTAAAGTCGAAAGTAAACTCTGCCGGCCCAGAGCCCCAAAGTCGATTGTAGAATTCATACTGGTTGTCGCTAGACTCTACCACCGATCTCTGACTTGTTCAGACAGCTTTGAATTCCAGATCGGTTTTTGAAGTTGTAGGGGACGAGGTGGGAAAGGGGTTGGGGATAAGAGTTTACAAAAATCCTCCGCATCAACAAACAAAACGTCAACTCCTGGGTGACTCCCGTCCTGCAGTAACGGTTTGATTGAAGCTGACCAAACAACTGAATATCTTCTGATTCTACTTTGGCCAATTGAGCGTGCAAAGCGCCTGTGTTGAACATATCCTGTCAACACCGATCATGTCGTCGCTTCTGCCCCAATCCGAGGGATACCTCCCACTCTACATTTTGTTCGTGAGTTGCTCTGCCTTGAGTATTTCCAAAGCGCTTGTCTAACTCTGGTCTTCAGGTGGGCGCCACCGCCATCGGCAATGCCATCCAATGCTACTTCACTATGTCCTACACTCAACGTCTTTACCCTGGAACCTCACTGTTGAGCCAGCCCAAGGACAAAGCCAATCCAGCAGTCACCTCGCCAGCTACGCCTCTCTCCTCGAGAACTTTTGGCACCTGGACGGTGGCAGTTGGAATAGTAAGACTGTTTGCGGCATACCACATCAATGAGCCGGCATGGTACCAACTGCAGACCCTGACCAATATCGTTGGTCTCGTCCACTTCGGTCTGGAAGCATTTGTCTATAGGACGACTCGACCATCAGGACCATGGCTGGCTCCAGTCACTGTGGCATTGATCGGGACCGGCTGGAGCATTGCACAGTACGGGTTCTATGTCAGATGAGACAAGTAACATCATATCACGAGCCCGGTCCGACAGTTGGCTTGTCAGGCGCAGGCGGATTCTGGACCTGTTGTCCATCGGATTCGGTGAGCTTCTTCCTGTACAGCTGTCCGCCACAATCTCGCAAGCGAAGGGCGGCTTGTTCAGGCGTGATGTCTCTTTGAGGCTCGCCAAGCATCTCAAAACCGACCAAGAATTTCCTCACGGTGGCACTTCTCAGTAGCGGGGGATAGAAATGTAGGTGAAGGCTTGAGCATTCGAATTCCTCCTGGGTTCCATCGAGCGGCGCCTGGTGAATCCCCATGCTGTATGGGAAGCTTGTCTCAAAGAGGTTGTCATATCTCCTTGTTGTTTCTGCAATCGCGTCGGCCAAGTCCTTTTGCTCTTGGTCGCTCAAGTCGACTAGAGAGCGGATGTGCTTGACTGGCAGAATCATGGTTTCGAATGGCCAGGTCGCCCACCAGGGACAGATGACCAAAAACGTCTCGTTCTGAAAGACCACCCTCTCGTCCTTCTCTCGCTCTAGTCGGGCATAGTCGACCAGCATATGGCCCCCACCTTGTTGGCGATGGTACTTCCTTAACTGCTCCAGTTCTGTTCGAGGCTCTTCCGGCATTGACGTGGTGGTCCATATCTGGCCGTGTGGATGAGGGTTCGAGCAGCCCATGGCGGCACCCTTATTTTCGAATATCTGCATCCATCGGTACTGTTCATGAGGTCGTCCTACATCTGCATGAGGGTTCGATGGAGGCAGATGGGTGGGTTTTGCCAGTCCTACTAGTGGTGACTTGGGAGATAGATGTGCAGTATAAATTTCCGTCCACGTCTTGATAATCGGCAGGATCTCGCCAGGAGCCATGTCTGCTAGCGTAATGTTGTGGGCAGCACTGAAGGTCAAGACATAGCATTTACCCTTGACCGGTTCGGCTTGCAACAGCAGGCCTGGCAGGCTACCGGGTTCAGCTGGAGACGTATAGTCGTCCTGCGATTCCTTGACGGCGCTATAGTCGTTGACGAAAACGAAGGTGTTGTCGTACTTGGGATTGACATCGCCTGAGGCCCTTGTGTTGCCTGGGCAGAGGTAGCATTTGGCATCGTATTCAGGCAGGTCAATGACACCGGGGCTTTCTTGCTGTCCTTGCCATGGTCTCTTGGTTCGATGAGGAGATACAAGGATCCAGCTTCCACGCAGCGGATTGTATCGGCGGTGCGAAATGTCGTCTAAGATTTTGTCTGGCATTTTGACCAGCTCACGTTGTATTCGGATTGCTGGTTTCCTTCCAGAGACCAGGCGGGCGTGCTCACCCTCTTATGTGCCCGATGTCACCATGGAGGGAATGGATTGTGGGGGTGGCCATACCACAGTTTTCCGCCAGATTTCCGCCTGCTTTGATCGTTCTCCACCAAGCAGTCGCAGCCACGCCTTACTGTCGCATATGCACCGCCTGCACGACCGACTTCTAGTCCATCGACGACTTCATGGCTCACATTGATACGGTGGTGCCCTTGGAGACCATTCTTCGTGGTCGAGTCACCCCCGAGCCCCTCCGTTGGAATCGCCAGTTGCATTACGTCAATGGCCCTATCGGCATCGGGAAGCCTATCATCTCTCTGGCCGTGGTGTTGCTCCGAGTTCGGTCAATGGCGGCACGGCCTGACATTATTATTACCATGCACTCATCCATCTCCTTGAGATCGATTGTTACGATGAGCTGAGTCCAATATTGGTCGCTCGTAGGCGGCCACTATATCTTCATTACAACGGTTACATGAACTCATTCTGAACAGACCATTGAGACGATATCCTTTGGCCTGCGCAACGCCAATGGGCTCGATTGCGCTCGTCCGTGACCATGGCGGCCAATTCTTATTGTTTGTACAGTCTCCCTAATGAGGTAGGCTTGCACCTGGGGACGGCTGAAATCACGCTGACTCGTTAGATCCTCGTCTCAATACTCTCGGGATTCGAGACTCAGTCACTCCTTCCTCTCGTGGTAGTGTCGCGCCGCTTCCATTCCATCATCCTGCGCATCTTACATTTCCGGTTACTACTTGCCGCAGCACTAGCGGACTACAAACTCATCCTAGAAGCATATCATCCCAGCAAAAGATACAGCGATCCGTACTTGTTCTGTACCTATCTGGGCACAGATGGTCTCAGCTCTAGGCACGAGGGCGAGGGGAGCCTCTATGAAGACTGTGACGGCGAAGAAGGGAGATTCGCAAAGTTAGGCGCCTTATACTCCCGATTCAGACCTGAGCGACCAGGCGTTCAAGGGTCGATGCCAGCACGCCGCATTGCCGGTGCCGTACCAAACTCCCAGTCATCCTCATCAAACACAACAACACCGCTCTATGCGAATGGAGGTGACGGTGGCACCAGAAGAGTTACTCACACCTTCAACCTTGATGCCGATGAGCTGTTCGGTCAGTTTTGCGCCTATGCAAGCCTCGTCAGACTGGGCCCGCGTCGAGGGGTGTTTTTGAGCAACGTGCATATTGTCCGATCCGGCCAAGGAGTCATGAGAGTCTGGAAACAGTGGCTCCAGGATCGCGCCGTCGAGCTCTGGCAGCAGGAGCAGCAGACGGGAGTTCAGATGGACAGGACCTCGACCACAAGTTGTCCGACCATCGGCGCTGACAAGAACATTATGTGGACCGACTACAGGAAGAACGTAGGTTTGCGTGTCACGGTGCGTGATCAAGAAGGACGTTGCTATGGCAAGGATCCGTCAGAATTCGATGATCTGCCCATGAGTTTCGCAATAGAAATTGACGGTCAGTTCCTTGCGCTACCCACAGTCGGACGACCACTCACTCACTTTTTCCCACCGCAGAACTTGTTGTACGAACAACGCACCTGATGCTGGCTGTCGAAGCATCGACGGTGGATCAGGACAAAATCTCAGGTAAAGCTCTTATCTTTGGCAATTTCGCCACTGCAGCCTTGTCGTAAGGCTTGCATGGTCCAGGGCACGTGAGTCGCGCCTTGTTCTGACGACCATCCATCGGATAGACGCTGGCATGGGGGACAGCCCTTGATTTTTCATGTGGCATACACGGGAGAAGTATCCACTGACTGCGCGAACAGGTCAGTCTTGGGTTTCATGGACTTTACGGGAAGCGCAGTAGGAATTCGTGTAGTTCGGCTACAGCTAGCTGCATCAGATAGCTCTGCCAACACCTCTCTATGGTCGATGCCGCATTTCCATCGTTCCCGAGCTTGAGCAAGGTCGGAAGCATGGCTTGTTCGTGGTGGAAGAGGGCGAACGATTTGCTGGCTCGTACCCAGGTGAGGAGGCGGCGCGACGGTGCATGCGCAGCCGGAGCTGCTTTGTGCTTTCCTGTCTCTTGTCCTGGTTGCACCTGCCGTGTTGTTGAATCCAAGTCCGCGCTCTTCGCTCTGTGCTCTTCAATCGCTGTCCGCGCTGCATTCGACGGCACCCAAAGTGACAACTATTATGCCCCTCCATCTCCTGTTTCTCATCTCTGAAAGATTGGTCTCAGCCGGGGCCATTCTCCCCTCAAAATCATGTGCGCCGGCTGTCGACAAGCCCTGCAGCAACCGAGCTGCGAGCTGCAAGCCACGAGGTCGCGGCCCACTCAGCCGTGTGGACAATGGCCGATTCTCAAGAGCTAGCGGCTGTCCGTCTCCCCTTCACGAGCCGTGCCTCTTGATATTGGCCGATAAGGCAGGATGGCTTGCATCGGGAAATACGTGGCCACCCCACCAGCGCGTCGATGCCGTCGCGACTCACACCGGTCGCGATCGCCTTGTCGACTGAGGCTCGTCGGCTCGACAGCAACTGACCAGCAGCTGTGGGTGTACCCCGCTTTCACTGGGTTGAGCTCGCAGCTCCCACATGGCCTCTATGCCAGCACCCTCTGCTCTACTCTTTGCATAGGCTCTCAGCTCTAATATTTGAGCAGGATACCCCACGAGTCAACTCAATCTTCTTTTGCCACCATTGATCAACCCGTCCTCAGGCTTTCGTGCATAGCCGCTCCGCCTTGAACCTCCGATCGAAACCCTTGCAACCCCACTTGACAGAGCTGTGTACACCATCCCTGTTCAAGTAATATGCCGCAGTACAGCTTCGAAATCCCAAAGGAAGGTGTGTCGAGGGAAGTCTTGGAGGCAGACCTGCCATATTACCTTGGTCGAGATGCCAAAGTAGTGGACAGCCATGTACGGTCGTTTTCTTCCGGAGCACCGAGGATTCAGCTGACGGCGCGCAGAAAGCCGACAAGTACCTCATTGAAACTGTACAAAAGCCATCACGGGTAAGGCTGGGAAGCCGGTTGGGTTGCAGTCGCTTACCAACGCACAGTCGATAGTATCGTCACTCAAAGACGACACGTCGAGATGGCGCCGAAGTGAAGACTATAACAGGCGGTTGCGTGAGTCTCACCAGGGAGATGCTTGCGGGTCAGCTCACAAGAACAGCGTATTCAGGGAGCCGTATCCATCATGATCGCAAACGAGCTTGTCGTGTCCAGGGGGACGCGGCTCCCCTGATAGTGCCGACGAGCACAAGACCCCCTTTGTCGCAGCGGTACAGCTCGAGCAGCGGTTCTCCGGTTTCCAATTACGAAAGTCTTTCTCGGAGCCAGTCGAGACGCGAGTCCGATGCGATGTCGCCAATTGACGGTGGTGCGATCAGCCGCACAATATCTGTCTCCAGTGTATCGAGCGAGTATGGCAACAACGGCTCCTACGGCTGGCACAATGATCCCTCGTATGGAACGAATGGCGGATATGGCTTCGCCAATTCCCAACGAAGGCCATCAGCTTACAGCCGCACCTGAGCTGGAGAGACATCAGGGACTTTCCGATCCGTTTTCGTGGGCGACTCGAAATTCAGTGGTAAGTGTACCGACTCAGGGAACCCCATACTGAGAGAGCTCTCGCTCACACCACTCTGACAGTGTGTCTGCCTCGTACAGCTTGCCCTGTGCTTTCAAGATGTCTCTGAGCAGCTGGAGAGAATGTTCTGATTTCGGATTCTTTTCACCGAGGACGCGATAACGTTCCGGGACTACCTCTCGCAGAACTTGCTCGCCCAGCTGCAGATGGACACTCTTGCTCGGACCGGTCTCCTTCTCTGCAAGCCGGAAAAGGAAGAACGCATGTCGGTGTTTCGCCTCCCAGACGTAAGGGTGGCTATCAACAAAGTTTCGCCGGACTCCGGGCAAGACGGATTGCACAATGATCTTCTCAGCTTCTTCAGCCTCACCACAATAGAATATGGCTCTCGCCAAAGTGGCCGCTGCCATGATGGTCTCAATGCGATCGTCGCCAAAGTGCCGAGCACAATCCAGCGTAAGGTCCGCCAATTCTCTTCTGGCAGACTGGAAGTTTCCTGGAGCCCAGACCTCCTGCTTCAGCTCATTCTCGAGCATCGCCCATGCCAGGTTGTAGCGGGCCGTTAGGGCAGGCTTCGGAGACTCTGGAAAGCACACTTGCATGTCGACCACGATTTGTTCCAGCCGGGCAATATCATGTCGAGGGCAGCCTGCCCCACCGTCAAGCATGTTTCTCTTGAAGGCAATAGTCATTGTCAAAGGGTTGTCGAAGCCAAAGTGTTTCTTGGTCAAGTCGTCACATCGCTTGAGCAGGTCAGAGAGCCTCCGCCATTGACCATAGCAGTCGAACAGAACCGTGACAATGCTGAGGGCGCCGAGGCAGTCTTCCGCCGGCGAATTCGCGTTGGTGAGCATGCACAAGAATGAGAACAGGGCACTGTTCAGATAATAGTCGCCCTTCTCCTGGAATATGGCACTATCCTGTCCGGCGCAGATCAACCAGTACAGGGAGTACATGACGAAGTACGCCGTGAGGGTTCCGTCATTCAGTTGCGGACTGTGGGTGTGATCACCAAACCGGTAAATGTCAAGGTCGATGTCGCCGAGCTGGTCCACCACTGCTGGTGTTACCGACAAAGCGGCGTGTGTGAAGTCGGCAGGCCATTGTCTGCTGAGGTCGTTGTCGTCCCAGGATTGGCACCACCCGGACGGCGCGGCTGCCTGCTTTGGCCTGAACGGACCCATAATATTGGGCATAGCTGGCTGATTCCGTGCTGCTGAGTACGTCTGAGTGTACGCGTGGCCGAATTGCGCAGGCAGGGCGTCACCACGATAAATCCCTCCTGATGACGGTGCCGGCTCGGCCAGCGGATTCATCCATTCTCCCGAATTACGAGGAGTGTATGCGGGTGATGGTATCGGAACTCGCATTGGAGAAACCTGCCTGTAGGCAGCCTGAGACTGGTCCGAACCGGATGGACTTGCTGAGGGCGGTGTCAGTGGGAGTTGAGGCGTCGTCGGCCGCCCGGACTCAGCCTCGAGCGTTTGCAGCCTGATATAATGAGGGGTCTCTTCGTCGTCAGTGATGCAGGAGAGCAGGTGGTCCTCGTCGACAAGCTTTTCATTTCTTTGAATGTACTTGACGATATCCTCCCGCCGTCGCGGTTGGCCTGAGAAGATGACGACTTCGTGGTGTCCTTCGGTCCTTGCTTGGTTTAGGAGTCTCAGGATGAAGGCAGCGTCACGCTGGGTGAGTTTGTGCCTGAGTCCCCAGTTTTTCAGTTGGCTTTTGTACTGTTTGACTCTGATATAGAGGGTCAGTATGTGGGCACGCACATCTCAGGGGTGTGGGAACTTACGACAAGTTGAACTCATGTTCCTTCTTCATGTGTTCCATGATCCATTTCAGGGGCCGGCCTTCATGGATATAGAACTGCTCTATCAGAGTATGATACGGCCCAAAGGCTGCATTCCTGTTCTGTTTCGATTGGACTCGTTTGAATACCGGCCTAGGCTGGGACCGTGGTCGTGGTGCCATGCTCGAAGGCATCATGGCTTCAAGCCACACATCTGCAACTGGGATAGGCACGTTTGGAGACAAAGCCAGCCTCAAGACCAGGTATACGGTTTGGCAGCAAGTTAGAACGGACGCGAGATGCAAGGAGGAAGGTCACCCAATCTGCGGAAACCTACAGCGCTAGAATGCTGCAAGCCTGCGAGCCCAGGCATTCGAAGCGAGCGATAGGAATATCATATGGTTGGCTCAGTGGCAAACTCGCCGTTGTTAGCCTGGAGTGGCCTCGTAAGCAAGGCGAAACGGCTGCCTCGTGGTGCGCCTTGCGCCCCAGGAGATAAGCCCAGAGACGGCTAGGACCGGGGCTCCCAGGGGTTAGTGGAGGGACGGGGGCGCGCCTAGGTCAGTCTTAGGCGTCGGTCCTGGGCAATGCAGCCCAAAGGTTCCAGCTGGAGGAGGCAAGCCTTGCGGGTACAATATCTCACCATGCACACAAATGATTCCGCACAGCTTCTTCGGCTTTGGAGCAGAGCAGGATCAAGGCGCGTTTCATTCAGTATCAAGGATCGTACTGTGAGGACATCTGACTCTCGAAAGTTCCAATGTCAAGCACTAGCAGCGACACGGCGGTGGCGAGAATCAGCAGCTTACCTCTTCGGACCGTCACGGTCCTTGATCGAAACGCAGTGCTGCCTGAGCAGGAGGGCACCAAGGCGGCTCACCAACCTCAACGGCTGCCCCCAGGTACGGAGTAGTGACTCATGACTGGTATCCGATGACCGATGACGGCAGAGGATGGTCCGCATGGATCGCCCGCGCGCAGAAGATCCATACACAGTAGACGCCCGCTTTCTGGCCCCTCGGTGTGGCGAGTATCGCACGTACGCAAGGCAACCTGCGCTTCCCTCGTGCTGTTCGTTCACCATGCTTATGGCCCCCATTGTTCGGGGGTCCGATGGAAGTTGCCCGGCAGAGCCGTCGAAGAGCTTTCCAGATCGGAAGAATGATTTAATTAGAAGCCGCGTGTTTCTTCCGTAAGACCAAGACCCTCCGTTGGGATTCTCATCGTCGCTGGCTATGAGTGTGCTGCTCAGGAGCTCTGGCGGGTACAGCAGCTCGTAACTGCATCTCGTAGAGAACTTTTGTTCTCGCGCTTCCCCACAGGTATGTAGGTAGGTACGGAGTACGGAGTACAAAGCACAGTATTTTGGCCTCCCCAGGCAGGACGACTCGGGCATCCTGAATGGCTCCGGGTGCCCCTGGCCAGCGTTGGGACAATGGCCTTGGCGGCTTATAACCCCCCAATCTGTTGCTTTCCTTCTTCAACCATTTGCTGAGGGAGCTTTACAGAAGAACCCGGAGCTCTGTCACCCCGCACTCTTCACGGTACTGGTGAAGTTCAAGGTAGTGCGTCCACCCAGTGTCCATTCAGGGCGTGAGGGCTTCTGCTTCTCTGCACTCCATATCTCTAGGACACCGATCGCCGACACAAGGTCCCCCAAAGGTCGCCACACCTGTCGTTGATGCCTCATGCATGTGGCCTCGAACCTTTTGTGGCCTGCAACTTCTGGCATCCGGAGGCTCTGTCAACCACGAGGCCCGTCTCTGCTTACTCATTCCCAACCCAGGACAACCAGCCAATGACCTCAAGCGGTGGGAAGACTGACGCGCAGTGAATACTGGGGTACGGAGTAAGACATCCGAACTTCGTCAGTACCCTGTACGGAGTACAGATGAAAGATCCAAACTACCTTACCTACCGTTTCCAAATCGCCACTACAATTAAACTTCACCATGGCGCTTTCGAGCACAAAGGGCCACTGTATTATGACCTCCCGAGCATCGATCCTTTGCCACCGTTACATTCTCAGCGGCTCTTATCCCCAGACCCGCCCAGCATATGGAATCTTTGTCGACCAAACCGCGAGGGGAGAACAGACATGGTGCTTTGGTGGCCACACCAAGGTGCGGGAATGACTTGGGGGGATTTTGTGGCCGCACCGCGCCGGAATTGAAGTGCTGCTAACAACAACCTCAAACCCGGGGCATGGCCTTGATAATCCTCCAAAGGTAGGGTCGTTATAAAGATGCTAACGTGCCCTACGAGACCAGATTCCTTCTTTTCCAGAATCCGCGCGTAATCGGGCACGCTCTTGCTGAACCCAATGCAAACTGACGATACAGAACCTGCCTGTCTATGAGGGCATACTGCCATTGAGACCAGAATTCTCGATCTGCTACTTGCGTTGTCTATCAGCTCCTTCACTCCGAAGAAACACTGACACAACCACGTCGGGTAATCTGAGCACGATTGTTGGCGCCAACAGCAAATACCCTCGAGCCTCAAAAGCTTGGATATTCATCACCTTTGGCTCATCCTCTGTCTGCAAATACATCCATTCAGCTTGCTCAGAAGCCGTAAGCAGGCAGGCCAACCAGACGAACAATATGCCTCCTCCTCCAACATCACCACACAACACTTCGCCGACAGATCACCGCGCCTGGAGCACGGCCAGCGTGCTGAGCGGGCACGCGGGCGGACGGAGGCTCTCGGACCGAGACCGACAACAGGTTTCTCAACCACACACACAACCACATACGCAATCACAATTGCAACCGCAATCGCAATCGGACTCTCGCTCGCAGTCGGGGGCTCAATCGCAGTCGATGTCGGCGTCGGCGTCGAGATCAAACGCGCATTTCCACCGCCGTCTGAGTTCCAAGAAGGAGCTCAAAGGGGGTATGACTTACCGGTGGTTGAAGGAGGATCCGAGGAGGGACACTCGAAAGGACTATGTCAGGGCGTTGGCTGTGCTGGAGCCCGAGCGTGAGCGTGGCAGGTGAAGCGAAGCGTGCGGAGGGAGACTGTTTTCCGAGCGTGAATCATGGATTTGGATTTGGATATGGATATGGATATGGATATGAGCCAGGTTATGGTTTGCGGATACGATATGGATGTACTGTATAAAGGGAAGATCAACAGGCTTCATGAAGAGCGGGTATGCTCGGAGCCACAGTATACTGCTACCATTACAGTACCACTACAGCTCTCTCTCCAGCACGAACTACCACTACGCCTACCCCTTAACCCTACTCCCCTCCCCTACAGTTACCTCCTTGAAGATGGTGCTCCTTGTAGGGATTTCGAATACATCCATCCACTACATAGATACTCCAACAAGTCTGTTTGATCACACCTTGCAATCACTGTTATCGCACGTCATCTAGACGCGTAGAAAAAGCAAGCAAGCACTGTACCGACCAAGAACCAATACCACGTCCATTGTCGTGAATGATTGGCCTCACGGCGGGCATGCAGGTACAATAATTACTTAATCCCAGTCCCAGCCACGAAACTCCCGATTGTAACGACCTGTACTCCGTACTCCGTACTCCGTGTTCCATCCTGCATTCCGAATGAATGAGTAGGTGTTGGACATCCAAGGACACTAACCATGCTTCCGGATTCTGGATCTACGCTCGTAAGGACTTAACATGCTTGACTATGTTCATTCTTACGGTCCTCCTTCGCATATACTTCCCCAGAGTCCCTCTTCGAGGTGAGGCTCACTGACATGGCATGAGCAAGCTCATCATACAATACATACAGTATTTAGGTCCTCAGTGTAGTCCTCAAGTCGACAGGAACTGGAATCAATTATTTGATCAACGTACTTAGAATCATCACGCTGTCGATTCTCTACGGACGAGCTTGCTGTTATCTTGCTATTTTAATTACTGGAAGGGAACGAGAAGAATACCTTGAAGCACATACACATACGGCATACAACACGAGTACACCTACCACCGCCCCCGCCAACTCTTCTCGAATGCTCGGGATTCCTCCTCCGCCCTCTCCAGCGCGCGCCGCCACTCCCTCTCCATGCGCCGCGACAACTCCTCCCTCGTCTCGATGGGATTGCCGTGCTCGTTCGTCTCCGTGCCGGGACTTTCACACCCGCGGAGGCCAATAAACCTTCCCCACCTGCGCCGCTTGGTCTCGAGGTCTACCTCGACCTGGCGATCTTCGTCGTGCAGGCTGGTCCAAGCCGGGATGCACGCCGGGTAGAGGAACGTCTCTTGCACCGCGGGTTCGACCTGGTGGTACCACCGTGCTAGGCTGTCCAGCTGGTCGTGTGTCAAGAGGTGGTACTGCAGCAGGCTGGTAGGAAACTGCGGGTGCGGCAGGCCCGTGGCCACCGAGATGAGCGGCACAAGAGGCGTGCGCAGGTGGTCGACGCTGTGCAGGTAGTCTTGTCGTTGGCGCTGTGTGCGTGGGCTGGCGGGAGGAGGAACCACTGTGACGTGGTACTGAGGCGGTTGCGGAAGACGTCCGGCTCGAGGAAAACGCGAGAGTTTGGGCCGCTTGCGGATCGGGGACCGCGTGGTGATTGGAGCAGGGGTGTGCGAGCGAATGAGACGTCGGGAGTTTGTAGGGGACGCGGTAAGCGTGGTGGCAGTAGTGGTTGTGGTCGGAGCCCAGTCGCTGAGTGTGCTCCCGGAGGAGAATCGGGCGGATGAATAGTCCTCTTCCCGCACATTAGGCAGGTTGGTGTTCACGCGCAGGGGCAGCGTCATCGTTGTCCCACGCCCCTGCGTAGGGCTGCGCATGGCCATGCGGCTCTGACGACAATCTTGGCGGTAGGTCGCAGTTGTGGGTGTGTGCATGTGCATGGTATGAGAGTAGGTTCTCGTGGGTGTGTGGATTGAATAGGTGTAATAAGCAGGAGAGGTGATTGGCGAGGTCAGGCTATTCCGCCGACAGGTTGACCCATTGCTCAAGCGCCATGGAGCTGTGGTACCGCCTGATCTGGGTGTCATGAGCATGGCAGAGAGGGATGCTTGTCTCTGGAGCACATGTTCTGTGGAGAAGCTGGTCACCAGCTGGGGCAGTGGCGATATCATGGTCATGCCGATGGCCATTGGCGAATGTGGCGACCGCGGCGATGGAGTTGGCATTGGAGACTTGGGGCTTAACGGATCCATGGTTGCCAAGCGGGAGAGACTGTGTTCAACGTAAGTGGGATCGCTAGAATGGCACGACGGGAAGGTGTATGCTAAGAAAGTCGCTGGAGCAAGCGCAACAAACGGTTATGAGACTGGGCGGGCAGGCTGGAACCTGGCCGTACCTTGAAGACAACGGGTTTGCTTGTCCCGGGAATAGAACCTCAAGTCATATTTTCCTTTGATGGTACCGATATACACAGTATGCGTCCCATTGTGGGCAGATACGGCACCGTCAGCTTTCTTTGTCGAGAGATCCCCGTCGTCTCGAGCAGACAATGAACGTAGGCAGCCGCCTGATGTTCGAGCACTTGGTGGTGTGGGAACACTTCTCATGGACTTCCATGTCGGGTCGGTAACGGTAGAGCGATTGAATCATACACCGTCGACAGCTGGACTGTAGCAGACGTCGAGAGCGGCAACATGTCCAAAGTCGCCCACTAGGTATGTGGTTGCAATGGACACGAAGACGCAAGCGGTGGCTCCTTCAGAAGGTATCCGTGCGCTTTATCGTCTTATGCCATTGTTCCGGATCTTCTTAACAGTAAAACTCAAAGGATAGGCCTTGGGAACATAGCCGCCATACCATCGGAGGTGGTTGAAGCATGAGAAGCTTCGGAATGGACTTGGCTGTGAGATCTGCTGCATAATAGCATCTCTCGGCCTTAGCTATGCAGCCATGACACGTCACGATTTGATGTACCTGAGAGCCAAGCTGTGGGCTTTGTTAGAGATGTCAGGATAGTGTATTTTAGCCGCTGTCAGTATGTGTACACGCAAGGTACGCGCAAGTAGACATGAGCTGTCAGTGTGTCGCAAGTGAATCGTAAGTGAGTCGTAGGTGATTTGCAAGTGAATGGTTACGGGTGGCCTGCTGTAGGCCGTCTTGGCATGTCTTGGGCAGCAGTACTGTAGGTGGTTAAGCACCCGCCGACAGCGGTGACCGTTCCCTACGACTGGCCGCCTCAGGATTCATCAGCTCCTGATGATCGTGCGTGCTGTGTTTCGATATTGCGACATTGAATTGCGTGTGCTTGTCTGGGGTGCGCGTCCCCAAAGGTCCGAGTGAAGATCCAACCCCCAGAGCAACACCACAGCCAATACCAAGCATATAGCTCCTTGTCAGAAATGCATAGAAGCCCTTGGCGCGGCCTGTGCCTGTGTTCCTCGATGTGGCCGCATGCGACCTCGGAGCAGGACTGATGCTTGATTTGGGCAGGAGAGACGCAGCACGCAAGCTCCGGGGAAAATGGCCGCGGCTGGGATTCACCAAGCAATTGGCAGCTCTTTAGTCTCTTCTTTGGCACTGATTCGCTCAGGTGATGTTGGTTGTCCCTCTTCTCGTGCCTCCGACATGTCTTCGTCGACGGCAGCGGGTAGCTCAACTAAACCTTACTACCGAGTACCTCCAACTTGCTGAACATCCCATCTCACTTCCTTCTCTCTCCTGCCCCGCCATCACCACCACCACCACCTCCTCCGTCTCTCTTCTCCTTGATGCCCATGCGAGCAACATGCAGCAAATTGTGAGTCCAGCTTTCGCACGAAGACACACTGCCTTTCCTCGTCTCTCTCCGGACCCTCGTCAGAGGTCAGACTACACGCCCCAGTGCACATAAGTCCCCACGTCGAGATCCCACCACCTCACCTGCCCTGACCGTCAATGATCCTGCCAGAGTCCAGCTCCCAAGATCACCTTCCTTGACACCTTGCCTACGGCCCTCAGCGTCGCGCCCACAGTCATGGTACTGTGCCTCGGAAGTAAAGAGGAAGAGCCCCTTGACGAGTACGACCAGCTCCCCTTTGGCCTGAAATGGCGCATGTACTGGGCCAAGAAAGAGACCGACCCTCGCACCGGCGAAGCAGTATTGCGCCTCGGCAACAACAGAATCCTCAAGACTCATTGCGCCAACACCGAGTACCAAGCCCTGATGCTCATTGACCGGCACACTTCTGTTCCCTCGTACAAGGTCCTAGCGGTGTATAACAGACCCGAAGGGAAACTGGTCGAGTACGAGGCCTACCCGGGGAAGCCCTTACAGGAATGCTGGTCTTCGATGCCGGCGCATCTACAGAACAAGATAGTTTCGCAAGTGGGGCGTTTTGTCGAACAACTGAGAAAGATGCAGCCACCAAAGCAATGCGTAGTAGGGGATGCCACCCTTGGTGCTGCCCTGGACCACCGGTTCGGCTCGGGGAGAATAGGACCTTTCTTCTCGATCGAGGCGTTCCAAGAGTTTGAGCGCAGAGGCCATTCAGTAGACGACTTTCCGGAGAAAGAGATTCAGATGGTTCATGCACCCAAGAAGCCATACCAACTCAAATTCACCCACGCGAGCCTCTGTCCTCAGAACATCCTGGTAGATGATGCCGGACGAGTGACAGCCTTGGTCGGATGGGAATCCTCTGGATGGTACCCTGAATATTGGGAATACACTCAAATGTGCCATCTGACCCCTAAGACCATGGGAGATTGGCTTGACGCAATGTGCAGAGTCGTCCCTCGATATGATCAAGAGCTGGCTTGTGAAGAGGCGTTACGGGCACGATATAGCGGCTCCATATATGATGCACCAAGGAGTGTCAGGGCTCCTAGCCCTTCACCTAGCGAGCGCGATGCAGAGCAGCAGGAGATTGACGACAAGAACACCTCTGATACGAGCGGATAATGATCTCGACTGGCGAGGGTCTAACCCAATACGAGTGGATAGTGCTCTCGACTGGCGAGGCTCAGACACCTGCGGCACCATGCCGAAGGTCCAACATTGTCAGCCATGTTACCTGGCGAGCAGGGACTTCTCCTCTCCACTGGCGGCACCTGTATCTCAGGTTTGAGTTCCTCCTGCCATTGCGAGCAATACGAGATCACGAGACACGACAGGCCAGATTCAGATCCTATCACATTTGCTCAGATTGACCAAGATCACACAAAGTTCTAGGATCGGATAGAGGCTTCGAGGCGACAACGCCAGAGGAAAATCCTAGCTCACCCACAACATGTGGGCTCTTATATACGTCGGGCTGGAACGAAGGGACCCCGCCCACAGATCCCACCCACCCGTTGCAGTACCTTCGACCCCATCTGACCGACTTCAGTCTTAGGGTACTGAGTCGGTCTCTTGGATTTTCAGCAAGCCATTGCTCAAAATTCTTGGATTGCTGTCGTACTGCGGCGTCACTTCGTAGAATTTGAGCGTTGCTGCGCGATTGCCAGTAGGTTTGTTGCTTTCTGCTGTTTTGGCATAGCGATGGCGATGGCTAGGTTTCATGAATCAGGGATAAGGCGGCGTCGAGAGGATAGGTACGCATGCGGAGCGGAGTACAGTACTGGGCTATGTGGCGGTTGCCACCCAGGGCTGTCTAATCCAACGACTTTGTTACGAGAAGGACTGTGCAAGGGCCGCGATTTGACAACAGGATACGGAGTATACGAAGTCGATTATCGATAGACATTGAACGCTCAAAACGTCAGATTGCATATGCGCAACACGCTCCTAATGAAGACTTCTCCACATTAACGTTCTGAGTACTGTAACAGATAGGAAACCTCCTGTCTTTTTACCCCCTACAGAAGTCGATGAGAGTTGCTGCCTCGCCTGCACCCACCGTAAGCTGGACTCGTACGAGACCGCAACCAAAGACATACATTGCCCCGGAGCCTTTTGCATTCACTCGCCGGACTGACGTGTCCTCCTCAGCATCGTCATTACCTAATGTGATCTGACCGAAACCACCCCGAGACAAACTACACTATCACCAGGTTCGCGATCCTCACCGCCTTGGTCTCGACGTGGTACCGTCTCTTGATCCCCACGCCGACGGCCCTCTCCTTCAACGCATCGTAGACCTTGTCCCCACCACCCACCAGGACCATCGGGATCGGATTCCGCCGAACGAGTCCCGCGGGCGTGGTCTGCTGGCGGGGCAGGTACGGACGCACGAGGTCCGCTTCGTCGCCGTCGTCCCCCTCATCCTCCTGCCCCCGACTATGTCCGTAATTGACTACCACGACGACCTGTAGGGCGCCGCTCGCGGGCGTGAACGCCGGGATGTTCTGCAACTTGTCCGACCAGTCGCATCCCCCGCGCTTCAGCACCAGGACTTGATGCGTCCTGACCACGGATAGGGGGATCTTGTGGTCGCAGAGCTCGTCGGTGGCGTAGATCTTCGTCCACGGGAGGGACGGAGGAGATGCGCTGTTTAGCGGCACGAAGTTGGGGACTTCGGGCCAAGAAGGGAGTGGGGCGGCACCTGGCCCGGTGGCTGTCACGGCGGAGAGGTGGTAGCGCGGTTGACCCTGGCTGTGGTCAGGAGGTGAGGTCGAGGTCGAGGACGAAGAGGTGACGGCGCGTTTCGTGGGGACAGTGAGTGACAAGGGGGTGGGAAACGGCCATGTAGAAGCGGGCCGACTGTCCTTGATGAGACTGGAGATTTGAGATACGATGGCATTCCACGCCGCTCTCATGGCGTTGTCATTCGATGCGTCACTGAGGACGGGGACCTCGATGATGAGTCCAGCCTGGTCGTGGTCGTCTTGTGCTGGGTCAACCTCAGCGGGTGTGTCGGGCTCTTCGATGGGGCTGTTCAGATCGACTACCAGGTCTAGCATGACGTGATCTTTGAGCCTTGTGAAGTTCGGGTCTGCGGGACTGAGTACGTCCTGACCCGTCTCACGGCCCAAGTAGATCTTCTCGTCCTTTCCAAGCGGGATATTGTTGATGGTCTGAATACGCCATGCATCGTGGAATCCGTCCTCAGATAGCCATGGTGCGTCTTGTACCAAACCTAGGCGTAGGCCACCAATGGCGTTTATTAGGATGCCGTCTTTGACGCGTTGTAAAGGTGGGGCATTAACTCCCGGTGCTGGCATCGCTGGGAAAGAAATGTCTAGCGTTGGTCTCGTTGGTATAACTGAGCTGGTCGCATTCCACCGGACGAGTTGCGGTGGTAACGTCCACGGGTAGTACGTATAGTTCGAAGGAGAGCTGATGTCCGATAATGTTATGCTCGGGTGATCCGCTGCGTATTCTCCAAGCACAGACTCGATGTTGTCGCGATGTGGCATCAGATGCAGTCGCGCTAGGTTGGCTGCGTGGTACACGTCGCCTCTTGCAGCAACGTTGGAGAGAGTAAAAGGCAAAGGCGGCGATCCGACAGGGCAGAACGACTCTTCTTCCTGCCTAGGGCGCCGGACAGATTCTTGACGGCTATCGTGACCAACACTTCGTGGGATGACCAGAGGGTGCCCTTCGGTTGTGAACACGAACGGCTCATCGAGGTGATTTAGGGGATGAGCCGGATCGAAGAGCAGAAACAGATACTTCGCTGTTTCCCCGAGAAAGAAGCTTTCCATTCTGTCCGTTTGTTCCCCTGTCAGCACATTTTGAATGCTAGCCCAGCCACACCTGGTCCAACATCTCCGCTTGATGTCTCGGAGCACCATTTCACCGACGTGGAAATACCATGGATCCTGGGTAACACGATAGAGGTAGTAGGTAGACTCAATGAACTCTGGACGACCCACCCACCAACCGAGACCACCCTCGATCCCGCCGGTTACGAGATTCCAGCGTTCAGGGAGAGCTGAAAACCTTGTCCAAAGGGCTGTTTGCAGGAGATGCGTCTCAATGGCTTCCTCAACTTCACCAGCCAGGGTCAAAAGTCCGGGGTAGTATGCGCTCAGAGCGTCAAGCCAGAACCCTCTCGCGGCCCCAGTGACCAGGTCAGCTTGTATATAGTGCGGATGCTGGTAAGTGGTATCCCTGTAGAGATGCCTCTTGATCGCAGAATGAGCGGTGTTCCAAGCGTTAAGAAAGGCCTGGGGAGTCTCAGCTTCTGGTGAGATAGGATCATGTAGCAGCCGAGGGTCACCGGCCTCGTCAACACGATCATATATGGGATGGGCTTCGCGTGACAACAGGATGTGCGATTTGAGGGCATACTCGAAAAAGCTATCGATGCCAGCACCGATGCCCGTCCATGTACCAATCCAGTTCCCACTTTCCGCGTCAATGCCGCCACCAATGAGATCGATGCTGCTTCGTCTCTGCCAGATAGCCCAGAAAGCCCTCTTAGCCAGCTCCTCAAAGCGTGGATCTCCAGTGAGGCGGCTGAGGACAGTAAACTCGAGGACGAGACTTCCGGCGCCGGCGCTGCACGTTTCTGTGATCTCGTGCGCTCCAGAAGGGGCTGGGCATTTTCCATCCTCGTTGCCCACATTTAGAGGGGAGTTGACATAGAAGGGTATTCCGTGCCGGAGATTTACTCTGGGATATGGAATGCCAGTTGAAGACCAAAAAGCGGGGAGCAAGCGACTGCCCAAATCATGTGCCAGTCTCAGAAGTTGGCCGTCATATTCAAACGCATTGGGCCAGAGAATGCCTTGCTTCTTGCCATGATATTGATCCTTGTGCCATGCTTGTGCGTAGGCAAGCTGTTCCTGAGGAGGATGGTAGCCTTTGATGGGCAGATCGCCGACGGCGAACAGGTGGGCGCTCAGCAGGCCACCTAGTCCACGTATTGCCGTCTCAAAGACTTGGACCTTGCTGTCTAGGTCGAATCCCCGCGCTCTTAAGCCTTCACCTGCCCAACCATCAGAACCATCGCCATACTGCGCAACCAAATCTCTCACACCGTCTTGGAAGAGTCGGAGAGGTTTATTTTGCCTAGGGTTTGACGGGTTCGAGGCCAAAATAGCGAGTGTTGAAAGACTATCGATGAGTGTCAAGGAATAATTGCCCAGAGGGTCATTAACTTCGATGTGGGTAGGATTGTCGCTGTCGCGTGTAAGGGGCTTGCAAGATATCGGCCGCAGCTCGTCTTCTGGAAAAGCATAGGTCATGTAATTCTCAAAGCCATGATAGAAGAGGTCCTCAGCCTCCTTCCTCAGCGCCTTGATCTGACCGGGTGTTTGAGCCTGCACAACGGCTGCCGAGGCCAGACTGGCAATCAGCACGACTAGCAGAATGCCCCTCAGCCATTCTAGTAGTGGTGCAGCGAAAAGACTGGTCGACAGTGTTGTAGCTGGAGGCGTCACATGGCGACCGATTATGCGCATGGCACAGTCGCAGGAGTCTGTGCCACCGACCGCATATCAAAAGGTCGCGTGCGTGGTGTTGTTACAAATCGGTTTGGCGGCTTCTACTGTGTATGTGGCGCTCGCTGTGTGCTCAGTTAATGGATCGATTGAGCGCAAGCACGTGATAGTCCGGCCTGGGCCTAGTGCTACTTGGCATCGGGATCGGGGTTAAAGTCGTACCGAGAGCAACGCGAGAAGCTGTACGAGCCACCGGGTTTGGTGCAAACCCACTCGGTGAGGGACAGTACTCTGTCAGGTGTCTGTGCCTACGAATGATCTCAGAGATTCGCCCTTGGTTCAATTCGCCTTCAGATTGCCACGGAGCAGGCAGCATTCTAGGCCTTCATGATGAATAGTCGAAGTCCGGCCTCGATGGCGACGCTCATGCTCAATGTTGTCCATGATACTAAAGTGGCCATTGAAAAGGTTGGATACGAGGTTGGAGAACCTCTCGGAAACAAAGGCGAGTTGCCGCGGTGCGTGCGGGCAAGGATGACTGCCGCATGGGTAATATAAAGCTGTTCAAACATCCATCGATGGACTTGCGCCGGCGTCCAGGAGACTTCCAGCGAGACACACGACGATAATTTGACGCGCGCAAACAGCTGTCAATAACCCTTCAGACACAATGAAAGTGTTACTCACTGGCGGCAGTGGCTTCGTTGCCGTGCATTGCGTTGATCTGTTGTTGCAACACGGGTATATAGATGCATCCACCGATACTTGAGGCTCATTAGAATTAACATTCTGTCAGGCACGAGGTGGTAGCTACTGTAAGATCCGATGAAAAGGGTCACTATCTTCAAGAACTTTTCAAGGGGAAGCCTCTATCGTACGTCATTGTCAAGGATATCGCAGCAGAAGGCGCCTTCGACGAGGCTGTCCAGACAGAGCCACCCTTCGAGGCTGTGGTACACACGGCATCGCCCTTTCACTTCAACATCACCAATAACAAAGATCTGCTCGACCCTGCGATCAATGGGACAACGGGCATCCTGAAAGCGGTCCACAAGTCAGCCAAAACAGTCAACCGCGTCGTGATCACGTCATCCTTTGCCGCCATCTCGAACTATAGCAACCCTCCCAAGGTGTATACGGAAGAAATCTGGAATGACCAAACCATGGAGGAGGCTCTGACGACGACCAATCCACAGGCAGCATATCGGGCCAGTAAAAAGTTCGCGGAGAAGGCGGCGTGGGATTTCCTGGAAAGCGAGAAGCCCAATTTTACTCTGGCCACGCTGTGTCCACCCATGATATACGGTCCAGTCCTGCATCAAGTCAAGTCGCTGGATGATCTCAACACCTCTAGCGCAAGAATGCTGAGACTCTACCAAGGTATCCCACGATCTGGGCCGGTGGGATCGCCAATGCACGTCGATGTCCGCGACCTAGCTCTGGCCCACGTCCTCGCGATCGAAAACCCCGAGGCCGCGAATCAGAGGTTCCTGGTGGCTGCCCAATTGGCGACGGAGAAGGAGCTTCGCGATATCATCGAGAACAACTTCCCGGAGATTAGGGGGAAGCTGCGTGACGAGGTGACGGACACGCTTCCACCATGGAGCATTGATAACAGCAAATCTGTTAACGTGCTGGGCCTCAAGTACAGGCCGCTCGAGGACACCATTGTCGACACTGTCAATTCCTTGAAGGCCCTTGGCGCTTAGAGCGTTTCTTCTTGTCGCAGGCTCATGGAGAGTAGATATAGACATAGATTGGCATGAGCTGTTGCGGCTAAATGGTTGAGAGTAGACGAAGAATAGACCTAAGCGTCTGTGTCCAAGTCAACGCTGTCCAGCATAGATGCAAGAGATGATGTTTTGCAAGTTGCCTGTCGATTGGAATCGAGTTGGAATGGGAGCACTCGAGGAAGCAAAAGGGCACTGGCGATGGAACCGTGTTCCTTCGAGGCAATCAAAATGCCCATTGAATCGGTGCTACGAGGAGTGGAGCCAGAAACTCTTTCGTTTTCGTCTATCTAGCAGCGCTACAACTCGTCTTTGACGCCCTTCGTTGCCTTGGGTGCGGAAACGGTAACCGTGGATGAGCCAGCTGAGGCTGCAGGCGTCGACGTGTTACTTCCAGACGGGCTACCGGGACCAGCGGAAGTAGAATTGGTCTTCTTTGGCTTGCCTTTTGCTCCCTTCTTGCCACCGCTGGCCTTCCCCTTTCTGGGTATATCTTGCATCTTGATCGTCTTCATAATCGTCTCAGACACTAGTCGCTGCAGCTCTTGGCCCCTGGACTCGAGTTCCGAGACCATGAAGGCTGGGTCGTCGTATTGTCCCAGCTTGTCCTGTAGAGCGAGTTTCTCGTCTAGCCATTTCTTCACCTCGTCATATTTCGTGGTTAGCGTTGAAAGATCCTCATTCGTGTATTCATAGGGCTTGAACGGCGGTCCATCCGTCTGTGCTGCGTCTGCTGCCGTGGTGCTGATATAAGGGTCATCATCCAGATCGTCGCCCTCTGCAACAAAGGAAGAAGAGCTTGAAGAGGAACTGGAGCTTGAAGACGAAGCGGCTTCGCTGGCGCTCGAGGAAGCATCTTCTGCTGCTTTCTTGATGTTTCCCTCGACCATTGTGATCATGCCATTTAAATTCTCTAGTCCCTCCTTCAGAGCCTTCACAGCGTCAGGACGCTTCGTCGACTCATCTCTGCGCTTGAGAACGGGATCAACCAGATCGTGGAGGCTCTTCAGCTTGGCTTTAAAATCCTGCACTTTGGCATCAAGCCCTTCGCCATACAGCCATTCAGATATGCTAGTCAACTGTTTCTGAAGCTCCCCTCGAGTGGAGTCGCTCGAGCCGGCGATGAAACTTTCGTCCTCAAGATAATCTCTGGCTCGGTAGGTGAAGGCCTCGAGTGTGTTCAGTGCTTCCGCCCGAAGCACGGCATTTCTGTCAGATGTGTCGAACTGGGAAAGGCGCTGCCGTAGACGAGGGAGAGTCTCGCTGGGTGGGGAGTTCCTACCGACCACGGTTGTTCTCAGTGATAGTGGTATAGAGGCAACTGAGGGGGTAGCTTTGACGGCTTGGGCAGCTTTGGTGGAAGACGATGAGGACGAGACGCCTGAGGATTCTGCTGGGGACGGTGAAGCTGATGATATGGTCGATCCAGAGCTTGTAGGGTCAGACACAGGTAATGGGGTCAGAGATTCGGAAGACTCCTCAACCCTGTCGTCGTCTTCGAGGACCTTCTGTTCATTGCCCTTCCTGCCAAAGCCAAATAGTCCTTTGACGTTGTCCATGACCGTACCACCCTTGGTGCTCTCCACCTCACAGCTCACAGACCCAGTAACGACCTCCGGTAAAGCATCCACAGGACTTAGCCGCACTGTAAAGACGGTGCTGATGTTTGACGCTGCGCAGCTATGCTTCTCTTGCAATTCTGCAACAGACTTTGTCAGGTTCAGAGCCTCGACTTGCAGGATAGTTGCGTCCGAGTCCTCAACTGTCTGGGAAAATGACAGCGTCACATCCTCCAGAGTCTTGATCGGTACTTGCTTCTCAACTCCAACGTGAGAAGACGGAGTGAACAGCTTCTGCGACTTCTCCTTGTTGTCAGAGTTCCACTTTAACGTGAACGCAAAGCTTGAAATATCAGTGTCGCGAATATCCTTGACTCTGAAGCTTGGGCTGAGCGACGCGGCTTTGAAAGCAGCCCCCATGACGGCAGCCTCGTCCGCGTTGACATTGGATTTCAGCTGCGCAGGTCGGACGGCCACTTTCTCGAGCTGCTTCTGCACAAAAGGAGTTCTTACTGCGCCTCCATGTAGAATGATCGAGTCAAGGTCGCCCAGCTGGAGTCCTGCAAACTGGACTGCCGCATCGACAGGCGCCCTAACACGTGCAGCAAAGTCTGCTGTGAGCTCTTCGAATTTGTCTCTCGATAGGCTGTATTTGAAAGTAATGTCATCATCGTAGAGTCCATCAAATGTCGCTCCGGACGCGGCATTGGCGCTGAGAAATTGTCGAACTCGCTCTGCTTCCTTCCAGATTCGGGCCATTGCCTTGCCATTTGCCCTGACTTGGCCCGTCGTCAAACCCAGCTTTTTCACCTTGGGCGATTCAACGAACTGGGCTACAATGTCGTCGACGATGACATCATTCAGAGAGTCACCACCTAGTGTTGGGTCGAATCCCGTTCCAAGAGCGATGACCTCTTGAATTGTCGAGTTCCGCTTTGCAGGTCCTTTGATGGTCCTCCCTTGGAATTTGAGCACCGTGGCGGTCGCGGAGCCTGCACCCATATCATAAATAAGGTGGTACTCAGGCTTCGCACCATCGGTAACGCTGTCGAAGGAGCGATGGGTCGCGTAGTTAAGCCCAACGGCTAGTCCGTCGCTGACGAGACCTAGTATTCTCAACCCGGCCAAATTCGCAGCCAGTTCAATCGCTCGCTTCTCCTCTGCAGTGTAGAACGACGGATGAGTAATGACCACATCTGTGACATATACTCCCTTCGCAAGCATGGCCTCTGCATTACTTTTGACGTTCTTCAACTCCATCGCCAAGAGCTCTTCCACCATGAAAACTTCCTCTTTCCTGCCGAAGCTCTGGCTCTTGAAACCCACCGTCCTGGCTTTCTTTTCCGTGATATCGCCTCTGGGCACCGCCTCGATGCTCAATCCTGGATACCGCGCGGCATATGTCTTGACAGCGGGCGCGGAGTATTCCACGCCAAGCAGGTTCTTCAGGTTGGGATACACGTCGCTTGGAAATCTTGCGGAGAGCGCAGCTGCATCCCCACCATACAGCCGTTCCGGGAATGCATCATCTGCCTTGTCCTGTGCTCTGGATGGCTTGAAAGCAAGTGTGGCCGTTTCTTTCCGCTTCGAGTCCTTTGAGAGGACAATCTCAATTGGCGATCCAGGTCGAGCGATTGCGGCCTTCAGGTACTCGGTGCCGAGATCGATGCCCAGAACGGCCGAGGCAGCGTGTGTGGCTGATGCGAGGAAGAGAAGGAGTAAGAGCGGTAGAAGAGCACAGGGTGCCAGCTTACACCGGCCAGGGGGATTCATTTGGGAAGTATCTGGGAGACAGAGGGAAGGCTTTCGGTGATGTGCTGATGCAGCTAAGAGACGTTGAGCACATTGCCAGAATGAACGCTCGAACAACAGAACAAGAAGAAGCGAAGGGTGGAAACGACAGCGTCAACCTCGCCTTCAATTAGAGTGCTGCTCGTGAGAACAGATCTCGAAATCCAGGCCGCGAGTCATGAAACTGACCCACACGAGTCATGCATCCATCGCAGCCTCTTTCAGCCTCATTCGACGTCATTCGACGTCATTCCATGCCGATTTCTACCTTCACACGTGCTTCATTAACCAGTCACTTTGTTGTTCTCTACCAGCGTACTCACAGACGTCCGTTGTGGAACTGACGCCGGAGCAGCATGATACTCTGCGCACACGATGCACGAGATCATCACTGTCCAACTGGGCGAGAAGTCAAATTATCTGGCAACCCATTTCTGGAATGCGCAAGAAGCGTATTTTACATATTCGGATCATGAACAGCCCATGGTTGATCATGACATCCATTTCCGATCAGGTTTGGGAGCCGATGGTTCAGAGACATTTACTCCCCGGACGGTCATTTACGATTTGAAGGGCGGCTTCGGTACGCTTCGCAAATTTAATGCTCTTTACGAGATTCTAGATGATCAACCGACAAATGGCGTCTGGTACAGCTCACTAAGGAGCAAAAGTTCAGTCCGGTGTCCTAATTCATTGCAGGGACGGTACGCCTTCCACACAGCAACAGCAGCCTATTGAACCATCCGAGTACCAAAGAAGCCTCGAGCTAGGCCTTCCCACCCGCCAACTTAGCGCTGCAGACGTGCGGTATTGGTCCGATTTCAATCGTGTGTTCTATCATCCACGGTCCATCGTGCAACTCAACGAGTATGAATTGAATTCTCAGCTCATGCCCTTTGAGAGCTGGGCGGCAGGTGAAGACTTATTTCAGAGTCTTGACAAGGAATTCGACCTGCTCGACCGTGATATCCGATCGTTTGTGGAAGAATGCGATCAGATGCAAGGCTTTCAGCTTTTCTCTGGCGTCGATGATGCCTGGGGCGGTTTTGCTGCGAGATACCTTGATAACTTAAGAGATGAGTATGGAAAGACCAGTATATGGGTCTGGGCTATCGAAGACCAGTCCAGAACCACGAGGGTATGTTCCTTCCATTGCTCTATGGAAGCTGCTCACCAGTGACAGCAAAAACAGCTCTTGCGCACATGTAATGCTGCGAGATCGCTGCGCTCGATCGGCCAGCAGGCGTCCGCTTACGTACGACTTGCTGCCCCTCCTGCAATCCTTCCAGGGTATGTGCACCTCCGTGGTGCATCAGACTGGCTCACAACCGCTCTGCTCTGCGCGGGTATGGAGTCATCCACCCTTCCGACCAGGCTCAATGCTGGTCTTGGTAAGAGAGGGTCTCTGAGCCTGTTGGAGGACACTCTGAACGCCGCGGGTAACCAATGCCTGTTCGAGCTTCATGCGAGCATCACTAGCTCAATGACTGGAGCCAACGGCACCTTAAATGGGGGTCCTGCAGAACAACAAAATGGCCATGGCGGAGGGGAGACGGCTGATGCGGCAGAGCCATCTCAGTTTGATCTCGACTACAGCCCTGGACTTGCCAGTCCATTGACGGCAAGGTCCTCTCATGTTTTCGCCCAAGTTGAATGCTTACGTGACCATCTCGAGTCCGAGGTTCGCCCACTGACCCTGAGCCCCGAAGAGAGGCTTCGGAGGAGGCTCAACGAAGAATCCGTAGTCGAAATGTGAGTTGCGCTCTGTTGATTCATTGGCACAGTGTCCACGTTGCTGGGCGACTTGTGAGCACTACTAACACTGCCGTCTAGATTCCAAACCGCACTACAGTTCCCTTTACTGGATACGTTCCCCAACACACTCTTCCAGACCAGTCGACGAGGACAGCAAGGGTTGGATATATCGACGGCTCTAGTGTGCGACTCAAGGATGAAAGACCGGGTCCTGGACCTCCGAAACACAACATCCCGCCTTGTGCCACTGGACGAAAGAGAGTCGCTATATAACGACCTCACACAAATGGCCCAAAGCTACAGCATTGGGTGGGAGTCTGGTACAGATTCAGGAGCGGACGATGAGTGAGAGGCAAAAAGGGCTCATCGACGGAGAAGAATCCACGGTTGCTCTCTCCCAGCCATTGCACCGCGTGTCGAATACCCATACCGGAATCTATCCATCAGTGCCCCGCGTCTGCAAATCAACAGCCTCTCACGAGCGCGCTGGACCCAAATTGAAAGGTCAAGGTTGGCTGGCCCGTGGCTGGAACACTACAGAAATCCACAAAGGGCTGAAGCAGGACCGAACTCAGCCCACAGGGAGCACGAGTGGGAAGAACAAAGGCCCTCGCAGTGATCGTCGGGCTCCCACTTTTCGTAATTCACATCGAAGTGGAAGTCGAAGAAATAGTGGTAGCGTAGATACTCCATCAGAAGGCATGGATTAGTGGAGCAGCACCGCGCCAGTTCACCGCGGCGACAGTCTACGAGGCGCGGGCGCTTCCGCATGATATCGAGGCAAGTACAAATAGGTACAAAGGAGCGTGGCGATCCGCATGCTCTGCCGTCGCTGAAATGCGCACCATTGCAGATAGAATGTATGGTGCGTTAGTCAAGCAGTGCCGGCTCGCCCTCTGAGGCGGGATAGCGCAATATCGGACTGCACAACTGTTCAAAGGTGGAACGCATTTTGATTGGATTGGGCAGCAGATCGGACAAAACCTCAGCCACGCGCAGGCAAGGACGGTCAAGGAGGGGCGGGATGTCAGCCCTATTGTGTATGCCGCGTAGATCTAGAGGTATGGGCGGTTACGGTTACAGTCTCTCGCGACGTGGAGGATCTCGGGGATTGGAAACATGGCTGGAGGAGACCTCCCTTCAGTACAGGAAAATATTCAAGATGGATTCACCGCTCCTCATCAGTTCTACCAAAAGTGACTAAATACTTTGTTTGTCGAAGAGAATCATTTCTCATCTTTGGCCCCAGATCAGCTCAATTATTCCGGCGGGCGTACCACACGATAGGACCACAGGCGGCAGTAGAGCCTAGCACAACGAGGCTAGGCGCAGCTGGAACTTGGCCACCACTTTTGTGCAATTCATTGTCTTTCTTTCATCTTCGGCGGAAGATCGTGCTGGCTGCATTTGTAAGAGCTGGAACCCAGAAGCAGGCAGGCAAAAGCTTCCACAATCAAGACCAACTTCACGACAAAGGACAACTCATTTGCCTGAAGAACGGTCAAGCGAGAGAGCACAAATCCTTCAATACGCCGTAGTCAGCCTCATCTTTAGCGGCGACGACTCGTAGGCACCCCTACAAGAAATACGGGCGATACCCCCCATTACCGTAACCGTCTGGTGGTTCTGGTCTCGTCCACTTCAGCGATCCTTCGCCATCAGCCGCAGCCGCAGCCGCACGCACGGTCACTTACTTCCTAACTTCTGTTGACATCTTCATCTTTCCTCAAATTCCACGAGTGTCGACGACATTGTGCTTGCACTGCGGCCGAACAAGTCAGCGCTGCTAACCTTCCCGTTGATTGGAAGTCCTCCTTGGTTCCTTCGCTCAGCCCCCATTAAGCGTCGGTCTCACTCGCCCTAGCAATTTGCCGGCCACAGCTGCCACTTACAACATTTGTTCATTCACTCGCTGTTGCTCTTACAATTTGCTCCCTTCAATGTCGATGTCATGAGCTCGCGTTTCAAGTCCTTAGGCTTCGGTTCCAAACGAAAGAGCAGCGCCAACATCCAGACATCGTCAACCGCTTCGACCTCAGTAGCATCGCCAAACGGGTCCACTTCCACCACTGGGACTCCCCCGCCGCAAAACAGCTCCCAGACCAGCCTGCCGCCGATGAATCCCAATCAACCTGCTGCGCCCGGGCGACCTCCCAGTTATTCATACAATAGCGTCCAGGGACGCCCTCAGTCGCCGATGCCCCCACCACAAAACCAAATGGCCCATCACCCCGCGCCCATTGATACCAGGGCAGGTGCCTACGTGGGTGGTGCACCCCAACTGGGCCCTCCTCAACCACCAGGGTATGGTGGTGCGTATGGACATCAGCAACTCGGTCCCCAGCCGGGCATCCAGCACATGGCGCAGCAATATCCACAGGGTGCGCGCCCCGCGGCCGAAGTGGAGGGCGCAGGGAGGAGTAAAGCTCAGCTGATTGTTGGCATTGATTTTGTAAGACACCTTCCCCATCCTGATTAGGCGCATGTACTGATTTATGTTTGCAGGGCACAACCTTCTCCGGTGTAGCATTTGCATTTGCGACTAACACAGAAGCCAAGGAGGATATCATCACGGAATGGCCTGGCGCTGGTAATCAAACAAAGCAAAAGGTGGGCTCACATACAGAGTGTCAGACCGCGATGACAGCAGACTGACTTGACTAGATTCCCACGGTGCTGTACTATGACCAATACCAGAAAGTCGTCGGCTGGGGTCCAGATATCGCCGACGCCCTTGCTCCCACTGGCTACCCCAAACCCGGCGTGCAAAAGGTAGAATGGTTCAAGCTTCAACTCATGCTCTCCGGGAATACATACATAGATCCGATCAACCTGCCGCCTCTGCCACCTGGGAAATCTGAAATCGACGTCGCTGCCGACTACCTCTTCAAGCTTCGGCAAGCAATGCGAGTACAGCTACAGAAGACATTGGGCGAAGTCTTCAACCGCGAAGAGCGCAATATTAGATACTTCCTGACTGTGCCCGCAATCTGGAACGATGCGGGCAAGGCTGCCACAAGAGCGGCAGCGATCCAGGCAGGCTTCATTCGAGACGAGAACGACAACAGACTGACCCTGATCACCGAACCCGAGGCTGCCGCCATGTTTTGCTCCAAGACTGGCCTTCTCAACCTCAAGATTCATGACGCAGTCCTGATTGTGGACTGCGGAGGCGGCACAGTGGATTTGATCGCGTATGAGGTTGAAGAAGAGACACCATTCACCGTGGCCGAATGCACGGCTGGCAGTGGTGACTCCTGCGGTTCCACCGCTCTCAACCGAAACTTCTCCAACATTCTGCGCGCGAAGATCCGGAAGATGAAATTACCTGACGGGTCAAAGACCGCTGGTCGGGTTTACGCCAAATGTATAATGGATTTTGAGAACAGAATAAAGGCCGATTTCCGTAACAACGGGCAGAAGTGGGCGGTCGATGTGGGTATCGAGGCTGAATTCCCGGAAGCTGGCATTGAGGAGGGCTACATGACATTTACCAACGAGGAAATTCTACAATGCTTCGAGCCGGTCGTCAACCGCATTCTCGAGCTTGTCCGCAACCAGATCATTGCCATCCAAGCCCAAAACAGATCGTTACAAAATGTCCTGGTGGTGGGTGGTTTTGGTGCCTCAGAATACCTCTTCCAACAAATCAAGCTGCACGTGCCGCCCCAATTCCAGTCCAAGGTTGTCCGTCCTATGGACTCAGTGGCTGCAATTGTCAAGGGCGCCGTCACCGCAGGGATTACCGAACGAGTCATCACTTCTCGTGTGGCCAGAAGACATTACCTCATGGCAACGCTCCAGCCATTCAAAGAAGGTCATCACCCCGAGCAATACCGAGTTCCTAGTCTGGATGGCAAGGACCGATGCAAATACACCAGACAGATATTCGTTCAGAAGGGAGAGAGGGTCAAGATCGGAGAACCCGTCAAAGTTTCGTTCTTTAGACAAGTTGCACCTGGTGCAACACTTATGTATGAGGATATCTTGTACGCTTGTGATGAAGATGTTTGGTAAGTCTGGGATTCTCGTTTCGACAGCAAGAGTGTCGTGCTAACTGCTTGACAGTCCCGAGTATACCAAGGATCCGCGAATCAAGGAGGTCGTGACACTCACTTCAGACTTGTCAAGAAAGAACCTCGAGAAGGACTTTGAGCGAATGGATACCCCGCAAGGCACTTTCTACCGCGTCTACTTTGATATTTATCTCACACTGGACGGCTCTGAATTCAATGCTGAGTTGGTGTGCCAGGGAGAAGTTATGGGCAGGTGCAGCGCGAGATTTCGATAGTGAATTGGGACCCGGCGCGATGACCGCGTTGTGTCTTGTGGAATCCATGCGATATTGAAGGGGTACGTCGAGGAAGAGAACGACATCACCACAAGGCCTCACGCAAGCACGGAACAGAGTTGCACCTGGAGATGGTCGAAGCACGATTGCATACGCGAGGAGAAACGAAGACAAGAGGAACTTGGACTATTCTACCCAGCCCTTGTAATGATGACTGTTAGTACGGGAGGACATGAACTTCAAGAGGACGATTATACGAGGGGGAAAGCATCGCACAAGGAAGCTGGGCGCCGAACGAAATATGGGCCGGTGCAGAATTCTGGCCAGGGTGAGTAGAAGGACAATGAGCAGAGAGAAGAAACCAAGTCAAAGTGAAGTCAAAACTACTGTTTCCAATCAACTATTCACCATCCGCGCTCTTCCGCTTAGAATAACTTAGTGCACAGTCTACAGCCAGCACCGTCGAATGCTCATTGAAGGGTCTTTTGTGACTACACCTACTATGGTAGCGATCGTGTATGCAGGTTTAGGGTATAGACCTTGTATGCGTGTGTGCCTTGGATGTAGCGTCCTCGTTGGACCACAGGGATGATCATTGTAAAGATGGAGACGAACATCATTGTGAGAAAGTGTTAGACTATATGAGATTGTCATAGACCAGCCATCCTAGAGCGTTGGGTCGACGTCTAGCTTCCCAGCTACAGTGATGGGTCCGCGTCTACCTTTTTCGCTACCCAGTGGCTGCATCTGTATCGGTTCTGCAGCAAGCTATGCGGGTCTTGTATGTATCCTGAATGGGCGGGTAGAAGCTCGTGCTTGACCATCTCGAACCCCATCCGGGAGACGAGCAAGATGACTTCCTCGTCGGTGAGCTCGAATGAGCCCGGCTCGGCGATGCCCTTGTCTTCAAAGTCGATGTCACGCTTGTGCTGGCTTGAGGTCCTCGCGTCTTGGTCATCGGCGCCATGGTCATTTTCATCATCGCGGTTGTGAGCACCACCAGGGGCACGGTCGTCAAAGTGCCATAACAAGGGTCCGATGTTGACCCAGACACCACCAGTTCTCAGACAATTCCGGACCGTCTCGATATATCGGACCAGGTTGGGGGCCGTGTCGATGAAGAACACTGTCACGACTCCGTCGAACGTATCCTTGCTTTCGGGCGTCGAATAAGACAGCACAAAGTCACCGGCGGTCATGTTCATCTCGCCGACGGGTAAAGCCGCGGCAAGGCCCTTGGAGAAGGCTTCGCCTGGATGGACATCTGGAATGGTATGGCGCTCTAATTGGTACGCGCGAGAGATGACGTTTGTGAAGGTATGGCAGAAGGGGTATATCTGGTATTGGTTTGCAGTTTGGGTCGCATTCAAGATGAAATTGCTGGCGAGGAGTTGGTGGTAGGAGATTTCATTTCCTGTCGCGTTGTAGCCGCGCAGAGCGAGCTCGAAGAGGAGCCGACCTAGTCCTGCACCAGGGAGGAGAAGGGATGGAGGTGGGGCATTGATCTGAATTAATTGTGTATATGATTCAAGGTCAGCGACGACGGTCTTGAGGAGAGGTTCGACTTCGAGCGTGAAGCCCTCATGAGACCAGTCTCGGTAGAACTGTCGGATCGTCGAATGCGCTTTGGATATGTCGTTGGGTCTGGCTTTACCTTGCCAGTCCACCACCGAGTCCTTAGGTGGGGTTTCTGGCAGCCCGAAAGCAGCCAAACCTAGGTGGACTATCTCGTCGGCAAGGTCGGCGTTGTGGTCCAGTGCATCATCGACGGCGTTGAGAGTCTCCAAGATGGAAAGGGGGGGCGAAGCAAGCATTTGCCATTGCGAGGACGGCAGGGCGTAGAGGTTTTGACGTCGCCGATGGGTTGTGTTATAGTGCGCGTTCTGGCGGTACTGGCTATTCACAGGGTCAGCGGCAACGGTCCAAGAATTGCCTATGGGCAGCGAATCAATTAGATGTGCATGAATGTAGCAGAGATAGCACTGTGAGGGAGCTGTCACGCTAGTGAGCTCGCTGTTAGAGCGAAAACTTGCGCTTGGAGTCGAGACTAAACGTGTCGCCAGGTGTTGTCGAGAAACAACAAGCACGAGACCTTTGATAGAAGCCGCCTCGATGTGCAGGTGTCGACGAGATTCATTCTTCGAATGGACCGGCATCACGCAGCCTTTCTCCGCTCCTGCATTAGTCCGCTGGGACTTACTGGAATGAATCGAGAGCTGCAAAGATAACTCTGCGTTCTTGCGGATCAGCCAGTGGTCCCGCATCATCGAACAGGGGATTAGGATGATGCGATGCAGATGATTTGCTGCAGTCGTCGTCTTCAGCCATTCTGACTGGGACGATCAGAGCTAAGCGAGAACAAGAAGAAGGACCTGTAGAGGAAAGCAATCAATGGTGACGGGCTTGAAGCGGTGAGGAAATGCAGGTGCGAGCGCTGACACAGTGTTTGTGTGAGTAGCAGCGCGTCATGCAGCACCGCCAAGCGCAGGTTGATATCAAATTCCACAGTCACCTAACAGTAGCAGGACTTCTCAATGACAGATCCTGCGACGGCGACCTCGTGCGTTTGAAGGCGGCTCCACACTCGTCACGCTGGAAATTTGACAAAGCGATACTCGTGCTTGGACGAGCCTCTCAACTCCTTCGAGACAAACAGCAGCTGCGCAATCATGGAGCCATCGTTCACGCCCATCGAGTTGTCGTTTCCGCTGCCCAAACATCCGCATCTCACCGTCCATGCTCATCTGACTTTCATGGAAGCCTGCGCCATGGTCCATTTGACCACGACCGACCTCGGCGACGCTGAGGGTGCCAGGCCGCCAATGGGGAGTTTTGTTTATGCAATGCCGGACGTACGCAAATATTCTCCTATGCATCTATTTCTGACCAGCACTGACCAGCTCTAGATGAGGGACGAGCGCAATGTGATCAGCACGGCCCTGTCCACTTTGGGGTCCAGTATCGACTACGCCACCAGGATGGCCAAGATCCTCGCACGCAAGATGAGACGGCCAGTGTATGTGGGCTGCAGCATGAATTTCGCCGGCTCGACAGCCGAAGAAGAGATGGAGGGCTTTACAGCAATTGTCAATCAGATAGTACAGAAGTGGAACCCGCGCTCCTGCCTCCCATGAGCTGCTGGTGTTGCAGCTCAAAGAGGTCCCCGACTGACAGGGATCGGTCTCTGCCTTATTGGTCCGGGGACCAGTCTGGCACAGGCAAATCGGTACCATTCCTTCCCTGCAGAAAATCGGCAGTTAGAGCCTCGTTGGCCATCCTCAGTGACGAGCCTGGAACGTTTTATCGAGCGTTGCACCATAGGATCTTCGCTTTCTAAGGCCGCCGGTATCCCTTTCGAAGCCACGGGGATCGATCGCAGTTCTTCGCCAATTCTCGGCTGCTCTACCGACTGCGAGGAAGCTTTTCACGAACATCGCTAGAATGTCCAGAGTCTTGGCTTTCGTGCCCGGTCTATCGAGTACGAGTACTCCGTACTGCAGGCGGATAATCCTCACATCGTGCTCTCTAAAGGCTAAACAGCGCGGTCTCGAAGCAGAAACAAGGCCAGGGTCTCACAACCCACAAGATCCCGGCTGTCTGAGTCTTCTAGGCAGTCACTAGGAAACCCAGAAAACTTTGCATCAACCACGGTCGCAAAAGGCAACTCGTAGCTTCCTCAATGCTCAACCACTGCAGCTAGGAACCTCCCCCAAGCTTTCGGCGAGGGCCTAGGGGCATCTCGAAATCTTGGGAGTTGCGATAAGACTTTCCGCTGCGCATCCAGACAACAGTCCCTTTGGTCCGTCCCTTGCATACTGAGTAACGGAGCTCGACGAGCCAATGACGGAATCTTTAGATTCCGGCAGAAAACTTCCATCTTGTTTCACCTTGCCACTCAGTAATCCCGATCGTCGATGTGTTGTCTAGAACTACCCCCAGACGGGACAGGGTTCCTATATCGAAGATAACGTACCTACCCCGATACGACGGTGCAGCGCACTGTAATTGAGCTGTCTTTGGCGTGTCATGGCTGCGCTGTGAAGCAAATTGGATCTGCCAAATTTGGGCGCCAGCGCCACACATGGGACGGCGTCATGCCACATTGGACTTGGTGACTCGTAACGACTTCTAGCGACGCTAAGGGAAGAAGAGGATCACTGAGACTGCGACATGCTCGTCGTGCGAATTTCGGCGAGGGCGCATGGATAATCCGCTTCTCCTCGTGACAGCATTCGATAAGCGGCTGCGAGCATCAGCACCTTCGAAGGCCACGTCAGTTGAGCGGATTCATTTCGAGCCACGTACCAGCTCTTCTGCACAGCCCCAGTAGTCGTCTGATCTTGCCCGCATCAGCGGCCTATCGGTGAGTTACTGGAGGCACTGGTACTCCGTAATTATGTCAGGGGAAAATCCCATCCCGGAGCCCGTCATCAGCTGCAACCTGCAACCTGCACTGTCGATCCTGGTGAGCAGCGTGTAGATCCGAGGTCTTAACTCTGCTGTCAATGGTTCTTTCGACGACTCGATGACACGCTGGTCGGTGATCCTCCCGGCACGGATGCCCTGGTTCTCCAGAACCCTGGCTGTGAATCTAAGTTCAGGTCTCCCCAAACTCCACACTATTAGTGTTGGAAGCCAGCCCAGTCTTCTGGAACTATTGGCTGCTTCCATGATTTCCTGGATGCTCGCCCAGAGATGAGCATCCTTCGGCGCCAACATGATCGCATTGGAAAAATGCATTCCTTCCCGTAAGCAGCACCTCGTGTGGCCTGTCACTGTCATCTTTCAACCAGAGGCAGCGCAGAGAAAACCCGGTACGTACTCCGTACTCACTACTGACTCGGGACAACGGTTGTTGCTGGAGCTTGTGCTGGGAGTTGTTTCGCCCAGATTGCCATGGTCCCGCCTATGCAGGAGTCCTTAGGCTTCGCGAGGACAGTTACGAAACATTGACGCGGAGATCAAATCAGCCTCTAAGCCCACTGGACCGAGTACGAGTACTCCGTACTCCAGAATGGCATCGTTGCGAGTCGAAGTGGATCTCCCATCCCGCGGCTTGAACGCGCTGTCAATCGGTCGTTCCACATTGCAGCGGACTTGATATCAGACGTTTTGCGGCGTAGTGAATCGGCCCATTTTATGCAAAGCGATCTTTCGAGAAATGAGCCGAGCATGGTTTGTGCTTCTCCAATCACCGACAGAAGTGCCCTGGCGCCATCAACCAGATTGCCGGCCGCTTGGGCTTCCTTCCACCCGACACAGCAGAGGACGGAAATGCTTGTCCGCAGGTGGCAGTGCATGAGTACATGCGTCTACACAGTATACAACGGTACAGTATGGCAAAACCCCGGTCGTTGTTTCAGACGCGAGACCTCAATCTCGGTCTAGTAAGCTTTGAAGTCCTTGACTCCGAGGTACTCTGTACACAACTGGAGACTACTACTGAAGGGGTACTTCGTACTCTAATTAGAAATCCATTGACCCCGTGATCGACGGCGCATTCTAACCCTCGCTGGTGGCTGGCGGGGACCGACAACTTCAGCTCGACGTCCACCGCCCTCCCCTGGCCTCGTCCGTCTCGCCATGATGTCCTGGCCGCGGTTTTAGGGCTTGCTGTCTATCGCGGCGAGCGAAACAGGAGTAGCTGGTCAGATACCTTCCATAGAGACAGGGCTGAAAGGGCTACTGCCATAGAATATTTGGGTGACCCGTCGGAGAGGGTTCCGGGTATGAATCGACGCTCAACCGAGTGTTCCATCTGTCCAGGATACGGTACCTCGTATACTGAGTCTACAGCGTTTGATCGACTATACCAGACTTTCTTAGGCGCCTGGCATAAAAGGTACTGTGTAAAGGTCGAGCAGGACGTGTCTCGGCTCCAGTGCCTGCGAGTCACGCCAGAGAGGCGACCGACATGCCACATGCCTGGGAGGCTGTTGTGCCGTACGGCATTCTCCCTTGAAGCCGGAGACTAGGTCGCCATGGCCAACGACAAGTGTGTGGCAAGATGTTTCAGACATGCTCAAGATTTTCTAGAACCAGCGCAGTCAACGGGTCACGCAAAGATCGATCACTGTGTCTCAGAGCTCGAACTGACTCGGATGTGGTAACGCATATGGTGATCGCATCTCTTCTGTTTCCGTCCGGCAGGCTAGGGCCGCTTAGAGCTACCCACCAGGTGACAGCCAAGGCCTATGATCGTCCTCGGGCCTTCCCCACAGGAGCCGCCACAGGGCAGTCGATGGGGCCGAAGCAAACGGTGGAAACATGTCAGCAGAAGCGGCCACGGCTGAGCAGGGCCCGCGAGGAACCACCCAAGCAGCAGGACCAGCTCCCCGTTAATCACCGCACAGCACGCCGCGCACCGGGTCTTAGCTCGACTCGCAGGCGCGTGCTTCTGCCTTGGATGTGCGTCAGGTGCTTCAGGAGCTCATACAAACGGGGTGTGGTGGATTTGGAATGCATGTTGGCAGGGTTTGGGCCACGAACAGGTACCCAGTACTGCACCACATCTCGGGTCCCAGCTCTCCTCAAAGCTAAAAGCCAACTCGGAGAGCGGCTCAAGCAGATGGGTCAAACATCCATGGGCCTCCCTGCTTGCTTGGTGGACAGGGGAGCTGTTTTCGATGATGGCCCTGGTGGCCCCAGTGGTGCTAGGCGGCAAGCCGATGCCGCTCATGCCTGATTCGGCTGTTGAGGACGTTGTGGCTAGCTTCTCCTGCTTCGCTCACTTCGGCTGCTAGAACCGGGGAGGCTCCTAGCAGCGTAGGCGCACCCTAGCTCGTTCGGGCTTGCGCATCAATCCGAATCTTCTCCCGCCAGCCAGGTGTGCGGTCCCCAAAATCCAGTATCGACAGTCAAGAAGTCTCATCCCACCGGGTACGAAGCTCCATGTTCGAGCCGGACCCTCTTCTGGCGTCTTCCCACGCCACGCGCCCCGGCAGTTCACCTCGTGCCTTGCTGCTGGTCTATATGTCGACCTGCCCCTTTACGGACGTGGATGGAGCTAGCCTACAGCTGTTTTGTTCTTTCCTCTGGCTGAGAGGCCCCAGGGAGCCGTGAAGATCTGGCCCTAAATTTCGTTGGATGCCGATCGACAGATCACTCAAAAAAGCGCATGGTTATCGCGAGACCACTTCGGGCTCACGGTCGCGCCTTTACTGGTACACCTGCCTCCTTCTGCCCGTGGGCGCGCGCTCTCTTCGACATTCTAGCGACAATTTCGGCTGACCTGTGTGTGAGAGTGGCGACCACTCGCATCGCATCACTTTCGCTACTCCTCAGCGGAACCAGTAGGCCAAGGTCGGACATTTACCTGTCTCCATTCTTGCATCTCGCTTCTGTCGTTGCAGTAACACAGCCAACAACGCCTCACCCTGCATTGACACGGCGTTTTCCTCTCTTCTCTGTTGGTATGGGCTGAGATTCCTGGACGCCGCTGCCATTTATCGGTCCAGGTTCGGAACGTGGTGGGCGGGCATGCCTGGACATCGCAAGGGAAATCGGTCCTGAAGAGTGGGAAAAAGGTCCTTCTGCAACCCTTCACGGCAACCGGTAACCGTCTGATCCGAATGAAATGATGACCGAGTCGCTGTCCTCGAAAGAGTCGCCGCCCGCCTCCGCGTCGGGCATGTGGGCGAGCGTCCACGAGCTGGATCGTGCGTCTCATCCATCATCTGCATCCACACAGCACCTCGGCCCGGGGCTGTTTTCAGCGGAGCCTGCTGCCATGTCGTCTTACTACAGCCCTCACGACATGGGGCCGCTGTCCCCCAATGAAGGCATCTCTCGCCTAGGGGAGAACTTACGGCCAAGCAGTGGAGCCCAGAGTACTCCCTCCCCATCTCAGATTTCGGCCGTCATGATGCACAATCCCAAGAGGGCTTACAGGCAACGAAGGAAGGATCCGAGTTGCGACGCATGTCGTGAACGCAAGGTCAAGGTCCGTGGCGCACCACCTACTCGAGCGAGCAAACATATGCTAATGATGTCCCGCAGTGCGATGCCACAGAGACGGCGAGCTGCACCGAGTGCTCCAGCCGCAATGTTCGCTGTCAGTTCACCAAAGACACCAACCGCCGCATGTCGTCAATTAAGTGAGTGGATGGCCGTCCAGCCTCGTCCCGACGACCTCTGACGTTCGCAGACAAGTACAGGACCTAGAAAGACAACTGTTGGAAGCCCGCCAGCAGCTCGAGCGATACCATGCCGTCGAGCGCAAACCTGATCTTTCCGCGGACGGTCGACCCAATACCGCGTCCTCCGTCTACACCGAGTTCCCGTCTATTGGCAAATCACCACGCAGGATGTTGAAAGCAAGAGCCCCTCAGGACCTCACAAGTGCCAGAGTGCAATTGAACGATGTCGGGCGCGGATTGCTGAAACCGCCGGTCACCGGAGTCCAGCTTCCATCGCACACTACGCACATTCGAGTTTCAGATCTACAGGGACTGCCTGCGCGACCCGCGGCCGAACGCTTACTGCATTACTATCACGAATACATCCACCGCCTCTTCCCAGTCCTGTATTGGCCCAAGTTCCAGCGAAATTTTGCCATTGCAATGGAGCCGGGGAGCGCGCAGTCGTTGGCGACGGACTGGGTGGCGACCTTGTACGCGGTCCTGGCCTGTGGCGCACTTGCGACACATGACCGTGGCCGGCTACCGGAAGCGCAGGATTACTTGACCAGGGCCATCTCGACCATCAATTTCTGGGAAGATGACGTATCCACAAACCAGGCCATCGTGGCGTTCCTCGCCAGCATTGCGCTGATCGAGATGAATCGCAAATCCGCGAGTTGGATATGGTTGGGTTCTGCAATCCGCATTGTGCAGGACCTGGGTTTACACGTACAAGGCGGGCAATGGTCGCCCGTTGAGGGCGAAATGCGTAAACGCATCTGGTATTCCTTCTACGTTTGGGACCGGTAGGCCATTTCTCTGCATCCGACAGACCTTTTTCCTGACTGATTGTGACAGCTTGCTTGCGCTGGAGCTGGGGAAGCCTATGCTCATAAATGACGACGAGTGCGACACCGAATATCCACAGGTTCTCGACGAAGAGCGCCTGATGGCCGACGACGTGCATACTCCTCTGCCCCCAACGCTCTTACTCGCCAACATCCACATAGCACGGCTCATGGCGCCACTGGCCAAGACGTTCAGATCGCTGTGTATCACTAGCGAGGCCTTGACCAAGTTCGAAACGCATCTGGGCGAATGCCTGCACTTGTTTCCTCGGCCACTGCAGCTCTCGTCGACGGCGGGGCTGGATCCTTGCATTATGGCGCCACTTATATCGTTTCAAAACACACGTTTACTCCTCCACCGTCACAATCTGTCACCCTCATGCTCTCCCGAACAGCGATCCCACGCCATTGAGCAGTGTCTACATGCTTCTCGAGATACGGCGAGCGCTCTCTCGAGATGCATGTTACCACACGTTCAGGCGCACGACTGGGAGCAACGGTTCGTCCTGGCTGCAAGCACTATGATGTGTACGCATCTGTGGAGATGCATGCTCTTTCTGCTGTTCCGGCAAGTTTGGGATGCATTTTTCTTGCTGCTACGGGCGGCTGCAACAATTGACGACGCTCGAAGCATTAATATTTGCTGTGGGAGGCACCTTTCCTTCTTCCTGCGCTGTCTGGTCGAGCGGGTAGAGAAAGCGAGCAACATTGACATTGACCAAGACGAGGAGCTGCTGGTCTACCTGTCGGCCGACCTCCAAGCCAGCACTAACAGCTGGGTATGGGGCAGTGCCGAGACAGGTACCCATCTCAGCCGGCGGCAAAAGCATGGCCGACCGAGGAACACACATAACGAGCACGAAGCCCAAGGCAGCTCGGGCGCCAAGTCGCCGTCGTGGGACAATATGTTGTCTGAGGAAGAAAAGCACGATTGGGGCGGCTGGCAACAGATTGAAAACTCGGCGCGATATCTGCAACAATTGACCGAGAGGCAACGTTATCCACAAAATCATATTCCGCAGCCGCCACTCCCGAGGTCGCCTTTACCCAACGGTCCAGCGGTAGGGATCTCAGGACCGAGGCTGGCGCCGATTACCATACCGAATGAACCACCAGATACAAACCGAGCTCGAATGACCATAGCAAATATCATCTAGTTCCCAAGCTACAGAAGCTGCTATGAACGGTTGAAGAATTGATGATTGACGTACACACGACGAGGAACAGGCAGCATGTTGCCCCGTTTTTGCACTTCTAAGATACCCAGCAATCAAGACCAGGTCCAGCATATACTTTACTTTCCTGAGAGTGTCTACAAAAGGCATTTGCTGACCGGACTAAATAGATCCAGTTGCCGCGCAAGCAGACCAAATGCTAGACAGCTCAACACCTCAGACAATCAGGTCGAAGCCCATGGCCTTCCTTCCAGCTTCGCCCCCTAGAAGACCGGCCTCGCCCGTGCGCAGCATGAAGCTCCGCTCTGCAGGCCCTGCGCAGAAGTCCTCTGGTGGTCTGCCGTTCAGAAAGTCTTCCAGCTGGCGTTTGATATAGCTCTTGTTCTCCTCCGTCATCGGGGTTGCGGCAATGTGTGCCACACTGGCTTCGTGGTCTCCATTGTGTTCGACTTCCACCGCGTGACACATCTGCGAAACACGTTAGCATGTCTTTTCCCAAAGAAAACGCTTAGATAACGTACATCTGCATGCCACCAGACCGTGTCGCCGGAATTCATGCTTGGAATACCGACCATCTATTCCCGAAGCCAAAGGTGCGGGTGCGATGTGGGACTCAACAGCTGGCTATCGTCCCTGAAGGTGCCCGGGAACCACGGGTCCTCGACGTCAAAGCTCCATTTGCTGACGTCCATGACATCTGCCTCGGCCTCTGGAGCTCGGAAAAAAGGCGGCAGCAACAAATACGCGACGGTCCATATGACGTTGGGATAAAGCATCAGACTGCCTTCGCCCAGCCCGGCAAATGTCAGAGCTGTCCAGCCCTGGAAAACCCTGAAAACGCGTGAATGGGCGCTGCCTGGGAACATTGCTTGGTTGGCGTGTTGGCGAGCGCTCAAGTCACAGTTGGCCAGTGACTCGAGGTGCCCTGAAAAGACGGCGGAACAGACGGACTGATAGGTGGGATCAGCCCAGCGGCACAGACTCCTTGCGTCTACATGTGGGCCGAGCCCGCGAAAGGTCACGCCGGGAGGTCGAATTCGAATCCCATCCGCATACGACAGGGACTCAAGCGAGTAAGACGACCCTGGCTTGTCGTGCCGACACGAGTTGAGCTCTTTGCTGAGTTTGAGCTGCTTTAAACGCGAGCGGGCGGCCATCTGCGTGGGAGAATAGTAGAGGTTGAGGATGAAGGGCGTCTCTGCGGGCCAGCCTGTGTCAGGTCAGCGACAATATGATCCTCCATAGCACGTCGTTTCTGGCCCACCACCAGTTGATATTCAGTTGGGCAGCGACATATTCCTTCAAGTCCTTGAACCACTTATCAGCTTGCTCGTGACTGAACACGCCGCGCACGACAAAGCATCCCACGTCCCTTCAAGGCCTGCCTTCTTTCCGGCGACAGGTCGAAGACTTCTTCAAACGTGACCTCGGGGATGGCGGAACTTCCGTGCTCGGTGATACGATCCGTCACGGATTCCAGCTCCTGGCATAGCTTGAGCCAGCTCTTGATGATGTTCTCCTTGCCATATTTCTCGGCGAGCGTTCTTTTGTACCCGACTGGGTCGTCGCCGGGCTCAGCCTTCGCGGCCGTGAACTCGGGCCAATCCGGCCAGCTAAGCAAACGTCCCGGCATGTTTCTGGGTGAGCTTCTCTGTGCTGTCCAAAGGCCTGCGGGCCAATAGGTGGTGCGTGGTGTTAGATGCAATGGATAGACAGATGCTCGTCGGATATCCACGATGGACCAGGACGACTGAATACCGGAATGTCCCCAGATCTGTCAAGCATTCGCAAGCTTTAGGGGTTTGAGAGCGAGCCACAAGGAAAACCCCACAGCGCAAGGCACGCAGAACTGGATGTTTTTCAAATGGGCGACTGTCGACCGATTCGGAAAGCTACACCCATGATGCGGACATTGCCGTCTCCGCATCTGTTTAGATGCGTGCTTGGTGTCTGCTTGGTGCCAGCCTTGTCCGCCTTGAGTACCTGTGCAGATAAGGCAGAGTGTCACAGAGACGGCACGCCAGGGTCAGAACGTCAGGAGAAGCAGTGTGAAGGGGCCCCGCAGATCGGCTGGCCGTGCGGACACCTCCTTTGCTCAGGTAGGTCGAGATAACGGGGACACAGTTGAGCTGTTGCACAGTACGGGGAGTGAGCATGGTCAGTATATAGATAGAGCGGGGCCTCACGGCGTGGAACATGGATTCGCCATGAATTTTGGACCTGTTGCCATATATAGGCAGAATGGCAATCCATTGGGAGCTCCCGGCCAGAGTCCCTCAGCAGTCATGGCTCGCCTGCACCATCCTGGTGCTCACCTCGTGCGTAACATCGTCGGTCAGTACTTAATACCTTAGAACGAAGGCCGCTGACAAGAGACTGTAGACGCTTGGCTTTGATGGGTCAATGCTGAACGGCTTGAACATCCTGCCTTCGTACACGGAGTACTTAACCTTGCCCACGGCCACCTGGCCCTCAACACGGCATCGGTATGGATGGGCAGCGTGATTGCGGGTATCGCATTTGCAAAGGCTCCTGACTGGATCGGTCGAAAATGGGCTCTGTTTGTCGGTGCGGTCGTCACGATCGTGGGTGTCGTCCTCCAGACTGCCGCCCAGAACAACGCCATGTTCGTCATTGCGAGGATCATCATTGGGTTTGGAACCGGTGCCTCGTCCATCGCTGCTCCGGTGTACCTGTCTGAGACGGTACCGGACAAGCTCCGAGCCCTGTCGCTGGTTCTGCTTTACGATTCCTGGTATGTCGGTAAGTACAGTACATTTCCTCTTTTGGTCCAGCAGTGCCGGGCGGACATGGGTCCAATAGCTGACAGCGAAACAGGTGATTTGATCGCTGCGGGTATCACTTACGGCAGTGCAAAGATGGACTCGACGCGCGCCTGGCGCCTCCCATCAGCGCTCCTGGGACTGTTCAGCCTTCTATGCATCATCCTCATTCCGTTCCCACCCGAGTCTCCTCGATGGCTCCAGAACCAGGGACGCAGCCAGGAGGCTCTATTGGCGTTGGCCCGGACACATTCGAATGGCAGCATTGACGATCCTGCTGTGACGGTCCAGTTCCGGCAGATCACCGACACGCTGGCGTTCGAGAAGTCGGTCGAGAAGCCGACGTTCGTCAAGTAACTTGTCGACAGCTCATCCACGCCCCATCGCATCTTCCTGGTCTGCACGGTGGCGGTGTTCGCCATGCTTTCCGGCAACAATATCATCTCGTACTACTTCGGCACCATGTTGACGCAGGCCGGGGCCACCGACCCGACCACGCAGCTGGAGATCAACATCATCCTGAGTGCTTGGTGTCTGGTCATCCCTTTGGTGGGGACTGCCATGGCCGACAAGCTCGGCCTGAAATCCCGTGCCGCTGCCTCTACGGGATTGCTGACCATCTTAATCTTCCTGGTCGGCGCCTTGACCAAGCTGTACGGGGTTTCCGACCACAGCTCGGGCATCTACGGCACGGTCGCCGCAATCTTCCTATTCCAGGGAGCCTATAGCTTTGGCTGGACACCGCTCACGGTGCTGTACCCACCCGAGGTGCTCAACATCGGCATCCGCTCGCTCGGCATGGGGATCTATACGTTTCTCGTCAAGGGCGTCGGCCTGCTGGTCACCTTCGCCTTCCCTTTTGCGCTGGAGGCCATTGGGTGGAAGACGTACATGATCAACGGCGCGTGGGACGTGGTGGAGTTAGTCGTCGTGCTGGTCTTCTCGATGGAGATCCGTGGACGGACCCTCGAGGAGATCGACGAGAACCTCGATGGCGAAGTCCATTCCGCGGCGCCACCATTGCAGGCCATCCTGGACGTTGCGCCGGAGGAGAGAGCCGAGGTTGTCGGTGCACTCGAATTGAGGAAGGACAAGGACTTTGTGGTCCGAGAGGTCATGGAGGAGTAGGGCCATGGTGATGTGGGACAAGGCAAAGACATGAGTGCGCTGCTTGCTATCATTTGCCTATCTTGTCGCGGAGGTAGTAGTGATACCATCAGAGTTCAATCACGATAATGCTGCTGAACGGCGTGTGGTGTCCCAATACTCTGTTGGTGCTCGGGTATTGTAACAGCGATGTGCCTCCCACTGAACTGCTTGTTGGTGTTTCTATTCCACCTTATCGTCCTCTGACGCTCGAGAAAAGCCATTTTCCATCCCGATCGAGTGTCAGACATCTTGCCTGGAGACCCGGCTACTAGCTATCAGTTGCCATTCCATGTACCGTTACTTGTGTCCAGAATGATAGTGGCGCCTGTGAGATCGCATGTAAGCATATCTAGATCTCTCTATTTTCAACGATACTCCTGACCCCGTACTTACGGCGCAGATGGGGCACAATCCAATCATGAATGACTGACTCCAATTTAGGATGCGAAAGCACCAGGCGGGAAGCTTGAAGCTCGGACGTGTCGCGGGTTCTTTCTGCCGAGGCGATACAGTCGTTGATTACTCCGTACAGAGTCCGTACATTCATCCACTTGAGCTCGGATGGTCGTGAACGCCTCGGCGAAAACTCGTCTATCACGATAAAGCACGACTTGACACTCTTGCGAAATGCCAACATCACCACCCCTCCCTGTGAAACGGGCAACAGCTTGTCAATCCTGCCACGCGAGAAAGGTCCGTTGCGATCTCAACCTGCATGAAAGCACGCGCGATTGCTGCTCGAATTGCCGTGACTCGCAAAGGGTGTGCTTGTAAGTCCGGATGGTCACAGAACATTGGCGAGCTTGAAAATTGACAATCACTACCCAGACCTCACACGAGGAAACGCAGGCGCGTGGACGCGGAGAAGGATGCGAGTCCGCGCCCCGTTGAACTCAAGAAGGCGAAATCTCTGACGCACGGCGACGGGCCCGACACACCAGCCCAGCAGGCCAGCTATCTCGGCCGGAGCGACTACCTCACGGCCCATTTGGACATCGACGAGGATGATGCAACCCACTACAATGGGCCCGGGCTCCGCGCAGGCGCCTTCCAAAGTTTCGAAGCCCGGATCAGGCGCAACGTCTCGTCACTGGAGATCCCAAGAGGGACGTTAAGGCAGAGTCTGCTGCAGAATTTCCTGCACTGGTGTCGTCCATGGATGCCTCTTGTCAGCGAAACAGACCTGGAGAGGCTCGACGCCAGGAATCAAGATACGCTGCTTGTCACGGCGGTTCTCGTGGCCGGGAGTATCGTCTCGTCGGCCCCTGAAGCTGCGGTGCACGGGCGGCGATGCTACCAGCGGGCAAAAGTGCTGTTCTACACCAACGGGGAGCAAAACCATCTACACACCATCATGGCCATCCTGTTCCTACAGTGGCTGAACCCGTCGGGGCCCGAGCACGTGTCCATTGACAACAGCAGCTTCTGGCTTCGAACGAGCGTCGCGCTTGCTCATCAGATCGGGCTTCATCGCGAGCCCGATCCTAGGATGGCTGAGGCAAGGCTACGCCGAAGGATCTGGTGGGCACTCGTTGTAAGTCATTCAGCTACGTAGATCGATAAAGAGCATTTCTAATTATCTCGCGCAACAGTCCAGGGACAATCTGATAGCCACGAGTCACGGGCGCCCTAGGGCCATCAACGCAGAAGACTCGAATGTCCGACCTCTGCGCGTCGATGATTTCGAACCCGGCGACACCGACGCTCTCCTGTTCATGCAGTTCGTTCAGATCACCTCCACTTTAGGGGATATGACGGAACACTACCGACGCGGAACGCTTTCGGACCGCAAAAAGATCGACTTTGAGGACTCGCTCCGGGCGTGGGTGAACACCTTGCCGTCAACTCTGCGGCTGTACCGTCGCGAGAAGAACACCAACAAACTGACCGAGTACGACTTCAAGTTCCGCCAGCTGCACGTCCTGTACTTCACCGCGCTGATCATCCTCTTCCGCCACGACAACAAGAACGACCCGCCCGCGCCGGTTTCGCTGCTGGCTGCGTCATTCATCTCTGGTATTTTCGAGGAATTCCTCACGCACGAAGACATCCCGCATCTGCCCGTGACGGCGATCTTCTACCTAATGGTCGCGGCGCTGCTTCAACTGTCGTACCAGCGGTTCCCCTCGCTGGCCGTCCATCGCAACGACGAGATTGACATCATTAGACTCTCGTTGGACGGCCTGAAGAAGAGGTTTCCCTCCGCCATTGGGGCAGAGAGGGTACTCAATCAGATGATGAACCATTCGACGTCCCTTCAAGACACACCGGAGTCCACGCGCATGAAGGTGACATCCGAGGAGGCCGAGTTTTTTGCGCCGTTTGGCCCTGAGCTGTGCCGCCAGTGGGGTTCGGGCTTTGGGCCACGCCCAGCGGTGCCGTTTGCAATGGGTGACGTTGCTGGAGTGGGCGACAATGCTCCTGCTCATGCTAATGACGGTGTCACAGAGATGGCAGGTCAAGGACAATATGCAGAGGGTCATGTCATTGGGAATACGAGCACAACAGGGGGAGAGGCCGCCCCTGGCTCTGGCCGTGTAGATTCGCTGTGGGATGCTACTGGCCCGCTCCTCCTCCCGCAAGACGAGGACACCCTGTTCTCCAGCGAACAGACACTAGACACCGTCGGCCGCTGGTGGTGGGCGGACTGGGTGCCTGAGGCGGATTTGGATTTCTTATCAAAGTCGTTGTGACGAGAGGGTATGTGGTGTGTGACGGCTTAGTGGCTGATCCTTATAAGCTGTCTCACCAACGATGCGGTGGTAAGACGATGGTCTACTATTGATATACATGTTGACATCCGCCATGACCACCGCTACTGACATTGGAATCCATATCATTATCGACATCACAATCGATATTACTGTTAGCACCACCACTACATGGTAACCCCGAGTCCCCGACATCACTATCACCATCGACATCGCCAGCGCTATCATCATCGGCATCGTGTTGAACACCACCGAGCACAATGTCTATGGAATTGCTCGCCAACGGCGTGCCTGGACGATCGAGCGAGCTGCTCTACTCGAAAACAGTCTGCTGAAGGTGCATGAGAGTGGTGAACATTGTATGACAGTAGTCTGTAGTGCAGTGCATGTTATGCTACGGACGACCCCCATGGGCAGCAAATCAATGTTTCAAAGATGACAAGAGTCCGCCGGCCCTTCTACTTGAACAAAGGTACACGCCTCCATCACTATTGTAAGAGCCCGCCCAGCCTTCTCCTTAAGCAAAGGTGCACGCCTCCGTCAATATGGCAAGAAACCATAGGGCCTTGCCTACGCCGACACACTCGTCTTTCGATGCCCGTACTCCATATTCGCCAGCGCATCCCCCTCCTCGACGGTCGCCACTCCGCCTTCGATTCTCGCGGTCCTCAGTTCTTCCTCGGTGATGGTCTTGACCGGTCCCAAGAACCAGTGCCTGCCGCCCCACTTGGGGAAGAACCAGCCCACCAGGCTGATGATCGTGATGATGCCGATGCATATCGGTGCGTAATTTAATGTGTCTGCGTCGACGGGATACAGTTGCGGCAGTAACAGGACGGCAAACAGGAACAGAATGTATGCAGACGCGATGATGGATAGTGGGAGGGAAAACCTCCCCAGATTCCACTTTGCGGGCACGAAGGATTTGCGCCCGACCGTTTGTCTTGCGATGATGGGGATCAGGTACGAGACGTTGGTCGCGATGGTCGCGGTGGCGGTAATGGCGGAGAAGGCGACGGCCGAGCCGATGACCGCAGTGGTAATGACACAGGACATGACGAATACGAGCAGCCCAGCGTTGACCGCCATCTTCCTCTTGGAGAGCTTCTTGAAGATGAAGCTGAAGGGCAGGACTCCGTCGCGCGAGATGGCGTACGTGACTCGTTGGGCGCTCATGAAGCACGACGCCGTTGCGCACGTGCTGTCCACCCAGAGGAGTGACAGGATGGCCACGGCGCCGTTGTCGCCGATGAGCTGAACTAGATATTCGGCCCAGTTATTCGCGTACGTGGCTGAGATGATGCCCTCAAAGTCCTGCAGGCAGAGGAGGATGATGATAAGGGTGGGTACAGACAGGATCCAGGCCGAGAAAGTTGACGTATAGATTCCCTTGGCCACGACCGTTGATGCTTGCTTCGTCTCTTCGGCGAGATGCGCTGACGCATCGTAGCCGTAGAAGACCCAAGCGCCAAAGAGGACCGAGATGACCCTACCCATTCAATCAGCTGAGCCGTACAACTTGGACAAAAGCTACCGCATCAGTAACTTACCAGCAATACCCATCAGACGCCTCCTTCTTGTCGCCAAGGTTGATCCCGTTGTAGAACAACCCGAACGCTCCGTGGCTGCTGTTGAAATGCTTCTCCGAGGCCTTGATCGGGAACCAGATCCAGTAGATGAAGAACAAGCTGAAGAAGATGGCCACCGCGAACCGGAAGTAGTACTGGAGCAGTCTCGGGTTGTAGATGTTCGGAATCATGGCGAAGATCATGCCGATCGAGGTGAGCAGCCACAGGAACCATCCCTTGTGCAGGACCTCGGCATCGGGATACTTGATCATGAGAGCCGAAACCAAGAAATTGGTACTGCCTTGTTGCACTCCCGGGACGACAGAAATCCAGCCTGCCCAGTTCCACCAGGCGGTCATCCAACTCAGGAAGGGCCCGTATTTCTCTCCCCCAAGGCGGTAACTCCAGAAGTAGATGCCACCAGTCGTAGGCAAGGACGCAGCCAGCTCAGCCATCACCAAACTGACAATGCAAGACAAGCCGCCGACCATGGTCCAGTTCGCCAACGCCGCCTGGGTCCCGCCAGTGTACATTACCCAGCCGAACAGCACGGGAATGCCAGAAATGAAGTTCATTGAGCTGAAGGTGCTCGCCCAACTTTCGAAGAAGCCCAGGCAGCGGACGAATTCTTGCTTGTAACCCAAAGTCGCGAGATGATATTCGTCATGGGTGAGGATGAGGCCGACCTCCCTCGGTGCGCCGGCATCTTGCATGGAAGGAGACTCGGACGAGGGAGGTGAGTGCTTGACATCTGTCTGTGTCGGTGATTTTTCGACGGCGGAAGCCATGGTCAAAAGGCTCTTGAAGCCAAAGGCAGACACCAACTTAGCCTACTGTATCGTGTACAAGCGGGGGTTGCTCGTCTCCAGTACGTACCATATGTATATGTACCACTTGGAGGCACTAAGCCAGGTGCGCCTCATCTCGGACATCTGCACTACCAAGGGTCTGGCCTCAAGGACTAGTTCTAGTAGTACCAGCACCAATGTGTGTGTCCCAATACCAGTTTTAAGGCCTATCAGCTTCAGTACTTGCCGTTATCAACAAGCTTGATCTGGCGGCGAGCTTAGTGATAGGCGCCATGCCTATTGAGGTTCGAAATTGCGGAGAAGGTTGCCCTCGACGAGCTATCCTTTCGGATTTGAGATGTTCGACCACTGGCGAGGCGGTGCCCAAAATGCTTATCGCTCGTGGTCTAATCCAGGGCTGTAACCAGTAAGCCCCTCCTGGTCCAGGCGGCGTCTTCTCTCGTGGATCGCCCGTTGTCGGCCAGGGCATCGATCCGCGTTTCGCGGGTCGCTGAAGGTTGAAATGCCGCTTCTTCAAGGCGAGAGACCAATCAAATTGGAAAGCGCGAGCCGACGATAAGAGTGATCCATGGCGCTGGGCTGCAGGAGCCATGCTTGCGGCAGCCACAGATTCGGTATTCCTCGCATGATATCTGCAGGGAGTAGTCGTCTATGACCATATCGTTGGGTTAACCACGTGGGAAGTGGCTAGCGGGAAAACGTTGCGACTGCCGGTACGCACACTCAACGCTCCCAGAAGCCGCGGAAGAAGATACCAGGCTCCAGTATAGCCGAAGCTTCAAGGAAGAGCTCGGACAGACCCGGACAGGGCAAATCGCCATGTGAGTCGGTTTACCAATACACGAACCATACTGATATAGACAAACTTGGACTCGGGCAGGGTCGGCCTTATATATGAGGGCTGGCGAGGAGAACGTATTGCATGCTACGTGTAGCCGATCCAACTTCAACTCAACAAGGGCTTTGCTCGCCCACATTGCCATCTACCTGCCCGTCTTCTTCCTCTCGTAGTATCGTAGAGGAGGGTAACAAAAGAGGGTGATGGCGCCGGACATGTAGACGCCAACATCACCGCCAAAGGGTCCAAATTTCTGGGCGATAGGGCCGACATACTGGAAGAGGCTGTTAGTAAGGGCCTCATCTGGAGCACTGACGTTGACTTACCCAAACTTGAGCCATTCCAGGTACACCACCAGCAAGGTATCCAGCAAGCAGGGAGAAGGTAGCTGCGGTCCCTAACGGGAGCTTTTTCGGCATATCCCAAACCTCCAGGTTGTATCCCTCACCAGAGCGCTTGCGGAACCATTGGTCCTCGATCAAGAGGATGAGGGTGAAAGATATGGTCCAATAGCCGAGAAGGGACACGAAATCCGAAACAATGGTCGAGAGGTGGTCCTTTCCGATGATTGCGAGAAGAGCGACGACCAAGGCGACTCCAAAGGACCAGATGAACCGGGGAACAGCGTGGAACCAATGGCCAAGAAGTTGGATGGACAGGCCAGAAGAATAGTTGATGGCAATGTTGTTGCCAATAACACTGAAGGTGAGGATCACCAAGCAGAATTTGCTCCAACCCAACGGGTGGTAGATTTCGCGCAACAGGCCGCCCAAGCCATGATCCTCGTAGGCAGCTGCATAAGGCGGATACGCGTTCAGTATGGCGGCGTTGCCAATGCAAGAACCAACAACCGTTACGAAGACGGTTGGCAGTGTCACGCCAGCAAGGGTAAGGAAGAAGACCTTTGACGACTTGGTGGTGGCAGGGTAATTGCAGTAGTAATCGGCAGCAATGGAGCACCAGCCGGAGGAGCTCGAAAAGCAAATAGCCATGAAACTGAGCCACGAGCCGGCAGTCTCGAGATTCGAGGACGGGAATCCTGGGGCGCTAGGGCCGACGTGCGGCGCAGCTTGACCGATCAAGACGCAGATGAGGATGAAGGACACAATCCAGCTATATTTCTCGACAGTGTGGATGATGGAAAACCCAAAGACGGACACCACATAGGATATTATGGCAACGATGACGCAGCCCACAGCGATCGAGACTGTGTAGTCGCTAACTGCGCTCAGCATTTGCCCTGTGATGACCACATTGACGACAGCAAAGCCGCCGCCAACGACCACATTCAGGACACTGCAGAGCTTTGCTCCCCAGAAGCCGAACGAGTAGCGAGAGATCGCGATCTGCCGAAGTCCGGTCTTAGGCCCGAGAGTGCCAGTGTATGCCGTGCAAAGCGCGCCGAGAATTGTGCCGACAACGACAGCGGCGACCGACTGACCCAGTGTAAGACCAAATTCGGGCCCAAGGACACCAAGAGGGAGGGTCCCAACGTGGCAGGTCATGGACCACCACATGAAAAAGATATTGACCGTGGAAGGCGGACGTTTCTCTTCTTCGGGAATGCGGTCGACACCTTGCGTTTCAATCCCCATCTTTTCATCGAGCCAAGCCTCTCCCCTGCTCAACCAACGGAGGGGTGCAAAACTGTTCTGGAGATGTCTTGCTCGCGCGATTTCGTACGCGGGAGTGACGCTGCCATGGCGGATGTCAAGCCCGCCTGTCTCGTTGATTTCTGGTTGCTTTTCGACATCATGGGCTTTGGATAGCTCTGAAGACGCGCTATGGGGCTCGATAGTCGCCATGTTTGGACTCGGAAGAAGCCAGAGTTGGCGACCTAGGCCCTGATATGACCGAGAAAGAAAGGCGTCGAGGAGGCTTCCAGGTTGCACAAGTGCGGATAGTCGACCTGATGGCAGCTACGGGGACATTAAATATGGCATGGGTGAAAGATAACACGAGCAACTTGTGACAGCCACCACTGCCGGATTGTGCCGCGAGCTGAAGCTTGATCGTATCTTAACTTCGTTAAGCACCGCGCCAGAGGTCTTGTTCACCAGACAGACCCCTGTCTAAGGGGAGTGAATGTGACCCTGGTTCTCCAAGAGAAGGATGATCTGGAAGACTGTTAGCGAGCAAGACTACGGAGGCAGCCGATGGCAATGGAACAAGGTGTCCAAGCGGGAAGCGGTAGGCGAGCAGTTGATAAGGGCGATCCAGTCAGCGTGGTTGGATTGAACAGCTACGCCACATTGTCGATGCGTAGCGTTGCGGGAGATATGGTTGCTTTGGCAATCCCCCAGTCACTAGATGCGCGCATCGTGCTGGCCGAGTGCTCTGTGCGTCCCCAGTATGAGTTTCCGGCATGGGGAGTGGGACGATCTTATATGACCAGATGGGCCTCTCGCGGATCGCGTAAACCCAGCTGTCGAGATTATTTGTGTTTGGAGGGAGAGGGCGAAGTGCGACGGACTCGCCAAGCCCTGACAAGAGAGTCAAGCTCTCTGGGCATTGCTTGAACGCTCCCGCAGCCTCCCGCGCACTCGTTCGGTGCATAGCAGGCTGCCTCTCGACTTTGCTTTTCCGCGCGTCGGAGGCTTCGAGCACCCGAACCTTTGTTCAAAACATAGTTGAGAGTCTCGGTTAAGGCCGACGCGGCGCTTAGTGAGCCTCCATCCTTATCTTTGCTCGGGATCCCCTTTTCATGAGCAATGATCGGCGCTTGCTGCCCCCCGATGACCTTCCTCTTCCTGCATCCCAAAGACAGGTCCGCGCGGAGCCCGCGCCAATCGAGCAGCGCGACAGCACGATCTCCCCAGTATCGTGTATAACTATGGGCAGTCTTGGGATAGACCGTCCGCGCTGACCAGTGATGACTCCACCCACGCATCTCCGCAGAACAACTCGGTAGAGGCGGCGTACATAGCCCCAAAGTGTGAATGCACGGCTCGGCACTTACCCTACACCCTCGTCTTGTAGGTGCGAACGAACTCTTCATCGTCAATGCAATAGCGCTGTTTCCGAACAGTAACGAGTCCTCCACGCGACATGAGCACTGAGATCCCCATCATCGACTTTGCACGCGCGTCATCGTCGCCAGAGCAGCTAGCAAGCGAACTTCTCACGGCTTGCACCGACTGGGGTCTGTAGGCACGAATCACGCATGCGATGCATCTGCAAGGCTGCCATGTGGCCATACTAACGTCTCCCGGTACAGGCTTCTTCTTTGTCGAGAACCATCCCATAGCACAAGAGGACATTGATGGCATATTTGCGTTGGTATGCTTGCCCGAGCAGTTTATCCGACATGTTTGAGCGCTACGTTTCCGAGCGACCATTCTCTGGTCGTCTTTTCCCAGTCGAGACCAGTATTCGCAGCCATGCGATCTCCATGTTGTGTTCAGGAGGGGCCATCCTGCGATACCCTTTTGCGCAAAGCTCTCGGTGTATCATGATTGATACTTTCTAGCATGGTAACACATCGTACTAAGACATCAAACTCACCACCACAGGAACGACGATTCTTCGCCCAGCCGCTGTCAGAAAAGTCCAAAGCCCCATACGTAGCGGCGCGAAACGCGGGCTATAAACCCGCCAGCTCGTACGGGTAAGTGAGTCCCTTCCTCTGCGCCGGGCCTCGCGTTTTACCCTCCAGCCATATCAGTCAAGGGAGACAAAGGCGACGGGCAAACTAACCGTGCATGTCCAGAGCCGACGGCAAATTCACAGACCCGCGCGAAGCCATCAGCATCAACAAATGGCCTACATCCTCGCACGCCTCGGCGGCCACCCTGCCACCCATCCTTTCGGAAGCACGGGATCAAATCCACGGTTTCCAGCGCCAAGTCCAAGCATTCACTACACAGCTGCTGGAACTCGTTGCCCTGGCCCTCGGCCTTCCTGCCACGACATTTACCAGGAACCATAACCCCGAGAGGGAGAACTTCGACAACTTCGAGCTGATGCACTACCCTCCTGTCGCTCCGGCTGGCGGTACCGGTGTCGATACTGGTGCTGGCGCTCCTTCCGAGGCCTCGTCCACGTTCCGCATCTCTCCGCACACTGACTGGGGCACGTTGACCCTGCTATTCCAGTCCGCGGTTGGGGGCCTCGAAGTCCGGCCACCAAAATACACGTCGCCTACACTTTCGCTGTTGACCGAGAAATGGACACCAGCGCCTCCGCTGCGGGACAATATCCTCGTCAATATAGGTGACATGCTGGAGTTCTGGACAGCGGGCAAATTAAAGAGTACGTGGCATAGGGTGGTTCCCACGGCCGCGGATTGGAAATTGGATAGATACACCTTTGCGTATTTCCTCCATCCGGACAAGGACTGCGTGCTGGTGCCCATGGGCGGGATGGAGAAGGAGGGTTGGGTGCCCAGATATGAGGGCGTCGGGAGGACGGCGGAAACGCATATCCATACGAGGATTCGGGCTGTCCATGGTGGGAAGAAATGAGATCGTGACGGTGAGCGCCTGGAGAATGGGATGACGGAAATCGAGGCACAGGCATGACTCGACCCAAGATGTGTGCTCTCAACGTTTGCTGGTGGTCATAACTCTCCAGGGAAGACTGTCGCTCGATAACAATAGACAGACCTGTGGGGCTCAATTTTCAACAAGAGCCGTTATTAGGGAAGAATGATTAGATATTCAAATTGTAAATCCGTCTCAACTCTAGGCTGTTCCCCCCTTCAACCCCATAACCTCCTTAAACCAGATCCGATCTTCTCGAGTCCAGCGTGGATATGGGCTCGCTTCGCAGTGAAACCTTTCTTTGACATGGAACGGTGTCCTGCTTCAAGCGCGGCAGACTGGAAGTTTTCCAGTTGTTTAGCTTGCCATAATTGCCAGCGCTGTTGATTGACATGCATCTGCTTCGTGAGTTTGACATGCATGCTACACGTCTGCGCCGTTGGTAGTGACGGGGAGGTCGAGTATGAGTTCGAGGCTACTGTTGAGGCGACCGAGCCGGACGAGGTCGGCATTTCCCTTAGGGAACGGAGAGACGAGAGGGAGGATGAGTGTGGGCGCGACGTTGGTTGGGGGCGTTCCATGGTCGGTGATGGGCAGGAAGATATTTTGCTTGAGATTTGTATACTGGAAGTGTTACGAGATAGCGATGAAAGGTCCTCAGGCCCTGGAGTATTCGTAAGGTCCTTGTGGCTGAGCGTCCTGGTTGACGAATGCAAAAGCGCCCAATGGTGTGAGAGATGCTGTACTGTTCAGTAGACTGGAATCCCACATCTGCTCTGCGAGGTAGACAGCCGTTCGTATATCTACTGTTCCAAAAGTCCAAGGGACAGGATCGTAACGGGCACAGATAGGATAAATCTCCATTGCGCCATTCTGAAGTCAGATTGTCCGACCGAGCGATGACCTACCTTCCTCACAGAGTCATGTCTCAAAACACTACACAAGGGCAAAGATACGAAGGGACTGCGTAACGGGCTCGTCACTTGTTACCCCCTCCACGTTTAGCCAGGCGAAAAGAGCCATAGCTGTGTGCCATAGGCTAAATTTTGAGATCTACTGATCGCAAAGATAGGTCAATGGCGGGCATAGATACCGCATGCGGAAACTCGGGAAGAGGGACTGTCGAAGAAGGGTCGTGGGACATCGGTTCTCGTAGGGTTGCAGTGATCGAGGCTGGAACACTACTCGTTGCGGCCTGAAAAGCGAGGTCTGCGGTCTGGAAGTAACGGCGATTGATAATGATGCGTGGCCTTGCACTCCGCATTCCCGAAGTCGGACTGGGCGCTCCATGCTTGCGAAAAGCCTTCGTAAGTACGAAAACCTTGAGGCTTGTAAGAGGAATAAAGGCGGCAGCCTGCTGTACCCCTTAAGTGAGACAAGTCCGTAAGCGTGACTTGATGCTTGCGACCAGGGCCCATGACATAGGCGTAGGACGGCAACACCCAACCCAGGGATTGTTCAACACTTCGCAAAGGTGCCGATTTAGGGAATCAAAGAGTCTCAGGTTCTCCAGTTGAATAATGAAGGCAGGAGACGTGCGATGTGTATACATGATGTCAAACGAAGTGCGAGCAACTGGTGTGAGATGATAAACTTCACGGCCCTTTCACAGCTCCCAGAAGTGCGCAGAACGATTTGCGATGTAACGAACGCTCATTGGAATGGGTCCCAGGCATGATGGGTAGTCTCATTTTCAGGCTGTTGTCAAAGAAAGAGCAGATATCCTGACTGTGTGCATTGGGATTGCTAATGTCATCTTTATGCTGGGGACGAAGAAGGGGCGGAGGTCGATGGTATTGAGGTACGACGGCAGCATGATCGACCTTGGCTCGAGGGGCAGTCATTGCGATCGTGTGGGCGTCGAGGGTTTGAGGCTGCATGAGCGTGTTGCTGGGTGACGGGGACCGAGTGGGCTTTTGAAGGCCCATGCAGGGGCTAGTGTCAACAGAAACGCACGCGCCAACTGCTCAGGAGAGCCTCATCCTTCTTGAATTTTTGACACCAGAGTCAAGAACATCCCCGTGCGAAGCAGCACAACATTTGATCAGTCGGACCGCAGGTTTGGAAAGGAAAGAATTATTCTGGGTAGCCTCAAGTTCAAGATGGTGAGTTCTTGCCTCCCATTCGTCCATTCACCTTCCGCTGAGTTGCGCAACCTTGACTAAACACACCTTTCGTCCACCAACAAACACACACGCGCCATCTCATCTTCTGCTCTCCTGCAGATTCTCTCTGCCTCAACCTCGAGTTTTCCTAGATCATCTATTCATAATGGCTAACACTGCATCTTCCGCTGGGCAGACGTCAACCAACTACAAGGAGGCCTTTTCGCTGTACGACAAGCGCGGGAACGGACGTGTTGCGCTCGAGTCACTGGGCGATCTGCTACGCGCATGCGGCCAAAATCCTACCCTCGCTGAGATCCGCGACTTGGAGAAGCAAGTCGGCGGCGACTGTAAGAGGCGACGAACATTTCCAGCCAAGAACAGAAGCTAATCCAGTGTGCAGTCGACTTTGACTCCTTTCAGAAAGTTCTCAATCGACCGGGCGGCTTCAGAGACCCTGGCGAACCAGAAGAATACTGTCGCGGCTTCCAAGTCTTTGACAAGGATATGACGGGATTTATCGGAGTGGGACAACTGAGATACATTTTGACGAACCTCGGCGAGAAGATGAGCGACGAAGAGGTTGACGAGTTGTTGAAGGCGGTCGACACAAGCAGCGGCGAGATAAACTACATGGAACTCGTCAGGACGATCCTTGCCAATTGAGAAAACTACTTGATTCCACTTATGAGCAGCGACACAATGTCATGGCATGAACTTGAACGCATGGTTTTTTGGGTGTTGGCGTAACAACGAGCAAGGGCACAGTTGGTTTCCAAGTCAGATTGCGATGCAAGAAGCCTGGCAGAGCCTGAGGCTCCAAGGGTATCAAAATGCCGAATAAACACTGCACATGTCCCCATCCTATGTTTGTTCTGCCCAGGCAGGACTTGCTGGTTCCTTGCCCTCTACCATTTCCGCTGTGCTGAGTAGACCACCAGGGAGCAGATAGAGTGGCATTGCTCGTTCCTCCACGTCCGCCCAATGAGCCTCGTCCAGACTGTATCCTATGACTAGTTTGCATCTGGCACATTTGAGCAAAGTTCTTTTCTCGAACCCATCTTCCTTTCGAATTATCACGGGTCTGCGCTGTGGTGCAACGTTGAGCAAAACAGAATTCGCTGTTTGCGCACTTTCTAGCTCGATTGCATCGGACCTAGCTATGTCGACGGGCGGAGCCAGGACTAGGGCGGCGTCTTGAACGGGTTCCTGCCGCCGAGGAAGAGTTTGTAGGTCGTGTGTCGTGGTCAAGATGAGCGTGGTGCACAGGCAGTGGTAGGTGTGAATTGATGTTGATGGTGCTTCCTCGGCCATCGAGGATGACGCGAGCTTGAGGTGAGACTGGGTGCGGTCGAAGAGAAGGCCCGTGGGGGTCGATTCAGACAGTACGATTCTGGTGCCCAACTCTACTTTGCTTGCTACCAGTAGGTAGTACTCATACCTGATCGCCCAGTTCTGTACACAATCCGTGTCTGCGGTTGTTGTGTCTCCACACAAATTCTTCAGCGGATCTCTAGGCGGTGTTCCGCAGCTGTGGGATTACCGTTTCTCGCCTAATTTGTCTTCTCGACGTCACCACTTCCCCAGAGCCCATTCACCATTCAAGGCAACTTTGCGCGTCTCGCTCATGGTGACTCGAGTCAAGGCGAGAGGCATTTCCCTTGCCTGACTACAGCCCTGTATGTTTCCTGGATTGAGGTACTGTCGACCTTCGATGCCCGGTCTCAATGCCACCCTTCATACCCAGAAAGAGGCCGTCCACATCGCCACCCACCGCATCTCGACCGACACCCACGAAGCGGGCAAAACTCGCAGATGTACTAGATGCAGAGGCGAGGAATGTGCCGGGTCTTGAAAGGAAGGAGACCTTCTCTCTCGGAGGAAGTGACAGTTCCGACTCCTCTCTGAGCGACGTCGACAGTGATCTATTCGAGGACATCCCCGTCGAAAGCGAGCGGTCCTCAGCTCCTGTTCAAAAGCACGAGGATGACGAAGAGGAAGATATAGAGTGGGAAGATGCTGCCCATCATAAACATGAGGATGAAAATTTACCAGACTATAAGCCGCAGTCGGACGGCCCGATCGAAATCACGCTGCGCACACGGGACGATGAAGGAGAGAATTGGCTTGAGCAGGCAGCGGCCAAGATGAAGAAAGCCCCTTCGAAACGGGACAAACAAGTCAGGATTTGCACTCATCAGCTCCACGTACAGTTCCTCCTCTGGCATAACGCGATTCGGAATAGGTGGGTATCAGACAGGGAGGTGCAGCAGATTCTTGTCCAAAGCTTACCACCTCCAATCAAGAGAGAAGTCGACAAATGGAAGAGACGTAGCGGAGTTGCATTCGCAGAGGAGTCTAAAGACAAAGCAAAAGCAGCCAAAAGCAAGACTCGCCGGAAGCAAGTGGCGACTGAGCTGGGTCGTGAGCGAGAATGGGGTAGGCCGAGCCAGTGCCTTGAGAAAGGACAACCAGACATGAGCAACGGCGATCCACTGATATTGCTCTTGAAAGTCTTGGCCGCTTACTGGAAGAAGAATTTTTCAATTACAGCCCCAGGTCTGCGGAAAGGCGGCTATGGCACGACACGGGAACGTAAACAGATTATTCAATCCCTGCAGAAGGACGAATATGACCCTGAACGGCACGGCGAGCGAGTTATAAATGTTCAAGAATTCCGTGGGCTCGCTAGGAGACTCGAAGGCTCGAGGGACGTCGGCGCACAGCTGTTTACAGCGCTTCTCAGAGGTCTAGGCATCGAAGCGAGGCTGGTGACAAGTCTGCAACCCAGCGGTTTTGGCTGGACAAAGGCCGAACAGATGCTGCCAAGTAAACCCACTCAAGCAGTTGATACCGATACATCATCAGATGAGTCCGATTCCATGGATGTCAGGTCTATCTCAGAGGTCACGACAAGCAGAAGACATCAAAAGAAGAAGGTCAAAATTACTACCACCAAATTCCTCTCTGAGTCGGACGACGACGACCAGTCCATCATTGACGTGACGCCGTCTCGGAAAAAGAGGCAGTCTCAGAAATACGATCGCGATCATCCGTTCCCAATTTACTGGACTGAAGCTATTTCTCCTGTCACAAACGGAATCTTCCCTGTTTCGCCCCTCGTCCTCAGTACTCCGGTAGCCACAACGCCAGACACACTCGGAGCATTTGAGCCCCGTGGTGTCAAGGCGGAAAAGCCGAAGACAGTTATCGCCTACGTAATCGCGTATTCCTCCGATGGGACTGCCAAGGACGTAACAGTACGCTATCTCAGAAAGCACATCTGGCCTGGAAAAACCAAAGGCTTCCGCTATCCGGTGGAAAAGATCCCAATATACAACAAACACGGCAAAGTTAAACGCTACGAAGACTATGACTGGTTTAAGCGTCTCATGGGCTTCTACGCCCGGCCGGACTTTCTAAGAACCCCCGTCGACGATGTCGAGGACGCAACCGACCTGGTTCCGCAACAGAGCGAGCAGAAAGACTTGAGCCAAAGTGTTGACACGCTTCAATCACTCAAATCCTCAGCCGAGTTCGTCCTCGAACGCTTCCTCCGCCGTGAAGAGGCTCTCCGCACAGATGCCACACCCGTACGGACGTTCATCTCTGGGAAAGGCGACAAACTGAAGCACGAGCCTGTTTACCGCCGCACAGATGTGGAACGCTGCTTGACTGCAGAGTCATGGCACAAGGAAGGTCGGCGCCCTAAGAATGGTGAAGCACCGTTGAAACTCGTGCCCGTCCGCGCGGTGACAATTACTCGGAAACGCGAAGCCGAAGAACATGAGCGTGTGACAGGTGAAAAACAGATGCAGGGCCTTTACAGCTGGGACCAGACTGAGTATATCGTCCCGCCACCTATTGTTGACGGTAAAATCCCCAAGAACGCCTATGGCAATATCGACTGCTTCGTGCCCAGTATGGTCCCCAGAGGCGCAGTGCACATCCCCCTTCGCGGAACCGTGCGCATCTGCAGGAAGCTGCAGATCGATTTCGCCGAGGCCGTCACTGGGTTTGAGTTCGGGAACAAGCGCGCTGTGCCGGTGTGCACAGGCGTTGTCGTAGCGAAAGAGAACGAACGAGCTGTCAGGGATGCCTGGCATGAACACAATGAAGTGCAGAGGGCGAAAGAAGAGAAGAAACTAGAGGCAATTGTCTTGGACACGTGGAGGAAGTTCGTGATAGGGTTGAGGATTAGGGAAAGGGTCAAGGATACGTACGGAGAGAATGCGATCGACGAGTGGATCACTGGGAGGAATGCCGGACAGCCAATTGTCGTGGAGAGTGACCACGAAGATCGTTTGGTACACCAAGGTGGAGGGGTTGCTGAGGACGATGTCGCTGGAGGCGGGTTCTTTCCTGAATCAGATGAGGAGCATCGGGCCAGCGATCTTGAGGTCGGATATCATCCTAATGACGACCGAGACACCGAAGCACCAGCAGAACGAGCGGGTGAAGCCCACTACCCCACCCCTCGATCTGTCACTCCTCCCAAACCCCCGCTCCGTCGGGAGCGACCAAGGCGGTCACGTCTCCTAGAAGATGAGGATGATGATATCTCCGATCTCTCTCCTGCGCCGGTCAGCAGTGTCGATACTTCTTCAAACGGTTCCATGGCAGACGTAGCCAGTAGCGTTGTTGACGATGGTAATCCGAGCAGAAGGGTACAAGGCCTGACCAAAAGCGAGATCGATAGCGTCAGTGACGATGACAGCAGTGACGACGACAGCAGCAACGACGAGGACGACGAGTCAGAGGACTACAAGCCCTCTCAATTCAAAGCCCGCACCAAACCCAACACTTCAAGACGGACAGGACGACCCCGTGGCAGTACCACCAAATCAACACCTCAATCTGCAGGGCAACAGAAACCGACAAGGACAAGCACACGAGTGAGGAAGGCCCCTGATGCGCCCGCCGTAATGAGAACCGAAGCAGACGATGAAGAGGATGAATCACGAACTACAACCATCTCGAAACGGAGATTCAAACCAACTTCTAAGCAAGCAACCCCGAAGAGGCGCACCTTGAGGAGCAACAGCACTGTTGTGACGAGTCCGTACTTTGACAGCTGATCAGAACGCTGAATGGAGGTGTGAAGATTAGCGGACAATTGGTCTGTGACAAAGTATGCTGTACTCCGTAGCCAGGTAAAATGCTGTGAACATGGTATGTACTGTGTGTCGTCGACTTGTCGAGACGAGATGCTTTGCCGGTAGATGTGAACAGGTCGAGACTGTTCTATCCACCGTCGATCAGCCGGCATACTGTGGTAGATATGCAAGACTGTGGTGTGACAGTGATCCTCGGTGGCGCTCCACTGTTGCAGACAATGCCGGTTTAGTAATGTGTGCTCCTGCCCAAGCTGGTACAGTACAGAGTATGCCTGGATGCGCCGAGCATCATGCAGCAGCGGCGCCGACTTCCTTTTCTGCCCGTGAAGCACGGCCTACCACGGTATACAGTACATACTACTCGGTTGGGGCTAGAGCTTGCTAAATGAAAGTGGGTTCAATATGATAGTGGTCGCGCCGAGTGTCCGGTGCTGAGAGGCGTCGATGGTGTGGTTTAGTACTATGCTGGGCACACAGTGTGCATGCTGAGGTTCAGTGTACGGAGTACGAGTAGTTTTCGGCTACGAGCCGGAATAGGAAACTCGATTGGTGCTCCCTGCTGGGTAATTGATACGCATGTACTCCGTACTCCGTACTCGTACGGAGAATGCGCTTGGGACTCTAGAACTTCGGCTAAGGTGGAAGAACGTGGGAAGAACTTCTACCTCGTACCGGCGTTGCAAAAGCTCAGACACTCCTCGTAGCATCACAAAAACGGTTCCTGCTACATACCTTTTCCATATGCATGCCCGCATTGTAAGACCTACGAGTACTGCCTGTGCTATATTGTACGAGGTACCCACCACGATGGATGACAGGATGTCCAGAAGGGCGAGGCCACAGAGAAGGTCATGGACGCCCGTCGAAGGATCCCGTCACTCTGGCTAAGATGATGCCATGCACCCGTAATACCACAGTACTGTGTACGAGGTAGGCAAGTGAGTGGAAAGGCTCGATCGGAGACCTGCGAGCATGCAGATGGCAAGAGGAGCCGAGAACCTGCATGTCTCACTCTAGCTGCACTAGCGATGTTAGCGAGGTGCGGGGCTCAATCGTCGGCAAGGCACCGCACAGTGGTTGGCCACTGCTCCTTCAAGCTTCCGTGCGCTTCCAGTAAATGGCCGCCACTGACTGAATGGTGACCAGTGACGACTGATCTCGACACGCAACATTTTTCCTGGCTCCATGTTCCTGCTTCCTGCCCCTCTGCCACAGCCGTGCCTGCCGCATGTGCATAATCGTAAGTCGCACGTCGCGTTCCTGAACCTCATCGAGAACCACATCAGAGACTGCTACAGTAACTCGTATGGAGTAGACTTATGACTGCAATCGTGACGCTCTAACGTACTGTGTACAGGGTGCTCATACTGTGCACACGAAAGATTGCGTATTGCATTACACTGTTCATGGCTGTCACCGGTCTGCAGACCTGTTTTTCGGCTCTATCGAAGGTTGAACCCAATACGGTCCTCCGCAAGTGGCGTTCCCATCGGCGCTTACCTGCTTCTTATCGATTGGCTGCCGTTGGACAGTGATAGGCACCGATTGGCAAAACTTTGCAAGCTTTGAGTGAGCTCACTAAGCTCTCCTCCTCGTCATAGCTGGTCCACGATTTGTGCACACAGTCACATTGGCTCAGGGCGACTCCGAATTGTGGTGATGGCAGCGGCGCTACCAAGTACTGTGTACGGAGTAAGTCTACAAATGTTCTTCCTAGTCTCCTACATCTTGGGCCATTGCGATGCAACGTACAGAGTACTCCTCCACCTTGTTGGTTGAGCTGCGGAATGTGGCTGCTTCGGAGCCCGATAGTTTTGCAAACAACGCAGAAGGCTCGTACCCGGATCGGACAGATCCTCTGTGGCTTGCTCGGAGTCCCTCAGCAGTTCCTGTCGCATCTTTCTTCCAGCTGTGCCAGCGGTGATGTGCACCCTCGCTGCTGCATCCCTTCATCCGGTTGGATGCAGACTTCGGTGCCTTCGGCAGCCAGTGGAGAGACAAGGCTTCTTAGCACCCGAGACACTACCCTCTTCGAGTAGCTGCAGGCTCCTCGGGCTCTGAGTGGAAGGGAAGTACCCAGTACCTGCTCGTCCCGAATGCTGTGAACTGTGGACTGAGTAGCAGTATGTAGCTCCACCCAGTTTAGCCCTCGTGGCCGGCAAAACCGAGTGCGACCTTGCAGATCCACCACTGCCGACCTTCTACTCCACTATGACATGATGCCATGAGGAACAGGTTTGGTTGCGTGGGAACGATACCGCACGCTGCCAGATCTCCGGAAACATCACGACCTGTTCTGTTGGGAAAATGTGGAGAGCAGCCTCTACAGTCATGCTATTCCATGACAGAATTGACGAACAAAGAGCATAACCGAGGACATGTGGGCAGTGGCGCCCTCCACCCAACGACCAGTCCTACAAAACCATACATATCCCATCCAGTGACCATGCAGCTCTTCTTTCACCTGTCCAGCCCTTTACCGAACAGATTCAGAGCTCCTTCGCTAAGGCTCTAGACATTCGCTTCCTTCCATTCACACTCGCGTTGTAACCTATCCGCGAAACACCTCATCTTCAACATGAAGGCTGTATCATTCTTGGCCATCGTTGGCGTCGCCAGCGCGAACAACAGTTGGAACGACTGGGCCAACAGCACATCAACAACTACTACAAAGAGTCAGTCGTTGTCTTCTCCAAGATGACTGTCAGGTATCTAACACCCCCATAGCAACATCTACGACTCCTTCACCTACTTGGTCGGACTGTGAGCTCGATCCCACCCAACCCTCACAGGGCAAAATTGGTCTCAATTGATATCTGACTCCTTCTAGGGACCACCTCAAGCAGCATAAAGTCGACAACGACAAGCACGACCCAGTCGACCTGGGCTGATTGTGAGTATTCTTGCCTCGACTAGCCAGGTCAGATTGAAGACCTGTTTTGGACGAATCATCTGGATAGGTTTCTGACCACTCAACAGGGACGACCACATCAAGCACCACCACTACCACCACCACCACCACCCCCGTTGTTAAAACGAGCTCGACCGTCTGGAGCGATTGTACGTGTCCCCGTAACTGCCATATGATTCGGTTCTCCATCTGGCGCCTTTCATTTCCTCGAACTACGACATTATCTAACAGTGGTCTCGTAGGGACCACTACGACGACTCCTGCGCCCATCGTTGAAACCACCTCGACCATCTGGAGCGATTGTAAGTGTCCCGTGGCTGCCATATAACTGTCTCTGCTATGTGGCGCCCGTCTCTTCCTCAAACCATGATATTATCTAACAAGGCTACCGTAGGGACCACTAGCACGACTCCCGCACCTGTCATTGAAACCAGCTCAACCGTATGGAAAGACTGTAAGTGTCCCGTGGCTCCCACACGACTGTCTTGCCTACAGGGGTTCCTTCTTTACTTCCAGCTCCATCATCTTCTGACAGTTCTCTGCAGGGACCACCTCGACAGCTCCAGCTCCAGCTCCCAAGCCAACAACCGTCGAGACTTCATACGTCCCAGCTCCTGCGAAGAGCACACCATCTCCTGTCGCGAGTTGGAATGATTGGACAAGCACCGTCGAGACTTCCTACACTCCTGCTCCTGCCCCTGCTCCCGTGGAGAGCACACCATCTCCTGTCGCGACTTGGAATGATTGGTCAAGCACCGTCGAGGCTTCGTACACTCCTGCCCCTGCTCCCGCTCCTGTGGAGAGCACTCCGGCTCCAGTTGCGAGTTGGAATGATTGGACGAGCACCGCCGAGACTTCGTACACTCCCGCTCCGGCTCCGGCTCCCGTAGAGAGCACACCGTCTCCTGCCGCGAGTTGGAACGACTGGACAAGCACCATCGAGACTTCATACACACCTGCTCCCGTTCAGAGCACACCATCTCCAGTCGCGACTTGGAGTGATTGGAGCAGTACCATCGCAACGCCGTACGTTCCTGTCGAGACAACCAGCAGCGTCTGGTATAGCAGCGTTGCTCCTGCTACTTACACCGCACCTCCAGTTGCCACCTACACGGGTGCTGCCAGCAGCAACGGCAAGCCGGCTATGGCTATGGTCGCCGGCCTTGTCGGTTTGGTGGTCCTCGCCTAAATAAATGCACGAGACTACTTCCTCCCCGGGCTGAGAAATGCTCTGAGTGGATGCAGAAAAACACCAAACTCAAACCTCCTATTCTTACAACGACGTTCATGCACCTTGACCCGAACTGTCCAATCGCCGCGAGGCGATTGCCGAACGACGGATGTCTATATTGCCAGAACCGACTTCTATTGAAAGCCTCGGGCGTGGCACCAGCACGCTGACGCGGGTACATAATCATACGCACAATCCTTCCGACTCGGAAAGAAAACGACACACTCCTTAGGATTAAAAGACGATACGCTCCTTACGACGAAAACGATTACGCCATCATGTATGTATGCATGGTGACACCCTGAATGTAAATGGACACAGATGCATAATATTGTGGTGGGCATAATAGCGAGCGAGTTAATTAACTTGGCGCGTCCGGACTCCGGGCGTAGCAGACTGCATAGCTGCTTGGAACGAAAAGGCGGGCGAGGGTTAGGCAGAGGTCAATAGTGACTGAAGGATATACTTAGTCATATCAAACCCTGTGGTAAAAGCTTGGAACTGCTCGACAGGTGCTCAGGTCTAACCCCGTGACTCACTTGCTCCATGTTGCTCTGCCCCCTTCCCAATGTATCCGAGAAGTGTTTCTACCTGGTTCAAAGCCACAGATACTGCCGAGTCGTACCCACGTCGAACCACGAAGCCGAAATTGTCCAGTCAGAATACAGGGTAACAAGGACTCGAACACAGGATAATGGTGATTGTGAAGCTGGAAATAATCAATAGTCTCATATTACAACTTCTGCTTCACGATTTTCTTGCCCGCTCCTCGTAGCGCGTTTTCGCCGTCAACCAAAACACACCAGCCCTCTCCTCCAACAGTCCCATCCTCAAATCCTCCGATCGCGAACTCGAAATTCTCCTTGGCATACTTCAAATCCTCATCCTCGAAGCTGCCTGGCTGGAACCACACGGCTTTGACGCCGGCATCTTTTGCTTCCCGAAGCGTACGTCTGGTAATCGCTGGTGGCGTGACGAATGACAACGCTGTCTGATCCGGGTGAGGTAGTGCCGAGACCGACGAGACGGTGTCGTACGTCTTCGATGGCAAGGATATTGATGGACGCGTCGGGTTGATGGGCGTCACGGGCAACGTGTGTTGATGATACCACGCGAGTAGCCGATAGCCGAATTTACTCTTGTCTTGACTTGCGCCAGTCACGGCAAAATAGGGCAAGGAGAAGAACCTCTTGGCAGCGGCTTCCATGGCGGTCGCTCAGTGCAGACTTGACGGAGGTATTGCGTGTCGCTGTGGACGTTGGTCATTCTAATATCCCGCGACAAGAAAGCACGTCAGCGTGTGATGCCATCGAGCCATTCAACCACTTAGTCATCGAGCAGCCTTGCCGGCCTGGCATGATTGTGCTAGGCCCCATCAAGCTAGGTGGCTCACGATAAGCTCGATAAGGCAGACTCCGACTCGGCGCCTCATATGGCTGGTGAATGTGGTGGTGTGGCTGACTGTGGCTCTCTGCGGCTTCATCGTGGCTTGTGAGTCTCAGGCGGCCTGCCAACACGGGGAAACAGAGCTTCCGGCGGGCATGAACCAATCGAACACGCGGCTTAGAGACGCCCCTAGAGGGTCTCTAGGCTCCGGGCGCGGGCTGCTGCGGGCTGCCCGCTGGAATTGAACAAAAGTGAGTCTCCGACGAATTGGTCAAAACGACTGCTCTCCTCCCGTACAGCAGCTTCTGCTGCCTCAGTCATGCTCGAGTGGTGCCATCGCATGATTCCGCCATCATCTTGCCACCTGTGAGACACTGTGTCGCCACCACTGCCCACGATTCGACCGGACAACCCGTCCTCCCACAAGTATGGCCGAACTGGCTCTCCGCGGTCGGGATCAGCCTGATATCCGAGCGAGGATCAGCATCCACGATGACGACTCTCCCAATGATCTCAAAGAACTCCAGCTTGCAGACCAAACACAGAGAGCTTTACGTTCGAAGCATTCGTGGACTCCCCCCGAAGCAGTCGCATCGTTGCAGAGAGCCGCTTTGCGCAAGGCCCGGACGCTTCCTTATCCTTATCGACCGGGCCACTTCAGCGACATCCCCGCCTCGGACGCCCTGCCCTGCCCGATCATCCGCTCCAACAGCCTGAATTCCCTGTCAACGATACAGCGAGAAACCGAAGCCGCGTCCTTGAGTCTCTACAGAGGATCTCCGATATCTGCGATTGGTCCTTCCTATGCTGCCCCGTCCTGGACAGTCAGTATCGACGAGGAGCTCCAGGACCCATGTCCACCGCGACTCCCGCTGCGGGTAGAGACCCTCAGCGAGCAGCGCAAAGTTCAAAAGCGCTTGAAGAAGTCCTTGAAGAAACAGGAGAAGGAGCAGGCCAAGGCGCAAAAGGAAGAAGAACAACTACGTCGAGCATTCCTGGCAGCTGATGTCGCTGCTGCACGAAGGAAGGATGCGGCAGCCAGGGGAGAGCCCCTTCCTCTACGCACAAAGAGCACCAGGAGCATTGCCTCACAGGTTGTCAAGAGCTTTAGCTTGAAGTCTCACCTGAGAAAACTGAGTCGCCATGTCAGACGGGAGAAGGCCGAACCGCCAACTCTAGATGACTTTGACAGCAAATCGGCCATTCGAGAGTATCTCAATCCCTCTCCACTCCCACCAGCATCCCCACCTCCTCTGTCAGCTGGGATAGCGGAGCTGCCTGCCGAGCTCCCCCAGTACACGCCCTTTCAAGACTCCACGAGGACTCAAGACAATGAACCTGTTGCTCTTCTGGAAGACGCGAATCCGGCAAGAGAAAAGGATGTTGTTGCGTCGCCTGTTACGGAAAATAACCCGGATGCCACTGGTTCGCAGCCAAAACCGAAGTCAATGAGATGCGACTCATGCCAGAGCCCGATCCGCCTGAGCCAGGTGTACTACCACTGCACGATCTGTGACGGTGGAGACAGAATACTTTGCTCTTCATGTGATCAGGCTGGCTGGAGCTGTCGGCACGACCTGACAGAGAAGGTGCGTAGTGTATCTCGCCCTGATGCCGCGGAGAAGACCAATGCATCCGACTCGATTAGAGAACCCAACCGGTCAGGAGCCCAACAATATGCTGGCGCTACGTGGGGTTTGAAAATGTCAGATGTCTCTGTCCGTTCAAGTCGGTGGACCGAGTCCCCCATGGAAGCCACAATCTCGGCAGCAAGCCCCTGGGCCTTCAATGACATTGTGGACCAGAACAAGCTACACGCAGCTGAGAAAAAGGAAATACCCTTGAGCCAGCAGCTTTCTGATGACTCCAGAGAGCTGGACTATCGCCGGCGCGAACTAGAGATGGAGTTTCGTGACAGGCTGATCGCCATGAGAGAGAAAGAGACTGCCCTACGGGAGCAAAATGCCTCATACAGAGAGCAAGAGGCTGCGCTCCACATGAAACAGCAGGTGTTCTCATTGCAGCTGGAATCTGCGATCGCCAGACAGATGACCGGACTGTCTTCTGGTGTGGGGACACAATTTGAGGACCTCTTGCAGGTAGGTACTCAGCTTCAGACTTTGTCACCTCCGTCCCGTGCTTTGGTATCACATTGAAATTAGACATTGTGCTGACGAGCGCTTGCAGCATGATAAGATTCGAGCTCATGCCACCAAGCGCAAGGCCGGGGCTGGGCAAGCCGTGGTGTCACCCGCTAATTCCACAGGCTCAAATCAGAAGCAGTCACCAAAGCGTACTCCAAGCCGTGGCCAAGATGCAGAGGAGGACGAGGAAGATGCGCCCAGTGGCACGCCCAAAAAGATCAAGCAAGAACCAGATGCCCTTCAGTCTCCTGAGAAGCTCTTTGCCTGCCCATTCTGCAAATTCGACAAATCAAAGTACTCGGAGCAGAACGTGCAGGAGAAGCAGTATCGTGGATGCTCGAGCGGATACTGGCCAGACATCTCACGCCTGAAGCAACATCTTTATCGAGTCCACTGGCGGCGCATTCACTGTACCCGCTGTTATGCTCGTTTTGACCGCAAAGATCAACTGGATCAGCACCGCCGTGCCGCAGCCTCCTGCGCTCTGGTAGATTGTCCATATCCGGAGAAGTTCGACGAGGCGCAATACAACGAGATTCGCCGTAAACGACCAGCAAGCACTTCTGAACAGGTCTGGTACACTATCTACGGTATCCTGTTCCCCGATCTGCCGCGTCCGGCAAGTCCTTATGCAGATAATGTGGATATGCCGTCCGCAGTCAGCCCTGGTCCGACAGACACAAGAGACACGATGGACGTGCTAGGGGAGGTATTTGAATCACGTCTGGACCGTCTTACTAACGCGCCGGGTCAGGGTTGGCTCCAGTCGGCGGAAGCGAGGCAACTCATCCGTGAGCAGTTGAGAGCATCCATGACGGACGTCCTCCACAGGTTGAGACCCGCGAATAGTCCTTCTTTGGGCAACCCTTCTGGGGATGTGTCCCCGATTTCAGCCGGGGCACCAGACTCGGCACGGCGTAGCTCTATATGTCTCACAACACCAGCGTCTTCAATTCCACCCTCTCCTGTACATGGCCCTGGTTCAGCCAACAGAGCTGGGTCGGATATGCATTTCCTTTCACCGGGACATCGCCACAGTTTCAGCAGACCTTTCTCGGCCAGAACAGTGCCGCAGCTTTCCACGCCACAACCACCTCAAAAGATCGAGCTTGGAGACGAGCTGACCTCTGGGGTGACCTTCCCCGTGCCTATGGCTATCGACCCCGAGAATGACAGATACGATGAGGAGTGCAACAGTTGGAGCCATGGGGACGAGCGCGGTCTTGCCATATCGACAGATTCGATGCCAGCGGATTTCAACTTTGACTTTGCAGCGGCATTTGAGGATCTACACAAAATGGAGATTGAGTCGGCCTCGGCAGCTATAACCGAATTCGTTCCAGTCAAACTTGCTAGTCTCGATGACCCAGCTGCCGGAACGTTTACGGGTTCCAGTACTCTGAAGCCCAAGCACTCGACCACGTCATCTGTCGACTCGGGCTACGGCAGCCTCGGCCATGCAGCGTCTTCAGCCTCAGCGTCCACCTCGTCCTCGTCATTCGGGACCGGTCCCAGTCCGAAGACGGTCCAACAAGGCAAGAACAAGGGCAAGCGAAAAGCGGCGCAAGCAGCAAGAGAACCAAGTCCTGTGCCAGAGTCGGCGATCAATTACGATGCTTTGGAGGTTCCCTTTCAGGATTTTTCCGGCGTAAATCTGGACTTGGACTTGGAAGGACACCTATCGCAGTATGGCGTCGACTTTGGACATCCCAACGGCGGTGGCAATGTGAATGTAAATACGGGTGCTGCCAATGTTTCGGCGTATTTGGACAGGAGGTATCCTCGAGGCGTTCAAGGGGCGGGAGGAGGAAGGTAGCGTTTTTACTTAATCCCTGTGCTCTCCCTTACTCGATGGAGGGATTATAACGCGTAACATTTTCCACAATCATACCTAGGTATATTATAGAGCGAGGTGGACAGATCAAACACCTGCTTGACGCCCGAGTTGTCTCTGGCATTGAGAACGAAATTCTGTCCTACTCAGACGCCTGGCTTTTGATTGGACTGTTACTACAGCCTGGCGCCCGGACTCAGGAGGGCACAGTCATTCATCTCGGTAACGCCTCTATACGAGGATTGGGTGAGCATATTAGCTACCAGGTACCTACCTAGGTAGTAATTGAGACTCGGAATTTAATTGCTCTTGGGTCGCGGTATCTTCGTTGTTATCGCGTCGGACTTCGACTCCGCCTGATTTACAGCGAGATGATGCTTTTGCTGTGGCTGACATCATAGGCAATACATCATGACCACCTCAGCCTCCAGTGAGATGAAAGTGAGTGATCCCTTCTGATAGATTATTCAGAACAGATTCATACTCGCATTATCTCTGCAGGGCTTACATTTTTGATTTCCCTTCAGCCTTGCCCAACGGTTCTTCCTGACAGTACTTCATTTGCGACCATGGCCGAATCAGTAATCCCACTGAAATGCACGTGCAACACCTATCCCTGGGGCAAGAAGGGCAAGGAGTCATTGGCAGCGCGCCTTTGCTCCAGGACAAACCCAGATTTTCAGCTCGACGAGTCCAAGGAGTACTCGGAAATGTGGTTTGGGACATACCCCGAACTCCCGTCCTACTCCCTCAAAACGGGCCAAGACTTGCAGCAGATCCTGAACGAGAACAAAGACGCTCTGATCGGCAAGAACGTCTGTGACAAGTTCGGTGCCGACCTACCGTTCCTGCCCAAGATTCTGTCCATCGCAAAGGCCCTGCCCCTGCAGATTCACCCGGACAAAGCCCTCTCAGAGAAACTACACAAGGAAGACCCCGAGAAATTCTCCGATCCGAACCACAAACCCGAGATCGCTGTCGCGTTGTCCAAGTTCGAGGCCTTCGTCGGTTTCAAACCACACGCCGATGTCCAGGAACTGTTGCAGCTGGAGCCATTGGCGCGCTTCTTGCCCACGCAAGCGAAAGGGGTCGACGTGAGTGACGACGAGCTACTGCGGCAGATCACCACGAACATGCTCAAGGCGGACGAGAAGACGGTCGAGTCAACAATGAAGGAACTGCAGGCCACGTCCAAGGACCAGCTGGGGAGACACGCGTATATCCTAGATCTGGCGCCTCGATTGAAGGACCAGTACGGAGTCACGGACAATGGCAACCTCGTCGCACTGGTGTGCATGAATTACCTCGTCCTTGATGCCGGTTCTGCGATCTACATTCCCGCCGACGGTATTCACGCGTACCTCTCCGGCGATATTGTCGAGTGCATGGCACGGTCTAACAACGTGATCAACACGGGATTTTGTCCGCGAGCGGACCGCGACTCGGTCGACTTGTTCGCCAGGTCGTTGACATTCAAGCAGCACGACCCGAAAGAACCGATCTTGGACAGGAGACCGAGCGAGAAGAGTGGGAGTGGCAAGACCGTCGAGTTTAACCCGCCGATGAGTGAATTCAACATGCTCGTTACGGAGCTGTCTGGTGGGGAGAAGGAGAAGATCAAGCCGATCGACGGCCCGAGCACCTTGATCGTGACGAGCGGAAGTGGGACGTTGAATGCGGGAGGCCAGGAGTATAGTCTCCAGGAGGGAAGTATTTTCTTCGTGGGCCAGGGTGTCGAAGTCGAATACGCTGCGGGCGACAAGCTGGCTGTGTACCGAGCGTACGCTGAGTGAGAGGTTATTCACGCCCAACGCATACCTTGGTATGTCGTACCTTGTGCGGGTATACTGGCGCTCCGAAGTTCACGCCCGTAGATTTATCCATTCCGAAAAAGACACAATTTAGAAGCCCGTGTGCCTGTTTGCACGCCGTCCACGGTTCGGTCTCAGAGCCCGAACGTTCGTGCCTTCTAACCGAATCGGTTCATGGTGTTAACGGTGTCACCGCGTCTGCATGACTCGTTTCTTAGTCAGCCACATGCAGCGGACGGCTAAACAGCGGTGCTAATGCTGATGGTGCGTTTGTCTCTCCCACTTACCGTACACAGTAGGCATCATTCAAGTTCCACATCAATTCACAAGGCTCCGAGGCATCAGAGTCCACGCGTGGATGATCCCAACTCGACTGTGACCTCGCACGGTGCGCATCTCCCACCCTGCCAATGCTACGATAAGGACCCCTCGCGATGGAGCCCAGCGCGAAGTCGAGCCCCCCACAGGGCAAACCGGCCAAGACGTTTTCTTGTGTTCGGTGCTTTGAGCGGAAGGTCAAATGCAATAAGGAGAATCCGTGTAATGGATGCCTACGCGCGAAGGTTGAATGGCAAGTGCTTTTAATCGTTGATCAGTTACCCTCCTTCCCTTCCTCGGACTCTGTGCTCTGGCAATTGGAGGAGTTGCTCGCCATGACCACATCGCCACACCAACTTGTCCGGCTTGTATCTCTTGCGCGCGCGGAGAGATCAACGATTGACATGATTGTTCACTAAGTACAGTATATTTCGCATCCCAGCGCCGCCTCGACGGCGGAAACGGAAAAACACGGAAGAAACGATCCAAGCCCGCCTCAAACACTATGAGGTTCTCCTGCGCGAGCAGGGCATCGACCCAGCTTCTCCAACCCGTGCTCTTAGCAAGACGGAGACCACTTCCACCCCGGAAGACGGCGAGCAGTGTGATGCAGCAGCCTCGAAACCCCAAGAACCGATCAATTGGGCACCGGGTTCCGCGCAGGGAAAGTTGATTGTCGACCAGGGGAGATCGCGCTTCATCGAAAAGTAAGCACCTTGGACGTCGTGGATTGGTGTCTTCAACTGAATCCGCGCAGCAAGTTATGGGTCACTGTCAGCGAAGAGGTGTGTGGTCCCGCCGCCTGCCAAACGCTCGCGCTATGAACTGTCCTAATCTGGCTTCCGCAGCTCCATCACAGCAAAGATGCAATCCCGGACAGCGAGACAGAAGATGAGCTGGAGACGCCGGCGGAAGATGGCGCAGATTTCGTCCTGGGGATGACCTCCTCGCCGAACCAGACGGCCAACTTGCACCCCAGCACTAATCATATACTCAAGTTATGGCAGCTGTTCCTGACTAACGTCAACCCACTGGTGAAGATCATCCATCAGCCCAGCATGCAGCGCGTTATTGAGGACGCGACAACTGATATAGGACACATTCCCCGCGGGCTTGAAGCGCTCATATTCTCTATTTATACTGCCGCCATCCATTCTATGCGGGATGGTGAGTGCCTAGCAACGTTTGGCGAAACTCGGTCAGCTCTACAATCTCGATATCGCCTGGGCGTGCGCCGATCATTGACGAGAGCTCATTTCATGGGCTCGTCGGACATTCTTGTCCTGCAAGCATTGGTGATATATCTCGTGAGTTGAAACCAGATGCTGCACCGTTCACAACTGATCGAAGGCAGCTTGCTGTGCGACAAGAACTCGACGCCCGGACGTTGTGGACATTGGCTGGTGTCTCAAGCCGTATGGCTCAAGGGATGGGCGTCCACCGCAACGGTGCCGTTCTTGGCCTCCCACCTTTTGAAACGGAGATGCGCCGCCGGCTCTGGTGGCAAATCAACCTGCTGGACTTCAAGGCCGCCGAGCTGAGCGGCTTCGGCGGCTTCAATTCCATGCGCTGGTGGAACACCAAGACGCCCTCGAACGTCAACGACGCAGACATGTGGCCCGGCATGAAGGAGCCTCCTGTCGAGCATGTCCGGCCCACAGAGATGGTCATCTGCCTGTTGCATTACGAGATGGGCGGGTTCTGGAGGAAGAAACTGACGCAAGCTGGGATCGCGGAGGAAGATCTGTCCCGAGCCATGACCCACTGGGTGACGACCAAGACGGTGGCCGAAAAGGACGCCTTCGTCGACGAATTCCAGGGCAATCTCGAAGAGCGGATCCTGAGATATTGCGATCCGTCTGTTCCGATGGAGATGATGGCTCTGATCATCGGCCGCATGATGTGTAAGAGTGTACGATTCATGGCGCACCATCCCCGTCGCTACGCCAGTGAGAAGGACATCCCCGAGAATGAGCGCCACTTCCTCTGGACGACGAGCATGGCAATCATCGAAGCCGACAACCTCGCGCATTCGCACCGCTCCTTGCAGCGCTTCCAATGGCACATCGACCACGGCTTTCAGTGGCATGCCTTTATCTACGTGCTTGGCGAACTGGCGGCCCGCCCAGTAGGGGAGGGGAAGGACGAATCGTGGGCTCAGATCGAGGACGTCCACAAGAACCATCCCAAGTAAGTCAGGCAGTTCATGTGATGTGCCTTCGTCGTTTGTCGTTCGATGGTATTGAGGCTTCCCTCCCGCGAACTGACTCTTACGCGTGCAGCTTCGTCTCCGATCGGCGTAAACCGCTCCACCTCGCCATCGGGAACCTGTGTCTCAAGGCGTGGCGTGCTCGTGAGAAAGCCCAGGCCGACAATCCCACTGGCGTGACTTTAGCGAGGCTGGACCCTCCGCAGTTCATCATCCAGCTCAGAAAGCAGAGGGAACCCAAGGCCATGAAGTCGACCAATTTTTCACGGCCAGGACTGTCGCAGTTCGATCTTGTCCCTCACGCCCAGGACATGAAGCTGAATGATGCGCCAAACCGGCGACAGTCACGATCGCAATCGCAACCGCAGCAGCAATCAGAATCGCAATCGCATTCGCCACGGCAGTCACACGCCGGGCAACAGCAACAACAGCAGAGCCTGGCTACCTCGCACCACCAGCAGCCGCATCCCACCAACTCGGGCTCTGCCGCATTCTCAGGCACAAGCCCGGGCTCCACGTTTCCCACCAACACGACATATTCGCCCAACGACTTCTCCGTCATGGACGACCTGGCCATGGACATGGACTGGCAACGGTGGGACACGCTGCTCAACGACTTTGAGATGCCCGTTCCCACGGCCGGGCAGTCGTCGGCCGAGGGCATGAACTCGGCGCAATTACAGTTCCTGGGCCAGTATGGGCAGCAGGGATACTCGTGGCCTTTGGCTGCTTATCGGGCGCAGTAAGTCTGTGCGAGGTGGCACTGAGGGACTAGATTAGGCGGGGTCTCCCAGGGGATACAAGACCCCTGATCTAGGCTAATGGGCCCGTGTTGTGGTAGGTTGACCGTTTGGTTGAAGGGAAGGGGATCAGGCGAGACCGGAATAGACACGGACTGTGAGTGAGTGAGCGACGTTAATGTGCTGAATCACTCACCGGGTGTCCGACCATCCGGGAACCTGCTCTACTCTGTCTCCTTCCGTTGTAGAACATAAAAATACAATACGAAATGATGATATTCCTCTTTGTGCTGTATGTGCTCCAAGCTTCTGAAAAGCTTGGAGCCAAGCTTCTGAAAAGCTTGGAGGCTGCAACGATGCGCCCAGCTAGGTGACAGTATGTTGCATGGCTATGTGGTAGATTCCTGAGCCGTGCTCGTCACACCTTGCTCAATGCCCGTGGCCTTGCCCAGCTGACCATCGGTGGACTCCGTTGCGCATTGCTCACCGCTGCGCTCAGCTGACACTTCGCTGGCTTTCGTTGATTTATTGACGAGGCTTGACATCTCAACAGCTGCGTATCCCCTAAACGTCGATGACCCCTTTCGTCCTCAAGGAATGGCCTCTGCCTATATGGATATGTGCATGCACACAGACCTAAAGACTGAGTAAGCAGTAATACACACGTGTATGTCCGTGTGGACGTTCACAGAAAATCTCGGGGCCAACGCCGCCCATGTCGATCACGCTGCTCGTAGAGTCCCTGCGGCGACCATGGCATATCCGTTCCGGAATGTGGGGTCAAAGGAAGGTCATAGGGGAGACGTAGCCCGACAATGGTATTCGAGGACGGAATCGCAGCTGTCGCTGAAGGCACGTCTTTGCCGAACACAGGGACCATTCTCACGATCTCTTGACCCTCTTCATGCTTGGAAGTTCTTGTCGAGGGTGTGATCGCGGTCGCCTTCTCCGTACCTGACTCCGTCTCGTTCTTCCCTTGACTTTCCGCCTCTACTTCTCCTGTGTCAAAGTCCTTGGAGAATAACTCTGGCCACACAAGGACACCAATCTCATAGCTCTGCACGACAACCTCCCTTTCCTTCTGCTTCTCCCGCTGTTTACCCTTGCCTGCCTCCCGTAATGTTCCCCATGCCTGTTGGCTGAGGTTGGCGCTCGTCAGCAACGCCCATCGTATGTCTGGCGTGGGGGACTCTTTGGTCGGCTTGGAGGAGAAGCACACGAATGTCTTGATGTGTGGCGCAGCCTCTGCTCTTCCTGCTCGGAGGGTTTCATTTGGTCCTTGCGTCCACTGACACAGCGACTTCCGTAAGCTGGCGATCTGCTTCAGATGAGCGGCGGATTGGGCTTTCATGTGGATGGAGCCACCGGATGCATAGCCGTTGAGGGAGGACGAGACGTTGCGAGGAGTTGGGTAGATGATTGAGATGCGCGACGGGTCCCACTGACGTTGTTCTTGCGAAGAGCCCGCCGCTAGTGGACCGTGGAGAACGGGGAAAAACTGATTCAGCCAGGCTTGAGGGAGCGTAGCGATTGAGGAGATCTGACACACGACATGGGACGGTGCGGTTTCCTGTCTCTGCTCAGGGAGGATGGAGCTCAAGGCTCGAAACAGGCTCGGGTAGCCCCATAGCTTCTGATCCCACAGCTGCTTGGCATCCCTTGTGGTTGCGAAGTCTTTCATGTGTGAAGGGACTGACGCGATGAGGGCACCTCTTACGCTGCTGAAGTCGAATAGTGCCAATTGGTCCCTTAGCGCTTTTGTTTTCGAGCCATACGCGGCCAAGTATGCCTGGAGGTCGTGCTTGAACCGTGACCCGGACCCAATCTTGCCGACAACAGTGTCAGCATGACGCTTTACGAGAGGCAGCATAGGAGATATCCAGGCCGCTTGGGTCATGTTCGTCCAGTCCTGCGCGAGCATGTTGGCCGTATGGATTACAACCCGGGCGAGATCATCATGGGTGAACAGTATGATCATCTTGCTGTGATGGGTGCCGAATTGGTCGGGCAAGTAAGCTGTAGTCGCTGTGACATTCTCCCACCTGCGGCATGCGTCGTCAATAGCCTGCTTGGCAGGGCTGTCATTCTTCCAGGAGCCGTGAATGACCTTCACTTTGACTTGATTGCGGACGTCGCTGTCGAAGAAGTTCATAAACCAATCGACGTCGAAACAGTAGTTGAAGACCCATGCCTCTTTGATTAGCGGATTGCCCAGGATATCGTGGAGAGACACCGTGTCGATGTTCTGCGACGCTGGCAGGTCACGGATCTTGGTGAGCTTGAATGGCGACGCTATGAGGTTGACTTGTGGAGTCGACTCAGTGTCCTCCAATACTCTGTTGGCCGACATATGCTTCGACGCAGTGGCATTGAAAACACGGGTTTGTACATCCTGAATCTTAGCGGCGGTGGCCGCCTTTGGAGCAGCAGCGGCGGCAGAGATCAGTTGAGGCGTCGTGGTTCCCGATCTAGCAGTTGCTGGCGGTGAGATGGATCTGGAGATTGAGCTGAGGAAGGCTGCTCTTCTGGCACGAATGGACGCGGGGTCGGCGTCCTCGAGTGCTACGTGACCATCGGGCTCGGAATGGAGCTTGACCCGCTTCGATGGTCTTGAGTCCATTGCAAGTCGCTGCGCATATGGCCTCAATGAGGCTGTAAAACAGAAGTGAGGAGAGGCAGAAGGACAAGTCAGTTGCAAAACGGATGCAGTTGAACGCCGCATAAACATAAAAGACCAACGTCTACATGTCTACGTCTCCTGGCTGGGGTCAACTGAGAGTGTTGTGAAAGTTTGCGATCACCAATACAGTGACTGTCTCCGCAATACCTAGGTACCCTCGACATGCCCATGCTAAGCCCGCTCACGTTATGGAGATGAGATGTTACATAGGAAGGTTATCCGGATGCTGCGGTGGCAGCCGCCCAGGGCGTCCTCAGACTCGTATCCATAGGCTCCCTCGTAAGTACGAGGTATGAGGCCTTAAGTATGGGAGAAAAGAGGCAGAATGCACAGGGGTCGAAAGTCGGGTGTGTACGGAGTCAGCCAGGACAAGACCCGTTCAAAGCTCCCCGTTTTTAATACATGGCAGCGTGCTTTTTCATATCCGGCTGGCTCACCCGCCGCCATGCCTTGCAAGCGCCTTGTGGCTTGGTTCGCATTTCTCCGCAATTGAATCTCGATTTCAAGTTCGACCGGCCTCCGCCTCGCCTTGTGTGCTTGGTCTTCTCCGATGCGTCCAAACGCGTCCATCACCTTCTCTCCTAAGGCTGGCTGACTTGCCACAATCCTCGAGCATCCACCGTTGAGTGCGCGGTTGCTCCTTGGAAACAACTCGCGATGGAAAAGTGATGTTTTCCAGCTGTTTGTCCTGCATGATCGTAGTTGAATTTACTGTTCTCTAGCCTTCACTTTCCCTGTCGCATCAACTGCGGTCACTTGAAGCGCGCCCACTCCCACTAATCCTCTCCCTCGTGACAACATTTCCGTCCTGCCACGTCGACTTCTTTGCTCTGTATCAGTCAACGGTTGATCGCCGAACAGATACGCAATAATGTCGCAACCCGTGTCCTTCAAGGATCTCGGAAACGAGCACTTCAAAGCCGGGAAGTTCAAGGAGGCAGAGCAACTCTACACCCAGGCGTGAGCCTTACCAATCCCATGTAACTGACTCAAAACTAACTGTTCCAAACAGTATTGCTGAACACTCCCGCTCCGATCCCAAAGTCTTTGGCAACCGCGCACTGACACGCATCAAGCTGTCAGATTGGCCTGGCGCCGAATCTGATGCCCGTAAGGCAATTGAGCTCTATGGACCCGGGAACAAGACGAATCTCGTCATGAAGGCACACTTCTACTTGGCACAGGCCTTACTACCCCAGCGACACGTAGGGGAAGCGCTGGACGAAGCCAAGCTCGCGTACACCATGTGCATAGAAATACAGGATCCTTCGGCCGACCTGATCGGGATTTTTATACTGAGAGCCAAGCAGGCAAAGTGGCAGGCCAAAGAAACAGCCAGGTTAAGGCAGCTGAATGAGACGCTGGCGCTGGTAGAGGATCTTCTTGACGCTCAGTTACAGCGGGATGTCGATGCGGTTGAAGAGAGGTTCAAGAATGGAGAGATTGGCGAGACCGGGCGGAAAGAGGAGATTGACGAGTTGCGAAATGAGGCTGAGGTAAGAAGAGCGAATATCAGACGGGGCTTTGAGGACAGTAAGAGACCTGAGACGGTGGAGAGGGTACGTCAAACTCCTGCCGTTGTCTCATTCGTGACCACTGACGCTCCATTACAGGTCGTCCCGGACTGGCTGATTGACCCCATCACGTTCGAAGTCATGCACGATCCGATAGTAACACCGACAGGTGTTTCATACGAGCGTGCGTCGTTGTTAAAGCACATCAAGGCAAATGGATGCGATCCACTCACGAGGCAGCCTCTGCGAGCGGACCAGCTGATCCCAAATGTTGCACTGAAGAATGCTTGCTCAGAGTTTCTGGACAAGAATGGGTGGGCGGCGGATTGGTAGGCTTACGCTACTTCGCATTCACCGAAGCGTTCAACCTACCTGCGCTCGCCGCGCGCGAGCCCTTGACCCAGCCGGAATAAGAATTCTTGTTGCCCGCCACATTGATTAGCCGTGTATGGGCGATGGAAGTCCGGGGCTTTTGAGTTGGCAGCAAGACCCTACGAGGCCACGACACAGTGACTACACAACTTTCTCAGCAGGCAGATGAATTTACTGTGCTTGCGAGAAATCGATGCCTACCCCCCAGGCTGTTTGACGACAGGCGTTAATCCTGGCCCAACCGAAATGTCTGAAGCTACCCAGTGCTCGCTCTCCGATGTGTTCATCATGATCTGCTACAGTTACAGCGGCTTGCCGGGTCATGACTTCTCTACGTGAGGAATTATAGAAGCGATCAAAACATTCACATCAAACAAGAAGTTCCCCTGATTGCCACTGGCAGATTTGAGCCTTCATGTTTCCGGTGCGCTTGTGTGTTATCGAACCTCAGGAACCGAGGAATCTGCCTTCGGGATGCTCTGTGGTGTACGATCTCCCCCAATTTGCCAAAGCTGAAAGCTGTTTCCTTGAAAAGCGTCCAGTTGAATCAAGCTGAGGGAACCTCCTTGACTCCACCCGAGGCTGGCGCGGCGAACTTCCTGCCCCGCCAAACGGTCTGACGTCGTTTGGTTGGGACTCGAAGACGCAGTGGGAAGGCCACTTCGCGTTTGTTGACGTCTACATCGCATGCTGCATCCAAGTCTTCATCTCACTTGACGTTCGGTCCGTTCTCAACTGCAATTGCACGAGCATTGATCTGAGCTTTCTTGCGTGATTCACATAGCAGTCTTCAATACCACAGAACCAAGTGAGTGGGCACCCCGCATTTACAGCCTCTTGTTCCAACTTGCCGCAACCATTGAGAGGTCTCTCGAGGATTTCTAACATCTTGTTGCACCATTGTGTCTGTTGTTACTTTCCCTCCACCACCTTGTCCCTTCCGCCGCGCGTGTCATCGCTCGGCATTTGTAACTCGACGGCTGACATCCCGCGATCAAGGAGTCTGAGCAAACGATCGATCAAGCGTCATCTCGACTCGACCTCTTTTCACATAAAGTCTGACCCTGCGGTGAGCCCATGCCTACCCGAGAGCGGAACCGTCGTTCTAATAGAGGCAAAGAGCAAGGAATTAAGAACATCACAACCGAACATTAGACAACATGCCGTCTGCAGCGTTCAAAAAGGCCGCCGATGAGAGCCGTCAACTCAAGGCTAAGCCGAGCAATGATGAGTTGTTGGAGGTGAGTCATGGTGCATTACCTTTCCAGTTCACGGCACGTCTTCGTTATGGTCGCTCTGGGGGTATACTCGCGGCGTGAGATGTGCAAAGAAGAGAGGTTGAAGCGACATGTAATGTGGAAACGTGGGCAAGGAAGACGAGGAGGAATCGTGGCGTACGCGCTCCATGCTGAAATGGAATCCATGGAGAGGAGAATCGTCGCAGAGGCAAGGCAGATGGATGATGTCTCGCTGTTTGCTTTGTCTCACCTCAGTCTGGGACAAAACTTTCAAGGCCATCAGCCATCCTATCTGAGCATACTTGAGAGTCATGTCAACCCTCCTACATGCTTCTTCCTCCATGTTGAGGTGCGATTGACTGATATTCTGTGTCCAGCTTTACGCCCTCTTCAAAGTGGCCAATGGCGAGGACATCTCGAAGGCTCCTGCTCCAGGCATGTTCGACTTGAAGGTATGTGATTTCGAGTTCCTTTATTCTTAGCACGAGCTCAGTCCAGCTCCTTTTGTCCTGATTTTAACGTTTGTGCCTCTCTTGCCACTCAGCAGCTTTCACTGACTTCGGCCTTGCTGAACAGGGGAAAGCCAAGCACAAGGCCTGGCAGAAAGAAGTCGATGCAGGTACCAGCGCCGCTGACGCGGAGAAGAAGTACATCGATCTTGTCAATAAGCTGAAGGGTCAGTATGGGTTCGATCCCAGCAAGGCTCCCGAGGCAGTTGGGAGCTCTTGAATGCGCCTGAGAAGTCCGAGTGACGCATACCGCGGCTGAAGAGCACGCTTGGTGCTCATGCTCGCACGACAGAGTCGCGGTAAAGGACTGTCGATAGCGTTGTCAAAGCTAACACAGTGCTTCCCCAAAGAGAATATCTGCATCATTTTCGCATCACGGCGCTTCTTTCACAGGTTCAGACCGCCCAGCTTCTCGTTGACCTCTTCCTCTTCGTCGTCATCTCCATCCGAGTCGTCCGAATCTTCTGTGATATCTTGCCCTGCAAAAACCATCCATTGTCCATTGAGCACGCTTTTTCGCCAGACTTTTGTAACACCATCGCTTCCCTGACTTAATAGTACTTGACCTTGACCGTCGAAGATGACGGACCATGCATCGGTGTGGGCTTGGGAAAGAGTCGTAAAGGAAGAGAGGGTGGTAAGGTATCCGAAGTCGTAGTTCGTGCGCGCGCCGCCGGGCTGGCTGGATATTTGAGTCGATGATGCTTGAGTTTGGCGCCCAGTAATGGCAGAAGTGAGGCTCGACTGGTGTTGTTGGCGTTGCTGCACGGTACTTCGCCCCTGGGCCGCTGACTGATGCTGCTCCGTTCCATTTCGTCCTTCATTCCCGTTGCCGTTGTCATTCCCCGTCGCATTTTGTCCTTCTGCGACGCCGAGCTCGAAAACTCGCACGGCCCCGTCCTTGCATGCCGTGGCAATGCGATCGGTGCCTCTGACGCTGAACGGCGCCCAAGCCACATCCCTAACCAAGGCCGGATGAACAGGCAGTTTGATCGCTTCATAGAACATGATCCTATGGTTCGCCCCGCCAGTACTCGACACGCCGCTTCCGCCCGCAATCCCCAGGCCTATCCCACCGATACTGCCATCCCCGCCACCACCGCTGCTGCCGGTGTCGGTTCCGGTGGCTGAAGGAACCACGCCGCGGAAGATCTTGACCTCATTTAGCGCGCACACTACGAGGCCGAGCTGTTCGCGCTCATCGCTCACGGACATGATATACGGCAGGGGGGCGGGATTCGGGTCAAACTGGACTTTGAAGCTCGTTTCGTCGCCGCGCGACGGCACTGCGTTGGGCGCACAGACATTGAAGGTGTCAAGGAGCGTCCACTCGCGGATGTCGTCGGGATTGCTCGGCTCGTAGATGCTGAGCAGGCCGAGACGGTCGATCAGCGCGAGGAAGGTGGTGATGTGGTCGGTCGTCAAGGTCTTGATATCGAGTGAGACGAAAGGAACGCGCGGTGTCGATTGGATGGTTGCCACGCGGCGGAAGCGGTGGCCTTGCAGGGGCGCTTGAGTTGCGTCTTCGCTCCAGAGGTGACATTTGAGGTCGTTGCCGATGGTGACAAGGCGGGTGCCTAAGGTTGGAGAGAGGAACTTGGCCTGGCAGATAGTTAGAGGAGATTTCGAGCTAGCGAGCACAGGTAAGCGCTTTGTGAGCAGCATGGAATGCCGACGCACAAGAACAGGAACGCGGCATAATCTGGACCTCCTGATCTTGCTATTGTTGCGCCAAACGGAGATCTAAGGCTCGCCGGCGACTAACCAGGGTGTATCATATTGGTAGGGACGCAAGATGAGGTGGCATATCGGTACTTACATCTTTAATATCGGCGTCGTGCGCCGTGAACGTATCAAGCAGCTTCTTCTCTCCGGTCTTGGAGTCCCGGTCCCAGACCTTAATACGGTGGTCAATGGACCCCGTCAAGATCTTGGTGCCGTTGAAGTTAGTGTGAATGACGGTTACCCGGTCGTTGTGACCGGGGTCGAAAGGCTTGCTTGCCGCCATTGCGGCCTCATCTAGCTGGTGGCGGCGAGGGAGGGGAAAAGGCGCTGAAGTGATGGTGTTGGAAGAGGGTGTGTTCAAGGAGGAGAAAGCTGGTTCGGACGAGCTGCTCGACTGGTTGTCATCCTGGCTGGCTCTGCTATCAAGCCAGTGAGCCACACAAGGGCGCTCCAGCACAAACGGAACACTCACCACTGCTAGTCGTTGCGAACGACGTTGTTGTGCCATGACCGCTGATTGGCGGATTTGCGGAGATGGTGCACGGCCGGATTATCATTGTTGCGTGTGTAGAAATTAGATCCGATGCGGAAGGACAGATTGTCAACGGGGAGCTCTACAGCAACAGTGAGCATGCACCAAACAGCACTGCTGTCGACCTGCCTGACATCCGCGCTGCGGACGAAATCATGGCCTCGACTCTCACCTGCACTGAGAGATGGTCACTCCTCCTCGTCACAGGAGGTTCGCTGGCAGTGCTAGCGAATACATTCCAGGGCGACGGTGCGCCGTTGGTGGCCTCGCTGGCCTTTTCCACCCTGGCATTTTCCATGACCTATGCTTTTGTACGATGGTCTGGTCCAGCTTTTCTGAAAGCCGGTCTGAAAGGCAAGGACATGAGCAAGATCCCGGCGAAAGAAATGTATGTCCCACTTCATTCCCAAGCAGAGCCTTGGCTGATCTGTCGAGTCCTGAGTCCATGGGAGCAGTCGCTGCGGCGGTCTACATCCTGGCATTAATGGCATTCATTCCTTTCGCCTTTTACAAAGACATCGTGGCAGCTACTTCGGGCGGAGGAAATCGAGATGTCGTGGTGACCATCACTGAGGTCGAGACAGGCCGCTTCTTGCACCGTTTCCCACACTCGAAATTATCCTCATATCAATCGGCACTCAACACTCTGCAAGCCACAACCATCCTTGGGATATGCGATGACATTCTCGATCTCCGATGGAGACACAAATTCTTCATCCCAGCAGTGGCCTCACTCCCACTCCTTATCGTCTACTATGTCGACTTTGGAGTTACGTCCGTGGTGGTTCCGACCTTCCTGGTGCCGTACATGCCGCATCAAGCACGTCTCATCAACTTGTCGTTTCTTTACTATCTGTACATGTCGGCTCTCTCCATCTTTGCCCCGAACTCGATCAACATTCTTGCCGGCATCAATGGCATTGAAGTCGGACAATCACTCGTGCTTGCAGGCCTCCTCATCCTCAATTCGGCGCTTTATTTGGTTCCTTTTCCTGGAAACCCGGTCCTGAACCACGCCTATGCCATACGTCCACATCCGGCTACCGACGCTCACCTCATGACGCTGTACATTCTCTTGCCATTCCTGGCTGTATCAACAGCGCTGTATATCCATAACCGGTATCCAGCCAAAGTATTCGTTGGGGACACGTTCTGCTATGTTGCGGGCATGACTTTTGCAGTCGTCGCTATCACGGCCCATTTCAGCAAGACTCTGCTCTTACTCCTCATTCCTCAAATCGTCAACTTCATCTACAGCGTACCACAGCTCTTTCACATCATTCCATGTCCCCGGCATCGACTGCCGAAATTCAATGCGAGGACCGGTCTGCTTGAACCTAGTGTCACCCCCTGGTCTGCAGAAAGACCTCCAAGTAAGCTGCTGACTGCGGTTTTCTTCACTCTCGAGAGGCTTCGTCTCATCCAGGTCACTGTCGATCCAAAGACGAACCGAATATCAGCTACCTCGAATCTTACCATCATTAATCTGTGGCTGGTATGGAGGGGCCCAATGAGAGAAGATCAATTGACGAAGGAGCTGCTTGTGATGCAGACCTGTTGCGGACTTGTCGGATTGTTCGTGAGACATACGATGGCTCGGCTCATCTTTAGCGTGGATAACCGGGGATCTCTCAGCCAAGCGGAGCTCGATTTGACACAGACGCAGCTCAAAAGCCCCTGATCAGTGCTCAAGGTAGCCTGAAAGGGCGGTTGGATGTAGAAATGGAAATTCATTGGGGAGAGATCAACCTTCGGCGCCAGCAGACCTGAGACCGTTGTCCTGGAGCGATACAGCCCGGCCATCAGAGGTCACATGCTAGTGTCAGTGTCGGATCATCGTGTGGTTCTTCTATTTGCGAGACTCGGCTACAACAAGACCAGGTATTGACGACATCCCGGCCAGGATCAGATCGGAACTGATTCTCGACAATACAGGCTCCTGCCCAACGCCATTGCCGGCAGCTCTTATGTATTTCTAGGCGAAGCCGAAGGCGCCGTCCTCTGCCTTTGCATTCCGGCCGCATCTCTCTGAAACACGAGGCGTCCATGCTTGGAGTGCATCTACTCGTCCACGACTAGAATGCTTCTCCCACGACAGGGGTGGTGCGAGTGATGAACTCTCAGCTGTGTGACTATCTTGTCTTGGCTGTTGACGGAAATGAACCGCCAAGGAAAGCAAAGGCTTGGTAGGCATCCGAACTTGGGACTGTTCGCGAACACCCGTCGAAGGCCATACCCTACAAAGTCGACGAAGAGGAATGGCGATAAGATTGATGATTGATTCTCCAGTAGCCTTAAAACGGCCATGGCCATGGCAAACATCCTCTGATGGCTAAGCGCAGGACAATACGCTCTTGATCTCGAAAAGCACGATCAACCACAGGCCTGACTAGCTCCAGCCTCACCAATCCAACAGTCTCGTTGAGAGCGCGCAGGCTGAGCACCTCCACGGCGTTGACATGGACGATATCACGGCTCTTCTGAAGCAACTGCAGCGCTCTATCGATGAGCGTGGGGATCAGCTGCTCGTTTTTCTCAACCACAGTGAAGCTGTACGTGTGTCCCGTCCTTTGACTCTGTCCAGAGCATAAAGGAGCCAGCGAGCGAGCGCCAATGTTAGTTTCGCGATAGCTCGGCGGGTGTATACATGGGTCTAACAAAGGAACCGCGATTTCAAGGAACGCAGATACCATGATTCTATCGGTAAAGTCGTCCACACATGGTGGCTACAGTATCTCACCGGTCTGGTGGGAGTCTCAACACTTGGAGCATCCATCACGTTCGGCGTCCTCACGACGTCTACCGAAGCCGGACCGTCATCCAGCCCTTTTGCCCCAGGCACTGTCCGGACCTTTCTTGCGACTGCTTTCCTCCTCTTCCTCGTAGTAATCGGCCTGGGAAACATGGTGTTCTTCCTCCTGTTCTTCCACGAGAAAGAATACTTTGGAACCGATGATGCATTCAATCAGAGAGTGAGGATATTGTGCATACCGGGACAGTTCAGGACATGGCTTCATTTCTGCAACCTCTTGATCACCACGACTATGCTGGCGGCCTTTGTGGTTTTGGCGTTAGTGATTGTGGCGTACTCTCAGAAGGTCGGATGGGTCGCGGTGGGAACTATTATTGTGTATGCGATTCTCTTCTGGGTACTGTGGTGTTACAAGCTCCGGGATTCTTAAGAGATTTCGCCCCGAAGTGGCCAGGCTTGACAGGCTCTTTTGGCTGGCTGGCTGCACTGAGGCTACGCCAGTACATCGGACTTTCTGCATGGAAAACAATGGTTCGGCTCCAGAGAGCAAATGTGGCTTGCCTTGCACCAACGAAGGTGTGCATTGTTGGCAAGGGCAGTAGTCAAGATGTCAAATGAGGGCTGGGCTCGGCAACTCTTGCTCTGAAGTAACAGTCAAAGCACGATAATGACGTGGTCACAACTAGATCGAAACGGCGTATGTTAAAAACGCCTGGAAAAAAGATGTATGGAAAAGGTCAAGGTATCGCAATGGTATTGTGATATTTCAATGCTTTGCAGCATGAAGCCTTGAAAAGGCTCTATCTCATCACTCTCTCAGAGCCAATCTCGTTCGGTGTATCCTTGAACCAATGCGCCCATCAACGCCCTACAGAATTGTACATGTCGCTTGCAGATAAGTATGTTTCGTAATGATCATAAGCAATCTAGCTCACGCCGCACCAGCTGTGGGTGTATTCTGAATCACCTTTGTAGGTTGCCAGCCAGCGCGGATGATCCTTTCTCCGCTGGAGTCACGGCTGACCTCGCCTTTGGCCTCCAGTTGGGATCTTCTCCAGATATCCACTTCACCTCCACCACGAATAACACCGACTCTCATAGTAGAGAGCAAGTTGTGGGCGGCATTGCTGTGCATGTAAACACCACCGTTGAACATTGCAGTAGCATCCTTTCCAATGCCGGAGCCGATCATAGCCTTACCGCCAGGATGATCCTTGATGAAGTCCGTCACATCATGGACGATGCCAGCAATTGCGACGAGACCGCGTCCGTTCTTGGTTTGGTCAACGTAGTCGTCCCATTCCATGACAGGCAGTTGCTCAAGTGGAACACCCCAGTCGAGCTTGGAACGCTTCTGGTCAAGCTTTTTCTGCTGTTGCTGTAGACGGCCCTTTTCGATTTCATTGCTGCGGAATTGCTTGAGATCGTATGCGAGGCCGAGCTGCTTGCAGGTCCAGATGAACCATTTGGTGGGATCATATTGATGCCATTCGATGGCGTTCCGGTAATCGGATGGGAACTCGTGGTGGAAGTTGTGGTATCCCTCACCAAGGGTGACGAGGGCTGTGATGACATGGTCACGAGGTGAGTTGCGGTCATCAAATGGCTGATCTCCGAGCCAGTGGGCGAGAGAGTTAACGCAGAAGGTGGCTTGTTGAACGAAGAAGATTCGGAGGATGCCTGCGTAGATGAAACCACCGAGGTAGTCACCCCAGCAAAGCCCGGCAACGATGGTTGGGAAGATCAGACCCATGAACAGGACAACTTTGAGATAGTTCTTGTGTTGCCAGATGACCACCGGGTCTTCGTTGAGGTCCGAAATATCGGTTCTTCCAATTCGTTTGGGGTTCTGCTTCATGATCATCCAGCCGAGATGGGAATACAACAGACCCTTGCGGACAGAGTATGGATCCTTCTCGGTATCGGTATATCTGTGGTGTGCTCGGTGATCTCGTGCCCACCATCTGATAGAACCTTCGACGGCACCGCCACCGACCGCAGCAAGGAATATTCTCAGCGGCAGGGTGGCGGAGTATGAGGTGTGTGCCCATAATCTGTGGTACCCTGCCGTGATTCCCAAGCCAGTTGCAAAGTAGTACAGCACCGAGAAGATGGCGGTCTTCCACTGCAAAGGTGTCCACCAAGCCTGAACGCAACCGTACACAGGAATGCCGATGATGAGGGTGACATTGAGCCAATTGACGTGTTTGTACCAGTTAGACTTCGTCATCGGTGTCTCTGTGATGTGTTGCTTCTTCGGGTCGTACTTTGTATTTCTGTTGGGTTCGGAGGGTTTCGCCATTGTAGGAGGTTGTGGTGACTGGAATTCGGGCTTGACAGCCAGGTCACCAGCCGTGGGTTGTGAGGATGGCATGATTGAAACTTAGATGAGTCAACTAATGCCAGGTGGAAAGGGTGTATGGAGGATGAGAGAGTGAGAGAGGACTGAGAAGAATGAGCCGCAGGGTAATTATATTGAAAGGGTGAGCTTGGCCTGAATCGGCGTTGGTCTGTTTGAGACTTTTCTCAGATATGTTGAGAGGCAATTGTGGGGAAAGGCGGTGGAAAGGGTCAAAGGCAGTTGGTGGTGAAGCCGATGCTCAGTCGAGACAAAGTGAATGGATTAGTTCTTCGGATACCGAGGCGGGATTGGTTGCTGTAAGGTATAAATCATGAGCCGGGGCCGATGAAGGTCCGTCAGAGATTTAGGACTGCAAATCATATTGAGCGGCTTTCCCCTGCCTCATGAGATCTCGTCGGTGGACGCCGCAACACGCAAAACCTGGAGTTGGGAAGCAGCGACGTAAAGTGAAAGGGTTTGATTTTGTTGGGGAACGCAACGTCACCCATTCCAACGGCAAGGGTCCTCGGGCACTATTTGATTGGAGGATCGTGTTCTGTGCCTTGCACTAGAATCACGCTAGAAGCCCAGGCGCATGGATGAGATTTTGAATGGCAGCCGGCTCACTGGGGGTCTTCTGTTTTGCAATTTTCCATCACACAGCATGCCAACGCTGGGTAGGTAACCATTGCAGCGGGGACACTTTCGCACTTTGCATGAGGGCGTCTGTCCTTGATGGCTGATCCAAATTTAGAGGAACACTGCGTACGATTTTGACAGCCTGCAGGAACAGCGCATTCTTCGCAGGACTCTCCACTTTTCAACCCAACCAAACCTAAAAGGGTTCAGAGTCGTCAGATCTCGGGTCTCTGACTCCGAAGCAGAACGCCTAGACCTGGGAGCCTGGGACCTCCGAAACGGTTGGGCTTCGCTCTTCGTATGGCCGGGCGTATTTCGTATACACCGGGCAGCCTTTAAAGCGGCCGCCTTTCCGTCTGTCCGTAAAACACGGATCATTGGCGCCTCCAAGACGACATACAAACACCGGCCCGTACAAACACCGAATGCAGAGTTCATCATATGACATCTGTATACTTCTAGCTTCGGTGGCATGTGCTACAATGCTTCCTGGGTATGACGAGACACGAGTAACACCTCTGAACTCAGGCTTCTGCATGGAGAAACGTCGCCGGGTTGATGCAGGCTATGATTTGGATCATGGATTTGCTTTCACCGTGCTTGATGATAGGTGATCGACCATTAAGGATCGCGATCACGTCTCAAGTCTCAGGGCAGTGCAAATATCGTGGTGAGTTGGCGAGCCTGATGATAGAATCATCGGCTGTTAAAAAATCGAGATGACGCCTCAAATCTTCAAGGCAATGATGATATCAATGTGAACTGGCCGTGCTTGATGATTGAGTGATCGAATATCAAGAATCGAGATGATGCCTCAAATGCTCAGAGCAATGAAGATATCGATGTGAGTTGGAAGTGCCTGATGATAGAATGATCGACCATCAAGAATCGAGATGACGCTTCAAATCTTCGGGGTAATGGAAATATGAAGGTGACTTTGCAACGTGAGCCTATCACGTTCATCCATTGTAACGTCTGAGCTGCAATGCAGTGGTGCATTGGTTGCACTTCGCGACAACGACCATCTCTGCAATTGCATGGCACAGCGTCAGGAGGGTGCGCCTTCAGGAATTCGCGCGATGAGCACGGAGGCACGGCTTGGAAGGGATATGGTCTATTCAGGCCTGGATGATGCCATTGATCTTTGGCATGCTGCCCTCAACCCTCCCTTCTCTCTCAAATGGCCATCTTGCACTGCGTCACCATGGAACAGCTCTTGGCCCAAGATCCATCCCATAGCTCCCCTCCATCCGAAGCTCACTGCCCTGATCCTCCGCCCTCTCTCTAACCTCCGCGCCCACATCACCACCGCCCTTCTTCCACCTCGCATGCAATCTTCTCGCCGCAAACCGGCCCACACCCCATATCCCGGCGGCAACGATGCCCGCTCCTATTGACGGCGGAGCAACCACCCACGCCACTCCGCTGATTGCCCCCCCAATGGCAGTAGCTCCTACGGCCGCCACAATTGACCCTACAGCGATATACTTTGCCCAGCGGACAAGACGCCAGATGATGAATTGTCCGACATAGCGCACCGTGCGCAGTAGTGCTCGCGTGCGCAAACGGGTGGGCCTTTCGGCGTTGGTCGGTGAGATTAGATAGTTGAAGTTTCGCCTTGCGGAAACTAGTGCCGAGTTTGACTGTTGGTTCAGGGCGACGTCTTCGTGCTCGTCGACGTGAGCTGCTTGAGCGGTGTGCCTGCCCCTCGATGGTGCCATTTTGACGTGGAGCCGGGAGCTTGATGTGACTCGTTCGTCGAGGTGTTTACAAATGTGCTCGGAGACAGCTTCAGTCCTGCCAAGCAAAGTATTGATGACATCATGGAACAGGAACGCTGAATTACGTCAGACAACAAAAGGTCGTCAAGTCGTCGAGTCGTGAAACCACCTCATATGGGGTTCTCAACTCGTAGGTGCTATTCCATCCATGTCAGGGTCAGATAATGCTTCCATGTGAGAACTTCTTAGCAGGATGTCTAGTCCGAGCAGGGAGTCGTAGGTAAATGCGAGGGTTGGTCAGGGCACTTGCGTCCCAAGCATTTGTTCACAGCGTGAACGTCTACGTCGCGCAAATGCAAAGAAAAGCGGGACTCCTTGGTGCAACACAACGTGAGATTGCGGAAATGCGAAAAGGCAGCATTCAGCGTTCATTAGAGCGATTCTAAAACCTGACCTCCACCCGTAGTGAGGAAGTGCAGGCATTTGATTAGCCGCCGCAACAACTGCAAGCCCCTCCTACAACATCTGAGCTTCAGAGTCCTCAAACTTGTCTGGCTAGACCGTGACAAGGCTTGCGCGACCTCGCCTTTCTGCCAAAGGTGCATCTGGCCCTCCCTTGCGCACTTGTACATGATGACAAGCCAGTTTTCGGTCATATCACATATCTCACCAAGTACCATAAGTTGGCGACCGAAAAACCGAAGCTGTGAATGAGATCTTTCTCGAGCTGAATTGAGGTTACTCAGGTGATCGTGGCTATAAGACGTGGCAATCTCCGTAATCATGCTAACGCTTGGAACATAGAGAGATTGGGTTCATTCAGACGTGGTTCCCTGTGTTGAGAGCCGCGAAGGTACCGTGATTAACACCGGGGCGGATAGTAGGCGAGGCTCCCCCGTACGCGTTTGTGAACGAAGTGATAGAATATGGCGTCGCACACGGGTCGATTTGGGACCATATTAGGTGCATCTGGCATTCGCAAATTCGTGAAGTCCTGAGGCAGGCTGATACTTGTCCACAGAACGGAAGCCCAGGACATGCTTCTCTAGAGATGTCTTTTTCTTCATATTCGTGTTCATCACCAATAGACATGGCCAGCAGTGGTGTGTGAAGCGCGCCTTCGTATTCGTGAGACTGATGCTGTCAACCGGTGTAGTCCGTCACGAAGTGGTGCTGCATATTTTATGGTAGTCTTTGTACTTCTCTGCTCCCTGCGCAATGATGTCCGTCCATTGCTCCATCGAGCAGCTCGCACCAGGGCCGTCCTGACAGCTAGGTATGGGCCGGGGCGCCGTGTTTGCAATGACTCTTATGTACTCGCCCTCACGCCCGGGCCGACCATCACATGTCATCTTTTCCATGCCGACGTGTCCCAGGAATGGGATGAGATCACTCATTCTCCAAGATCGTGCCCAGTTGATATGGTCCGTTGGGAATTCTTCGACGGCAGAGGAAGACGAGTTGAATATTCCTAATGCTGTTGCCACGAAGGGCGGTACTTCGCGGTGGGTGAAGCTGAGGAAAAAGCGCTGGGGTGACGGCCAACCGGAGCCTGTATCTGGTTCTGAGTGGCTGTCCGGTTCCTTCTCAAGTTGCTGAAAGAGCTCGCTCTGTGTTTTAAGCCAGGGGAAGCCCAGGTACGGTGACAATGGGTTCAAGGGACCGACCATGTGTGAATACTTGAGGTCCCCTGGAGAGGTTAGGACCTGTCTGTGACCAGAGATGAAAGAAGTGGCAGGCCAACTTACAGGCATACTCGTACGCAAAGAACTCCGCGTCAGTGAACTGTAAAGTAGTCAGTACCGGTGTCTATCTCATTGAGACAAATGGTGAGCGGGCATGAAAAGGGACAGCAGGGACATTGACCTCTTTGGTCCCAGGTAAAAGCCGTCATACACAAGTTTTGAGGGACAACTTACAACTGCGCAGATGGGACTTCGTTCGCCTTTGATTGCAGACTCATAACCACAAAGACTCTGCAGGCCAACAACGTCATTGTCACTCAACTCAAACGGGGTGAATCGTGCTAGACGCCCAGACACGTGCGGCGCGTAGTGGTGGACGAAGTCACCCATCTCTTTGGTGCCCGGGATCTTGGTGAAGGCTGAGCAACTCTTGTGAGGGATCAAGCTGTCAAAACTGCCATTATGGTTGTGGAGGAATCGAACAACCTCGATGTCTTCGTGATTCGGAAACGCCTTCGCGACGGCTATCGCAGTGTCAAATGTCCTGGGCTTCTTGTCGGCCAAGATCTTCTTCACGGTGGGCGCCAGCTTGGGATATCGTTTGACAAGGTGACCGCCGACTTTCTTTGCATCTTCTGCACCGGACGGTGTGATGTCCTCTAGATGGTCCTCTAAGATCGGTGAGACCCACGTTGACATGAATTCGAGAGGACCAGACCAGCCCTGTCGGTGCTTCTCTAGCTTCCAGAGGAATGGTTTGATATATTCTTCGTACTCGTCGTCGTTAGCGTAGATGGCAGCATGGCGAACAAGGTATGATGCTGCAGTGACCGTGCAGCCCGGCGGTGCCGCATGTTCGAGACCGAATCCCACGGCGTCGAAGTACGGGGATATGCCCGGAAGATGTAACAGGGGGTCAAACTGGTAGCCTTGGGTATGATCTAGCAGGATTGGTGATTGCGCCGGGTAGACTGGCAGAGCTGCAACACATGAGGCGAGATATAGGACACATGCCAGAAGCGCCATGGTGAAAGCGTTCCACGCCGCCGATACCTTGAGCTTGTCACCGCTTCACCACTATTCAAGCTGTCGACGAGAACCTGTTGTGTGGTACTTGCACAATAAGAGCCAGGAGGAAGCAAAAAGAAACCCGTGAGAGCTTCCTCGAACCGATGACGTCGACAGGTACGCATCTTCACCAGCCACCCAGGAGCCACTTACAGCCACCCATCACCTTTGAATGCTCCGACGCCAGCATTTACAGTAGTTAGTGCACACAATTCGATGATATGCTATGGCATACTCCGTACTGCTGGCCAACTCATGCTCTGCATCTGTTGCGCGCCGCGTGGGAACACGAGATGTGCAATTCCTGGATGGAGTCTACCTTTGAAAGCTGGCATAGACGACGGTAAGACACGTTGACAACTCTCGACGTTGTGATTCTTTGGCGCAACTTTTGAGACATACTGTGGCATGATCCCGGATACTCGCCTGCGAGAATGTCACCACCACACCCTATGATATTCTGAGAGCCGCAAACTATTCTGCTGATAACCCCGCGTTTGATATTAAGGAATTAGCTCGGCCACCCGGCGAGATCGCCTCAGCTCACGCGAAGAACACGAAGCCGAGTACGCGTCCGGTTAGGATGATTCGTGGGAGTAGAATGCTAAGGGTACAAACGAGAGAGCAAGACCTGCTGCCAACATTCTCGACTGGGCCTTTGCTGGGCGCCATGGAAATGGCGGCTGGAACACAGATACTATCGCAAGATGGCCATTGGGGTCAAAATCGTATCGTGGCGAGCGTGGCTCGGATCCAACACCATCATTTGCCACATCAGATATTGTTCGGGCGTGCATATTTAGTGTTTGGAATTGAACAAACTGGATGGATTCTGGTAGTTGTTGCGAGTGTACGCGTACGCATGCGTAAGTGGGGGTTTCATTAGGCCAACTCGATCGCGAAACGATACGCCGCGGGCTGCGATAGGCGATGGCAGAGCCCAGCATCAAGCGGCACCGGCTGCGGTAGAAGAAGGCTTCCGTGAGCTGGAGGGCCACCCCTTCGGCCGCACCTAGGTACCTAGTGATTCGATCACTCGCATGCACGAACAACCACGCCCATGCACGCCCCCTTCCTCCCACGCAGGTGCCCCAGTGGTGTGGTCATCGCGGATCGTTGTTGCTGTTCGAGCCTCCTACTGCACGTGCCCCTGCATCAGATGAGATGTGAATATCTCTGAGGCGGATGATTTTTGCCTGAACCTTCAATCACAAGGGGGATCGATGCGCGTCTCGGTGTGCACATGTTTCCTCGACGATTGAGAGCGTGCATCTTGTTTCGGCGTTGCGACAGCTCGCACAACGCTCTAAAACTGTCTATGTCTTGCCGCCGGACTGTGCCATCACCCTCGTATTCCCGAGGGTCTTGACTCTTGAGCCTGCTTTTCTCTTACATTCGATATCGGGCGCCAATCGAATCAAGACCCCAAAACCCCAAACCGTGTGGATCACTCCACCATCCTGGCTTTCCGAGCAGCCGCAACTCGAAGCAGGTCACAAATCGGGCTGTCAACACCATTGACACCTGTGACAAGTTCTCAAACACGAAACGGTTGCGACACGCTTAAGAGCACAGCCTCACTCGTACTTCCAAATCCTCTCTTCTTCTGTCCCTGCGCCTTTGGCACCTGACCGAGGTTGCCTACTACCACAGACATTCGCCCTTCGAAGTAAGCCATCACTGAGTCGATCCTTCGGCTACGGATGTAAGCATCGACGCCTGGTCACTTACCCATCTACCTGGAGAGAATGAGATCAGGGCCGTGGCCTTGATATATTGAGTCTTCGATTCGCTCCGCTGATCCCAGTCCCATGCATGCCACCTTCAGTCCTATCTGAACGCGACGAGCTGGCCGAATCCTACACGTGTGGTCGAAAAGAGGCGGCTCCAACAATAGTCAGACGTGCGGATAAGTGAGAGGAAGGCGTTGACGGTAACACAATGGCATCCAACATGCGGCGCCTGTCAGGCTATGGAAGATGGCTGGTTGCTACGGTCTCGATACTGTCATTATTCGGCACTAGAGCAGCAGCCCAAACGATTGCGCCGTCCAACAGCACACAGGATCTGTTTCCCTCGTCGACCTCGCCGCGATTTATCATGAACGGCACAGAGTTCTCAAACATCCCCGTGGTGCGGTTGGCTCCCTTGGGACAATATGCTGAGATGTCGCACGACAACTTTCTACGAGTCGACGTGGAAGGACACTTGGTTAATGTCGGCGCCTCCAATGCTAACGATATCGCCGATATTGACCAGTTTTCCTACATGTCTTGTGACCCTGAAGATTATCCGGGCAATCTGGACCCAAGTCAGGTCTTTCGTATAGTGGTCAACTCGCCGCGGGCCAACATTGTGATCCTGTACAGTGAGACCAGCGATCATTGCATTGCAACCGGCCTCGACACCTTGCCAACCATCGGCGGAATCTTGACAACAACCGACACTATGTTGGCATCAAGCCTTGCGGCTTTGAGCCTGACGGAAGAGAGCCCCGGAACGGCAACTATACTGCCGGATCTCAACTCTTACACCAATTCGTCTTCGCCTAGCTGGGGTGGCAATGGCGGTCTGGGTAATTCTCCCACGACTGCCGTTGCCATGATTATACTATATTCCATTACTGGGATCATTACCGCTCTTTTCGTCGTCATTATCGTCACTGGAGCGGTAAGAGCGCACAGACATCCGGAAAGGTATGGACCTCGAAATATTGTGGGAAGAGGAAGGCAAAGTCGGGCAAGGGGCATTGCCCGTGCGATGCTCGAGACACTGCCTATTGTCAAATTTGGTGACCATCAAGACCTTCCCCCGAAACCAGCAGAAGGTTCGGACATTGAAATGAATGCCGGCTCAACTCACCCTCCTTCAATAGACAACGCCGACCCAGCCAACAGGGCCGTGGCAGGTGAAGCGGTCGCTTCGGACACACAGAGTGACAGGGCGCAGGCAGTGATAGCCACCACTAATCCCGATGGAACGGACGCCGAAGGCCACCTAGGCTGCTCAATATGTACCGAGGACTTCAAGAAGGGAGAGGAGGTACGAGTGCTGCCTTGCAACCACAAATTCCACCCTGAATGTGTCGACCCATGGCTGCTGAACGTCAGCGGCACGTGTCCGCTCTGCCGTATCGATTTGAGACCACGAGGTCACGAGATCGAAGGAGAGGAGCGGAGAGGCTCCACCGCTACCGTGGACCAGGACGGGCAACTTCCGCCACCGCTGCCGTCCGGAGCAGGTGATTCTGATGGTACACCTTACCGAGGTGGACGCAGGGAGACGATAGCCAATCTTCGATATCTGGCTCATGGCTCTCGTGCCGAACGGATTGCCGCGCTGAGAGAGATGAGAGTAGAAAGACTTGGATCAAGTCCCGATCAGCCCGCCAATGACGAGGAGCGTTCAGGCCTGGCTAGAAGATTCCGAGAAAGATTTCGGATAAGGACAGAGAGACGGGGGACGACTGCCGAGTCACTGCACTGACCATTTCTCTGTTGGTTTATTGCACCTATTCGAGGCACCTTTGGTCTTTGGTTGCAACCGCAATGAAAAGTTTTGTGCTTCATGGACTTCACGGCATAAGGAAATGATGATTTCGAATCTATGGCGTTACTGTTATTGAGGACACGAAGCGCGGATGTCGGACCCATTTTCAGGTTCTCGTCGTTGGTGCGAGCGTTTTGGGCTAGGTTTTCATGCTTAAAGCAAGCACATTGCGGCGGGTTGGCATACTGTATATTGATGTACGCGACCATGACTGGCAGGGCATATGCACTGATTGAACGAAGACACGGAATATGTATATGGGTGACGGGAGCATGGCATATAGCGAGGGTATCCTACATGATCACCTGCTCGCAATGCAGATAACCTTAGGCCACTCTCTGAAAGTACTCGACCTCAGTTATAAGTGGCTTTCAGTCGTGGATGTACGGAGTACCTTTTCTCACCGTGCCTCATGACCTGAAAACGGTGAGACCGAAGGCACCGGGTAGCAAAATGCTTCGGGTCTCCTATAATACAAGGTACAACAATCGAGGTTCCCAAACTCTGTACCTGTAGTGCCTCAAGGCAGTTATCCACACGAAGATCAAACTGTCGGGGTGCTCTCTTCCTCTTTAAAAGGGTACCCACGTTAAATGCACCGCATGACCGAGTTCTTCACGGTTCATGTCCTCGCTGCGAGTGAAGACTCGGGGCAAGAGGGCAGACACGAAAGGAGAGGAGAATAATCTGGACAGGAGACTGTTTGTTCCACATCATTCTATTGGATTGCTCTCATTCAAGAGATGCCTATGGATCGACATGGGGCCTCGACTTACCATCTCATCTCCGTCGTTCACCTTCTTCTCTTGACCGATCATAACCGCTGCTCATTCCCCTCGAAATCTCCTCTGTCATGTCCCTCGCAGCAGACCAGCCACGCGAAGTCAGCGTGTCTCCGGAATCTCTCCTCCTCTCGCGCTCGCTCCTGTCGTCGTGTCCTTCTCCACCTCCACCCCTGGGAGGGCTTGAGCCAGCAAGCCATCCGCTCACCCCAGCGGCGATCCACCCGCCACTTGTTCGGCGAGGGTCGCGCTCACGCTCGTCAGCTTCATCGTACTCGACGTTTTCAAAAGACTGTTCACTCTTCGACTTCGTTTTGAGCCCGCCCCCAATGGCGAGGCCAGAACCCGAACTTGACGGCCTTTTGCTGTGGTTGCCGCTGCCACTGGCACTTCTGCTTCCGTTCCCGCCACGCTCCCCACGCGGGTCCGAGCCGTATGCGAGATCCAGGTTCTGCTGCTCCTTGTCCAGCATCTTCAACAGGCCTTGTAATCTGTTTTGTTGCGCAGCTATGAAGGAAGCCTTTTCAGCAGTGGATTGTCCAGGAATGTTGTCAAAGTCGAACAGTGAAGGTGGGATATTGATAGACGCTGCATCTGTTGCAGCAGAGCGCTGGGCTGAAGAGGTGGCGAAGGCCGCGCCCGCCAGGTGGGACAGTGTGTTATAGACTGTCGAGGAAGATGTACCTGGTAGGGTGGGCGTGTTCGTCCTTGCGCCGGGCATGGCGAAGCGGGAGAGTAGGTCCGTGGCGTAGGACGCATAGCTTCCAGCACCCGCTCCTTGCTGTTGACCGGCCGCTGCTGCTTCTTGTTGAGGACTCTTCTGGCCCAGAATGCGGTCTCGTGCCCATTCGATTGCAGTATTCAGATAACCCATGCCCATCTTTTGCAGCTTGTCGTGCGTTTCACCAATGAACTGATCAATCTGCGTCTCATGGTGTACAATGTACGGTTCTAGGTAGTCCAGGTATAAAATCTTAGCGCCCTGAGTTTGGGGAAGCACGAGGTAGAGTAGGAATATAAGTCGGAACCATGAATAGAAGGGGATCCAGCCGATGATGAACAGGGTCCAGGATTCGAAGAGAAGGGTCAATGAGAGGATCGTGAAGTATATGAGCCATGGATGGGTCTGGGCAGGGTCGTTCGTCCGTAGGGCTTTGTAGGAGATATATGCGGGAAGGAGGATTGTTGTAACGGAGCTGACTGTGTGAGACTTCGGCTGGAGACGTTGTGCAAAGAAGGGTACTCACGCTATGAGGTCTGCTATGATTCCGAACATGATGAGTTGGCGGTGAAAAGTATCGAGTCCTCGTGGAAGCGGTTGCAAAAGAAGAGCTGCGCTCAGTTCCTCCGAATGCCACAGGCGATGGCAGTAGCAATAAATCAATCATATAGTACAGGTGTCCTCTTTCCCAGGCCCAAGTTGACAGTTCTGCAGTTGACACCGGAGGAGAACAAGTCGGTGTGTGCCTGGAGCTGAGAGAGGCACAAGACCTGGCTGATTGCTACTCCGCACGCACCGCACGGTTTCCACATGCCAGCCTCGTCTATCGATAAGATGAGGGGGTGGTGGACTTGGGTGAAGCAAACAGCCACTGACAACCGTCTCAGGTGTTGATCAACGATTCTCCGTAATCCTGTTCATCCAATCTCAACCTCGTGCCGTGTCGTAAATATCTCGACCATACAATCAAGCCGTGCTTGAACATATTGTCACCTGCCCAGGGAACAAAACAGGGGCAAGTGGCTGATCAGACAGTAGTCCTTGTAGGGGTTTTCCCATTTCTAGCCCTTCTGGCTCTTCTGCCTCGGTTCCCAACTCTGCTGAAGAACGCACACCACTACCGTACGATCACAAGCAGCAAACGGTCTGAACGCAAACGATCCTCTACGTCAACATTGACAGAGAGTGCCTAGTGGGAGCTTGCTCTAGGTGTGACGAGACCGGGACCGCTCGAGGCGGATTGAATATAAATTCTCTTTGCCGCCATTTCCAGCCCAGTACCATTGAACGGAATCTGCTTCACAGCGCATCGGAATATTCAACATGTGCATCGCCCTAATATCGACGGCTCATCCGTCGTACAGGCTGGTTCTGATCGACAACCGTGACGAATACCTCAATCGTCCAACTGATATTGCCCGATGGTGGCCCGAGCCCCATTCCCACGTCCTTGGAGGCCGGGATATGCACCGCGATGTCCACGGTACCTGGCTTGGAGTCACAAAGACGGGTAAGATTGCCGTCTTGACCAACTATCGCGAGGACGTAACTCCGGCTCCAACAGCCGTCAGTCGCGGGGCGATCATCAAGAAGTTTCTCGCAGAGGACGTTGGCCCCGTGGAGGATTTTGTTAAGAACGTTGTCAACACCGGCATTGCAAAGGATGCCGGCGGGTTCAGCCTGGTGTGCGGGCACATCGGCCAGAAGCTCGCCGTTATCTCCAACCGAGCGGAGGATCAGAGCCAGGTTCCCTGGATAGCTGGGGACGTGGTTCAGACGGTCGGCTTAAGCAACGCGACCTTTTCAGACCGCTCGTGGAAAAAGGTGCTCCTAGGAGAGGAGCTGATGCTGAACACTATTCGTCAGAGCGTCGAAAATGGGGAATCCGAAGACCAACTGATCCAAAGATTCCTAGACTTGCTCAGTCACGAAACCCTGCCTAGAGAGGGTAAAGCTGACGACGCTGGTCTCGAGGCATATATATCCGATTTGAGACATTCCATATACGTGCCTGCGTTGGGAAGGAAAGACATGTCTGGTCTCAGGGATGATGAGATCGCTGCCGCAAGAAAGCATGAGAAGGTCGACATTATCGGCCACAACACACCTGTCCGAACTGGTTCTCCAGCTATTAACGGCTCAAACAGGGCAAAGCGGCTCGGCGTCAGCGGACTTTACGGGACTCAGAAGCAGTCAATCATGCTGGCTGATCACCAGGGAAATGTTCGCTTTTTCGAAAGAACACTGTTCGACGAGAATTCGAATCCGGTGCCGGCGGGCAAGGGCGACGTTGATGTGAGGTTCAAGATCCCGAACCCAAGAAAGTCTACCGACTAGTGTCTGCACGCACAATCACAACTTGAGACAAAGACTGCGTAACAGTTCACAGATGCAAAACTTTCCTCTTCAGGCCAATTTTGACACGGCGTGAATAGGTTGAAGGTCGGTGGAAGCTTGCTCTCTCAGCCGGTCCGGGTGAGCTTCCTCTCAGAAATGACAACGATGCATCACTATGATGGCGCCAGTCCAATCTCTAATCGAACCACTGCTTCTGTTATTAGCGATACCCGTGGATTCAGTGGACACTGGGTGCTGACTGTCGGCGGAAGTCGGGCAAAGCCGAACATCACGTTGCCAGAGAGGTCTGTGGCCAAGCTTGGTACCGGGTTGCGACATGCTATCATTCAGCATGGGGAAGTCGATCAAGCTGTGGATGTAACCCGGGAAGAAGACATGGGCATGAACATATCGTTATTGCCATGAGGAGGATCCATGGGTCCTTTTCATTGCTGAACAGCCTTTGTGGCTTTCCACCACAACACCCATATTGCTCGGGATACATCGACAACAATGCCTAAGGACAGTCCATGAATATGGCTCTGAGCATAAAGAACTGGTGCTGATCCACCGACCATGAGACTGAGACAGACAATCAACATCGTCTTCTGCACAATGTTATTGATCCAAGGTGCGGCAGTGTTTGCGACGTGACCACAGCACTCACCACCTGCGCACCTATTTCGCATACCCACAACCGTACATTCGTCTCTGCGCTTCTCCTCGATTTCATCCCGGCAGTCCCTCACAGCGCACATAGCGCGAACCGTTCTTTTATTTGTCTCGCTCTCAGGTCAAGCGTTTACGTCGTCACCGCAGAAATGACTTCTCCTGCACAGATCACCAGTTCCTCACCTTCGAACCTTGTTCTCGTCGACACGAGCAAGCTCTGCGAAACCTGCGCTGCTCAGATTTTACCAGCGGGCCACGGCCACAACAGCGACAGCAACAGCAGCAGCAACAACAACAACAACAACAACAACAACAACCACTACCACCACCACCACAACAACAACAACAGCGAGGGGATCGAGCCCTCAACATCCACATTCACACCACCAGAGACTTCAGAAGCCTCCTCGAGCGTCAGCGCACCTGCTCCGGCACCCACAGCAACAACAGAGGACATCGTCCAACTGATCATGATATCCGAGCTGAGAAGTGCCGAAGAGAAGCTGGAGCAGGGGCATGCCGACCTCGAGGTCGCTCGGAGAGCGTTCAACCACGAACGCCGGGGCGTCTTGGCCTCGATGCGGAACGCAAGGGAGGCCCTCCGCGTCGCCACGGACGGGTACTGGCAGAACACGCACGACCTGTCCGTGGCGATGACGGTCTTCCGACGCGAGAAGCACGAGTTCGAGAACGCGAAGGCGGCGTTGGAAGAGGCGCGCGCGGCGCTCAACACGGAGCGCGAGGCGTTCGAGGCGGAGGTGCAGGCGGCGAACACCAGAGGCGAGAGGAGGAGGAAGATCTGGAGACGACTGACCGGGTGGTTGGGCCGTCAATGAGGGCCGGTGGAGGGTAGGGGAGGAGTGCCAGAGGGCGTGCGTCGACTGGTAGGTCACCAGCACCAGCACGAGCACCAGAGAGGGCCGTTGCCTTGAGCACGGTTACTGAAGACACACAATACATGAAATTGCCCCTCTCTGTGATACGTTCATTCCTGCCTGCTGAGACGTCGTGACAATGCGCCCGAGCTCCACACTGGACCCCAGTTGCTCTCTCGTGTCCTGCCCGTTATACATACCAACCCGGAACTACGACTGTATGAAAATAGCTGGACGCGAGATGATCAAGTACGAAGGGCGCAAGACAGGAGGAGTCTGAGTGCGAGCAGCCATATGAAACCGCAATGAGGAGCGGAAGAAGAGATCCATTTTACCTCACTGGCACAACTTTGCAGTTCTACGCGCTCATATGAGGTATTTTGGGTGGGTGGGTGATGTAAGATCTTAGAATCTCACGTTCATGCCCACATCCACCCCAATGAGACAATCGACGTTGATAGGCCACCACACACCAAAGTACGGGCTCTTGACAAATGCGGGAAAGAATTGGTACAACCGGGTTGTGGAGTGTGTCCGACGCCCACAGATCAGAGGTGCGAGGGTTGCCCACTGGTACGACTGGGCGCGTGTCATCTGGCGTTCAAGCGATAAGCCTACGTACCGACAGACACAGGCTACGCAGATGTCCATGTACGCATTACACATTGACCGAGGGGGACGAGGTCACTAACAATCGACTCTGATTCCGAGGGGATGGGACCTGTCAGTCTTTGCTCTTTCCCGACTCGCGAAAGTGATAGGCAGAAAAGAAGACTGGTCCTGTGGTTGGCATCTAGAAGCACTCTCGTGGTCTTATCCCAGCGACATCGGGCTCAAACTGACAGTGCTGGAGGTTCGGACTGATAATCAGCGTCAACGTGCTCGATTCAGGCCACTCGGACTGCGAGCTGCGAGCATCAACCCCGCCCAGGAAACCTGTCTGAGGCTGTCTCTTTAGTCCGCTGTCAATCGATGGTCCACATCAGTCATAAGCTTCTAGATCTCGACGCAAGAGACCCTCCTCCATAGCAAAGCCAAAGGGATGCTTTCTCAGAGCTTTGTACTTCCCAAGTCAACCATCAACATCGATCTACGTATGATGGCACCACCACCACAGGCAGTACGGATCGAGAGGGACGAAAGGCATGGCGACAAGATCGCAATACTACGAGCGGACGAAGCGCACATCTTGCTTTCTGACTAGTACAGCATGAGCTTACCGTACACGGAAGGTCCCAGAACACCCACATGCCGGTTCGAATTCAGGCGGTTGAAGGGTTCGAGAGAATTCTGGTCTGCAGCCCAGTTGGCCGTAGAAGGCTTCAAAAGGTGGATAGTGGTTTATTCTGGTGATGGAGGTATCAGATGTGCTGTCACTGGTGATTGCGTCGTCTCTGAAGACTGGACTTGGTGTCAGCTGTAAAATTGTGCGCCCGAAGGATGTGGGTTCCTGGTCTTCACGAAAAGGAAACTCAAGCAGTGATTGTGTATTGCGTCGAGGATGGCAATGCGAGTTTAACGCCGTAGAAACAGGAGCCAGATGGATGTTGTTGGCAAGCTCGGATTTCCCCCAAGTCCCGAACCTCGCAAGTAATACTTCCAAGATATGAGAATATCTCAATTTCGCCTCTGGATACTTGAACAGCCAGCAGCAGCAGCTCGAAGTGTTTGCTCACCACAATTCACAGACCGGCTGCTTCTCCTTACACTGGAAGCTCTCCCTAAAATCCCTCGAATTGGCCATGGTACCCAATATTCTCGCAAACTTTGGCGCGTGTGGATCCAGATAGATCCTCTGGATGGCCGTTTCCTTCCTGGTCTTCCCGCACCACCAATTGGCATAGTTGACAAAGAAGAGCTGCTCCTGTGTGAAGAAATCAAGCCCAGGAAGATCTTGGTTCGGAGTCTCCGCCGCACGTTTCTGCCACGCTTTGAATGCAGCTGCGAGCCCACCAGCGTCGGCGATGTTCTCACCCAAAGTCAATCGGCCGTTGACGTGCAGAGGCTTGCCATCCGGGCCGTCGACTGTAAAGTTGGCGTACTGCTCGACGAAGCACTCGGCTCGTTTCTTGAAGTTCTCCACCGTCTTGTCCGTCCACCAGTCCGTGAAATTGCCATTCTGATCATAGTGGCGGCCTGTGGAGTCGAATGCGTGGGAGAGTTCGTGGCCGGAGACCGAGCCGAAAGCACCGTATGATAGGTATTGAGGCACATTCACGTCGAAGACGGGGAACTGCATTATTCCTGCTGGAAAGACAATTTCGTTGCCAGGGGGATTATAGTACGCATTGACCGTGGGAACAGTCATACCCCATTGATCCCGGTCAACAGGCTTGCCAAGAGCAGCCCATTCCTCCTTGACTTCGTTTCGGACGAGAGATAGTGCGTTTTCGAAATACGTGGTTGAGTTAATGTTGACCGAGGAGTAATACTTCTTCAATGTCTCGGGGTCCAGGATGTTCGGGCTCTGCAGAGGCAATGTTCAGCTCAAGTTCATCGGCATACGTGCTCGGCAGAAGAATACCTTGTCAGGATATCCAATCTTCTGGACGATGTTGTGGACCTTCGAAACTGCCAGGTCGATGACCTCCTTCTCCATCCACTCAGTGATCTTGAGCTTCTCGATAAACTGATCCTTGATATCGGTAACGATCCGGTCACCAAATGCCTTGGCTTCGGCTGAGAAGGCTTTTTCCACGAAGAAGCGGCTCAGAATCCAGCCCAGCCCTGAGTCAACGTGACGAACACATTTCCTCCACCGTTCTGGCTTCGTGTCCGGATCCTGTAGATGGTTAGCAATCGGAACATGAGTTGAGAAGCTGACGTACCTGTCCCGACAGGTCGTTTTGGAATCTTTCAATAGGCACGACCGCGTCTGCTTCGATGAAACTGTAGTACGACTGGATGGTCTTCCAAACGAAATACGCGTGGAGCGTGTCTTCCGGAGTGCCAGACACCAGCTTGCTGAGATCTTTCAAATATTGCGGCGCCATGACGATGATGCGATTCGGCTTGTAATCTGACGGCACAAGCTCGTGGAGGACTTTGGAGAGCTTCAGCTCTGGTGCTAAAGCCTCAGCATCCTTCAATGACATTGGGTTGTAGTATTTCTGCAGATGTCAGTACGGGCGAACAAGCTGGCATTATCCGACTCACAGTCACGTCGTCGCGATCCTCTGCATCTGGGGTAGCAGCTGCGATCTTCTTCTCGAACTCGACCAGAGCATGAGTATCCACGTGTTGCAGAGCTCCTTGCGACTGAAGGGAAGAGAAGACTTCGGACGCAGTGGCTTCATACTTCTTGAGGATCTTCTCATCTTCATACAACTCCTTCGCAGGTAAGCCGACACTCCATGGAGCCGAGACGGAAACAACCACGGTGTCTGGATCCTTGTCGTCTGCGCCGGTCCCGGCAGAGATTAAGGTGGATTGTCCAGTCTTGAGCGCGTATAACACTGTGGAAGAGAGGCCTCCAGAAGAGAAATGCTTCGACGTCTCGTTGAGTATGTCGAGCAGGGGAGCAATACCGAGCTTTTTGACAGTCTCCTCGTTCAAACAAGCATCGTAAGCTGCTTTGAGTTTATTGAAGTTGTCCTTGTCAGTGGAGCTGCTGGCACCCTCAAGGCCTTGAGACGAGAGGTAAGAATACTGAGGCGCTGGTTAGCATCGGTCCATGACAGAGGTTCCGCTTATGAACATACCGCTGAGTCACCGGGATGTGGAGCTTCGAGGATGTGGCGTAACAGTGTCTGGGAGTTCTCTGACATGATGGTGCCGGTGAAGGCATCGCCTTGGTCGGGGCGAAGATCATGACGGTCCCGCCAGCCTCCGCAAACCAGCTCTTCGAAGTCGGTACATGGGTCGATGTTCTTGTAGTCCGGGTGGAGGTTGTACAGCAACTCCGAAGAAGCGTGGACGCAAGCAGGAGTCAGACAGATGTCGGCCTCATTAGAGCGCTCTTCTTCAATATAGCCTTCGAAACGTTAAGCCCCGTTACGGAATGCTGATCTGGAAAGTGGCATACCTCGAAAAGGGTGTCGCTCATTCTCTGACCAGCTTTCTCTCCATCGAACGAATGATGGGTGATCCCAGAATAATAGACAGCTTCCTCCCAGTGCGACAGCCACCAAAATGACGTAGAGATACCAAGGAACATGTTCTTCACGTCGACGCTCCTCGCAGCAGCGGCAGCAAGCGCCTACCGCAGGTAAGTTGTTTTCCTCATCTCGGAGCAGCGGTGTGGTTTCTTTTGGATGGTGGCATCCCTCATACGGCGGAGGGGATGTCATTTTAAGTCACAACAGCAACCGAAAACTTTGATGTTGCAAGTTGGTTCTGTTGAGATATTGATGAAGACGCAAGGTCAAAAGAGAGCACGTCTGGCAATGGAAGCCTGTTGCTGTCCAACGCGATCCCCGCATTGAGCTTAGTGGCACCGATCGTCACTGCAGGCACAGCTTCAAGCCTGCAGCAGCAGGAGCTCTCGGCGCGGGGAAGCCTGGACGTCTAAGTTTAGGCGTGCAGCAGCTTCACGCCAGCACCAACCGAGAATACTCTCACGTGCCCCCTACGGAGTACGGAGTAGTCAGGATGCATTCACTTAGTACTCCGTACCCACCGAGGGACCTCGTATTCACATACCTGGAAGCTTTCGTTGATTGTCAGTTTTCCACCTCTCAGCACCGTACAAAGTCATAGTGTCATCTTTCTGCAATACTCAAACCCCGGGGCTAGAACTCGACCGGTCTACCCCTGTGTCCGAAGGCATGCAGCTGATATCAGCCAGGCGGAGCACTCATTTCGTGGTGAACGAGCTCAATAGCTTCAAGCGCCGATGGCAGCCACAAAACATGATGTCAGTCGTGAGGCAGATGCATCTTACCGAAGTACCTATGTAGGGTGTCTCCGGTCTTCTTGCCAATTGGATCTTTGGCGCAACCCTGGAAAGAAACGGCATAAGCCCGTACGCGGACATTCGTTTGTCGGATGGTCGGACGACGGCATATCGGATGGTCAAGTTGAGCCCCTACACTCCCTTGAGATGCCCGTGCCCTTTCCAGAACGAAAACATATAACCAAGCAATATTCCTGCTCTCGACATGCGACTCACAACCAGAAGACAACCAGCCGAAGCCATCCAGACGAGGTTCTCGCCAAGACCACCAAAACCAAAGGTCGTATCTGGAGCCAACCGGCCATCTGATCTTCCACATCCACACCATAGTCGTCCCTCAATCTACCATATTCGGAATCCATATGGCACCCTTCAACAGAGCAGCTTACTTGGTAGCCGCCAAAAGGTCGCCTCTAGAGGTCAAGTCCGCAGCGTACACAAAACCAGGTCCCGGCCAGATCACGATCAAGACCCGCGCTGTCGCTACAAACCCACTGGACTTCATCAAGCAAACCGTTGGTGACCTGCTGTATGACTGGGTAAAATACCCGATTATTCTGGGGAGTGATGTCGCTGGTGAAGTTGTGGAAGTCGGAAAGGGCGTCACAAGGTTCAAGGTCGGCGATCGCGTAGTAGGCCACTCCATCGGCATGGCCAAGAAGCACAACTCTCCCGCTCTGTGTGGATTTCAGGAGTATGTCAACCTGCTGACGCACATGTCGTCCCATATCCCCGACAGCCTACCCTATGAGAATGCAGCGGTGATTCCTCTGGGACTGTCGACTGCAGCTTGCGCGCTGTTCCAAAAGGATCAGCTAGGCTTGCAATTTCCTTCAAGCCCCGCAGCAAAGTCAACCGGGAGGACAGTTCTCATTTGGGGAGGGTCGACAAGCGTGGGCGTCAACGCAATCCAGCTTGCCACTGCAGCTGGGTACGAAGTCATCACGACGTGTTCACCACGCAATTTCGAATTGGTCAAGCGCCTTGGAGCGATTGCTGCGTTTGACTATCGCAGCTCGACCGTGGTCAAGGACATCAAGAAGGCCTTTCAGGGAAGAATCACTGCCGGGGCAATCTCGATAGGGCAAGGCGCAGCAGCGGCATGCATGAACATCCTCGGATCGTGCAAGGGTGACAGGGTTCTCTCAATGGCCACCTATCCGCTCGATCCCATGAACATGCCCAAGCGGTTTGTCATGCCGACGATTGCATACACCTACCTCTCTGGTATGGCCGCTCTATGGATCAAGGCGAAGCGGTACGGCGTCCGAAGCCAGTTCATATTCGGAGATACGCTCGTCGACAACGAGGTAGGGCCTGTGGTATACGAGCAGTTTCTCCCCAAGGCTCTAGCAGACGGGTCGTTTGTCGCTGCACCGGAACCCGAGATCGTTGGGCATGGTCTGGAAGAGATTCAGCGCGCTCTGGACGTACACATGAAGGGAGTCAGCGCGAAGAAGCCTGTCGTGACATTATGACGAAAGCATCAGCATAGGAGCATACAGGCATATTGAAGAGCCACCATGCTCCATATGGTGCAATGTGTACAATAGCTCTCTAGTCGCATAAGTGAAATTTCAGTTCGTTGGAGCAGGGACGGAGGGAAGGCAAAAGCTCACCAGGTCCCAGAGACATCGTAATACAATATTGAATCCATCCTACAAGTCGCTCCGATTTTGCTTCCTCTCCCGCTTCATGCCTGTCCCATGGATGTTCGCGACCAGCGTCTGAAGAGGGCACTGGTCAAAGAACCGACAGCTCTACACAGCGTGTTTGCACGCTAGGTACAAACCTCGAGCCTGCTTACCCTCTTACTCTCTTACAACTCGTCCTTGTGCGCATGCATTCCCTTTGCCTCCCCGTCCCCTTTTACGCACCCTCCATGACCTCCGTCTCCATCTGCCTCCCATACACACCCTCGCGGACACGCTGCCTGCGCGTCCCGAAACTGCCACTTGAACAGCTCCTCCGTTTCGTCCGCCAATACGTCACCCACAATCCGTGTCCTGTGCGCCGACAGCCTGCCCACGCTGCGTGCGAAGATCTCCGTCGATCGGATCACGATCTGAGGCCAGTCGTGCGCCCGAAGCGTCGGAATCGATGTCGAGAATATATACTCCTTGAAGCCACCATAGAGGATGGCAGAGGAGCACTAAGCAGTGCGGTCAGATCAGAGTCAAATCAGTCTCAGCGAAGGTTCGTCATACCATGGGGCACGCCTCCGCCGTGGTGTACAGGCTCAAATCGCCCAGGGCATTCAGCGCCTCTGGGCCTGTGAGCTTGTATTTCCCCGCGGGATGCGTGAGGATGGCGGTGCAATTGTTTATGGCTGCGACCTCACCTATTATTCGTGGGGAGGAAGCCCAATGGTTAGCTATGTCCGTCTACCCGTTCAATTCGCTTGCGGCCTTCTCCCAGAAGAATCAAACCTATCAACCGTTGTCATGCTCGACTTCGACAGCTAAGCCCATGAACACAACTGCGCTACGTGTCCGTCCTACATCTGATATCAATCCCAGGCACGGATAGACAGGAACCCTTCTTTGAATCCCTCAACAGACAGGCCATTTGTCAAATAGGGCACGCTCACTCACCATGCAATGTCGGATTCCCCTCCTTCACAATCGCGTTGGCGCCAATACAAACCTCGCTGCCGAGCTCAACTCCGAGCTCTACATCAGCGATACCGCCCCTGCCCGTCGCGACGGCCGAATGGTTCACGATAACGCAACCAAACGCAGCGAACGGACAGGGCAACCCATCGTTGAGGTCGGATAGAGCTTCCACTGCGCGGCGCATCCAGTGTTCCCGTGTGGAGATAGGAATGGGGTCCGGTGGTAAGGTATAAGCCGTTTCGGGATCGGGCCAATGAGAGAGGCCATCCCGGTTGTTTAGATGGTGGTTAGGATCATGGGAGTGGGCATCGGCGTGGATATAGGAGGACAGGAGGACGAGTAGTAGAAAAGGGAACGAGGCACCGTGAACGGGCATTAAGGTGGGGAGCATTGCAATTTGTCGATGTGAAAAGTGCAAGTAAAGCAATAGTCGGTCCAAAAGTAACGATCTTGGGAGCGACTGCTCAGATCTAGTGGGAAACGACATTCATACATGCGTAAGTTATAGAATCATAGATCTGCTGCATGACATGATACACATGGATGGACTTCCGCACAGCGCTCTTGTCCGATAAATATCAGTATGTATGCATATCTCCCTCAGCCTTGCTTGATCGGATGGCAGCCTAGTTCTCTTGACACCCTTCCGTTACGTCCACATCCATTGTTACATGACGAGGTCATGCTTGCGACACCCTCAATCAATGTCCTCAGGAACCTCGATTGTCTCCACCTCTTCCAAAGTCTCCAATGCAGCACGATCTAGGGCAACTCGGAAGCCAACCCCGCCAGAAGCCCTCATCATGGCCGTATTCACATTCCACGTGGGCACCATATTCAACAGCTTCGGATGCACATTCGGTGGAGGACTTCCACTGCTCACCACCGGTGTGGACACACTCCTTTGTGCACGAGCCCTCTGTTTCTGCGCCTTCGCCTTTTCTCTCTCGTGCTTGACCGCCACGTCACGGGGTGGCGTTCGCTTTGCGAAGACACTGGGCCACTCGATCTCCTTAAAACAGAGCCGCTGGATCTCGAGGGCGACGTAGCCCGGTGAAACGAGGACGATCTTCTGCCGTGCCAACGGATGGTCACTGTACTGCTCGAGCATGCGGGCGAATCCATTGTCGAGACAGGCGGCGACGAAGAGCGCATGACAGTTGGGCGTCGACAGGAAGAGGTGAAAATTCTCTGCAGCAAGGCAAGAAGGACAAGTCAGTGATCTTCGATTTCTATTCCTTTGGGGAAATGACGGTCTTGCCTCTGATCTTGTCGTCGGCCCTCTCCTTTCCCCTGCCTGCGTCGAAAAAGTCAAATAATGGCAACTTCTCGGTGAACTGCACCGCAAATTCCGCCAGACCGAGACCTACAGGCCCGCTCCTTCGGAAGCTTGTCATCAGTCCTGGGCGACTTGAGAAGTTGCAGAACACGCGAGTAATGATCTTCGCCGTTACGGGGATAGTCCCGTCCTGGCTCAAAATAAATTTGGTCACTTCGTTGCGGACACGCGTCGCGGCCATGGCACCTGGGCCGGAGCCATCGAGAATGTTGGACGCGGACACTGTTCCGGGAGGACAGTCGTTGTAGGAAATGTCGGGAGCCCACTAATTTTGGGGTGTCAGAGGCCCATAACATCCTTTCTTGCAATAGAACTTACATTGTATGCATCACCATCCACCAGTACGACAACAAACGGCTGAGCAGGCAGAGGAGCATGATTGTTGAGAGCAAGTGTCGGTGCCAAGGGAGGGTCCACACTCATAGTACACTTGAGATACTCCAAGTCCAGCTGCGTATCGATCAGCTTCTCCTCCTGGCTTCGAGCATGCTTGGTCATAGCCTTGAGTGATGCAGTCTCGGTGTTCAGCCGTGCTTGGAGCTGTGAATTTAAAACCGTCTCCCTTTTCAAGCTGTTTTGGAGATTCTTATTGGGGTTTTCGAGTTCTTTGTTATGGTTGCTTTCTCTGATGAGCAGCTTATGGGCTTTGGAACAGGCGTCGCGCTCCGCGTCCAGCGTGCATTTGAGCCTGTGGATTTCTACGCGATATTTGTTGATTTCGAGGTTTGCTTGTTCACACATGTCCCGGGCTCTGTCCAGTTCGTACCGGAACTCTTCCACTCTGTCGGCCAAAGTCGAAAAATCGATATGCTCGACAGACGTCTGCTCTTGCTGCGCGGCATTCCCTTGACCCTTCATGCTAGTGCCCTCGGCGGGAACGGCCTTGCCTAAGAAAGATGGGATCCAAGAAAGTAGCGACATCACGGTTTGGCGTCAAGGATGTGTTCGAGTGGCGATGAAGGAGGGTAAATGTGGCGAATGATTGTTAAAAACGCTGCCGCTGTGCTGAATGATTCAGTCTTACGAGCTACGTGTGAGAAGAACGTGATGACGACTTGGACACCCAAAATGGGAAGACGAAGAAACATGGGCAAGAAGGACAGCGCGTAGACATACAGTAGCAACAAGGCATGTGGAGCAAATACGAAGCTGATCGGACACGGAAGTTAAATGGAAGCACTTCACGATGCTTGATGCTTTCATGCTCTTGGCGCGGACAAATTAACGACTACCGCCGTCACTACCACGACGGCGAAGCTCGCGTCTCAGTCCGCTCGGGACTCTGTTCACTGCACATTCTTAAAGCGCATCTGAGATCAAAATAAAGCGTGTAGCACGGCAGGAAGATGACCGGTAGCAGCTCAAATCAATGCATTTCGACTTTGCACTTTGCATGTCTAGCCAGTGAGAAATTGCGATCATCATCTGGCACGAGTGCGCACTAACTCAATGCCTGCGATGGAGATAAGGTTCGCACAACCTCATCAGATCGCGTCACCTGTCACTCAGAAGCCGCGCCCAGTGGCAGCCATTCTCTCTAGACTAGGCACTGCATTGAAATTGCCAACGCCCATTCCGCCATTGAGACCGCCTGACATTCCACCCATGGCACTCGCGTGCATCGGTCGGTTACCCATGCTCGGTTGCTCTTCCAGATCCTCATACCTCAGCGTGTAGATCCGGCGAACCTTCTTCCACAGTTTTGTGTCCCACCAAATGTAGTAACCCTGCTCGCTCACTTTGTCATCCAGCAGCACTGGACTGGGAGATGCGTCGTCCCGGGTTAACCACTGCTTTTCTCTCATATGATATCGCCATTTTCGTGCCACCAGCTCTTGAGCAACCTGCATTTGGACGTAGTCTCGCGGCATGGTGTAGAAGATGAAGAAGAGCGTTTCATCCACGAAACCAGTAATCCGAGTGGACAGAGGTGCGATCTTCTTCACCGTGTAGCAGTCCGGTATGGTGTACTCCGAGTCTAAGGGGCGCAAGGGGGCAGCGTTGGGCTCAGCCCAAGGTCCAGGATATGACTGTAACAACGGTTCTTGAGAGCCCATGTTAATGCCCAAGGTCGACAGATCCACTCCTCTCATCAGACTCCTCGTAGCCGGACTTGCGTTGTCTTGCTCTGCCACATACCCCTTCATGCCAAACTTCTCCTTTTCTGTCATGCCTGCAAACACCGAGTCATGATCCAGTCTTGGTTCTCGGTCTGCGAACATATCCCGTGACTGCAAACCCAACGCTTGTGGTGGAGACTCCTGCATTTGGGACCTTCCTTCTTGTCCCAGGAACCTCTCCTGTCCTATGGCGGCATTGATGCTCTGTGATATGGGGGATCGAGCTACAAATCACATCAGCACTATACCTGGATAATGAAAGTGATACATACAAATTTGCGTCTGGCCTGACGGTGAAGTGACCCTGCTTGGGTCTTGAGGCGTGCTATCTCCCTGGTTGGGTTGTCGCTGAGTCAGTCCGGGCGGTCCGCCAGGGGCTTGACTCGCTCGCCGCACTGTCTGCGAGGGATTGTCCGATCGGAACTCCATGGGCGCATTCCTCGAGTAGGTGTCAGTCGGATAGAAGCCATCTCGACCCGCCGCAGGCTGTTGCTGTCGGGAGGCGATATGCGATCGTGTTGTTTGCATCTGCTGTCTTTGTGCTTGTTCGTTCTGGGGAGGACCCGTCTGCCAAGCGCTCGATCCGACATTGTGGCTCTGCGATTGCAGTCCGCCATTATTCAGACTGGGAAAGGACGATGCGGACAGATCAAGTTGTGTGTTGTTTGGCCTGGCGCCCATAGCTTGTGCCCAACTGTCGGGTGCTATCGCGTCTCGTGCTTGTTGGGTAGGTGCTGGAAGCCCACTTTGACCCCAGGCTCCTTTGATGTTGTTAACTCGCGCTTGCCAGGTTGATTGACTGCATACCTGGCTTGCCTGCGACCACTCGATTGCTATTCGTGGTTCGATTTTGCGTATGTTGATTCATGTTGTTCACTGCAGGCAGTTGACGTCCTGGAACTACAGCAAATTGGTTAGCATTGAGCGCCTATAAATTCGCGATCATGAAAAAATAGAAAGCATGGGTCGATCTCCCAGTAGACGACACAATGTACCACGTATACAGCCGGCTGACTGGTCTCAACTGGAAATCCGGGTACTGATCTTGGCCCGTACTGCAGAGGAGTTTCAGAACCGCGACACCACAAAACAGGGAAGTGCATCGGCGGCGCAAGCCAAGTCCGGAGGTCGCAGCGGTCATTGAGACCAGGTCCACTGGCAAAGAGATTTGTCGCGGAAGCAGGCTTAGTGAGAAGCACTCCCACGGCTCCATCTGAGCGTCGCCCGCTGAGCGCGAATCGCAACTCTTTCTGACCGTTGCTGCCACTGATTGAATGCACTGTGCTGAATTTTCTGCAACTTGACAACACAATCCATGCCCAGTCGGCAACCAGAGGGAAAGGTGACTCGGCTCGAACTGCGCAGGGAAGCTTGAGCACTAGTTTGTAGCAAAAGCACTGCGCATTTGTTTCGCGGTCGCATCCTCCTCCACTCTGCGTTGTGTGTATTGGTCCCCCTCTTTGACCACCGCATAGTAAGCTTGCCTCCGATGACACCGGAAACACATGTCCCAAGGACAGATTCCAAACCTCATGTTCGCCGAAGGAGTGCTTGAGCATCAAAAGGGCGTGCAATGGAAGTGGAAACCCACCTGGTCGGTTCATATCTTGTTTGACTGGCAGTGTGCACCGAGCGCGAATGCTCTAGCGCAGGGAAAGACAATTGACGCGCAACCTGAACGGTGGTCTCAGGGTGTTGTGAATTGAGAGGTCGAAGCGCAGTAAACGTCTCGAGGCTCAACCGCAGGGAAGCACGGAGCGGAGTTGCACTTCGGATATCATTTCCAGCATTGGCGACCGCCACATTTGGCGGGCGTGCACCGAGATGTGATCTCTCTGGCTTCACATCACATGGGTTTTGTACATAACAGTCACCAGGTGCTTCTCTACGGAAAGAATCGTGCATCATGGTCTTCTCATGTCTATCTACGACCTTGCACCTGCTTGAGTCGTGGTTTATCATGTATCGTTAGACGTTGATGCTAGACGAGCTAGCCTTGGAGGCGCTTCTGAGGCGAAAGACGACACCCCTAGAAATCTCATTTGTGAATGCCGCTTAGCCCCCCAAACGCCATGCTTGTTCCCTTCCATGCATTTTAAAGCAACAATGAGATCGCAAGTTCGACATTGCCATCTGCTTGTCGAAGTGCTGCAATTGCTTCTTCCCGTGAAAAGCCCAGCTCCGTCACTCGTGCTATCGACTCCGCTGTGATTGGTTGCGGTTGTCCAAAGTTGCCAGGTCCAGGAGCGGATGGAGTGGGAGATGTTCCACCGATGGTTGATGTGGATGACTGCGCGGTGGCATTGCTTGTTGCTTGTCCTTGGGCACCACTCGACGATGCCGATGCGCCGGGCCTGACGGTTCCGGTCGTCGTCCCAATCGTGCTTCCGCCAGGCCCTTCCACCTTTGGTTCGTTTTCCAGGACCTCCTCCATCATCTTGGGTATCTCGCTCTCCGGCAGGAACGGGATCTCATCACTTTCAATCCTCAGACAGTTCTTCTTGAGATCGATGCACATTTGATGCCGCTTCAGCATGTCAAGACCCAGGAGCAAATCCACGTCTTTGCCTTCCATAACAGTGAAACTGCTCGCCAGATTGTACTGTCCGATTTGAATGTCTGCTGAATGGACACGACCGAGGATTTGAGCAGTCCCAACCCCCTTTGCCATTCCACTGAATCGTTTGTCAACCAGTCGCAGAATACCACATCGTTCAGCAGCGGAGGGAGACATAATGGTGGTTTGTGCGCCCGAGTCCACGAAGGCCTTGATCGGGTTACCATTGACAATAACATCGATGTAAAGCATGGTGACCCTTCCGAATGCTACAGGGCGACATCAGTTGTGGCTCTCCTTCTTGCGAGTGTGCGCTTACCTTCGGGAAACTCTTCCATTGCCTTTTGCATATTCTCTGCCACACGCTCTTCACGGATCATTTCCTCAATCTTTTGCTGCGCTTCAAGGTTGAACGGGTCCGCCTCCAACCGTGCAAGATTTGCCTCCTTTTCCGCTTGCATCCGTTCATTTTGTCTCCGTCTAGAATCCCAGAGGTCGTGGAATCTCTGCGGATCCTGAGCTGCCGCCGCGAGTTCTGGATCTTGCCTCTCAACTTCGGCTCTTACAGCACGGTCTTGTAGGATTCGGAGTCTCAGCTGCTCTTGACCACTACTGTTTCGCGCTCTCTGAACTAATGAGTCGTCACCAGAACTGCCGTCCGCGGGTCGCCGTCTCGGAGGGTTCGTGCTGATGGCCATGGCAATCAAATCTCCCTCGTTTACGCCAAACTGAGCCAAAGTTACCGAGTTATCAATGACCGGTCTTCCATCTTTGAGAAAAATCTGAGCCACGGGAGGAACATTTGTCTCGGCTTGGACGAACGTCTTTAGATCGTTGAGGGTCATGTTGGGGGCGACATCATAGGTGAGGAGGTCCGTCTGCAGCTCTCTGTCAGTAGCGACAATGTTTATTGAAATGAGCCTATCAAGATGTCAGTCCATAGTCGTGGCCGAGTACCGTCCAGCAGCCTGATCTTACATGATTGCTATTGCTCTCGGATTTCAATCGGGTATATCGAGCAGAGTCTTCTGTGAGATTGGCCAAATGAGATCTGAATGCAAGGATGGGAGCTCAGGCTGCAACGTTGCCGGAATTCTAAGAGCAAGTAGAACAAAGAATAGCAAGAGTTACTGGTAAAGGGCGGAAGGGAAGAGAGACAGACGAAGCTCAAAAACGATTTCTGGTTTCCATATACTTGGAGCAAACCGCCTTATGAAAGAATTGGATCTTCTGCAAATAATCACTGTGTACTCCGTGATCCGTACTCGGTACTCCAGGCACGAGTAGCGATGACGCACCTGGCCGCATCGCCTATCATTGGTGAGGGGCTAGAAGGAGAAGCGACCCATGGGGATGTGCATCTGGCTCCATCAGGGGGAAATGGCATTCCTGTTCAGCAAACTCGGTTCTCCGACAAAACCGTAGCAAGTTCCGCTAAGGGCCTCGGGGCACACCCTTATGCGCTTCGAGTAACTGATGGTCAGCCTTCCCGTGTTAGCCACGTTAAAGATTGCAGGACGGCAGTTTTCGGTGAATCCTGGAGGTGACTGAAGGAGCGATTTGACTAGACGGCTGCTGGAGCTGGAAGGCTTTCTTCCGACAATTGAGCAATGCACATAACTAGGTAGAAGGCGGACTTGCGATGGTCAAGTAACCAACACTGTACTCTCCACTTGTGCACAGGAACAAATCATGGATGCTGGGTGAATCCTGATCATGCGTGGGGAGGCCCCACGAACCAGAAAGTGGCTGTGGTGGGATGTAGTCAGCCTCGGAGGCGGCTCGGGAAGCTTCCACAGGCCCTGCCTGGAAGTCGCGTGCCTGCCGCCAATTTCTTCCATCTCACTCAGGAGACTCAGGCTTAAAGGCCATATTCCCAGATATCTCGTTCTGCCGTGTTTTTGAGTGAATATATCAGGGTTACCATCCATTCTTTTTGCAGCATAATTCGGCCTGCAGTAAATAGTGGCAGGTGCCTTTGAGTCACTACCACCCTGATCCACTAGTCCGACTTGGATCAGAGGCAAATCGAATTTTCGTTAGAGCCATCATTGCGATTTCTTTCTATCCAGCATTCTTTCTATTCTGCATTCCCTCAAAGATCCGAGTAGCATTCTCATCCAGCTCTTCAATCATCTGCAACCATACGTCGAGCGAGCCAGCCTCTGCCGCTGCAAACCCCGTCAGGAATAGGCCTCCCGCTGTTTACCCAATTGATCGTTGACCGGAACCCTTCCAAAATGCCCCCAAACCAGGACAGATCGAACCAATCAAAGGAATCTGCCAATCTGGCGTCTGCCAAGTTGGAGGCTCGAAGCGGTCAGCCGTCACAAGACGAAGATGGCTTTGTCGCCATTCAACCGGACGACGTGGAAATGCACGATAGTGACTCGGACGCTGCTGCGCCAACTCAGAAACCGTCCCTTGAGTTACTAGATCTCCAGCGCCTCAGTCACTCCGACAAAGCTGAGGAAGCGCCTGAAGAGGACGAAGACTCGGAAGACGAGCACGATATTATGGCCAACCATCCTTTATTGAATATGCTTACAGGAAGGCTGGGGCAGCGACGACGCGGTTCTTCGCACAAATGGGATCACCTCCATCCCGAGAATCAGGCGCTGTCAGTATCGAACGTAGATCAATGCACCTCACTTGAAGAAGAGGCGTTCCCACCTGAAGAGCGTGCAACCCGGGAGAAGGTACGAACCCCTCAATCCCAGTCACGCCGGTATTTCTACATTGAAGAAGCGCACCTACTGACCAATGATTTCATGTTTAGTTCCTTTACCGACTCACCAGGTGTCCTGAGCTGAGCCTTGGTCTCTTCACCCAACCCACAAGAGCAGAGCTGAAGGATCCGTCAAGGCCTGTTCAGCGACGACTAATCGCGCATATCGTTTCAACCAGGACTCCCGCACCGGGCGTTACGGAAGCCTCGATGGAGCTTCCCTCAAATTGGAAGACGAGAAGATCTTCGTTGCCAACCAGCGACGACGATGAGCCTCTGGGCCATCAGGACCTTGGCGGTACTATCTGCGTGCATTCCTTAGCAGTTGCACCCGATCTCCAGAGAATGGGGTTAGGTTCAGTGCTGATGAAGTCGTACATTCAACGGATGAAAGATTCCAAGATCGCCGACCGGATAGCCTTGCTTGCCCATGATCACCTCGTTCCCTTCTACAAAGGCCTTGGCTTTGAGAACATGGGACCCAGTGCAGTCACGTCTCATGGCGGGAACTGGAACAACATGGTACGAATCTCTGATGGCTGTGTATGGCGTGCCCCTGACTGACTCGACCAGATACTTGAATTCAACCATGAGGACGACGATTAGCTGCGCTTGTCACGAAGACTTGAAAGACAATAAACCTCGCTTATCTTCATCCACTGCATAAACAAAACAATGCTCTAGTGGATGGTATCGGAGCTCTCAGGTGTTACCTTCTCTGCTGTGTCTGGCCGGAACAAGTTGCCACGACAATAATGGACAGCGACGATCTCATGATATGAACACATGGAAATGCTTTCATTGCAGGTCATGATACCGAACATATCGATACCATTACCAGCTGAAGGCTCTTCCCCGGCATATTTCGGGCAGGACAATGGTGTTTAGTAGCAGGGAACCTTGTAGCGCAACCCGGGGCGAGGAGAGGCTCAAGTACTTTTGCTTTCATTTCAGACTCCATACATGAACGGCGTATCTTGCGGGTTGTCTCGTCGGCTGCAAGGGCCAGCAAATGGCATGCTACCATGAGTTGGTAGCCTTCTCGACATCCTCTCATCCGGCGTCTGTATGTGGAGGTAATTGGTGGGTTAGAGATCTTATTTAGCCGAGGGAGGCAGCAGATCGAGCAGCCAATCACATCACCGACATATCTTCGCATCTTACCTCAACCCCGACTCACCTCCATGCGCCAAGCTGCTCGCTTCATAATTCCCCCGGTTTATTCCTGGTGCCATCATCGCCCGATGGTCACTGTCTGCGAGTGACGATATGGTCCGCAACTCTTCTGTTCGTTCACCATGATTCATTCCAACGTCCTCTGCTAAACCACTGACGCCGGCAGACAACTCTCTTTCACTATATTGAGCCTCCTCATTGATCGGACCCGGAACCAAGCCTCGATCAGCCGTGCTGCGTTTCGGAATCCTCTCCCGGCCCCGCAACGGCGACACTGGGCCACTCTTGCTGCACGCTGCTGAGGACATACCCACGATTTCGGACCCAGTCCAACCGTGGCAGAGTGCAAGGCGCTTCCTCCCCCCCTTTGACAGACATTCACTACGCGCATAATCTTCGAGCCAGCCACAAGAACAAAAGGCGTGGAGAGCCGTTCCGGAAGAGTGCGGACAAAGTAGAGGGACTGGCTGTGTCAAGCCTATTGCAGCTTGCGCCCATAGATCCCTAATCTGTTGAGAAGTATCGAGCGACGCCGTATAAGACCTCAAGGCCCAGAGGACGATATCATCCTGCCTGTGCCATCTGGCACGCCAGCCAGATAACTCGATTGAGAGTCAATATGCCCACCAACCGGCCCTTCTTCGCCAATTTCTTCTCCACATTCAGAGCAAGGACGAATCCGACGTTTCAGGCAAAGTCCAGTCCGGCATACGATGCAGTGTCACCGGCCTCGCTCGTCGCTGCTGCACACGTTTCCACAACCACGGCGACGGTGACCTCATCCGGGGCAAGAACTATCACTACAAAGGCACCTGCAGAGATTACAACCCCATCACAACAACAGCAAGCCAAACCTAACGCCACGAATCCCCTGCCCTTCTCATCAAACCCTACTTCACACAGATATGCGACTCCTCTCTCCCGATCACCCGGCACGACTTCACCTGGTCCTCACCCAGCCCAGCCAAATCCTAACCTGTCAATATCCCCACCTATGGCCTCGACGCCAATGACAAGGGGCCGGCAAAGGCGCGGCAGTGATAGCTCGAACTCGTCAGGGGGTTTTATAGATGCCCTGGGCCCTGAGAAGTGGTACATTGGTGGTCGGAATGCTGCTGGCGAAGAAACATTCTACAAATTGGGACTCGTAACAGGCGGAACTGGGAGACGAGTCCGCAGTCTGGATCGGTTGAGCCTTTGAACACCGTTTGGAGCTGAAGACTTGGAATGGAGACAAGGTACAAACCCTCTTACGAAAGACCACCAGAACACGAAGAAGCTATGTGTGTCAAAACATGCGACCCGAGGGCGCAAAACTCATCGACTCATCTTTATGGGTGGAGTCGAGAGTGCTTGAGCCAAATTGAAGGCATAATGGAGTTTGTTACCGACTTGTTCCACGATCGATTCGCCATCTTACCTTGGCATTGGATGGGGAGATAGGGAGACCAGACCTTTGAGATCGTTGTTTGGCGCTCGCATCCGGAAGACCATGACTGCAGGAAGGCGTCACAGGCTTTTATGATCAGACCAAATGCAAATCAGGGGCGGGCTATAACGACAAACGTCGAATCGTTGTTGTGTTGCTTCTGCTCTTGCTAATTAGTCGGGAAAGACCTTAGCTGGTGCATGGCCGAAGTTGAGAAGTAGACAACAGAGAGTATTTCATCACACCAACGACAGCAAATCACGAGACAAGAAGAGTGCAGCGCTTGGTGTCCAATTCATTTAGTTGAGTCACTTTCTTTCTCAGGGCGACCCCGCTATAGACGCCTCAGCATCCGATGATGGCAAAGGAATCTCATCTTCCGAGCCTCTAATTCGAGCATACCTTTCTCTTTTCAACAATGCCATTTCGTGTGTTTCAAGTAACATCTCGTCTTCCCTTACGCGAGACACCAGGGCCATGCTGGGCAGTTTGGGCTCGCCTGGGTCTGATACCATAGCGTCCTCTTCGTCTTCATCTTCGCTGTCAGCAATTTCGAAAGCCTTTCGTTTCTTTGGCTGTGTTGGCAAATGGAGCTGCGAGGGTTGTGAAAGCTCCGCGGGGAGGAGTGGTAAGTCGTGGCCAAGCCGGCCAGTGTCGGCTTCCGCGACGCCGTTGGATTGAGGGAGAAGCCGGGCTTGGCTTGCTGCTTCAGACAAGGCCAGCTCTCGAAGCCCGCCTGATGAGATCACAAACGGAACCGGGTTCGTGATGAAGTCTTTCTTCGCCATACGTTGAACTTCTGCGTATCGTAACCCCAGCGAGCGTGCATCCCGCGCTTCTGCCAGTTGCGCGTCATCCACAAAGTCGCGGTAAAGCATGATGCGAGTATACACGGCTGACTCCCAAGCTTGACTGAATAACGCTGGTTTCAAAGTAGCTCTGTTAGAACTTTTCAAATTGGTGGTTGCGTTCGTCAAGACGACAATGGCAATATTCCTGATCGCAGCCATCTTGGACATTGCTGTGGCGAGATTTTCCATGACCTGAAAGCGCTTCGATGCGGCTTGCTTCTCGAATCTCTCCCTTACCGCCGCTGGTGCGGACGGCTTGAGATTCTTTTGAGTCCGTGAAAAGGCGCCAAGGAGGAGATTTGACAGATCGTCGACAACAATCAGGCACGTCTGGGGTGAAGGAAATGACGCAGGAGGGTACAGGAACACCGTCAACAGGCGAGGCAACGTGTGGGCGTCTAAATAAGTAAACTTCTCGTCCAGCAGCGCATCTATACCGACGCGTTCTCGTGGTGAAGAAGGCGATTTCGCGGTGGGGGGAGTTGGGGGGCCTTTCATCAGATCATCAAGTCTGGTTTCGATCAACGGCGATCCAGTATTGACCCATAGCACATGAGACGCTTCCTCTGTCGAGCGCACTGCGTTGACGGAGGCCTGCAGCCCGAATGTGGTCTTGCCAACGCCTGGAGGGCCGAATACTTCGGTAACATAACCGCGTTGGATACCTGGTGTCGCACTCGATAGCTTGTTGATGCCGTTGTTTACGAGGATTGCGTCCAAAGCTGGAAGACCAGATGGAATGCCTCTCGAGTTGGCTGTAGTATTTTGCAAGGCTTCGATGCCCGTAACGGTTGGCAGTCGATGCTGGGACGAAGGAGGAGAGAAGTTGTGAACATCAGCGTCTCGATCCTCCATTTGTGGTCTGTGCTACAGCCTCCGCATACATATCGAACCTGCTCGCTCGATTTCTTGTCGACTTCATGCACAGGGCAGCTTCGACATCCATAATCGTCACTTTGTCCTTCATGTCGGTGCAGCGACGCGTTGATGCGGTGTTCAAGAAGCAGGAGCTGTTGCCATAGCTGAGAGCAGGAAGGATGTGGAAGACACGCGTCACGAAGACGGCACCTAGACGGCAAGACACACATTCAACCAGTTTCGCTGAGCCGCAATACGGTGGAGTAGTGAGCCACGATCCCCATTGTCCTTCCGGCCTCTGGCTTCGAAATTTCGATTCCTCAGCAAAAGGACACCCGTTTCCGACAGACATTTCCCCGGCCGCATACGGCTAACCGCGATATCTCCGCGCTTGACGGTACGCCTTGCGATGGAGCTCTTGTTACTGGTCATTCTGATGAACCACTGGACCACTGGAGCAACTCGTTCTTGACACCTCCGAGCAGCATCTTCAGACTCGATCCTTGAACCTAGTCCCCTGCTTACACAAGATATCATCATGGACCAGGCAGCGGTTATCATCCCACCAATCTTGCTCGCAATCACTCTTATTTGCCTTCAAGAAGCATGGAGGAACCGCATCTCCCTCAAAGGCTACAAACAGGTGACTTTGGGTGGGCCCAGCAACATGAAGGATGAGTTGAACCAGAAGTACGCGAAGCCACCTGGATCACGGGAGAAACCCGATGGTTCAAGATGGAAAGTCAAAGCCCTATACGTTCATCCCATAAAATCATGCGCTGGCGTTGAGCTTGACGTCGCTGAACTCGATGCCGCTGGATTCACATGGGATCGCAAGTTCGCCTTCGCAGAATTGCTCAAGCCTCAAACTCGCACTAATGCCACAGACGCGGAGAAGATACCGAAATGGACGTTCAGAACCCTCAGACAACCTGGGTGGGAAAGGTTGGCTCTGGTCAGGCCGGAGATTTGGCTTGCGGACCAAGCCACAAAGAAGTCAGACAAAGATCAAGGCTGGATGGTAGTGAGATATCCGAATATCCCTGTGGGTTCGCTCGCGACGCTGTTCCGCCTCCTCATCTGGCTTGGGTTCATGTCGGACGAGAGGTCCTTTCGCGTACCGCTGATCCCTCCCCCTAACCACAAGTATCCCTCTGAAGATGTCAATGTCTGGAAAGACTCGCCGAATTGGTTGAATTACGGCGTCCACCTGCCCAAGGACTTTGGGCCTTTCATCGGAGTCTCCAATCCCATCACTCTTTTCCGGGTTGATCCCAATAGCTATCGTGAAGTGTACCGCTGTGCGCCCAGAAAAGAACAGCTTGGCTATCAGCCAGTCGTTGGATTCGCCGATGCCTATCCAGTACACCTCCTGAACATCGCATCAGTGCGCGATATCGCTAGGAGGGTCGAGAAGGACATCCCACGTTTCAGTGCAAGGAGATTTCGGTCCAATATTCTCGTGTATGGGCCAGGCTCCTACGATGAAGACGACTGGAAAAGAGTCAGGATTGGAAATCACACTTTTTACTGCGCGTGCAGGACAGTACGCTGCAGGCTGCCGAACGTCGACCCAGATACGGCGGAAAGACATCCAGTCGAACCAGACAAAACGCTCAAGTCGTTTCGGTGCATTGACGAAGGCGATCCCTTGAATGCGTGTCTCGGATTACAACTGGTGCCTGCCGACCCAGGTCCATTTCAACTTCATGCTGGCGACGAGGTTGTAGTTCTGGAGAGAGGTCACCACAAGTACATCAAGCAATGAGAACTTGCAGATGCTTACAGTTGATGATCTTTGGCATTCACCTTTTGCCGGCCGCACTGATCATTGCCACCTGAGTCGTCTGCATTGGTCGCCATCGCATTCGGAATGCTGCAGTCTCCAGGTGGCCGCACTCCACTCAGTACATTTTCCCATATCACCACAGCTATCGGCTCGCGCATTGCAGAGCCTCTCACGAGCCAGAGAACTAGTCGGCAAATCGGGGCTAGTGTGACCTGAAAGTTTAGACTGGTGGATGATGTCAGCCATTGGCCACAAACTTTACCGTTCGATCTAGCTGCACAGAGTTGAAGCTCATCAAGATCTAAGGCATTGCCTCTTGGTTGAGTGCAGGAGATCGCCGAAAGCAGTCTCGGAGCTTTGGAGTTGTGCCAATGCGAGGAAACTTGCTTATCGGCCTGTCTCGGCGTTCAACAGCATATCAACTTGGCAGAAGCATATAACCCAAGGATTTGCGTAACGACAAGCGAGCGCCAATCACAATCCGCGCCGAGGTCCCCTCTGAGGCTGCAGATAGATACATCTTTCGCAAACCCAAGGGAGCGCTTCCCTTTATACCACCACTCGGCTGTTTAGGCGAGAAATGAAAATGCATGATTGGCTCCGAATTGGTGGCTTCGAGTATCAGGGGTCCCCATATCGACCTCGCTTGATGCCATCATCGTGCGTTTAGCACCATCGCAGCGCTATATGAACATGCGTACAGCTTCTTCTGTAGCAACATACTTCTCGAACAGCAGACTCCCGAGCCACCAGATACCTCAAGGACAGCACTCCAATCTCATCGATCCTTGCATCAACCATGGAGCCAGACCGTATTGGACCTGATTTGACGCCCAGACGTCCCTTCAAAGACAGAATTGCTGACATGCCGCGCCGTGCTGTCAAGACGTTCACGACGAGGGAAGGACTTATCGGTGAATACGACTACGCTTTCCTCTTCACCCCTAGACTGCCGTTCATGAAGAAGTCTCAGCAGACTGCGCCTTTCTTTGGCCTCAACGACAAGATGCCAATATTACTTGCTCTTATCCTCGGCTTTCAACACGCCTTGGCGATGCTCGCGGGCCTGATCACGCCGCCCATTATCTTGTCAGGCTCAGGTGGTGCCGCTTTAGAGCCGCAGACCGCTCAGTATTTGGTCTCTACCAGTCTTATAGTCTGTGGACTGTTGTCTGCGGTACAGATCACCCGTTTCCATATCTACAAAACGCCTTACTATATCGGCACCGGGCTGATCAGCGTTGTCGGCACTTCATTTGCAACTATCCCGGTCTCGTTGGGTGGTTTGTCCCAGATGTACGCCTCAGGATTCTGTCCAACGGGTCCCCCGTCAGAACCTGGCGGCGATCGAGTCCGGCTACCTTGTCCGCAGGGATACGGTGCTATACTCGGCACTGCCTGCATCTGCTCTTTGCTGGAGATCTGCTTGTCATTCGCGCCAGCAAAGGTGCTGAAGAGAGTGTTTCCGCCCCTTGTAACGGGGCCGACTGTTGTACTCATTGGAGTCAACCTGATTGGTACGGGTTTTGAGAACTGGGCTGGTGGCTCTGGAGCTTGCCGGTCGCGCCCTGAAGAAGGACTCTTCCAGAACTGTCCTAACAACAACGCGCCGCATCCCTTGCCCTGGGGGTCTGCGGAGTTCGTTGGGCTTGGGTTCAGCGTTTTCGTGACAATCATCCTGTGTGAACGATTTGGGAGTCCAATCATGTGAGGATACCTTGCGAATTGCCATACTGATATGGAGCTGACCAATGTTTCAAACGCAGGAAATCGTGTGCGGTTGTCGTCGGACTACTGGTAGGCTGCATTATTGCTGCGGCGACCAATTACTTTGACGATTCCGGCATCAGGAGTGCCAAACCGGTCTCTTTTATCTGGGTTGAGACCTTTCCCCTATCATTATACGGGTAAGAACGTTGCAAACTGCGTGGGCGTTGTCTTCTCTAACATCACTAGCCCAATGGTTCTCCCTTTCCTAGCGGTATTCCTGGTCCTGATGATGGAAGCGATAGGAGATATCACGGCAAGTTGTGATGTCTCTCGACTGGAGGTCGAAGGCCGCGTCTTCGAGTCGCGTATACAAGGTGGTGTGCTCGCCGACGGCCTCAACGGCATGCTGGCTTGCCTCGGCACTATCACCCCGGTCTCTACTTTCGCTCAGAACAACGGTGTTATCGCCCTCACTCGCTGTGCCAATAGGAAAGCTGGCTATTGCTGTTGCTTCTTTCTGATAGTGATGGGGGTCTTCTCCAAGTTCGCAGCAGCACTGGTTGCGATTCCCTCTGCTGTTTTAGGCGGCATGACGACCTTTTTGTTCTCAGCGGTCGCCATATCTGGTATCCGCATCATCTCAACAGTCCCCTTCACACGGCGCAATCGGTTCATCTTGACGGCAGCAATGTCGATTGGTTTTGGTGCTACATTAGTCCCGTATGTCTCACGTGGTCGGTGAAGAAGCAGTTCTTCTTCGGCGGCATACTGGTTTTCCCCCTGGTTTGTCAAAATAGGCTAACAGTTGTGACAGGGACTGGTTCGAGCACGTCTTTACGTATGAAGGCGATAACTCTGCACTAAGAGGTTTGATGAATGCTATCAAGCTTGTCATGGAGACCGGTTTTGCTGTGACAGCGTTCCTTTCCCTCATCCTGAACCTCGTCCTCCCCGAGGATATCGAAGACGAGGCGGTGGATACTACTGCAAACACTGCAGACGGAGTGGATGACAAAGAGAACTGGGAGCGAATTAGGCGGCCTTCTCAGATGAAACGGATGCGCCAAAGTCAAGACGCTGCGACCCGTGCCAGCACTGACATGGAAGCGCAAGGTGAACCAGAAAAGCGTAATGTTATCAAGAATGAGTAGTTCATGTGGCAAGGGTTCGTAGGGAGATGACCTGAGGAGATTGTTGATCGTGGTCGCTCGGCAGACAGAGACCGGAGGATGTCCTGGAGACGTGGCTGATGGTCTGGGACCCCACGTTAGGAAATCAGAGCTCATCCGTTGACGGCCCTTCGATCTGACTGTGCCGCGAGTGTCTTTCCGCACGGTGTTGGTAGTCCAGACAAATGAACGAGGGGATTAGCATAAATCCGCTCGTCTCCAATGGCAGATTGCTTCCAAAGCAAGGCTTTTATCTCCGACATCCGCTCCCTTCGCAGAGTATCTCCCGAGATGGAATAGCCTCTTCCCATCTTGTACCATCCGTGAGGATGCGTGGACTTCACAAATCCCAGTGACACAAATCATGAGACTGGCCGCGGGTTGCGCAAACGAACTATGGCAGCTTCACAAGTCGCGTCAGGTATAAAGACCCGGCTTGAGCAGGCAAGAATTCGAGTGAAAACTCCTGTGAACCAGAACAGGCTAACGAGCAACTCGCAGCAGGGAAACCAAGCAATGGCACCCCAAACTATTGCACTGGTCACTGGCAAGTACCGTGTCGGATACTGTTCTTCATTCCACTGATGCGTCGCAGGGGGAAACAACGGAATCGGGTATGAAACAGTCAAGGCACTTCTACAATCCACAAAGCCGTACCATATCCTCATGGGCAGCCGTTCTCTAGAGAAGGCTGAGAACGCGATCGCGAAGCTGCAGAAAGAATGCCCCGAGTCGAGGAACATAGTGGAAGCCGTCAAAGTTGATGTCACAAGCGATGACTCGATCCAGGCAGCCTTTGCCAAGATCAGTAGCAGTCCGGGTCACATTGATACGCTTATCAATAATGCTGGTTGGTACGCAGACCATGAATCTGTGCTTGACTCTGACAGCAGATAGGAGCGACGTTTGACTTGGAGTTCGTCGCCGGCAGGGTCTCCTTGCGCGACTGCTTCATGAGGGCGTACGATGTCAATGTCGCTGGAACCAATGTTTTGACCTGGACATTCATGCCCCTGCTGTTGAAGTCTTCCGACCCTCGCTTGATCTTCGTCACGGGCCTCTCCAACGTCACACAGGCCAGCAAATCGTACTTCCCAACACCACCTCAACCGGCAGGCTGGCCCAAGCAGATCGAGTTCGAGACCATCGGTTATCGCTGCAGCAAGACGGCGTTGAACATGTTGATGGTCGATTGGAACCACAAGTTGAAGGCTGATGGGGTGAAGGTGTGGGCTGTAGGCCCGGGGATGCTGGAAACGGACCTGGGAAATGCGAGGTGGTTGGCAAAGAAGATGGGAGCAAAGCCTGCGCATATCGGCGGGCAGTTCATCAGGAGCGTTGTGGAGGGGGAGAGAGATGCTGATCTTGGGAAGATCATTGTGAAAGATGGAATCTCAGAGTTTTGAAAGGTGAAGCGGAACGCAGCGTTCTCCGTCGAATAGGTATCATTGTTCCAAAACTCTTGGAACCAGGTGCACAGTCCCTCGCACATCCCATGCTTCTCTTGCAAGGCGACCCTTGCTGCAACCATCCTCTGTATTCAACCTGGCCCTGCCGTTGTCGGATCGTGGGTCGGTGCACCCACCTCTTCATTGCGTAGACGAGTACGGTGTGGCTGCGCGGTCTGCGGCTCTGGCGATGTCCAAAGCGCGGTGTCCCTGCTTGTGAGGCTGGAGGGGTTTAGCTTCTAAGCGGTTCTCTGCGCCTCCTACCTCTCAAAGCCCTCGCTCGTAGACCCCTCGATGCCTGGCCTTCCTCCCTTTCTTGTAGAGAAAACCCTCAGCTTCCATCGCGCCACCACGGATGGCCTCGCCTGCGCTGTGCATGACATGCGGCCGGATTTGATTGCTGCCACTGTTGTTTGCGTCGCGCTATGTGCTCCCTTCGCCGCGAGGCGGATCACGGGAAAGGCTGGGTGATGCGACGTTCGCCTTAGGATTCTTACGGTGGACGGGATTCCATCACATAAGCGCGGGTGCGAATGAGAGCACACAGGTTTTTTGTACTTGTTCGTTGGTATGAAATCTGGAGATTGAAAAGACGGTGAGGTGAGTGCCCGAGGTGCGGAGTATGACGTAGCTAAACACGCTCACCAAAAGCATCTAACCGCGGCCTCTTCGGCAGGTCGAAGCCACATCACATGGTGTGACGCGCAAGATCTCCTAGAATTACTTACCATGTGAAGAAATCTCGACCTAGCATAAGGATACCTGTATCCGTTCGGGCGAAGTGGTAGATTGCCTCACCAATGGTGCCAGACATACGCGTCCCCACCCGTCCTCTGGCAGCATCACGGGCAGCATTTGAATGATGCGAAAGCAGCATACATGCGCTGCCGGTATCTTCGCACTGGGTTCTGTTCTCAACGCATGCACTCAGATCGATGCTAGCCTTCGTACCGAAGGAGAGGAGGTTAAGAGGATTTTCCATGCAATTTGCTTCCGCCCGAACATCAAAACCCCGGCTGGATCATGACTTCGTAGCCTCGTTTCTTCTCAGGAGGATATGTGAATGAGACAATATAATCAAGGTGAGCAGCGGAATACTCGCTCTAACGTCCACTCAGAATTGTTTATTTCATTCTTGATCCATTTGCTGTCTACTATCTCATTCTCTTCCAAATGTCCTCCGCAGGACCGAGTCGTTCTCCGCTGGGGTATCTTTCAATCCTGTCCGACTGAAACGAGTTTGTGGTCCGCACCGCCGCCTCGACGTCTGCCGCACCCCACCAGATCTCTACTGTAGAAAGAGAGGACTCAGAATCTGTTGGCGATTTTATCCGCGATGCTGCTTCGGCGGCGGCCGCCCGCCGTAGCCACACTTTGCTTGCGAACAGTCTCCACGAATTCTCTGTCGTTGTCGACGTGTCCATCGAATGACCAGAGCGATGGACAAGGCCCAATTTTGCGGCGGAAAATGGTGGTCTTGATCCACCATGGCAGTACCTTGAAGCATTGGTGCTTCATGAAGGTGCGGGTGGGGATTGCGAAGATATAGTCGAGTTCCTCCTGCGAAGAGGTCAGCAAAAGCATACGTCGAATCCAAGAGCGCGAAATTTACCAGAGTTCGTTGTTTGGTCTCGGGCAGCCAGAGGAAGATCATGACTAATGCAATGATGTTCAAGCCGGCATAGAACCCGAAGGCACCGGTAGGTGTCATAGCTGCAAGCATTCGTGGGAATGTGATGGAGAGCACAGCAGCCCAAAACAAGCATGTTGCCACAGCCCAGGCCATACCGACTTCACGATGAGAGAGGGGGAACACCTCGGCGGAGTAGGTGAAGGGCACGGGCCCTTCTCCCGGTGAGTAGAAGGCTGCGAACTGATCCTGAATTAGCTAAATCCTGTAGGAAGTACAGATACACTCACCAGATATATAAAGAGAGCCACAAGACCGAGATGAGCAGTACTCGACTCGGGAATCAGGTAGCAAAGACCCGCTGCCAACAGAGTCCAGGCCATCTGGGGGAAGGTGAATAGCAGAAGTGATCGACGACCGAAAGTATCAATAGTCCAGATCGCAGGCCAAGCGAAGACAAAGTTGACCAAACCGAAACCCCATGATGCAAGGAGTGACTCTGTGACTGAAGCGCCAGCCTCGGAGAACACAGTGGAACTGTAAAAAGCGATGATGTTGACTGCGGTGCCGTTAGTTCCAGTCAGAAGGTGATGATGGCGTTTACTTACTGCCGCACATTTGCTGGGCAATCATGACCGTGAAGGAAGCAAGGGTGGCGCGACGAACGCGCGGGATTGTGAACAGCTGGATGAAGCGAGTCACATAGTTGGTCTCCCTCTCGACCAGCGCGGCTTCCATGCGGAGTTGAGCAAAAATGTAGTACAAATCACGGGCAGCCTGGAGTTCCGTGTTGCGTAGGCGCTTGAGGGAGGCGAAGGCATTGCGGTATTTGCCCTTCTTGATATACCAACGGGGCGATTCTGATGCACATTAAGCCAACATCTAACGAGAAGGCGAAACAGACGTACCTGGGCAAAAGTAGATGCCGACAAGAAGAGGCACCGCAGGGATGAAGGCGGAACCAAATTGAAGACGCCATGAGATGGCACCAGTGTCTTTTACGGCGAGATTGGCGCATGTTCCCAAGAAGATACCGAATGCGGTCCACATTTGCCAACTCATCACCAGACCCCCGCGAACTGCCGCAGGAGCATTCTCAGCGCTGAAGATCGGGACAGTCGAGCCTTTGCAGCCCATGCCGATCCCGAGCAGAAGTCGAGTGACTAGCAGTTGATCCCAAGCTGTGGACAAGTCAGAGGGCCAGACGAAACGAGCAAGTTTGTGCAGGACTCACTTTGGGCAACCGCGGAACCAATGGGACTCAGAAAGCAGAAGACAGCAGACACGAAGATTGTGCCCCGGCGACCAAAGTAGTTGTTCAGGGGATCAGAGCACCAACATCCACTAACGTATGTCAGCATGCTGCGCATAGCGCGACGGAGATGGTGCTCACAGGAATGCCGAAGCAATGTAGGGCCCAGCGTTGACCAGACCTTGGTACCATTGATTCCGCGCAGCGTTGGGATTAGGACTGCCGTCGGCCAGTAAATCGCTGACAGGGATCCCCAATGCATCGGGAAACGACAGGTTGGCACCGTTGGAGCCGGTCTGATCCCAACCCTGGACAGCAGCGCCGATCGAGCAAAGGATGATGGTGAAGTAGAGCGACTTTGGTTGGCGCCATTTGTGCAAGACCTCGTTCCTGATAGCCTCCTTTTCTGCTTCCGTGAGACCTGGCACGCTCTCAAAGGCTGGAGGGTCTTTTGCCACGAGAGCTCCTTTTATGAGAAGGTCGGTTTTGTCCGAGAAGTCGTTGACCCTAGCGAACTCCTGCACGTCTTTGATTACTTCTTCGTTGGAGAGGTGGGCAAGAGGATTTTTGATCCTGGGCCAGTCAGCGAGCCTGGTCTCAGTTGAGGGTCTGCGCATACTTTGCTGTGGCACTATCGTGCAGGTCGACATATTGTGTGTCTTGCTTCTCACCCATGTACTTCTCATCATCACCGCTATCTGCGTCAGCTGCGGCTGCGGTCATGTTTGGCTGTGGACTCCTTACTTCCTCTCTGGAGAAATACCATGGTCTTGGGAAGCCATCTTGGGATGTACTAAATGGTCGCGCAACGTTTGGGAAGGTTCAAGGAAGAAGACGAATCCCAGGGATTTGGTCCGGTTTATCAGTGTGACCGCCTAGCCCGCTTCTCTCGGGCGGGGAACAGGTTGCATGGCAAAGATCAACCCACCTGCATGGGACTCTTCTGTCCACCAAAACGTTTGAGTCGCTACAGCACGCAGAAGCTCTTCACGAAGACCTTGAGGCATGCATTATGCCCCACACTCCGGTATTCGAGTACTCCGTAAAGCAAGAGGTTTTGTGGGGATCGAACTGCGACATCCCGTGCGAAGGGGAGCCGATGTGGGTGTCAAGCTGGTTCGTTCCGATGTCTGATAGGTCATGATGGTTGGACAGCTATGGCCGGCAGGGTAACAATGGAAAATCTCGACTCAATCAGTCGGGTCCCCTCCGGATCACCGTTACAACGCGCTGAAATGTCAGGTGTTCAGATGACGATCGTCGACGCAAGCTTTTCTTGACTCCGACTCCCAGCAAAGCCTTGGCGGGCTTGAGCTGATTTGACTATCTTGGCTGGCCACCAATGGCAGTTAAGCCATTCTTGACTACGCGGCAAAGGCGTGTCGATCACGGCTTTTTGCCCCATGACGTTATTCGCCTTGAGATTGCTCTCACATGTGCGCCGCAACCACAATCTTGCCCGTTTCCTAGGTCGAACAAATTGCGCTCATGCTGTCCCTGCGATTCTTACCTCGTATGGCCTGGCTGACGGGTGAAATGCGCGACGCGCTTCGGGCATGCGACTCAGGCTTCGATGATTCCCTGCACAGCACGGGTGGTCATGTCAGGCCTCCAAACATGGGGTAGGCTCGTCCAGAGAAGGTCTGAGCCAATTCCTGATACCGCAAGATTTGTCGGGGAAAATGCCGATGATAGGTTTGGTTGTCTCTCGAATGTCGGCTGGTTTCTCGGTTGACCATACCGTTTTGCAGCTTAATAAGCAACATGCCGCCAACTTAATTACTCGTACCTTTCGCGGGGAGAGGCAGGTCTATGATGCTCTACCCGGATTCCGAACCCCTCCAACACCTCCAGACACCAATGCCTCGGGCAGATACTCCGCATGCCATCGCTTCGGCGCACCGAGGCTACTTTGAATCTCAGATTATCCTTATTCCACACGCTGCATGTCCTATTCATTCCAATCGAGAAGCTAGGCAAGTGCAAGCCTACTGCACTGTGACGCTTCCCAGAAAGTCTAGGGCCGTCCGATTCGAGCCAGAAATGCATGATTATGCGACCGTTCCTAGTGTGTCTGCTCAACCTCGATCTAGAAATTGAGCTGGAGGAGCACCAACACCATTAGTGATCAACGACAAGCATGGCCAGTGAGTTCTGGAACTGAGGAGCGGTTGAGCTTCGGATCACACTTCAGCGCATATTTGTGGGTGACATTCGGGGGAGGGTTGGAACGCGCCTTGTTACAATTGGAATTCTCATGATTCCGATTACTGGGTCGCCGGCGTCCGCAAACGTTATCAACCCCTGTGTTGAACTCTGCCAGAATCAGCCTACCCGACGCCGCCATCAAGGCAAGATTTGCAAAGTCTAAGTCGCGTCGGTACGTGTATGGCATTAATAGGTGACAGCTATGCTACAGTCTACTCAACGACTTCTGGTAGTCTTCATGGACTTGTCCGCTCAAACGTCGCCATCGTGGATGGTTACGCACTATTTCGAACGTGTTGGAGCCCGGCAATAACACACCGCAAAGCCCTTGTCAGGTCGAGGCCCAGGCCTCACAGTATCACAGAACCTTGTCGTCTTGAGAGCACTACTTGATGATATCCGCATAAGGTTCGCTTATGGACCTGTCTTGCGACCTATGGTCACTACCGCTCATTGTGCCCGTCAACCCAAATGTCTGCGGGAGATGGATCCGATCACACCAACTACCGCCTATCGAGCCTCGACAAGCCCATGATTCACTCATGGTCCGGCCCAACTCGACACCCTGGCTTTCCGGCACAACGAAACCTTCACTGCTTCAAAGACATGTCGACCACCAGCTTGCCACCAGCACCCGCGTGATAGTCATCCACCAGTTCATTGAGCTTCGCAAAGGGATAAGTCCTGATCCTTGCCTTGACGTCGTTCCTGACAACGAATTCGAACATCTCATTCATCGCTTTGTTTGACCCGATTAGGCTTCCAATAATGCGAATGCGGCGGAAGACGAGGTCATCGGCTGAAACGTGGAAACCCTCGGGCGGGAAAGAGACCAAGACGAGGAGCCCGCCATCCTTCAAGAGTCCCATCCCGTAGTCCCAGGCTTTCTGGCTATCTGGAAGGATGATCACAGCATCCAAGCCCATCTCAGCCAGACTTGCTCCTCCATCTTCCTTCCCCATGCCCCGCTTCACATCCTCTGCGCTTTCAGCTGAAGCGTCAACGATCGTAGCACCAGTCTGTAGGGTCCTCGCAAGTTCGAGCGCCTGAGGCGTCACGTCAACGCCGGTGGTTCTCAGGCCCATTTTCGTCGCGAATTGCAATCCGAGGTGACCCAACCCTCCTCCACATCCCATGATTCCGACCCGCCGTCCAGGTCCAAGTTCACATTTCCTCAATGCGGCGTAGATGGTGAGGCCGGCGCACATCAATGGCGCAGCTTCGACTGCTGCCATACCATCAGGAATGATGGCCACTTGTCGCGAGTCAACAACAGCGTACTCCCGGAATCCTCCAGCCCTGTCGCCGACTCCGAGTCCGCCTCCAGTATTGGCGCAATAGACCGAATACCCAGGATCGTCTGGCACAGGCCCTGATGGATTCTGACACTCGAGACATTTGCCGCATACGTGATACCCTCGACCTGGAACAGCTACTCTGTCGCCTACCTTCAGGCCATGGGATCGATCCGACACGGAGACGACGGTACCGGCGAACTCGTGGCAGCCGATATGTGGAAGTGGCGGCGGGTGCATCTTTCCGGAAGCGAGCACGGCATCGGTGTGGCAATAGGATGCAGCATCCACTTTGATGAGAATGTCGTTCGGATCGTCCACGGTGGGCATTGGGAGCTCTTGAAGTCGATATGGCGATTCGTATTGCTCCAGCACCTGCGCCCACATTGTCTTTGGTATATCGGTGTTAGCCATGCTGCCGAGCATCCACATCTACCGACGACAAGCGACAGCCCTGCAAGCTCTTCCTAGCTGTACTAAGATATGTGAAAGGTCGGGGCGTGAGAAAGTCTTGGAGACGCGCTGTAAGTGGATAGGGAAGTGGGGAAGGGCCTTAGAACCCCACGTTCGTGAATTAGAGTCATTTTCAAGATCCCCTCCGCACCCGGATTGCGCCAACTAGCGCGACGCGTCTTACCCACTAGGGGAAACGGACAATACCGAAATATTCTCCACGAAGATAGCAAGACATTAGGCCTGTAGTGAAACAGTTTAGTTGTGATCGCGCAGTGATAGTGGGAGAATGATGTCGGTTCGTTTTGAAACCTCTGTATGAGGATGACCTAAAGAGTCGCGTACGCATTGATAGCTGCGCTGCATTGACGTCGACTGATTCTCCTATTTCCTGTTAAGAATTGCCTCCGCGCAGCGTGTATGAAGACACGTGAGCACACAGGTAACCCTCGGGGTTCTTGAGTATCGGGGGTAGAGCAGAGGTCAATGTCGAACAGATCGTCAGACGGGACACAGCACTTGTACTGTATCTCCTTGAGCGCAATGTTAACTGAAGTTGACTACACCTCCTATAGAAGTGTATCTAGCTGTGACTATATACACAGGTAGTTTTCCTATCTAGGAAAGTCTGGGCGTTGCATGGTTGCCTCCGTTGCGGCCCCATGCCCTGCAACGATGCAACATGTGCAACGGCTTATTTCCTTTTTTGGGGTATCACGTGACCCGAGTCAGCCTTGCCAACGAGGCTGACTTCCTCGCTTGACCTTCCCTTCTGTGCCAGGCCCGGCAGGCCGCATAAAGGTCGGTTCGTAACACTTTCCCCTCCTTAGCCTGTTCGTTATCCGCAACGTACTTAAGGTAGGCTACAGCCCTCCTCTGTTATTGTCTGTTGTCTCCTCTTCTCTTATAGCTAACTATGCAGGCCTTTAGGGTGCACAAGTCGAACCCTAAACCTCCCAAGTCTTCTAAACCTGTCGTTCTCTGGCAGCAGCGTTAAAACGAGATCGCTAATTATATTAAATTTATTAAAAAGACCGAAGCTATAGTGTCTTATACCGAGTGTATAAACCATAGTAAAGTGTGTTTCTACTCGAGGGAGCAGAGTATAAAGTGTGCGGCGTGTCTTCGGCATCAGAGAGAGTGTAACGGAACATTTTCCGTGGAGGAGCTCCAGAAGATAGAAGAGCAAAAGAAACAACTGTCGGCTAAGTCGAGGGCTAAGAGGCGCGAGATCGCGCGTCTTCGAAAAACATTGGTGGATGCCCGCCGATCCCTGGCGGCGTTGGAGTATAAGATGGCCGAGGTAGAGGAGGAAGACTCCTCCTTGTAGGACTCCATTGCGAAGCTAGACGAGGTGTCTAGTAATATGTTGAAACGAGAGATGATAGCGCTGAGTGCCTTCGATAAGACACCAGCCCGGGCTGAGGTAGCTCTAGCCGAGCCTAACTTCGTCTAGCAGGATGCGCCCCTAACCGAGTCAGTCGACTAGAATAAGATCCTGAATTTCGAAGGTAGTAGCCAGCCAGCGGCTGGCTAGCTTCTCATGCCCCTGTTCTAATAGTATTGTTTAATGAGGTCCGCGGGTAGGTTTTCCTTAGGTTCCCACGTGTTTTCACTATCCTCATACCCTAACCATTTAATTAGGTATTGTTGTCGGCGTTTAGTTCCTCGGTGGTTCACAATTCGTTCCACGTCGTATAGTGGTTCTTGTGTTTCCTCGTGGATTAGGACTGGTCCTGGCGTGGCGTTCTAGGGTGCTTTTTTAAGTAGTGATTTGTGGAACACTGGGTAAATGTTCATGCCCGCTGGCAATTCCATCTTAAATGTTACTGGTCCCAGTTTCTTTTTGATTTTGTATGGTCCGATCTTAGTGTGATCCAGCTTGTTACTTAGTCTTTATATTTTAATGTTTTTTCGTAGGATGTAGACTTTCTCCCCTTCCTGAAAATCTGGTCCCTCAGATCTTTTCTTGTTCGCGTGTTTTATTGCTTTTTGTGATATTTTGTGTAGTTCCAATTTCATCATTTTATAGAGTGATTGTAATTTCTCAACCGAGATTTTCGCTTTTTCCGCTATTGGTCGTAGTCCTCTTACGTCTTTTTCAATGTTTAGGTGTTTTCCGTAGTTTACGTAGAATGGTGATATTCCTGTTGCAGTTTTTGAGTTGTTATATGCGAACTGTGCGATTAGTAGCAGTTCCACCTAATTGTTTTATTGATAGTTGATGTAGCACCGTAGGTACTGTTTAAGTGTTTAGTTGTACTTCTTTGACGTTAGTCGGTTCGGGCCAGTCTTGTACTGCCTCGACCTTCTTTAGGTTTGGTTGTAGTCCCCTAGTTAATACTATATAGCCTAGGAAAGCTATACTGTCTTTATAGAACTCGCATTTACTGAGCTTAATCGGGAGCTGTTTCTCCTGCAATCGTCGTAGTACCTTTCGTACATGTTCCATATATTCTTCGTACGTTTTCGAGAAGATTAGGACGTCGTCGAGGTATGCTACCACGAAGTCGTCCAAGAAGTCCTTCAACGTGTCGTTAATTAAGCTTTAAAATGAGGCGGGGGCATTAGTTAGTCCAAAAGGCATCACCTGATACTCCCAGAGTCCCCATCTGGTTTTGAAAGCCGTTTTCCATTCCTCTCCTTTCTTCATTCGTACTCGGTAGTAGGCGTCCCTAATGTCGAGCGCCGAGAAGTATTTAGCTCCAAGGAGTCGATCTTATGTATCATCGATTCGTGGAAGCGGGTATCTGTTTTTAATCGTGATCTCGTTGAGTGGTCGGAAGTCGATGTAAGGGCGTAGTCCTCCATCCTTTTTAGGTGCGAAAAGCACTCCATAAGAGATGGGCGATGTTGATTTACGTATAAAGCCCTTAGCCTCGAGTTTTTCTACGTAATCCTTAAGGAATTCCTCTTCCTTTTAAGATAGCCTTTTTAGCCATCCGGTGTGTCGGGGCTCCTTGCCCTCCTGGATTAGTATTTCGTGATCCCATGGCTTGTGTTCCGGTAGCGCCGCTAATCCCTCGCGCTCTTTAAAGATGTCTTTAAAGTCTTTATATTCCGGGGGAATCTCTGTAATACTAGAGCCAGCTAGTGTGTTTCTTCCCTACGGTCGCACCATTATCGCTCTTTCTTCGATAAGGGCCTTTAGAGGTGATCGATCTCCCTTTTTCTTGTTCGTACTGCATGACGAAAATGTGATTTTTCTTTTTTACTAATCGATATAGGGGTTGTGGTCATGAAGCCATGTCATACCTAACACGACATTATATATAGGGATCTTAGTGATGTCGAGGGTAATCGTCTCTTTATATTGTCTGATTGTGAAGGCTATATTTCGAAGCTCTTCTTGTACCATCCCAGCCGTCCTGCCATCAGCCATTAACAGGGTATAGGGTAGTGGTTTCTTCCGTTGATACCTGGCTAGTCGTTCAGCAATTTCTCTGCTAGTATAGTTACCATTAGCGCCACTATCGATCATAACCCTAATATCGACTCCAGCGAGCTGTGCCTTAAAGACGAGATGCTCTTTCCGGATGTCTAACAGGATCAGGTATAATCCAGTAGTTGTCTAAGGCAACTTTAGCAACTGATCTAGCCTCTTTAGGTCAGTGCCTACAAGTTTTTTGGTAGGTGTCGGTGGGGCCATAGGTCCTATTGACAATCTCCATTCTCGCAGTCTAGTAATAAACTGTGTTGATCTGGTGTCAGCGCGATGTCGCTATAATCTAGGTCAATATTGTGAATGTGAAGGTGCGCTTCTTCTCTGTATTTACAGCTGTAATCGCAACACGTGAAGTATTCGGCGATATAGTCTGCGGTAGATCGTTTATCCACAACGGCTTCAACTATATTCGGGTTATATAACAGTCCCGTGACCCTGTTGAGTTCTTGCTTAGGGAAATGGAGGTGTAGATGTCGTCTCTATATGCATTCTTGTCGTTCACACATTAGGTTTCGTTGTATCATCTTGTTATATGTGTGTGATGGTATGGCTGTGTGTGGGTATTCCGGGTTAATGTTGAATAAGTGTGCATGTGCCGTGTAGTAGTGCTTGCAGGTAGTGTCGCAGCATGCAAAATATTCCGCAATATGTTCGTTGTTACCTCGCTTATCGACTATAGTTTCTACAGTGCCCAGTATTTCTACCATCATATTAATACTATTTCCTTATCGGCGCCTTTCTAAGATCTGTTCCAATTACTCCGGGGGTTGCTTAATCCGTACCGTGGTTAGCCACACACTTTAGTGTATATAAAAGTTCTCTTTATCTTCACAGTCCGGATTTATACAGTAACTGAACTGGATCTTCTTTATATACTTTCGTGGTTCCATTTCGGGATCGAATATAAGGTAGTAGTGTTGAGTTTCTTCCCTACACTCGTCCTGTTGGCATAACTCCTTATACCACCGATTAGTAATAATTATGAGATGGTACAGCGACCATCTCAGCACGACCGCTGTTCGATTTGCTTGGTCGTCCTGGTCTGTCATCGGCATGCCGTCATCGTCGTCCTCGGACTCGATCCTTTAGTCCGGTTTCTGTTCTTTTGGGGCTTCTTCCGTGCCCATCATTCTGAGGCTAGTATCGGGTATCTCGATAAGTTCGATTCGTTTGTCACTTCCCTGATGGAAATGCATCCTGGTTTCTTTGCATTCCACATTGCGACAGATTAGGAACGTCAGGACATATAGCGTCTTTTCCCTTTCTTGGTTTGCGTCAAACACCACATGGGCGCACTGGGTTCCTTCCTAACAGCTAGGGTCATAACCCTCACTTTTCCAGTATGGCGTGATAAGTTAGATCCTCTCTACTGTATGTTCAGTGACTATAAACCGTAGTTTATCGTCGTTCTAGGCATTCATCATCCAGAATC